AACCCTAACCCTAACCCTAACCCTAACCCTAACCCTAACCCTAACCCTAACCCTAACCCTAACCCTAACCCTAACCCTAACCCTAAACGTTGCGTAGCAATTTTGCGTTGAAAAAGATCCTGTGCGATAGCATTCGTGAAGGTTAGCGAGTGACGACTACTTCGCAACGAGTTTGACGGACACAGTCACCGCAGAAGTTGGACGTCAGTTGAAGAAGCTCAATATTCTCATATCTATCCGAGGTCTTGCCGGACCGAAGATGTGGGCGGGCTTCTCCGCCTGGACAATTTGTAAACATCCATCCCTAACCCCCGGGTTCAATCAGGACCAAGCTGGATGTTTTATTGCTACAGCCGATTAACGGCCTAGCAATGACAAACAATCTCAATAGGCCTCAGTACAGCAAATTCGCATCCATAGGCTTTTATCATCTGAAAGGAGCCATCTGAACCCCAATATCGTCGCCTGATTGCTTCCGTGCTGAACACTCAACCTAAGAATATTTCTCCAGGACAACGAGCTTGAAGACATCCGACCCTTGAATTAAATTTGACCTCTATCGGAGCATCGCCAACATGGGTTCGATTGAGAAATACACCGACTTCAGGAGCGAGTCCGTAGGTGGCTTACCGTTCTTCACTCCCAAACAGACATTACCAGTCGGGACGGCCATTTTGAAACCTGAGAAAGGCATCACGGTGGACACCGTCAGTCCTGCTTTTAGGCCGTTAACAATCCGGGGATTGACGTTTCAAAATCGCATATGGGTGGCTCCGATGTGCATGTACAGTTGCGAAGACGGCATGTTCAGCGACTTCCATGTTGCCCATTATGGGCAGTGGGCAATGAGGGGTGCCGCTCTCATCACACTGGAGGCCACTGCTGTGACAGAGCAAGTACGGTTCCCCATGGAGACTTTGAAGCCTTCCCCGGAATTTGCTGACAGTCCACAGGGGAAGAATACACCGCAGGACGCCGGGCTGTGGAAGGATGAGCAGATTGCGCCATTGAGGAGGATTGTCAACCTCATACACTCCCAGTCCCAGAAGGCCGGGATTCAACTGCAACATGCCGGTCGGAAGTCTGGCATATGTCCTCCATGGTTAGGTCTAAAGCTTGTGCCAGCTGAATTCGGTGGTTACGCCCAGCGTGTTCAAGCCCCAACTGCTGAGCCATGGAACGAGAACTATGCAACACCTGGAGCCATGACCGAAGAGGAAATATGGGACACCATCGAGGCTTATGGCGCAGCAGCAAAAAGGGCGGTTCAGGCCGGTATTGATGTCATTGCGGTTCATGGTGCTCATGGTTATCTCATTCACTCGTTTGCTTCCCCAGCTGTAAGTCTATGGTACCCATGGACTACCCGGATCGATGTTGACGTTCCGTTCTAGAGCAACAAGAGGACGGACAAATGGGGTGGAAGCTTCGAGAACCGCACTCGTCTCGGTGTTGAGATCGTCCGCGCCATCAGAAGGAACATCCCGCCCACGATGCCGTTATTCTGGAAAATATCCGCAATTGACTGGCTCCCTCCTGGAGAGGGCTGGGAGCTGGAGGATACTTTGCGCTATGCGCCTATTCTGGCCAAAGAAGGCGTCGACCTAGTTGATACTTCCAGCGGCGGCACTGACAGGAGACAGAAAGTCCAGCTGGGTCAACAATATCAGGTTCCCTTTGCACAGGCTATCAAGTCGCTGTGCATTCCGAACTTGTTTGTGGCGGCTGTCGGTTGGATCAGGGATGGAGCCACGGTTGGGGACATCCTCGGCAACGCGAAAGCTGATGTGGTCCATGTCGCCCGCGAGTTCCTTCGGGACCCCAACTTCGTTCAGAAGGTGGCTCTAGCAACAGGTACTGAAGTATCTTGGGTCGATCAGTACCACAGAGCGCCAATGAACGGGAAATACGTGGAGTCAACGACGAGTATTACGACCGAACGAAAGGCCGACGACGACGTTACCAAGTCGCATGACAATCAAGCGGGTAACAAAACCATCAAGTAGACAGTCCTGGTGAAAACGTTTTGAACTTTTGACCATGGCTGCCTTGCTTGAACATTGGTCCACGGACAAGAAGAGTATGGTGTTGGTCGGCATAAGGCACAACAACAATGTGGACTCCGGTGCTCGTCATAGCTGAGTCACAATTCGTACAATGTAGAAAAGAGCCATGTGGGCATGCAGTGATGACCATAGGCTTCTGGCAGTGGTGACCATAGGCTTCTGGCAGTGATGACCATGGGCTTCTGGCAGTGATAACAACCGTGGCAAACTTTGCACGCCACCGTGGAGGTTTTTCATTTAGCCTGTGGATCCAGCACAACGTCTTGGGAACCGCCCGGAGCAGACACTTCGATTTGAAACTCCGGAGTGCAAGCAGTATTAGACACTAGCAAACTGGCATTGTCGAGTAATTTCAAATGCCTTGGAGCTGATGGAGTCGACAGATACACAGTACCTCCGTGACCAGTCATCGTCCTCATATTTTGCGGTGGACTGTGGTCTGTAAACATAGTTTGGACTTGGTGATCCATTCCGCCTGTGGTTGACGAACCAGAGCCGTTGTGTTTGTTTGTTGATATAGCAAAGGTCTGTATGTCTGTATTCATGGGCAGTTGCGGAAAACGTCTACTGCACCATCAAAGCCGCTTCCAATGACTGGTGTCAGACGCTGCAAGCACTCCATATCCAGACATCTTGCCAAGTCTGGCAAGCAAGGCTCTAAACCATGATGCCCGCTTGCCACTGACATTCTCGAGGCTTGAGGCGAGTGATAATGGCCAGATTGTCAACGACGCAAAGTAAGGCCTTATCGTTTCTTGCGATGTGGGGATAATGATCGGAGACGACGATCCGCTTTGTTCAACTTTTGCGAATCTTTCCAGGCTGTAGGGCAGACTACGGGCAAAGTCTTCAGCCACATCTTCAACGCAAGATAAGCAGTCCGCACGCTCGCGCTCCGCAGCCTCTTCAAACCTCAAGTGCCTAGCCCCAAGAATCCTTATTCTAGTACTGAGTGAAAGCATTCTGGTCGAGTAGTACTGGTTCCAAACTGCCGCATGTGCAAGACTTGAGTAGCTGTAGACTGTGGGCGAGAAGAAGTCGCAGGACGGAAACTCATCCAGCTCTGCAATCGTATACCGCTGGTACAACCATGTGCTCGGAAAATGCAAGACCCAATGTTCCAACGCTTTGTCGATATTTTGCGCCTCTCGCGCAAGTTGTGCCGCTGCCGAACTGCTGGAAGCGTTTTCGTCCCTGAGCAACGCAAAGATCTGATGACGCAGGTTGACCAGTCGAACGATTATGCGATCGTATTCAAGCTCCAGGCCACGCTCACCAAAAATACTACCGTCCGAGATCCATTCAGGCAAGGCCAACTTTCTCAGAAGCGCAGACTTGATCATGCCGCGTCGTGTATACTTCATGATCTCAGTGGCAGGCTGATCGAAGCTCAGGCGGTCCTTCCACATCCTGAGAATGGATAGTGCACCATCGTGGTGCCGAAAACTTCGCGCATTGTTTCCCTGCGGATCGGCCTGTGTTGGTTCGTATACTGCATCTTCGTATCGACTCATGAAGAATATTGTGAGGAGACAAATGTCCGTGTTATGCACGACCAAAGAAGGCATAGAGATTCGTGCAAGTTGCAAAAGCCGGTGATAGGTCAAGGAGGCTTGCAGAGCAGCTGGTGGGTATTTCTGAGTCCGGGCGAAGATCGCCAGCGCCATGCAAGATACGGCGAGTTCGATGATCGGGCTGTCAATTTTCGAAACCCATGCAGTGAGATAGTCTTCCGAGATGGCTTTCAGGACCTTTGGCGTGCTTTTCGGCGCTTTCAAATAATGATGCATATAGTAGAGGATGGCCTGGGTCTTCAACTCCACCAGGTTGTCCGACATAGAAAGATCAAGACCGACAGCCGCTGGTTCCTTCAAGGACGAGCGAGGCCCTCTGGGACGCTTTCGCAGTCCGCTCGCATAAGAATTTTCATCATGGACTGCGGCCAGCGCTGTCATGCCATGACATAGCCTCCTAGACTTGAGGCATCTCTGGCATGTTGGCCGCGTTTCATCACACTGTGAGGGTTAACCTCTAAAGGCCCGAAAGTAAAGGTATGCCCACCTTAATCCGGCGGAACTTGCAGGTCTGACATCCTGCACTGGGAAAAGGCATGGAATTAGCGATTAGCTTCTGGACTCGAAGGTAGCACCCGAGTGATATTTTTCAGGCAGCAATTGCGCTTCAGAGCCATCATTCACCTTTGAGAGATGAGGTGGGAAGTTGGGCTTGCTAGAGAGAGGTGTTGTCAAGGAAAACAGTGTTTCTAACGGCGTTAAGCCCATGCCACCGCTTAATTCCGGAACACGTAATTTGACGAAATTTTGGCCGGTGACATCTTGTCCTCGCGATCCTCTGCAAAACTATGTCGACAAGTTTCCGACTTGCAACTCCACGGTATGGCGCCTTCCAGGATACATGGTACCGAGAACGAATATCTTAGGTCGTCCTCTGGAGATGAGTCTTCTATCGGCGATCAGGAATTCACAAATCCCGCACCGAAGCGCAGGCGCATTTCACGCGACAGCGACAGCGATGACGACGTCCTACAGACTGCCGTTCAGCCAACACGAATATCTCGAGTCAATAATCCAACATCTAGAATCGACCAACCCTCGTTACCGCCGAGTCGTTCGATCCCTACTACTTCCTCTACCTTTCAAGGCTTAAATGTGGCACCATGGCTTGTTCATTCTCTGGCTGCGATGGCTATCCAGCATCCTACCGACATTCAAAGAGCATGCATACCGGAAATACTGAAAGGAAGAGACTGTATAGGAGGATCAAGGACCGGTACCGGAAAGACGATCGCATTCGCAGTTCCGATATTGCAAAAGTGGGCTGAAGATCCGTTCGGCATATACGCTGTGGTCCTCACCCCGACTCGAGAACTCGCGCTACAAATCTACGAACAACTCCAGGCCCTAGGAGCACCGCAGGGCCTCAAGACCGTGCTAGTCACCGGCGGCAGTGACATGAGGCCTCAGGCGGTGGCTCTTGCCAAACGTCCTCACGTCGTTGTTGCGACACCTGGTCGATTGGCCCATCACATCCTGACTTCCGGCAAAGAAACTGTCATCGGACTCAAGCGCGCCAAAGCTGTTGTGCTTGATGAAGCCGACAGACTCCTTGCTCCTGGATCTGGGTCGATGTTGCCGGATCTCAACACCTGCCTGTCCGCCCTGCCACCATCGACATCTCGACTTACCCTCCTCTTCACGGCCACAGTTACCCCAGAAGTCCGTGCCTTGAAAGAATTGCCGCGACCGAACGATCGCCCTCCTGTCTTTGTCTCGGAAATCACAGACCTCTCCGACTTCTCGGTGGCGTCAAGCCTGCTACCGTCCAGCCTCCAGCAGACTTACCTACAAATCCCCATGGCTCAGAAGGACGCGTTTCTACACGTTCTGCTCTCAGTACCTTCTTTCACAAGAGCACCAGAACCCAGTATCATCGTCTTCGTCAATCGCACAACCATCGCTGACGTCTTGCACCGCACATTGCTACAACTCGACCACCCTGTTACCGCATTGCACTCGGAGCTGCCGCAAAGTCAACGAAATCGCAATCTTTCGGATTTTCGTGCCCAGAAAGCTCGCATCCTCATTGCGACGGACGTTGCATCACGAGGTCTCGACATCCCAGACGTCAATTTTGTCATCAATTACGATGTCCCTCGAAATCCGACAGATTACGTGCATCGGGTCGGACGTACCGCGAGAGCGGGCAGAAAAGGCACTAGCATTACCTTTGTCGGCCAGCGGGATGTGGCTGTTGTCCTGGCGATCGAAGAGTATGTGGGAGGCAAAATGATCGAGTGGACAGAGGAAGATGTCAACATTGAGTCGAGAGTGATCCGAGGCAGGACATTGAAGGACGTCGCCGAGGCGAAAATGGAGGCATTGCGAGGCTTGGAGGCTGGCAAAGATGTCAATGGCTGGAGAAGGAAGATCAAGAAGGACAGGAAACGTGTGTTGCAGGTCTGATTTGTTTCTGCAGCTACAGGATGTGAGCGAGATGACTTGTCGATTGCGGGAATTCCCATATGGCTTGACTTCGTGAATTGGAATACCATAAACTGGCAGAGACCGACTACGTACCATGTTCCCGCCCTCGGAGATATGCATAGATGTTGCTCCTCGAATGCTACGATGAGTACATAGAGAAGTGGTCTATTCCTTGTGTAGAGTACGATGCCCATTGGGTTGCGGATGACAGTGTTGAATTGCTGACTTAGCATGATGCCCTCCGATTGGCCACAGGAGGGGACACCTCCTGCGCGCCGCATTCATTCAAGTGTGGTCTGGCCGCCGTGTCTTCACAATTACTGCAATCCCTGAACCTCTCAAAATCTTTCAATTGGACTCTCATTCGATGGTCGCATGCCGTTGATGGCATTGAGGAGCCTCAAAATTGATCCCATTGGCCCTTGAATTCCCTGCGATCCCTATGAGTGACTGAAATATCAACGTGGCCCGCTCTCCCGGGTCAGCGCAGCAACATGACTTCCCGTGAGCAATAACACATGAAAAGCACTTTCAGCTGCTGACCATGCATCAGTCAAACAATTCATTCGCAATGTGCGAGCCTCCAAAACTATCGCCGACGAGAGAGCGGTTGTCCAAAAGGAAAGTGCCGCCATAAGAGCCAGTTTTCGTGAAGAGAGTCATGATTCGAACACCAGGTCATTACTCCAGCTATACTCTTACAGGGCGGGATCTGACAGAGAACAGGAGGAACAATGTCGCGAAGCTCCTATACCTTTTCACACTCGGTGAACGGACACATTTTGGCCAAATCGAATGTCTCAAACTGCTCGCTTCGCCTATATTCGCCGACAAGCGGCTGGGTTATCTTGGGACTATGTTGTTGCTGGACGAAAACCAAGAAGTACTCACGTTGGTAACGAACTCACTCAAGAAGTAAGCAGCCTCGTCTTGACACCCAACATTTCTGACTGGCAATAGTGACCTGAATCATTCCAATCAATACGTTGTAGGCCTCGCTCTCTGCACCCTTGGCAACATCGCTTCCATCGAGATGTCTCGAGACCTATTTCCGGAGATCGAGACCCTTATATCGACAGCAAATCCCTACATCCGTCGGAAAGCCGCTCTTTGCGCAATGAAAATATGTCGGAAAGTGCCAGACCTACAAGAACATTTCCTAGAAAAAGCAAAACTCCTGCTGCAGGACAGGAATCACGGAGTCTTGTTGTGCGGTATCACCTTGATCACCAGCATGTGTGAGGCGGACGAGGCAGAAGGAGGCGAAGAGGGCATCGTGGACATGTTCCGGCCTGTTGTGCCACATCTCGTGAGAACACTCAAGAGCCTGACCAGCTCCGGATACACTCCGGAGCATGATGTATCTGGCATAACGGACCCTTTCCTGCAAGTGAAAATCCTGCGATTGCTGAGAGTGCTTGGACGAGGGGATGCGGCGACAAGTGAACAGATGAACGACATTTTGGCACAAGTAGCCACCAACACCGAGTCCACCAAGAACGTTGGAAATGCAATCCTCTACGAGGCCGTTCTGACGATCCTTGATATCGAGGCCGATTCAGGATTGAGAGTATTGGGAGTCAATATCTTGGGTAAATTCCTCGCCAACAAAGACAACAATATCCGCTATGTCGCGCTCAACACATTGATAAAGGTGGTTGCCATCGAGCCGAATGCCGTTCAACGACACCGGAACACTATTCTGGAATGCTTGAGAGACCCAGACATCTCCATTCGCCGACGAGCGCTGGATCTGAGCTTCACATTGATCCGAGAAGACAACGTCAGGGTTCTCGTGCGAGAATTGCTCGCATTCCTGGAAGGCGCTGATAACGAGTTCAAATCTGTCATCACCACCCAGATTGGAATCGCCGCAGATCGCTTCGCGCCCAACAAACGGTGGCATATCGACACGATACTTAGGGTTATCAAGCTGGCTGGGAATTATGTTAAGGAGCAGATTTTGTCATCCTTCATCCGACTCATTGCTACATCACCCGACCAGCAGACTTATTCAGCACAGAAGTTGTACTCCGCCTTGAAAGCTGATATCACACAAGAAGCGTTAACGCTGGCTGGCGTCTGGGTCATTGGCGAGTATGGAGACGCGCTGCTCCGAGGAGGATCATATGAAGAGGAAGAATTGGTAAAAGAAGTCAGGGAAAGCGACATCGTTGACCTGTACTACACCATCCTCAACTCGACCTACGCAAACCAGGTCGTGACCGAATTCATCATTACCTCTGCCATGAAACTGACGACAAGAATGGCCGACCAGTCGCAGATTGAAAGAATACGCCGTCTGATGCAGTCGAGAACTTCCGATCTCAGCGTGGAGATCCAACAGCGGGCGGTCGAATACGGCAATCTCTTTGGCTATGACTCAATCAGACGAGGCGTTCTAGAGAAGATGCCGCCACCAGAGATCAAGGAAGAACAGCGCGTCCTTGGTCAAGCAACCACCCCAGCAAAGGACAAGAGGAAGTCATTGAAGACGAAAGCGAATGTCAAGGTTGCCAAGACCACGGAGGCAGACATGCTTCTCGATCTTATGGGCGGATCGGACATTCAAGCTGTGGACGCTAGCGCCACGCTCAATGGCCAGAAGCCAACCGCAGACCTCCTTGCCGATATTCTCGGGGGCGGTGCGTCAGTCTCGAGCCCTCCACCTCAGGCCAAAAGTCCAGTGCCCTCTAACAACGCTGATTCCATCATGGATTTATTCAGCAACGGGACAGCCAAGAGTGCTAGCCCGGCTCCTTCTGGGCAACAAGCACATCCAGCTTACAACAAGAATGAACTGTCAGTCTCGATTCAGGTTTCAAGAAGCGGTGCCGGGGTGCAGGCTCTTGCTCGCTTCAAGAATAACTCAGCCTTTGAAAGTATGACAGGGGTCGGGCTGCAAGCGGCCGTGCCAAAGAGTCAGAAATTGACTCTGCAAGCGATCAACAAGAGCACGCTTGAGGGCGGTGACGAAGCGACTCAAGCTATGAGAATTGTTCCTGCAACTGGGGTGAGTCGTCTGTCTCTGTTGGTTTTGTTTATGTTGCTTACACGACGACTAGTCTCTGCCTCCGAAGCTCCGATTGCGTCTGAAAATATCGTATGCGAAAGGCGGAGGAGCACCAATTACTGAGCAAGTTGATTGGGCAGAACCCTGAACTGCCACCTTTTCCGCTTAGCGGCCTTGTTCAGTCTGAAAATGATCCTGGTCATCGTCATCCTCGAGGACTCTGGCTGGAAGAGGCGGCCTTGGGCGGCATCCCCAGACTATATATTCCGTGCTCGAAAATACAATAGTGGCTGAAGTGGCCGAAGTGGCTGAACGGACGCAATGCGCTGAGGAAGCAGCCGGTACCAATCAACCCCCAGAACTCTCTAGGTCTCAGATTATTCCTACCGCTAAAGGGCATGAATGCATCCTGTTGTGTCTGTCTGCAGTCATGGGTATCTTTGCGGTCGTGTGTTGACACCAACCGCGGAAGACGGAAGGTTTTCCGCCCTTATCCCTTGTCGATCGCACGAGGAGAGGCTCTTTTCGATTCTCCTCACACGACGTTCAAGTCCTAAGACTCTGACAGTGTACTCCTTCTTTGGCCTTTCTCGATGGATAGCTCCCAATATGAAAAACCGTGCCAACTACTACACTAGCCGCATATTCCATCGTTGGTCTTGAAGAGACCTGTCAAAATTTCCATTTGTTTGATAAATGGGACATATAAAAGGGACGGGAGCCACAACATAGCAGTATTGCTCGACATCTGCACCTCAATTCCGTAATCATTCTCCAGCCACGATGCTGCTTTCACTGCTGATTTACTCGATACCTGCGATCCTTGCCTTTTCTCTTTGGAAGAACTATTTCTCCTTGAGATACATTCCCGGACCATTCGCCGCTCGACTCACAGATTTATATCGTGCTCTACTGGTCTACAAGCGCGATCCGCACGAAGTCCATCTCACACTGCACAAGCGCTATGGCAACGTCGTCCGGCTGGGCCCCAATTGCGTTTCCGTCACTGGATCCTCAGCCTACATCCCGCAAATCTACGGCATCGGCAAAGGCCTAGTCAAGTCGGACTTTTACAGTGTGTTTCAGAACATTGTGAACGGCCGTAGGGCAGCCAGTCTAGTGGCGGAGACCGACGAGAGCGCACACGCGAAGTCAAAACGGCTAATTGCACATGCTTACTCGCTTAGCACGCTAGTCGAGTACGAGAGTCTAGTTGATCGGACAACGGAGGTCTTTCTGGACATACTCGAGTCGCGGTTCGCAGTTAGCAGCAAGTCGCCTGGCAAGCTACTCGATCTCGGACGTTATCTCCAGTTCTACGCATTCGATGTCATCGGCCAACTCACTTTCAGTCGGCGGCTGGGTTTCATCGAGTCCGGCACAGACGTGGATGGTATCATCGAAGCTATTGGAGCAAACTTCTCCTATTTCAGTGTGCTAGGACAAATCCCATGGCTCGACGAGGCTGTTTTGGGCAAGAATCCAATTTATGTGAAGTATTTCCGTAAGAGCGTGAGCTCGCCCATTCTGATCTTTGCGCAAGGACTGCTCAAAGAGCGATTGAAAGACCTCGCGCAAAGTGGCGGAGAAGAGAAAGAGAACGCTCTTAACAGGCCGGACTTCCTCAGCAGATTCCTTAAAGTCAGGAAGGAGTTGGCAGATGGAGATGAAGCCTTAACGGATGCACAGATTCTATCATATCTCTTTGTGAGTACACTTCCTGCCCAGCTAGCTTGTCGTCCTGTCATAAGGGCTCTACAGTGCTGAGACATCGACAGATGAACATCAACGCCGGAAGCGACACTATTGCATCTACACTCCGAGCAATCTTCTACCACCTTCTCAAAACCCCCGAATCTCTTGCTCAACTCGTAGAAGAGCTTGACTCTGTCGCGAGGCAGAGAAAAATCTCTAGACCCTGTCCTACATGGACTGAAACACAGCACAATCTCCCATACCTCTGCGCTGTCATCAAGGAGGGAATGAGGATGAACCCCGCGCTTTCGCTACCGCTCGAACGTGTCGTACCGAAGGATGGATTGGTTTTGCAGCACGAAGACGGAACCCATACGTATTTCCCGCCCGGGACTATCCTAGGTATAAATCCATGGGTCTTCCATAGATGTCCCCATGTGTTTGGACCTGATGCCGAGAGATGGAATCCGAGCCGATGGCTGGGTGAGAAAGAGAAAGAGACGAAGAGCATGGAACACAGCATCTTGTCTTTCGGGGCGGGTAAGAGATCATGTCTGGGCAAGAACATCGCTCTACTGGAGTTGCACAAGCTGGTTCCAGCCTTGCTCTTGAAATTCAAGATCGAATTGGCCAATCCCAGAAAAGAATGGACGGTGGAGAATGTTTGGGCGTTGAATCAGACAGGCATCGAAGTCAATTTGACAGTGCGATAATGATACAAGTACACAGAATCTTTCCATATAAAGTCAACATGGACATGAGGAATTGATCGACCATCACCACGGTGGAGGGCTTGCTTCGATAACTTCGACCAACACTTTCAGGGAACGCCAGATGTCGTCATCCCACAGTCCTCTCAATGCCTCTATCAGCCACTTGCCAATGACTCCTATACTTGCGTGAATTGCAGCTGCCCTCATCCTCAGAGCATATTCATCCAGGCGAATTGGCCTTGTATCCGGAAGGTCAATGCCGAGCATCACTCTAGCTTTGTCTGGGATTCGGTAGGGAGTCTCATCGCACTCCGCCGGTCGGGTCCAGTACCGCTCCATGGGCGTTGATTGTTCTTCGAGTCGTGCGAAATATGCGTCCACAAGGATCCATGCTGTTAGGGCAGACAGCAGCAGGGGCGGCGCTGTCGGGAAGATCTTCTGAAGAGCGTCGATATATGTCTTGTCAGCTACATGCGGACAACGAATATCGAGAATAGGCACCGAATCAAGCCGCAACATGCCGTCGGGGAAATTGTCGATGGCTCTGGTGACGGCTTTTAGCACTCTTTCCATCTTGCGGCATCTTGACCATGTGGCCACGTGGCTTGTCGGGGACGGAGCCAAAGGAGATTCGGGCACTCCAAATCCATGTCTTATGGTCCATTTCGGGTCAGCAGACATTGAGGCGCGAGAACTTCTTGATCTCCTCGGCGATATTCCGAACGGGTCAGTCAAGTTATGCAGTCGTCGCAAGGTGGCGCTTATCATGCTGCTATCCGACGGGTTCGACAAGGTCCGCGTCGGGAGAGTGAGCGGCTCAGGTAAAAGGCTTGGCCGCAAAGATATGAGGGTGGGTTCGGGAGGATTAGCGCAAGTTGTTTCATTCGGACAAGAATCGATCTCGGGCATATCACCTGGAGTATCATAAGGGCTGAATGCAGATACCTCGATAGGCGCATATACCGGCGTGGATGGGACAGACTGAAGTTCAAGTGGAGATGCTAGCTTTGATTGACTCGATGGAGGACGGTGGATTTGGATGATTTTTGGCTTTCCAGGTCCAACCAACACTGTGGCAACCATCTGCAGTTGTCAGCTCAGGGCAAACCGGACCTTCTGCTCAGACTCACCACCTGATCTTCTCTTTGTCCGTCTTGAAGGTCAATACAGGGATGCTCCACAACCTGATAGAACCTTGCTTTGAATCGCCTGCGTCTTTCCTGGTGGGAAGTCGTATTTGCCAGCCAGCCAGACTCATCTGCACAGAGAACATCTCGGAATTCCTGATCAATAGGGGTGGCGGGAGAAGATTCAGACGCTGTACTCTCTTCGAGATCATGGCTGTCGTCGACAGCGGGCCAATGCAAAGAGTGCTGCTCCCCTTCACTGTCAGACTTTTCATTGCTGCAGTAGTATGACAATATCTGCAAATTATCGATCGATCCGTTATTGGAAGTCCGGCTATGGCTTCGAGGATTGTGAAACTTGAAGTATGACCGTCCTTCATCTTCAAGTTCGCCCGTGATGGGACTCGGGAGTAGAGGTGTGATGGGGCTGCCACCCTGTTGTTGAGCAAGACCACGAAGGTCGTTGTAGCTGGTCGGCATTCTTCGCAAGCCAGACAAGCACCCCGGGGCAGGCGAGTCCTCTTCGCTCACAGAGGGAGAATGAGGAAGTAGCAATGGGAATGGAGCCTTCATCTCAACAACAGAGGGTCTGGTTGACATGCTGCGGTACCTGTCCGGAACACCCCCGTTCTTCAATTGCACCGAGCGTGATTGCTGGAGGAGCTTAGACAATTGCAGGCGAACACGATTTCGCGCAGGCAGGAGAGGAGGCGAGGATGGAGGTGTAATTTGTCCTTCGGTCATACAATGAGTGAGGCGGAATGGTGGCCAACCTTGGTGAGATGCCATCTCTCCTAAAGCGCCAAATTGTTCCATTGTCCTCGTGTGGCATTAGTCAAGTAAGTACAGAGCGATGAATTATCGACAGAGGGCGACTGAGACACAATCAGGAGAACTGACTCAATAAAGAGCATGGAGCGCGTGTTGCAGATCCAACTGTCGTGGCGTTTGTGCAGCGGACTCGTGCGACCGGCCGCTTGTCTGAGACCAGACGCATCTTTGCCCTTGCATGTCCGGTTGAGGATCAGACACATGTGTAGCACGGGAACGTCCCCCCACTGTGTGGAAGGCATAGCCAGCCATCTCGAGGCGTGCAAACTGTGGGAAATTCACCCCCTTGCTTCGAGATCATATTGGCACTTGCCTTGGCACTTTCCCACAGCAAGAAAGGGTCAAGACTGTAGCACTGCAGGTTGGCTCGCCGAGATTGAAAGGAGAAGTGCAGACTTTAATTGTCATGCCTTACATGACGGAAGCACAGAACTGATCTTGTGTTGCGGAACATCCTGGCTGAGTACTGCCGACATCAAATTAACCTCTGGAAAGGGGTAACCGTATCGTAGATCATGTGTCCGCCAGACTTTGCTTCAGGATTACTGGTATTGATCTTTGGTTCTCGGGAATAATTATCTAGGCCCAGGGGTTCACAGATTTGGCCGACTGAGTAGTTAGCCAGGAAGGCGCTCGGCTCAAAGGGACACGGCGTTTGGTTTCGAGAGTGGACTGCGGTCGGTCACGAGCAGCCGAAACGGCGATGCCACGCATTCAGGAGGGAATGGGAGAAAACAAGTTCCGTCTCCTGGGATCTCGGCAAGAAAATGAGATATCATCTACATGTGTTCAATCGGCTCCTCAGGGAGAAGCCCACCATGCTCTTCTGCCTCGTGCTCCCTTCGTGGCAGCAGAGCTTTGATTGGTGGTCTCACAAGATCATTGAACATGAATGTGCCGTAGACAAGCTAAGGATGATGTAAGTATCTGCAGCGAAGCGTGAGAATATGAGGACCTACCAGAGCAAAGCCGACGACTTGAAGCCATTTGAATGTCTCCCAGCCCAGCCCAAGAGAGACAATCCAGATAAACAATGTCCGACAGGTATCGATGATCGAGCGGGATGTCGCAGAGATGCTTCTTGTCACAGATAGACCAAAAAAATTGAAGCCACCGATTGAAACCATGATAGCAAGGCTTGAGATACCAATCGCCCTGTTTGTGATGATTTGACGATATCCCTCCGCAGCGTCGAAGTAGCCATATCGTCCACTTTTTGTGACCCCGACTGTGAAGTGCAGGATGATTTGCAAAACGACCGTGACGATGAAGCCGAACAGCCCTTCCCATGCCACGACTTTTAGCGGTTCGAGTGCGTAATTCTCCAGAATCCACTCTTCCAAGCAGAATTGCGTTGCTGTAAAGACCTGCGCAAAGGCAATGAGAAAGATACCAAGGATGGCCCGGAGCACTTCTGCGTCAGCAGCTTGAGCGACCAAGTCTCGGGCTGCAAGCAATACGTCGTGCAAGTCCTGAGCAACATCATTCGAGGTGGGCGAGTTCTTCTCACTCGAATGAAGTATTCCCGCAAGGCCGACCATGGCAACACCCAAGACCACAATGACCAGAGACAGCCAGTGATATAGATACAACTTTCTCTTGAGAAACAAGACGCTGAAAAGACCAACGAACAATACCAATGCGCCTCTTGTCATTTGATATATTGAGGCCGCCACGAACAACAGGCCAACATTCATGAGTGTTGTTCCGGCAATGTCGCAGCACGCCGGCAGGCCTAGCAGCACAACTTTCCAGCCTGTAAGTGGGCTCCGATCGTCTGCGTTGGGCAGGAGAGGTTTGAGGGCAGGGCTTGAAGCACTTCTGGAGGTTGGACGGACAGTATCGTCGTCGTCATCGTTTTCTTCAGTCTCTTCGGTGTTCACGGGTCGGTAGAGCAGCGGCGTTTCGCGGGAGAGGATCAAGTAGCGGTAAAGCCAGAACCCGGCGATGACGAGCCAGCTGCCCATCTCGCCGATGAACATTTGCACCCTAAGTCAACGTTAGCCATCACGAACATCAACAAGCGAGATGCTTACGTCTGAATGACCGGCTGCTCGAAGTTCTTGCGATGCCGGCTATTTTTGTCGCCACAATTCCGTATACATTGTTGATCCTGGTATTTTGTGAGAATTGTATTGGCGCATCCGGTCAACAGCATCATCCCTATCAGGAACGGGATGATTGCTTTGGGTGCCATGGTGGAAAGATCGCGTGCTCGGGTGACGGGTCACCTGGTCTGTACCGCTGTCGATAAAGTACTTATCCAGGTAAGCTGAAGGGGAAATTCTTAGATAATGGTGAAGAGGGCGTAGATGCTGCACTCTCAAACATCAGCCAGTGCTCCGTATGGCTTCTGTAGAATGCAGCCGTTCGATGCGGAATGAGCAGACCGTAGGAGATGGATGTCAGGAAAGGTCCGGGTTTGTCCAGCAAAGGCCCGCCCAAGGGTCAAGTCAGCCTCGTTGGTGGGAAGGTTGCCTATGTCGAGCCCGTGGGTGCGTGTCGGTCAAAGCCGAAGTGGCCAGTGCAATTACCCATGACGACCCATGATAATCCATGATGACCCCATCATTATCAGATATGCCTAGGTAATTCCAACCGTAAACAAAGCAATTCAAGAGACACATCCGGAGACCATAGCCGCTTGTTCCATCCCGTACAAGATGGTGGTTGACATGTATTCTCCAGGTGCTGGAATATGGCATATTCCTGCCATCGTCTCGCATTCCTGCCTCGCTACTGATACAGTTGCGGTCGCATCAATGTCACGATGCTCCCGCTCACATGTTCCCCTCCCGTCCGCTCAGAAGCCCGTCTATCTACCCACTCATATCCCTTTGCACATAGCCTGCTCAAAGCCATAATTTCATAAACAAACGCTACGCTGAGACCTGATTGAAATAGGTGGGTATCTGTACAATTGCTTCGTACTCTCGTGTCCATGGTGTGATATAATAGCCCTTTCCAGCCTACTTCAACCCGTCGAGTAGACCCTGCTCGGCCTTCGTACGCTTGACAGGCTGCCACTTCGACTCCTACGTCTTCTTCTACTGCCATTGCTGCGCACCTTTCGTTCCACAACCACTTCTTCTCGTCCCACCCTCCGGTTGTTGTTGTTCAATGAGTTGAAGAGATAAATCAGCAGAATTGTCCCGAAAAAGGTCCCAAGAATGGCGCCTGCAAGGGTCCCCCCGGAATATTGCCCTGAGCATGTGGGAGACGAGTTGGTTACGATGGTTGTTGTCGCTTGACGAGCAACGAGCACGGGCGTTGCGGGGAGAAGCGCAGAAACGACGCTCGGAAGAGGGGACTGTCAAAAAAGCATGAGCAACTAAAGACTCGAGGAAGGGGACAACGCGCCTACCATTTCAATCCTATCTTCACCGGATAGTCTTAGATCTTGGATGCGCTGCTGTGCTGAAGAGAAATTTCCTGTCGAATAGGTGGTGTTTACTTGATTGCGCTCGTTGCAATACCAAACCCATCCGTACGCGCTTATTGAGCAGGTACCTCTGGAGACAACCTCAAGACCAGTCGCAAGAGCAGAAGATACTCAACTTATTGGCGTCCAAGTAACTCGAGAATGCGCAAAGGGAGCCGGGAAAAGAACCAACAAGATGGCGCAAATGCGAGGGCGAAGGAAAGCGGAAGCAGTTTGTTGTTGGCAGCATCGGCAGTCTCATCATGTGGTGATGGTCAGTTTTAGGCTGGCTAGGTGCAGGAACGCAGGCCTCGGGGTTCATACTTTGACGTCAGATGCAGCCAACCACCAAGGAATTTTAGGCCAGCACCCACTTCTGGGGCCTTCCATTCGGCATTCGGTTGTACCTTGAACTCTCAGATCGCATAACTTTGGAACCAGGAATATCCTGACATCTAACCTGCTAGATTGCTACGTGCGGCTTGTTAATCCGGGAGAGCACTATTATAAGGTATGTTTAGATCCTCACTTCCCACAGTTCGACGTCACACCCCGATTCATGCTCGCAACGCGAATTGCTGAATACAATATCAAGACACCAGAGCAATGGCTCTTTCAGGTAGATGCACATCCACATGTTGCAAAGCTTCAGGGCATCGTACCCCAGTGAGGGCTGTTCCCTCCTAAAAGCATTGCCGGTTCGTCGCCAACCGAAGTGTAAGAAACTTCATGCCTGCGCGTACTGCAGAGTTTCTGATATCCTCTCGTCGTCCCCGATAAACTGGCAAAAGTATGACCATGCTCCACGCCACACATGGGCTGCTGACCCGGCCTTAAAACTGCCTGGGTTTGTTTCAGGCACCTCCGGGTCGGTTAATATGGCCTGAGACGCGTCGGCTTGCCGAGTATTAGCGTACACAGTCAATGCGAGCTTTGCGAGCCGTAGCCAGCAGCCTCAGCTGAAACCGCGTGGCCGGAACACTGAGTATAGATTTCGAGTCGCTCGTTGAAGGAAATCCCGGCTATACCTTGTCGGTCGGGAAGGGAGCGAGGGATACTGCTAAGGACTCACCACCTGTGTCGATGCGTGATTGAATCGGAGGAAGTCCCGACAGGCAGTGATTCCAGGCGTGACGATCCATGAACCAGAACTCAACAATTCATTTACTCCTTTGACAATACCCTGCCAAGCTTGAGATCTTCCAGACTGTTTCGTCGACCCCAGTTCTTGGGTTGCCGCTTCAGAAAAGCTCCGACTGCGCCGAGATAACCCTCATGGCGGAGGAAATATGCTTGTTTTTCGCTTTTCGACCAGAATCTGATGGCGTAAGAGAGAGTATTCATGGTCTGAGTATGGCCACGAATGAAAGACCCTCCAAAGTATATGTGCTTGAGGTTATGTTTTTCAGACTGTAAATATGCAATCTGCCCGATGTTGTTGGATATGGCATATAGCAAACTTCGCGCCATGTCTTCAATCTTGAAGCCTTGCACGCGACCGTCGCCATCGCCATGCGGGTCGCCGTTCGACAGTCCTTCCCCGTCTTCAGCATTTCTCTCCGCAAGCCGCTTCATCCGGAACACTTTGCCAAATGTACTCGCAATCGTTGTGGCTTTCAAGCCAATCTTACCGTACCCAGTGCCATATATATCGCCAACAAGCATGTCCACGCCGCTGTTGTCACCCTTTTCCGCCAAAGCAAGCATTTCATCAAAGGTTCGAGCACCCGTCAATAGAGACAGAATCCCCCAGAACGTACCTCCTCCTAGGGATGTTCCGCCTACGCGCTGAAATTCTCCAGGACCGGACACTTTCACCATAGAGACTCCGGAGCCGATATTGACGAGGAGGTACGGGTATACATCTGCGCGGGCCTCGACAAATTGGATCGGTTCGTCTTCGCTGTATGTAAAGACTTCGTGTGGTATTTCGGTAATAAAGAAGTCCAGCCCTATTCACCAAGCAATTAGCGAGACCCTCACCTGACGGCTGCAGAGCTCACCGATAATGAGACATTCCATCTCGTCCTCCTGGATGACATCCACATGCAGCACCTCTTTCATCTTGTGATAGAACTTGAACGCCCCTCCCCCAGTTGCCATCACGCATAGTTGCTGCGGGGTCGAGCCATTCAGTTTGGATTGTGTATGTTTCAATTCCTGGATAAAGTCGATGCAGAGATCGATGCGATCGGTTTCGAAGTTAACGAAATTCAGGCGACCGCCGCCATGGGTCGAACCAGGTTCGCGGGAGAAGTATACAAGTTTCGCTAATGATCCGCCAATCTAGAATATTGTTAGTAGATTGATAGCGATTTTGGGCCAGAAACGTACATCGACTGCGACATGACTGACAACATCGGTATGGTGAGGCAGTCGAATGTCCTTGTGCTCCCAATGGACAAACTCGCTCCCTGCGCCGTTCCTGCCATTGGTCTCATCGTCCACGATGAATGCGCCCTCGACATTTATTTTGACGGATGCAGGGAGAGGAGGCGCGCGAGGTGGACGACCAGGAGCATCGCCGTCGGCTATGGCAAATGTGTCTTCGACGTCCGCGTTCGCCAGTACCCTCTCCGAGGCCGACATTGTAGGCAGTCTCTGTTAAGACAGAGAGTCGTCCATAAAGCCACCAAGAAAGTCGTTGCCCGAGTCACAGGCACAGAAAGAGACTTGAATTCACCAGCTGCACGAATCCATTGAATGTGTTTGCATAATCGTCGCAGATCCGGCTGACCGAGAATCGTCCACTTCGGTCGCTTCAACCTGTTCAGAGATTCGGCGTCACAAAAAAAAATACTGCTCAACGGACCGATTAATTCGGTTGTGGGACGACACCTACTACGACCTACGGACCTCGGGACTTTCCATTATGATTTATTCGCACTATTATTCGGTCCCCTAGAATCTGTTCAGTAACTCCCCGCTTTGCTTGCCGCGGGGTTCGAGATCTCAATTTGCTCCAGCATTGCCGCTTTTCGGACAGCGATGTAGGTTCGTGCATACCTAGTTACCTTAGGTATGCAACCGTAACAACCAGAAGTGATCAACAGTATTATGGTGACGTTGCAGGTCTGCGTCCCCGATATCAGGTCTATGAGCGGAGCACTGTATGTCCAAGTGTGTCATGAGTCCAACACCGTGAAGAGAGCACCACAAGGGAGAAAGAGTATGACATGCGAATATCCAGGCGCGAGAGTTTTTTGTTTCTTTTTTCTTTTTTCCAAGTACAACTCTCAAAAAGCAGACTTTCTGCATTCATTCGCCTAACCAGTTGACCCGTCCAAGGACACGGAGCTATGCTCGACCCATGCTGTTGAGGCTTGTCCATCAGATCTTGCCATCTGCTAACCAGAAACCCATGCGTTGTCCCTTGGTTTATTACCAGCCTGTTCTGAGCTTGCTACCATCCGCCGGACACTCAATGCTTCACCCAAGGTTTCCAAGAGAAATCCATACAGGGTCCCAAGTATGAGGAGAGTAAGAGACAGTGGTACCGTGGTATCAGAACCACTGCTTGTTGGTCGTGACGTGGTGCTTGCAATCGGAGGAACTGTTGTCGCAGTGCCCACGAGCGTCGCCTGGGCGCATTGACCTGGAGTCAATCCCTGTCCTCTGTCAGCCATCGAGCTTTAGGACCACGTGCGAGTATTGATAGCGCTGGGCGGGCGGACTGCATACAATTTCACAGCATCGACTTGCAGCAACACCAGTGCCGCACTCCAGACCTCCTGAGCATATTCCTAACGGCGATGTCAGCCAATCTCTCGGGCTCGCCAAGCCAAGTGCAGAATTACCACTGCCGTCTATGCAGCAAGTGTCGCCAGCTGTGAGGTTGACGCAACCTGCTGCCGCCAGGTAGATGCAGAGATCACTACCAGACGGACAAGTGAGCATGGTCTCACGACGGGCATGATCAGCAGTACCGAGAGAAAAGACAAAGTAGCGGCGATCAAGGAGGAGGAAGAAAAGGAGTTGCAGAATGCTTTTCAGCTCCATATTGAGCCGGTTTTCGCTGGGTGAATACTGTTTGCGTCTGGAGAAGACAGATTGAAAGCTTGATGATCGGCAGGTTCTGGTTTTTATCGTCCCATTCTTTCCATTAGAAAATAACGAAGCAGAGTCAAGGAACCACTTTTTATCTGGTACCGAGACAAGAACAGAGACATTGGAAGCAACACGGCGAGCAAATGGTGGGAGTGTTCCCGAGACCGTCAAGCTGATACTTGATTTGCCTCGCCACTGGCGTCAGCCATGCCGAAAGGACAAAGCCAGATACGGAAGAAATGAAATTCTTCATGACTTTTGTGATCTTCAATCGGTGCCTGCAATCAGCACCCTACAAGTGTTGGCACAATTCATTTCTTCAGGGTGCCAGCAGCCGAACCTCGGGATAGAGAACCCGCGGCGTTGCTGCATTTGCAGAGGCCATGTTCTGCGCAGTGAATGTTTTCGTTGTTTTTTCTGATGAATCCCAAAGATCTCAATCATGTGTTCAGCGGCCCAGGCGGACCGGGGTGTTGAACTGCACTTGATTGCTGCTTGTGTGGGTAGTGTATGAACCGAGCTTGAAGCTCTGGCATTAAATACATGTTCTGACGGGCCACTTCCGTCAGACAAAGAGGAATCAGCTCTTCTTTCAAAATCTTTCACTCCATTGGAAGCCTAGAAACCTCGCTGAATTCCAGTTCTAAGCAATCCAAGCAACTCTGCCGCTTAATCAGATACTCATTCAAGGCCCAAAATCCTGCTTGCTCGTCCAATCTCTTGGGGCCCTTGCAGTCGAAAACAAAGGGGTCTGATAAGCCGCAGAGCTGCGAACCTCTGAAATCGATCTTCCATCCACGACGAGTACCATCATCTGATGCGATCAAGCTTAAAGCATCGGACCCTTGCCGGCGACGCCAGGGACCCAAAGATTCAGCTTCTCGTGTTGATGCCTAGCAAATAAGCGCTGGACCTGGAGGTATGCTAATCGTTTTGGGCATCCAGGCTCAAGAATTGGAAAGTTTATCGTCATCTGTTCCGCCGGCTATCGCGTACAATGTCTGAGTCGGCGGTAGCAGAATCTGCGTATTATCATACCCTGAACGCTCGTCCTTACCTTTACCCTGTCGACTCCCGAGACAAGAGGCTACAAAAGGTTGTGGCACGTCTGTTGGAGCTGCCGGCAGAGATTCGTCGGAAGATCTTCGAGGACGCATTTAACGCCAATCGTGTCGCCGTGACTGCTAAATCCGGCTGTTACTGCTTCTCCGATGCGACCGGCCCATATCATGCAGAGCATCAATGGCTGGTAAGAGCCGACTTGCCAGATCAGGTGCGGCAGGAAGCACAGCGTGTCTTTGTGGAGACTGCGATGTGGGAATTGCACTGTCAGCAAGCGTTCACTGCTTTTGTGAGCAGAATGACTGCGCTGCACACTCTGAACAACGTCCGCCATGTTCGAATGAATGTCTTTGAGATCGAATCGCAATGGAAGCTGAACCTGGAATATTTCCCCAAATTACTAACGGCAACCTTTTCTCCCTGGCAGAAGGGCTGGACAATTGATGTCCCCGAGCAAGCAGATTCCGAACTACTGTCGGATGTAAATGTCATGGACAGGGTATGGCGTGTCCTTGAGTCCAAAGAGGGCTACGGGCCAGTCAGGGATACTTTCAAGCAGCCACGGAGGTACAGAATTCACTTTGTCTTTCCAATTCGCTATCTCTTACCTGGAAAGACGGGCTTTGGGTCGCCGCTGTGGCAGTTGAGTGTTTGGCGGGCCAATTTAGATACAGGAATGATCGAGCGAAATTGGCGGGAGGTACATCTGGTACAGGAAGCAACGTTGGACTGAGGGGAAAGTGCAAATCCTGGGAAGGTACCACCATCCTAGAAGATCCTGCTTCTCCTTCACAACAAGTATGTCTCGGATATCAGTGGTACGCAGTAGACGACATTGCACTTCTCAGAAAGGAGGCTGCACCCCTCATGCAAAGTAGAAGATGGGCAATTTGCTTGTGAATTAACTTCCATGTTCTTTCCACCAGATCCCCATTCGTGGTTTCAAAGTACTTCCAGGATCCAGCCCATCACCTCCTCTTCCCCAAACCTCAACCTCACTCAATTCCGTATTCTGTCTGCAAAGATCGACTCTCATCCAAATACACATTTCCACTGGCTCAAGCAAGTCTGTCTAGGTTTTTGTCCAGTCTCCAAGCACCATGCCGCAATCGTCGAATCCCGGGAAAGAGGAATCCGGCAAGGAAATGGGTTTCAATGAAATGGTCAGAGCTGCAGGCTTTACCTCCTTCAATCAATTCCTGCTCTCCTACAACCTTCGAGTGTACAATGATGAAGGCGTCCAAGAAGGCAAGGCTATTCTGAAAGTTCTTTTCGACAAGAAATAAATAGGTATGTCATATGTTCACTGAGGATCTCGGTCTCGGTCTCTTCAGACTGATCACGGCCAGGTCAGATCCTGCCGCCGAAACCGCTACATCCATCGATCCCCAAAATGTTGGCTGGTACTGAAATGGAAAAGAAGAAGCCAGCCAGCTGAGGATCTGGCAAGCGCTATCTGGGAATGCCAACGCACAGGCCAGCATATCATACGTAGTACACCGACACGGGCACATATGGTCCTTCTTTCATAGACGAATTACCAGTCTTGAAACATTGACAAACTCCACCTGCAATTAAAATGCGGGGGAAATTTTCTGCCGGTTCCTGCATTAGTTGACATCTTTGCCGTGAATTGTCCTCACGTATTTGCAACTTCTTTTACCCCTTCGTATCTGCCCTCCATAATGTGAACACGACTTCACGCCCGGCCTATTCATTACCATGGCGAGAACGAAAATGGCAGCCCGTAAACATGGTGGCAACAAGCGAAAACTTGACGTGACCGCAGATGCTGAAAGTGATCGTCCTGCGAAGCGACCTACCTCGAAATCTGCGGCTCAGTCCAGGCAAACCGACCTCGACGAGACCATCGCAATGATGGATTCTGCTTTACTTGCGGATCACTTCGCAAAGTGCATTCGAAAATTTTTCCCAAATAGCAGTTCTATCGAGTTGGAGGAACAATATCTCCCAACGAAGTCCTTCCGCAATACCACGGCCTTCGACAAACCCCACGTTGGCACGAAGCTATCAGAGTTCCTCGAAAAATTTGCAGAGAATGGCAAAGCAGAGCTTTCCACGTGCGATGAGGAGGCAGCTCCTCATACACTTATAATAGCGCCTTCAGGGATCCGGACTGCCGACCTCAACAGAGAACTGCGCGTCTTCAACACCGAGGGGTCCAAGGTCGCCAAACTTATCGCAAAGCACATGAAACTGCAAGAGAATATCGATTATATGCGAAAGAACAAGGTCGGGATTGCCGTGGGCACCCCTAGAAGGGTCAAGGATTTGATCGACGCGGACGCAATGAAGATCAGCGGCATACGACGCATTGTCGTGGATGGATCGTACAGAGATGAGAAGAAGAGAAGTATTTTCGAAATGGAAGACCTTTTTCGACCGTTGTTGGCACTGCTCAACAAGGAACAGATTCGGAAGCGATATGGTGCGGAAGAAGACAAGGTCGAGATTCTGGTGTTTTGAGCTGCTGCAACAAAAGAGATTGAGTATGAGATACTCTACACCACAAATGGCACGCGGCACAGCATACGAATATGGACGAAGGCCAAGTTATACGAGGGCATCAGCTAGATTCCAAAGCAAAGGGCTCCGACTCCTCATGTCTGCTGACTCGTGTCTGATGAGTCGCTTGGGGCTTAGAACGATTGTCTTGCTGGGTCCGATCAAGATCGTTGGTGTGAACATTGCAGCAACACAGCACGATCCTCGTTCCTTGAACTCCACGGGCTCATGTAGCCAACCTATACGCGTCAGGCACCAATGAAAGTCGAAGTGTGAAAGGCCTGATCGGAGTAACTGAGATTTGGTTGACTCGGTAGAAGCAGGATATTGAAGATTCGTGGAAGCGAAGATAATATCATGGCTCCTGGAGATACCTAGGTATTCGCGCCTGAAAGCAACGCTCCTGCAATTGAAGGCAGCTCTCGACACCGCTGGACGAGTCTACTCCGAACAGCTATTTTCGAAGCGTTCTGGATGTGAGCCTTCACTCAGAATCACTCAAAGGGGCCTAGAGTTGACAGTAGACCGACCGGAACTGGGCCACATGCCGTGGTCAAACTCCTCAACCCTGTGAAGTACTACCTCCGGATTCCATTTCTGACTCACAAAGGGACTGCTAGGATCCACGCGCGTTGTGACAGACAACTTGTTGGGTTCGTGCTCAGCGTTAGTCAAAAGCACCACCGACGAGTATTTCACCGCCAGCAAGCCGCATTTCTGTGCAAGTCACGGCCTGTTACATAGTCACCCAACTCAGCAAATGCGGGGTTCTGAATGTGCCTCTACTCGTTCAGGAAGAATCTCATGGTTATGCACTCGATGTCATCACAAACTTTGGTGACATCCTCTGCACCATATCTGGTTGCCTTTACAAAGTGAATCGTTGATGATTATTGAAGTTGGCACCTGGTTGGGAGGTTGGAACACCGTACGGAGGCGTGCACCAAATGTAGTTGCCGCGCTAAGATCGAATGACGAAGGATCACAACCTGACATGAGATTTTCTTTTGCTCTAGGCAGCCTTAACTAAAGTCTTAACTGAAGGTAATCCACTTAGGTGCCTTAATGGTAAAGGATAGGCGAGAGTTAGGGGCCGAGAATCGAGGTCCGATATCTCCGGGGACAGTTGTCCGGAGCAACGGAAAAGAAAATAAATGGTCTTTTGACGTCCTCGTCATTCAACTTTAGCGCGGCAACTACATTTGGTGCACGCCTCCGTAGGGAGCCTACCAATCGGCAGCCTGTACAAGCCTTTAAGCGACTGTTTCACAGTGCCTCGTGAGCTGACATGCCAGTGCATGCCTAAATTCTCCGCATCCTTGTTCCTTATTATTAGGTGGCCGTGAGTGGCATCGCACATGGGTTGGAGTACAAGTAACTTGTCTAAGATCCACACCTGCCACCAAATGTGCAAACTATCACAGTACAAACTGCCATCCGGGCGCAGATGGATTCTACCGTCATTTCCCACCTCTTATCTTTCTGCAGCATCTGTAAACCTTCACCTTGCGTCGGTACGCTGTCATGAGTGTAACTTGATTTGATGCTCTTGTTGTCGATGGTCTACTACCACCTTGCCTTTCAGTCTCTCCATACGTAGTCCCTCGTCACATTTGAGCTGCATCACGGGCGCAATCCGAATCTCTATGCTTTCCGTCGTCCCATTGAGTTGAGCTCTAGGACTTCCGTTCACCAGGATGTCCTACCAATCGTTCCTGAGAGCGACTTCCAATTCCAATCCCGGTGTCAAGACCCCTTCACCAAATTCAGTCCACCGGAAGCCTGCCGCAACACCGAGTCCAGCACCTCCATCTATATCGTCGTCTGTACATACGACTATAACCCACAATCACTCTCCAAGCACCGCCTCCAATGGCCCATATACTCCTGTCTCTTCTGCTCCTTCACCAACCTCCACCTCCAGACCGCGGACGCAATCCGCCGCAGGCGCTCCCACAGCTCAGCCAGCTCAACCACAGCTTACACCTTTGACAAAAGCACAAGTTGATGCCGGCTTGAAAGCCTGTCTAGATCTGCAGAATACCGCCACAAGATTTCACGAAAAGCGGCCATTCGCGGCTCTGCTGCTAGCGCCTGACAATACCACGATCCTGCTAACGCACTACTCCATCTCCCACGTCCAACACGCAGAGACCGAGCTTGCGCGGCTGGCATCTATACACTTCTCGCAGAGGTACTTGGCTGCGTGCACTCTGGTCTCAACGTGGGAGCCCTGCGCAATGTGCACGGGCACGTTGTATTGGAGCAATATTGGGCGGCTTGTCTATGCGGCCAGCGAGGAGAAACTCAATGAGCTGACTGGCGGGAACAACAATGAAAACATGACCATGTCCCTGCCTTGTCGGAATGTGCTGAAAGCCGGCCAGAAAGATGTCGAAGTTATCGGGCCCGTCAGTGGTTGGGAGGAAAAGGTCGTTGAGGAGAGTGGTAAGTGGTGGAAAGAGCATCAGTCTACCGAGTCTCAACCGGGATTGCGAGAAGGCAGTGTCAACGGAAGCGAAAAGCCCAACAGTCTTTCGAGTATGCGTCAAGCGACGCCGACCACTTGGACAGGCGAAGAGAGCGTCCTGAGCAGGATCGACGACGAGGGAGAGTATAAGGCTGACCTCGACATCGACTGGATGAGGTAGGATGGTGGGGCAGGTCGTGCCAGACTCCCTGCGTGAGCTTTGCAGTGACTATATCACTCCTATGGTGGTGGCCAACCAAGTCAAGAGACCTTGATGCTGGCGGCTACCAGGTGGATTATGTAGACTCATGTACTGCTCAGTGGGTACCTTTGCCAGTGTTCGAGCATATCAACTTATCATGCCCTGTGCCCCTCTAGTAAGACCCCCGGGCTTCCGACGTATCCGTACTCCTGTTCTGGAGTATCTATCGTCATGGTGAGCTTCTAAGCGAATTTCCGCCCTCGTACCAAAGAACGCGTATTGATCTTCATCGTCAATGTCATGCCAATCAGGAGTCGCCCTTGCCAAGGCTGACGTCGACAGGAAGCCGATTCCCCAATTTTGCTTAGGATCCCAGTCTCTCGTCGCATTCGGATAGCAAAGAGCCCGAAGCGAACGAGGAAATTCCGCCGTCTACAGTCGCCGTGATTCCAGCGTGGTCCGGAGACATGGATGCTTTCTGTTCTATGCTTCTTGGTCTACGATAATATCAAATCAACCCTGGACAAAGTCGTTCAACATGGCCGCTTCTCAAACCGATGATGCGGAGGGAAATCTCCTGCGGCCGCGACCCATGAGAGCGCTGCCTGAAGCCTTGCGCGCTGCCGGTAATCATGGCATCAATGGTTTTGCTGAGGCATCCTCAAGTATTTCGAGGTAGGTGACTTCTTCCTTCCCCTGCGCACCTGCTGACCCGAACGTACAGTGGACGCTCAACCCCGGTTCCTCAGGATGCGCCCCCTTCTGTCCAGTCCATCTCCTCCGCGCGGAAACAGGCTCGAGCCCAAGCGAAACATCGACTTTACCATACCATTGTGTACAAGAACCGAGTGTCTCATTTCGATCCGCGGAGTGACTATCGAGACTTCCGAGGCTTCTTCGTCCTCTTCTGGATCAGCTTGACCATCATGGTTCTCACAACAGGTTTGAGGAACATCAAAGAAACGGGCCATCCTCTTCGAGTGCAAGTCTATGCATTGCTGTCCAGAAACGTGGTGTCTCTGGCATTGAGTGACGCCGCGATGGTAGGCAGCACGGCTTTAAGTCTGGTCATTCAAAAGTGGGTTCGAGGCCAAACCGGGATCCTGCGATGGAAAAAGGCAGGAATTTGGATCCAAAGCATATACCAGGCTCTCTGGTTGACGCTGTGGGTTGAATGGCCTTTCCTGCTGGGCTGGACCTGGACTGCGCAGGTTTTCTTCGCTCTTCACACCCTGACCTTCCTCATGAAAATGCATTCCTACGCCTTTTACAACGGACACCTGAGTGAAACGGAGCGCCGCCTGCACGAGTTGGACAAGCCAGAGACGGCCGACCGTGCAAAAGCGGTGATTTATCCCAGCTCACCATCGCGCTTGACGGAACAACACCCCGACGACGTAAGCGAAAAGAGCACCGAGTCACTCGAAGAGCTCTCCCAGTTACGACAAGATTTGGCCACCGAATTAACCTCTCCGCTTGGTCAGGTCACATATCCCCAGAACCTGACTCTGTACAACTACGCCGACTACATCCTTTGCCCCACACTCTGCTACGAGCTCGAATACCCGCGGACACCCCACATTCGGTGGCTCGAGCTGTCACAGAAGACACTGGCCGTGTTCGGGTGCATCTTCCTCATGATCACGGTGAGCGAGGAATTCATCACGCCCGTACTCGCCGATTCGGCCATCCGTCTGCGCAGCGTGAGCACCTTCTCGGACAGAGCCCTCATCCTGGCCGAGACCACCAGCATGATGCTCTTCCCCTTCATGATCACATTCCTGCTCGTCTTCCTAGTCATTTGGGAGTACATCCTCGGCGCGTTCGCCGAGATCACCTGCTTCGCCGACCGGCATTTTTACTCGGATTGGTGGAACAGCAGCGATTGGCTCGAGTTCTCGCGCGAGTGGAATATCCCTGTCTACCACTTCCTTCGGCGGCATGTGTTTTTCTCGTCAAAGGCATACCTTTCCACGCCCATCGCCATGACCATTACATTTTTGATCAGTGCGTTGGGCCATGAGTTGATCATGGGCTGCATCACAAAGAAGCTGAGAGGTTACGGGTTTATCGCTATGATGTTGCAATTGCCGATCGTCGCCATCCAGAGGAGCCCCCTGATTCGTGGCCGGTGGGTTTTCAACAATTCAGCATTCTGGTTCAGCATGATTCTGGGGTTGAGCGGCATGTGCAGCTTGTATGTTTTGGTCTGAAGCAGCAACCAAGGGTTGGCCCTGTGGCATCATGGTGTTATAAGGCCACAGAAGACCGTGACGACCGATGTATGGAATTGACATGCAACCACCGTCTTCACGAACGTGAACAAAGGCATTTCAGGGTATTTTCAGCAATGGACACGAGCTTATTACTCCTGCGTTGGTCGATACTTGGAACCAGGGAAGCTCATTTACGAATGATGGTTCTAATCAGGTTTCGAGACGCTGACGACACGATCTATCTAACACGGATATTTGGGCTGGCGAGTTGGCGGTGGAACCGAGATTGGAGAGGTTTCTCGTGTAATGTCATATAGACTATCTAGAAATGTACAATACGGAGTCCGATATAATAGCATCCAATCTTATAGAGCCAGTGCCACAGCACCCGAGATGGACGGAAATCGCAAAGCAAGAATTAGCACAGTAAATATTCAATCAGATTGAGTGAGAGGCCCTCGAAGACGTATAGACATTTCCCCTATAGACAGCAGTATACTAGATGAACCATATCGTCAAAAATCATATCATCAGTCCATCAAACCGCCGATCCGTGGCTCCCATGCGAAGACTTCTTGTACCGCCTGTGGTCCGGTAGATGCTCAAAACAGAAAACTCTACCATGTCCACTTGAACACCTCCGATATGATGATAACGCCTTCCATGATAAAAACAACTCGTGATGACATTTGTGTCCGTATCCCCCACGTCGACCGGCGCGGAATCCGCAGGCCATAAATCGTTAGTAACTGCAGGGATATGTGCATCACATCACAACGCACCCACCACTGCGAGCTCGCCGCCTTCCAGGCCGTGGTGCCTGACCAACAGCATACTCGGTGCCACTACCTTCATCACCCGTGCCTAGGTCTTGTGTGGCACCATCCTCGTCATCTCTGACTCTGTGCTCGGCTTCACGAGCTCGGCGTCGTCTCCGTCTCGAGCTCCAGCCATGACCGACCACGCCGACCTCTTCGCTGGCAACCATCCACTCCGCCCACTTGGCTTCGAGGCGGGCTGCTGCCCCCCATCGTCCAGTCACGCATCTCTTGTAATGCTCTTCCACAGTCTGTTGCCAGCCATAGAAAGCCTTGAGATGGATGATCTGGGCCGGATAAAGGAGTTCTTGAATTTCGATGACCTTTCTCGTCTTCTTCTCGTCGCCAAATTCCTCCACTGTTTGGACGACTGACTTCTTACGTCCCTGCATCACACGGCCATTGCCCTGGAGGATTTCGCGAACACCAGCCCAGGTTACGTTTGCGCAGTCGAACGCCACTAGCTCCAGACCTTTTCTTGGAATTTGGGATCTCTTGGTCGTGCTGCCACGTCTCCGGACTTGCTCAGAAGCCTCCATGAGTACCAAATCTGAGATTCTCGTATTATCAAGGCACAAAGATCTGATGGCCGAGCAGGCTTTTAGTAGAGGCAGCACTCCAATATCGCCCATCTGCTCACAGTACGAGATGCTCAGATGCTCCAATGTCTTTGCTGCTTTGGACTTTGCAAGCGTGATGAGGGTGGCGTTTGTGAGAAGCTCGACTTCTTCCACTTCAAGGTGCGTTAGCCGGTTTGTTGACTGCAGGAGATCCTCCAATGCATCATCCGTCAAGGCGGTGTTCTGACACAGACGGAGACCCTCTAGATAGGGGACATTATGGGCCAAGGACCGAACCCCTCGGTCCGTAATACTGCGGCACCTTGAGATATCCAGATGTCGTAACCTTCTGGGCGGCACGAGTGGACGGTCAGTCAGAACATCTCGTTCCGGATCAATACCATGAACCATGATTTGCAAAGCCTCGTCGGTCAAGCTCTCACAATGTTGGAGAATGAGCCTTTCTAAAGTGTTCCGTTGAAAGAGCTCAAGCATAAATTCGTTGTCATCTAGACCTCTAACTTCGGAAGCTCGCAGGTCTCTCAGATTGGGACAAGACTGGATGACCTTTTTGAGACCCTTGGTGTCAATTTGGGAACACCAGTCGATGTTGAGCAGCTCGAGTTGTGGACAGTGGCAAGCAATGATTTTCATCGTTGCATTGTTGATGTTCTGCATGCTGGGCATGTTGATGTGAAGCAGCCTCGGGTTCCTCAGTAAAAAGAAGTGTATTGACGATCGCTCGATCTTACATCCCTCGATACTGAAGTTTTCGAGGTTCCTGCATTCTTGATTCGTCATTCTTGTTCCCAAACTCAGCCACTGGTCCCGTAGCTGGACGCATCCTCTGAGATTGAGGTTCTTGACAAATGCGCCAGCGTTGAGCATGATCTTGATCAGAGCGTCGGATGTTATTTGCTGATAGTATGTTTGGCAGTCGAGACTTGTCCATAGTTGCCCATCAAAGCACATGCCATGCCACTCCTTGGACACTGCTGACAACCTGATGACCTCTTTCGGTGATAGAAAGCTGAAGACATGAATGCGGAGCTCGTGGGGTAGATCCTTCCAAAAATTGAAGTTGGGTCGTCGAGGAAATGGCTTTTCTGAGATCTCGGGTAAAGGTATGGAAATAGGTTTGGAGGCTCGAAGGTCGATCGGGAGGGACGCGGAGATACTTTCGTTTGAGTCGAGCACTCGTAGTCGACAATTCGCTTCGAAGTAGGATTGCTGGCTACCAGGCGTGCCGGGGGTGGTAGGGGCGGTGGAGAAGCCGTGGGATAGCTGGGAGTTGTAGGAGTTCGGAGGAGATAGAGAGTATGATGAAGCGGGAGAACCCAAAGTGACGCAGGAAATTGATGCTTTTTGGCCGGACTTGTAGACCTTCTCGCTCGATCTTGTTCGGCTCAACTTGGCTAGCGATGGAGAGGAAGACATGCGCTGCAAACTTTGAAGGAGCCTATGACGGCCCTTCAGTTTGACGGGCTGATCGAAGGCAGTGGTAGCCTCGATCAATGGGCTTGCAGGAGTCATTGGCCTGGGAGACTCGGCCTGGTGCTGATGAGGAACAGCAGAAATCATTGTGGTGATGGGGATCGGTTCCATGATGTAAAGATACCGCAGGAGTTGCACGTCCCTCGGCACCAATAGCAAGACTGCAAACGCGACGGCTGGAAGAACCCCTTACTCCTCCGAAGGGAGTCTCTCGAACGACGTCGAGGTGGGAAGGTAGTAGAGAATGTCGTATCGAGTGGGAAGAGACAAGACCAAAGTACGAACGTCAGCTGGGCGACAGCAAAGACATCGAGGCCGAGGGTCAGACGACGAGGGGAAGCCGGTGTCGAGGGAGAGTTGGTGATATGCGGCGGGCAGCAGCACGACTGCACTGGTACTATAGAGATCGACAAAAGCCCTAGAAGAGAAAACCTGGCAGGACACGCAACGATGCACCAAAGGAGCTACCGACAAACGGGAAGCCGTTTGACGGAGTGGAAAAGCAAGCTGAAGGGTGACAGGGGTGATTGTACAGTAGAATGGTGGTGCTGGTTGCGTGTGGTTGTGCTTAAGAGTGATTGATGGTGGTGGTGGTGGGTGTAGGAAGAGGGGCCACGAGGGGCTCAGTAGGCTTCAGTAGGCCTCACTAGTTAGCCGCTCGCCGCAAAACGGGGTCCAGCAGCCATCTGGGCTTATCGGTGTTATCGATTGCTTTCCGCAGCAGCTACGGAGCCATGATGGAGCTAAGGTACCAGCTTGGTGTCCGTGGCCCCGTGTCCGTCGAGCGAACCCACCCAAGGCTCGCCTCTCTCAGGCCCTGCAACCTGTTCTCGATCCTACCTTGTGGGTGCTTTGAGGTATCGTATCTGGCCGAGCGTCAGCAGACGCAGGATTTGGATCGTCTGACATCCTGACACCCAAAGTCACGTCTAATGTTGTATCACAGTACACTTCTGCCTTCACACGAACATGATGAAAATGATCAAGAAAGACAGCTTGACTCCTCCACTTTTGATCCTCTCAGGTGCCATCGCGTGCCTGGGGCTGATGAGGCCAAGATGTGTGTCTTGGAGGTTTCCGCCATCCGTGGACCCTTTCCCCAATGGCGTCGCACTGGCGTCGCATTGCGGCCTTTACCCGAGGTACGCTTTTTCCCTGTCACCGAATCGAATCTTTTCGATATGCTACCGCTCCCCATAAAGGTGACGGAACACGCTCGAGTAGAGAGGGGGCTGTGTTCGCTTCATGCCCGTTGTCCAAAGGCTAGGATTCCAGAGCCAATCTTGTCCTTTATCGGATGTCGAAGTGCAGAACCCCTCGTGGCCGCTCACCTCGCCTATGTACTCGTAGCCTGCAGACGCCCAAGACCCATCAGGTGTGGACTCCGACTCGGAGATCCTACGCTGAAAGAACAAGGCCCAGGTGTCCTCACAGGCCAAGGTCTGTTGCTATCTGCAAGATGCCATATACTTCTCAGATTAGTGGCCAGTATGCCGTCATCTGCCACCCACAGGGTGCTCGTAGCAGGCGAGACGGCATCACTCATACACTCTCCTTATTGAACCAGCGAATGTATCATCAGTTGCCGCGATAAGGCTCTCTGGCGAGAGCATCTTCGATCTTCAAGCAGCACGGATCCGTGGGCGATCGGCCATGATCGGCCTCTGATTCGGTCCGACACCCTGGAGTGATAAGAGTATCAAGGCTTGTGCGGCAATGCTCTAGAACGGAGCATCGGAGTACATCTGCCAGGGGTTGACACTACTAGTAGTAGTAATTGTCCAAAGCATCGTGCCACGTACGGGCAGAGGCCAATCGAGATTCCTCCTTCAGGACATTGCGGTGGTTCTTAAGAACACGACGGAGTACGGAGTGATCCAAACCTCTACGCCAAGTGTACACGGCTCGCTGCCATGTCAGATTGTCGACACCCACACGCCAGAATATCGGGAGATTCCTAATTTCGCTGCTCCTTACTTGTGTGCACCGTTTGCCCTCTTGGTAACATTCAGCCACTATTTCGTGAAGCCTGGGCCAGTGCAGTATCACCTGGGCCAGTCAAGTCCAAAGTTGATACCGCGCGTTGGAATTTGCAGGGTCTGGCAGGGCGCGAAACTGCCCCGGTTCTGCATCTCGGGTGCAGCTTCAACTCTGGTCCATGCGGAACACCCAGACCAGGCCTAAGCAACGACGTTAAAGGCTAAATACATATTTTACCCCACAGATCCCGCATTTCTTTTCGCCTGATCAATTACCAGGTGCGCCAGGTCTGAAAGAGGGAGTCTTCCTAGCAGTATAAGTGCAGCCAAAACAGCGAGACGATCCTGTAAGATCGCAAGTATCACGGCCTTTTGGTCAAATCAATGCTGGCGGGAAAGCTATCGAGTACGCAACAAGAACGGCTGGAATTGTCATTTGCTTCTGCCCGTCTGGTTACTGAGAGAGTGCCGGAAGCACCCTTTCCTCCGCACGTGGGTCTGCGAGATCTTTCAGGGGTGCAGAACAGGCGCCCTGTCAGCGCCTGTCGTATGGAATACCCCAGGGCACGCCAGGGACCGTGGCCAGCCACCTCTTTCCACGTCCATGTCCAATGCGTGGCCAAACCCGCGATATTACCCCAAGGTCAGCTGCAACCAACCCCACTGAGCTCTGCAGTTGATTCCGGCTGCGTCGAGTGCCGGTTGTCGTCCTTTTGGGGCCATTTTCTATCTTCTCCTGCTGACATCCAACACGATACAGACAGCTGCTGGGAAATGCTTCCTTCTAGAAAGAGTCGATCCAGTACCCGGAGATGGAAATGTATTTTGGCGTCCGCTGTCGTAATTATCGTTGCCTCCAAACCATGGTCGCTAAAAACAAGTGCCGCCGGAACAGAAGGCGGTACAGCCAACTTCTAACAGTCCTCTTCAAGCCATACGTCGTCCCGTACTTCTTCGATGGTGATCCTCTTCTCTACATCTCGGTCCAACATCTTGCGGATAAGGTCCAGGCACTCTTGGGAGAACGGAAGATATGGGGCTCGTAAGGGGTGATCGAGGATTTCGTCTGCCGAAAGGTCAGTTTCCACAGATTTCAACATGTCTCACATGGCAAAATACCTAGGTTATAAAAAGGATCTAGGTAAAACTGTCAGTCATTTTAGGCACTTACAGTAGGCCATTACTCACTCTCTTTGTACGCAATTGTGTACAGCAGAATGCCCAAAGCCCAGACGTCCTGTTCCTTTCCGCCGTAGCTTTTCCCCTGTAGAACCTCTGGTGCAGCATAGTCTATTGTCCTTGTCAGCTTCGCGAGCACACTTCGTGCTGCAATCACTCACCTATAGTGCCAACAAAAACATCAAACGGCCCGTTCTTGATATAAGCAGCGCTGCCAAAGTCAATCAATTTGATGCGGCCCTCGCCATCCAGGACCACGTTTTCATCCTTGATGTCCCGATGGACCACCAACGCCTTGGTATGAAGGTGGTGAATAGCGTCAACGACCTGACGGAAGATGTTTTGGCTCTCTGCTTCAGTCATGTTCGTTCGCAGTTCAATATAATCGAACAAATCCATGCCCGGAATGCCATGGGGCAACATCTCGATATAGTAGTTCACGTCGTCTTCAAAGAAATCAATCATCTCCACGATATTCGGATGGCGCAGCCCGTCGCGTCGGAGGTAATCGAGGACGTGGATTTCCAAAGGCACGGTACCCAGTCGACGATCTCTAGTCCAAGTATCGACGAGGATCCGTTTCTTTGTCACGTATTTCAGCACCATCTTCCTGGCCTCTCCTCGTTTGTATCGAACGAGCTTGACTTGGCCATATGCACCGGACCCCATTTCCTCCAGAATGGTGAAGTCATTGATGGTCTTTTTATCATGAGGTATATATGGAGTATGAGGTGGCGGGTGCTCAAGCGGCTCATCCATGGTAATCGATCCTGTTTCGTCTGAGTCCTCAGGTGGGAGAGACAATTGCGAGCCGTCACCAGATGCTGTAGGCGGCGGAGACGGCAATGAGGGCGGCGGTTCAGGCTGAGAAGGTGGTGATAGAGGACGTGAATGAGGCTCAGGGTTGGCACTCGATCCCACCATTCCAGTCGAATGAATATTGCGCGAGTAAATGATCCAGACGGCGTAAACGAGCTCGGCCACCGCAGCACTCGACTCGGTTCGAACCTCATCTTCTTTCTCCTCAATGATAGCATCGTCAGACATTGGAAAGACAGACTCGCTGCGTACCACCCGCATCTGCACATCCACCATGATGTCCGACCCGTCATGATGCTTCGCTGGTAAACCACAAGGCCGGAGGAAAATGTTGGTAGGGTTTTCTTTCCCTTCGCGAAGTGCAAGGAGAGCTCGTGCTCGACGAAAACTGTGCTCCGGAATAACTATCCCATCGGCAAGTTGGAGACCGTCCTCGCTGGCCAAAATATTCAGCATGTCACCAAAGCCAGGTATTAGCACGGTGAAATCCAAGCCTTGCGGCTTCTCGTATCCAAACAATGCAGCAGCGAAAATGTTGTTGGAACTACTGATCTTGAGGTTACCCGGATTCAGGACCATAACCCCGGCGATGTGTGGCAAACTTGAGACCCGAAGCTGCCTTTCGGTAGGTGACTTCTCAATCGTCGTCGGCACATTGACGTAATCGACGGTTCGAGCAGTATAATAACCTGCATGGAGCTTGTCAAATGGATCAAGGGCCTCCAAAGGGAACTTGGGAAGGAGATCTTGAAGCGGAAGACCATCGAGCACAGATTGACCCCAGATGGCTTGCACACTCCCATGGGCATCTTTGACCTTGCCGAGGTGATCGATGTCCAAGTATGCAACGTCCTCAGCAATTTCTTCAACAACCCAGATGAGACCGCCACGCTTCTCCATCACCCAGAAACTTGCCGCGCCTTTGGTGCCGTCTCGTCTCTGAATGGGCACGATATCACCGCAGAGAAGTACGCCTCTCGATTTGGTAGGCGGGTGATTCATCGGCTTCGAGCGGCTATAGCCATCGGAGCTGTCCCCAGTCTTTGATCTTTTGTCTGAAGGTTTGTTAGCTCTAGAGGGAGCTTTACTAAGCAGTCTAGCTGTAATACCACTTCTGGACCCAACTAGCGACATGCTTGTACTTCCAGTCCCTTTCTTGGATGGAGTGGAGCGGATCTCTTCCACATGTTCTTCGTGTCGAGATAGCCTTGTTTCCAGCCAGTGTCTCCTTTCCTCCTGGATGATCCCGAGAATGCTCAGTGACCGGACTTCAGCTCGCTGAATTCCGAAAATAAGGCAAGCCAAATCGTTGGCAGCCAGAATGGTCCAAGGGGCATCTCCTTCAGTGCGGAAGACTGCTTGATGGGTTGGCGAAAATTTGCTGCTATGAGTATGCACATTCGATGGGTGCACGACTGCAGGTGTAGCAGGCATGGTGTTCCTGGAGACGGTGGCAGCATTTTGCGCGTGAGAACTTTCGTCGGTCGAATAAGGCTGTGCAAGTGCTTCGATGAGCTTCTGCTGCAGCGACACAGAATGCACGTCTGTATAGGTCCGCCTGAGGGCTGTTCGCCGTGGAGCACTCATGGAGTCAGCACGGGTCGGCGGTCTCCTCATCTCAAGGTCTGGCTCGCGGAGCAAGTCATCGTCGTCATCGCCCAACGAATACTTGCGCCGCGGACTGTGGTCCTGCGTATACGTGCTTTCGGCCTCCTTTTGTGCTTGTTCCAACTCTTGGCTAAAACTCTTCTCAAAAATGTTGCGTCCGTCATGGTGAGCTGGGCCTGTGATAGGCCCTGCGCCGATAGCTCGTACGTTGCTGTTGGTGGTATCGATCGGTATGATGTTGGCTTTTTTGAGCAAATCCATCATTCCCTGGACTTCAACATTGCCACTGACCCGCGCCTGAGCATCTGCAAGAGCTGGATTGGCAGCCCACTGAGACCGATCTCGCACGAAATCAACCGACTTTTGCAAGATGTTTTGTCTGCTGTGCAAAAACTCTTCCGATTGTCTGGCAAACGAGAACGAGTGCAGAGATTCTGAAGGAAACCGGTGCAGGTCTTCGATGACGGGAGAGGTTGGGCCGCTCTGCAAGTATCCGGTCGAAACAGACCGAGAGGATGAGCCCGAAATGGGCATCGTCTTGGAGTGGTGAAGGGGGGAGGGAAGGAAATCGCCATCTTCCAGTAGTAAGGTGGGAGTGCGTAGTGAAGGTCCTGGTCGTCTGATCCTTCGAAGGCCCGACTTTCCAAGTCCAAGGTCGTGGTCAATACGTGCAGCCCTGTCTCGGTCAGAGATCAACTGTGTATATCAGCATGTGAAACGCACCTCTTCAGATGGTTCATTTCCTGCGTCGTGCCCGCATCAAAAGAGAACCGCATCCGCGGGTTATAGGACGACGCATCGTTGCCGGCCGGCGGCAGATTTGAAGTACTCTTGTTCTTCGGGATTCGTAAAGGCTGGACGTCCAGTGTGCGTGACCTGAGGAGGGGTGATAAGGGCGGGGTGTTGTTTCCTATCCAGATGGTTAGACAACGCAATCGACGAGTGTAGAGCCAAAAAATTAATGCAAGCGCAAGGCCATGAAGCTAAGGCTTTGCTCTTGCCGACATGCCCAGCACAGAATGATCCTACATACCTTGGCTATTCTGTCCATCGCGGGTCATACTGGACGCACTCTTGAATGTGGGTGCGGCCGACTCGCCGGCCGGTACAGTGTAGTCGTCACGATGCTACCAGACAGAAATGCATCGTTCGGTAAACGCGGAGAATATCAGTTCGAAACGAGGGTTTCGCAAGGGAGGTGGAGATAGCTGCCACTGTGGACAAGAAGCACTGAGGTCGGTGACGGACAAACGGCTTCGGGCTGGAAGGCAAAGCGGTTGTGGCGAGCAAAAGTCAGTTAAGAAGCATGTCGATCGATGCATTCCGAGTGCGAGTTGGTGGGCTGTGACTCGCTTGACTCGTGTTCCCTGTCGGTGATTGAGTTTAGCCACAGTTAGCCAATCTGGTGGGAAGTTCGCGAGGCCCAAAATCCAATCAGGCTGCTAGGAGGCTTTGCACTTGGATTCACGATGCGGAGAGCTTCCAATCCTTGAGGCACGCTTGGGTACCTAGGTAGCCGTGGTAGCGAGGGTAGGTAAGGTAGGTATCTTTGAGCGCCATGCCTAGGTACCACGGCACACACGGGCATCACGGGCTTCTAAGATGGAGGACGACAGCATTTCCCGCCTAAGAATAACATTCTCAACATTAGGTACTACCTGAGGTAAATATGGCCCGCCAGCTCGCACGCCAGGATAAAAATCTCATTTAGGGACTCATCTCTCATCTGCCAAACACGATTTCTACATTCCCGTAAACAGCATTCCATAGAAGCCATCGAGATTCCCAACTACAACAGGGCTCTCAACGTACGTTGCCACCTTGGTACGGATTTTATCGTCCAACTCGCAATGTCTGTGGAAGCCATTTCATTGCGGCATTGGCGGGGGCCCTCTAGTGTACCGAATAAAAGCACTATCATGGAGTTTCTTTGAACCTGTGACAGAAGGTCAGTCGACGGACAGATCTTCTTCATGGGTTTCCGGGTCCTCGGTTGGCAGGGATAGACAGCCTTCATCAGTTAAAGGAGCTGGCCCTGACATCCTCGTCCGTCAGCCTGTTCGCCCGCTTTCAAGTTTGGTCAGCGTGAACCCATCATCCTCAGTCTCGGCTCCTTTGCGATCTTGCTGAGTATTCGCGTCTGTCGATGCCTGTGCCGGTCCGCCCTTTGACTCGCTGCCCCTCTTCTGCTCCGGTAACGCAGCGACAGAGCTCACAAAGCTTGAGCGATGCCTGTTCTCCCCGAGCATGAACGAGAACGAAGAGTCCATGAGCGACGGCCGCGACGGGACTTTGTTCGTCCGGTTATTGACCTTTTTCCTCGTCACTGGGACGGCGTCTTTCTTCGAGCTTTCTTCATCTCCTCCGATTGTCGGGATCTGTGCTGCGAGTGTTTCTGTTTGTTCTGGAGGAGACTTTGTCTCTGACATAGGGGTCTGTGCGTCCCGCGAATTCTCCTCCTTGGGGATGGGAATATCTGGATCGGATAGATAAACAGAAACGAACTGTATCTTGGCTAGCGAGATGTTGAGGTTTTGTTCAGCCTCCTCTGCACTCTCTTTGCTGGTCAATTTAACGGACCGTAAGGACTGAACGGCGTCTTCGAGCATCTTGGACAGGAGAGCATTCCGGTCTTGCAGCTCCTGGAGTCTGCTTTGAAGAATTACAGTTGCATCTTCGGGTTTGTCAAGATGACGGATATCACCACCGGCCTGGCGAGTGTTCGAAGTCTGATAATTGTTCATGTTGCGATGGATCTCGCCCACTGCGCTTCGCACGGTCTTCGAAACATTCCATCCCTCGGTGCGTCTTTGTAGACCACCCGCTACCTCTTGGAACAAGCCTTCCAGTTGTTTCTGAGAGGAGGCAAATCTCCCTGGTGAGCCACTAGGAGAATGTCGATGGCGCGGAGTCTGAGCTGCTCGGACTGCTGAAGAGCTATGGCTGCGGAACCCTTCGGGCTGCTTTGGTCGCCGGGCTGTGTAATGCTGAATGACAGTCGCCCCTGCCTCTGTGTTTCGGTTCCTGTCAAGAAATATTGCATCCTTCACCAGAGACCGAGGTTCTCCGGACGAATCAGGCAGTGCGTAATGAGTCAATGCAGTGATAGCAGTAGTGTAATCAGCGTCGATCAAAGACCAGCGAGATCTTAGCAGCATTGCGACGCAAGTCAAGTCGACAATATCCGGCCTCAAGTTCTCGGCGAAGAGGAGATCCCAGACACGAAGGACGTTCTGAAATTCGAATTCACGTCCGAACAAAAGTCTGATCCAGCGACTGCCATCCGTCAGTATGGCAGATGACCACCATTCTCTCCAGTTAACTCACATGGAATAAATTTGGGGTAGAATCCCGACGACGTGCAAATGAAGGGCCAATTCTGGATCGACAGCCGCAAGTATTTCGTCGTGGATCTTTCTGCTTCTTGCAATGATAGGTGACGAATCCTTGCCGTCGCCAGTCTCATAAAATACCTTCGCAGTCTGCATCACGGCGCAAAAGAGACTAAACGCGTCATGCTCGACATGCTTGTGGTCCAGCACTTCTTGCATAAAGTCGATACCCTCAACGTGCTGACTCGTGTCGGGAACGCAGGTGGGATCGACTGCATCTTGATGAACAACCCACAACATTGGAGCCAACAATTCGTGCATGCCTTGTCGATAGCCGACATCTGGGTTCAACTTTGCGTAGATGAACAAAATGTCCAACAGCCTCTTCTGCGTCGCAGGTTCTCGGAAGAAGTAGTTATCCTGCATGCATCGTGTTACGTCCTGGAAGATTTCTTCTCTGGATATCTCATCCTGCCGTAGCGTCGACCATGGAGACTTCACTTCGTCAGACGTCAGATTCGGGAACAGGTTGGTGAGTGGTAGAACATACGTTGTCGTCATCCGCAAGAGGATCTGCTGAAGAATGTAGGTCGTTTGGATGCTCGATAAAGCGTAGAAAATGGTTGCGCAGAGAGTTATATGCTGACCGAGACTCTGACAACTTCTTTGGCCAGGACCCTTGGCTTAGCGGGCCGTAGAGGAGGAATGCCTGGCACAATTGGTCAAAGGCAACGGCCGATCGCCCGAGAAGAAACCAACCTTCCAGCAGACTGATCGCAGTCCATCTTCGCAGGGGTCAAATCCTTCGTCGTCTCTCAATGCTTGCCGCAAGTCGACCCCAATCGAGGTTCCAAATAAAGAAGACCAGCGTCGCCTATCTTGGTAAGTCCATAGGAACAGTCTAGTGCATGGATATAAATCTTACTGGTTTTCCTCGAAGGTCCGCATGACCACAAAGGTTGCGACATCCGTGTGTCTAACTTCCTACGTCGAAGGTGATAGTAGGCCTCGTCTCAAGTTAGGGAAGTCGAGCCTTGCAGTTGTTGTTCGGATGCTTGGCATTATCAACGTCACGTGGTGTTCAACGTGGCCACTCGTGGCTTGAGCATTCGTCGGGCACACCTCAAGGAGAAGCTGCCACACAGACACTAGACAGCTCGGAAGGGTTGGCCTAATTTTGGTATATGCCCTTCGAGACCTCGGCGACCAGCATTACTCCTGAACGCCAAGGTTGGGAGTCTGAGACGATTGCGCCCCGGCATTCTTTTTACGGATCCTCATACCCCTGTCTTGAGTAGTCTTCTCACTTGTTGGGCAGGGGTCAGAGAGGTGTTCCCAGGTACTGGACAGGAATATTTCCTTCAGAACTTTTGCGATTATGGTCGACTGGGAGTATCACGCCTAGCCGTGTGCTACAAAGTTGAATAGCCTGTTGTTGGTTGCCCTTGTCAGCTGCCAGATCTCCAGATGGCTTTACAACCGGCCATTCCCATCATGGCTCGCATCGAACTCCATACTTTTGGCTGTTTCAACCCAATTATACCAGTTCATCTCGCCGTCCCACTCCATATTGGTATCCATAGATTCCATATCCAAATTTTCGAACACATCAGCTGAAAGATCGGCGTCAGGCCGCAGCCAGGGGAAGAGACCAGCTCCCATGGCGGCGGGATCGGACAGATCGGTGGTGGCCGTAGGTAAGAAATCGTATAACTGCTCATTATATCGCCCGAGTGCCAAGTCTCTGGGTGCTTCCGCCGTCATGGCTGAAGGAGCGCCTCTGAAATCGCTGCTTTCTAGGACTTGGCTGGGACGAGATCCACTGATCCCAATTTGCGTCTGCTCGAAGGACATACTGAAGCTCGAATCGCCAGGCACATTTGCAGGGTTGGACGCCGCCGTCTGCTGGTATTTGTAAGTTGTATGCGTCGACGGGTCGATATACTCTTCGTTAGAGGTTTGAGACAACTGTGTGCCGACTCCTAGCTCCCCTGGTACTGCCAAAGCCTGACGCCATCGGGCACAGAAGCCGTCGATGCTGGCTCCGCATGGAAATGACCCAGAGCTTGATGGTAGTTGTATTTTGCGGTCCTCCATCTCCAGCTTAGCGGCGGCCTGGGGATCTGAGCGTAGTCGTCTGAGTTCGGCATCGCGATGCTTACGAGCTTTGTCCATCAATCTTCGGAGCGGAACCCATATGCGCAAGTTCTTGTCTGTGGTCGTCTGGGCTGGGATCAACCAGGGGCTATGAAGCACGGCCCAAGCCCTCTCAACAGTAGGCGACCAAGAACGTCGAGAGACTTCGATCATGAGGTAAACAACAGCATGCCAATGGGTGTGGGTTTGGTAGACCCAGCGCCATTGCCGACATGCTTCTTCGGCATTGAGCGCATGATTGTACTCTGCGAGCTCGATTGCCGATAAAAGCAGCTTAGTCCTTATCTCATCCGAAATGTCTTCGCTCGGGGAGGTGAAGAGTACTGGGAAGAAAACGATGAGACTCAACTTTGCCATTACGAGCCGGGCAACGGTGACCGCCACCCAATAGGCAATGTTGCCCGACTCTGTTGTAAATTGCAAGTACTCCTGCTCAAGTTTCTGGTATATCTCGTTAACGAGGCGGCTTTGATCTTCCAAAGCTGCTATCCCACCCCTTGCAGTAAGGGCCATCATCTGCCTAGTAACATGGCTTATTGTCGCAGTGATGCGTCCAAAGGTCATATCCGTCACGCCGTAGCGCTCTTTGGGACTCTGTTTCGACTCGGGATCGATGTCCACATCGTTGATATTTGAGGGAATTTTTGTGTCAAAGCAGCCGTGTGTGATAACCAGGTCTGTCCCTTGATCCTCTGATGCTCTGGTGTCCAATAAGCACACACTCCACCAGACCCTTCGTCGCATCTCGACGTCAAAAGGTTTCATGTCTTCAAAATGTGTGCCATCGCGCTGCAGCCCAAGATACTGTGCCATTCTAATAACGAGGCCAGTCATCATCCATACGAATCTGGGGCTGTCGTGGCGGCGAGCGAGGAGGAGAAAAATGGTGAAGGCCTGAACTAGAATTAGGTTAGGGGCATTGAGGAAATCGGCTTTTGCAAGCGCGTGCTCCAGGCCAAGGCGGTATTTGAGACTGAGATCGGTTTTGGAGGAGCCAAAGTTGATCAGAACCTGCGCGAGAACATATCAGTACAGTTCTCAATCTTGTCTGGTGAAAAAATCGGCGTTAGGACCAAACGAAACTCACATCGTCTTCTTCCATGGAGATTATAGCGGCGTAATAGATCGAGAACATCAAGGCTTCATGCGATGGTGAGAGACGTGTCATGCCGCTGCCACGCGACTCGCGGGCTATCTTGGTAACGGAGGGAATATGGACGAGCCGAATAAAGAAATTCACATTCTCCAAGAACACATCGAAGAGGAAGGGGACCTGCGACGGCAGTGGCCGGAATTCGAGGATGCTGGGAGCCGAAGGGCTCAAGTTGTGTCGAAACAGGAACGCATGCCGTTTAGAGGGTGTCCGCTCAAGTTCCTGGTTGGACGACGTTTTTCCGGGAGATGCCTCATCTTCTGAAGTGTCTGACCTTTCTCCTGCTAGGTTTCGAGTATCCATCTCCAGTCCATCAAGCTGCAGCGAAAGTCAGCGAGCCGCCCAGTCAGGATGATGGCGTGACCACAATAGGCCGACTTACCTCGTCAGCGACCCGTGACCAGAAACCACTACTCACATATCGGCTGTGGCTGGCGTCCTGAATGACCATCCGGCCAAATTGCTTGTGCGCACTGCTCACGTCTACGGCGGATGGAGAGTGCCTTCGGTATCCGGCGTCACGGTCCTGGGAGGAGCTCCCAGGAGAGTTGCCTCCAGATGACGCATCACCGGCCGAGCTAGACGCTGCACGTGCCCGTTCCAGCTGGTCTTTCAAATCCTTGACCAGATTCTCGAGACTCCGCAGTCTGTCCATGACCTTTTCAACGCCCTGATCGGCGTCCTGTAGTGCTGGAACGTTTGATGCTGTGGAATTGTTTGCGAGGCGCTCGAAACGACGAGCCCATCTCGGTGCGCGGTCGGTCGATGGGAAGACACAGGCGATATTGGCGCGACGGCAGTTCGAACATGGTGCTTGCTTGTCACAGCGAACTTTGCGACTGCGGCATAGAACGCAGCTCCGCAACTTTGGCATCAGCGTAGGTGCTAACAATGGAGACTTCGCATTCTTCTCGGGCATCGAGGACGTGTCCATTGATTCTGACTCTGCAGCCACCTGCGACATTCTGTAATCAGTGTCTCCGTAAAGCGGTACCATTACTCTAGCCAGGTTGTGATGAAGCGGACGCTCGTCTCGTATTCGGCTTTCTGCGCCAAGCTAGCTTACTTCAGCGACACTAAGAAGCTTAGTAACAATATTCCGGCCCCGAGTCGAACGCGAGAACATGGCGAGACGAGCGACGGGAGGCCCTACAGACGAGGTGACTGTCGTATACAAAAATGCATATGGTGCAGCGCCCACGGCCGCCAGATTTGGGACATTCCATGCCTCTTGCTCCAATTCGATCCTTTCCAGGGGTTTGGCCTTCGTCAAGCAGAATTTCGGTATATTGAACTGCCCTACTCCCTACCCTGCCTTTTTTGAGCGGACACCTCGCAAAGCGGAGTCTGGTTTGTATAGCTCCCAACTCCACGATGGATAAGTCATGCGAGGAGTGCATCAAGGTGCGACGTGATCCAAATCGATTCACAGACCATACTGAATGCATCTGGTAGGGCACCATCCACAAAGGCCAACCCCAGGGCAAGGAAGAGGTGATTCACGGCCTGAACACCTACGTGATCGGCAACCGAACCAACCCTCGGGGTATCATAGTAATTTATTCGGACATCTTCGGTCTCCCACTGCCCAACAACAAACTGATCGCGGACGCGTATGCCAAAAGCGGTGAATGGCTGGTTTACCTACCAGACTTCCTCAAGGGAGATCCCGTGCCGCTCAAGAAAATTGATCTCCTGATTCCTGTTGATGCCACAAAGCAGTCGACACTTGCGAAATATACAGGCCTTCTTGCTATGATGCCATCATTTGTGTTGTGGATGGGAAGACATAAGCAGGGGCCTACCAACCAGGTCTGTATGGACTTCTTGCGGGCATTAAGACGCAAGACCCCCAGAAGCCAGAAAATCGGGATGGTTGGATTCTGTTGGGGCGGAAAATATGCAATTCGAGCCGGACTTGAGGGCAACATGATTGAGATCGATGGGGAGAAGGTGCCCCTTGTAGATGCGGTAGTGGCCATGCATCCAAGTCATGTGGCCTTGCCGGACGATGTTGAAGGCCTGGTCGTTCCTGTTAGCTTTGGATGGGGATTGAAGGATGAGGGTGTCAATATCGAGCAAAAGGGTAAGGTGGAGGAGATCCACGCGAGAATCAAGAAAGCGGGAAGGAAGCTGCCGGTGATGGAGCACAGAATCTATAAGCCTGGACGACATGGCTTCGCAGTGAGAGGCAATCCAGATGATCCGCAGGAGAGGGCGTGCCTGGAGGAGTCAATGAAGCAGGGTATGGACTGGTTTGCGCGGTGGCTCTGAGCGATCTTTTTCGGGGCCCAGAGCGAGTTTGCGGATTGTGGTGTAATAATTGACGTGATCTTAGCAATTCATGGTTTCACCACTGGCGCTGAGACGTATCCTCCGCTAAACATACTCTGTATGCGGTAATATGGAATGTTGTGTCCGCAAAGCCGACGGACCGACTCGAAACAGCTTGAGAAGACTGTGGTCGACGCGCCTCGTACGATTCGGGTCTTCGTAGCAACCTACAAGAGGAGCATACTTCTGGGTTCCAATAACGTGGCATGGATAAGATAAGAAGATCGAGAAACACAGTCCTTTTCAGTAAGCTTTGTCACGTTTGCCGGAAATGTAGATTTTTGGAGTGTACTCCGTACGAGATACAAAATCTCTCTCCTTGGCAAAAATAGTATTCCGCTGTGCCACGTCAATCTCCGTTGACCGTCCACCGTCTCAAGGTCCTTTCTGTTGAATCTCTTTCCTCATACTATAGACTATGCTATCATGACCTTCTCCGAACATGTCCGCCGACCTGTATGCTGCCTTCATGGCAGCAGATGATGATCAGTACAAGTCAGGGGGTGTGACCAAATCAATCGCCGGGAATGCCAGTGAAGCCTCTTCTAGCCGCGACCCGAAAGGTCCACAAGGGTCTTCACAGACATGGGACCCTCCGTCCAGAGTCAGTCCTCAAGCAGAAGCAACGTCTCTTTGGAGAAGAGATGCCAATGGAAGTGACGTCCTATTCGATGCCGAAGAATTAGTCAATGACGACGAGTTTGGCGATTTTGAGACGGTGAGCACCCCAAGGGCGAACGTGTCCGTGAATCATGGCGTTAGCGAGGGCAGCAGCAGCAGCAACACCGACATTACCAGTTCAAGAGAGCTCGTCCATGATCTTCTGGACCCCGACAACGTTGACGTGCCGCCCTCGACTGGGTCCTTAGCCCTCTTCCCTCATATCGAAGAATTGAGGGTTTTCGACGAGAGACGACAACCGGAATCTACGGCACAAGCCAAAGCAAATAAACTCGAATCAGCATGGGAAGAAGACTGGGAAGACTTGGAACGTATGCAATGCCACGAAAGTCTACAACGAGGCCCAAATGACTCCAGGGAACGTGATACACAACCGGTTCGGCCTCAAACCACACCCACCGACGAAGACGAATGGGAAGCCTTCGAGGATGGTAAGCTCGACCGTCCAGCGCAACAGATTTCTCCAAAGCCTCCACCTACCACCCTGACCAGGCCTCAACACAAGTCACAGCCAGCGAACGCCGCACCTGCATTTGAGCGACCGACAAACGTCCCTCCGCCATCCTCACTGCTTCAATTGCTTTCTGCGGTCTTCGAGGAAATCCAACAGCACAATGCCGCCGACAAGCCATCAAAGCCAGACTTGGCAGCGAAGGTTCTTGTTGTGTTCCGGACAGCCAGTCGACTTGTAGCTGGACGATCTCTTCGGTGGAAGCGTGACACTCTCCTGTCTCAGAGCATGAGAATAGGCCAAGCGGGAAAGAGCGGAGGCATGAAATTGACATCAATCAACAAAAGTGAAAATGCAAAGGAGGAGCGAGACGCTGAAGAAATGATTCGCGACTGGATGACCCACGTTCATGAGTATAACAGCATCATAGCACAAGCTGGTTTACAGCCTCACCGGATGAAGATCTCTTCATCTCCAAGCTTGAAGACCTTCAAATATTCGGGCACGTCTGAATCGTCGAGACAGTGCGCTTTGTGCGGGCTGAAAAGAACCGAAAGGTTAGTTGATGTCGATGTAGACATGGACGATATCTTCGGAGAATTCTGGACTGAACACTGGGGTCACAAGGATTGCTATGACTTTTGGTATTCGTACAAAGGCTTACTCGGTCAGCGATGAAGAATACAGACCGTCTATACCTACGTATCCTGGTTCTTTGCAAAATCATCAGGTCCTGTGTCAGGTACCCTACCGGTACCTTTCTGCAATTGAGCCATCTCCTTGCCTTATGCTCCTGTTGCCCCTCACTTTGCGATAACAGTCCATCCACCCAGCTCCCCAGCCATCAGGATGCGCCGGAGTTCATCCGCTATCGATAGCCTGCTGACATTTGGAATGATGGCAATGGCATCGCCCCCCAGACGACCTCAGTTGTTCTGCTATGGATTCATGGTCGAAGCAGCCCGGGACTCTGCTAACGCTAACTTTGAATTTGTAAGTCAGTGGAATAGCATTATGAATGGAACATCACGTTACAGCGAAACTGGCCCATCTTGTTCCGCAACTATTCCACAGGGTCAATTCAGGGTGTAGGTGTGGGACTCGGGGAATGATGGCACCAAGAAGGCAGCTCGGCAGCCACCCACCCACCCTACATTTAAGGTAGCTTGGTAGTGACCCCCAGCGCTCCAGCCCTTTGAAGCCGACGATCATTCTGCCTGACGAACTGGCTAACTCCGTTCCTCTTCCACGCCCAACGACCACTTTATAGGTATTCACGGTGACCGTGCTACATCTTGTGCCTTAGTTCGAAGTTTAATCATTTGTCTACTGCACCAGGCTTCATTCAACTTGGTCTTACGACCACCCTTCTCGGCCGAGCGATCGAACGTCAGTTGACCACCACACCAAGCCAACCATCTTCCGACCACAGCGGTTGCTGCCTCCTACCTCTGCTGAACGACATCCTCTGCCTTCGGAACCAGGGTGCACAACGAATTGAGACCTGGATTTGATAGAAAACATAGAGTCAAGAGCAGCGTCAAGAGCAGGTTCCCTACCAGATCTCTTGATCTTTCCTACCGAGAGACGACTGCGCCTTCAGGCTTAGGCGGGGAACTTCCAGTCTCCCGCTATCGACAGCCTGAGAGCCAGAACGTCGACACGGCAGGATGGGTCTTGCATACAATGTCTACCTGAACTCCGCTAAAATCTTTGGTTGTAAGGTACGACTTCTCAATGTGCTATCGTCCGAGAGGACAGTGGCTGACGAACATCGCTCTGCAGCATTGTAAAACGCACTTGGCCGATTTTGACGACATCATCTCGCGTAACTTTCGAGGTCAACATGGCAAAGCATTTCTCTTTTCAACCGTCGTCAACATTAAACAGGCAGAAGCGATGGAGAGAAATATGACCACGGGCAGGCACATTGTGAGGGACATCAAGTGCAAGCAGTGCGATGAGACGGTTGGCTGGAAGTATGACAAAGCATATGAGGCCAGCGAGAAGTACAAGGAAGGCAAGTTCATCTTGGAATCGGAGTTGCTGTGTACGGTGACATAGCAAAGTTCTGCTGCAAGACACTTTCAAGCATTCCTTGTCGCGAGCGGGTTTTGGTATGGTTTCGAGGATATGGGAACTGGGAATTGGACGAATGGGCATTGTTTTGGAGATATCGTGAATGACATCTCATAGATATTCATGGCAGTCTTATTGAAGCCGGGGGCCCGCCTTGCGTCCCACCACCAAATCGTCCTTCGAGCTCATGGTACAGTTTCTACTGAGATCTCGGGTAGATCAAGAACTGGAGCAGCCTCGATAATGGCATAGCCACCGACATCTGCCTTCCAGATATAGACTACCTCCAAACCTGCAGCTGTCAGAATGTCTTGCCATTGCCTCTCGTCTCTCTCCATGCCACAAAACGACATCATCAGAATATCGAAGAGCGCTTCGCGTTGACCGCAGCCAGTAGCTGGGAGCACGAATTCATGGATCAGGATCCTCGAGTAAGTCGGTGTACATGCATCTCGTAGATGTTTCAGTATGGACACGCACTGTTCGTCCGTCCAGTCATGCAGGCAATGTCGGATATAATAGAACTTGGCTCCTACCGCAGTTTCAGCAATAGCCTTCAAAGGGGCAATCTAGGAGTCTTCCTACCTTTGACCGGTTGTGGCTCAAAGAAATCATGCGTCATAGCCTCAAAGCTCTTTACCTCTGGGCTGACAAGTGCTACGACGGGTGCAACGTCCTGCACCACGAATCGACCCGGTAGGCCCGGATTCTGCTGGAGGATTGCTTTGAGCACATGGCCGACACCCCCGCCAACGTCGACCATGGTCACAGCAGTGTCGTCATTGGACAGGTTGACAACATACTCTCCAAACGGAAACTCAGGATACATCTCTGGGGGGAGGTCTTCTTGGGCTGACATGGCCGAAGCGAACTGTGTCCTCATCTCTTCGTTCTCAGTCATCATCTCGAACATGTCCTTGCCCCAGAGCCGGACAGCTGCATTCTCTGAGCGGTCCACTGGACTTCGAAACCCGTTTGACTCCAGTATGGACGGAACCATCCTATTCTCGGCATGCATGATGTTGAAGCTGGCTTTGATGAAATCTCTGGCTTGGGGTTCCCGGAGCTTTTCTGACTGTGTTGTACTTGCGAAAGTGTCTCGGCTCAACTGCTCGAATATGTGAAAAGCGCCGAGGCAACGCAGAATCCGAAGCAGCAAGATGGCATCTGCTCCAGTCTTTTGGGCAAGAGCGCTAAGATCGGTCTCCTCATGGATCAGGTTGAACAGATCTAGCTGAATCGCCACGTAAAGCGCAGTGTTTAGGATTGGTGCCAGACTCAGTCTCAGTACGCGGTCGCCGGGTGCGAGCATGAGTTCGGCGATTTTCGATGAGATGTTGAATATCTCTTGTCCCAGTTTCGCCCGCCCGTGTCTGTCTTTGTGTCGGTCGACAATTGCCGCTTCGTACTCGTCAATGTGTTGATTCAGGAAGCTGCGTAGAGATTTAAGAGTCTCCAGATTGTCTGCCATGATGCCCGATCTTCACCCGGAGCTCTGTCGAACAGTTCGAGATAGGGTTGGATACTTGTAAAGTCGTGAGCCGTCAAAACTCGAGGTAACCAGACTCGCGGCAAGTATTTGTACTCGCTTCTCGCCATCGATGGTCAGCCTGAGAAGCGAATCTCCCAGGGTTGCCATAATCTCGCTGACGGTCAGATGCTGTGACGACACATCAAGCCTACGCTGAAGTGTGGAACAGGCATTTTTAGGCCCCCGGCCTGCTTTACGACGACTTTGGTCGCAAGGCTGTCATCACGGACCATGGGAGGTGAGGCGTGCTTACTTCAGAAGCAGCTCAAAGACGCTAATAGTCCCGTGACTACTCAGCAAAAGAACAATGGAATGAGATAGGCGAGGAGGTACCATGTGTCGACCCTACACAATACCCTTCAGATCCCGCCTCTCGCTGGCTCTCGAATGAATACACTCATCGAGCCAGGCTGCTGACATGATCTTGGTGGCTTACTCATGCCCCGCTACCTTCCTGTTGCGCATCAAAAACGACAGCGACGGATGTCCGTATTCGTGCTGAATGCATTGTTTGTGATGAAGGTCGGCCGTAGCAACATTGACGCCATGGGGACTGGCACTGGTCATTGAATACCTTTATGCACCTTATTCGATGCCGTCCGATCGATCCCGAAGAGTGGAGAAGGACGGAGACGAAAGTGTTTTTCGGAGCAACCCATTGCATTTTCGATGACGAGTGACAGCCTTTCCACCACAGAGGAGCTTCACAGACGTAACCCCCGCAAAGGCAGATCGCGATTCAGATTGACGTGCGGTCATCTAGAAGGATATATCTTCCATAGCTAGGTAGTACCAGAGATACTTCTCGCACCACCACCACCACCAGCAATCGCTCGAATTCAAGGCCGTTTTGTGCAGATAGGTGCAGGGTTCGGGACCAGATCATCCTCAATCAAGCTCGGTCTGTGCACTCGTATTGTCTACCGGCCAAGGTCAACATCATCATGGCAACGAAAGACACCATGCGTGCAGTTGTGTTCAAAGGCAAACTGCATATCGAAGTGGAGGAGAGACCTGTACCTAAGATCCAAGATCCAAAAGACATCATTGTTAAGGTCAGATATACGGCGCTCTGTGGAAGGTAGGCAATCAAATCATGCACACATTCTCAAATGCTAACCTTCACAAGCGAGCTCCATGTGTACCGCGGACATCAACCGTCGGACACGGGGTTCATTATGGGTCATGAATTCACAGGCGAAGTGATCGAGACTGGATCCGACGTCAAATCAATCAAGAAAGGAGACAAGATAGTCGCCCCGTTCACTCTCAGCTGTGGTGAATGCTTTTACTGTAAAGGAGGGTTCTCTTCTCGCTGTGAAAAGTGCAAATTGTTCGGATCCCCCGCCCTTGATGGAGGCCAGGCTGAATATTGCCGGATTCCTCTCGCCGACAGCACGGTTGTCAAAGCGCCCCCAAACATTGCCGAGGACAAACTCGTCTTGATGGCGGACATCTTCCCAACGGGATATTTTGCGGCAGCCAATGCCTTTCGCGGGTTCGATGAAGCAACGATACGTCAAAGTGTCGTGCTTTTGATCGGATGTGGACCCGTGGGGCTGTGTGCTTTGGTGAACGCCCTCGAATACAAGCCACGAGCATTGTTAGCCGTCGACGGCGTGGAATCTCGATTAGAACTAGCAAAGAAGCTTGGTGCCGAGCCGTGGAATTACCAGACAAATATGGAAGGGTTGAAGAAGAGAGTCCTTGAGCTCACAGATGGCCGTGGAGCGGACACGGCCATCGAAATTGTCGGTCACAGTGATGCACTGAAGATGGGATTCGAGCTTTTGAGGCCCTGGGGTAACATATCGAGCGTGGGCGTTCACAACGCTGAGATCCCTTGGACTGGAAATCAAGCATACGGTAAAAACTTGAGAATCCAGATGGGAAGATGCCCTGTCCGAAGTAAGGGAGATCCTTTGCTTGCTGAAACTTCAAGTTGACACGAATTGTAGGCCTTTTCGAGCCGGCGTTGGACATGCTGGCCAAGGAGCAGGACAAGCTTGAGTAAGCACCTTTGGGATCCTTTGTTTCCATCTTGCTAACCAGGTGACAGTTTCATGACAGATTGCATTAAACCATTGTCGGAGGCAGTCAAGTGGTACGATGAGTTCAACAATATGCGCGTGCAAAAGGTGGTCTTTGAGGCGGACAAATAGAAGGGCGAAAGTGTTCAGCTCGAAGTTTCGCTGAACCGAATTGGCGACGGCCTGCTGTATCAGTGAGCTTCCCAATGATATGCCCTCGAATGAGCCTATTCTCGGTCTGCTCAAAGATTCCTTATCAGAGGTCATAGTTGACGTTACCGACGTGTTTCAAGTTGGCCTCGTCAAGTTTTCAGGTGTCCTTTGCCCCGGAACATATGCAGCCTTAATGGAAACGTCGAGGATGGCATAATGACCTGCCTCGGAGATACGTGGCGGGAGTCAAGATCCGGGCTGCATGGTCCCGATCGATATTTGGTCACATCCGAGAAAAGAAGCAGCGGAGTTCTCAGTGTCATTAGTGGCTTCTCATTCTGGATTCGAGTTCTTCATACGGCTCTCGGCGCCTTTCTAAGGAACAATGGGGTATGTACAGCCTCATTCTTTGCGACTTTAAGACGTATTCCCTCGAGGCATGTCTCATGATCAGTACATCTTCGTTCGTCCACGGAATCCTCGCGTTGGTTCTTCCGTGAGATAGGAGGAAGTCTGCGCCGAGCAGACCTAGTTTTGCGGAGTATACGTCGACGATCAAGAGTTTGGAGTTTGCTTCAAATCGATGCCCAAGGCAACAGCTTCCGCCATAGCGTGCGCGGTTCCGGTGTTTCTGAGTCGAGGCTTGAGGACCAGACCTCGAGGTGAAGGCCGCCAAGAGGTGTTGCAAGACGCAAGCACGGGCACCCTTGAAGCCAGAAAGGACTGGCGTGGGTGCTGGTCGCTTTGCGCGCCTGCCACTGGCCACTACTAAAGGAGTGGAGCCAAGAACCTGCAAGTCAAGTGTGAATAAAACTCCCTGCCTCCAAACAAACCCAGCATTTTCGTTTGTTTCCAACGACGTCGAAGATCCTGCACTCTCCTCCTCTCGTCTCAACACAACCTCATTCCTTCCCACTCTCCCGCCTTTCTCATCCCTCTTCTTCTCGACCTCTACGCTACCTTCATCCTCTACTCACGGGGACACTCCAAGTCTTGTCCGCTCCTCCCTCACTGCACCTGCAATACACCTCCGTCCTGCAACCATCTTCGCTACCGCACATTTGATCGAGATCGCCCGCCTTGCTCGCCATCCAAGCTTCTCTCGAAATCAGCAAGATCGTCTCCTTCCTTTAGCTTCATCTCACCTTCCTCAAAATGGCTTCCGCCGATTCCCCCGTTGCGAACCATGTCGATGACGCCGCTGCTCTGAACGATTCCTTGAATCAGCTCAATCTCGGCGACAGAGAGAATGAGCCTCCAAAGACCGAAGAAGAATATGCGCAGTCACAACTGACCCTTCGAGCCATTGTCTCAACCAAGGAAGCTGGCGTTATCATTGGCAAACAAGGAAAGAATGTGGCTGATCTACGAGAAGAAACCGGTGTCAAAGCTGGTGTCAGCAAGGTCGTGCAGGGCGTTCACGATCGTGTCCTGACTGTTACTGGCCCTCTTTCTGGCATCGCAAAGGCATACTCTCTTGTCGCAAAAGGTCTCCTGGAGGGTGCGCCCCAAATGGGCATGGGAGGGGTGATCCAGAACAATGGTACTCATCGTACGTATTTGCAAGATCCTCCATTTTCGAATCTCGCTAACAGCATTTCAGCCATCCGCCTCTTGATCTCCCACAACCAGATGGGTACCATCATCGGACGGCAAGGTCTGAAGATCAAGCACATCCAAGACGTTTCCGGAGTCCGCATGGTTGCTCAAAAAGAAATGTTGCCCCAGTCCACCGAGCGCATCGTCGAAGTGCAAGGTACCCCTGAGGGCATTGACAAAGCCGTTTGGGAAATCGGAAAATGTCTCGTCGACGACTGGCAACGTGGCACCGGGACTGTGCTGTACAACCCTGCTGTTCGCGTGCAAGTTGGTTCGGGTCCTCTTCCTCCAGCTGTTGGTGGTGGAGGAATGCCGGGTGCTGCCTTCAGCAGCGGTCGCTCCTACAATCGCACCGGCAACGGCGCCGACTTTAGCGAAGCACGGACCTACAACCGTAGCAATGATGCACCACGAGGTGGCGGTATTCCCATGGTCACCGAAGATGGTGAAGAAGTCCAAACCCAGAACATCAGCATTCCCGCCGATATGGTCGGCTGCATCATTGGGCGAGGCGGATCCAAAATCAGCGAAATCCGGAAGACCTCAGGAGCCAGAATCTCAATTGCAAAGGCACCTCATGACGAGACTGGTGAACGTATGTTCACCATCATGGGAAGTGCTACCGCGAACGAGAGAGCTCTATATCTCCTCTACGAGAACTTGGAAGCCGAGAAGGGACGCCGACAACAAGTGTCTTCGGAATGAAGCACGGAACCATCCATCCTTCAAGTCAGGCTGCTCTTCTCTGGTTCAACATCACGCCTCTAACCCCCGAGACACCACATTCCTTCGAATCCCATTGTTTCCTCAATCAACCGACCCGATGATCACAACCCCGCGAAAAAGCATAAGGCATTGTTTGCTCTTTGGCGTCCGACCGATAGACGGTATGTTGCGCAAAGCGACCTGACGAAGCTATGATACCTTTTTCTTTACGTCTCGCTCGGAACGCGAGTTGATGAATGATGACATGAGCTTGTATGCAACGACCTTGATCCTTCCTTAATGCAGACCCGACAACCCAACCAGGACCTGACCGATCTCTCAATCCCATCCTCGTCCCGAACCGCAAGACACAAACTTCCTCTCTTTCCATCCGCCAGGAGCCTCAAAATCCCTGTCGAGGTGAACTCCGCCTTTCCAGGAATGTGCTAAGCCAGACGGCGGTGGCAAACAAGAAACGTAGATTCGCCATGGCTTGTCTGTGGGCACGACGGTGGCATACCTAGATAGTACACAGTCGACCGCTACTGGCTGAGAAGTAGGCCACCATACCAGAGGACAAGCGGACCTCTCCTAGTCAAAATGAAATACTCATTCAAAGTCGGTCCTCAGAACGTACAATATGCAGAGCTTGCATGAACCCTGGACCCATGTACCACGTTCGTGTCCTCCGTAAGCCATTCCGGAAGCCAAGGGCTCCATTCGGCTGCAGGTCACTTAGCCCCGGCATTAGACAAGTGTCCCCTCCCCTGCCCACTTGTCAAGGGCTTGTCACCGCATGTTTGCTGGATGTGACAGGTGGAGGACGGTCAGGTCAGTATGTGAGTGGCAGCAAACGGGCGGTATGTGAAGCTCCAAAAGTCAGACCCTGTCACACTGGGTTTCACCGTCATAGGCTCCTCGTGCTGATGCCCAAGCTGTTGATGGCCTGCCGCCTCCGCTTCAGGCCTGCCTGGCCCGATCAATTGCCCTGCTTGATCAGCCACTGCTTGAGCCTGGGACAGTACCGTACCCATCATTAGCCAATCGAACGAGGGTGCCTTTCGTTTGGAGGGCTGGAAGGGCAATGTAATCCGCCCTCGGACGTCGCTCACAGGGACGCCTTGCAATTGTGCGGACTGCTGAGTGACGACGACGGGCCCCAGTGTGAGATGCCGAAAGAGGACAGCTGAAATCATTCAACAACAGCCGCTTCTCGCACTGTAATCTCGTCTGCATCCCCGGTTATTCAGCGACATCTATCTTCTGTGAGGTGTACCTCGCTGAAAATCATTATTTCCTTTGGCGGTTTGTCGTAAGAGAGTACCGAAGGATTGCTGCGTTTCAGGTAGCCGCCCGTTGCAGATCAAGACAGCCCCATATGCGGGAAACGCCTTGACTTGACGTCGGCCCCTATGGACAGCAAACTATGTCAAAATTCCTCTGACGCGTCTTCTCAAGTTGATCATTTGCAGCCTTACTGGAGAGGTTGTTGAGCACATCATTATCCAAGAAAATACTGCCAGAAAGGCACAATCGCCCATCGACATATATCACACACCTGTGCAACAGCATTTTCCCTGCGATCCTGCACCAAGCCGCACAGGGTTCGACGGCCCTGCGATCGGCGTCAATCATCTGAACTGATCAATCTCAACTTAACTGCCTTCAACACCTGGATCCCTACCTTTCCCTCAGCCACCGGACATTGCCCCTTCCTACAGAAATGTCGTCCCCGGTGCCGCTTCTTCGGCCACCTGTGCCTGGTGGTCGAAGTCAGAGCGGTAGCCGGACCCCTCGTTTAACGCTCGGAATCCCTCCATCACCGAACCAGAAACCCGTCAGCGGAGAAGCCGAGCCAGTGACTGAAGTCCCACGATTCAGTTTGGCTGCAAAGGGTCCGCCAAAGCTGTCCCTAGCCACGCCCATGGGAGGTCAAGGTTCGGTTCAAGAAGGAGGAACAAATTTGAGACCGCAAATACAACCATTGAATATAAGTGCTGTCAACAACAACGATGCTGGCACCAGACCAAGAGGAGACAGCTTTCATAATGCCAGTGTCCCGGGCTCTGCATCCTCGTCCACATACTCTGCTTTGTCCTTCACAATGCAAGGCAGGACAGGAAGTACTCCAGATCCGTCCTCAGCCATTAGCTCAATATACTCGGAAGCCAGTATAGGAGGAGCATCAATGGAGAGGGAGTCGAGTATGGGCGGGCTGTCTATCGACTTTGAGAAGCTCACGATAGAAAAGGGCAGACCGCTTGATGTTGATGACCTGGATGATGAAGGGTGGGGAGCAGCGAGTGATCAGAAAAAGATCATTGAGCTTGGCTCGTTGGGGGAGGGTGCTGGTGGTGCCGTCACGCGGTGTATGCTCGAAGGTGGAAAGACCATCTTTGCGCTGAAGGTATGTCTACATCCCAGTTTCAAGGTCTACGTTGCTGACTGTCATAGATCATCACAACAAGCCCTGACCCGGATGTTAAGAAACAAATCCTACGAGAGCTGAAATTTAACAAGAACTGTACGTCAGAATATATCTGCCAATACTATGGCGCCTTCATGGATAAGTCATCGAGCACAATATCAATAGCGATGGAATTCTGTGAAGGTGGCAGTCTTGATAGTGTATACCGCGAAGTCAAGAAACTCGGTGGCCGGACAGGTGAGAAGGTGCTGGGGAAAATAGCCGAAGGTGTTCTACACGGCCTCACATACCTCAACAGCCGGAAAATTATTCACAGAGGTGACCTTGCCAGAAAATCATTCCTCCTTGTGCAGATACTGACTTTTATAGACATCAAGCCCTCAAACATCCTGCTCTGCCGAAATGGCCAAGTCAAGCTGTGCGACTTCGGCGTCAGTGGGGAGTTCGGAACCAAGGGTGACGCCAACACATTCATTGGCACCTCATACTACATGGCTCCCGAACGTATACAGGGGCAATCTTACACCATCACTTCCGATGTCTGGTCGCTTGGTGTGACGTTGCTCGAAGTGGCTCAACATCGATTCCCATTCCCTGCCGACGGGACTGAAATGCAACCTCGTGCTGGCCTCATCGACCTGCTGACGTATATTGTTGCCCAGCCTATACCAAAATTGAAAGACGAGCCCGAAAACGGCATCAAATGGAGCGACATGTTCAAATACTTCATTGAATGCTGCCTAGAGAAAGAGCCGAGCAGAAGAGCAAGACCGTGGCGAATGCTGGAACACCCGTGGATGGTTGAAATGAAGGCCAAGAAGGTCAGCATGTCAACATTCCTCAAGCAGGTCTGGGATTGGAAAGATGAATGATTTTTGTGCTTCATTGGCGGGTCGGCCATCGATATGAATAGCATGGACGTGCAATGATCTGCGGGGTACAGCAGCGGCCTCTCCGCTAGATACATCACAACCTGACGAACAGAGGACGGGGATAACGACCAGGCTTCTCGTGTCCACACGAAATGCAGCCATGATCAAGAGGCGTTTGGAAAGAGCCTGTGGCCATGGAAGAGAATTGGGTACAAGTTGGAGTGAAATGTGGTCTACAGGGGTAAATGGGTATTAAGCATGAGCATAATGAGCAGAGGAGTCAACAGTAAGCACTGGATTACAGCTCGCACGGTACATCTCTACACGTTGCCGCAAAACCATTTGATCAATTGAACCAAACCAACTTGGAGGGTCGCTTCTTGATACTGAGTCAGACTCGACTGTCCCTGACATCCCTGACATCCCTGCATCTATCTAAAGCTTCGATTTCTCAGCAATGAGAGTGTAACTTCTGGGATAACTCTCCAGTCTATCCTTCTGCATTTCTCCGATATTTTTGAACCCACCCGCGAGCATGGAAATATCGAACTCGGCAAGCAGACTCTTCATGACATGTCGGACTCCTTCTTCGCCCATGATACTGTACAGTTGGGACTTTGTAAGCTACCGTCCCTGCTTCCAAATTCGGACATTGATGCGAAGGAGATAGAAGTAAGTCAAACTCACCTAAGACCATATATCCACATTCTCCCGACCCAAACGAATTTCGCGCCCAGACAGAGCGCCTTGATCACGTCCGATGCCCCACGAACGCCGGAGTCGAACATGACTGTGATCTTCTCGCCAATGCCAGCATTAATGATATTCTCCAGAGCATCGAGACTGGCAATCGCCCCATCCACTTGGCGGCCAGCGTGATTCGAGACCACGATGCCATCACAGCCTAGGTCAACGCATCGTTGGGCGTCGTGGACGGATTGTATCCTGCGAGAAACAGTGTCAATCGTTGAGCTTCGCCAGGGAAGCAAGCAATGATGTGACCCACCCCTTTATGCAGAACGGCTTCCCTCCACTCAACTCCTTCCAGGTCTTGATAAGCCAGGGCATCTTCTCCCAAGAAAATGCACGGCCATGCCAGACATTGTCAATCCACATTGCGCCGGCCTTTTCGGGGTCTTTCTTGGGATCGATGCCTTCTTCGGCCAGGCGTTTCTGGAACACGGGATCAACCAGGCCCAAATCCGCTCCGATCCCGCGGTAGAAAGCGTAGTTCGAGGTCGCGATGTCGTCGTGCCGCCAACCTAGTTGCCATGTATCCTGGACTCGGTCATTAGCCACGGTGCAGATGAGGACAAAAGCAAGTCCCTACTGTCGTCAGGATGCAGGCTGTGAAGCCAGACTTGACCGCTCGCTTGAGCAATGAGATAGCCAGGTCGTCGTCGTGCGGTAGGTAGAGCTGGAAGAAGCGCACGGGCGAGTCGTTATCTGCGCCTTCGACTTTCACAGCTCCTTCGGACCATCTTCCCGCATCATTGGAGGCGGCAACGTCTTCGATCGTGCAGGACCCGGCTGTGCTCAGGCCATATGGTAATCTCAACTCTCCAGCAACTTTGGCCACAGGAAGCTCGCCTTTGGGATGGTAAATCTTGTTGATACCAATCGGAGCAAAGCCAATTGGCGCGGAGACCTTGTGGCCGAAGAGAGTCGTTGTCGTGTCTCGCTCGTTGACGTCGACGAGTTGATGAGGGACCAGTCGATGTCGGTAAAAGGCTTGTCTGTTGGCGAGATGGGTCCAGCCCTGACCTGCATTCGATTGGGCGTATAGTCGTCCGTTGACGGAGAGGGATTCTTCGGCACGGGCTTCGAGTTTGTCAGGCCGAGTGTTGAAAGGAGGGTGCTTGTTCTCGTTTAGTTCCCAGAAGGCATTGCGTTGCTCTTGTTGCCAGTGCGGCGTCGTTCTGTGGTAGTATTTGGGGATCCTTGGGTCACTCATGTTGACGGATACTAGTACCTGCCCTGGTCACGAAGAAGAGCAATGCGAAAGGAATATCGAGCAGCAAACAGTAAGGACAGGCACAAAAGTACTATTGAAAGTGATAGCAGACCTTTTGCGATTGTCATCATGACTTTCTTCTTGTAGGGGATACGAATGACATATCCACGCATATCTTACCCGGGCGATGCCGCGGAGGAAATGCCGACATGGACATGACGTTTTGATGTTCCAGTTTATGATGCAGTTGTACGAAGTTTGAGATCCCACGGCAGACACGGAAGCGTAGATCTTATCGGATTGCACGCGTTAAATCAAAACAAGAAATGCCATGATTTTCCCATCCAAGCTTGCTTCAAAAATGGGGTTCTCCTAATTCATTTTTACCGTCTCGAATGCTGTTCTACTTCTTGGCTACCTCCATGTTGATGGTGATCGTCTTTGCATGCACATAGCCTTTCAAGCCCTCATATCCACCTTCACGACCATAACCGCTTTGCTTGACGCCGCCGAAAGGTGTCTGAGGAGAAGTTTTGTATGCCTGATTAATCCCAACGTTCCCTGCCTCGATCTTCGATGCCACACGCAGCGCTCGAGGAATATCGGACGTGAAGACGGAAGCTGCTAAGGTCAGTTGCGAACCCATTTTCAATGTTCGAGAAAGAAGTTACATCCAAGACCGTAAGTGGTGTCATTGGCCAGCGTGATGGCTTCCTCCTCCGTCTTGAACGTTCTGACCGCGATGACGGGCCCGAAAATTTCATCAGTGAAGACGCGACTCTTAACGTCGGGATTGAGAAGGACAGTTGGCTGAACAAATGTGCCTTTGTCGCCTATTCTTCCCCCACCTGTCAAGACCTGAATTCCCTCCTTCTTACCGTCCGTTAAGAAGCCCATGACCCTGTCGAATTGCTTCTTGTCTGCCAATGGGCCAAACGCAGTGTCCGCCAGAGACGGATCACCCATCTTCTTTGCGGCGTCTTCAAAAGCCTTCTTGATGCCTTCAATGAACTTTGGAGCTATGCCCTCCTGCACCAAGACTCTCGAGGACGCAAAGCAAACTTGGCCAGAATTTCGAAGGAAGCTGGTGGCATTATGTAGGAGGGCATTGTCTAGGTCGGCGTCGTCGAACTGCAAACGGTCAGAAAACTGTACGGGCGAAGCCAGCAACAAAGTATTAGACTCGTGCATGAATGGCACGGTCTCTCGAGAGGAGAATACGCACGATGAGAGCCGGACTCTTTCCACCCAACTCAAGCGAGACGTGCTTCATGTTGGACTTGGCGGCCGCAATCTGGACGGCGCGGCCTCCAGCAGCCGACCCGGTGAAAGCGATCTTTGCGATTTCCATGTGTGATGCCAGCATTGCCCCTATCGGAGCAGCACCAGTGAGAATGTTGATCACACCTGGAGGAATTCCAGCCTCCTTGATCAACTCGCCGTACGCTGCGGCTCCAAGAGGTGACTTCTCCGAAGATTTGAATACGAAGGTGTTTCCGGCTGCAAGAGCAGGAGCCATCTTCCATGCGGCCAGAACATGAGTACCATTCCATGCAGAGATACCAGCGCAGACGCCAAGAGGTTCATAAGCGACGATCTTATACGAACCGTCTCCCTCAGGGGGATAGCTCTCGCCAGCAATCTTGCCGGCAAGGCCAGCATAGTAACGCCATGTGGCACATGCTCCAGCTACAAAGCCCTTGGCGAGAGTGATAGCTATTCATGCGTTAGCATCTAAAGCTGTATCGGGAAAGACCGCGGTTATGAAAGTTGCCGTGGCGTTATTGCCAGGTGAGACTTACGTTGGCCCTAAGAATTGTCAGGAAGCTGTACCCATACAAAGCAGAGGCAGAGGCAGAGGCAGAGGCAGAGGCAGAGGCAGAGGCAGAGGCAGAGGCAGAGGCAGAGGCAATGTATGGGATTCGTGCTTGGATGGCACAATATTCAAGAGAGAAGACTACTTACCATGCATACACTTTCGAGTTTGCCCAACTTTTCAGCATTGGCCTCTAGAAGATCGGCGAACTTGAGCATTAGCTTTGCCCGCTGCGCGCCGGGCGTCGACGACCAGCTTGGGAAAGCGGCCTTTGCAGCGGCAACAGCGCGGTCGACATCGGCTTCTGAGGCTACTTGGACCTTGTCCGTAACAACCGTGTCATCGTTAGGGCTGTTGATTGTGAGGGTCTCTCCGGACGATGACGGGATATACTAAACTGGTCAGTCCATTGGTGTTAATGAGCTCTTAGTGCCACTCACCTCGTTGTTGATGAAGAGATTTGTCTGGTAAGACATTGCGATCGGTGAAGTTGAATCGATTAGATGATGTCTTTCACTATGACAATGCCGTAGGGCGTGATGCTTCCAGTGCTGTTCTTGATGACTCTCAGAATTTGAGATGTTGAGGGTGAGACGAGTCGTAGCAATATACCTCAAAGAAATACTTTCCTCGGCTGATGGAGTGAGACGACTTCATCCCCGCACACCTTGTCAAGCTCAAGCAACCAATGCGAAACCGACAATCATGCGGCTTGTAGGTGGAGTAGACGCGATCGGCACCCATCGAAACGTTGCCGCGGAGCTATGATGGGGGAAGTCGATTAACGCCTTGCCAAAGTCCGAACGCGTGCTATACTGTTGCTCTTCTTCCAATTGACACGGGTATAAGTGAGGATCCTACTTTGCTCAGCTAAGCGCCAGATCAATAGCAAGGGAGATAGCTGTCTCTCGTCCGACGTGCCCGAGTAATCATGCCAGAACGGGTCTTGGCACGACTGTGACATAGCAATCCACGAGGCCTTGTTGAGAATGTGGTTGGGTTCGGGCTTTTTGAGCATTGCGGATGCTTTTTCGTGTTAAGGTGTTCAACACGGCGAGGGAGTATGAGATTGCCGCCGGTTCCGGTCATCTGCGCAATGGATTGCGAGTCATAGAGTGTCGCATATAGAAATACCTCTGTGTCAGGCTGGCGGCGCCAAAGTTGACGGCTCATGGCTCCAAGGTAGGTTGCCGATCGGCCTGCCTTTATCCAGTGACCTGAGAGTCCACGAGCCGTTTGAACTTGGTCCACAGGTGAGGTGAATCGAATGAGCTCGTGGATGGCTCTTCAGACAGGGTACTCATGGTATTGTGATACTGCAGGCTCAGCCTCGTCTGCCAAGGCTGACCAACCAGATTGGATCGGCGAGTCGGGCCTGCCACCCAGCAAACGAAAGTCATCCATTGCCTGCGCATCTGTTTACTTACCTCACCATCTGCACCATCAGCACACACGGAGTTCCCGCAATTCATGCGAAGTTCCAGCACCTAACGCAAGTATCATCATGCATCCCTAGACGAGTAAGGACCCTAGAACATCCACGACATGCCCTTCCGAGTGCGCCGCAGTTGACATCCTGCTCAACATCCGTTCTCGACTCAGAAAATGGCAGAGCCAGGATTTCCCTGGAGCGCCCAATCGCGAGATCCAGAAAAAGAAGGAACTCTTCCTGCGATCGATTCAAATGTCCCACATTCAGAAGAGAACAAGCAGGACAGTGTTTCAAGTGCTGGAAACAGGAACAATCCTGCTACACAACATCCCCAGCCGAGAAAGACCAGCAATCCGCAGAGTAAGCGCCGGGATGGGTCTTTGAAGGGACCTCAACGAGCTATACCACCTGCTACAACTGGTTTGGTCGATTCCACAACATCAAAGAGTACAAAGAAACCAGCAACACCACTTCCAGTTCGGACTATTCCTCGTATGTACCATTCCATTATTCGTGCGGTGCTGGGCTAACAGCACCATAGCTTGGGTAAGGGACGCAGAAGAAAGCGACCTAGAAGACCCTCAATTTCTTGCTCCCGACTCTCCAGAAGCTGCTCTCGTCGCACACCACAACCACAGCCCATCAACCGCTGCACGGCCAAACGTACATGGCAAGCAAACGCAAACCAATGGACATGTGACGTCTGCAGGACACGTGCGACCTGAGCGGACTTCAAGATGGATCTCATTTGCTCGTGCAAGTGCCTACCCTCGCGAGACTTTCAACGGTGAAAAGGTGGACACTGATTATCTCAATCAGCATTTCACTGACTACTCGAGGCCTTGGTTGGCGGGACACGAGGACGATCTGGAGGATGGCAGCAGTCGATACCACGCATTTCGCCGTAAGAGGAAGGCTTGGTACAAGAGGGCACAATTCACCATCATGCGGAACCCTTTTATTCCTCTCGCATTCAGATTGACAACCTTCGTCTTCGCGTTTGCGGCCCTCGGGCTGGGCACTTCCATATACCATTCGACAAACAGGATTGCTAAGTGCATCCACCAGAATCCGAGGGACAAAGAATGCCGTGACCTAGTTGGCACAGGCCCTACCAACTACTACCAGGATCCGTCTGGGTTGATGGCCCTGATCGTCGATGCGATTGCGGTGGCCTACATCTTGTACATCACCTACGACGAATACTTCTCCAAGCCGCTTGGCTTGCGACCAGCCCGTGCCAAAGTACGGCTGGTTCTCCTTGATTTGTTCTTTGTCGTGTTTCAATCAGCAAACCTTGCTTTGAGTTTCGAGTCCTTGACGGTTGATCAAGGTGCATGCAAGGTGGGAGGTGCACCTCTGACCTCTCCCAAATTTGACGACGTATGCTCTCGTGCACGAGCATTAAGTGGTGTTCTGTTGATTTCGTTGGTTGCTTGGTTGATGACCTTCTCTATTAGTGTATTGAGGTACGTATTCGGAATGCGAAGTTTGCGGGATAATGCTGACAAGTTGCAGGTTGGTAGAGAGGATCGATACGAAGTGACGATACAAATAGGATGGCTGGTCCTTTTCGAGCCTCATCATGGGATACTTGTAGCAATAATGATGACCGGAACGACTTTCCTTCCCCATGTTCACAGTCAGAAAATGCAGCACCTGAGATGTATCGCTAGCCTCTTCCACTTCCAAACGACGTGACTCCCATTGTTACACTTTGATGCTCGGACCATCATCCCCATAGATAGGGTCTTTCTTGAACCAGCCGAGGTCCTTGATGGCCTTGACTTTGTCTTTTTCTCCGTCCCGTCCGTAACACATATCCCAACTCTCGCCGGTCGGATAAGAGCCCACCATCTGGAACCCACCGTAATCCTCGAGCAAACGATGGCCAACCCCGGCCGGTACAATGACCACGTCACCCTTTTCCAGCACCGGTTCCACTCGGCCTTCGTTGTTCTCCCCACCGAAGCAGCACTTGGCTGAACCAGAGGCGATACTGAGGACTTCGTGGGTGTTTGAATGAAAATGGGTCTCGCTGAACATGGTATATTCCCACTGTGGAGAAACCACTCCGACGGATCTGAGATGGCTCTTGATATTTGATGCATTTGGATTAGGGAAAGCGGAGTGATAGATCATCAAAGGTTTCCCTTGGACGGAGGTATTGGGAAGACCTTTGTAAGAAGGAATCTGGTGCGTTGACACACGCAGAGCATTCAGAGGCGTGACAGACATCTTGGACACTGCGGTTGTAGCCTTGAACAAAGAAGGAGGTTACTCTTTTGGACTTCCCCACGCCTTTTGCGCGATGAGCCTGCGAAAGCTGCAAAGAAAATATTGGCACAACTGCGCTACGCGTTACTCTCACTTGTAAGCACAGGGCTATCTCACATCCTTGGGAAGCTTCGTTGCAAGTTGACTGAGGCAGCTAGGCATCTCTGTACAATTGCCATCGAACAAACATTCACATCACTGTGGACATTGGAGGCGGTGGCGTCATAAACCATGTCACGTTACTTGAATACCTCGCTGCCTTTGCGACCGGCGCCGAATTGGCCAGAAGGCCGCCTCACTAATAAGGCCTTTCGATATCCGCATCGTCAACTCCCTCTACACACTACCTCAACATCGAACTCCAACATCATGGCGCCTGCTACGAGCACGCCTCCGCCTACGGCCACTGCGCCCAACTTGAGGGCCCGAGATGACCTCAACTCTACCTGGACTTACCTGCAGAGCAACCTGGAGAATGTCATGACTAAGTTGCAAGAGGGTCTCGACATGAAGACTTATATGGGTGTCTATACCGCAGTCCATAACTTTTGCACTTCTCAGAAGGCCACTCCTCAGCCTCAGAATGCCTCGTCCTCCCTCAGTCAGCAGCATCGTGGTGCTCACCTCCTCGGCGAAGAACTCTACCAACTCCTTGGCCAATACCTCACCGAACACCTTCGCGAAGTCCTCAAGAACTCCGAGTCACACACCGATGAAGCCCTCCTCACATTCTACATCCGGGAATGGAAGCGTTACACCGACGCGGCGAAATACAACAACCACCTGTTCAGATACCTGAATCGCCACTGGGTCAAGAGAGAGATTGATGAGGGCAAGAAGAATGTCTACGATGTCTATACTCTGCACTTGGTCAAATGGAGAGATGATTTCTTCAAGGCCGTTGAGTCCAAAGTCATGGACGCAGTTCTTCGCCTTGTCGAGAAGCAACGAAATGGCGAAACCATTGATCAGATGCAGATCAAGGCTATTGTTGACTCTTTCGTCTCGCTCGGTTTGGATGAGCTTGACAGTACCAAGCCCACCCTGGACGTCTACCGCCTCTACTTTGAACGACCTTTTATCTCCGCCACGAAAGATTATTACAATAACGAGTCGAGACGATTTGTTGCTGAAAACAGCGTGGTTGAATACATGAAGAAGGCCGAGGCCCGACTTGAGGAAGAGAAGGAGCGGGTCAATATGTATCTGCACCCGGACATCATGAAGAAGCTCATGGAGACCTGCAACGAAGCTCTGATCAGCGCCCACTCCGTCCTTCTCCGAGATGAGTTCCAAATCCTCCTTGACAATGAGCGCACTGAAGATCTGGCCCGGATGTACAAGCTGTTGTCTCGAATCAAAGACGGCTTGGACCCTCTCCGCAATCGCTTCGAGGTTCATGTTCGCAGAGCTGGCACGGCGGCGGTCGAGAAGGTTGCTGCTAACGGCGACAACTTCGAGCCCAAAGTCTATGTCGATGCTTTACTCGAAATACATGGCAAATACCAACAGCTCGTCAACGTGGCCTTTAATGGAGAGTCAGAGTTTGTACGAAGCCTTGACAATGCCTGCCAGGAGTTTGTCAACCACAACCAGGTTTGCAAGAACAGCACCACCAGATCCCCCGAGTTGCTGGCCAAGTATGCCGATCAGCTGCTCAAGAAGGGTGCCAAAGCGGCAGACGAGTCCGAACTTGAAGAGCTCCTTGTTCAGATCATGGTTGTGTTCAAGTATGTCGAAGACAAGGACGTGTTTCAAAAGTTCTACTCGCGCATGTTGGCCAAACGCCTTGTCCACACCAGTTCCGTATCAGATGATGCGGAGACTAGTATGATCAGCAAGCTGAAGGAAGCTTGTGGTTACGAATACACCAACAAGCTGCAGAGAATGTTTCAAGATGTCCAAATCTCGAAGGACCTCAACACTGCTTACAAGGATTGGCATGATAAGATTCTCGAAGACAGTGAGGAGAAGCGTACTGTTGATTCTACATTCCAGATCCTAGGGACTGGCTTCTGGCCGCTGAATGCGCCCAATACGCCGTTCGCGCCACCTACGGAAGTCAACAAGGCCATCGAATCATTCACTCGATTCTACGACCAAAAACACAACGGCCGAAAGCTTACCTGGCTTTGGCAGTTATGTAAGGGAGAAATTCGCGCGAACTACATCAAGAGTCAGAAGGTGCCATATACCTTCCAGGTCTCGACTTATCAGATGGCCATTTTGTTATTGTTCAATGACACTGACAAGCTTGACTACTCTGACATCAAAGAGGTTACTAAGCTGACCGATGAGAACCTCGAGCCTGCGCTCGGCATTCTCTGTAAAGCTCGCGTTCTCTTGCCCAGCCCAGAAGATGCCAAAGCTGTTCCCGGTACTAGCTACGCCTTGAATTACAACTTCAAGAATAAGAAGGTCAAGATCAACTTGAACATCACCGTCAAATCAGAGCAGAAAACCGAATCCGATGAGACCCATAAGACGATTGAGGAGGACAGAAAGTTGTTGCTTCAGGTATGTCCTTATTTCGTCGTCACTATTACATACTGATCGCCCGTTAGGCCGTGATTGTCCGCATAATGAAAGGTCGCAAGAAGCTCCGACATGTTCACCTAGTCGAAGAAGTCATTAATCAGGTGAAGAGCCGATTCCCGCCCAAGATATCTGATATCAAGAAGAACATCGATGCACTTATGGAGAAAGACTACATTGAACGTCTTGACAACGACGAATTGGCTTACATCGCTTGAGCGGCTGTCGTTGGGCAAGCGATGTTTCACTCAAGAATCCTTTGGGGCAAACGATTCCTACTGGGCAACATACGAATAAGTGTTGATGGCGATTGAGCGTGATTCACATTGGAGTTCATCTTTACGTTGGCATGGAGAAATGGAGTCGACATAGCTCTTCCGAAAGAGGGGAGCCGAGCCGGGAACGAATACCCCAGATGGAACTGGGCATTACTGTGTTGCATTGCATTGCATGGGGGTTGCCTGTCCACACCACTTCTTCTCTTGCTTTTCTTATGGGACTGTCCACGCAATCCGTCTCTGCCGAGAACGCAAGTGTGAGCGATGGAAACGAGCTGACATGATTCACGACGCGTGCACGGATTGGCGGAGAAGTATGGGCTTGCCTGTGCTGAGGGGTTGCAGAAGCCGACTTCGAACAGCTACAGGGCCCATGCCGAGTAAGTCTCTGGCCAAAATCAGAGTCTTGTGGGCGGCTCTGAAGCGGTTGAATGTACTTAGAGGACAAGAAAACACAACAAGATACCAAAGATATGAGAAAACATCGCTTCCGCGTGACGTGAGTCGAGCAAGTGTCGTACGATTTAGTTTCATAGTCTTGATGCTCGCCGCAGCCGCACTGCCATCGATTGTAAACAGGATTGCAGAGAGTACTTTCCTTGAATAGGTGACAGTCTCTCCTTTGTCCTCCCCAGCTCATCTCATCCTAGACCACGCACGTCGGGTTGAAAAGATTTATTCACGATCAGGCAGTGTAATGAGACTACCTCTGTTCGACGTCATGCAATCCTTCAACTTCTGGTCATATCCGTCTCTCGAGGGTCATTAGCATCGAGCCTCATTCCATCACGATGCGCTGCCTGTGCCAGGGCCAGCCGCCTCCACGTTCTCTGGAGCAGACGTCGACGTCGACGGTGAGGAGCTCGTCTGCCCCGCCGGTCCTTTCCCCTGCTGCATTCGATCCTTGGCCCAGCTTCCCCAACTACTCAGATACGCGCCGGCTTTGGCTGCATTCTCCCTCGCGGAAGCTTGCAACTGCGCCGCGTCGACATTCGGTCTTTGCAGTTGCACCTTTGCAGCACGGTCCCGTATGGAGCTGGCCCATCCTCCAGCGCCTCCAGCGCTTCCAGCACCCGCTGCCACCGCCGCTGCGTCTCCAGACTCGCTCTTCTCACCCAGCTGCACCCGGTCCTTGTCTTTCTCGAGACTTTCATTCTCTTTCCTCGCCTGGTCCACACTGCTCGCAGCCTGATTCCCACTCCTGTTCGGTGCAACTCTCCTACGTTGCTCCACCTCGGCCCAGAAGCGCGCCATCCTCTCCTTTCCAACGGCAATCGTCTTGCCGAGCTGTTCCCTCCCTTCACGCATCCGCTCGTCCAGATGCAGCTCTGCGAGATTCTGCTGCAGCCGCCTCTGTACATCCTCGACACTCAACCCACCACCCGTCGGATGTCTCGGCTCAATGATGTCGAAAATCCGATTTCCGCGGGTCAAGTTGTCGAACAGCTCGAAATTATGCGTACTCCGCCATATCGCCAGGAACTCTGGGTTGAAATCCATCGCCGTATCCCCTGGGTCCGGGTAGTGCTCGGTATTAGTGAGAGAACTGGGCAGGCCAGCATCGCCCTGCATAGACTCATGGTAGACTTGATAAGCCATACTGCTCAGCAAGCTCAGAATATACTCCTCGAACTGCAAGCGGATTGCATCCTCAGAGCCCGCATAGCCCATGTTCTTCGGACGGCTGGGGTTTTCGGGATCCCAGGTGTCCAGGACGGTTTGGGTGAGAAAGTCGATCCAGCGTCGGTCCGCGGCTGAGAGGGTGAGGGCGGTGCGTAGGGAAGGAGATGTGACGGTGATACTGTTCGACTCGTCGAGGTTGATGAGAATGTCGCTATACTTTTCTTTCTGTTGGAGAAGGAGTGAATTCGTTGAGCCGACTACGTAGGATTTCGTGTCGTAGTCGGCTAGGATATCCAGTTGTTGAAGAGGCGTGTACGGACCGAAGAACGAACCCTGTGCACGATCAGTCATCAGCCCTGTGAAGAAGGATTCTGAGGTTCCTTACCTTGCCGAAAATTTGCAAGGGCAAACCCATGTATGACAATACTACCAAAGGTCTATCAGCTGCCGGTCTAGTGGACACTGCCAAAGTTGGGGAGCAGATGTCAGGAACGGAGACGTACATGAACTCCTATCGCTTGTCCTCAGCGTAGCGGCTCTCGACGCATGCTGTGCATATGAATCTAGAATGGGATCCGCCGCATCTTGCAGATTTCTAATCAAGCCCGGTATGAGCGACACCAAGGCAAACTGCATCATGCATAATCTCTCGCATTTGGAGCCGAAGAAGAGCATCTATGCGCTTGAAATCAGCGCAGTCTGTTCCAGATCTATTCCTCTGCACGGCTTGCTTACCTTTCGTTGCAGCAACAGACACTTGACTAGCGCCAACGTTTGGTGTCTAAATTCGTAAATCATCTCGCGTATTGATAATCCTGTACGTGAAGAGAGACATCAGTTACGAGTCCGTCTGATCACAAGGCGCGAGATCTACCAAAGTAATGATCCTTCCCGTCTTCGTGCACAGCGGGCGATCGTGCAAGACTCTCTTGAAATTCCTATGAAGCAGCATCGGTCAGTCAACCAGCACTGTATCGGTCATGATGAACACCTACCTACCTTGAGTATTGTGGTATCTGAGAAGTCCCTGCAGAGGTGGTGTCTCAGCAATACTGCTCCGGCAGTCGAAAGCGGATCGAACAGGATGCGGTGACATTTTGGTCTCTGAGCATTAAGCCCTATTCCTAGGCGATAGTCTCTCTATCCCCAGGTACAGAGCTCACCTGTACAGCTTCAAGACAGACACTTTTTTCAAGTGCCCGTGCTGCTGGGCTGCGACTCCGGAGCCGCCTGTCGAATGTCGGACCTTGACGCGTTGACGACCGACAGCCCAAAATATCATCAAGATCTTTCACTCGTGCAGGTCTCCCATTTCCGCTCTGCTCAATAAACGACAAAGAAATGGGGAGATGAGACTCACTCCTGATGGTACCAAGCCGCAGTAACGGCACCTAGCCGCTCCCTTAACTCTCCCATGCCCTGGGCTGTCGAGGATACCACTACCACGGCCTTTTGAACCGTCGACCTCGTGACATCCGCCGACCGACGCTTCAATTTCTCCGCCTTGATCTGCCGCGTACACGAGATTCCGAACAGACTCGATCCAGGCTCAGCGTCGCTGGCACCCTTATTCAGCAGCGTGAAGTAAGAGAACTCTTCGGCCATTGCGTGCGCGCCGTCGGACAAGGCCATGAACGGCAACAAGGACCAATCATTGCGCTTGCATAAGTCGTCGCCAGCAGGGTCGACCCAAAATTCGACTTCTGGTCCTCTTTGTGGCCGCTATCATCAGCGAGCCTGCCCGATGGATTCTTAAGTCGGTCAGCGTAACGTACCGTGCATGATGAAAATCGACCACTGCAACTTGAGGCGGTATTGTTATCATATTGGCTTGTATAAAGAATAAAAATGCATGACGGTACCTAGAATGACCCTAGAATATGCACCGACGAACCCTGGAAGAGGATGGAATGGGATGTGGTGATTAAACATGGAACGTTGTGAAAGAGACAACACGACGGGAAACAATGACGGTAAATCAATATGTCTGACGAAAGTCCGCCAGCAAATAACGCAGTGAAACGCGCCAAGCTCTGTGGCCAGACAGCAGTTTTTCTGATTGGCGATATTGCGTGCCAGCGCTGGCATCCATGTCACTTCCGCACATGTCAAAGTCACCTGCAGCTTTGGCAATGCGACAGATATCGCGACAAATCGCGACAAACCGGAATTTGTATCATTGGTCATACAATCCCACAGAGAAGAGTCAATCAAGGTTGTTGTGCTACTGGAAAGATATCTTGGTGGCGTCCTCTCCGAAATCCTTTGGCAACTCGGGACCCCAGACAGATATCGGTCCCGCCACTTCCCTGCGAGTGGCGGTGTCTTCATTCACCACGTCGCCATCAGCATAATGTTCAATCTTGAAACCACTGACGTCTTGCCAATAGTCAAAGATCTGACTGCCTAGGATATGCCTGCCCACTCCCCAAACACTCTTCCACTTGTTCTTCGCTAGCCACTCGTGACCGATCAATTGGGTGTCGAAGTCGGCAACTTCGAACGAGCTGTGGTGGATATATGTTTCCTTGACCTCGGGGGGCGCTCGCTGCAGAAACATAATGTGGTGGTCTGAATACTCCTTTCCGAGATCGATGTGCATGAAGGTCAGTACATCGACGTTGGAGAATTGCGGATGCCACAGGATGTCCGAGTGGACGAGATTGAAGTTGGAAGTGTAAAAGTTCAATTCGTCGTCGAACTCCTTGCACACATATCCCAAATGGCCCAGCTTGTGGACAAGAGCAGGCCCTTCGTGGTATCGCTGGAATTGGCCGAGTCTCTTCTTCTCGAAGGGGCTGTTGTATGGACCTTGTGAGTCATGCGTTGCTGTGGGCTCTGTCTTTCCAGTGTTGACCTTCCGTTCTTCCTGGCCATACACGATATGGACATATGTCCCGTTCGGACGAGCGATTGTGATCAATTGTCCGCCTCCAGGCGCCTGATCGAGGCTCTTGACCGTCGCACCGGGGATTCTGGAAGCTTTATCGAACTCTGTTTGATCTCTGGCGACGAAAGCAGCACCCATGAACTTTGGTTTCCCGGACTTGGCTTTTGTCGCCACATATACGTATGGATCACGTCCATATCCACAGTAATACACGGTATCGCCAACCCTCTTCTCCTCGATGAATCCAAAGTCTCTGGCGAACTTTGCAAACTTGTTCAGATCCGGATGCTCGAAGTAGACGTGGCCCAAGCGGACAAGCTGGACTTTTGAAGGATCGTTCTTGACGTCGGGGATAGGCATGTTGGGAACGAGGCGTTCGCGAATAAACCGGGGAAGGTAGGCAAGAATATCAAGCACAGTTACCATAGTTCTGTCCCCTTTCTAGGCCTTTACAATATACCTAGGTATCGGAATTTACATTGCTTCCTGCGACGTGTGCTGCGCCTGTTCTTCTTTCATATATCGAGAGCTGATGTCGACGTAAGCTTGCCCGCGGTGTCATAGCGGGAACCGCGCGAGAAAACCGTCCAAGGCTCAGGGGAGGATTTGAGAGGTCCCGCAAAGGCCCCGCACAGGAATAAAACCAGAAGAGCGTCCACCAGATCAAGGAGCTGGGGGGATAGTCATTCCGAGCCTCGGTTGATGCTGTGTCGTACGGAGCTTCTCGCAAGACTAACTTGTATCTATCGGATTACGGGAAAGAGAGGGCAGCATGCCCCTCGTCAGCCTGTCGCAGGATATCGCGGGATACCGTTCGCCGATAGTAACAGGGAGTTTTGATCCAGAACACGATGGTTGATTTGATATCTCCTTCATTGCCATATTTGGGAGGATGAATACAACCACGCTGACTGATGATGCAAGGATTTATGAAAGGGACAGCATGGGTGAAGTTGAGCCTTTGTTCGGTGTGGCTGATAGTATCATGCTGACATTTGCTCATACTTCTTCTGATGCTACATGTGTTGCCCAAAGTCTTGTTTATAGGCGTACCGCGACATCCTTTTGGAAGGACCCGATGTCACCACAGCAGACACATCTTGTGGACGATCATTGAATACAGAAGTCGTAGATATGTCAAACTTTGAAAAACATTGATCAGCCAGACAATCGGACCAACAATATTGGCGGAGCCGTGTCTCACAATACTGGTTGCTTTCCCGCTGGAAAGAGGATTTTGTTCTTCAAGATGCCAATATTAGATATCTCGATCTCCACAACTTCTCCGTGATTCAAAAACCGCTTTGGCGCTCGAAAGGCTCCAACCCCAGAAGGAGTTCCTGTCATGACAGCCGTGTATGCTGGGATTGTCGTACCTGTCGTTAGAAGACCGTCTTCAGTCAGCATATTTTCGTGGACGTGAGACCTGACGACCTCCAAAAAAAAGAACACTTATCTCCATGTGCAAAAATGCAAAGTGACAGGATCCACACTCACTTTGACTCATGAAGCTCAAGATCTGTGCTGCCGAGAATACCATATCCTTCTTGATATCCGCGTCCTGCATGACCTCGCCATTGATTTTCGTCACAAGTCTCCATTCTCTTCCCTGCGTCAAAACCTCGGGGCTGACTAGGACGGGACCGATGGGAGCAAACTTGTCAAATGCCTTTGCGTAGAAAAATTGGCCTCCGTTCTGGGCTGGTAGCTGAAACACGCGACATGAGAGGTCATTGCCGATGGTGTAGCCGAGAATACAGGATTCTGCTTCATCTGCCGAGACGTCGCGACATTCTTTTGACGTAACGAACACCAGTTCTCCCTGCAGCCTCAATCGATAACATTCAGTAACTTTTCTCGGGGATACTTGGTTGTGGTTGTGGGAACAGCAGGAAGGGGCTTACCTCCCAATCGGGAAAGTTGGAGGTACAGTATCTGCTCATGTTGATGTCCTCGTCTGGTGATGCTAGTGCTGCAGCAGGCTTCGTCCATAATGGTGGATTGGTGGGAATGTTAAGCTGGAAAGCGGGGACAGAATCAGTCTCCTTCTCTCCCCTAAGATCAAGGCTGGTGTATCCATACATTTGCTTCTTTCGCATGACTTCTGTAATTCAGTCCCACGCAGTATATGGGCAAATCATGTCGAGGAATAGGCGCGAGGAGCTACAATTGCTCTAGTGGTTAGTACTGATCCCCCAGGACCTCAATTTCGACGGTCGGAAGGATAGACTCCGCACCTTTCCAATTACAGCGGTAACTTCGTTTTTGCCCTCGAGAAGATCCTGAAAGGACTCATATGCAGAGATGGAAGCCCCTTGCGCGGGAACATCGGAGACGGATCCTAGATCGGCGAAGAATCTCTTTTGTCCATCTTCTGATTCAAACGATACCAACCGTGAGAAATATTTCATCATGGTTGAAGAATATTGCAGTCTGAACATGCACAAAGAGCTGATGGTCACAAGCAGAAGTAGATGAGGAAAAGCGAAAGAAACATCATATCTTGCCGATCAGATTCACATGGTCTCCGGAGTTAGATACTAGTAAAACTCCACCCATGGCCGAGCTTTGCGGGGCTTATGCATGGTAGAGTCTTGACCGAATGCCTCGGCCTGGTTAGATTGGAAGTATCAGGCAAGCAGGGCAGTTGAAGGTGTGTAGGCACCTAGGTGGTAGGTATCACAGAGCGAGAGAACGTGTAACACCTGATAGCGAAGTGAGGTAGTTAGTAGGTCGCTTCACCTGCCATTCTTGCTCGGGCCGGAGTGTCGGAACCTTCCACGGCCGAGTTCAATCCTGACCACGTGACAAGCCCACTCACAAAAACATACCCCCCGAGACGTCGCAAAGGGTATCTTCATCGTTAATCTTCCTTCTTGAAAAGTTAGCTATCATGGACATATCTTCTCTACACATCTGATGGTTGATTTGTGTCTCCATGAAAGATCCCAGGCCGGCCTGCAACATCTTGCGCTGGCCCACAAACCGTGATTTCCTCATGTCCCGCATCCTTCCCACACGGCCAAATCAAGGCATGTGGCTCGATGACCGTCCAACCGAGAGTCTGTGATGAGACGTTAGATACTGCGTTGACCACGCCCCGTTCCTCTGAATATGCATCTAATCATGCAATATGTGAAAGAAGACCTGCGATATTCTATAACCAGGTATCATACACTCACTCATAGCTTCATTTCCATAGTCATAGTCATTAACCAATTCAGCCCGTCAGTTCTCGCAGACGTCAATCATTCCTTCATGTCGCATAAGAGCTTTTCCATACCCGTACACGCAAACATAAGGACCCAACAAGCCAAGTAGCAACGCCGAAACACCACCAGCGGACCCGACATTGAGTCTGAGCTATCTCGATCAACCGAAACAAGTCATCAACACCGAAAGATTCGCGGAATGAGTATGTCGCATCTGTGGAGAACCATCTCTTCTTGCCACCATAACTTCTCAACACTCTTGCTTAAATCGCAAAACTGCCCTGACCAATTTGCCCACCACGCCGAACCTAGGTTTCCTTTTCTTCTCACTTCTCCCGGATTTGAACGAAACACCACTGATTCTCTTTCTCTTCCGCATCGTTGGAAATGGTATCGCCATTGGCGGCTGAGCGTGGACTTCACTCGCAAGATAGATGTTCATTGGCGATGCTGGCAAGGGCCCATCCAGTTCTGCACTGATCGTTCTCCGCCTACCGCTCTTTGGGAAAGGAAGACATGGTGAATGCGCAGTGTATTTCGCCAGCGTGCGCTTCTCGCCTGAGCCCTTCTTCACTTTGCTGGTACTCGCAGCGTCGACGTTAACGATATCGCCCGGCTGCGTGGGTTGGACTTGGATGGGAAGTTCAGGTAGCGGCCTGTCCTTAAAGGACGCCGGACATGTTGCGTATTTCAGAGCGTCATGTTTGTCCTTCGATGTTGGTTGCCGGTACACTTCTGGTTTTGGACTCGAGATGCTATCTTCGACCGTAGAGTATTTCAATGCTGCCACATCCTGTTTGTGGCTGGACGTCGCGGTCCTCTTTGCCGAGCCGACATCCGCAATAAATCGTTCCGCAGCACGAAGATCGGCGAGGCTTTTCTTGACCCGAGCCATCCGGGACGGGCCTCGTCGACCGTCGTCATCGTCCCATTCGATGTAGGATACTTCAGGTGGAGATGCTGCAAGTTGGGGGAGTTGCATTTCGACACTTCTTGGATTATTATGCATGCTTTCGCCAGCGAAAGCAATGTCAGCAGACACTCGACGACTTGTCTCCCCTTGTGTTGGTTCAGGGCTTGAGTGACCGAGTGCATTGTTATTCGGCTCGATCGTGGCGGTCTTAGCGATCGCCATCTTTGTGCCAGGCTCCAAGCTAGAAGGGAGAGTGGGGCTAGTCAAAGATACCGTAGCTGAAGCGGCAGCACCATTCATTTGTCCAGGCAGGGAGTATGTTGAATAGTGTGAATGAGTCAAAGACGGTACTGGTACTGGTGTTGTCGTTCGTGTGGCCGGGAAAGAAGGCGAGTCCGAAAGGAAGGAAGCCTTTTCTAGCTGAGAACATAACTGGTTCACTTGTCTTGGGCCGAACCTTGCATCTAGCGTTGGGGGAAGCCGACACTCCATACTGGCCTTCGGTACTGATGGTTCGCGGTGGTTGAAGAGTGGCGCTGGTGGGAGCAAGCTTGGAGATCGACTCTGTGATTGATCTGAGATCCAATCACCAAAGTGCACAATAGTAGCAACAGAATCGCGACAGCCGGAACAGTCATCGATAGTGAGACCTCCTAAACCGAACGCTGATGGAGATTTGGGTGTCGACGGCCACAGGCCTAGCATTTCTTCCAAACGGAGAGACGGCGATGGTACTCGAGGTAAAAGGAGCGACTCATAGGAAGCTGTATTCGAAAAGCTGTAGAGATTTGAGCAAAAGGAAGTATCATCTGAAATACTCTTGCTCAACAATGCAAAGTCTGGGGGTTCGGGAAGCCCCTCGGGTTCTGCTGTTGTCGGCGGCGTACGAGGCATTTTCCTAAATTCTCGAGGTAAAAAGTGGTACTCTTTGGGCATGTGCTCAGGAGGCCAGTCCGGCAAACGCAGCACAAGATGTAAACAATGGAGAGACGCAGTCCTTTTCTAGACCGATCAGGGAGCCAAAGCTACTTGAAATATTCAGGGAAGTATTCAATGTTTACCTTCGGAAAGCAGATGTGGAAATTGTATCGGAGCAAGAGAGCACACCAATATATGAACAATCCGCTGAAACCTTGAGGGGTTGGTTAGTGTGGCTTTGCACTGTCAACCGCAGCTGGCCGATCTTGCAGCAAGACAGATTTCGTACTCCCAAATCTCGCCAACTTGCCAGTGACTGATGCAAGATCAAGGGTTTGCTGCAGGGCGCAACAAGAGGGCTCCCGGGGAAGTCTGGGATGGCAGTTCCATCAGCATGTAAGCACGGATTAGGCCGTGGAGTGGGCACTTGTGCATCAAGCCACCCCGAAAGAGCACAGGCCGTGGTCATCCTCATGACACAGAGGTCTCGAGGTGTGCCTCGTGTATGTAGTAACGTTGGCTGGTCAGTTGGCAAGGGGTCCGGGCGCTGCTGTGAGGGGAGCAAACGAGGAGGTCCTCACCACCATCGAAAGGTGGAAGGCGGGTTGCAAGTACAAACTGCAGCTTGCAGGATGTGGAAAACGTGGCTTGCGCAGATCGCTATTGATTCTCTGAGTAGTGGCCATCAATCGATCGAAGTAGGTCCACTCGGAAGTGAAATGATGGCGTCAATGACTGCGCGCCGCATGGCGAAGGGGTACACCAGGTGTGGAGGGAATATGGCTGTAATGAGTACGATATCAAGGGTTGACAGGAGTGGACAGGCTAGGCATCCATCCATTCCCAAGGCGTCGGGTCTTTGCTATATGAGATTCCAATCGGGCGGCACGGCAGCCACATAGACACTTGAGGGATTTCCTCTTCCCTAATCATCGACCTGCCGCCAACGAATATCAAACAATCGCGAACCCAACGGAGAGCAGTCTCGAGTATCAGACGAAGACATACATGTCAATGTCTCCGACAAAGCACTTACAGACAGGGAATGCCAGCACTGGATCAAACTTGACACCTGACACTTGCAGACAGGAATAGGAAGCGCACAGCGACCCTGAAATGGATCGCAAGATATCCGACGACTCCGCTCAAACGAGATGGCGCTACTCGGAACCTCGCGAGCCTCGAAAGGAAAAACAAGGCATGAACAAGAAATCCTAGGGATCCCTGTCTGGTGCAAATCAGGTCATGGTTGGCGCTCGGCCTCGACACGACAAGCAATGGAAGACTTGGAGGTCAAAATAGATCGAGACTACTCCGTGAGAGACGAGACAAAGCTGCAAGACTGCATCGGTAATATCGGATCTGCGCGGTCTCATCCTGGACCAGGGAGTCAAACAAGGACTCCATCGCAGCATTGTGGCTATCGGAACTGCTGATTCGTGAAAAAGGGCGAGATCTTGAACCAATCCGATGGCCAATGCAGCTCCCAAGCAGTCAAATGCAGGTTGAAGGGTCAGACATTCGGTGCCTGGTTCCTGGATGGCAAGGATGGTGTGAAGCAGCAAACGAGCTGCGGAGGAGTCCAGGCTTTTCTTCTCTAGATGATATATTCCCTTTGCATCTTGTTTGATGGTGAGCGAGAAGTTGCAAGATCGCCAGCAGGCTGAGTTCGGCAATGGACAGATTAACAGGGGTAGTTTCCAAGGATGAGGCGTCGATGGGCGATGACGAGAATGGAGAGATGCCAACTCATCGCCAGTCTCTGCCTCTGCTGGTGTTCACTAGACCAAGTCGCCGTGTGTCCGATACCAGCCTCCTCAATATTCCCATCGCCACCAACCTACCGAAGCCTCGAATGGAAATCCGTCCATGTCGATGAGATGCGAATCTGGCCATGGCAAGCAGTTTGACGAGCAAGATCTACTCTAGCTCTCCCGTTAATCTTTCTTGCCTGGGTCCGGCTCCGCCTCGACTTCGACCGCCGGTAGCAATCCTCCCGAGTCTGCGCCATATACGATCCGCCAACCTTTGAGAATGTGATATTCCGTCCTCACAAATGCACTCTGACATACAGATAGAACATTACGAGTCGAATATCAATCATATCCCCGTCATATACGTCGCTCTGCAGCTTTGACATTGTCAAGCTCTCCGCAAAAAGGCTCGTGCGAAGGTCGGAGCTTCCATGCGACACTTCCACGTTGATTCTGCCGCACCCACCACATTGTGAACCTATCTGCCTCACCAACACCACATTTACACCCATAATTTTTATTTGGCCGCGCGAAGCCCTTTTCATGCATCAACACAAACACTTCAGATTACCCAGAGGCGTCGAGACACGAGTGCGCCGCGCCAGTTGTCGCGCGCACTCAAGCGAAACCCAACCTCCGTGATTTTGACCACCACCGCAGGCATTGGACCAGCCACGCACTAATTACAACACCTTTCGCTCTCACCAGGTCAATGTTACTGCTCAAGGTCCCTGACACCTTGCTTCAGCTCTCCTTAGCCCACTCCCATCGCTAGGGTCTGTGAGCACGCTGTCTCCCAGCTCCCAGGACTGAGGATCCCCTACCTACCATCGTGCGCTCCGAAGCGCACTCACCGCATTGTTCCAAGATCCCACCATCCCTCCAAATTCACTACCAGTCGAAGTGTCTCGGTCCGAGTATCCTCGCTTTGACGACCTTTACGAGTACTACGACCCTGAACGAGAACCTTTGCCCCAACGCCAGCAACTAATACTCACACCTGCCTCGCAACGGCGACCCCAATCCTCCCCTTCCAGCGGTGTCCGATCTCTGAGAAGGACTCCAAGGTTGCAAGAGAGACGGGCTGGTCAGGCTGCAGTAAGAAGATCTGAGCCTCCGAGTCCAACTCCAGAGGCTCGTCCTGTTACACCTCCGAGCGGTTTTGACCAGTCGGGGTCTACCAGTCCACAAAACTACCAACGGCTGGTAGAGAACGAGTCATACTGGCCCGTAAGGACAACTTGTATCTCCAGACACACCCACGACGCTATTCTCTTTGCCTTAGAGGCTATCAGACGAGGTAGTGGGGTAAATGCGCACCCACTGACTCCGGATCTGCTTGAAGAACAGGCTCGGATGTCAGATCTGGTAAGGGGCAATCCGCCCGGTGCCACTGCGCGAACACAAAATGGAGGAGCACCACGTACGACTGCAGCTACCGACACCGGGCCAACTTCGACCGAACAACCACCTCGATACCGTACTCCTACAGATGTCATGCGGGAGAGAAGAAGACGGGAAGCTCTCAAGGCTGAGGAGGCGGCGGCCAAGCAACGTCAAGAGGAAGAGAGAAGGATGCAGCAGGAAGAACAAATTGTTGGCGTTGGGGGAGAACAACGGCCACGACCAAGTGCCAGAACATCAACGGGCAGGCCGCAGCCGACGCAGACTTATAATATAGGTGGACCGCCTGCACAAGTATCTGCCAGTGCCGCTCGCCGGCAAGAGAATATCCCTCCCGCTCAGCCGGGTCCATCGAGAACGGCACAAGCTCCTGCTCAAGTTGGAGGAAGAGAGCCTCGGCTCTCCGCGACCACACAGCGAAATCGTACAGAAGCTTTGGAGCAGCTCAACTATCCAGCAACAGCCAGACCTGCAGTACCTGAACAAACACCTCGACCGACACAGCAACCGCAACAACCCAGACCGCAAGCTCAACCTCAATCGCAGCCTCAGGCAGGAGGTCAAGCTGGTCCACAACCGGGAGCCCAAGCCTCCGGAGCAGGCGGCCGAAGTCGATTTCCCAACGCTTTTGAGAGATGGGAAGACCTGTCAGCGCATTGGGAAGGCATTGTCTCGTCATTTATTCACCGTTTACAAAATAATGCCGACGAATTAGCCGGGAAACCACTAGACAAACAAATGGCTCGGCAGATCGACGACTTGTCTGCTGCAGGGGCAAATCTGTTTCATGCTGTAGTAGAGTTGCAACGCCTGAGAGCATCCTCGGAGCGGAAATTCCAGCGCTGGTTTTTCGAGACTCGGCATGACCAAGAACAAGCTCAAGAAAGAATAGCGGAGCTCGAACGTCAACTTCGTGTGGAGAGGGAAGCTCAGACAGCCAGCTCCACATCCATCGAAGCGGTCCGTGCGGAAAAGAACCGAGCCGAAGAACTGGTAAAGGAGATGCGACGAGAACTTCAAATCAGCAAAGAAGAAGCTCGCCGTGCTTGGGAAGAGTTGGGCAGACGAGAGCAAGAAGAGCGCGAGAGGACTATTGCTCTGAGGAGTGGAGAGCGGACTCTCATTGGCGGCGTCGAAGTTGTTCCCATGCAAGGTCTCCCGAGTAGACAAGTGAGCTCAGCTCAGCGACCACAGACGAGGGAAGGGCCTACAGCTGGTGCTGGCCCCTCGATGTTATCCGGTCAACAACCATCAGCGACCCAACGAGCGCGGTCTCAGAGTCAAACGACAAGTACTTCCTTGGACTCTCCCGGTGAAGAAAGTCGGCAATTCACCTATCAGCCTGAGACAGGTGTTTCTCCTACAGTGACCGACCCGTTTACTGAATCATCGCGCCAACGCGAAGGACAGCCACAGACTCAAATACCCCGCGAGCCAGACACGCAGTTCTACACCACTCCACCCCGCCCAGCACAAACCCACACCAGTGCTGCCGCAATTGCGGCCAGTCGTGCTGCAACGAGTGCCACCCAAGACCTCCGCTATTACCAGAGCCCTACCACGAATTCCCAGATGCCTGGCACACTGCCCGCTCCGACGCGCCAAGGCACCGGAGGTACTGAACGATCGTACATTCCGTCCAGTGCATCGGCCGCCTCCGAGGAGGAATATCACATCAATCCGGACGGCAGCTACACGCGCGACGCTCAGGGCCGCCGCATCCCCTACCACCAAGCCATCGGTCCGTCTGCGCTGCAAGGAGAAATCAGCGACGACGAAGGGGAGGAGGGCGAATACTCCGAGGAAGACGATGACGATCACGCAGCTGACATTGAGCGCGAGAGGATGTACGCTGCCCAGTACCGTCCTCAACCTTCGCAGCAACAGGGCGCAAACATCCCACGAACAACATCGGGCCCACTGCCTCCGATCCCGCAAGGCCGTATGGCCGAGTATGAAGGCCAGGGCTACGGAGCCGAGCCGCCGCCCATCGTGACGCAAGCCCAAACAGCATGGGAGAACATCCAAGCCACACCACATCGACATCCGACCAGATTGAGCGATATCATCGAAGAGACGACACAGCGCACGAGTCCGAGCCGCACGAGCTATGCCTCTGGCACAGGACCCTTGCCTGGCCACGGAGAAGGAAGTGGTGGTGCTGGGAACACGTCCTCAAGGCGATGAACAGTCAACGTCATTCCCATCTGGATTCTTTCAGCGACCAGCTTATGTCTCCCTCATGACGCGAGTATTTTGGCACCCTAAGAGCCCGCTTATTGTCGAAAGCAAGGGTCCGAACAGCAGAAGAACTAAGCCCTCTTGACCGGCACGCGATTTCGACCGTGACTGGTGACGCTGTGTTTGGGGAGTGCTAGTAAAATTCGCGGACCTTTGCCTTTTCTGTTGTTGCTGTACGGTTCATTCAAAATTCACCTCACCGATCCCATTCCGACGTTGATGTTCGTCTAAGGGGCGAATCGACACAGCTCTACTGTTCTATTCCATGGCAAAAACCCGCGACGCGACCGCTGCTTGCTCAAAGTCGCATCACTGCGAGCGCCAATCAACGAAAGGCAAACCCCTTGTACAAATTTTTGTCAGAATACTGAGGTACCAACCTATCTACCCCAATTTTGTACATACACAAAAGGCCTGAATTAGGGCGAGATTCAAAAGTGCACAAGAGGAGAAGTCCGTTCAGTGATACCTGTCGACCAGCTTCGTTTCTTCTGAGAATTACACCACCAACAAGAATTTCAGCAAGCGCAGAGGTGGAGGAAGAGGTGAGGGTGGGGAATTGACCCCGGCGCACTCGCTCATCCAACTGTTCAGTCATGAAATGTGTGGACAGGCTAGGCTCTGATCTTAATGTTTTGGAGAGGGAAAAAGGGATTTCGGCCTGGCATTGGCATTCTGAAAAAAAGGCGGCGGCAAAAGCCCGTTGAATGTGGAAACAGCATCTTTCTTTTATTGCTTCGAGTTGACCTGTGTTAGATTCTGTTTGAGTCTGTGTTGAACATAGCAAGCGACGGCGTAAACGGACGGAGAAGTCTCGATCTCGAAGCTGAGTTTTGAGGCCGGTTCGAAAATTGATGGTCGAGTTCTACCACTGGCAGGGGCTTGGGTTGTAGACGTTTCCCCTCTAGGATACTTATTGTCTTGACTTGAGCAATACTAATTTCCATTTGTCTCCGGTTCAATCTCATTTTGTTCTCATGTTATGTCAATTAGGCCTATGGACTTTTGTTGCCCGTTTCTCAATGTTTTCAGCACGCTGATCCATCACAGTTCATCTCCAGGGTCAAGACATTGTCTGGTCAAAAGGATCCGAGTCGTAGCCAACCGAATCTCACAAACCTCTTCCCAACTCATTGATCCTAGAGTCCCCCAATTCAACAGGCATGTAGGCTGACCCAATCGAATGGTATGCAGGAGGGGTAGGTTCCGATGTTCGTCTCTTATGATAGTACAGTAACCCATTTGCATTCTTCAAACAGCCTCCTCAGCTCATTTCAATCCAGCATTCGGACTCCATGCGTTTGGGTTGGACTCGATAGTAGGCGGGGTGTTGCACCAGCAAGTCAGGCTGAATGGGTTGAAGACAGCTGGTTTGTTGTCATTATTGTAACACGTCATGGCCTTGCAAGCCGCCTCAGTCATGGTTGCAGTGTTGATGTCAGGTGCTGTAATGCCTCTTGAAGAAAGTTCCATCTCTTTGTCTGCGCCATTGAAAATGCACCCGCAGTAGCCATCGGTACTCTTGATGACATGCATATGGTAAAATGGACAAGGTTTGTCGCATTGAATGCCGAAAATTTGGCGCCTCTCTGGTTGCACGTATTCCAGGGTGTTTGCTGCGCTACGTTTTGCCCTCCCAACAGTCAGTGTGACAATGCTCAATGCTGTGCTCTGGGTCGTGTTCATCTGGTCGATATCGATCACCGTGTTGCTACCAGTCAATGAGTAAATGGTGCCGTCTGAAAGCTTCTGTATCCAGTAGGTAATCACATTGGGGATGTACATGTTGACAGCTATGCACTGGCAGTCGGCGACCTGGACCTGGGGCTGGCCCTGCCCCTGTTGGACTACCTTTGGCACAATAGCAATTTTCGGCTCAGGGTCAAGTCCAATGCCACTGCAGGGAAGTGAAGCACTTGCATTGACCACAAGAGTATCCGCAACAAGTCCCTTCAACTGCATGTAGATTCGCAACACATTTTCCCTGAAGTAAGGTATGATGGAGCTGACTGTTGCAGTGTTCTGTGGTTGAACGCTCAATGATTGATTGAGTAGCTCTGGAGTGATGTCTTGCTTTGGAGGGGGGATGAACGTCGGGATCGCAGAGTAGACGGGTGTGGCGGAGCTTGTTGGTGCTTGACGGGGTCGTAGGTCATTCACCTCCGTCTCTTTTACACCCTGACTGTTCAATCGTACATGCGGGAACTTCTCCACCTCGTCATTCTGCAGATGCTCCAGGACCTCATTCTGGAGGTTGAACCATTGCTCCATTGTTCCACAGTAGCAGCGGCGCCCCAAGACTGAGTAGAACGGTTCGGTAGGGTGTGGACAATCTAACTCTTCACATGGATGTGTGAACTTTGACAGGCTCTAATTAGTAGGTTGTCACGCTGTTGGTCATGTTTCACTCACCAGTTTGTTGGCCTTGTCTGGACAACGGCAGGAGCGTAAGTATCCGTCAAAGATCGCGTCTCCGAAAAGACATTGCTTGAAGGTGCACAAGTGTTGGGCCAGGCTCAAAATACCGACATTGTTGGCTAGATCGGCAAACGCATCGATCTTTGTCGGTCTTGATGCCACGAACGCAACCGACAGCAAGGCAAGTAAGATGATCGTCGCGTATCTCATCTTGTCATCTAGAGACGAAAGGATGCTAAGCGAGAGAAAGAGTGATCGCGGCAACGATACAAGCTAGGTTGTTACAAGGGTGAAAGAATGGTGAGTAGTTGGTACAGGTGAGTTGAGGTGCGACAAAGATGAGCAGTTAGCGCAGAACGAGATACCGCACCTCTCAAGAATGTCGCCATTTCCGATGCGGCAGCACTGCCAGCTGTCGATGTGGAAGCCGCCATGGGATTTCCTGCTGTGAATACTGCTTGGGTGTGAAGTTACCTGGAGACCGCCTACCAAAACGAGCCGGGAAAGGCGGTGACGCAGGAAACCTCCCCGGGCTCGCAGTAGCAAGGTTTTGAGGGTAGAAGAGACCTGACATGCTCAATCTTTACGATTTCAGGCAGTTCCATGCATTTCTTTAGACTTGCAACGTGTTTATAGAATTGATTAGAGGACGATGTTTGTGTATGTTTATCATGAGGTCGATGCGGAAGACTGCAAGGCTGCACTAATCCTGTTCAAGATGACAAGGCTGCGGGGTTTCAGCCTCACTAGCCTTGGCTTGGCAGGCGCAGGGCTCATTCCCTGCCCATCAACACCATGATCTCCATTTGACAGGTTTATCAATCGCCACCATCTCGTACCTGGACTCAGCCCGCTGGCGTTCATCTATCTTACATCCAATCCAAGTTTCCCACTCCGACCAACCTGTTTCTCGATGATGTGTTTGACCCTCGTTGCTCCATCTACTAATGCAGTGGCTGGGGTCTATCATTGGCGTCCGCCTGCTCCCAACCTCCATCGTCAACCCAGCCTCATCTTCAATCCTATCATGTCTTATTCTCCGAAGCCTCTCTGACCATGCCTTCCATGTCTCCTCCACTCTCGTCACCGTGCGTCTTTTGCTGAACATTGGTTTTGCCTTTATGCATTGATGTTTTCTTGAACAAAATACTAATGAACCTGCCCGAACACGCTCTACTTTCAACAGTCAAAAGCACAACTCCTCAGTATCAGCGAACCCAGTCTCTAGAATCCTCTGCTGCTACTCAAGAATACTTCTCTGATTATGCTTCCGACCCCGGCAGTCAAAAATCCGACGACTCCAAGGCAAGCTATGAGACACCTCCGTCCCGAATATCCACACCACTTGTACAGCAAAACCCCATTGATTCCGAGATGACCCTTCCTTCGAGGCCTGGCGCAGTCCAGCCGGCACCCCTCAACATTCGACGCGATCAGAACAATGGACCGTCGACCGTGCGAATGCTTTCGAGCTTCGATGAAATGAGCCCTCCTACACCCGGAGTTGACGACACACCATACATAAGATTTGCGATTGAACAATTGACAAGAGATGAGGACGTCTTGGGGCGTGGGAGACATAGTACTGCGTCAGCATTGCAGGAAACTTTGTCCCCAGTCTTCCCGCAAGTTGAGTCGGAAGACGAAAGCCCTCATACTCCTACACCATTTCCACCACCACCGACTCCACCACAACACCCTCCATCGCCACAGCCTGTGCCTCCGGTGCAGAGAAAGCCCGTCACGCAGGAGGTCATGATTCCTGTCGATTTGTCGAAGGACCTAAGATCGCAGCTTGGCTTTGTACCAAGACCTTTACGACTTCCCATTTTGATACTTTTTCTATTCCTTTGCCTATTAATGATCGCCGGTTTAATATTCAGCCTCGTCTTCATTTCGAGCAACCACGGACTCTTCGACTACGACGGAAACGCAACGCCGCGATACTTTGTCTTTCAATACCTCCCGCAACTCCTCGGTATCATCCTGATCCTGTGGCTTTTCGTCATCGAAGCCACAGTGTACAGATGCTTACCATATTTCTGCATGGCTCCGGGAAATCGCAATCCTTGGGTGCTGCAGGAAATGCGCATCGTTCCAGCCAACTATATCCTTCCGGACTTGACCTTCTTCCGAACAGGCGAGAAAATGCTGGGTGTGGCGTTCCTCATCTTCTGGCTGAGTAACTTCACTGTGCCTCTTCTCAGCTGTCTGTACCAAACTCAATGGATCACGAATGATGGCCCTGCACGCTTTCGCTGGACGACTGTCAGGGGTGTGGGTTGGACTTTGGTCTCACTGTACGGTCTGCTCTGCGCAGCAATCATATACTGTATGCTCCGCTTCCGACGATGGAACTCCGGCCTCCTGTGGGATCCACGGTCTGTCGCTGACCTCATCTGTCTTTTCCGCCGGTCAAATGTCGTCTCCGATTTTGAGCAGACCGAGGTCTCTCAGGAGCCGAACCGGCAAATGGCGCCTCGAACTTGCCGTTTGGGCTTCTGGACTACCTCTGAAAGATCCGATGTCTTCCACGCCGTGGGCGAGGAGTATGCCCCGATAAAGCGCCTTTCATTGCAACAATCCCGACAGACCGAGAAAGTGTCTGGCGGCCCTCTTCATCCGAATCAAGCGGTGGATGTCGAAGCTCAACAACGCCTTTCTTACGGTTCTGCATTCTCACGGAACATCCACTCGCCTTATGTGCGTTATCGCTGGACGGTCTGGTTTCTCCGAGACTCTGCTGTCCTGGCATGGATCATTGCAGCGCTTATCCTGGTGATTGCTTTTCTGGTTGTTAGTTTCGTCAACCGTGCCGTCCAGAATGGTTTCGAGCCCCTCATTCCCTCGCTTACACGTTCGGGAGGTTTCTCTCCTGCCGACTTCCTATACAGCTTCCTCCCGTCCCTTCTCGGCATGGTCCTTTTCCTTGCATGGCAACCGATCGCCATGTATTTCCGGGCCGTGCAACCGTTCTGCAATCTCTCTCGACCAACTGGAGCTGATGCCCGACACTCACTATTACTGTCATATCCAGCTCACGGTCCGATTACTGTCATTGTGAAGGCGCTACGTAACGGCGACTACAAGGTCGCCTACATCAGCTTCATCTCACTCCTCTCCCTGTCGATACCAGTCCTCGCAGGCGGTGTCTTTACAGCTCAATTCTTCTCGGCGGAGGATCGGGTCGGGATGGTTGCCAGTATGCCTGGATACATTGCCTTGTGTGTCCTTGTCACCATCTACGCGTTGTCCTATTTGATCATCTGGCCTACCAGGAAACGCTATCTACCACACAACATCAACACCGTTGCAGCCTTGATGAGTTGGCTCTATGCAAGCCCGCTGCTCGGCGATACCGCTTTGCAGAATATCCGCACAAAAAATGACTTAGTCGAAAGACTCATGGGCTCATCATCTCCTACAACGCTGACAGGCGACGTCTCTGGTAACGAAGAAGGCGCAACGAAGAAGCGCTTCCGACGTACCGCCCGCTACAGTGGGCAAAATGCGCCACGCTTCGCGTTCGGTATATTTATGGGCAGAGACGGCAAGGAGCACCTTGGCATTGATCGGTTGCAAAGACCTGGGAGCAGGGAGATGCTCGTCGTGCCTGATTCAGGGTGATTCACGACAAACTACTCGAGAAGGGACCCACGACCCTTTGTACATTCACGATTGCTTCCGCATTACCATTCTTATGATCACGAATTTTGAGCGTACGACATTTGATGCTTAGAGGGGGCTGTGGTCTCTTGATAGGCCGTTGGCTACATACTTATGGCGCAATGGAAACACATGCATCATGGAAGCACCAAGGAGAGACGAAAATGCTGGACGGGTACTAGAGGGCAGATTTATACCAAATGTACAGAGCAGCAACATCTGCTTTCAAGAAAAGCTTTGCGATAGCTAATTGATAATGACTATGTCACCCGACTTGGGGAGACAATCACCTATACGAATTCAAGTTCCACCTCTGAAACGCCGTGCGCTTTCTTCGATCATTTAGTTAGTCTTACCACTGACTTCCATATCCAGACGAGGATGTCGGGAGAGGAAGAAGGCTGGGACCAGCACGATGACCTGGAGGCTCGCAAATCTGGGCTATAGTCTCTTACGACCTTCTGGAGGCGTCCGTTTGTATTCCGACGTTTCTAGGTTGTCATCTCATGCAGGAAAGAGCGAACGGGCGATACTGGAAAAAGCCTCCAGCTCAGCCTCACCAGCCATGTGTCAGTGTAACATGTCGACGCAGCCTCATTGAAGCCCTTCTGGTGTGCTACACATTTTCTCGGCGAGTTGATAGTCTGTCGTGTCCTCAATGGCGATGACTGGCAAAAGTGGCGGTGAACCTTGGAAGACACCCGATTCAAGCAGAAGGCGGATCCATGATGCGAGGAAGATGGTTGCCAGATTCTGCCTTACGATGTTATGCATGGTTATGGCACAGCCCGTCCACACACGGCTACTTGCGGCATTCATTGTATTGTACCCTGCTCGGCTAACTTGCACCGACATACACCTCTACACGAGTTTTTCAGCCAGCCACTGTGTCGAACCGTCCCTTGCTCAACATCAGCCGACATTGCAAAAAACCCTTTGTCGGCACCATTGGTCTTACGGCTCGCGGACCTTCTCTGCAGCCTACAATCATTCTATTGGCAGATTCTTGACTGACGTTTACCGGTCTCTTGTCGATCCCTTGAGCAAGCTGGCAATTTCTCGCGACGACGGAAGATGAGGGAAGTCCCGCAACCCTGATATATCTCGTATCCAAATGGCAAAATCACTGCAAGGCACCCTGGTTGCCTTCCGACACAATGAGAAGGCTAACCATCCCCCGTGAGCATCCTCGTTTGCCAATTCTCCTACCACCTCCTGTCGGCCACCAAAGAGCAGGCGCCTACCAGCGCCTTTCGATGACTGACTTCCGGCGTTGGATGACTACCAGTCGTCCATCAACAATACAAGGATCTACAACCTTTTTGCTTGCGACATCAACTACTGATTCCCACCTGACACATCCTGGTTGAAACGCACGTTATCCCTAAACATGCGACCCAAGACTTACCTAGGGACGGGGATACTCATTTCCAGAGAAAGACCTCCAAGCCCAAGAAAGCTTGACGGCCCTTTGTGGTCACATGTCGCGGTAAGCGCAGATATATCTGCCCTTGCAAGGCGTTGCAATATGCAATATGCAACGGGAACTTTTTCGTATCAAAGACAGGGGTAAATATGTCTGCCTGAGGCAGCACAGCCTTGTCTTGTTGCAAGCCACCTCGCACCCGTCTTGTCTCTCGTGACCTTTCATGGGGCGCTCAACTAAATAGCAGGGATTGTGACAAAACCTAAATTCACAGTGTGCATGGACTGCAGCAATGTCTTGCCTCACTTTGAGCCAAATGACTGCCTCGACCGACCCGAGGGGCTCAAGATCTCTTTGTTTCCGAATGCATCATGCATATGAACCACAAGGCACGCAAACTATAGTTCATGCACCCGCCTGTTTTGCAGGACGGAGCATGCGTTTCCACGAACAGGCAACAATCTGCATGCAATCTTGCAGGGCGCAGTCCCGGTTTCTTCCTGACTGGGCTATACAAAAGTGCTTAATGACGAGCATACGTTGTGTGACTAAAAGATATGACATTGCCTTTGTTCAATTTCAGATCTCTTTTTATCCCCCATCCACAACGCCATTTGTTTGCATACATTGTTGCTTTCAAGACTTGACCACAGGTCGCTACCATCTTCACCACTCTATACATACGCCTTCTGCGTGGCGGCCATTTGCTGGGAGGTATCGTTTTGCGGTCTCCATTTTCCAGAACGACCTGCAACCAATTCGAGCATCGCGCCTCTTCTGGACCTCCATCATCAGCTACGAGGGAAAGGATAACATACAGGAGTAACGACTGCCTCGAATCTGCCGGTCCTCCTCTTCCTGCCACTGCGTTTCCAGCAGATCAGGCCCACCACACCAAGCTCGGCACAGAAGACTCAACTTTATAATCACCAAGGAGCTTACTTAAGATTGTCAGCCCTCTCGATTCGGCCCTGCTCTCGATACCACCGGCCCTCCCGCAATGTGTTTCCTACACCGCACCTTCTTTCTCTGCCCGCGCTGCGAAGCACGCATCTATGAAGGCCCTGTCAGCCGCGAACGCTGCGACGAAGCCCAGTTGAGACGGCGTATTTGCGCTCTTCTCCAGCCAGGCTCCGACGATTTACGTGGAGCAGCAGACCTCTGTGATGAGTGCCGTAACGATGATTACAACAACCTTCATGGGCCTGAGACTCAACCCCGACCTCGACCTCGACCACAGCCTGAGCGGGTAGCAGGTGGCCATCAGCCACCGTCCGATGTATCGGATGATCTACCCTTACCCCCTGACAGGCCCGTCAGGCCTCTGGATGAAGGCAATTATCATCCTCATCAACGCGAGCCTCGACGTGGGCGTGAGCAACCACCTAGACCCAGACCCAGACCCCAAGATCATGGGGCAAAGTACGATGACGAAACGATCTCCCTCGAATCACTGAGCGTCCGTGATCCACACGAGCGTGACTATGAGCATGAGCCCGAACAGCGCGGCAACGACAACAACAACAACAACAACCGCGGTAGACAACAGCGTGGGCGCGATCACGAGCGTGACCGCGAGCAGGAGTGGGATCGGCGCAGAAACCCTCCTGTCGTCGAGTCGACGTGGAAACCATCGAAGAACCACAACCACAACATCCCCGGCCGTTCCTGGACGGACTCGCAGCCTCCTTCTTATTACTCAGGATCGATCTCGACGGGCCGCAGTCGCGAAGGTCGTGGCCCCTTGGGAATTATCCGTACAAGGGATGAAGATGGCCATTCGGAGATCTCGTTCCCTTTGCTACGGCCGGGGTCCAAAGTCAAGAAGGATGGGAGTGGGAGGCTCGTGCAAGAGCGGCGGAAATGGTGAATGAACGATCAGGACGGGCTTGGCTTGGGCTGGCCTGTGGTCGTATCGGGTCGAGGGTGGGCTCTGATTCGGATCGAGCGGTGGGCTGGCCACACGCTGGCCTCCGAGAGGAAACATGCTCAAAGGATCAAAGGCATGGATGGTCTGATCGACTTGTCCGATGTTGTGCTTCTATGGAGTTTTGCGGCGTGTAAGAACATGGCGGACAGCGATTCGAGGGTTTCAATTTCGATTTTCTTCTCTTGTGTTATTGGAGGAACGATACGGATATCGACAGCATGTTTTGATGATTACTGCCAGATATACCCCAGCTCAAGACTTTGACGTGCTTTCGCTGTCGGCGTCGCTCAGCCTTTCTCATGACGTTGACTGACATCATCACATCACCTTTGCAATTTGACACGCTCCACAACTATCCGTCCCATTAATGCTGCGGAGAGCCGATGTCCATCTCACCAGAAAACCTCCTAAGAAACCTCACAAGAAACCTCACAAACTTACTAGTCGAGCACGGCATTATCGGCGCCCTCAGCATCGTGTTGTTGGTCGTCGCCGAGATGATCATCACCGTCGTCGTGGTCCATAGCCTCAACGTCGAGCATGAGGTTATCTTCCTTCCACAACATGACATCGGCGACTGGAAAGCCCTGAACAGGTTCGACTGGCTCAACTTTGTACATCCAGCAGTCCGTTTCCCATGCTTCTTTCTCTGCTGTTGCTGTCTCTGACTCTCCTTCGGCAATGGGTTCCCCTTCACTTGCACGGAGACGCGAGAGTGCATGATCGTCCATTTCATCGGCCTCCATGAACGTTCCCTCGTTATCGCGGAAATAGACTTGTTAGAGTCAGCTTTGTACTCCACCCAAGTCTCCGTGCGGCAGATCTCTGTCATGACTTACGAGCGCGAGCTTCACTGTTCTGCATTTCCAGCTTTTTCATCCACCAAGCACCGACTATCAACGACTTTCCAATGATCTTGAATGCTTGCTTCGAATAGTACCCATCGAGCCCAGGAATATGCTCAGCCCATGCATTTGTTGTGTCGCTTTCGACACGGACGATGTCTCCCAAGCGGAACGCCGATTCGAAGTCGTCGTATTCCACTGGCATGTCGTTCTCGTCGTCGCTCTCATAGTCATCTTCCTTCGGCTCGTGATAGGAGTCCCAGAGGGAGTCGAAATGAGAGGAGAGGGCCTTGATAATTAGTTCGTAAGGCACACCTGGGTGATCATCGTGGCTGCAATAGCTTCGCTTTGGACCTTGAAGATTTGGTAGGGTCGTGGGGTGAGAAAGGGGGGTATTTTCGGAGGCTTGTTCGGTGTTTGTTGGTGGTGTGGCGGGACGAGTGGTGCCTCCTCCTAAAGAGAACCCGTCTTGTGCCATGTCCAAAGTGGGCGCCACGATCATTGTGGGTGGAGCCAGAGCGGCTACGCTTGAACGTGGTGCGAAATTTGTGCCTGAGAGAATATGAAGATCAGCTCAAGAGGTTCTGAAATCGCCTACCAAGGGCAAGGTGGTGGTTGAACTTGTTGGGAATGCCGTGCTGAGAAAGAGATGTTTTGAAAACAATCACTGACAGTGAATGCTCAGAGTGCCTGTCCACCGCCTTCACTGGCAGGCGCTTCTGATGTTCAAGTCCGTAGTAGCTGCCTCAGTCCCATGTCCTGCCAAGCTCTGGCACTGATACCTACTATGCCAATAAGACTTACGTGTCAAACTGTCACTACTGAGCACCTTCTGCGCAGTTTGCCGGTGGTTGTGTGCTCGAGGATAGGATTCGACAGAAGTACAGAGGTGGTGGGCCCTGCGGACTTGGGTAAGGTCAGTCACAGTACACCAAGTCAGTAGTAGGCTCAAGACCCTACGGTCGGCGGGTGAAAGTCCAGAGAGCGGCTGACCGAAGGTGGTTTCGTCCACAAGATGATGCAGAGAATACTCCTGTCCACCTTCTTTTATGCTGATATCTGCAAGCAGTTGCTCACTCTCAGGCTGCACGGAAGATGTGACGTACAATTGAAGCGCCAGCGATGTCCCTGTCTCACGACCTTGCCGATACTGGTAAGGTCCGAGTTAGCCGTGGATGCATTCTCAAGAAGCCGCTGAAAGTGTACCTTGCCGAATTTGGTCCAAAAAAGGCGGAGTCATTGCTGGCTTCGAGCTATCACAGTAGAAGGCCTGCTGCAGGACCGCATGTCAAGAGACGCTTCTGCAAGTCCTGTCACGTGACGGTTGATGATGCGGATTGTAAGATATTTTGAGAGCGACTAACACCTTGACATTGAGCTCGTCGGTGTGATTGCGCCACGGGCCAATGGTCTCGACCAGACCGCAGCCTGCTGAAGTTTGTTCCAACCCCTGGTCGGCGGAATTGGAGCCAATCAATACACAGCCTTGCGACATGGTATGTACGCCAAAACGGCCCCCAACGAGCGGCTTTTGGCAGGACGCAGGCAGCTGTCGGTGGTGCTGGAGTCCAAGCCTCTCTGCTCCTTTCCTGTTTGTTCAATTGCGTCATAAGCTGTATATAAGTAGGTTGAGAGAGGAAGTAAGAGCAGGAGCTTGGACACCACACCTTTTGAGCCCTTTCGTGGTTCGGAAGCGGCCGTAAAACGTAGGGGCGTCCCTCCTCTTTCGACCAAAAGGGAGATAGTCACTCTCACAATGGTGGGACTTCCGAATGTTGAGGATTTCCCTTCATGGCATGATTTTGAGCCTTGTGACGACAAATTTACCTGCATTTATTACCTTGTTGACCAAGGGCGGAGATGCCGCCGTACTATCAATAAAAATGATCGTTTCGAAGCCTCCTCCCTACACAAGAAAGCCTTGGAAGCCCCGTCTGCCCAGGACTTCTCTGGCCTTTTATCGAACCTGGCCGAGTTGAGCTGTTGCAAGCAAAACCATCGCAAGCTTGTCCAAGGGTCCCGTATCCAGGAGCGGCTTTGCCTGAGATGGCAGAAGGAAATCCAGGACGGAGATCGAGTCAAATTTCGAGATCAAGAAGATAAGGATATATCAGTCTTGCGGCCCAGTGTCGGGACGAACAGTCGCAGCATTTGTCGACCACAGACTTCTGAGAACATTCCGAGATACAACTTGAGACCAGGGAGCTCCAGAACCTGTGAAAAGCCCAAATTGGCCACTGCTGAGGAAGTCCTTCCCGTGTCCGAGTTCGTGGCTCACGTCAAAAGCCCAGATCAGACATTCGTGTCAACTCTCCTTCGACCTTTGGGCCTCGGAAAGGCTTCGAAGCCGAATAGTAGCGCCACACCAGAATGGCAGAAGTCGGGCTCCATATATTGTTTCAGTCGAGCATCAAGTCCCGGTATGGTCAAGATTGGTTACACAACCGGTCCAGTGTGGGTGCGTCTGAGCCGGTGGAAGACAACATGCCACTATCAACCTCTACTGAAGTTCTTCGTCGAGGATGTTCCTCATGTGAAGCGTGCTGAGCTCCTGATACACTTCGAGCTGCTGAAACATTGGCGGAGAGAAAGAATGTGTAAGTATTGTCTCGCACGACATCAAGAGTGGTTTGAGGTAGATGCAGCGGTAGCCGAGACGGCGATCAAAAACGTCACAACCTGGATGAAAGTCGCGAGGCCTTATGATGAGGACGGCTTCCTTAGCCAGAAATGGAGGAAGATCATCCGCAACCTGGAAAAACAGGGCATTCAAGTGACTTCTCAACGCTTGCTGGAGGCATTTTATGGGTTGGAAGAGAAGTCAGAACAAGTCAGCAACAGCCAGCAGTCGACCAATGCGCAGATCAAGGACGAGTCAGAAGGTATGGCACGTCCAAGTATGGCAACTTTCAGTACGAAGCTCGATGACAAGGTGGTGGCTTACATTGCGGAACTTGTCTCACTCCTGCGCTCGGATCAAGTTATCCAGCCGCGGAGTTCATCCAGGACTGATAACACCCTGTCAACTGTCTGTCATGATACTCTGCACAGTGGCTCGTTATCACGACCACAAATTGTGGTTTCGGGGTGAGGTTTTCGATATGGGAAAAGCGCAATCGGAGTCGAAGGGCATATTGTTATTGTCGATATCATCAATTTTTCATTCAGGGTTGTTGGGCGGATCATAAGACCTTGTAATAGTACTACGGCCGAGTAGATACACCATTGTCCTCTTCTTTGCTCCGGGCACCACCGGCACGGCACATATGGAATGTTTTTGGCCTCCTGGACCTCCCCTCATTCATGATACCTCATCCAGGTCACCCAACATGCTATTTGTTCGTTCTTTGTCCTTCAGAGTGTTGCACAGTACATTACATTACTGCTGTCCAGTGTAGGACCTTTCGTCACACGGCTAGAGAGACGCGGATAGCCCTGTTCAGCAGATGACTTCTCCCACCTTGTACATTCCTCTCACCTTCGTGGCCAGTACTATCTTCTATTCCTGTCTGTATGCACTCACCAGTCCACTTTCTTCCTCGCCACGATACAGCAGTGTAGCGTCTCCCGCCGTCCGACTAGCTGCGAGGAGAGAAGCCGCACAATTCGTACACTGCGCCTTGACGACTATTTTAGTCATCATATGTCTCCGAAGGGAGCTGAACGAAGTCTACCCGGCCAGCACTGAAGTTGGAAGACACGAAGATGGCACTACGGGACCGAAGGACTCCCGACTCCCGCTCATCACGCATACTTCAGCCTTCGCCAATGCGCTGACGACGCTTGAATTGGCCTGGCTCATCGCCGATACTTGCATTCTTCTGCACACCCAACGCGCGTGCAGAACGTCGACGACGTCGGCTTTCAACCAGTGTCCGGTGTCATCCACTTCAAGTTCTTCTACTCCCGCCCAACCACGAAAGTCATCCATCAGTCAGAGTACAAATTCTACACCCAGGACGCCCCTGAATTATCCTCACCTTTACATCCACCACGCCATACTTATCTCTCTGCTCCTCTGGCTGCAGTACAAGCTGCTTTCAAACCCGGGACAGGGCGTCGGCATCTTAATCATCATATCCTTCTTGCTGATGAACGCGTCCTCGCCCTTCGGAACGCTGAGATGGTTCCTGCTGAACTTCGCGGCCACAGAAAGCTCGAGTGGAAAGTCTAAGTCTCAACCGGTGGCGACGACTCCTGAAAGAGACGCACACGCGACAATAGCGCTCCGGGCAGCGACGTGTGCGTATCTACTCATTTTCGCCATCTGTCGGATCGGGCTGTTCTACCTGATCATGAAGATATGGGCGGATATGCAGGGCATCGGTGTCTTCCGAGCCTGGCGAGAGTTGCGTTGGCAGTGCAACATGGGATTCACGGCCATGGTGATCATCAACACGTTGTGGTGGGTTACTGGTACGGTGAAATTCTTACGCCAAGAGATACGAGCCGTTGGAAAGTCGAAACAGTCGTGATCACTCGCCAGCGCTGAATAGCAATGAAGAGGTTGCCCTGCTGGTTCAATTTGGTTGTCGTTGACTTTGACTGTTATCTCAATATATAAAAACTGATACGTAGAAAGCCCTAAGGTATTGAGCAGAAACCTCCCCTAGACCGTAATCTCTGTTTCGTTATTAGCATTGCCCATAGGTACAATGTTCATTTGCTGTTGAGCCTGTTTCTGAGCGACGGCGCAGGCACAAACCGCCGAGCAGAATTGTTCTTGCTCCACGACGTCTTTGTGGAGCTGCTGGCTGCGCTTCGCTGGCCAAACTTGCCGGCCACCCGCTTCGGTCTCGATCGCCATATGTTTCTTTAGGTCGGCCTCGATCAAAGATTTGAAGTAGAGTACGCCGCCCTCACGTTTGGTGTGCAGAGGTCCCTGAACGTAGACCCCGGTGTTGAGGTTCTTCTGGACGCCGTTCATCAGGTCGTAATCCTCAAGTTCGATGCTCTCGAAAAAGTCGGCCGCGCGCTGGAAAATGTCCATGTCGGAAGCCGGGTTCCGGAAGGTTTGGTATTCCGTGGTGACCGTGGTCGGACCGGTGGGGATGACACGCATGATATAGATGTAAGGCGTCGATATGTTTACCGAGGTATTAGGGTAGTTGTAGGTGAAGGCTCCATTTCCAAAATACTCAAAGTCTTCGGGCTTGATATCATCTCTGTTCGGGGGGAAATGTTCTAGACGCCCATTATGCCCTTCGACAGAATATCGGTCCAAGTTGGTGATCTTTGTGATGCCGGGGTGGCTTGCCTTGCAGTGGTAACACTAGGTAATTGATGGTTAGCTCCTGGATCCGCGGTCGTCTGAATGCTACGGAACGCGACAACAACAACCACGATAAGCCTGACGTTATACTTACTTCATTGTAGTTGTCACCGACCAATTTCCAGTTGTATTTGCCATTGGTAGTCCAGGTTCGGTGGTAGACATAATTATCGATCGGAAAGTCCTGAAGACGTGCCTGCTCGTCGGTTCCGGCATTCAGCTCTTCCCACGGGATTGGAGTCTCAGAAGAGTCAAAGTTGACCCAGATAAATCCAGCTTTATCGACGTGGGTGTGAATGGCAAAGAGACTGTAGTCGTCCTTGTTGAAATCCTTCGTCTCGTCAAATTTGGGAGCCTTGGCCAACTTTCCGTCCAGGTTGAATGCCCAGCCTAGAACCGTTAGCAATTGAGACTCCCTCTTCTGGGACAGGAGGGGAACGGGGTTCCAACGGGAGGGGTGGAGGGAAGGGGCATATCCAGAATAACTAACCATGATAACCACAGGCGATGATTTGCTTTTTCCCTTGATCCGGCTGGTCTTTGTCGATCAGAGGATATGCTCGATGGCGACAGATATTATGAAAGGCCTTTATTTCACCCGCCTTATTCTTGATCAAGAAGAAGTCGAAGCCGGCCATGTCGAACCTCAGATAGCTGCCCGGTTCTGTGAGGCGGAGACGGTGCGTCGTAAGCAGCCATCGCTTCGAGAAGATTGCTCGTCGTTCAAAGTCGTAGAAGGCCGGCTCTGTGTACCAGGAATTGGGGAAAACACCCTCAAGGACAGTCTTTGAAACACCTGATCCAGTCGTTTCGCTCTTAGTCTGGCCCAGAGTGGCGCTGTTCGGGAGCTGAGCAACCATGATAACAAAGCTGTGAGGTTGTGTTTGCGGATGTGAAGAGATGCAAAGACAAGGCTTATTGTAAAGGAAGTCTCAGTAAGAGGACTTCAGAGTGAGTGAGGCGACCGGGATTAATATGCCTTTCAACAGATAGGTGTGATTAGCAACTCTGTGTTTATCCTTAGCCGTCCACCCATAGAGGGTAATCCATGCCGTGGGCGATGATGGTCCTGTTCGATGTACCATCACGCTAAGTCCCGCGACATGTAGGGAGTAGTAATGTTCAATCAGGCACTGGTCAGTTTGACAGACTGGATTCAATGGCAATGGCAAGTAGCAGAGAGCAGCCTTCCCGTATCGAACAAATCAAATCAGCTTGATGGGGCTCAAAGAGGTAACTCATCGCGTAAGAGTGGTCTAGCCCAAGAAAGGTCAATTGTTCCCCAGAATCTACTTCAATCACAGACCTTATGTTCGAACATTGTGGCATAGCAACTCAAACCCCCTGATCGCCTTGATCCGTCTAGGCAATGACCCGTGGACCTGATTTCAGATCAGTCCGGATACGCCATCGGATCCGCTCATATCCGTCCCGACACCTCTGAAGTAGAGGCCAACCCCCAGATCGGCTTGTGAACAACGACCTCTACCTCCCTCAAGCGTAATATCACCCTAAATCCAGAAGGCTGGCATGTGATGTCGTGCTCGGCGATCATCAAGGCGAACATTGGCCTCATCAGTTTTATGGGTCAGAATATAAACGTGTTGGTGCCCTCTCCTACGGTATTCTTCTCCTGGGATGGTAGACTGGTTGATGATCACAGAAGTTCATTCGCCACTCGACCGAAGGGAGAAGGAAGCTAGAATAGAAGTTGCAATGCATAGATCTACACTGAGGTACCCAAGAATATTTCGTATGTCTGAGAAGCTTTTCCTGTTTCCTGCGCCACCCTTGGAGCGGATCGTTAAACCGGTTCAAGTCTCCTGTGGACTGGCAGGAGATAATGGCAGTACATGCATCTACTTCTCCTCGCCGCTTAGTTTATTCAGCTCAGTAATGTAAGCCGTATTGCATAGTCTTTCACTGCTGTGTGATGAGCGATTATCGCAATTGGTCGGGTGAGGAAAGTAGTCGGAATCCCCGGCCGTCACTATGTCTCGGGGATATTGGTATAGTTACAGACGGTTAGACAGATTATGGGCAAGTCCTCCCACAACCATCTGCTCTCTCCGAAGGCCAGCTTTGGTAAGACAAAGGCAAGAAGAGGGCCAAAAGGCTAACCCAGTGCGGCGCCGTGTACTGGAGGGCCTCGATAGTGCTTCTGGCCCCATGCCCAATACCATGCCGCAGCAAGAGCGACGACACCACAGAAGACGGCGGGGGCGTAGTTTACCGTCTCTCTAGCCACTGGCAGGTATGATGGCATGCAAAAGAGAGGGAGGGCCAGGCAGGACCAAACTGGATCCCAATCGTTGGTTAGCAAGGCTCGACAATGACACAAGATTCGGAAGAGGAAGTTATAATACACACCGAGCGCGAGAACATTGCAAAAGGTGCCAAACGCGCCGAGATAGAATGGACCCGTTTTCACATGAGCACGTCCCCCAAACAGGGACACGGCGATCGGCACAGCATAGCTGACAGTAAGGAAGATCACTCCAGCACCTGAAAAGGCGTTGAATGCTGCGGTAGAGCCGAAATAAATCAGTCCAAGCAAGATCTGGACGCCGGCGCTGAGGAGAAGCGCATTCAGTGGAACTCCAAGACGTCGATCGACTTGCTTCCACCAGCCAGATGCCGGTATACCACCATCACGCGCAAACGCGTATATGCACCGAGAAGTGGCTGTCGTGCAGCCCACGCCACAGATTAGGGCGAGGACTATCAGTGGCACAAGTAGCCCGAAAGCGCCTCCTGAGTTACCGATTGCCGACTTGAGTATTGACGGAAGCGGTTGACCGGAGGCGAGGCTGACGAGGAAATCGAGATCCGGTAACACAAACATCAAGGGGATGAGAAAAAGCAGGCCCGCCACTGTATTCAACATCACCGTTCCAACCATTGCTTTGGGTACCTGCGTACTTGGGTCGCGGGCCTCTTCACACATGCTGTCCAAGTGTCCATAGGATTAGCAAAGGAACAATTCTCAGGAGGAGGCGGTGGCTATGGTAAGAACACCTACGAGATGATCATCCCGGTGGAAGAGGTGGCATAGCCAGCTTGTAAGAGTCCAACACAAAAGGCCCAACCTGGGGTCCAGCCTGAAAGTGGCTCGAAATCTCCAAACACGTATTCGCCAGAGTGTCGTCCATTCTTCGCAATGGCCAATGTGCAAATTGCGGTGGCTACGAGAGCTGCAAGTGTCCAGAAGGTTGCAAATGCCTGTAAATACGTTAGCCCCAGACTCTGGTCAGATAGGCGGTGAGTAAGGGCAAGAGCTCTCACGTCAAGCTTGGGAAGGTGTCGATTGCCCAAGGCCGATGTTGCTGTACATAATATGGTGATTGCGAGAAACAGGAGGTAAATGTGGTATGTTTGGGTTTGGAATATTCCCACTCCAGGTTCCTTTTCAAAGACATTGATGCAGGCAACAACGAAGGACGTGGTGCCAAAGCCGACCGCCAGCGTGATGACCACGTTCCCAGCCACATAAGACCACCCACAGATCCATGCTGCCAGCCTACGCCACCGCACCGGGGAGAGCATAAATGTTTGGTAGTATACACCTCCGGCGGTTGGATAGACGCTTGTGATCTCGCCCAGGGAAAGGGCCACACAGATTATGATGAGGGAGACTGACACCCAGCCCCAGATGACGGTAGCAGACCCGCCATTGATGAGGGGATAAAACAGACTGGTGCCCAGGCCATACGGCACCGAGGCCAGCACGAAGGACATGAAGGCAACATGGAAGGTCGATCGGTTCCTCGACAGCTCTGGTTCGTAGCCCAGATCTGCTAGAGCTTGGTCTGCTCGTAGCTCCTGGACCTGACCGGCTATCTCAATGCTCTCTAGTCTGCTGAGTTCCTCGTTTTTCGTCGGCTCTCTCGGTTCGACAATACGACCAGGTTGACTTTTCCCAGATTTCGAAGTTGACGCCATGATAAGGATAATGTTGGAAGCCAAACACCACTCAAAAATCGAATTTTTGTTCCAAATCAACTTGCGGTCGTCGACAAAACAGGAGGGAGTGCAAGGTCTATCTATGCGAGTTGTACTCGAGACTCGCAACTGTGGAGCCCATCCCAGATCAGGCATATTACTCCAGCAAAGACCATGTTGCTGAAACTTAAGGAATGTAATGCCAGATTGAGAACGCCATGGCGAGTCTGAAGGGCGGCTCATCTGTTAGTGGCTCCACGCCATGACTTTGCCCAGACTCAGTCCTACTAACTGGGAATCTAAGAGTTGTGACGTCTCCTTAGGCTGAACGGCTGAACGGGTTCAAGCTATCACGAGGAAGAGTCGCCGGATTTGCCCCAGAAATGTATTTGGCCTGCGTACAAGTTAGGTCTACAACAGCTTTGGACTCTGTATGATTCTGCAATGTCTCATGCAGAGTGTAGAGAGGTGTCGAAGAAGCATTGAGAAGAGATCGGAAAACAGAAGTATACCTCTCTTTCCTGCAAAGTCGACTAAGTCTCTACTCGACGTACAGCATAGGGTTTTTCATAGACCAGATAGATAAAGTAGATCAAGGTAGGTGCAGACTGAAGTGCCAATGTATCAGGTAATTACTAGGGCAATCTAGAGTTCAATCTTTCCGAGTTTGCGCTCTGTCAGGAACTACACTGGCAGGATGTTAACTGTGAAGTATCTGAAGCCCAAGACACTAGGACCTTTCGTTATCTCTCAAATCTCTTGGACGAAGATCTGACTTTCCAAAACTCAAACCTTCCGGGAGTTTTCTTGTGTTTGTATTGAGGACACACCTCGAAAACACTCGATGCTGCGTTGAGGTCAGATGTCGAAACCAATCTTCTTACGCCAAAGTTCTTCCCAGCCCGGGTAAAATGGTGACTCGGCCAGAGTTTCTTCCACCCAGTCTGCACTGATCACGCCCTTTTCTACCTGCTCCTTCCTCCACGCCTGCAGTGCCTCCAGGACCACAGGTCGAATGTGTGGATGGACTTTGGGTTCGGTGAGCAAAGGTTTCCCTGCTGTGATCTGCTTATATAGCAGCGACGGGATGTAGGGCTCGTCTCGGAGCTCCTGCATCGGCGTAAAAACGGCTTTGAAATTGAACACAACGGCGCCAGACAGAGGCAACCGACGGAGGGTTTGCCAGTCGCAACGCAAATAACACTGATCAATGCCAACATTCTCGCCTTGATGGCGCGTGCCAGCATTCCGAGCGAACTCTTCAGGCGTGACGAACAGCGGTTGCCAATCTTCTACAAACCAGGAGCCACGTTGAATGGGTTGATCTACAGGCATCTTAGAGAAAAACCTTCCACCAAGAGAGGAACCGTCAGTCAGTCGCCATACAAGAAGTACTCGAGAGGCAATTCTACACTACACTTACCGATCCATCGACTTGGACATCTTTTCTTCGTAATCATTGACCTCAGTGTGAATCGCCCGCAATTGTCGATTGTTGTGAGTTCCAAAAGTCCAGCCAATAGAAGAGCATATGAATCCGGCTTTCAGGTAGTACATGCCATCCTCTTCACTGCGCAGCATAATGGCAAAATCCTCCGGGATGTTGTCAAAGAGGATGTGTAGCGGATGTTGAGAGTTTACCGGAGTTCTTGTCTTCAACAGCCGATTGACGAAGATGCTGTTTGAGTCCTCCAGCGCGAAGTGACTGGAATAGCGGATGCAAACGTACTGCAACACCATCTCCATCAGTTCTCGGCAAGCAAGCTCTGAACCTGGATTGTAGTTCAAGACATCGGTTCCGTGCTGCTTCCAGAGTTGTTTGCGTTGTTCTAACCGCTCGAAATAGTTCTTTTCCAGTTCAATCCAGAAATCAGGTTCGAACTTCATAAGTGCTGTACTTGGGAATCGGTCCGTTAGCACGGGTTTCATCCTCACAAGAAGGAGTTCTCTCTACTGACACATGGTCTGATGATAAGCAAATCTGAAGGGCCGAAAAGGCCGGAAGGTCGCCGTATTAATATCAAAGCCGGAGCAGGGTTTCGGATGAGGCACGCCACTCAAGGCAGAGTAATCAGGGAATGTCCCGAGTGCTTTGATATCCTCCGTGGAGAATCCGGTGGGAGTGTATTGACCGTCTTTGCCAATATCAGCAGCCCTTGTCGTCGGAAGTTGACAAGTTTCCAGCTGGATCTGTGTTGGACTGGGGCCTTTCAACAGATCGCGAACTTCATGGGTTCCCTCGATGCTTCCGGCGGCAATGGCTCGCCGGCGAGAAGGCGGAAATTGGACTTTATATCCTCCCGCCTCGCCCTTGGGTCTTTTTGCATGCTGAGGGTGGTGCTGGGCAGACGCATTGAAAGCACCTTTCTTCCAAAATGCTACTCCGATTGAGTTGTGACTGTAAAGTTTCCCAGCTACCAGTCCGGACAGCATCAACACAAGAAACAAGGCCGAAACGCTGGTAAACATATTTTCCCAGTCGACAGTCGTCTTACCATAGCCTGTTCGGGCTAAGGAGAAGCGAAACCCCATTGTGAGCGACATACGTAAAGGGGCAGATAGAGGACTCTTGCGCTGTCTTTTAGCATTCGGAAGACGACGCCAATCTGCTGTATTCGCCGTCCCCGCCATGTTCGCCTCGTAACATCTACCGCTTACTGCGCACGGGTGGGATGTGGTGCGCCCCTTACCAATCAGATGCTCTTCGCGATGCATTTCTACTTTAAGAAGGAGCCACGCGGATCCTGGACGGCGCCCAATCAAGGTTGAGTGTTCCAGAGTGTTCCACTGTGTACACGTCTAGAGCAGCTGTCGTAGTTGTCAGGACGGAACATTGAGACCATTCTCAACGGCCTCCAACCCTCCCCAACCCTCCATAGCGTCTCTTCGGCCTGGGCAGAAGTGACACGGCGCTGATTAGGCTTACTACGTTGTCGGGTGCCTCGTGCCTAGAGCCTTACACATCCCCCATCCGCTGCCCATTGTGCTGAAGAATACATATATATTGGTCAGACTCACTATGCAGGCACTCTAGTCACATCTGAACGAGCGCATCCTCCTACCTTTAGGCTGAAAAAATGTCAATGACATATGAAGAGTGTCTGGCTAGTGGTCGGCCCAGCTGTCCAATGCCGGATGTTCCCAGCAATGTTATGGAGCAGTTCAGCATGAAAGGGAAGACCTGCATTGTCACAGGAGGAAGCCGTGGCATCGGATATTCTGTTGCAGAAGCACTTGCCGAGAGTGGTGCGCAAGTTGTAATTGTCTCCCGCTCCAATGGACAGGATGTGGTAGCGAAAGCCGACAGCTTGGCCGAGCGGTACGGAGTGAAGGCTATATTTTGTCGATGCGATGTCGCCGACCCGTCCCAGGTGCAAAATCTGATCTCGGAAGTGCGCAGAGAGTTTGGCAAAATCGATGTCTTCGTGGCCAACGCCGGAATCTGCTACCCAGACTCCCTTCTCGACCAGTCCCTGGACCGGTATCATGAACAAATGAACGTCAATGTACATGGGGTGGTGTACTGTGCGAAGTACGTCGGTGCCGTTTTCAAAGAACAAAGATTTGGGAATTTCATTATAACCGGGAGCATGAGCGGACAGGTGGTCACTGTACCCGTGGATCATACCGCCTACAACACTACGAAAGCCGCGGTCACGCATCTCGGGCGAAGTCTTGCTCGCGAGTGGCGCGACTTCGCCCGTGTCAATATCGTGGCTCCCGGCTGGATTGAAACTGATATGAGTACCTGCGAAGCCTCCATTAACGAAGCTAACCGTATGGCCGTTTTAGGCCGGCAAGGTATCCTCCCAACTCCCTACGGGGCCCCTGCTGCTACGGACAAAGCTGATAGACCTCAGGCCATGTCAAGGAGCTAAAAGCGGCGTACCTCTATCTTGCGAGCAACGCCAGCTCCTTCGTTACGGGGACTGTACTGCAGGTTGACGGTGGCATTACTCTACCTTGAGTAATTGAGGCATTCTCAAGACTCCTCACTCTGCAACGAGCCTTTTTTCGAGGGACGGTTCAACGCTCGATGCATTTGTACAGTAGCACGAATGACGCAGCACCACGCCTGAGACCCTCAAACGAGAGCCGCAATCGCCCGGTGCCCGATGGCATCTTATTGCCGCCTGATTCGACAACAGACGGATGCCGCTGTGCGGAGGTCTTCACTGAGTTGGAACCAGTCAATACAAGAATAGAACGATATCACAACGAAGCGGGGCTTCGGGACTGAACCAATTGAATTTCCAGGGACACAGCGCGTGAAGGAAGACAGGTGCATCCGAGATTATGGGCCGCCAGCAAATGTCCCGGAGATGATAGGAGCATAAACCGGAGGAACCGGACGGAGATCAGGACAACACGGCTGACGAGATAGAGTACGGAGTAGGTCCTGTAACTCCCTACCTAGAAATTGATTCCTTGTGGTGGTTCACAAGGCTCAACCAGGCGAGCCGGCTTAGTTAAAGGCTTGATTTTATTCGCCTTGATGGCCTTCTATTCCGTAGGCCCCTGTCCTAATCTCCAGTAGGGTCAATTATCAGCTCGGGTAGGTAGGCATGAAGAGACGCCTAGCGGTCCAAGTTGGAATGGTCAAGATAAGCAAGACTGCAATCTCTCTCCAATCAAACGGGGTATATGTACGGCTGGCATCACAGGGTGGCAGATGCGTGGGAGCTTTGCCATGAGTACCCCGGGTTGAGCCTATCGGGTCCAGAGAGAGCCCATAGCTGCTTCGTACATATTGTACATAGGCACAAGGTAATATGTCATCCTTTCCCTAGGTAGTAGTCTTATCGCTGCTTCCTCCCTCCCTGCCCAGTTGCCTCCGACCTTCTCCCCCAAGTCATAGTTGCGTTCGGCAGAAGCACTTGGGGCTTCATGCAGCTGCAACCCTCACTTGAAGTAAAGGCGCCGCGGAGGCGACCAGTGCGGAAGTCCTTTTCGGGTTGCGCGCAGTGCAAGAGTCGAAAGGTGTGTCTGATATCCACCTTGCCACCATGAGATTTTCCACTCCAGGGCACTGAGACGTCCCACAGATCAAATGTGATGAAACAAAACCCTTCTGTGAGCGCTGTGCCGACAAAGGTCTGACATGTCCGGGCTTTCCCGCGCAAACCAGGCTTCGCTGGTCCGCAAAGCACGAAGTGTACGGACGCAGACAACTCCCAGCGAAGACCGCGGATTCCCCTGCGCAAGATCCATCCTGGCCAGAGAAGCCCAGCCGAGAGCCATCTCACTCATCGCCATCGGGAAGCGAGGTGGTCGCTCACCTTAAAGTCGATCTACGAAACCCGGATGGCCAAACGCAACAGCCGATTTCCGCAACACTTCTCCCTATACTGAAGGACCACAGCGTGACATGCGGGACTGAAACTTCCCCTGTGACCAAAGGAAGTACGACTGAATCATTATCTGAGGCCAACTACGCTCGTATGAATGTGGAGCAGCCTTCCTGGCCATTTGATAACGCCGAGCGCTTCAGCATGGCCGAAGGGTTTATGCCCAGTCCAAGCCACGATTTCATCGCTCGGTGGTGTCCCAACGATAGACTGGAAGGCGACGTGCCGTATCTTACCGAAGATGTGTCCATCGATCATCTCCCTTTCAACTGTTGGTCTGAATCAGCTGAGCCGCCTCCTTCACAGTCTCCCAACGAACCCATAGATGCCAGCAATTCAGACACTTCTCTGGCTTCTCGTCGTCCGACTACGGGCTGTGAGAGAATCCAACGCGCCAGAGATTCTTTGCCTCTCCAACTGGTCCACTTGGACAGTGAGCTTGTGGAAGCATATTTTTCAATTGTGTGCCCAATCTTTTCAACCTTCGACTCGGAACAAAATCAATTTCGGTCGTTTGTGGTCCAGAGATGGCAAAGCTCGGTATCAATATACTATGCGATCCTGAGCATGACCGCCGCTAAATTGGCATGGCAAACACCGGACATTAGGGTTCACGCCCTCAGGTACCAATCCATGGCGCTGAAGACTCTCTACGCGGATCTCTCCAGCAGCACATCTCTAAATACGGAACTCCTCTTCGTCGTACTTCTGCTTGGCCTTACTACATGTTGGCACGACATTTCCGACCTAGGCACAGTTCATCTGCGGGCCCTGCAGCATGCAATTGCCACAGATCAAATTTTACCAACAGAAGACCCCCAGACTCTGGGCTTTTTCAAAGAAGCCATGGTATATTGGGAAATGGTGGCTTGTCTCGTGGACGACAACGTGCCAATCCACGACTACTCGAACATTGGGACGGCCAGTCCACTGCACGCACAGTTGCGAAGCAGGGGCTTGTCTCCTGCCCCCGGAGCACGCATCCAGCCACATCCCTGGGCTGGTGTTGCTGCTGCGCCGCAGGCCCTTTTTTCGCGCATCGTGCGGCATGTCCGGTCGTTGCGATCCTTCAACCTTGGAGGGCCTACGTTGAGTTGCACTGTCAGCCAGCCACAGCAATACTTGCAGACGCTGTACGCCTTGGAAGAAGAGGTCTGGACACTGCAACTACCAAAGCTCCACGAAATTGCCAATACTGGAGATGAGAATACCCCCGCCATTCACCATCTGTTACTCGCAGAAGCATACACGTTTGCCAATCTCTACCAGCTCTACTACATATTCCCCAATCTTCGGCGCAAACGAGCTCAACACATCAGGGTGGGAGCCCATCTCAATCTATCTCCCGATCGGTCATGGGCACAATCTCAAGCCAGTCTTTGGTCGCGACTTTTGCAGGAAGATTCGGGTGGTTCGGAAGAATGGCTCAATTTCCTTGGCCGCAGTGTCATCAACCGCCTAGAGCAGATGCAAATCAACTCGGGAACCTCTTGTGTTCAAGGGCTTTTGCTGCTGGTGGGCTCGGCTTCTCTATCTGTACGTCCCGACCTCGAGGGCAGTGACACGGAGAGAGAGATAATGCAAACGCGAGAATTCGTTTCCAACCGTCTTTCTTCTCTCTCGAACAAGTTGCGCTCTGTCCCGCTCCGTTGTGTGAGGCTGGTCGTTTCAGAGATCTTCAAACAGCTCGACGTGGGGGTCAATGTATTCTGGATGGATGTCTTACAATCTATGGGTGTAGTCACAATAATTGGATGACCTTCGTACAGCCGTGTGTACTTTGGACCGGGCTTAAGACGAGGGGAACACCTCGGCGCCGACAGATCGCGAAGGAAACTATCACAGGAAAGGACCGAAATCATGACATTACGATGCCAGGGCTTTTCGATGACCCCAAGATGCTGTGCACAAGCTCTTACTAAAAGCAGACTCGATCATTCATCTGTCTGCCTGTAATCGGTCCAGCTACATCGGTAGGCAGCTGGACGGGCCTTCTACAAACTGAGGGCCTCTACCTGGTTTCAGGTCGCTATCTTCGACCGTGAAACAATGCTGACGGCCTTCGGATTGCCGCTGCCCTACATCAAGACGTTGAAAGGCTTGACACCATCCTACAATGCTCTCTATCGCCAGCGCTAAACAGCAGAAAGAGGTTGCCTACTGGTTCAATTCGAGTCTCGTTGACTTGATTGCTATGGATTGTGGCTACCTAATATTGCGCGAGACTTCTACTTTGACTGCCCTCCGTGGTCTCTGTGTGGGCAACTGCTTCAGATCCCTCGCCATCATCTGCACTTCCTCTTCACGGCTCATCTGGCGTTGCCAACCCAGCCACGCAAAAACTCCGCCATCGTTAACGCCGCCAGTGATCTCGACTCCGTCATCGATCAGCGTCTCTGCCACGGTCAGACATACCTTTCTTGAAAAGGCCGCGCCAAGGCAGGACTTGACTCCATCTCCAAAGGCGAATGGAAGTGGGAGTTGTGAGTCGATGTCAGGGCGGGCTGAATCCGCTTCCTTAACAGTGGAAGAATAGTGAGCCAGAAATCTATCCCAGACAAATTCTCCAGGCCGATCATACGTGTCCGGATCGCGATTAGCCCCAGAGAGGTAGAGCCAGGCGTCGTGGCCTGCAGGAATGGGATATGCATCAGCTCCCCCAGATTCCGTAGATGATATGAGTGTGTCGCGTTGGACTCTGCGCATCACACCCACTACCGGTGGACTTAGACGTTCAGTCTCGGCCAAAACTGTTTCCAGCATGACACTCCGTCTTTGAAGCTCAGGATATGAGCGAATCAGGCCGGCGAGGCTGGCGCTCGTACCAGGTGCGCTTCCAGATGAGGTTAATTCACTTGGTGTCGAAGGTCGCCATATGAACAAATTCAAGAGGAATGCCGTCAGGAGCGAAGCGAGGGCTTTATTGGCTAAGCTGCTGGTGAATAGGCGGAGATGAGAGACTACATCGTCGACGCTTGGGTGTCCGCCTTCGGAAGCTCCTGTCTTACGGTACAGTTCCGAAAACGGACAAGCACTGGATGTCTCTTCTTCACCTTCTTCTTGAGTCGCAGCCATCATGTCTCTCGCCATCATGCCAAGGACCTTCTCCAGTTCCTTGACCGCCTTGACACCTCGACTTCGAGTCGATGACCAGAATGGCGTCGAAATGCTGACTGGAAATGTGGAGAATTGGCCTCGTAGGAGGGACTCCTGCAGGTCTTCGAGTTGCCTGAATTTGGAATCATCGTCTGCCCGGTCGACGGACAGGAAGACTCCGAAAAGTATGTCCCACGCCAGGGCCTTGAGGGTTCCGTATAGATCAATACTAGTATTCTGTGCATCTTGCCCAGTTGCAAATTGGTAGATGAACCGAGTCCGCGTGATCTGGCGAATCAAAGGCACCGAGGTCTGCGGCAAGTGGTGCAGTCTGCTTCGCCATTCGGCTTTGTGATGCATGTGGGCCAGTCCATCCTCCAGCAGGAGGTTAGGGCCGGGGAAGAAATCGCTCATGAACTGTCGGTAAGCCGCTCGTGCCGCAAATTGAGCGGTGCCATCGTGAGTGTCTGCAGGGTGTTTCGCTCGAACCAGACATTTGTGGTGATGTTGCGTAGGAAGGCGGTCGTTCCTAGTCTCGCCCGCGTACTCGTCTGCGTATTCAATTCCACATCCTGTTATTTCAAATTCGGTCTGAGTAGTTGCAGATTGATGACATAAGATGGCTTTGCACGCTTGATAGCCGGATATGATGTGCACTTCACGGTCCAGAATCTGTGCTCGGACGATCTTGTTGGCAGCGGGTAGCGCGTCGACGTTGGACAGTGAAAGCTGCTCGAGTCGAGACGAGATGAAAGACTCGGGTGAGGAGTGAAATGAGAATGATTGAGTGAGACGGGATACCATGTTGGGAATCTGAATCTTTGGGTGGCCTGGGAGAACAAGTGGTAATGAGGATGGGAAGCACGGTAGTAGAAATGACATGGTCAAGTAAAGTAGTAAGATCGACATGATCCCTGTACTCTTGGAAAGGCATCCATTCCACAGGCCGGCGAGCCGGATAGTAGCAAGCATTTCGAAACCATCTTATCATATGTAGTGCACACTCTTTTGCATTTACAGGGGGACTGAAAGGCATCCATGACTTTCATCACTTGGACTACGGTTGCGGCGGCCACATCTCCACTGCATACTAGTATTGAACTATGTGACCAAGCCACCTAGGGCTCTTTAACAAGACTTGCCTTCTGCTTCATTACCGAGAAGACGTCCGTGATCTGCCAAACCCTGGTTACGATCCCAAAGCAAACACCAAACGCCATGGCCCAGCTGAGACTTTGCAGGGCACCCGGGAACGCCAGCATCAATGTAAAGATGACACCACTCTCAAACCCCTCGATGAGGGCGGGTTTCATGGTCACTGAGGTCAATTCATCGCGGCCCTTCTGTGAAGATACCGCAGCGAGGTAGAATAAGACGAAATTATTCAAGTGGAAGCTCGCCTCAAGTAGGGAAACCGATAGCCACAGATTAGTGACGGGTTCGGCGACCATTCCACGCTGTACGAGACCATATGCGATGCTGATCGGGATCAACGAGTATATGATGAAATCTGATAGCAGGTCCAGGAATCCTCCGGAATCCGAGGTTTGAGTTCGTGCTCGTGCAACTGCCCCGTCTAGACAATCCAACACACGGTTGAGCAACCAGAGATACACCGCGCAAGATGGGAGCTGTGAATGTGCAGATGCCGCACACATGCATGCCGCAAGACCAGCAGCGAAGGCGCCAAAAGTGAGGCGGCCCGGAGTGACAGCCTGTGGAATGAATTGGACTGCTGGCCGGAATATATGGTCTTTGACGCGCCTCAGGCGAATATCAAACATGGCGAATCACTGTGGATTGTCGACGGTCAAAGGGATCTTTTCCTCGTCGGCTCGTTGTGAGAGCAGGGACAGAAAGGCTGAATGATCAGCAGAAACTTTGGAGAGGGTGCTCGAGTCGAGAAGCACTTTGAGAGGCGACTGCGCTGATTTGCCGAGAATGACAGGATACTTGATCGAATTCGCCTTGATGTAATCCCGTAGATCGGGAGTCAGCTCGTCGCGATGAAGCTGCTTGACGTCGGCGTGTATTCCAGCCTTGGTCTTGGTCCAGGCCGCGGACTCGTCAAGATGAAGGCCGCCGTGTGTCAGATCGCAAGCAGCACACGGGCTCGAGTCGGAGGACGCAGTGATCTTACGACAAGCGTAATTCAGCTTGCCGAGCAAGGAAGCATTCGCATTGTACAGGATGTAAATCGTGCTATCTGAGGTCGACATGGCGTGTTAGTCTGATCACAGGCTGAGCTTCGTTTGGTAAAGGTTTTCAGGAGGCCAAGTACTTTGCGAACCTGTCCGATGATGGCCTGTATTTATGCTGATGATTGATGAGGCTTGGGCTTTCCAGACGACTGCGGTGATCGGACTGCTCGCGGGGTTCACGGTCAGGCGTGCCGTAGACGAATTCACCAGCTCCCGTTTCAGGGTCGTTCATGTCATTGCTGACAACAAGCCCTCAGACGATTGGACTCTGGGACACCCTCGCTAAAGGGAACAAAAGGACTTCGCCGGAAATAGTGGCTTAGAAGCTGTAAGCCAAGTTATATTTCAAATCAAAGGCTCGGAATCGGGTTCGACGGGTAGCGTCGTGCAGAATCATGGCAGCAACATTTGCATACATGCTGAGGGCGGAAAGTTAGACGAATACGCAACGAGGTACCAACAGTGCGTACTCGCTACCGAGGCCATCTCAACACCTACTAGTAGCTTGTTATGAACCTACAGGGCGTCATCGATGTTCCAGGCCTCCCGCGAGGGGTTTGGGAAACGATATGCAGGCCGCGGTGGGCATTGGCCAGTCCCATAGCAACCCCATTCCCTCGGCTTCAGCATGCTTATCGACACCGCATCGGAATGGGCAGGGATCACCAGCTTCTATGCTGCGCCGAGGAAAACCGAGGGGACATGAATCCCACACATAAAAGCGTCGAGGTCGAAGTCCGGACAGTTGGCACCTCCATGTCACGAAACCAGCGCAGTTGATATGGTGGACTTCAGTCCGGCCACTGACAAGAACGTCGTCTTCCGTGACAGCGAAACACACTCTCCGGCGCACGAACCTGCACCTCCCGCCGCCGGCCCCAGAAAGATCTTGAAAGCCCTATATGTCTCAGCGGTCATATTACTCCTGTTCCTTAATTACTTCTTGGCCCAGTTCGACAAGTTTGTGCTATCATACTTTCAAAGCGAGGTCCTGGAATCCTTGCAGTTGACTTCCACCCAATATGGCATCCTGTCTGGCTACGCCGTGGGCATCCTCTATGCGGTGCTTGCCATCCCAATGGCGTACATCGCAGACTACACTGAAGCCAGAGTCTGGGTGCTTTCAGTGGCCGCGTTGTGGTGGAGTCTATGTGTCCTCTTCCAGGGATACAGCCATAACTTCTGGCAGATTCTGCTAGCTAGGATAGGCATGGGGATTGGGCAGTCGCCCGTGGAAGCACTCAGTATCAGCTTGATCAGTGATCTGGTGCCTTTGAATTGGATCTTTGTCTGTGAGAGGTATGTCGCGCAGTCTTTCAATTGCTTGCGCTACAGTGTTGACTGTAACTCCACAGCGTCTTCTACATCGGTGTCTATGTTGGCGAAGCGGTCAGCGGTCAGATCGCCACTGCCTTTGACAAAACAAATACTCCTTGGAGTGACGCCTTGAAAGCAGTTGGCATCGTCGGTATGGTACTATCAGTCGTCACCAGAGTCGTCCTCCGAGAACCTGTCCGAAAGCCAAACGCCGTCGGACAACTCTCCCGTACAATACGGGAACCCGACCAAAATGACCATGTAGAACCCACCCGGCTCGAACGTGGGAACCGCATGTTCAAACTGGCTCTCAGACAGATCGTCTCGATGAAATCCTTCTGGATCCTAGCACTGTCTTCTGGTGCCAGGCAGTTCTCGGGGAACGTGTTTGGATGGTACATGCCTTCTTACCTGTCCTCCATTTATCCGTCTCAGTCGGAGCTGCTCTCACGATACGGCATTATTGTCGGCGTGGTAGGTTCTGTGGCTGTCGTCCTTGGTGGTGTTGTTTCCAGCTTGATGTCCGAGCATGCCACAGCTGTACTTTACCTCACGGGAATCGGTGGTATGGTCTCTGCGCCCTTTGTCATATGCATGGTCTTCAGTCGAAGCCTGGCTGGTGGAAATGAGGAAGCTGGTGTTCGCATCCTGTACGGCGTCATGAGTGCTGCATATTTGACAGCTGAGCTGTGGCTCGGCGCCTTCGCCTCGCTTCTGGCGCTTCTTTTCCCTGCACGGACAAAGACTTTCTGTCTCGCAATCTACACGAGCACCATTGTCTTCCTCTACTCCAGCGCCCCTCAAATCATTGGCCTGGCATTGAGGCATTATGAGCCGGGTAGTCCTGCATATATTGAGAAAACGAGAGACATCCTCGCCATTTTGATACCAGTGGGATATTGGGTGGCAGGGATCGGCTTTCTGGTCAGTATCAAGATGGTCAAGAGCGACATTGCCGCTGGACGATGCGCAGACGAGGGAAATGGAACGTATGGCTTCTCGAGACCCATCAGTCTACGGAGAAAGCTTGCCTTTGGGGGCTTTTGCCTCGTCCTGGCAGCGTTGACCGTAGCTTTGCTTGTCACCAGCTTGACGGTGACGGACTAAGTGACTCGCGCCTCAAGGTACACAGGCATAAATATGATAGTAATTTCGTGATGGTTTAGCGAAGCCAAACATAGCAGCTCGCGCCGGTGTTGGCCAACTTAGTCATCGGGAAGACATGGATAACGTCACCTACATCACTCCCATCATCTCCTAAATCTCGATGAGGTGCATATGCCAATTTAGTCCTGTGTAGAGCAACATACCTTGGACTAGTACGCACACTACTCTCCAGCTATGTCCTCCCGCGCGGTGTACCTGTCAATCCATCACATACGCAGGAGTCTTGGGACGCAAGTTGCACCCTATAACATCAATATCCTGCCGAGTCCTTTTCCATAACCGCTCTTCCCTCAGCGTCCTATTGCAACGATTTTATTCTCGTCGACGGAGTCTGGCAAAGCAACTGATCGTTGAGCATCATGGAACCATTACCCAACATATGGTATCTTCGGACGATATGCGGGCTTCTTGTGATTGCGGCGGTTGCATATCCCAGTTTCTATCAGCCCGTGCTGACGGCAACGTACAATTATCTTTACTCTTCTTCATTCTATCGGCTGTCCTCATTCGAAACGATCCTTACCATTCTCAGCTATGGAATCATTGAACCCGGTTTCACGTACCAGTTCGCACATAGGCCTGACCTTCGCATCGACGTCCGGCCAGGAACACCTCAAGTCTTACCAAAGGCAACTGGCAAAAAGTCCAGTAACACAACACATCTATGTGATGAGAGGGTAGCGATGCCGCAGCTGCCAAAAATGAAACGGCCATCCAAGCGTCTGAGAGATATCTTAATCTACGCCGGGCCATTACTCCTCTTGGATCTCACCATGATCAAGAAGTTTGCTAATACACCGATCAACGACATCCGCGTATCTGGAGGCTACTCGCCTATCTCCCCAGCTTTCGTTGAGCCTGTTTCGGGAGGCATCCCAAGCTTGAACGGAACTGGAGGTCCATCAAAATCAATCTCGACTTCTTTCCTCCTCCCCACGCTTCACAACTTCACCATATCCTCACCACTGCAGCTGGAGCGGGCTCTTCCGCCCGTGCCGCCGACCTCACGACGCTTGGTTCTGGAACTCTTCACTTCCTTTTTCATCTACGATGCCGTGTTCTTCCTGTGCCACCTGTGCTTCCACCGCGTTCATTTCCTGGCCAAACACCACGCCTCTCACCACAAACATCAAGAAATTCACCCGCAAGTGACGAACCAGTTGTCCATCATCGAGCGTCTGTCTCTCGTGCTGTTGGCCAATTTCAGCCTCAACATCATTAAGAGCCATGTCCTGACCCGAACGATATTTATCCCAATCTTCGTCACATTACTGGTACAGGTGCACAGTGGCATGGACCTGCCCTGGGGATACGACAAGTTCCTGCCACAAGGCTGGGCAGGCGGAGCTAGAGATCATTCCAGACACCATCGCACAGGCGAAGGCGGCTACGCCCCATTTTTTACTTGGTGCGATCAAGCTCTGAATGCCGGGGAAAGGTGGCTTTGTCCTCCAGGAAGCAAGCACAAGTCGCCTGGACCGAAAAACGTCTCGCTAGAATGAGACAGGACCTTTCTTGTACTTCTCGAGAGAAACGAACTGCAGCATCTCGAGGCAGATCAGCACAGGTACCGACGACGTCTGATCCTGAGTCTTGTATCGGACGGCTAGTCCTCATGTCTGTGCATTAACGCATTTATCCCACGGTCTCTCCACAGCCAGCATTTCCCATTTGCGGCCAAAACACTCCCTGGCACAGTGGCACCAACCTGGTGTTCCGAGGTAAGGGAATTCATTAGGTAAAAGTTTGGTGAATTTTTCGGAGGGCTTGTCGTCATGCTCCTAGGCTACCCTGGGGCACCCAATAGGCGCCTTCATGGGGGAAACGGTCGCCATTTCCGCACAAGTCCGTTCATCTCCAGGCGACATTGGTAAGAATGGTGATGTCGAGAATACTGTACCACACGGATCGCGCCTGCCACTGCTGGACGTAAATAAAAAATATTCATTTCGATGTCACACCTCTTTCCACCACCACCATTGCATATACGAAAACTGCCCGTACGGTATTACAGCGTCCAGCAACTTTTCCGAGACTCACAATCGGTCTCTAGAGTTGCTGATGCCAGATCACAAGCAGGAACCAAAGGATACTGTTCCAATCCACGATCAACTTACGGCAGAAATCTCCGACAATGGCTTTGATCCGGTGGTCGTCGACTGGTATGGGGAGGATGATCCAGAAAATCCATATCGATGGTCGCTGACCAGGAAATGGGTCATCACTGCTGTGGGATGCATGGCTACATTCACGACTATTCTCAATGGAACCATGATCACAGTGGCTCACGCGGCCATCAACGAGGAATTCAATGTTAGCGATGCAGCGTTTCCAAACTCATACTGGCCAGTCACCAGCTGGGCGTTGGGAGGTGCTCTCTCCGGTCTGATCGTCTTGCCTCTGATGGAGGACTACGGAGTACGGCCAGTGTTTCTGATCACCTACGTTGTCTTTTTCTGCTTCATCATTCCACAAGCCCTGGCACAAAACTTCGCCACATTGATCGTCTCGCGCTTCTTCACCGGTGGTTGCGTTTCCATCCTGGGCAACACTGCAGCCGCGTTGATCGGCAATATCTGGGAGGGTGATCGGGCACGAACGATGCCTCTGAGCATTTTCGTGACCCTTTTTCTTGCAGGGAGCAGCATGGGTCCAGTCATTGCTGCGGTCATTTTTGAAAACCTGTCCTGGCGTTGGATCTCCTATATGCAGCTCATCTGGTACGGCGCACTCTTCCCAGTCTACGTCTTCTTCTTCCAGGAAAGTCGAGGGACATTCATCCTGCAGAAGCGGGCGAGAAAGTTGCGGGAAGCTGGCAAGACAGTACAAGGCCCGCATAGCGGGGACAACCTTAGCGTGCTGCGCAAGCTGGTGCTGAGCACAAGGAGACCGTTATGGATGCTGTTTACGGAACCGGTACTCTTCGTTTTCACTCTCTGGTCAGCGTTCATGATCGGCACAGTGTACCTGTTTACCCAGTCTGTCGAAACGGTCTTTGCTGGATTGTATGGATGGACTGCATCCCAAGCTGGCTATGTCCAAGGCGCGATAGTCATCGGCGAGTGCATTGGCTGGACAGGCGTTCTCATCTCTGCAAAGTTCTACTTTGCTTCCGTTTCTCGCAATACCGAAGTTCCGGGCACACCTATACCCGAAGCGAGGCTCTATGTCAGCGTTTTCGGAAGTTTGGTCGGCGTCACCGGTGGCATGATGGTATATGCATGGACGTCTTATCCATTTCTGCCTTGGATCGCTCCGGCCATTGGGCTTGCCATGGTGGGCTATGGCATTGACGTGGTCGTTTTAGCCATCGCCGACTACGTCGTTGACTCTTATGCCAAGTATGCTGCGAGTGCCGTCGCCGCCATTGTTTTGGGAGAAAATCTCTTTTCTGCCTTTTTGCCTCTGGCCGCTCAAAGCATGTACGCCAATCTGGGATTCCACTGGGCGAGCAGTTTGCTTGGGTTCTTAGCTCTGGGTCTGTCGCTCGCACCAATATGCATTCTGATATGGGGAAGGAAGCTCAGAGAACGAAGTCCCTTCATGAAGGAAGCCATTGTCGAGAGAAGGATCCATGCGAATGTGTGAGCGGCAGTCGTACCTCTGCAAACTTCAACGCGATGGTAATATTATCTTTCTGCATTCAAATCCAGACATCTGGAGCCGTTCTCAAGTCCCAGTTGCGGACACTCCTTCGCCAGGTCGTTCTTCCACTTCTGACTTCTCTGAACGGACTTTTCTTTCGGCCCCGAAGAAGTCACTCACCGAAAGTCATGTGACCAAGTTACCACCTTTCGGTTCTCAAGAGATCCCGGCCCATCATGTCCGCAGGCATCAACTATCCCTAGACGACATCTGAATCTATAGCGCTAGGGTTGCGCTATATAAAAGCATGGCCAAACTAATTTCTGTCCGGGTTGACGGAAGACATCAAACCTTCCAGTTGGTTCAATATGCCAGCACCTATCCTTATCATTGGTGGTGGTCTCGGCGGCCTCAGCCTTGCTCAAAGCCTGAAGAAGAACAACATACCATTCAAAGTCTTCGAAAGGGATACTGCCGCAAGTTATCGTGCTCAAGGATACCGAATTCGTTTCACGCATGATGGCATCGACAATCTTCAAAAAATGTTGCCCAACGAGCTATTCGACGCTTTGGCCCAGGTATGCCCTGACGTAACGCATGGCGGGAAAAGAATCGATGCAGTTACAGGCGAGAAGCAAGATGGCATCAGGGGACCTGATCGGAGCGGCCAGAAAGCATGGAACGCGGACCGTACGGTTACGCGGAAAATCCTTTTGACAGGGTTGGAGGATCACGTCCAGTTTGGCAAGAAATTCGAACGATATGACTTCTCAGACAATGGCATTACCGCTCACTTTGCGGACGGCACGTCTGTACTTGGAAAGATGCTGGTGGGCGCAGATGGGGTTAGGTCCAATGTTCGCAAGCAATTGGTGCCCGACCAGGTCATGCTTGACACGGAAGTGAGAGCAGTGTTCGGCAAAACACCTATCGGGGACGGAACAGTGGTGCCTGGGGGAATCGACAAAGGCATCACCGTCATCAGCAGCGAGGCGCCTCCCCATTCAAAAGTGAAGCTTTTCTGCGATGGCATGAGGTTCGATCGCAGCGCGAGGCTCGCAGTGGACGTGGACTTGCCCGAAGACTACATATTCTGGGTCCTTTTATTCCAACGCAGCTCTGTCGACGTTTCAGGTCGAGAGTTGCTGTCCTTCAGTGGCAAGAAGTCATTGCAGCTTGCTCAAGAGCTTACCAAGACCTGGCACGAGAGCAATCGCGCTGTCATCACCCGCTCGGACGCGTCTGCTGCGGCGACGTTGGCCTTCGAAATGGCTCATCCAGATTTGCAGGACTGGACAACCGATCGCAGAGTCACACTGTTGGGCGACGCGGCGCATCCGATGCCTCCTGTTGGTGCCCTGGGCGCGAATTCAGCATTTGAAGATGCGGCACAATTAGCAGGGCTCCTCGCAGGCCAGTTGGACGAAGAGAAACTCGGCGTTTTTGAGACAGATGTCAGAACCCGTGCCAGAGGTGCATTGGAACAAGTCGCCGGGCCTGGGCGGGTCCTTCTTGGAATGAAGCCATTTGAGGAGTTGAAGCCGTCGACCTTGTGGACCTGAAGAACAGCCGGCACAGTGACGGACTCAGGAAAGTGTACATATATACTAGTAAGCAAGCGATATCTCGACTCATTTTTGTGCGTCGTGTAAATACAGCTCCTACCTCCTTCCATACGAAACAAGCATGACTACCTGTACCTCTACCTCCAGCCTCTTTATGCTGATCTTTTCGCTACGAGAAACTTCGACCATCTCCAGGATTTCCCAACTTGGCTCGACTATGATGCTCGGATGATCAATGATGGAATCAACCCCGAACTCCTCGCTTCTCCGCAATGTTGTCATTGCCGAGGAACCACTACTACGTACTCCTGCCAGTAGTATCTAGGATTCGTGGTCGTCAGAATGAAGATCGCCATGCATAGGGATCTTCGTGATCTGAGGTCACAAGTGCCTTGCTCCATTGCAACGCTATCGTACCTTGACGCCATCGTCAAGAATCGGCAGCGGGAACAAGACAACAGTAAGTATCTAGCTAAGTGAGACACTCGCTCCATGTTATACTGCAACACACATCCGGGTCCCCAGCACTTCGCTGAAAGCAAGCACCATAGTATCACAAGATGAAGTCTACCCTCCAGTATACCCTCCAGTATACCTTCCTCGCCATCCTTCTGACCTTTAGTAATCTGCCTCTCATCCTCTCCCAACCCGCCTCAGCAATCCCCTTCACCATCACTCCATCCACGCCCGAAAACGAATCCAACTACACCGCGCCCCTGTTTCCCATCGCGCCCTTCACAAAGTACGCGCACAACCCGATCCTATCCCCCAATCCCCAGGCGAACTGGGAATCCGCATACCTGTACAACCCGACGGCGATCGTTCTCAACTCGACCATCTTCTTGCTGTACCGGGCACAGAACAGCACCAAAACCTCGTCCATCGGGCTGGCCTGGTCCTCCGACGGCGTGACCTTCACACGGCTCGACCGACCCATCATCTACGCGACCGAGCCGTACGAGACGATCGGCGGCACCGAGGATCCGCGCATCGTCCGGGTCAATGGCACCTTCTACGTGACCTACACGGCCTTCAACAACGTGACCGCACAACTCTGCCTGGCCACCTCAACCAACCTACTGGATTGGCACAAACACGGACCTTTATCCCCGAACGGGTTCATGGACGTCGCCTACTCGGACATCGACGTGCCGTCGCCGCGCATCAACCACACCAAATCCGGCGCCATTGTCAAGGAGCCAACGTCATCCGATGGTCTGTACCACATGTACTTTGGCGACAGCTTCTTCTACCACGCCACATCACCGGATATGCTCAACTGGACGGCGCCGCCTGCGGAAGAGTACTTCGCCGGGCCCGTCAACCCGTGGGAGAACAGGCTGATCGAGCCCGGGCCCGCGCCCGTCAAGACGCGCGATGGGAAGTGGTTGCTCGTATACAATGGCATGACGACCGGGAGGGTCGGATATCCGCAGAACCAGTATAGTGTGGGCCAGATGCTCATCGATCCGTCGGGCAGTTTTAGGCCGAAGTTGAATGCGAGTCAGAGTCAAGATACTACTACGTATCAGCCTGCGTTGCGTGACGGGCCGGTCGCGAGAATGGAGAGGCCGATTCTCGTGCCGGAAGCAGGAAATGAGCAGCAGGGTCAGGTCGATCAGGTGGTTTTCGCGGAGGGCTTGGTCCAGTTCAAAGGGAAGTGGTATTTGTATTTCGGTGAGTCCGTTAGACAGTTATCAAGTGTGGGAACGACTTTGCTGACATGAGACCTACTACAGGACAAGGAGACAGTGATCTCGGTGTGGCGATTGCAGATGTGCAGCCATGAATATGCATGCACACCGAGAGTACTATCACCAGTATTACTACCAGTACTAGCACAAGTAAGGTACTGCAGAGACATATCGCAAAGTCCGACATGAGACTGTGGTCGGTTCCAAAGGAAACAAGCTGGCAGAAGACAAGATCCGAACGATGAAATGGCTCAGGCGATGTTGCTGCTCATACCAAGAGTTGAGTACAGCCGTTTTTGGTTGAATGCTTGCCTACCCTTGAAAAGCTGACGTCTTCAATTCTTTCTTCCTCTCCCTACACCTGCCCCCAGTTGGTACCGTGTTAGATCGTCGGGCCGCTTGTCAATACTTAGGCTTTCCAAGTTCCTCAGTCGTCCGGTGCAAGGCCAGTCGTAGAGTCATACCGGTACTAGTATCGACGCCGCCGAATGTCCCCTGCTACTAGCAACTAAGGTATGTTCCGCAGTCTCGAATACTATACCATCCAGTATTCCACCGCTAACAATATCGGGGGTCGGAGCGTGTGTTGATGGAAAGACATGGTACCAGTAATAGAATCAACAACAAGATACCGCCGCAAGACAATGGGCTCGAGCAGCACCAACCCCAAGTTCGGCCCCAGTTACTGTTACCCCAGCCGGAACGACCTTGTCATATTCTTTACGTGCGAAAGAACAGGACATACCAGGTCCATTTGTAACACGAAGGCCCATGTGAGGTGTGATAGTTTGTGCCTGTATCGCCTACCTTACCTGTGCTCCTGGAATGGTCTTGTGCGAGACTTGGCCGGCAACCCGGCATTACGGTTCACAGCCATGAAGCTATAGCACCTCATGACTGTAGCTGTGCAGAACCAGATGATAGTAGAGGACAGGAACGTGGGAACTTGAAGGTAGTAGCTTCATTTACTCGGACGACTTTCCGTCATCGTGAATTGCGCTCGGCCAATCTGAGAAGCCATCCTTGCACGTGACGAGCTTTCCTACCACTAGCTCCATATTCCAGCAACACCAGCGTTGTTCCTACATCCCGATCTCTCCAAGCGAGAGATCCCATGCGACAATAAGACGATGCAGTACGTCTAGCGTAGAATAAGCACCACTCTGCAGAGCTACTTAAACTGTTCCGAAGTCCTGGAACCAAAGAAAAACTATAACGTAGGTCTGCTCGATCATCCCTGCTTACTACCCTCCCCCATCAGACACACACAACATCACCAGATTCAAGATGAGGTTCCCAACTCGAGCCAGCTTGGCTGCTCTGTCAGCAAGCTCTCTCTTGACATCCGCCCTTGCCGCGAACATCACCATCTACCAGCCCAATGTCGCCTTCGTGCCCACACCACTCCCGGCCCCCGGCCCAGCCAGCAACTTCGAGGCCATCCTTGAACAGTTCAACCTATTGGGCCGCACGACCGTCTGGAATCTGGTCAAGAAGATCAAATTCGAAGGCGACACCGGCGAACCCGAGGGCATGGTCAACATCGCTGAGGAGCGCTACATCCTCGGTGGTGGCCAATGGACCAACAAGACCGTCTCGTACGGCAAGAACGTCATCATCAACGGGACCGACCGCACGCCAGGGGCTGGCTACGCGCATCTCACCGTGTACGACGGCCAGGGAATGCGCATCGCGGACGCCACACTGACCGAACCGGGTGCCATTGAGTACCATATCGGCGGAATCGAATACGACGGAGACAAAATCTGGGCGACCATCGCGCAATACCGGCCCAATACCACGGCGACCATCGTCTCGGTAGACCCGACCACCTTGGAAGACACGAATCTCATCCACTATGCCGACCATCTCGGCGGGATCGTGCATGACACGCGGAAGCAGGAGCTCAGCACCTTGAATTGGGGAGCTCGTAATGCTTCGGTCTGGGATCTGAAGGCCAAGACAACATTCCAGTATCCTCAATTCACCCAACCGAAGCAAGTAGCACGCAACCCGTTCTTTTCATACGATTACCAGGATTGTAAGTACCTAGGACATTCAAAGATATACTTCAACCACGGCGTCATGATGTGCAGTGTAAGTCTTCCCTCCTGACCTCGGACCGTATCCTTCCCTTCCCTTCCCTTCCTTCCTTTCTGTCCCATCCTCGCCATCTGTCTCCCACACTGTTCTCTGACAATTCGCAGGGCGTGGCCACATACTCGAACAACGTGACCGTCGGAGGCCTTGCGGTCGTCGATATCGAAACCATGGTGCCGTACTCGGAAGTGCCCTTGACCATGGTCAGTGATCTGGGAACTCCAATCACACAGAACCCGTTCGATGTGGCGTTGGTCGATGGCAAGATGCGGTTGTACTTCTTGCCTGATCAGCGCAACTCGACGCTGTACGTGTACGAGGCTGAGCAGAACAGTCCATACCAGTATTAGGGATGGTAAGAATCAAGGAGAGATGAGATCAGTCGGTCAGTCAGCCAGGAAGGGATAGGACGAAATGATTGCACATATCACTCAGCCATGCTGAGGTATATATTGAAAAGTTTTTCACTTCTCCTGTTAATGTTGCACGATGTTTCAGCTACATTTAAACAAGTAAATTGACGGTCCTCTTTACGAGGTAAATGACGGGTATCATATCAAACGGCCAGATCCAAATAGTAGACCTTGTCAAGACTCAAAACAAATCACCTGGTGAGGGAACTCATGCCAAAGTCGAAGCAGATTATCGCCGAACGCCTCGCTTGAGACCAAAGTGGAACCATATGACAAAAGAAGTCTGCCACAGGGGCCCTTCTTTCACATGTTCTCGATGAACCTTGCTCCACTTCGCCCACTGCTTCTGCTCACGCGACTCCCATCTTGACTAGCCAAACTTCGGCCAACTCCATCCCGTTGATTCTGTCCAGGGACTAAAAGTCCAGTCGGCAAAGGAGGCGCGTCATCATCCATGGTTGGTGGTGGTTGGATAGGCAACCTGATCGAGCTCGCAGCAGGGCTGAGTGTGACAGGGGTTCGCGCTGGACTGGGCCGCATCACCGCATACCCTTCAGGCCGGCTTGGTGTGTTCAAGGACACCTGACTGCCGTTGCGCGCTGTGTCGGCGAAATCCCTAGCACTTGAGCCTGGACCACTGGGCGAGGATGAAAAGTCTCCAGCTCTCCCGCCCACTGCGGCAGTTGTTGGTGAGGGAGGGAAGGTTGGTGACTGATTACCTTTGCCACCGTAAAAGCCTTCGCTGTCCCGATAGAATGAAGCCCCCGAAAGACCTCGACCCTGGTTGCTTAGAGGGTCGGACGGACCAGCCATAGTGTCTTTCTCGAAAGCGCCATAATTCCCACCATATGGGTCACCACCACTGCCTAGGACAGGCGCAATTTTTCGTCCGGCAATTCGTTGAAAGCCACGCTCGGAATCTTTGACACTTGGATCTGTCGCGCCAGTGGCTGTCGTAGCGGTTGTCTGGGTGCTGTGTGGCCGGAGCTTCTTCAGGTTGTAGGCTACGGCAGCGGCAAAGGGCACACTGGAAGAGCGTTGAGACATGGGATAAGGATGGCCTGAATCACCACCAAGTTGTCTTGCCGCAATTTGTTCGGGGAGTTGGCCACGTGCTTTGAGCCGACCACGGTACCATCGCAGGAAAACAAGTAAAATGAGCAGGACGACTGCAACACCGGCAACGCCTCCAACCACCCCTCCGACAACTTGTTGCTGTGATGGGGTCAACCCCGGACCGTCTCCGCCTCCAGACCCCGAGTCGGAGGAACTGGAACTGGCTGCGGATGCAGAGGAATCTGTGGGTGATCCAGTCTGGGCAACACCTCCTGGATAGTAGCCAGTAGATGCTGCAGCAGACTCGGAGGCACTAGAGCCATCGGTGGGAGATGGCGTGCTGGTGAGGTCGCCAAAAGTGAAAGTGGCAGATGTGCTAACAGAATTGCCGGCGGTAATGGTGTTGGTGGTGCCAAACTCCGTGGCCAACCCCGAACCCGTCCCTGTGATGAAGACGGTCGCTTCTGGGGTTATGTAGGTGCCATTGATGAAGGATATTTCGTAAGTGGACGTGGCTGTGACAGTCACAGTGCGCTCGGCGGTAATGGTCGAGCCTGGCAGGATAGTGGTGCCATTGGTGGGGCCTTCAGAGAGGAGTGAGCCAGTTGTGCTCGCCTCTGAGGTGGTTGTGGTTGACCCATCGGTGGCAGTGGTAGAAGAAGATGAGATTCGAGAAGTAGTGCTCGTAATGTGGGTAGAAGAATCAGTCACAGCGCCGCTGGTTGAATCACTCGCTCCTGTAAGCCCCGGTACAGTAACAGAAACAGTGGCTGAGCCGGCGTTCGATATCGACACGACTGTCCCAGAAGGAGCCGCTGTTACCTCTGTGACCTTGGAGACTGAAGTGCCATCGTTCACATTGATCTCGACCACGCTGGCGGTGACAGTGGCATCTGGGGCTCTTGGACGAAGATATATGCCCTGATTGCCTCGTGGTAGAACTTGTCGTGGCACGCGTTGGTATTCCCCGTATATGTTTCGTCTTTGGAAATCGGACAAGCTGATGGTTCTGGTAGGACGGATGGCGCTCTCTGGATCATCGCCTTGAATGCCGAGTTCAGAGGTGAATAGTCCTTCTGTCATTCTGGAACCCGTATCGCGGGGATTTCGTATTTCTGGATTAGATATTCTCATTCGTTTTGCTGGTCTCTCCATTGTGCCGAATGATCAGGTATATGCATGTATATGTTGGTATTAGATGAGACTCTGAATGGTCTGCGGGTATCGTTTCAAATAATGGTCTGTATAGCGGTACGGATGATTTTCTTGTGTCTCGGCAGGCCCGGGATATGCAGTTCTTTCGATTGAGGGGTAGCTGACTGATGATTGATATACACTGGGACGTGGAAGTCTGTAAAGGAGCGACTGGTCGAAACGAACGGCTGCTGGCGCGAAGCTCAGCGGGACAGACAGGAGGGAGGAAAGGCCTGCGACAGAATAAATGCGGTATTAGCGGAGTTTCGAGACATTTCATCGGATGCCCTGTGGTTTTAGAACGCACCCCGAAGGAAGTTACTGTCGCATGCCGTAAATGTATATCGAATGTACAATGTTTAGATCATGCCGTAACAGCCCAGAGGGAGTCGCCTTGTCACGCGAAAAAAGGACCTTTCGTTCTCGGTTGGCGTAGGGATACTCCGTACGATGCTGGTGTTTCTTGAGTTGAAGCTCTCTTCCTTCCCAGCCTCACACAAACAATAGAAGAGGTACAGGATGCTTTCGCTTCGAACGGGGTCGGGGGATAGGCCGGCAAAGACTCGATAGGGTGGTTACTGAGAAGGGCGGGTGTAACGATGAACACGCGACATAATTGTAAAGGCGACGAGGACAACAAAGGTCAAACAGGAAGTAGCTGCCGTGTCAATGGACCAGGACAAGGGGGAAAAGGCTGAAGCAACGAGAGAACTGGACGACAGTGGACAGTGGAGGGCGCAGCTTCACAGACTGCGACAGACACAACGAGACAGGCAAGGCGGACCGGACATGGAAAGACTGAACAGTGCTAAGTACGGCCCCAGTCCAGCACTAGTTCCAGGGGGAACCACGTCTAATTGGCTGCTGGCTCCTGTTATAAGCTTGGGAGTCGTTAGTGGTCCGTAGCTTGTGCTTAGCCTGCTTAGCCTCCGTCTAAAGTTGCGGTTCCTGCATGGACGTCCCAGAGTCGGAAATGAAGCGACCGACGTCTTAATCTTTTTCCCAGCCATCATCAGCCTTTCGTGCCTTTCCACACCAGAAATTTGGCCGTCAAACATCTCCATCACTCCCCATCAAATTTCCCAATCTCGCCAGTCCTGCTGCTCCCCACAAGAGGCCAGAGACTCGAGAGAGGACGACCCTGTTTCGTCTTTCCCTGCTGCTTCACGAAAAGCTGCTCGGAAAAGACACCTGAATCCAATCAGCTACGCGTCTGCCCTTTTGCTGATTCAAACGTTTCCGTTTCCACTTTCACGGCCAAGGTTTCCGTGGCTATTTTCTATCTTTAAGTCCTTGTACTCTGTGTTTCTCCACATCGTTGTCGTCGAAGCCTCGTCTTGCTCCGGTGCGAGGTTTTGATTGGTTGGCAGGTCAAGTGCTGGGATTGTTCTGTCTCTGCTGCCGACTGGTCGAGAATGGAAGCAAACAGCATCCAAGACCGCGGAACTTCTCGTTGTACCGCCGTCTTGTATCTGCTCAGCCTGTCACGCCATGGACTGCAATAGCAACAGATACCGCTGTAACTGCGAATGGGCCAATCCACGAAAGCTTTCCGACACAAGCCATGCGGTCGTATCAATTCGCTGATGCACGCTGCTCCTTGCCGCCCATAGACGAGCGGAACAGGATCCATCTGATCGAATGATCTTGAATTGCGCGCCAATTGAACATCTGCTGTCTTCAGCTACTTGCAAAAATTGTCATCTTACCTAAGTACGCGCTCGACATTCACTGGGTCTGGCTTTCTCATCTTGCATTGATGGACGAAGTATAGGTTCTCTACCTTCTCCCTGTGTACTGGGGAAGTGAATTGTACTTGACCAGGAGCAACCCGTTGTCTCTGGATGTGCTCGAGGGGATGATCACGTTCGGCGACCTTGACGCAGCCATGCTTACGCCGGCCACCTGCGCGCAGTTGGCCAAGTCGGAAAGAGCTCTGAGGCTGGTTGGAAGGCTGAAATATGTGGCTTATGCAGGTGGTGAGTTTTTCTTCATTTTTTTGCGAGCGCGTCTGAAACATGGCGCTTCAGGGCCACTTCCAGACGACGTCGGAAATACCCTAACAAGACACACCCGACTCGTTGCCCGCTATGGTCACACGGAGATTATGTCGCCGTTGGCATATGCGACAGAATGGGAAGACTGGCAATATTACCACTTCAGCTCTGAGTATGCGAACTTTCGATGGGACGACATGGGCGACGGTAAATATGAGGCCGTCATGCTCCGCAATGCGAAGCTTCTGTCGAGATATTATCAACCGGTCTTCTGGATCTTTCCTGGCTTAGAGGGATGAAAGACTGGCGACTTGTTCTCGCAGCATCCATACAAGGGCAAGAAGTATCATTGGAAGTATGGAGGGCGAGCTGATGATATGCTCATTTTGGACTCGGGCCATAACTCACATCCCGCCAGATACGAGCAGCACCTTATGGGAAATCCGGCAATAAAGGAAGCAGTGATTGTGAGCCGAGGGAGAGCGAACTCGGCTGTCATTATTGAGCTGGCTGAGGGTGCTGTGAAGAAAAAGAATGACGAGGCGATCTGACGGACAGTAGCAACATACGGCAGATCTGGCGTAGCATGGAAGCGTGCAACTCCCTGTCGACGACGAAGGCTTCGATGCCCAAAAGACATGTTGTTTTTGTGAAGGAAGGGAAGCCATTGCCAGGAACGATGAAGGGGACGATCAAGAGAAGTGCCGCTGAGGATCTGTATGTGGAGGAGATCAGGGCTGTCTATGAAGAGTAAGACAGATGATCTGCGCCACAGAGAAGCGGTCTTTGACTTGTGATGAATAGATCTATAGGCATTCCGTACGGGCAACAGCATACCGCCATCATCCACCGTGATGGGAAGCCTCAACGACATCCGAGGCAGTACTCTGGAAGAGCAGCGGGGTCATCACCACCCCCAACTCCAACCTCCGCAGATCGAGCACTCCGTAGCCGACACAGTCCAAGGGGTGAGGACCGCTCTTCAAGAATTGAATCCATTCCACCTCTTACCAAAGGAAGCGTTTCTTCAACATACCTGTACGTGAAAATGGAGGGCGGAACGGACGTATTTTCCGTGGAGAAAGCGCGGCTCACTGTTTTTGAGGCTGCCATCAATGAAGACCATGAGTACAAAGCATCCTCAGCTGGCGTCGTATGCTGCTTTGCTGTGAGATGTGCTGACACTGAAGACGGCCTTGTCATAACCGTCGATCATGATAACAAGAAACCAGAGCATGCTTACACGAGAGTAGAGTCAACGCAGCAGAGCCGGTCGTCGTCGTCGTCATCAGAGTCCGAATTCATACTCTATGCACAAGCCGACCATTGGAGGCAGTTCTTTTCGGCGATCCCCAAGCGTCCCTTCCAGTCATACTGGGGAATGCTTCGGCTTCTAGGCACAGAGGCCAACGTCAAGGTTGATGGTGACTTGACCGCCTTCACAACGCACGCCCACTTATGGCGGCTCATATTGGACAAAATCCGCTACGGAATGCACCCTCCTCGGAAGGAGGGAATTGCTTTGACAGATTACGCCCCCGACGACGAACGCGACGACGATTCCATCCGCGGACATTATACTTGGCTAGGCCTTTCTTCTTCCATGCCTATAGGGAAGTGTAAGATCTTCTACGAAGTGTCGGGCCGAGGTGAACAGCAAGTGCTTTTCCTCCACACTGCCGGCGCAGATTCGAGACAATTTCATTCAATGATGATGAGCAAAGACTTACAGCAATCATGCACGATGTACGCCTTTGACCTGCCCGGCCACGGACGCTCATTCCCTGGAACAGAGCAGTACCCACTATCCTACGCGAATTCCGAGGACTTCTACATTGCCGTCATAGGACAATTCATCGCCAAACTCGATTTGAAGAATGTCATCGTCTCCGGAGCCAGCATGGGCGGACAAGTATGCCTTGCTGTCGCCCTTCGCGCCAAGGAGTTGTATGTTGGCGGCGTCATCCCCTGCGAGGCGTGCGACTACCTGCCCAAACAACAAGCTCAATCAATATACGGCCTCGCGGGCGACGAGTCGGTGCTTAACCCGGAGCGTGTGTGCGGAATGATCTCGCCGACCTCTCCGGAGGTATATAAACGCTTGAACTGGTGGATTTACTCGTCTCAAGCAGCGAGGATCTTTCCCGGTGACCTGAAGTTCTATTTCGAAGGCTGGGACGGCCGGGATCGAATGAAGAAGATCGATACGCAGGTATGTCCGGTGTACATGCTCACTGGCGAGTACGACTATAGTTGTAGTGTGGACGCAAGTCGAGCGACAGCCGCAAAAATTAAGGGTGCAGTGTTTGAAGAGATGAATGGTCTAGGACATTTTCCGTTCAGCGAGGATCCGGAAATGTTCTTGCCGTACTTCAAGAGAGCGCTGGAACACATTTGGCAGGCAAGAAGATAACAGGATGGACATTGGACATGTATGAGGAAGAGTCTTCGCAGAGGCAACGGATCTGAAGAAGGGCATGAGGTATGCGTTTATTTGTGGAAATTTATTGAAAGTGACCTCGGCCACCAAGTCCTTTTCGAAGTGAGGCACTGGGCCCCTGTAAATAGAAGGCCATCAGCGGCATAGGCTCATCATGGCCAGCCGGATGAGCCTGACTTAGGCTTGGGATGCCTATCCATCAACCAATCCAAGCCTATAGAACAAGCCTAGTGAGCCTGAGACAACTCTTGCCGATGCTTAGAGGTGGCACGCATCGCTACTTCCGTCACTACTGCCACCATGACTTTTGAATCCATCATATTTCTGAAGAAATTGACTCTTTGAACTCGGCCCTTCTTATCGCGCAGCATCAAGCAGAGCCACAGGTTCTATGAACTCACACGACGATAAGCCACAGGAAAGATTACCTATCCGCAAAAGTGTCTTGCAGAGCTAGCAAAGAGCTGCGTGCAACAGAAGAAATGGCGAAATCAGCAACACGAATCAGCGAAAGGTCTCTTAACCTTCCGACCATCAATTTAGGGCCCAGGCTGTACAGCTCTGGAAGTCTGCACAATGAGGAACTATGAACCCGGCTTGACATCTGTGGCATGCGCACATGCGACGCCTAAACCCTGGCGCAGCACCAAAAAATGTCCGCCTTGCGTTGAGTTACTGCATTGAGAACATTCCAGACAGTCTCAACAAAGGCAAACATGTAAACACAAAACCCAGTACCTGCGGATTGGGTGTTGGCCGGCGCGCGCAACTACGCATCGTTCCTCCCTTGATGTCTCAAGCTGCCAGACATTCACTTCGTGTGCCTGCAACTTGACACGCTGGGATATCGTCGACAGCAGCATTGGTTAACGCCACTTTCTGGACATGGTCACGGTGATGCAAAATTCGTCCGAGGACGAAATCTTACCCTCGACGAGCCAGTTCGCTCAGCCCCCAACTGGCCATGACGCGATTCGCAATCATGTAAGAACACCTGAGCTCGCCGAGCATGATGCCCGCAGGCTACCGTCGATTGCATTGCCGCACGCCGAAATCCTTCCTCAGACCCGTCAACATGACTACCCAGATACAGCTTCGAGGGCCAGGGCCTGGCATGGGCTTCCGCAACCCATTCAGTCATCTCGGCGCAAAGGCAACGACGAGCCATCATACGAGAAATCCTTCTCACCACCCGATCCTGATAGAGACGTTTCCAAGCAAGCACGTCCTGGGTTCCGCAAACTGTTGACAGACTACTGGAGCGATCTAAAGGGTGACTACGGTGCATCTGAAAGAAATCTGGCACGCACCAATTCTATTGGTGACACTGGAATCGACATCCGGGCGCTCAGGAGACTTCAGAGGCGTGCAAGGATTTCCAACCTCGTCGGTTCTTCTCTGTCGCTTTCAAGTCCCGCTTTGGGCCAAGGAGTCCCGACTGCTCATTCCCGGTCCGGCTCAGAAAGTGGTTCCGAAACGTCAAACACACCGTGGAAACGCCAGGAACTCGGATTCCATTCAGGAGACGTGTCGCGAGCCTTGCACACGTTGAAGGACCAGATAGGCCATTCGAAGGAAACGAAAGAAGCTAAATATGTGCAAATCAAGGGTGAAGTGGCCGTTCGGCGCTCTGTTGTGCTACGGTTGACATACTGCTTCATGCTTTACGGCGCCCCTTCGCATCGCATCGAGGACTATGTGATCAATCTGTTCGAAGCTCTTGACCTCGACGGGCGTGTCAATTATATTGTTGGCTGCACCGAAATATGCTTCATCAATGCTCTTCACCCCTCCGATCCCACGACTCGGTATTCGTATACCACCCTTGTCAAAGCTCAAGGCCTGGACGTCGGCCGCCTGGGGCTCTCTTTCCGACTTTATAAGGACCTTATTCACGGCGAGATTTCCCTGGAGGAAGCCGAGACGAAGCTGGTCGACCTGATAGACTCACCACCTTTTTACAAACCGTGGTTCCTGGTCCCGCTGTACGGTGTTGCGAGCGCACTACTCAGCGTCTGGGCTTTCAAGGGGTACTGGACCGACATGTCAGCGGCATTTGCCCTAGGAAGCCTTGTTGGAGTTCTGCAGATTGTCGTCACAAGTCGAAACCCCTTGTACACGAATGTCCTTGAGGTCACAGCCGCAGTCATCACATCCTTCGGTGCTCGAGCTTTTGCCTCGATTGGCGGTTCGGATCAGAGATACTTTTGCTTCGCAGCAATTGCAGAGAGTTCAATCGCCACCTTATTGCCAGGATATATTGTCTTATGTGGTGCATTGGAGTTGCAGTCAAAGTCAGTCACAGCCGGGTCAACGAGGCTGTTCTATGCCGTCATTTACTCCCTGTTCCTAGGCTATGGCATCAACGTCGGCTCGCAACTGTGGGCTGTTATATACCCAAATGCTCCTACGTCAGCCATCTGTCCACGCGGGGTTGACCCGCGCTGGAAAATTGTGCTTGTTCCTACCTACCTTGTGGTTCAAGCCATGTTGATTCGAAGCAGACCAATTCAGATCCCTCTTCAGGTCTTGTTCGGCTCCGCTGCTTATACGGTAGACTATTTTGTCAGCCAACGTGCAACCGCACAAATCGCAGACACTGCGTCTGCGTTCACCCTAGGGGTCTTGGGACATTTGTATTCTCGTTCCCGGCACGGATTCGCGTTCGCATCCATCATCGCTGGTATCATGGTTCTTGTGCCTGGTGGAATCGCGGCGCAAGGCGGCCTCATCTCTGGAATTACGGTCCCACTGTTCAGCAACGAAACAGTCAACGCACAGCAAATTTATGCGGACAATCAATATCAGTCATTCAGTGTTGGCGCCCAAATGATCCAAGTCGCCGTTGGGCTTTCAGTGGGCCTCTTGATCAGCGCTCTCGCAATTTATCCTCTAGGTCGAAAGAACAACGCCTTATTTTCATTCTAAGAGAGATCCACTCGAGCCTCGGCCCGAAATCCCGTGGTAGTGAAGCCTTGTCGTAGCCCTGCTGGCAATAACGACCGCGGGCGAGGCACCTAACAGACTTCTCGGCTTACTGCGGTCTACAGTGGCCCAACTCTCGTCCACGGCATAGTTGGCCAAACATATTCGCGCTTCACTACCGACAATCCGACTCAGACGCTCTTCACTTTCTTCGGACTACAAGTGACTCAGTAATGAGTCACTTACAAGTGAAGTATCGAAATGATGACTAACATCCCTCCGTTTGTCGAGTATATACATGCACAAACTCGCCGTCGCTACGTCCCTATCCCAGCAGCTGTTCCAGGGTCAAGGATACCCCGGAGTCGACAGACCGTCTCTGAGCTCAAAGTGGTATACCCATTTCAGTTGCGAACGATATCTGAACATTTAACCCCAAAAATCGGCCGCTGTGACAAGAAAACTTCACATCTCTGGCTTACCCGGCGTCGACGCCCTGCTCACCGTCTTCCAGCAGAGCCTATACCTCCGCCAGAGTTTCGTCTCCTCGATCTTCCAAGCACGGCTACCACATTGATCTGTCGTTTTCTGCTAACTGCGCCGTGGCAAGTGAGAGTCTACTGCCCCCCTTTCCCGCCAAACGTGATCTTCAACAATTGCAATTTTACCGCCGATGCGCATATTCGCCTCTTGAAGGATGTTCTGGATATCGAGCCACAGTTGCTGTACGTCTGTCGGAGAGCATACGAAGAAGGAGTGAGCAGTCTTTATGCGGCGAACACCTTTGAGTACGGCAACCTGGAATCTGATAATGAGGACCTGAACGAGGAAATGCAGGAAATCGAACAGTTCGATCGAGAGCATTCGCGCTTGTTGTCCGACGAAGAATCCTCTTATCCCACGCCTGAACCAGCAAACTATTTTTCTGTAATGTTCCCGGAGGATCCCCCCAGACGTCGGTACAGAAGGCAGCATTATTTTTCGGTCCTTCCTCTCCGCAGCCGCGACATGATTCAATTGATCAGCATCGCTTCATCAAGCTTCTGTTTCAATCAATTTCACATGTTCCGGAGTCTCAGAAGAGTGATCTTCACACACCCTCGTTACATATATTGGGAGCGGAACCTCAGCACGGAGAGAAGTGATAGTTCGAGCAAGTGGTCTTTCTTCCAAGATATCTTCGACGATAAGAAAGCAGAAGAAGGCTTTTTATGGAACTGGGAAGACGTCACGACCGACAACGTACAGCAGTTATGGGTCGAGCGCCGCAACCAATTGGAGCAAGATCGTGAGATTCACGCTCCTCGTCAGACTAGCGGAGGATGTCCCAGAGAGATTGGAACTGGTTGTGTCCTTCGTGGTGGAAAACAGCATACTGCGTGAGGATGATAAAGAATTTCGGGTCCAGGTGCGGAATATCATCGAGATTTCGAGGTATCACACCACTGAATGGCGATCTGAAATCACGCCCGATATTTCTTGGTCTGCACCCGCTGGAAGATGGTAGGGGGGACGCATAGCGTGGTGGGACATCGAGTCTAGATTTACTTTTTCTTCTCGAGGTGTTTGTCGCTTTCAATTGACGGGGTCGCTCCGGAATCGTCTCCATAAACCATCTTGATCGCTTGCTGCTATGTTCGAGCATGTCCAGGTCGACATCTACAATGACCGCAATAGCCAGAAGGATCGTCCTAGAGGAAAAACGTAAGGAGATTGACTTGCTGCTAACGTCGTACTGCTCGGTCTGGCAACCCCTGCACGGCAGTACATACAAGTTAGTGTTGTGTTTGAGCCAACGATTCAGGCGCCCTATGGATTCGGCTCGACACGGGGTATTTGAAATCCCATATCTGATGTATTCCTCAAAAGGAGAGCCGTACGATAGCGACGGCGAAGAGTACCGAGTACTCAACCCAATGCTGGTCGATGACCCCTTACTGACCTGAATGTCCGACGAATATCTCACGAATACGAGTATCTCTTCGTAACCACGCCAAATCGAGGCTTATTGCCTGCATCGGGATTCCAAGCGGTCACAAGCCTCGTCGCCTTGGCTACAGGAAGTCAAAGACGGGCTGCGACGCTTGTCGTACTCGACGAGTCAAAGTGAGTTCCCTGTAGAGCATCCTGGCTTCCAAGCAATCCGGTTGCCATCATCGGCAGCTCATATGTCTCATGGCCATCATAAGATGGAGAGGCGAAAGATAGCCCACTAGCCCGTGAAGGGTGCTCCTCCCAACAGCCGGACAAGAGATAGATTCCACCTGCCCCCGTGAGGTGGCAGTGCCGGTACCGGGACAGATGCTGACGATGCCTTTGTAAGCAGTGCGACGAGCAGCGCCCGAAGTGTTCTGCATGTCGGCGGTTCGACGTTGAGTGCGACTACACGAGAGAATTCCGGCACTTCGCCACGTCGCAAGCGTTTACCACGTCTACCACCTCATCTTCCCGCTCGCAAAAAGCCCCTGCGGCCGTGACTATCACTACTACTACTGGTACTGATATCCCACGGGCCTTGAGCATTCTTCCCGCCAACGTAGGACTACTCCGAGTCCCCAGTTCCCACCGCGACGATGGCCATGGCCCTGGCAAGTTCTTGTTTTCCAAGCACTTCGAAATGCGTTTACTACACCACTTCACTTCGCACACTTGCAAGACGATGCCCGGTCAGACTAGCGAGGGATGGGCGGTGCATGCTCCAGTCATAGCCTTCGAACACGACACCCTTTTGTATGCGATCCTGGCAGTCTCATCGGCACACTTGAGCACTCTCAGTCCGCACACCACTCAGTACCACATCGCCGCGAAATACTACTTTGGCATTGTCCTGCACCAACTAAACCAGGGTGGCGGCACTGGCACAGGCATGGACCGACTCAAGCTGAATGTGGACAACGTTGTCGCTCTGTGCCTGACTTGCATGATCATCCCGATCCTCGCAAACCACTTTCAGGATATAAGCGACAGACCTACTAGTACTACTACCACTAGTAGTCATGGCGGCGAGCCAGCTGGGCTTCCAATCCCTATCTAGGGCATGTGCATCAGCCACCGTAGCGGAGAGGTCATCATGGTTGCGTGGCATTGGATCCGGCAGAGTCCATCTTCCGAAGCAGCAAAGACCCTGAAGAAGACGCCCGTATACCAAGAAGTAGTGAATCACCGCACGGCGGAATGGCACACCAGCAGCCATGGACAGGCCGTGCAAGCAACGGGACAGTCTATCCCATCGACCACTCCACGGCAATGCAGGAGCTACAAAACATCAACGAAGAGCATAACGAGGACAACAGCAGACGAAGTCGATCCGTGCTGCTATCGGCTATATCGGAAAACTAAGCAGGGCCGTTGAAGCAGGAGAATCCGATTCCAAACTCTGCGTACGAGTCATCGGCTTCACGGGAACCGTGCCTAAATCCTTTCTGCAGATGGCCCTGGCAAACAACCCCCGGGCACTCCTAGTCCTGGCTTATTTCTTCGCGCTTGCAAGCCGACTCAAGAGTGTCTGGTGGCTAGGTGACGTGCCCGAACGTGGCCTCAGGAAGACTTTTACAGCTCTGCCGAAGGAATGGAAGACGTTGATGTGTAAGCCATTCGATATTGCTGGTATGCCGTTGGACGAGCCGGCTAATGTGGCGTCGCCCATGGCCTGAGCCAACCACGTCGACTATATCTGTTACATGCACGCACAGTATATGCCCTAACCACGAAATGCCAAGTCACACGCTTTCCCTATCGTTTCGCCAGGAATTTTCCGACCGTGAGTGCGGACCTCGACGCCTCTGGGAACTGCGCACAATGTCTCCCAGCACACTTCTTCATCTCCGCCTCTTCGCTAGGACTCCAGTGGCATGCAAGGCCTCTTCGGTGCCTCACTACGATATACAAACAATGATTGTAGCCGCAAACATGCAAAGACACCACCAAAAGCCAGATCCGCGGACCTTGACAGCAGCGCTGGTACTCGTGTTGGAAGTGCTTCCGGTTCCGCTTGCAGAGGCCGCGGTGGTGCTTCCCTCGTCGTCAGTGCCGTCGGCCCCATCAGCACTACCCGTAACAAGGAATTGGTCTCCGCACGGAGCATCATATACTTGTGCAGCTGAGATATGAGGCCCAACGTCATTATCCCAACCTAATCTTAAAAGTGTGTCTTCCGTTGGATCGAAGCGAGGAAGACCAAGCCTCGTCAGTCCATTTACTGGGTCCTTCGCGAAAGCTGCCCATATTCCCTGCATGTATGCAATGAGTGCTTCTTCTCGCTTGGTATTTGCACTGGTGTTCTGCGAGGGTCCAGGAGTAGTGTTGAAGATAATGGGTATTTCGCTGCCATGATAGGCGCCTGAGTCCGGATATGCGGTGAGATTCGTGTTGGGAAAGAGCCCAAACCACCGGTATCGCCACGTTGGGACTTTGTGATAGACCGAAGCATTAGCGCGAACTGCGGCAGGACAGGCAAAGCGCCGGTCGGTGTAGGACGGCTCAGGAGAAAGGGAGTCCAGCTCTTGACTGCCAGCTTCAACGAATTCGACCCGGAAGATAGCTGCTTCGTTGTCGTTGTTACCAATGAGAAGCGGAACTTGAATGTACTTTCCTGCGCGGCTGAGGGAGGTGTAGGCGGAGGAATTGAATACCAGTCGGCCGTCAATGGTAGGATAGAAATTTTGACCATCGAGGGCGTTCAGGATGTTGGTGTAATTCACGTTGCGCATGCAGGAGAGTACAGCAGAGGGATCGGATGAGGCATTTCCGCAACCGACATGGGTCGTCACATTGTACCAGATGGTGGCGCTGCCGGAAGCGTTGAGTACCGGAATCGCGGAGGTAGTCCCTGACTCTTGTATGAAGCCGGCAACGATGGGATCGGAGGTGTAACTGTATGCATAGTAGCCAATAGACATGGCATCAGCGGACTGCCCCCACAGGATTATGCGTTTTGGATCTCCGCCAAATCTTGCGATGTTGTCGCGCACCCATTCGACAGCCATGCGTTGGTCCTGAAGGCCGACATTCTGACACTGAGAGCCTGCGGGTGTCCCGGGAAAGCCAAAAATATTGACACGGTAACTACAGATGTGCTGTCAGGTCTTTCCAAGCGAGGGACAGGGCATCGCTAGACGAACTTGAAGCTGACGACGACTACATCCTCTCGATTGGCCAGAAACTGGCCGTTGTAGAGCGGTTTGTTCGAATTACCCGACGTGAAACCACCGCCGTATACCCAAAGCATCACAGCTTTGGGAGACGATCCGGCCTGGGGCTTTGTCCAGATATTGAGTGATAGGCAGTCTTCACTGGTCTTCACCCCAATTTCTCCGTTGACCTCTGATGTATACAGACCGGCTGCGGTCAGGTTGACACTAGTCGACTTGCTGCTACTTCCCGAGGAGCCTGGTGTACGTTGGAAGACAGGACATGCATGACCCTGCAATCTTGAGCGTTAGAAACACCCCTTACATATAATGTGCCGTACAAAACTGGTAGCATTGAAGGCATCACTGCTCGAGTAGGCCACTGGCGGAGCAAATCGAAGGTTGCCGGTAGCTGCGTGGGCATAAAGAATTCCAAGGTATTCGGAGACTTCTGTGGCATTTGGCGCAGCATGACCGACAAAAATGCTGCTGGATGTGTTGACGGATTGTCCGATTGTCCACGGAGTTCGCTCAGTTGCAAGATTTGTGTGAGCAGCCTGAGCGGCATGAAGGACGAAGATCAGGGAAACGAGGGAGATCCGTAGCATATTGACGGGTTTTCATCAGCCAAAGAACGAGGGCAACTGCTGAAGGTGGGTGATTTTCTCTGGGGAGAGTTCAACCCTTGCACTTATATAGCCTTCACTACAAGGTCAGCATCAACGCTCGTTTTGGATGAAACTCCTCCATCTGGACCTTTCATGGCCCTAAAGTCTAGGCTGTCGAACGGTTCGTAGAGAACGAAAGCCCTACATGACATCTGAAATTGCAGGAGACAATCCAACCGCGACAAGGTAGGTGGCCAGCCGGGACGAACATATCCTGGACTGTCATCAACATCCAGGAGCGTCGTGCAAGACCTTTGGCCACAGGCGTAAATATATTTGTGGATATGGGATGCCTGAAAGTGTGCTTTCCTCAGAACGGTAACAATGGCGACGGCGATGGTGGACGAGGACGTAGACTCCGGCGAAGCAGGACTCTTGCGCTTTGCTAAAATTGCACTTCACCGTAGAGTCTGGATAAGGCATCGGTATCTTTGACTGCGGATCTGGCTTCTGCATCATGTCTTGCCAGATATCTACGCCCACAAGTCTGCGAACTCTGCTGCCAATGGAGAAGAGTAGTGGTCAAGACGTAACCCTGTTTATCGGAGTCATGTTGACAAAATATCAGGATTTCAGCTCAACAATGACTGACTCGGTTGGACTATCTCCCTCACCTCGCTCTACCTAACCTCCTGCCTATATTGGACGTAGTGCAATCTCACCTGCCCGATTCACGTTACGTTCGTCAAACTCAAGAGAAAGACGGAGTCATTGGATGACAGTGGCTGTAGACACCCCATGACACACCTTCTTACTGCTCCATGAGATTGAAGATGACAGGAAGCATTTCATTTCCCTCCTCTACTTGGAGGTCTAGTCTTTTCGACACGATTTTCACCGACGCAGGGCATTGTATTGGAAGGAGGAGACGCTAATGACAGCTCAAGTACAGTGATCGCCCAAAACTTCACAATTCACAAGAAAAAGAACCACTTGGCCAAGTTTGGAGGATGGCTGCCACTTCATTCCATATCAATCGGCGGCAAAATCACCTCAAATGGTCCAAAGCAGTTCCTCCTGCCTTGACGGTGGACTCGGGGGCTATTGTGACCTTCGACACCATCGACGGAAGCGGCGGCCAGATCACGCAAAATTCTACAGCTGATGATATAGCAAAATTCAGAGTAGATCTCGCGGACCCAGTGTTTGGGCCGATCTTCATCAACGGAGCTGAGCCTGGCGATGCCTTGGAGATTGAAGTCCTAGACCTGGAAACCGCAGACTGGGGTTGGACGGCGATTGTCCCCAGATTTGGCCTACTCGCCGACGAATTTCCAGACCCACGCCTCAAGATCTGGGCACTATCGAAATTCGAGGACAAGCCATATGCTTTGTTTAGGGAAGGGATCCGAATTCCTACTCGACCGTTTCTGGGCGAAATGGGTGTTGCTCCGGGTGCCGACGGCGAATTTTCTACCATACCACCCCTTGAGACCGGCGGCAACATTGACTGCCGTCACCTTACGGTCGGTTCGAAGCTATATCTGCCTGTTCAGACGCATGGTGCACTATTCAGTTGCGGAGACGGTCACGCCGCCCAGGGAGACGGTGAAGTGTGTGGCTCTGCTATCGAAACCCCAATGCGCGCAACTCTTCGCTTTACAGTACGGAAGAACCACAACTGGGTGGCATCCCCTCACTATTTCTCTCCACCATTGGTTTCCATACCTGGTTTCGAGGATTGTGGGTGCTATGCAGCCCTGGGAATCGATTCAGACTTGCCTGAGGCTACGCGCAAAGCGGTTCGTGGCATCATCAATTATCTGACAGGAACCAAAAGTCTGACTCGCGTTGAAGCCTATATGCTTGCAAGTGTGGCGGTTGACTTGAAGCTGGCTGAGGTGGTGGACATGCCCAACTTTGCCGTGTCAGCGAGTCTTCCGTTGAACATCTTTCAGACCTCATGAAAGATGCTCACGGCGGATCTAAGGACAAAGTGTACCCATACCATCCGAATAAGGCTCTGGCTAGCACCATTCCCAGAGTTCGCTTCTCACATACGCGCTGAATGCAAGAGAGGGCAAGTACTACGATTGCACAGACCCACGGAAGATCGAGTTGAGAGTTTCATGCTTCTGCCTAAGTCATGACACTTCCATTTTCTCGACGTCGATGACGACTATGATAAAGACCGTTGGGCTCGGTCCACACAGGCGCCGTGGTCGGGGCCAGCCCTCCGGCTGGTGGCCGAACAATAGGGCATGATGGGGCTCTGATAGGCACGCTAGGCCCATAGTGGTTCCTATCAGCCGCAGGCATCCGGCCCCAAAGCTTGTCTATTCTTAAGTCCGGGGGATGAACGCCTGTTATTCCCAGGCACAGCCAGAGCCTCCGAAGGCATCTAATCGCATTCTGTACGAGCTCGGGCCTTCTCAAACAATTCGTCAACCAAAGAAGTGAAGGAATTACGCACGCAGATCGGACAATTGGGATACTAAACACCGAGTACGGAGGCGTGCACCAAATGTAGTTGCCGCGCTAAGATCGAATGACGAAGGATCACAACCTGACATGAGATTTTCTTTTGCTCTAGGCAGCCTTAACTAAAGTCTTAACTGAAGGTAATCCACTTAGGTGCCTTAATGGTAAAGGATAGGCGAGAGTTAGGGGCCGAGAATCGAGGTCCGATATCTCCGGGGACAGTTGTCCGGAGCAACGGAAAAGAAAATAAATGGTCTTTTGACGTCCTCGTCATTCAACTTTAGCGCGGCAACTACATTTGGTGCACGCCTCCGTAAACATCTCTCAAATCGCACGCTGGAATCATCAAGAAGAGATATCTATCCGGGCATATCCGTCTCCTGATTATCAAATGATCCCGCATCTCAACAGTTTCTCAGTGCAAAGTTGAGGACGACCACAAATTACTCATCGTTCATCACAGATCAGCAACACGTCAAAGCATCCATCAAAACTACTACAAACGTTTCACAATCGGCAAAGATACTACCAGATACTATTTGTTCTGCCCAACGAAGATGTCCTCGCCCAGCTCCCTATCCGACACTTACGTTGACCTGTCAGGAACTGCCCGCACGATCCTCACCACCTTATGTAATTCTCGCGACTTCTCACAACTGAACCGCTACATCTCTGCGGATGTGATGTCACAACACGAAGACGAGCCTCCAAGTTTTTCAAGGGACGCATTTACGCAAGACTGGGCTGCTGCGTTGCACCGCATGCCTGGGGTTCAACTGAATATCAAAGAGGCCTGTGTGGATGAACTGCAGCACAAAGTGTGGGTGCGTAGCGAGATTAGCGGCCTGCCGGGTGGTATGAGGAAGGAGTCGATTGATATGATGACTTTCAATGAGGAAGGGCTTTTGGTGAAAAGTGTCGATTGCCAGAGAGTGCTGAGCAGAAGGGCAGGTGAAGACTGTGCGTTGATTCGGCCTTGATGTTAGAGAACATCGATTTAGGAAAGAAGGGAAATACGGAAATCACAGAATGTGCCTACAGTCAGCAATGACGGTGCCTAAAGCGACATGAGACGACTTGCGACCGCAGCGAATTTCTGCCCCAGGATGGGAGCACGGATCTACCTGCCACTATGTTCGGTCAAGGTTTTCACCACGCATCTAGCTAGTCGATGCAGCATTCGGACGACTTTCCAACAACTATATTGATTTTGGGATGCTTTTGGATTCATATCCTGTTCAGGCCTGATTGTCGAAGGCTAAAAGAGACCCTGAAGCCCGAAACTGGAGCTTCAGGCGACGCATCCATATCAGAAGCAACAAGTACGCCATCAGAGGTCCGCCCAACAATGCTCATACAATTCAGTATGCTGAGGGGATTGGTCAGAACGGCAGGCGTCAAACTAACTCAACATGAATGTGGTCGGAGTATGGCTAAGCTCGTGGGACTACAACATTTCTATCCTTGAGCCAGGCTTCGTTGTCGTCAATGATTGGGAGAAATGGGCTCTTGGAAAGAATGCATGTTGTTCAAGTTTCGGTGGCCTGGTGTCACCTCTTAATATACTTGCCTTAGTTGGAACAGCAGGACCTTCTGTCGTCTTTCCTGCCTTGCCTTTTTTTTGCGTGCAATCATCGTGTCGCACTCACCAGGTCAAATACTGCAATGTCCGTTCCAAATAATGCGAACTGTCAAGCAACTTGCAGCCGAGTTGCTTTTCGACAGCTGCATATATGGATTACATCCGAGTCTTCCTAATCGTGACGACATATTGACCGCTGCAAGTACCACGCAACACAATCGCACACCGGTTGATATGATTCCCCTACTGTGGTTCACTGATGTTTACTGACTCGCCAATCTCGAGCACTTTGTCATCGCTCTCCTACTCACGCTGATCTCTCCATTACTACGGAGTACTGGCGGCGAGCTCATGCGAAGAGATGGCCACCACGTCCACTGTGATCAGGGACGTTTCGCCTACAATCACCACTTTCACCACACCATTCAACCGCTTCGCGCCCTTGGGCTTCCGGAAATTCGTCGCCGTTGGCCTCCGTGCCACCGCGATAGTCCTACACGATAGTCGCATCCTTCTCCTCAACCCAATCCAACTGGAAGATTCGGTCAGAGACAAACTGACGGACCTTGGCGGCGTCCATTTCATCGCCGCCGACCTGGGCCATCATCTCTACGTCAAGGATTATCTGTCTGTCTGGCCATCCGCCAAAACAATCGGCGTGCCTGGTCTGGAGCGGAAACGGAAGGATATCAGATGGGACTTCATCTACTCTAATCGCCGGCACCCTCCAGAGGATGTGTTCGATTTTGCGGAGGACGTCGAGACTGTCTTGTTTGAAGGATTCATCACGTTCTGCGTCGCTTGGTATCACAAGCCCAGCAAGACTCTCCTCCAATCCGATCTGATGATGAACTTGGCTTGTACCGAAGTACGTTCTTTAATTTCCCACCACCACCCGTCATCATTCTTCGTTCTTGATAATTCTTTCATGATGAAGTCTAGCCTGACTGTTTCATGTTTCTCTTCCACCAGCAATATGATCCATCGTCATCAGATGCCGGCATCTTGTCACGAGAATTCGCCAAACGTGCACATTCATCGTCGATATGGTCCAGGCGCCTGGTCTATTACGTCGCAACAACGGATTACTCTCTGATGCGCCGAGACGCGAAGCGCGTCGCTGAATGGGATATTCAGCGTATTATTCCGTGCCATGGAGATACCCTCGAAGATGGGGGGAACGAGGCATGGGCGTCGGTGTACGAGTGGTTTCTGAAAGGCAGACCAAAACCCAGCTTCTTCAGACGCGTCGCTGACTCCATCTTGAAGGTGGCGAGGAGGGTCTTTTTGATGTGAGATGGATGGGATGTCGCCCTGCAGTTGAGGTGGGCATCTTTCGCTTTCTTGTGTGTCCTGTTCTCCCGAGCGCTGAAGCAATGGGATACGAATGTCGCATGGCTGTTTCCACAACTGCAGGGGCCGACTCGTCGTGCCTGCCGGGATAATTGGAAGTTACGTGTACCCGAACCTGATCAGACTAGGTCTTCGGCAAGGCTGAGGAGGTCCTCGGAACAGAGAGGCCGTGGGCGAGTCAAACAATCAGGGAGACCGTCATCGCTCGTCAAGGATATGATGGCTTTTGAAGACCAACGATCCCCCGGAGCTCAAAAGCTATCGGATACTTGAGCTGCATCAGAAATACATCTGGTGGGTGACGATTGTTGGAATCAAGATACCAGCAGGAGTGACACCGTTGCAAACGGTGAGTCAATGACATTGGATTTATGTCGCTCCCCCATGCTATCTAACCGAGCCCCTGGGAAGGGCCCGAGGGATTTTTAAAAGCTCGTCGAGAAATGTTACAATTCAATTCCATTTTCTTGATGCATCTGAGAAAGAACCTGATCACGTCCCACCCAAGATTTCACAGCCCACGCTTGGAACGCCAAGTCACCGTCGCTAAGATACACAATTGACAGCCAGCCCCAAAAGGAAAAAGAACAGGGAGAAAAAGGAGATTGTTGATGCGGGCACGGTTCGCTCTCCCATTCAGGCCTGTTTCTTGACAAAGCAGATATCCTCTAACTTCTTGACGGCCTTGACGCACCTGCTCTCGACCTCTCGGGTCCAGACGTCGGCCACGCACAGTGAGACAGCCAGACTGAATGCCCATCCGACAAAAACCACGGCCGACCAGACGGCATCGGTCGCGTCGACGCCCTGAATGCCCATCATCCACCAGATGCGCTGGGGAAGCATGTATCCGAACGCGTGCAGGATCGGCCCGTGGACCAGGTACAAGGCAAAGCTGATCTTGCCGAGATACTGGGCGACGTTGGTGTTCAGGATCCATCGCCATTTCGACGTGTAAGGGTCCGAGCGCGCGAGGAGGAGCAAGAGCATCGCCGTGCCGATGTTCGGGTAGAATTTGTCTTTTCGGTCCATCCATTCGGGAATGATCTGGTTGAGCCAGACGTAGCCCGGTGCATAGTCGCGAGAGCCGTGGATCGGGTAGGACAAGAAGTAGAAGGCGACGAGGAATCCCAAGATGCGTAGCCAGGCGCGGCCCGTCGTGGGCATTATCGTGCTGGGTCGGAAGTACTGGGTCCATGGGTATTGATCTTGACGCTTCATTTCGTCCGGTGCGGGAGATCGTGGCGGCGAAGGCGGGAATCGGTCGGGGACACCGCTGGGGAGGAGTTGATTTTTTCTGTCTTCGCGCTCGGTCAGGAGGAGGTCGATCTGCGCGACGATGGCGCCCAGGATGTACACCCAGATCTCCCAGTGGTTCCAGAGGAAGTACATATAAGTCATGGCGCACATGACTGCCAGGCGCACGTAGACGCGACATTGTGCCGTGGCCATCAGGACCATGTACAGGAACAACGAGCCTTTGAGCTCGGCGAGGATGGACCATAGATGTTGATCGTGCCACGGGTACACGGCTCCAGCTGTGAAGATGTTGGTCAGGTCGAACATCTCATGGCCCCAGAAGTATAACTGCTTCCAGTAGGTCGCGGCTCGCTCTGGTTTGGGCTCGTTCCAGTCGCCTGGGAACAGCTTGAGATGGTCCTCTAGCAAAGGCCGATTGCCTTCGTAGAAGCCAAAGTAAATGTAATGCGCGGTGATCAGGGTGATGATGAAGGTGGGGAGGTATAATCTGAACGCTCGACGGAACAGGGCGCCCGAGATGTTGATCAGGACTTTTGATTGCGATGCCTGGTCGTGTCGGTCGATTAGTTGGAACAGTCGTAGTGTGGTGAGATAGCCTGCTATCCCGAAGAAGATGTGTGCGGTAAATCCGGCGTAGAAGTAGCGAATGATGGGAAGTTCGAGGAAGTATTTGTGACGCGAGTCCGTGCCCCAGGGTTCGAAGCCGCCGTTGCTAAACGCCATGATATAATGGAACGTAAAGACTTTGACAGAGGTGATGCCTCGAAGGCCGTTGAGATAGCTGGTCGGGAATTGTTTCGGTTTCGGGGCTTCCTCGTTCCACACGCGCGATCGTATTATTTGAGGGGCAAAGCAGTACGCAAATCGCTTGCCCAGCCGGTAGGCATGCGACGGTCGAAGCAACATGGCTGTTTTCGAGATGATTCGTGATGGCGCGCCGCTGAGTGAGAGTGGTAGAGGTTGTGGTTGGTGGTCATCGTCTTCGGAGACGGCCTTTTCTTCCATGAGAGGGTCTTTGAGGATCCCGGAATCTTCCAGCTTCATGGCGACCGACGATGTCATAGACAAACGAAGGAGAACAATTCAATGCGGGTGAATAAGTCACTCCCACATGGGAGCTGCGTGAACACTGTCCAGAATTGATGATCTAAGTCCAAGAGATGTCAAGGTGCGCCCGCGCCCTGGTCTTGGGATGGAGGCCTATTATTCAGGGACAGACAATGTACGACCGCGCCGTTCTGGGACTACTCAGTCGGAAGAACTGATAACGCTGGCACAATGCAAGACAAATGAATGAAAAATATGAAGAAGAAGTCTCGGTCCCAGATGAACAGCTAGGCTACCACCCAGCCAACAGAGGTAGAGTACTATTAATTGAATCATTTGCCATAACGCCCTCAAATCACCTCATCCTTGGCCGTTGGGACTTGATTTGCTCGCGTGCTGATGAGGCTCGAGAGGCTTGAGGCTGCCACCTAGGCTGCATGGTCTGTTACTCCCTTTTCTGAGCTACTCCTGCATTAGTTCCAGGTGTATCCTTGTCTAGTGTGCCTAGCCCGGTGAGGGTTTCCCTTCAGGCATTAGCTGCCGTGGCTGTGGCGCCAAATAGATGAACCTCGGTGTCTTCGATGCCAAACAAGCTCGTCCCTGGGCCAAAAATGGAGGGCCTTCTGTAACAATCAAGTAAGAAAGATTCGCAGCCAAGACCAAGGCCTTTACTAACCGTTGGCCGCCAGTGGCCGCCGTCGCAAAGGGTGTCCATAGGTGTCGCACAAAAAGAATCCGGGCCCTGGAGTAAAACGTTGGGCAGGCTGGGCAGGCTGGGCAGGCTGGGCAGTGGGCACACTTTGGGGGCTTTTGGGGAAAAGGACATCCGCAGCTTCCGGAGTACGGATTGTGCACAGTGCATTGTGCAAAGTATTTCTGGCACCTCGCATGTCTTCAAGTGCTTCACGTACCTCGTATCTTCAGGCTAACCTGACACCCTGAAACTATGGGTTGAGGGTTGAAGATTGAGACGGCGAGAGCCTTGGCTTGTCTTGGATGTGCCACATTCATACTATGCATTCCACAACATCTGCTGTTGCTTCCAGTCCTTTTCGTTTCAACACAGCTCTACCACAGTATCACCATTATGATTACGACGATCAGTACGGAACATGGAGTCCCTACAGTAACAGCACGCTCGGCGAGTCACAGAATTCGAAAAAGCCCTCTTGGCGGTACCCCGGATGATCCCCAGTCTCTCTCAGATCCGTCGAGCACTGACATCCACATGTCCGCTTTTCTCTCAACGATCAGGGCTGCAAGATACACTCTATGTGAATCTACTATGGTCTACCCATGAAGTGTGAGTAAACTCCATGCCCAGCCACAAGACACTGTACTGTGGTGGGCAGGTGGTCTCTAAGAGTTTGGTTTGTGTTTTCGTTACTGTGTCCTCGTCTTTGTCTTCGCAGACTCGACTCCTCTATGAATGGTAAGACTCTCCAGCTGACAATGTCCTTTCGCCTGCACCCTTCTGAGCTTGTTGGTACTTGCACCTACTTGTCAGGCGTGTCAGGTCGATGGAGGCTGCTTGGCTGGTCTCCAAGTGGGATGCCACGGTTCCTTATCGATAAGCCAAAGGAAAAAGAAAGAAAAAATTCTCTACCAATTGATTTCTGCGATTCCCCCACCTTGAACCCTCACTTGGCATTAAACTGCACCCAGATTTTCCTGCGTCGACCACTCACAATTCCCTCTCGGCCATGCCTTGTGATGGGCATTTCGGTCAAGACCGATCTCTGATAAAATGCAACATTCACCTGCGCCCGTCCTCTTTTCCTTCTTCTTTCCTGTCACCCTCTACCGGTACATCCTCATATCTTGACACAGTGAGCGACTTCGGGAGTTTTGCGCTCGCTAATCATCATAAAGCTCCAATTCAGCCTCTTCTGAAAGCATCGTGTAAAATCGATTCTATCACATTTCCTCCTGCGAACCGACGTCATCATGAGCAACACCAAAGACATCGACACCGCGGTGCGAGCCACCAGCATTGATTTCGGTCGAGGTGACTATGGCGCCACTGGCTCTGGTTCCAGCTCCCAGTCTCCCGTCAAGCATGGCCATCCCGAAATCGTCGAACCTAGCCCTGAACGTCCCTTCAACGAGCTGGCCGAGAAGCGGACATGGCGTGAAAAGATTGCATATTTCAGGACCAGAGACTTCTGGTTCATCCTCATCCTGGGTCAGATACTGGCTATCTGCATCACTGGCACAAACACCTTGACCACCCTTTTGGCCATGGAGGGGACCAGCATTCCCGCCTTTCAGACACTGTTCAACTACGTATTGCTTAATCTGATCTACACCAGCTACACTCTATACAAATATGGCTTCAAGAAATGGTTGCATCTGTGCGTTCATGATGGTTGGAAATGTGAGTCGAAAACATCCAAATTTTTGGGTCGAGACGCTAACATCCGACAGACATTATCCTTGCCTTCATGGATGTCGAGGGGAACTACTTCACCGTCCTAGCATATAGATACACGACTATTCTATCCGCGCAGCTCATCAACTTCTGGGCCATCGTCATTGTCGTGGTCATTTCTTTCTTGTTCCTCAAGGTCCGCTACCACTGGGCCCAGATCCTCGGCATCTTCGTCTGCATCGGTGGCATGGGTCTGCTTCTGGCCTCGGATCACATTACCGGCTCCAACGGCGGAGATGTATCTTCTGGCAACCAGTTGAAGGGCGATTTGTTTGCTCTTCTGGGCGCCACGTTCTACGGTTTTTGCAACGTCTACGAGGAATGGTTCGTCTCGGGTCGTCCCCTCTATGAAGTTATCGGTCAACTTGGATTCTGGGCTACCATCATCAATGGTGTCCAGGCCGGCATCTTCGACCGCCACGCATTCCGTACTGCAACCTGGAATGGCGACGTCGCCGGATATCTTGTCGGTTACACGCTCATTCTCACTACTTTCTACACGTTGGTCCCGATCCTGTATCGTTTCGCCAGCGCCGCTTTCCAGAATATTTCGCTCTTGACGGGCAATTTCTGGGGAGTCATCATTGGAATCCAGGTGTTCCATCTGCATGTACACTGGATGTACCCTATTGCCTTCACGCTTATCATGGTCGGTCATTTTGTCTACTACTTTGGCAAAGGTGTCATGGGTGAAGCCAAGAAAGCATGGCTGGGTGACGACCAAGAGAGGGGCATTGATGGATTCGGCTCTGCAAAGCGCAAGATGAGGAAGATGCAAGAAGGCGCAGCTGGGGTCAGAAGAGGTGACGAAGGCACCGAGAGTATGGGAGTGGTGTGAAATCTATAAGTTCAGTCGGCCAGCCACTGAAACTTCGATCCTAGGGCGGTCGACACTGAAACCTCTTATGCACACTTTGGCCAGCCGCTGAAATTACGATCTTGGAGCGCTAACGCCCAACATCTCTATCCACTGCTTCGCAAATCGCTCTTTTACTGAGATTCTGCATCGACACGGCTCTGTTCAGGCGTTTCAGCCAGGCAGATACATAACTTACGGCCACTTAATGATTGAGAACTCATGTCCATTTCACGGAGTTCAATCAAGGATAATTTATTACGACCCTCTACTTTCGATGCATTGCTAACCTTTTCCTTATTCTGTCCTTATGATGAGTCAGTACCACCTTGATCATTTTGTTGTTCGGCAGCAACCACCCCCGAAAAGGTCTCATGGAGTTACGCCTACCTTACTGGGTAAGTATCACTTCAAAAGATACCCACCCTCCACATTCACCAGCGTGCCCGTCTGAAACGCATTTTTCATCAAGCCCAAATACGCCTCGGCCAGGTCCTCGACACTCGCGACCTTGCCCACCAGACCATGCTGCGCGTACATTTCGCGCATCTTGTCCTTTGCTGCCTCCTTCTCGTCCTCCCCAGCATCGGCAGCGACCGGCACACTTCTGAACAACAAGTCCGTCTCGACAGCACCGGGCGACACCAGATTGACGCGGACAGGCGCCATATCCAAGGCCAGCCCGCGCGTGAGGCCCTCCTTTGCCGCGCCGATGCCGATCACGGGTGCCAACCCCTTCCGCGGCTTATTGACCAGCGCGCCCGACGTCATGGTGAACGAACTTCCGGCGGCCGGCGCCATGTAACGGATTGCGACTTTGGCCAGCATCGTCACGCCGACGAGTCTGTCGCGCGCGAGCAGAGACAGCAAGCTTGGCGTCACCGTGTCCATGTTCACTTGGCCCATCAGGCCGACGTCGCCGGCCGTTTCGACGACGTGGTCGAGTTTGAACCTTTTGTGGTCTGTGGCGAAGTCGAACAAGTTTTGCAGCTCGTCTTCAATCTCAGGGCTGTCGCTCAGGGCAATCGCGTGGCCGGTGATGTTTGCCGCGTGCTCGGGATAGGTTTTTTGCAGCTTGGCCACGGCGCTGTCGACTTTGGACTGCGACCGCGAGGCGATGGTGACGATGGCGCCGAACTCGAGACACCCTTCGGCGATCCCGTAGCCGATGCCGCTGGAGCCGCCGACGATGAGGACGCGCTTGTTGCGCAGCTTGTCGAGAAATTTGGTCACCATCTTGAGATGTCGTTATGGGGGTTTGGTCTTGGTCTTAGTCTTAGCTTCGATTAACTTGGGCTCGACGCCGTGGACGGGAGGTCTTGTGCTGGGGAAAAGTGGTTTGGTTCAGGCAGTGCGTAGCAACGAGAAGGCGATGTAAGTGTGGGACATGTTTGTGACATTACGGACACTGCCCATGCCTTCTTATACTTCGAGAAGAGGACAAAGGAGAGGAATCAACTGGTCCTGGTGCTTAGAAATCCCCCAGAATTTGGGCATAGTGGTTTTGCGCATCTCGCAACTTACCGTCATGCGTATATGGAAAACGAGACTGGGTTAGCGTGTATGCATGGAATGGGCAGGCTGCCTCGAGGCTGGCCGTGGTCAACTTAGAGCGTAGGAATTAGCTATTGTCGGATGAACAATCACGCCGATCCTGTCCAAGTGATTACGAGTCGCGAGACCTTCGACAATGACTCGGACGATTACTCGGATGAACAGCCGGCTTCACTGCACATCCCGAGCTCCTAGAACTTCGTAAAGTCGTGACATAGTACTCCGTCCCGCAAATGCAGTGACAGGTGGAGCTGAGAGATACCTAGTATCTCTCGCTAGGTAGTCCGGACTGTTGAAGCGACCTCCGGCTAAGACGTTGACAGTGTCAATTTATGGAAAATTGGGAGAAGATCATTAGTACGAAGGGCTACCTAGAGAAGGGCTGCGATGACAGGGGGATAGGAATGCGTCTCGCGACCAAGTCATTACCTCAACAAACCGAGAGCGTCAAGGGTGAACTCGAAAGGAGATGCGGAGGATACAATACAAAAGAGAAATCGAGATTATCACGTGACTAGGAAAAGAAATATATACCCAGATATCCACCGTTGCTGGCTGATCAAAATAAAGGCGGTCAGCCGGATTGGGTAGCTGAGATTGCCGAAGAAGGTAAGATGGCGGCAGTAGTTCTTGTTGGTAGTTGATGGCTGCCCGTGGTCGGTCTGGCGAGCTGGCAAGCTGGCAAGCTGGTAGTTTTGCAGCTACGAAATGGCGCTCACGGGAGAAGGGCTTCGCCCGCAAGGCAACACCACACAAGAGTGTACTACCGAGATTGAGAGGAGATGGTCACATTCTGAATCAGCGGAATTTTCTAAACGAATATGGCGGGACGAAGATGAGGTTGAGATGAAGTCTTGATTTGTCTGATGCCTCCCGCATGCTGTATCATGCAGTGAGACGATGTGGACAGCCATATGCAAGCGACACAGATCAGATTGAACTTGATCTGTCCACCCATCCATCAAAAACACATCATCTACCCCAGTATCCTCACTTTATCACACCCTAGCCTATTGTCCATCTTGCATCGAAGAGAAGTTGAGAAGGCGTCTGCTCGCTTTTCTTTTCCAGTCTGCTCTCGGGAAGATCCCCCTTTTTTGACCTGTTCCGTTCCATGCCAATGCTATGCTCAACGATGATTTCCGTGCAGTCTTCGCGAAAATGTCGAGTATCCCATGGACATTTTCGGTTGTTGCCAAGGGCACGAGTCAAGAACTCCCGGGAAGGAATCTACTGCTCGGTCTGGAAATAGTTCAACAGCACATTGCGCTCTTGGCTCTCCTCACCCCAGTCTCGGACAACGACACAAGAGCAGTTGACCACCTTTCTCGCGTTGCCCTCACGGTCGAGCACGCAGAGGCCGGCCCATTCGCCCAACATCTTGCCATCGGGCACCTTGATCAGCGGGATCTTGTGTTCCGAGCACAGCGCAATGACGAGCTTCTTGTAGGCTTCTTCCTCGCAGGCCTCGTTGAGAACGCACATATGTGCTTGGCGACGATCGAGAGCTTTGGAGGCTTCGCGCAGACCGCGGGCAAGACCGTCGTGGATGAGGGCAATGCGGAGGACACCTATTCCAGTGAATGTCAATACATGTCTTCCCCAAAAGCTCGGCTCTTTCTCCGGTTCTTAGACGCACCTTTCAAGGCATCGAGGACAGACATGGAACCGGAAGAAGCAGCGGCATCGCCAGAGACTTCGACTTCATCGGCCGCGGCGACGGGGGAAGTGGGCTCTTCTCCGTCCGACTAGAGTGCACATATAATGTCAGCGATGGTTCTTTTCGTCGTCCAGTTGTCAATTGTAGGCTTCCGTCTCTTCTCGGTTGGCCGGTAGCCATCCCAGCATGAGCAGTCAACGATTGACCCAGACTTCAAGATCGATCAAAAGCTAAGATGCGAGACTGGAACGTACCATTTTGGCGATTCGTTACTTGTGTTGCAAGTACAGTGTATCAACAATGTCGGATGATCCTCAAAGAGTCACTGGAGGTAGAGAACGAATTGATGGGTACATCAAAAATCGTCCTTAAGCGGATTTTCCCTTCGCACAACGCCAAGAGTTATAATCTAGTCACGTGAACAATTTCCCCTGGAGCCATCCACCCATCCGCTCGCTCGGCAATGGCGCGCTCACCGGGCTCTGGAGACTCAAACTTAGGTGATCCCCAGCGCTTGTTGAAAGATTACAATAAGAGTAATGAAGGACCGAACCGGAGAAGCCAAACAGTCAATGCTATGGTGGCGCGACATGATATGATGTATTCTTGGTTGGGTAACTAGCCCATCTCTAACATGTCCAGGCTGTCCTCATTTCATGCAACGATTGCATTTACAGTGGTGTCGAGACAAGGAAAGCCATATTCAACCTGAATCCATCGAGGTCCTTGCCATCATAGTGTTTACTCCATAGTGAACCTCATAGACATTCATGACATCTGATTAATAGGCGACCAACAGGTCGACCCTTTAACGAGCGTATCCATTACCGTTACCGTAAGTAGATGGTGACATGTGAGGGCTCATGCCGTTAGTGATTTTGGGTTGATGCTGGAAGACCCCATTAGGCTGTGGTGACTGTGCCACTGGGAGCTGACCGTGGGGTATTCGAACGGATATCGCTTGCTTCTTTAACGGTTGCAGGCTTGCCAGATGAGGATGGCGGAAGACTTGATCTTCGAAATCAGAGAACTGTTTGCGTTAGGACTGGCCACTCCCTCGATGCAGTAGTACATACCTTGACCCAGAAAAGTTCCTCCATGTTGAAGAACTTCGGCCACTCCTCCTCTTCCCTCTCTCGCGCCTTTTGGATCGAAGTGTTGAATGCATTGGCGTCGTATTCAAACGACAGCATGTTCCTCGACACTTTCCACAGACAGAGCCTCTGACTTGGTGTTACGGGCCGCTTTTCGAGAGAGGTGTAATTCCGAAGATTCAGATCTTTTGTTGCCAGTAAACCTGCAACCTGAAAATTTGGTATCCACAAATCATCCGTACCAAGGGATACAACATCAGGAAGCAGCTGGGACGTTTTGACAGTGAACAGCGGCAGGAACTTCCGAAGCCAGGCTTCACTTCTCACAGTCGGGTCGTTGTTGTCAATCATTAAAGCGGTTGTGCTGAGGACGACAGGTAACGCCTCCCTACGGCGTCGCTCAAACTCGAGGCGTTGTTGCCTGAGATGCTCCTCTTGTCGTCTTTGCCTTTCCTCCAGCTCGCGTTTGATGCGTTCTTGACGTTCCTCCTCTTCCCTTCTTCGCTGTGCTGCTTCCTCTTCAGCTTTTCTGCGGCGTTCGTTCTCTTCGGCCACTTTTCGCTCTTCTTCAGCCTTTTCCGCCGCGATTCTTTCCTCCTCTTCCAATCGTCTCGCCTCTTCTGCCTTCCGTTCCTCTTCTTTTCTCTGAGCTTCAAGCTCAGCCTCGGTTGGTCCAACGTCAACCTCTTCCGTTTTTATCGGATCTTCTTGTTCCGCAAGCTGGGACGGTGGCTCACTTGGTGGTCGTGTCTGCTTGGCTTCCTCAACGCTATCCATTGAATCATGCTCTGCATCTTTGCCAGACTCAACCTCTTGAGTGAGTTCCGCCGCGGCGGGTTGAGCAGGCTTCAGCTCCTCTGCGGGCTTAGATTCATCCGCTTCGGCCGCGGGTGGTCGATCGCCTCGTTTATGGGGACCAGGTCTCGTTTCTTCGGGACTGCTCTCGACCACTGTCCTGCGTTTCTTCACAATGTTGCCACCACCCTCGCCTCGATTCAGGCCAGGTGCGGGTGACAGACTATCTCTCGTCCGTTTCAGGGCCGTGTTTTGTCGACTGTCCCTCTTCAAAACACTGATGGAACTTTCTGCGCCGGAGGACTCCTCAGTTACGGCGCTCTGACGTCGTCGATGCTCTTTTCCAGTGACGAGTCTTCTCCGGCGTTGGGAGGCTTCGACGTCTAGACGAGTCGGCTGCGCATCGCTTTGACTTCTGCGTTTGATGTGCCCTTTCTTAGGTGCAGCAACAGTCTGATCCTGATCGGAAGAAATCGCAACATCGTGTCGCTCTTTCCTCGCAGCACTGAACTTACGTCGTTCGGCTCCCTCTCCAGATATTGGTTCTCGATCAGCATCTTTGGTGGAAGATTGTGGAGACTTGATCGGTTGGGATTTGTGTGCCAGGGTCGGGCTCGAAGATTTGCGTAGTTTGATGGCAAGGGGTGAATGTGAACGGCGCAATATTCGAGATCTTTGTTTGTCGGTGTCTCGCGTGGCTCGTGGAGACGTTGCTTTCCTCGATTTCCCGGCAGCGTGTTTGTCAAAGGCATCTTTCAGAATCTCATATTCCTTCTGCCATTGCTCTCCTTTGCGTTCGGCAGCGACTTCATAGTAAGTCTTCCCCTTAAGAAGCTTTCTAGTAGGATTGAAACCTGACTGCTCCACCAAAAGTTTGACCACTTCTGGATGACCCCTCCCTATCGCGGCAAGCATGGGCGTATTGTATCCGAGTTTGACATTCCGTAAAGGGTCGGGATCTGGTTCGGGATCACCCATACCCAACAGATACTGCAAGACTTCTTCGTGTCCAGCTTTCGCGGCAGCTATCAGTGACTCGGTTTCAGCTTTCTGCAAAATATTGAGGATGTTCGCCACTCCTTGAACATCACCTTTGGCGGCCAGACGGGTCAGATTTTCCTGGGTGTTTGCTTGCCAAAGAAGATCGTTCCTCGTCGATTCACTGCGACCGGTCCTTCGTCTTGAAGAAGCAAGGGCAGGCGGACTTCTGGGACCAGCGATGGGCGGTGAATCTCTGGGACTAGCAGCAGATGCCGCCCTAGAAGATTGCCCGTCACGTGGCACTTCAATATGGTCGACGGATGCTCGTCGATGAACCGGTTTCTCCTTCGCTTCGGCCAATAGCCTCCTAATCTCCTCGTAGTTCTCGTCATCTTGGGGAACAAGTTCGTACGGTTCATCGCCCTTAGCGTTGCCCTGTCGAGGATTTGCTCCATACTCCAGTAAAAGTTTGACGACTTCGAGATGACCGTTTTCGACCGCGTCGATGAGTGGTGTTTCTCTATCAATATTCAATGAATCCACTTCACATCCGTTTTCCAATAAGAATTTAACAATCTCTGCAAAACCCTCGAGCGCAGCGATCTGAAGCGGTGTATTGCCGGCGTTGTCTGCCTGGTTCAAGTCTTCGGGTCTCTCGGCTAATTTCTGCTTGGCCAATTCCAGATCATTGTTGTTGGCGGCTCTCGCAAGAAAAGTCCTACCGTTTCTGTCTCGCCACTTGCGCACGCTCGGTCCCGCTTGTAGTCCCGATGACTTGGCTGGCGACATGGTATCCTGATCGGCCGATGCAAACTTATGTAGCGTAGGTCGGAGCCGTCTCGGTGAATCAGACTCGTCGGACGATATTGAACGCCTCCTATGATCTGCGGAACCACTTCTTTTGGTATGGATAGCGGGAGGCCGCCCGCGCTTCTTCCGCTCTACATCGCCAAGAGTCAACTGTGTAGACACACCACGTCTGTGCTCTTTGCGACGTGGAGGACGAGGTGGTGAAGCAGAACGTTCGGGAGAAGAATGGCGGGGATAAGTGGCGGATCTCGTTTCGCGACGTTCGGATGTGCCAGGATCTACACTGCTGGAATTGTTTTTTGTGCGTTGTTTGCTGATGTCCGGGAGAATATCGCTCGGGCGACGCCTGCGAATTTGATTCTTGACTGGCTTCTCCTCAGCATCATCCGAATCTGCCGTGGGAGTTTGACGCTTCTGCCGGACCAGTTTTGGTGATGGCGCTGGAATATGAATCGATACGTCTGAATCACTATCTGTTGAATGCGGAGCTAATCTTGGCGATGATAATGGTGAACTTCGTCGGCTTGAGGTGGAAAACGCAGTTTCGTCCTGTATATCATCAATGCTACGCTTGCGCTTTCGTGATTTATTGTCGCTCTCTGTCGCAGTTGCTCCATTAGTTGAATCCTCATCTTTGGCTGTCGCAACCCGAAGAGAGCCAGCCACCGACGCGTTGTCAGTAGCGGATCCAGCAGCAGTTCTTTGTTTTTCGGGTGACTGAATAAGTGTCTCCGCCTCTGAATCGCCTTCTGCATCGGCGTCTGCCACGTCCGCCATCACCTGGTCTACAATGGCTTCAACACGAGGGGCCGCTTCAGACTTCATTTCCTCAACTTTTGGTGTTGCAACAGATTCGGTCGGCCCATCGATTGCTGTCTGCTCAGTGCCCGGCTCGACCGTGGCATTTTGAGCGTCGTCTGGGCCGACCCGTTCACTCATTGCAGTGTCCGCCTTCTCTTCATTTTTTGTATGTTCATTGTTTTCTGCCGTTTTGGGCGGAGATAGAGGTGACTGACTCTAGTGGATGAGGTGGGAGGCTGGGGAGACCGATTGCACTGGGTGTTGGCGGTGAAGAGGCGGGCGTAGTCAAGAACGGAAGTGTTGCGGTGACCGACAGCAGTGTTCGATGGAAGCCGAAGAGTGCTCAAGATGATCGGATTGTGTGTGAGGGATGCGCTGTGCAGGCAATGGTGTTGTTTTGATGGTTCTTGTGATGGTTTCATCCAACATCACCAACACTTCTTGATCTTGGCCAGACACTCAGATTTGGCGATGCTACTTTGGCATTCACGTGACTCACCCTATTCGTGCCTATTCTATTTCATCGCCCGCCACACCCGCCAACTGTCCGCCCAGCTTTGGGTGCTGGTGCCGGTAAGCCTTGTTACGGTAGTGGTCTGTCCACGCCTTGTCCTTCCTCTGCCCTGTTCACAGCCTATGATGCCCTGCACCAGCCTGGTGAGCCTGTTCTTCCATCTTTGTTCTCCGCTCAGCCTCAGCAGATCCAACGCCCCCTGGCCTGGATCGGCGCCATCAATTTCAAATCCAATCTTTCATCAAACTCAATCTCTGCTCGGAACACCAGCCACCAATTCGCTTTTCTAGAGAGAACACGGAGAACCAATATTTTAGGCGTCAGGCCCAGACTATTCAAGAAGAGAACTCCAACCAACTATCACACTACAGTACGTTAAGATGGTGTGTCGACCGATGAATGCCGACAAATAATTCAGCCGCGCCGGACCATTTTCTCCTTGCGACCCGTTGTGCTCCGTATTGGGAGCAGCAAAAATGCTTGACCTGATTGTCTGGAGCACAAGAGCTTTCTATATCCTTAGCAGTCTTATCATACTCTGTGTCCGTTTAATTCCGCCATTCAGAGATCGTTTCCTGGCGTATGGAGCACGAGACCCTGGTGTCACTCATGGCGAGAATAGAGCGACAACACAGTCTTCCCTGGCCCTTCAGGTTCTTAATTATGTTGCGATCTGGAAAGTGCCGCATTCGTGGTTCGTCCACTTCTATATTGTATCTGTGCTGTCCTCGATAGCATGCTTTTCCATTTTCCATTCCGGAAGTCAGTCCAACTTTCTCGACCTGGCTACCTTTTCCTCCATCTTGATGCTTGTTCAAGGAACGCGGAGACTCCTTGAATGCCTCTTTGTTACCAAACCGAGCAGCTCTCGGATGTGGATAGGCCACTATGCAATTGGATTGGCGTTTTACATCGTCACGAATATTGCCATTCGGATTGAAGCTTGCAGGGAAGATCAACCCAAAACGCGACCTCTATCTGACCGTTGGCTTCTGCTCGTGGGGTTCTGGACGCCAAAGACCTTGATCTGTACTTGGCTCTTCTTCTATTCCTCGTTCAAGCAAAACCAGTATCATCGGTACCTGGCCAGCCTGCCAAAGTACACGGTACCCGACGAACCCATCTTCCGGACAACAATAGCGCCGCACTATTTGGCAGAGTGTGGTATCTACTTGTCACTGGTACTACTTCAAACTCCCGGTGACCAGGGACGCAGCAACTGCTCGTTGTTGTGTGCTTTCGTGTTCGTCATAGTCAACCTGGGCGTTACCGCAGACGAGACGAAAAAGTGGATGACGGCAAAATTCCCGGAAAGAAGAAAAGAGATCTCTGTGCGCTGGAGGATGATACCTCTACTCTGGTAGATAAAAGGTCAATCATTGGGGTCTAATGGACTCCATTCGAGATATCAGGCTTGCACGACCGGAGGCAAAACAACAAGAAGTACCATTACCGTTGCATTGCCTTGTGTGCTGTTCAAATCTAGCTTTGAAATTCCATCGGAGAGCCCATTCCCAACCCCAACATACCTCACCTTACTGCAGACCACACCAGGACGGACAGACCGACCCCAACAAAGGCGTCGACGTAGCCGAGAACCAGGCATGCTCATCCACCTCAATGGCGTGACCAGGCTCATTCGGATCCGGAGTCTCCTCATGTCCGATTGCCAACCAAACACGAGCCCGCCGATGCTCATTGGGCTGCAACACCACGTACACCTCTCCTGGTGCCGACACTGTGATATTGGCCGAAAGCAGGGCGTATCCGGAGATCAGGTCGGACTCACTGAATCCCCTGAACACGCCACTACCTGCTGACGCGTACTCGAGGGCCGTGAACCCTCGAGGCACCCGAGGCTGGAAGCCCGTGGCGTTGATTGCGAGGCCTTGCTGGCAGCGATCACTGTCCGTCTGGTAGCCCTTTGGCGTCACGAGGGTTCTGCCCATGAACCAGAGCGAGGGTCGATAATCGTACAGGGTTGTGACGTTGGGGATGCCCAGACTCACGGCGACAGAGGTGCTGGTGTTGGTGATGGTGACTTTTGTATAGACTGCCGCTGAAGGGCAATCTTGAGTGGTCATCAGGATGCGGGCGATGGTCGTGTCGGGCCACTCCCATGCCGAAGAGACGGAGGTGTGCAGACCGTTGTCAAGGTGAGGACGATGGGCTCCCACGCCGGATGTGGCGGCGAGCAGAAGTAGTGATGCATACAGGAAGGAGGCAAGCCTGGTTGCCATAATGCCGGAAAAATCGGAAGACGTGTTGCTTGTGTGTGGATGTCTAGACACTTTGGCCAAAATCGATGCGTATGAGGCAGGCTGTGACAATTGGTATGGATGGAACGGCAGACTCAGAATTGAATTCCTGGACTTACTGAGGTTCTTATACCCACGGATGCCATCGGGTACAGTGAGGACTCTTGCGACTATCCAATGATCAACCCAGCGTTCGCTGAGGTTGACCTACGAGGCTTGAGAAGGCGCCTTGGCTTTCGAGGACCTTAACCGACTCAAGCTCGTGAGAGAAGAGCTTGGTGGCTGGCTTCCTCGGAAGTGAAGGTCGACAATGGACCGTAGCTGGTATAATGACTAGTCAAAGTTTTAGTGATCGTAGTTTGGGATGGTAGGCCTTGGCCTACGCGACGGCTTCACTGTCGGTGTTGATGTTTTATATAGAGTTCCCTAGCCGAAGAGGGTAGGATGGTCCAATGACAGAGAGGTCAAATATTGTCACAAGGAGTCTACCCAAGGCGCCCCTCTCAGCGAATTCTTTTTCTGCCCACATAGTCTTATGGGGATGTCTATCGATAATCTCGATACAAGAGAGCAAAGGGTCTGCAGAAGTCTCGGATTTTTAATGCTCACGCAGCCTCTCCTTTCAAACCCAAGGTCCAATGCATCCCGAGTCTCGTTCATCCACTGCTCATTACTTAGCCTCACTGCTCTCCTCATTCGTCGCGTCTTCGGCCTTGTCCTTATCCTCGTCCTTCTCATCATCACCTTCTTGGCCGTCCTTGGTTTCTTGCACCGCAGCTTTGATCTCCTCCCTGAACTTCCGTCGCTCCTCGAGCTTGGCCTCCTTTTTCAATTCCCGCTCAACCTCTCTCTCCTCTTCCTTGCGCCGTCTCTCGTCGAGGGTCTCTTCCATCCACTTTGGCAGAGCCTCGACCGCTTTCGCAGCATCCTTCTTGTGGATGAGCAAGTAATCCTGCAAATCTGCCGGTGAGAACTCGTAGTCCGGAATTAGATCTGCAAACTTCTTGGCCAAGTCATGAAGATGCGCCGTGTGGTTGTCAAGACTGGTGGGTTGAGCTTTCTTTTCCGGTTCCTCCTTCTGCTCCGACGTCTGACCCGTACTCGGCAGGTCGACATACATCCGCAAGAAGATCTCCTCGGCCTGTCTCTTCGAGGCATTTCTGAACCCCACTCTCACGCTGATCCTACCTGCGCGAACCAATGCATCGTCCAGCTCATTAGGCTTGTTCGTTGTCTACCACTCATGTCAGCTTGGTAACTCCAATGCCAATGGCCTTGCAACTCACCATGATCAAAATATGTCCCTCGGGCGCAGCAACACCATCAATCGCATTCAACAGCCCGCTCAATGTGACACGGCTCGTGTTGGTCATCTCCTCATCGTCGTCACTGATGTCAATACCATCCGAGCTCTCCTTCTTCTTCGAGACCGCGCCCACAGGCAACTTCTGTCGCCCACCACGTTTCCGTCTGGCAATCGTGCTTTTGCCCTTGCGATTCAGCCCCGCGGTATCAATATCCTCGAGCAACAACAGCGAACGACCCGGCAATTGATTGAGCAATGACACCAGGTCTGAGTCGGTCAAATTGTGATCCAGCAACGTCAAATTGTACACGTCAAGATTGAACTTGTTTGCCAGCGCCAGTGCAAACGAGGTCTTCCCAACGCCCGGCGGCCCGTGGAACAAATATCCTCGCCGATACGGAATGCCATGATTCGCATAGAAATTCATCGTCGCCTCGTCCATGTACTCCTCCACATCTTTCAGGACTTGCTCTTTCTGACCCGCGTCTAGAATCACCGTGTCCAGTGCGCGGCGTGGCTTGGACGTCAGCCTCGACCACGTCGAGCGTCCACCGTAGCCACCGTCGTATGGCCGACGAATAACCGTCAACGAGCGCTCCTTTTCCTTGTTCATGCGGTACACGTGTTCGACAAATTCCTTGATCGGGGTCGTGGAGCGACCCAGGCATGATAAGCTCAGCACTTCGATACGAGAGTACCGATTGCCCGCGTAGGTATGGCCCTCGCCGTATTTGCGGGTGATGTAGAATAAGCGGCGCTTATAGATGAACAGCTGCATGCCCTGGCCTTGCTCGTACTTGATCTTTGGGTCTGTCGTGCGGCGCGCGGATTCTTCGACGTCGTCATGATGGGGCCCGCGGCGACGGCGGCCGCCAGGCATAAAGTCGTGGGGCGTATTGAGCGTGGCGTTGAGCAACTGGTCTGCGCGTAGTGTACGTGAGTCAGCGATGTAGGTTGTTAGATAGTTGAACAGGTCTTCGTCCGACGAGACGGTCACGGTGGCGACCACAAGAGACGAGAAGCGATTCCACAGAGATTGAAATCGCGCGATGGGGCCGAAGTAATAAAGTGCTAGGAGAACGCCGAGGAAGCGGAAGAGAGAAGGATGTTGGTCGAGCAAGGGACGCGCATTGGGGAAGAAGGTGGTGATGATGTATTCGGGCAGTTCGATCAGACTCGAGGTTCCGGTGGCGGCGGTCCGGCGTAAGCGTTGGAGGTCCATATCGACAATGCTCTGATGGTTTCAATCCAAGTTGGAAGGAAGACGGAGAAAGTGAAGGATGGGGGTGTCTTTCAGAAGAGGTGGAAAATCCAACTTGAGGGTGTATCGTAAGGTCGTACGGTCTGGTTGGTGAAGCAAGCGGAATGATGCAGCACAAACAAGCGGCTGAACGACAAGTAATGGCGAGTTTGTAATACAACCACGCCTTTGTGATGGAATGTTGACTTCATGCAGTCAAGGTTGGAATAGTTGTAAGAGAAGAATCAAGAAGACGTGAGGCCTCAATCTTCTGCCTTTGGTTGAGCCGTGGAATTAGGCCGCTTATATACGGTTGAGGATGTGTGTGGGATCTGAAGGTACCCATGACCCGTAGGAGCGGACCGTAGGATGCTGCAAGATTCGAGTAGCTTGCAGGATATTAAGGATACTATACCTGAATCTGCGCCTCGCCTGCAGGGCACCCACAAGGCATGCTGGGAGCTGGGATGCGGACGACAAATAGGCAGACCGGTATGATGTAGGCCAAAGAGTGATTGGGCACAAAGGCTAGTAACAGGTGAGTAATACTACGTACGGCATCTACCAGGTAGTCTACTACGTAGTATCAGTGGACCAGATGAGGGGCAAAGAATCAGGCTGACATGGCATTACCTGGATACCACTCACGACCATTGTACGTATGTGTATTCTGGGCAATGGCATACACATTACTGTCACAGTACTCGTAATCGCAGGAGAGGTATAGCACCTGTATAGATGGGAAGTACCAAGGTAGATCTCTCCAGTAATACTGTCACATACGGAGGACTGTGTACAGTAGAAGACAATGACGAGGCTACGGTACCACTCAACGAGGCTGTCGAATGACGACGTTTTCAGTCTGACGTCATTTCACAAATGTGCATCTTTGTTCTCGTGGCTTCTTTGCCCCTGCAATCAGCCACCTTTCATTCAGTTACCACGAGTACTCGTACAGGCCATGTTGGACATTAGTTGACACTCACTAGAAACCTCAATCACTCACTCTCACCATCTCCAACACTCAAAATGCCTGCGGTCCAGCGCAACGGGCGCTCTACTGCCCGACCGGAAGAGGGAGAGAAATCCAAGCCTGAAGCTGCATCCCCATCCAACACTCCAATGCCAAATTCGAGAGAAAGACCTTCTCCCTACCTACTCTTGATCTACCCTATTATCCTCGCTCTCGGGTCAGCCTACTCTGTCCTCTCACCAGTCGCTGTCCCTCCTCCCGTGGCTCCATTGGCTCCGGGCGTCACTGCCGAAATCAACAGCCCAGCAATACCACACACGAATTACTTCTCCGGCAAACGGAACATTTTCAATCTCTACTTTGTGAAAAGAGGCTGGTTCTGGACGACGCTGGCTCTCATCCTCCTTCAGCTCTCAACTCGGCCCCCGCCAGCTCTTAAGCAAAAGCACTACTTTCAAACCGCCCTGCGCTACATCTTGGCTACTGTGTCTTGGTTTCTTACAACCCAATGGTGTTTCGGCCCTGCGCTGATCGACCGCAGCTTTACCATCACTGGCGGTCACTGCGAGCCTCATCTCATGAACGGAAACGGTCTGAAAGAAGCCGTCCATATGACGACAATCACTTCGGGCCCAGTTTGCAAGGCAGCTGGCGGACGCTGGCGAGGTGGCCATGATATCTCTGGCCACGTCTTTATGCTTGTCTTGTCCTCCGCTTTCCTCATTTACGAACTCTACATCTCCGACCGTGACTCCTCGCATCCCCATGTTTCGCCGAAAGCCGCAGCTGCATTGGCGCATGACATGACCGAAGAAGAGCGCAGGGCTGTCGGAGGATGGGAATCAGAAACAGCTGCCAAGATACGGATATGGTCGAGATATTTCTTGTACGGGGTGGTTGGGTTGGATTTCTGGATGCTCATGATGACGGCGATATGGTTTCATACATGGCTGGAAAAGTTGAGTGGCCTGTTGATTGCTGGCCTGACGGTATATGGTATCTACTTTGTCGGCGACTATGTCCCGCATTGGAGAGGTGTTGCCGGTGGATTATGACCTGTTCAGGAGGAAATCCCAGGCATGAATATTATTGGAATAGAGGCTGACAACCTTGTCGTATTAGCGAGAAGGAATTGCACCATGAATGGATAGCGCCGCAACGCGTTTGTGACTATGGTTGAACAACGGTATCTGCGCATGGACGCCCTAAATTCCGCTTCCTACCTGCTCTGGCATAGCGCTTGAACGATTCAAGAAATAGATTTCTCTCTCCTACGAGGCGATTGGCAAAATTCCCATCGAGCAGTGCGAGCGGTATAATGGCCGAGTAGCAAACCATAGGTCGGTCCAGAAATTATAATGATACATAACTACCCCGGTTGTGCCCGGTCTCTTTCGTAGAGAAAATATCATAATTTACCACGAACAAACATCATACAGCACAATATAGACCCCGCTAGCATTACTCACCAGATCTCTGCCCGAAGAAAGCCTTTTGCCCCGAGTATATTTCCCCGAGTACTTATATCCAACAGAATGTAACGAAATGAAACGACGTGAGATGAGGCGAGCGAGGCCAAGACAAACTCCGATACTCGCATAAGCATCAGACCTTGTCTAACCGGGCCAACCGCTTGGCCTGCTCGTCCCGTTCAGCGTCTCTCTTCGCGCGATCCGCACTGCCCGCCTCGTCTTCATCACTGAAGGCATCTTCGTCGTCCTCGTCGCCGCCGAGCTGGAAATACTCCTCGGCCTCATCCGCGCCCATCGGCGGCGCAGCCTTATTGTGCTGCTGCGCGGCGGGCCTCCTATTCCGGGCGCGTCCCACGACGAGCGTGAGCACGATGACTTCGACGGCCGCCAGCGCGATGGTCAGACTGACGGTCAACCAGCCGTAATGCCTTAACAACAATCCCGTGACGATGTTGATCATGCCGAACGGCAGGACTACGCGGCCGAGCCAGAGATGCACGAGCGACATCCAGGTCCGCCGCCCGCCGTGGGGGGAGGATGAGATGTACACGACGTGGTGGCGCCAGCCGAGCACGGTCTGCACGCACAACCCACAGACGATCAGGATGCCGACGTACTGGTGCGTGATGCTGATGGACCGCGAATTGACAAACCCGATGAGCGCGGCCAGGCCGACGGAGACGCTGGATAAACAGTTGATGGTCCAGTGGAGGTTGAAGGCCGTCGCGCGCGGGGAGCGCAGGAAGTACACGCCCAGTGGATATAGGACGAGGAAGGATATTGTCATGAGAAAGCCGTGGATGTGCCTGTGGTTAATGTTAGTATCGAGTTGTCTGCAGCATCAATGACAAATGGGCTGCTTTGTGATCGAAGGCTCTGTAGAACAGGTTGTACTCACCACATCATTGACCGAATATTCCACTGCTTGACCGTCTTGACCGGCTCTTCGACCTTGGTCCCGTCATCCGCGCCGGCTTGGTCAGTTGGTGTCTTGTCGACTGGTTCAATATCAGCAGCTGTATCACTGCCACTTCCACCATCGACAGCGGCTTTCTGTGATGCAATCATAGCAGCGCCAGCCTTCAGCTCGTCGGAGGTCGGTTCGGCCGGGTCACCAATCTCGTTCACGCCCTGATGGCCCGACAACTCATTGATCGGGCCGAAAAATGGAAAAGGAGAAAGGGCGTTCTTCAGATCAGCCCAAATAAAACCAAAGCCGAGTCCAAACTGGTGCATGTCGATGCTTCGCTCGACAGAAAAGTCGCCTCCAAAGTCCTGCTTAAAGTTACTGCTCCATATCATGGACTGCTTGGTCGTGTCGTTCTGCACGCCGAGTTCGGCCGCCGTCCAGGTTTCGTACCCACGGACGATGAACTCGGCGATACCTAAGTGCGAAGGTTTCTGTTGCAGTCCCTCGTGGAAAAACTGGCCCGTGTACTCTTCGAAGCGCGTTGAGACGACGTCCACAACGGGAGTCTCGCCGGAATAGAAGTCCTTCATTTCAGGCATAGGTCGGGGCGGATGATGGCCGTCAGCAGTGCGCACGGTCAAAGTCAGAGAATCGGTCGCCGGGTCGCCATACGTGATGAACATGAGCGCGCCTTTCATTTGTGGCCCAAGTCCAAGAGCTGCCCAGCCTTTCGCGCTTGATTGATAGCGGAACGCCCACATCCGGACGTACAGGTCGGATTGTTGCGTCGTTTCATTATAGTAGTTGACCAGGCTGAATGCCTGGTCGGCGCGACCAGATTCTCCGGTGTGCTTGACAAACTGAAGGGGTCGGTAAGCTGAGACCACGGTGGTGAAGACGAGGGCCAACAAGGCCGGCAGGCAGGATAGCCAAAGCATGATGCCTTGGTACAGTATTAGATTGAAGTAGAATCAAAAATCGGTGTGAAGAACGGTCGTCGACGACTTTACAAACTCGTCTGGAGACCTTTGGAAATATGAAGTCGACGATTCGTCCGCTCAATGTGGGATAGGGGTCTGGGTCTGCACGTCCCCGCTAAAATCTCAACACTGCCGAAGGCTCCGATAAAGAGAACTCGCGACGATCAGGTCAGCGTCTGCTGCTTGTGGCTCTGCCAGATAGCAGAGATGGAATGGAGATGCAGCGACGGGAAGAATGTTCAATCGATGAAGACAATAAACGAACGTAGGATGGTCGGTTGGATGAAGACACTGTGATGGATGATGGATAAGGAATAAGCAGAACGTGGCAGAAGCAGAAGCAGAAGCGGAAGCAGAAGCAGAAGCAGGGGAAAGGGACGTTACCGATAATAGACGAAGCTAGTCCCGATCTGGACGTGGCGTTGTCGGATTCAAATCTCGAGTCTCTACGGAGGATCCTCTCCCTTCCTCTCCTTTCCTCTTCCTTTACGTCTTTCCTCCAGGGGGGAATAACACATGCACAATACTATACCAGTGGCATGATGCCATATCATGTCAGCCGACGCGTCCTTCACGTGTTCCTCTCACAAAGCATTTTGTCCGGGAGCTGCCAGCAACGGAAATGAGGTTTGTAACAACTTCAGCTCATGATGATTTTTTGTTGTTCTCGTCTACGCATTGACAGCAAGAGCACCAATGATCCCAATGTCCAACAAGTGATTGATACATCGTCAATTTAGCAGTCCCCCCTTCATGCCTTGACAAAGACCCTCTTCTCAATGGGCTCGAACGTCTTGTCCTGAGGTTGGTCCGTTGGCTTGCCAAAGACCAATTGTGACTTGAGTTTCCACGTCGCCGGAAGATCCCAGGTCGATTTTACATCGGCAACAATGCCTGGGTGAAAATTAAAGTGTTGAAGATTGGCTGCAAGGCCTTCCGCCTCAAGGGCAGCCCAAACTAGCAAGAATCGTCAGCCTTGTAGCGCTTCATACGAATGCCGGCCTCCAACACTTACCGATGAATTGATGCATACCGCTCGAATGGTCAGAAACTGCGCAATTGCCGGTCAGCATGAACGACCCTGCGACTCGTACGCGACGTGACGAATCAGGAACTCACATTCAGTCAGCAGAGGCACAACCATGGCATTTTTCTCTCCCAACGCGTCCAGCGCGGCCTGGTCCTCGAACCACATCACCGTACCGTAACTGGCAGAGAAACCATTTATACGACCAGCCAGGTAGCCTTTGATGCCCTCATCCATGGGGACTTGGTCCATGTGCTTCTTGACGGTGGCCCAGAGCTTGTCGTGCTCGGCGCCGAAAAGGACGACTGCCCGAGCAGACTGGACATTGTACGTGGACGGCGCCCACGTCACGGCAAACTTGACAATCTCTTCGATCTTCGAGTCCGGGATGGTGGTCTCCTTGGACAAGGTGTAGATGGAACGACGACCCTTGACGACTTCGAGGAACTTGTCTGATGGACTCATTGCTGCGGTAAGGTTGTTGAGGGAGAGCTGAAAATGTGAGGAAGTTGAAGGACTTCTAGGGCTGAACAGAAACGGAATAGAACAGGATGATATCGGTTGGGCGTGATCAAATCATGAACAACTCGAGGTACCTGACTGACCTTTTATCCCATTCACCTCGATCCTCTTCACCCGTTTCAGGTCAAGGCAGAACTTTGTATTAACAATCAACCTCTCCAATCGTCGACTTTGCGCATGGTGCAACCGTGTTTCAAGAGCCAACAACTGGTACGTACCCACCACTCTGGGCCGTCTCTCGAGATAGTGGTCTATGACTGGCTCTTATGCTGGAGCTAATGCGCGGATCATGAGGATTGGCTCCTAAGGCCGACAAAGTCTCGTCTTCTCGGGCGAGATCTTGTATCGAGAATCCCGAATCACGTGACCCGGTCTCACGCCCCGCCAACGATTTCTTGTACACTGTGGTGATTCCCCCATCAATCGTCAGCAAACTGTGGGCCGAGGGCGGAATGGAAGAGCAAGCCAGTGCTCAACAATCGCCCCTGATTCTGGATCACATCATCAGGAGCATCTCATAGGACCCGTCGACACGAAGATTGAACAGATCCCACGATACTTGAGACTCGAGCCTCTGAGCCAGAACAGCTGCTATGTATCCCAGGTTCCTCGCGGCATCCGCTGCATATTCTTCAACCCAGGGCGTGCTTCGCCCTGACAGGCAATCCGTTCTCACAACTCCTCGTTCTCGCCCTGCTCAACTAACCCTAGCCCCAGGCCTTCTAAACCTACCGGCTTCGCTCCCCTGGCACTACTCACAAACAACGCATCCGCGACACAATTCACAACCGGCCCCTGCGGATCCTCACTGTCAATGAATCCGCCCACATACCCGCGATCGACAGTGCAAATCCTCCACGCGGCCGCCGTGCACGCCACGCTGGTCCCATGGAACCATTTCTGCGTATAGCACAGCCTGTCGTTCGCCTGTAGCCTCTTCACGCTGACCGCGAAGCGCTCGTTGGTCTGCACACAACCAAGGCCGGCGACCTTGGTCGTGACTTCCTGCGCGATCCCGGCGCCGGCGTGGCCGATGGACGTGCAGTATCCGCGGCCCGCGCGCAAACACTCGACCCGGCCTGTACTCCCGACGACACATCCGGGAAGCGCGCCGTACGGCACGTCGTCGTAGTATGTCGCGGGCATGCACAGGAAATCAACGTACGTGGTGGGACCTCTGCCGTCGGTGTGGGTGCGGATGCGTTGTGGAAAAGCAATCGGTCTCTCCGGGTGTGTGTACATGCAGTATCGATGCATGGCGGCCATGCAGTCCGGGTCCGAGACTTGCTTGCCGTCGTAGCAGCCGGAGTGATAGTACGTCAGGGACTTGCCCGGCTCGGTGTTGGCGAAGCACTGGGCAGGCAAGGTGCATAGGAGCAGCCAGAATAGAGGGTGAGTTCGCCCTACAGCATGCATGATGGATGTTGGTACTAGTACACAGGACTCTTATCGTTGCTGTCTATCAGCCAGAGTGACGCCCACGGATGTGAAATATAAGGGTCTTTGTTGGGAGACAGTACGGAGTTAATACACCTGGGGAAAATCGTAGTACGACAGTACTAGTACGAGGAGGAATGAACATCGAGCGGGTAGTATTATATAGTGTCCAACAAAAAAGGGACTGCCCTCTCGAGCTGAGATTCTTCGAGTTGTCCCAGCCAGCCTCACTTCGGCCTCGACAGAGCCATTCAGGGCCATTCAAGTTATTCAAGTTATTCACTGAGTGTGGATCTGCCCGAAATACTAGCAGTCCCTTCCTGGACATTCTTGCTCGTCTCACGACCGCCATTGATGAGAAGCGAGCGGCGCCAATCCAAAGTTGCTCACGGCTGCAAGCAGAGAAATTCCCCGGCCATACACCGTTCAATCGAGAACATCCAAGGCGTTTTCAATCGTGCTGAAGCCAAGCAAAATGTCCGAGTGTGCCTATAGTCCAAGACCGTTCAAGACACTTCAAGTTCTACCTAACTCAGGTATTAAGGACAAGAGCCAAGGCACAGCTGAGGAATCCTTCGCGCTGGTCTCTTTTTCCAACACGGCCGTCCAATGAGCAAGCCAATTAGTCCACGGTTCTCGCGTATCGCTTCTCGCTTACAAGGTCCAGACTTTGTTCATCACGAGGCCATTGAGCCCTGGAATCTGGTCTTCCAGAATGAGCATATTTCGTAAAGAAATCAACGCTTTTCAACAGAACGTGTCCAAGCGTGCACCAAAAACATCGCAGAACAAAATCAGACGGAGGCTACACCAGTGGAATTCATTCATGTCACATTGTGTGATATTTGAACTAGGCAAGGCCAGGCCAGGCTCAACAGGACATCATATCTTCAAATCAATCAACCGCTCCGCTATAACCCGTGCTGGCATGTACAAGGTCTTAAAATCCATCCCATTCCATTCCATGCTCACTGCAAACTCCGTGCCTTGAACCTACAATAAAAGTCATGCTCCTTCACGAACCATGCTAGAATCACCGAACGTTAGCAGACATCCTCCGTAAAGAACACCTCCTGAGAACTTCAGGGCCAACTCACCATTATGCAATTTCCAGTCCCTGCTAGGATCGTCGAATTGGACCTGCGCGACCATTTGTCAGCCGTGCTCGCTTGTGCCTCCAGACCGAATCCAAGACCGAGACTCACCTCGAACCGTCTCAGGAACGACGGAACCAATTTGTACATCTCCAACAAACTGATGTTCTTCCCAATGCAGGTCCGGGCCCCGGCACCAAACTGGAACAAAGTCCCGTTCATCTCCTTCAACTGCTCTTTGCCGGCATCCAACCAGCGCTCGGGGATGTAGCTGTCGACCTGCGACCCGAAGACCTCCTCGCGCTTATGGATCACCCATGCGTTACATCCGACAATCGTTCCACCGGGGATGAAATGCCCGTCAATCTCAATGCCCTGGGGAGGCGTGATTCGTTCCAAGGGCAGTCCGGCCGCAGGGTGCATTCTGAATGCCTCTTTGATGCAGGCATCGAGGTACGGCAGGTTCTGGGACTCCGTCCAGGACACTGTGCCGCTGGGTCGGTTTTCGATCCTGCCCTCTTTGACCGCGTCGTTCAATTCGTTCATCAACTTCTCGTAGCACCGTGGGTTGCGGAGGAGATAGTAGAACACCGCCGCAAGGCTGATCGCCGTGGTTTCGGAGCCGGCGAACGCCATGGACACGGCCATGGTAAGAACACGTTGGTCGGTCATAAACTCGGGACGGTCGGTTTGTGCTTTCAAAAACATTGATAATAGGTCGGGCTTGTCTGTGCCCTTTTCACGGCCTTGGGCTTTGATCTCCGACAGGCGTTCCGACATGCGTGCGAAGGCGAATTTTGTGATGGGGAAAGCGAAGAGTTTGACGCCCAGTTTGTCGAGCAGGAGGACCAGGGGATTCTTCAGGAAAAGTAGATCGATCCAGGGCATCTGGCCGACCTGTATCCGTGTCAGCGGCAGCTTGATGAGGACGAAACTCCAGGTCTTACCGGTGCAACGTATGAGAACAGTTTTCCCAGATAGCCGATCATACCATCAACGTCTTCGTTTCGTTCTAGGAATCCATGTCGTTTGCTGTATGTGATTTGTCCAATGACCTGCGGGGCACTCAGCATCTGGTACGATTCGGTTTCCAGAAATACACTTACGTCGAAAGCAAAATATTGAAGCCATTCTGCGAAGTCGCAGACTCTATTTGGCTTTGCATAGAGCCTGTCTGTCTGATCCAAGAAGATCTCAATTGTCTCATTGACACCTGGCTCGTACTGAACCAGCTGACTCATTGAGAAAGCATTGTTGACGGATCGCCGCAGGTTCGCGTGGTACGACTCATCCGTGGTCGAGAACAAAGACGGCAACCGCTTGCCATCCTTGACAGCTTGCTGGACGGGGTAAAAGCCGGACTGCCAGGTTAGTAAGGACAACCGACCGCTCACAGAGCTGCAACCATACCTTGGTAAATCCCTTGTTCAGCCCATATATCGTCTTCAAAGCCCTAGGGTTTGCGAATGAGAGGCTGTTGGGTCCAAGGCGGACGATATCTCCGTGTTCACGGTGCAACTTGAGGTGAGTGATATCCGGCCGTCTCCCGTAGACGTCGAGGAACCTCCACCAGTTCGTAAACTTGGCCAGGAAAGGCCCTGGGTATTTGTTCAGGCCATGGTTGAAGTAGTTACTAAGCAGGTAACCAATGACGAATACTGATAATGCTAGCGGCCAATTGTTGGCCAGGACCGGCAGTACTGATTCGAGCATTGTCAAGGAGCACGCGCCACAGAGGAGGGAATCTCACGTAGATTTGGTCCGTGTTGTCGATAAGACTTACCTCAGGCAGACGAGTGCAGCTGAAGGGTGATAACATCAAGCATATGAACATCTCCAAGCAAGGGAAACTTGGCGGATCCAAGTATGACTGTCATTCTCCTTCAGTCAGATCGGTCCAATCTGGAAGATGGCTCCCAGTGCCGAAGCTGGTCAAGTGGCTCAGCTTGTTCGGCAGTTGATTTCCAGCGAGGCAGAACCGGGCCCGGCACAAATATATAGGAGACTGACTCTCGAGCCCAGCAAATAGGCAATGAGGGAGCAATGGGTGGAGCGCCCGGCTCGCTCTTTGTGAGATATGGCATTGCGCGCAGGGACGGCACATGAGATGAAGCAGCCACTTGGTGAGAATATCCACGAAGGATGATGGCGAAAGTCCGGGGGGGAAATGCCGAGAGGTGGCCCAGGCTGGGAAGAAATGGGTGTAGAGGGTGAAGAGGGTGGGGGAGTTACGTGGGAGAAAAAGTCGGAGGAGTAACATAGTACAAGTACAGAGATTCTAGCCCGGTAGTTTGTAATACTTGAATGAAGATCCGCTCTCTGTGTCTTACAGGAAGAGGTCCCGAGTGTTCGACAATGATGGTGGTGACCCTTCGGAATCCATATCGGCAGTTGGAGTCAGAACAATTGCCGTCGACTTGTTCTACTGTCTATGGAGTCAAGTCAGCATGGTGATGTGCACGGATGTCGTTTTTGATCTCAATTACTTGACACAACCTGTTTTCCCCAATTGTAACAGCCGGCATATGGTCAGGATGATCACCTAGGTAGACTGTGGTAGACAAACCATGGGCGGTATCGTCAGCCTGGTGCTTAGGTGGATGAAGTCATCTTCACTGGGATGACAGCTCTACAAGTATCTTCAACGCAGACCCGGTTAGCGTAGACGGATTCCCTAGGTAGAATCCAGGAATACATCCAAGTGGACAATACACGATACGCCACGCAATCATTGCAGGTTACCAACACATGAAGGATCAACTGAAATTTTCATTCTGAACACAACGGTGCTGATGAGATCAGGAAGCATACGTTCACACGATTCCAAGCTGCAGGGCCTGCTGGAGATTGTAGAACAAAATTCCTCCTAGTCCCGTAAACCCATTGCCCTTGATGCTTTTGAGTTGCACAGCATTCTCCTGCAAATATGCCTGTTCGTCTCCCGTAGGCCAGTACAAATTCGCTCTCGAGTCCATGGGTCTTCCTTTCACTAGTACAAGGTTGGTAATGATTATGTCGAAGAGGATTTGTGGTTGTTGCCGGGACAATGTTTTGTGGTCGCATCAAGATACAGGATGCCTCCTGCTTATTTTCCACCCAGGCTGGGGAAGGCGGTCTCGTCGTTGACGGCGACTGCTGGTCCTTCGCTGCCACGGCCACGGCCACGGCCACGATATTCACCACGGTCGCCACGATCGCCACGGCCACGGCCACGACCACGGAACTCACCGCGATCGCCACGACCACGGAACTCGCCACGGTCGCCACGGTCAGCGCGATCACCACGGAAATCACCACGGTCACCTCGCTCTCCACCACGACCACGACCGCCGCCCCGACCACCACGTCCACGGGATTCGCGAGGTTGCTCCTTGAAGGTGTAGTCAATGTTGAGGAACTCCTTCTTCGAGGCACGCTCACGTTCGCGTCTGGCCTTCTCTTCGCCCTTGAAGTAGTCCGCAGTCTCGTCTTTGGTCAGTTCTTTGGCCGACTTCCATTTCTTGTCCTCCTTGGCGCCCTCATTTGGTGCACGAGCTTCCTTGAGGCCAAGCCCTTCGAGCTTCTGAGCTGCCTTTTCGGCCAAATAGTCGGCATAGGACTTGTGGCTGGATTCAGGCTCGGTTTCACCTTCCGGAAGAGCATCACCGCCTTCAGGGATGGTGACAGGTTCGGCATTCTCATTGAAGGCTTCGGCCTCGCCACCAGCATCCCATCCGCCTTCCTTTTCTTCCTGTTGAGCGATTGCCTCTCCAGCCTTTTCGTCTGCCCATTCGCCCTCGCCAGTGGACTCACCCCAGCCATGACCCGCTTGCTTAGGGTGTTCACTGTAAAGCTTAGCAATCGAACATGCAATGGCGAACAAGTTACTCACGCTACGCCAGTACGGTTGACATGACGGTCGCCACCACGACGTTGGGCTGGGCCTCCACGACCAGTTCGTCGCGTACCAGCAGCGCCCTGCACGCGACCAGGCTTGTTGCCAAAGCCATCTGCGCCAGCACCTTCGCCAGTGGGTTGATCACGGTTGTAGGTTCTGCCAGTTGCTCGCTCACGGAATGCTTTCCAGATAGTCAGCGACACGTGCTCCGTTTATTCGGCATCCCAAACATCTGTACCTGCTTCGTTTCCAGTAAATCCACCTCCTCTTCGACCACCACGGCCGCGAGTGGCTACATTTGCCAGTGGTTCGGCTGGCGATTGCGGTGGAGCTTCGCGCTTGCCAACTCGAGCAGCGGGCTTGTCAATGGCCTTAGTAGGTGGCTCAGGTTCGCGGTCAGAATCCTGGTCCGAGGTATTGCCTGGTGAATGAACATTAACAAGAAATTCGCATCAGCCGGTGCGCCGGAGTAGGTACCCAATAGCTCGTAGAGGTTCTGTAAACGAGAAGAGTCAGTCAATGCACATTAATAACTGACAGAAACAGCAGCAATGAGAAAGCCGCAATGGAGCTCATGCTCACCTTGCTCTTGACGTCCGCCATGACGTTCTCCTCTCGAGCGCCTTCCGTGAAGGCCCTTCTTTATTGAAACTCCAACTCGAGTCTTAGAAGGCGAGACTCTCGACCAAGACAAGCTCCTCAAAAGTAGGACCCTGTCGATGTCGAGTGGTGATGTGTCTGTTTGAGATGTAGTGAGATTGGCGCACTCACCATGCATGGGTGAAATTTCAGGCAATTGCATCGGATTAGCCTGACCTCATCGAGCCTAACCACTTGGGGATGAAGCTTGGCATTAGGGCTGCACGTGACCATTCTCTCAGAGGGCGAGCGTCCACGAGACCTAGGGGAGAGCAACACATATAAACACATATATTCATTCATTAGGTGGTAAGTGCAATTGCAGCGCATCGAACCACTCATAGTATGGCTACTGCCCAATGAGGAACAACTCCTTGGGTTGGAAGGTGGCATAATCCCCTTGAAAGACATCACAGAGCGCCGTCGCTAACATGCTTTTTTGGTATGTAACATGATGACAAAGGATATATGGAAATGTTCTCGGTGTGTGCCCTGTAGAGGCTCACCTCCTGGGTTGTGTTGGAGGATATGTGTAGGGGTTGGGAAAGTGCATGCTTGCTGTAAGACCAAATGGATCTGCATCCAACATTGGGTCATAAGGATCAATCAACATGTTTCCACTTCCACCATCACTTGCAGCGCTGGTGGTCATTGGTGGTGACGCTTGCATGCTCATCTGCATGCTTGTCGCGGTGGTCGGGGGGAGTCGGAAATTCGGTATGAAGCTGTCGGTATCGACGTCGTCGCCGTCCATGTCGTCCATGAGATCAGCCTGCGCATCGTACTCTTGCTCTGTACTCACGGAATCAGTCTAGGACGAACAAAGCTCCACAAGCAGGGGAAGAAAAAAGGAAGGGGTCAGCTTGCCCAGTTGAGAGTAATGCTTCTGGAAGGAAGACGGATAGTAGTTATCCTGCAAAGTAGGGTTTGGTTGGGGACGCGGCAGGAACCCCTGCGATGTGCCTGCATTGGACACTGTTCGCGTCGGTCCTCTACGCTGCGGCGCAAAGGACTGCTGCTGCTGCTGCTGCTGCGAGTGAGACAGCGGACGTCCCTGCTGCTGCTGTTGAGGTGGCTGAGCTGTCATCTCCGTTGCAGGTGAGGTCATCCCACCTTGCAAGCCGAACCCAGGTGATCTTGTTGTCGAAGGGGACGAGTGCTGCGACGGTGGAGTGGGCTGTACGGTGGGTGAGTCTGCGAAATTTCGTTGTCCAGCAATGTGGGAGGATGAATTTACAGTCTGAATAGGCGGCGCCATTGCGGGTCGATGTCTAGCTTGTTGCTGACGATTCAACATCGCTTTCTGCATCGGCGAGGCCTGACCCGTGACGGGAGGCGCACGAAGAGGTCGAAGGTTTGGGCTGCCTTTGAGAGCAAGCTCGGCCTGGACATCGATGCCTAGATCTGTCAGGTATGTCGTCGAAACCAAGTAGAAAGGGCGGCTCACCCTTTTCCAGGAGAATCCGCTCCAGCAGAGAATTCTTGTACCGAAGCATCAGACACTCATCAGCAGCAGCACGGTGGCTCTGCTGGAGAGTCTGGAGCGTTTCCTCATGACGTTGAATGGTCGTTTCGAGTTGCTTGATGTATTCTGTTCGTCGCTCACGGAATGCTGCTTGCGCTTGGCGATTTCTCTGCTTGCGCTCCTCCGAAGTGGCATATATCTAGACTGCGGTCAGCCTTACATGGACACGGACAACTTCAAGTCTAGAACATACCGGCTTCCGTCCTCCTTTGCGTTTTGGTGCTGGGGCCGGATCTTGACTTGGCTTCTCCGAGTTCGCCTCTACACTGTCATCACACTCAGGTGACGAGGCTGCAGAGGAAGTATACCTCTCGACGCTAGGCTCACGCTTTGGGACCACGGTCTCGGGTAGTGTTGCGTCGGGATTCGCGACTGAGCCCATGCCTGTCTCCACGCGAGCCTAATGCGATGTGCCTGGCATAAGCGCCAATAACAGCTCAGAATCGACGACCAGGATAGTAAGAATAGACGCGCGCCTCAAAGATCTGATAAGAGAAACGTAACCAGATGGATAGGGTTGACAATTGAAAACTGAGATAAGAGAAGGGAGAGCAATGAGCAAGTCCACAAACAGGATGTCGTGAGGTAATCAAATGAGCTAACGAAATTTCCAGTGGAGGGGAAAACCACCGGCTCGTGCGGAGGTAGAAGCAGGCAGGGTCATGAAAACCCAGCTACAGGTACTTGCAGGAGCGATGGTCCTTTGTCCTGACTCCACGGATAGGCAGAGTTGCTGTTGCTTTTGTTCTCGGGAGAAATGGAAATAGAAAGAGTCCACTTCTTTCGGTGTTTGGATCAAGACAAGAGAAATAGTTGGACGTTCGGGGTATGCTGAACAAGCCAAAAGGTGGAAAGTAACGAGTCGATCATGGAGCCCTGCACGGATGTCCCATTGTGCTGAGCGGTCAAAGAGCGCGTGTTCCTTTGCGCCCTCGCGGACGTGACTAGGGGCAGGTTTTTTCAGCCGTGAAAATTTCTTCTCGCCAGCCAGGGCGAATGGTGAAAACGACATCGGAGGGTGGTTGAGGTGCTGGGCAGGGCCTCCATACTCCGTACAGTACTGGCACGACTGGTCCGTTACAGCACGCGCCACGTGGAAGGAAAAATTTTCATCCCTCGGCTTGAAAATTTCATAAGTGCGGGAGCCAATTGCAGGCATTGTCTACCGCATCATTTGCCCATATGCGGCCTAGCTTTAGCCCTAGAGACGGAAGAGGATTAGCAGATCAACATTGATCCAACGTCAGGCGAGCACCGCCCACGCCGCCCTGCGTCAGATGAGCTCCCAAGACCAACCACGCCCAATTAAGGCTCCGTACACTTCCACCTGGGTCGCCTTTCTCCGTGGAGTCCTGTCCCTTCAGTGCCCTTCCTACTGCAGAGATGCCCAACACCTTACCCGTCACTGTGCCTGTCAAGTTGTGATTTGGTTATCACAGAAGCTGTGGAAGAACTTGCTTCCCGGTCGCAGATCACTTCCAGCCCGTTATTTACCCCAGCCTAAGCCCCCGGGTTTTGCGGGAAATTTGTGAAGACGCGAGGGTCGATCCAGAGCAATCGTACGGAGTAGCGCTTGACCACTCTTGGAAGACCAATTAGTGCAACTGGCGAGACTTACATGACTTGACCTCAGTAAGCTAGATCAGAAGAGAGCGATGGTTAACGGCGAGACGGCTTGGCGCTACAGGCAGCTTCTCGCTATCGTGGGTTTGCAGCGCCATCTCTAATCTGGACCAAGGCTGGGATATATCATCCCCCGTTGTCTTCGTGATTAACTCTGAGAATCCTGTGAAGACCACCATATCATGATTCGAGGATGGTGAAGAAAGGAACCAAAAGTACTATGTTCATAATGTGGTCCTTTCATGAGATCGTCTCCTGAAGGTGAGTGGTAAGTGGCTGACGTATCATTCGCACTGGACAAGGACAGGCGACGTTGCTCCACGGTCATTGATAGAGAAGGTGCGCTTTACACCGGAAGGCGTTCCTTGCGCCTTCCCACGTCGAGATGTTTTGGCAAGAACAGCATGTTGGCTTTATTCCTGCGATTGACTTCGTCTCGTCTAACTCTTTCCTTGACTCTTCCTGCGACTTGTGTCTGTACCGTTCAAGGCTGCGCCGGGAACCACAACTTCATTCTACAGATTCTACCTCACCGCGGAAACACTCCAAAAGCCTTCCAGTAATACCCATATGCCATGATCGACATCGTTAAGTTCCAATGGAGCAATGGGCGGTGAAAGGTGAGCAGAAGACAATGTTCCTGTACATGAGGCCTGACATGAGGCAGATCCTCCGAGGCGCTTTCTACTTGGAAAGAAGACGTCGCGCGAAGATGCCAGATCAATCCGATTTCCCCTGTCTACACGGCTAGACACGATCACTCGTCCGATTTCAGCTCTAGCCCGGCATCGTGTGCACCAACTTTCGGACATTCACGAAGTCTCAGGATCTTCAAAGACTGCCAACACCCCGAAATTTCCATCAGAATGGACCGATGGCGGCGACGAGAGACCCAAAACACCCCCTCTCCCTCATACCGACGCTCTTTCGCACACGACTTCATCCGAGTATCTTACGCCCACCGCACTACGCCTAGGACCACGAGATCTCACTGCTTTGGGCGACCGCACAGCCAGTGCCATTAGTCTTCCCCAACGACGCGTACCTGAGAGAAGATCTTCGGCAAGTATCTTTTCTCGAAGTCTCGCTGGGTCAAAACAAGGTTCACTGCAAGAGTTGCCTACATGGAAAATGCCGGAGTTGGACGACACCAGCAACGTTATACCCACCAGAGGACGTCTTGAATCTCCCGTTCGTCGTGCCATCAGTCGCAGCGCTCAGTCATCAGAAAGATTTCGACCCTCTCTAGCGCGGACGTTCATTCGCACTGCTCCACCACATGAGATCCTGGACAATAGCAGTGTCCGACATCCGCGCGTTGACTTATCCATACGCCTACCTTCACCTCTCTTCGTTGGGGGAGGTACCGTCGAGGGGCAAATGTCCATCGAGGTAGATGGCGCCGGACCACGGAGACCAAAGTTGAAGCCAATTTACATCTCCAAAGCTTCGGTGGACGTCATCGGCGTGGAGGAGATCAGTGATGGAAGAAGATGGGTGTTCCTTTCTCTAGCCACGGAAATGTTCGATAGGGAAAATCCACCTCCCCCATCTCTGGTCGCATCCCAATATCCTCAGGACAGTCCAGATCTGTGGTGGGAGCTGAAATCAGCCAAAACAACGGTCCCGTTCTGCATCAACTTGCCCCTGAAGCTCGGACCGCCGCCATACGCGTCCAAACCGGCTGCCATACGGTATCTCTTGTGCCCCTCGCTTCTAATCAAAGTGGGAGACAAAAGAAGTGTCGTCAGGCAAACCTGGAGTATTCAAATGCTCACTGTCCACGATCCAGAAAAAGCTCTTGCGAGCCTGCCAAGTCCGCTGTTGGCTGCCGATACATTATACCTCGCCAAAGAACCTGAAATCCAGACAGTCAAGCTGACTGCGGGCCTTCACAGGCAGACGTGGGTCAACGGGGCGAATATCTTCATTGACATCCACGTTGCCAACAACACTGCCAGATCACTCAAGAAGATTGAGGTGCAGTTGGAGAAAACCACCTTGTGGTATACCCATGCACCGGCAGGGACGTTTGAAAAGAGTGCGAACCATCTCCGATTGCCAAAACGCTCCGACACCGAGATTGTCAGTGGAACAACCGTCAAGAAGTCCGACACCTGGCAAGGGGTACCGTCTCATTCTTCGGAGGTCAGAACTATCGAGCTTGAGGCACCTCGTGGCCATGTCACTATCAGCACTGGTAGGTATTTTGAGGTCAGATATTTCGTCAATGTCGTCGTCACTGTCAAAATGTTCAAAACCATTGCAGTGCAGCTCCCTGTCACCATCATACCGATCAACTCTTTGGATATCTTGCCAAATTCCCTCGCACAGGTGGCTGCATCCATCGAGGCGAAGCGTGCGAGAACAGTTCCAGTCCCACGGAATATCTCTGCACCAACATCGTATCATCAAGGTCAGGCCTTTACCGTTCCTGTGAGACGCTCTTTAGAGACCACAAGGAAAGAGAAGGACAACCTTCCGCTCACGGATATGGACAACCTCAAAGCCGACGTCGATAACTCTCCGAGGAGATCGCATGGCTATGGTCACCGTCAAGAAGGGTTGATCGGCAATGGAGTGGACGAAAACGCTGCTCCGGGACCATCGAACAACGCTTGTTCCTCGCATCACCATGTGAAAAGGCATCCAAGCTGCTACCATTGTCATATTACCGCTGGAGATGAGGCGTCGCCAGTACACGAGGGTCCGCGGCTACCTCGACTCCAGGTGTCGACCTCTGGGCTTGGATTCTCCGAGTCAGAATTTGATGTGCCTGCTGATTCTCCTCCTCGGAAGGTCATGCTCAGCGAACGAGAGCGTAATATGATCAATCAACAGAGAGAACTCCGCAAGCGAGAGGACCGGAGAGACAAGAAAACAAAGCGGCCCAGCACCGACATCAAGCGCGGAGACGAGCCACGTCGATCGAGAGAGCAGTCAAGCTACAACAACGTGGTGGCCAGCGCCAAAGTAGAGCCGAAGCTACCAGAACTTGGAGATGCTGGTCTTGGTGGCATCAGATCCCGGACTGGTAGCATCAAAATCGGCACCTCGAAGCCGCCATCAAAGAGGGCAGTGGCTGTGAGGTCCAGGTCCAAGACGAACCCTGAGAGGCTGGCAAGGGTTCTGTCCGCTAAGAAGCCACGCCGAATGTCGAGTGTGGACCGTGGACGACTTCCTGTTGACGGCCCTGGGTACGCCGGTACGCAACGAAGGATGAGTAAAGAGGTCGGATATCGTCCTAGTCTAGATCGGCTTTTTTGAGGGTTGCGGACACAGAGACGAGCACGATTAGTGCACAAGCATGGTAGAGTGGTATCCTCGTACGGAAGAGATTTCCTTTGGAAGCACAGAAAGTAAGGACTCACTCCTGGATATGTATGATAGGATACATTGCGCCCACCTTGTAAATTAGACAGTGCATCAGCTCGATAGCAAAGTATGATTGATTCCCTAAACCCAGCTGAGGCTGGTCCTCGGGTACAATGGATGGCAGTTTTACTCCGTCATATTTCTCCGTCAAGGAACGAAAACAAGATCCGGCACATGTCAAGTAGGTCAAAAGTACAACCCCAAAAGACGAGAACGCCTGATGCAGGTCAAGAAGATGATAGAGCCTCCCGGATGTCAAAGACCCTATCTGCGGAGTGAGACAGGAGCGATGGGATAGAAGCTCCGGGAGAGTCAGATCGAAGCTATGGCGGCGAGCGTGCCGACGATAACATGAACGCACGCGTGGCTGGAGGGAAACGGTGAAGGTGGTAAGACAGAGCGCTGCAAGTGAGGCTGTTGGCGGACAGAGACCCTTACAGCAAGAGGAGGGCTAAGTTCGTGTTAGTTCGAGCGGCGACGTCAATAGATATAGGACAGGCTTCTCTCACAAGGTTTGTGACTTCAGTGTCAGGTCCTGTGGCATCACTTCTGCCCCAGATGGACGGTACGGCACCTCTGAGGCACATAAGCCCTTTTTGTCCGCGGATGCATCCTCGACAACTTGTCCACCATATCTCACAGCGTGACTGTGAAGGACCGTGAGGGACCGACTGTTGGTCATAGCCCCCGTTTCCTTCCGCCAGTTGTCCGCCACGGTACGTGGCCGTCATATGACCAGCATCAGCTTGACGCAGCCCTCCTTTGCTCGCGGACCCAGGAAGTCCAATTGGTAATCGGCCAGCACGGGGTCGACTTCGGCGTGGATGCTGGCGTCTGTGTCGGCAGAGGCGGTCCAGGCTGACATGAGACAAAGAAGCATGTACGCAGCGCCCAGTGGCCGGTAGATGGACGCTTGTTGTTCAGCCAGTGCGATGATCTCGTGAGCTAGATGATTGGGTTCGTCGACGAGATTTGCGTCCTTGGGATCGTACGCGCGTAGGATGGTGTTGAGCAAGATGCTCATTGTGAGCCCGAAGCCGTAGAGGCACTGCCGACGCGCACGGTTCTGGCTGGCCTCGCTGATCCCAGGTACGCTTGTCGTGGCAGCATCGTCGTCGGACCTCGGACTCAAGCAGTGCGGTTGTTGCGGCCTGCAAGTGTCGAGGAAGGTGACACAGTTCTGGAAATCGCGTGTCATACAAGGTCCTGGCTTCATGGAGGAATTCTCTCTCGGCTTCATACTAGCTCGAGAAGACAGCGGCCGTTGTATGAAACCCACTTCGCGAGGTTAGCTTAAGGCTGCCCACCAGCCTTGCGTATCGGCTTCTTGCCAGGACATGCTACTGTATGACAACGGACTGTGCGATGATGAGCAGTATGTGTTTTCTCGGTGGAGGTGTTTGATGAGTGGTGCTCGCGGCCGTAAGCGCTGCGAAGCACTCTTCTCAAGTAGCAGCAATGATCTGCCCCCAAGGCTGATAAACAACAACACACACCCAGTACTTCGAGCTATTCGATTACAAAGATACTAGTAATGATCAACATCGTCGTTGGGGCCATGAACCTGTGATGGGTCGTATCTTCCAATCTTCGGGAGATTTCTATACTAATGATGAGCATTCTCGTAAATTGACCGCTCGATGCTATCGTGGATCTCAGCTGGGTGAACCCATGTATGATTCATAATGGCTGAACAAAGCAGACCATTTATTATTAATATCAACCAGTTTCCACATCTCCCCTTAATAGTCGAACGACCATACAAGCCTTTTCCGCATGTCAATATCAACACTATTTTAGACCGTATGTAGGGCCAGATCCTAGGGCACATCCATATCTGATATCCGTGTGAGACTATCTTCCAACTTCTGACACACTGCTTTGACGAATTCGGATTCACTTTGGACTCCCAAATCCAACGCTCCAATTTGCCATGTAATAGTAACGGTCATCGGCCCGTCGGAGGCGCTCACGACATTGAAATTCAAAGCCGGACCATTGACGTCCGTCGACTGAGCGAAGACCAAATCGGTGACCGAAACGTGCTCGCAGTTACCAGCAGGCTGGAAGTTGCCGAGATTACTGACTTCGTATGAACCACCCCGACGCTGGTGCAGTTTGGATAATGTCCACGCTCGTATGTCACTCAGATATCTCAAGAGTCCGACTGACTGATCTTGCGTCCTGCTCGCCGCTGCCGCAAGCTTATCTGTCATGGATTTCGCCCTTGCCCATAAGGGAGTCGTCATCGTCTGCGGAGAAGCCCTATTCAGGATCTCGACATCCCCAGCAACATACAGGCCCATCTCCTCATTAGACACGCCAACCGCGTTGCGCATATTGATGGCCGTCTGAGCGGCAAAGTTGTCATATCCTTCCGGCAACAGTTCCGACAACGCCGAGACAATGAGCTGATGAATCAGTCCTGTTATTTTTGACCCTTGTGCTCGGCACTCCTTGAGGACCTTTCTGACGGTAGTAGCGTCGATCGAGCAAATTTCGACTCCAACTTGATACTTCTCGGGATGGTAGAATGTAGTGGACCCTGTCCATGTCGTAGGCGTGATAGTATTTAGTCCAAAGCCGAAGGAAGCTGGCAGGTATAGTCCGAGAAGTGGTGAGAGGAGGAAAGTCCATGAAATCGGTAGATTCGCCTTCGTGTCGAACGGCGGACTCAGAGGCCTAAACCCCTGAGAATGCACGAGGTTTTGCTTGCCACTTTGCTGGCCGACATTGTCCTGAAGCGCATCGAGAAAGGTCCTGTGAAAAGCGATTGCTGACATGCCGTCTCCTAGCGCGTGAGAGAAGCAGAATCCGATAAAGCATCGCGTCTCGGATAAGGGCAGGATGATGATCCTCCAGGGTGGTATTGAAGGTGGCCATTTCGTGTCGAGTATGCTAGGCAGTAGCAGCTGAATGGCCTGGGTCTCGCTCTCCACCCCTTGCCGAAAGAATTGCACATGCTGATTCAAATCAAGGCGCGGACAGAATTGGTAGAAAGGTGATTTCGTATCAGAGCCTGCAATGCTCGCGCTGAGAAGAGGGTGACGATCGATGCACTTCCGCAATGCAGGCGCGAAGGTGTAAATTGAAGTCAAGTCCGTGGGAGTGGAGAACTCATAGATACTACCCACGACCAGTGCGCGATAGAACCCGACAGACTCGCGTACGATGCATCGACATTCGCCGGAACCTGCAATCAAACTCTGTCAGCAGATGGAGACGTTTGCATGGTCGGCAGAGAGTAATCCTTACTTGCTGCACGCAGATAGTTGTCTCCGCGCGGTGAGCTCGACCGAGCGAAGCACATCTTCAATTGGTCGTTGGCCTTTTATGGGTTATATCAGGTCCTAGATCCGTCAAGCAGTCGGCACCTGGTCTGAGATAGGAGCATCCGCGTTCACCAGTAGATACATATGAATGCATGAAGGAAACCCATCCCCCTTTTCCCGGATCCTCCGGAGGTTTAACTGCCTGGTTTGGTCAAGCGTGCCCTGAATTTCAACCTCCAGATCACAAACGCGTACTCACTGGAGACGGATAGCGTCAGCGAAAGCACGAGTACTATTATCGAAGTTTTATGATACCGTCGGATTGAGAAGCAAAATGCCCACGAGGGTCAAGTTTAATGGCAGTCGCTGGGGGAACCGTCTCTGTTCCTGAGTTCTATGGACAGGTACGGAATAGATTCGATACAGTCCTGTCGGAAGGTCGGAAGAAGTCAAGTTTCGGCATTCAATGCCCTACTGGCTCCGCGACAAGCACCAGGCTGGCTCCAATACCCTCGCTGTCCAGAGGCCGCTCATCGACTTCATCCTCACCAGAAGCCGGGACATACAACCTGAGCTCCCTTATTCCGACACCGCGTTCCCTCATCCAGGCTTCGTCCTCGTTGTCCCTGGGTGCATGAATCTCGATACCCACTCTGCCTTTCACGCCTTTCATTGCCTCTTCGTCCGGCGAACTCAGAAGAAAACTGACGCTCGTGTTGGGCATATACCGGAACCCACCGTGGACTTTGGGCTCTGCGCCACTGACAGCGCTATACAACTTCAAGTAGTTTTCGATATGCGATTCGGGCACGACGACTTCGACGGACATAATTCCCTTGACACCACAAGGATGAGTCGATATTGAGGTGTCTTTGTATGGCACGCGCAGGCTTCGGTCCGTCACATCGTGGCAATAGAATGGTGTATCGAGTCGGCCGTTGGGGAAGTACTGCTCGACTGGCTTGGGAACATTGGGCGCATCGTTGTCGAATAGTGGTTTCGTGACATACCATTCGCACTGTTGGCCGTCTTTTCGCTTGCGTCCGCCGAAGAGGGGTTGTTTGAAGCGTACACCGAGACCGCCGTCGCCACAGCCGGAGGACTCGAGTCGTTTCGTGACTGTAGCATGCGTCTCTTGCGCAGTTTGAGGTGTGGTGAGCGCGAAGTCGATGAGACCTGGAGTTTTGGGTGCCCAGTCGAAGAACTCTTTCGGCTCGGATATCCAGTTCAGCAGTTCGATGTACGTGCCGTCAGCGAATATAATCAGCTTGTTGCGGGATGAGCCGCCTGGATATCGCTGTTATAAGCTGGGAAGCCCTCTCAATGCAACAAGTGCACAAAGACATAGACGCCTCGCAGTGGCATTTACGATGGACAGGAATCAAGCGCGTGGGGGTTAAATTACCTGCATGAGTCCCTCCCTCAATGATTCTGAAATTGTCACTGAGCCAGGCTGGCGGGTCCTCGAAATCCGGAGAGCTCAGAAGGAGGATGACATGGTCGTGGCAGTATTCGGACCCTGCTGTAGTCATTATTGCAGGAATATTGTAGCTATCTATAATAGCTCCTCGCAAGGAATTCGACGTGGTGGGACAATCAGTTTGCAGCGTCAACCTATTGCGGTTCAACAACCACAGGTAGGCTACTGCCCGTATGTGCGACGACACTTCCTCTCAAGTAAGGAACCTTCTGAAGGAAATTGTTAAAAGGCGCCGAAGATGAGTCATGCTGCCGCGGGATCGTTGATGAGGCTAGCGAGGCTAGATATCTCAACTTCAAGAGGAGTGCAAACTCGGCAAACTATCTTGGCATATTTGTCAAGTTTTACTGCTTCCTGGGTTGCAGCCCAGGTGCCATCGTGTCCGGGTTCGTGTCTGTGCATTTGGATGCATTGGCCGACGTCGATATGAAGGCGAAAGCAGAAAGACGGAGCGCAAGCAAGGTAAAGAGAGGTGAAGTACTCGTACCGCAGCCCGCTAAGGCCCCTCTACTCTATTATTCACAAATCAAGAGTTTTCATGTCTCCTATGGTGACATCTTTCCCAAAAAAGCCAATCTGCTGGCAACTTGCACGGCAGCTCAACTCAGCATGATATGATCATGGAGTCGTGTGGTCATAGCTAACGCCATCCTTCGCTCGTCATCTCTTCATGCAAGGTCAAGGACATTATGTCTAGATGCTCCGGGAAAACGCCTGGCCCTCAAGTTATATGGTACAGAATCAGACGCCCTCAACACCTTCGCCAAAATTAAGCCCATGTGTCTTGCGGCGCACAAATTCAGCTCTGTTCTCTGGCGGCGACAGCTTGCTTCCCTTGGGCTTTCGTACTTGTCGGCGAATCGTCCGGCTTGTTCGTAACGTTGGACAGGCTGATAGCAATCTTGCGCGGCTTCCGTCCTTCAACATGATTCTCGGTATCTGCGCTGCTGGACAGCGTAGATTGATCTGCCGCTTGCTTCGATCGCAAGAAGCCTTTCTTACGCTTCAGCGAGCCCGATGAGCCAAGGCTAGACGCGCTCGAAGCCGAGTTTCTTCGTTTCGGTCCACCTGACAATTTCCCTAGTTCATCTTCATCATCATCTTCTTGCCGTCTTCGTTTTTCTGTCACCCGTTCGGGAGGATGTTGCAGCTCTGGCTCTTTGATGTCGGGGGATGGCTGCAACTTCTTCTCAGAAATAGCCTTGCTCTCGGGAGATGACCCCTCCTTGGCGCTTTCAGGGGTCAGCGGTGTTTGTGGCGTGACAGCTTTCGCATCCATGTTCTCGTCCTCATCATCGTCCGGGTAGTCGACCAGAGGCTTGCTGATAGGCGAAGCAGCGCCATTCGTCATGTCAGACTTGATCCGCTTACGATGCCATTGCATACGCTCAGAAACATCCTCTGCGTTCTCACGCTCGGCGTCTTCATCATGCTCCTCTTCTTCATCGTCGGAAGTGTTGAAATAGTCTTCTTCATTCGCATCCATTTCCTGCAGTCCTTGCCATCTTCCATTGATGTGGGTCCGATTCATCGGAGGTGTGGCATCGTCCTGGCTGAAGAGGGTATGGTCCGGTTCGGGGTGATCTGTCGTCAGCTGTTCAAATCTCAGTAGGATCTGTTCGAATGTGTCCACGTAAGTGACATCTTGGAGCTGCTGCCGATAGTTCTCGCCAAGGTGGAGCATGATCGGCTTGATGGCCTCCCTTTTGATGAACTCGAACAGTTCCAGACACGCCGAATTCAGGAGGTTATCCCTAGGCATTGTCTCTATCACTATTCCCAGAATGGCACCAAACGCGCCACTCTTGATGACTTGAGCCGCATAAAATTGATCTTGCAGTGATATGCACGTCCGGAAGAATTTCAAGGCGGTCAATTTGAGAGGCTTCTGTGGCACTTGTAATAGTTGGGCCGCTCGTGGCGATGGATCCTCTGAAAGGATGAATGATCGACTCCTCATGGAATGCTGTCGGACAAAAAAGGTCAATATCTCCACGAGATATGAGAACAAGGAAACCTCCTGATATGAAAAATCCTGCATTGACTCCCGAAATTCGAGGTCTTTTAGCGGTTTGAATAGCTTGCGACAGGAGCGATCGAAATTCTCTTGGGCAAACTCCTCGCGCTTCTGCTGTGCATCGGTCATTTGGGGCGGCCTAGACAGTTTCGTCATAAACTCGGAATTCTGTCGATTAGCCATGGGATCGTTGGAAGGAGGCTGAGGATCCAATAAGATTTTTATCGCGTCCGCCAGCTGATTCTTCACGCCTAGATCAGTCTCGGCATGCAAGAGGTCGATTAGTGTGTCGGTCAATGGTGTCTTCTTTTCGTGCACAGCTTTCAACATGTAACCCCTCATCATATTCGGGTCGTGATCCAGAAGAGCCACCAAAATGTCGATGCCTGTTGTTCTCATTGATGGTTCTGGGTGCTTGACGGCGAAGGTGATGACTGAGAAGAGGCCATGAGCAATAAAGTTGTTGAGCAGATTAGCCCTTGCCTGCATTTGCAACGTCTTCGCAATCGCGGCGCATTGTTGCAGGAAATGCACAGCTTGTTCTTTTCGCTTCACATCGTTGTTTTCCGGGCTGAAAATTGCAAAGAGTTCCTTCAAGAAGGCGGTGTTGTTCTGTAGGTGTTGTACAATGTCGACTTGATTGAAGAAAATAAGGGAATTCAAGACTCCAAAGGTAGGATCGTCCAAGATCCGAGCCAGAACGACATCTTTTAGATACTGTAATCTCCACGTCTGCCTTATTTTCCGCTTGATGTTGGGATCCTTGATCTCAACCACCTCTTTATACCTGGATTCATCCGATAGATACTGTCGGTGATTGGCCTTGTGCGTGGGGAAGTCGGGGTCATATTCGAGTGCGCCCACTACTCCGATGATGATATCGTCGGTGACGAGGTGTTCGATGACTGTGTTGTCGTTCATCAAAATTAGAGCCTTCATGATATTGCACAGTCGATGCAAGTCTTGTAGGCTTTCAAGGTCCTCGGCGATCTCCACGAGTGGTATCAGCTTCTCAACATAGTGCTCTTTCAGTAAGAATTTCGCAAGTGCTTCTCGACCGCCTTGAGTGATGCTGGCTTGCCGGATGTTCTGTTCGATTTCGTCCAGATTCCTCAATTCCGGGGGGTTGAGGGTAAAGGAAGTGGAGATATTGTCCACGCCATCATCCGACACGCCGTCATCTAGACATGCGATCAGTACGTGAATTGGAAGCCCAGCTCTTGCAGAACATACCAGGCATTGACAATAGCTGCTGTTGGACTTGATGCACAAATTCCCTGACACGCGATCAATATCCTTTCGCCACTAGGCGCTACCGGGCTTACCATATAACTGCACACCCTTCCGCCTCTTGAAAACTGAGGGCCATATCAGTGCCATTGGTTTCGGTCCATACTATCAAGGTGTCTATCACGCGTCAGTCCCCGTTCCATCAAGCAATACCGGCGACGGCAAAGATTTCCAACCTTGTTGTTTCTGATATCCGTCATCTTTGACTATTTTCGTTTCGAGCAACATGCGATCGGGTTGGTCCTCGGACTCGACGTAGATGCGCGGTTCATCCTATTGTAACAGTCTTAGTATGACTTTCTCTCCCAGGCCAGCGCGCAGGATTGCGAACACGAAGGATTGTGATATTAAACGTACGTTGATGACCTGCCCAGTGCAGAAGCCGGTGCCTCTATCGAACCAGTCATTGTCGCGCAGCTCATAAACTTTGACTCTCTTCTTGTCGTTGGCAAGCGGCGCTTGCATTGCCATGACGCAGGAAGAGGACGGAACGAATGGACATCAGCTAGCGGTGATCGGAGACCGCGTGCTGACTTTGTTTTGAGGTGGCCAGAATGCGCAGGCGAAGTGAAGTTGGTTCTCGTGATACAGAACAGGTGGCGCGGGGGCGGGATCACGCAGAGGTGCAGGCCAAGGGCCCAGCGCAGGAAGATTTTTGATAGGCGAAGACTGGCGCACACGCTCCAGGCAGCGCGCAGTAAACGGTCCGTTCGGTGGTGAAAAGTGTTTGTCCCAAGGTAGTGAAAGGTGAATCGGAGAAAAGACGTGATGTATCGTGGATGACGTGCGATGCAGCAATGGAGGGTTTGGCGATGAATGGTGACAGACGGATGATAACCAGATTGGTGTGGTTACGAGAGGCAGGAGGAAGGATGAGCAGGCTAGGCTCTGGCCCTGTGGATGATGAGCACAGACTCGGACTCCAGATGCAGCATGCAAGCCCAACGCCTGGTGCCGGAGTCGGGAGGCCAGGGTGTGTCGGGTTATCGAGAGTGGGAATCCACCGAGCCCGCACAAGGTGATGCCTTAGCGTGGGTGGTGTTCCAAAGACAACAGAGTGCAGTTGACTGCTGTAGAGGTACGAGTAGATGGTGGCGGTATGTTTGCAGGATCCTCCTCTTTCAGTTGATTGCGTTCAAGATGAATCTGCTGACCTCGAGCGATGGAATTGCTTGTGGTGTTGGTGGGAAAGGAAAAGTGACGAGCGAGCACCGGCGCAGGCAAAGGTGGACGTGGTGGACTAAAAAAGAGTGGAACATGTCAGGGACGCGAAGTGCCTAAAATGCAAGCCATGCGATGACATCAAAAGCGCCGCAAGCCTAACGAGCCCCTCCACGCACCAACACACCCGCCGTCGATCCTCAAGGTGCGGTTTGCCAAAAGCACCATCATGCTCGTTTATTTAATCATCTCGACAACAAGACGGTCCTGTAAATCTCCATGTTCATCTGACTCTACGCAGGTCTAATATATGGCAATCCCTGAATTCCACCATCGGTCGCCCTGATGCAAGCCTACCGTCCTTGATCCCTCTTGATACCACGTCCACCATCCCTCGTCCTTGCCTCCTGGGCCGAAACCCAAGCCTCGAAGAAAACTGATCGGGACGGGCTCAAACAACCACAGTCCACATCGTGCAAAGTCGTCTGCAAGCAGTGGGCCCGTGAAGTAGAGAAACACCATCACAAATAAGAGATTGGTTGTTTGTTTCGCGGCTCGAGGAAGCGATTTTGCTTGAGGGGCATATTTGTAGAGGGACTTGACCATGAAGGACTGTACAAAGCTTCCAATCGCTTGGGTGAGAAAGAACAACAACGGTCCCGAAAATGGCCGAGAAGGCACAATGGAAAAGGTGGTATAGCTGCCAGCAGCATGGATCGATCCCGACAGCCCGAAGGCGACCAGAAGTTGAATCACTCGTGCCGCATTGCCTCGTTTGTCAATATTTAACCTGTCGATGATGACTCTGGATGGCTCTGAGATGCCGAATCGAAACATCTGATGCCAGAATTTGCCCCAAAACCCGGCCAAGCCAGTATGCAAGACTGATGTCGTGAGCGGATACCAAAATGGCGCATACATCCAAGGCTCCAGAAGTGGTGACTTCGTGAATTTTGAAACATCCACTAGGCAGGGCAGAACGACTGTGAAGAACAGTGGGCTTAGGCTGAAAATAAACGTCAAGGCGCTGATAACTCCTGCCATGGACATCAAAAGCCGAATAAACCGTGTGGCTCCAGGTACTGTCTCATTGAGTGCCGAGAGCCAGGGCCATAAAGTCGGCGACTCAAGTGGCATCAGACCCAGGAAATATGGATCTGTCACCATCGTCGTCTTGAGGAAATCGAGTAGGAGGTAAGCAACGACAAAATCTTGCAGTGCTCGGGCTTGCAGTGCTCTCAAGCTCCGCTTCGGGACTGCCGTAGCCTTGCTGCAATCGTAGTCTTCAGCCCCAGAAACGCGACCAGGATCTGCGGGCACTGGGCCGTCGATAGCTCCAAGTGTTGAAATGCGGTGAGACCAGTTTGGTCCTCGGAAACTGGTGGTCAAATCCACGATCCAGTCGATGCTGTGAAGCAAGCCTTTACCATGAGGGAACCCCTGCCATACCAAAGTGTATAGACGTGTTGCAGGTTCTTCCGAGCCATCAAATGGGGGCTGCTTGTTATCCGTCGACGTATAGACCCCTGGTACTTTGCGTTTCCTCAAGTCAATGCTTGCTGAGCCATTGGAAGAAAATTGGTGTACAGAGCCATGAGACTGGCTGTGTTTGCTTTTGGCACTCGCAGGTCTAGTCTCCAGTCGCCGAAAGCTCTGTGCAGGATCGTTAAAGACTAGCAAGGCTGCCGCCATTATGATCCCCCAGTGATTGCTCAAGCCAATGCCATATCCGCCCGCGAACCATAGCGTTCTTCGGTGAGCATACAGGTACAGAGTGTGCGCCACGGTAAAAAAGAATGCGAGATATCTGATGGCTCTCGCCAGTCTTCTCGAGGACAGTCGCGGAGCTATTGCAAGAGCAAGAAGCAGATACGCGACCGGCAGAGTATCCCACGGGTAGAGAAAAGGAGTGTATTCTCTCGAGGCGATAGCTGCATCATACCGTCGCTGTCGTTCTGCCAACGTCTGGCGGTAAAGAGAGACATATTGAGAAGGCATGATGAGCCCACAGCTACAACCCAAGGCTGGTCCTGCGAAAGGAAAAGACGAAGATTAAACAGTGAGTCGCACCACAAGATCGCTTGCAAGAGTCATGACGTGAACACAACAGTCAAGGGAGGAAGAAAACCACTGCTTTACGCCCTTCCACCACAACCAACTGAGGTCGCCCTCGCGTTACTTCGTCTCGAGACTAACCTGAGCTGCCCTAGAAACGTGATAGTAAGAGGCAGAATGTAGAGCAGACGGAGAAGATGAGAAAGCTGTCTGATGCCTGATGTCCCTTTCCCTGGTAGTGGCAATATCCGGCGGATCATAGCGATTTCAACCGCCGAGCAACCAGTTCAGTGCCAGTTTCACAAACGGCACCTAGAGGGAGGTCTTTGATGCCACCACTGACCTGCCGAGTTCGAGGGTAGATCTTTACTGACTACACGCGGGCGACCGGGGCATCGCGATGGATGTTCCTACGGTAGGTGACCTTCCACCGTCGTGCTTCTACATTCCTAGTTTCATCTCGGCAGCCGAAGAAGAACAAGTCACGAAAGACATTCGAAAGGTTCCCGACTCGCGCTGGACAGTCCTGACTCACCGACGCCTTCTGTCCCTTCCATCAACCCTGACCGGTCCTGCTCGTGACACCCTTATTGATGCGCCGCTACCATCCTACCTCTACTGGATCGTCATTCGATTACAAGAAGCAGGATATTTCACGGCGTCTACCCATCAAAGGCCCAACCATGTCTTGATCAACGAGTATAAAACTGCAGAAGGCATCATGCCACATGAAGATGGACCTTCGTACAATCCGATAACCGCAACTGTGAGCTTGGGCAGCCACACCATTCTTGAAATCTACAAAAAGAACGGGCAAGGAGAACGAGATGCGAAGCCTTCCTGGCGGATACTGCAAGAACCACGAAGCTTGCTAGTTACGACTGGAGAGATGTATGTCAAGACCTTGCATGGGATATCCGAACTCGAGAGCGACGACAACTTGAACCCGGAAGACATTGTTAACTGGGATTTGATTGAACAAAAGGATATTTATCAATCGGGCAAAGCTGAGAGAGGAACTAGAATCAGTCTCACATTTCGTGATGTGATCAAGGTTGCTAAATTGGGCGGAGCCATGAAGTTCATGTCCAAAAAGGCTTGAAGCAGCGTCTATTTGTCTCGAGACAAGATTTCTCCCTGTGCGGCTGGCATCATGGCTCCCTCTGCAGGCTTGTTCTTGTTCTTGAAATCATCAACCATTTCAGCCATGGTCACCCACTCTACACCTTCATGCTTGTTAATGTGCTCAATCAACCTCTCGTGCATCAGCAGCACATGCGGTCGGCCCGACACATCAGGATGAATTGTCATTGGAAAGATGAATTCGTCATATTCACGATAGAAATAGTCGAAGTGGTCCTGAACAATATCAGTATCAAGATCGGCAGCTCCAGTCAGCAGCTGCTTACCCGCCACAAGTCTTCGACATCTCTGGGGTTCACCCAACCGTGGCTATTCGGAACCTTCTTCATGAACATCATTGGAGGAAGGTCGTCGAGGTACCAATTTGCTGGGATTTCGACAAGCCCCGTCTCCTTTCCCTTCTTGAAAGGTTTCATCCACTCTGCAGCCTTCTTACCATAATCAATCTTCGCCCACTCATCGCCAGTGTGCAGATAATATGCTTGACAGTCATGGTGGCTCATGCTATGGTCGTATTCGATTCCATATGCCAACAGTAGCTCTGTGGCTTCTTTGCTTACTTCCCACCAAGGAGCGACAATACCGCGTGGTGGCTTACCATGGCAAAAGTCTGTCAGCATACGATATGTGTAATCGAGGATGTCTCTCTGTTGCTCCAAAGTCATGTCCACTGGGTTCTCGTGGCTATAGCCATGGAGCCCAATCTCATGACCGGCATCACGAACCATTGCACATTCTTCAGGAAATGTTCTGGGTGACGTCCATTCCATCAGCAAACTTGCCCACACGATATTGGGGCTGGGCAGGAGGGATGACCTAATTGTGCGGTCCAGATGAACGTGCTACTTACTCGAGACTGTGACCTGGGATAAACCAAGAAGCTTTGATATGGTATTTATCAAACAGTTTCAGTAGCCTCCGAACCCCCTCAGTGCCGGCGAAGTAACCTGTTGTTCTCTATCAGTGGCCTGGAGCGGTCCATTGGGTTTGCCACGATGCCTCGGAAGGTCTCCCACTCACCTCGAGAAATATCACTCGTGGAATCTTCTCCTTTATACGAGCCTAGCCATCCTGCTATGGCATCGATGTCGACCCCGTAGGAAACCAGGACTCGCTTCTTTGGTTTCGTGATGCTTGACATGATTATGATCAATTCAATCACAGATTTTGTCAGAGAACAGCGGACTGCCGACCTGAACGCAGTGGAAATTAAGGTATTGACGCCATTGATATATGTTGTCATTTCTGACAACCTGGAAGGAATCCCCAGATCTGAACATGACGTCTATTGATCTCCAGACTCCGCTTCCCCATCCTTCATGCTCCTCCTGCCCGATTCGGCTACCTTTATCAAGCAAAGGATGAACACCAGGCGGAAAATCATCTTCCTTTTATTGGAGGTCAGGATTGAAGCGCGAGGATCGAAGGTCATCGAATGCTGGATATGTAGTCTAGAAGTATTTCGTTCTGAGTGCTTTGTCTAGGTCTCACGTGCTTCGAGTTCCCAACCATCCTTCAAATGATTCATGATTATGAACACGATGTGCTTTAATTGCCATCGAAGTAAGGCTTGTCGTGCAAGGATTATCACCCGGCGTCGTCCAGACTGTGCCAAATGGCCACAGACATCCCAGCTAGCGGAGCACTGGGGAAGCTCTTGCCGTACAGCGCCAATGAAGCCTAAATGTCGTATTCAGCAGGCCAAGATGGGCGATGGGCGCGAACTGCGCCTAATGGGTTGGACCTCGACGCCAGGTCTTATCCCTTCTGCCTCACCCGAACCTTGTTGTCTCGCTGAACAAATGCGGACGAGGAGGATGATATTGTGGTCAGTGCCGCTGGCTATCGAGTCTCGAGGTTGGTGGTCACGAGGAAGTGCCAGAACTGCCCTTCCCGCTTACTCCCTTGACGAGTCCACCAATCCCACGGCCCAGCCACTCTATGCAGGATCATGCGAGATTCTCTTCGTATCTACCTGTAGGTATCCGAGCACAGAATGCCGCCAATGGTGAACCCAGGATGAAGCCTGTCAACGAACGCCAGCTGCTTTCGCATGCCAATGCCATTTTCATAGTCAATTGGCTGATCCTTTCGTATCCGTGGATCCCGTGATGGGATAATGATCTCAGCTGAAGTCAAGAGCTCTCCTCGCCTTTCTCTTGTCAAGTCTTCACTAAAGACTTTCTTTTGAGCCCCACACAAACTGCCACGCAAAGGTTCTGAACGACTACGACAGCGCCCTGGGCGCAACGAGGCAAGCCGAGGCCTACAGTACAACTCTTCTCTCATTGTAGTCGACATCGCTGATCGCGTGGGACGCGGAAGGAGTAAGCCTCCCATCCAGCATGCCGAATTGCTATGACCGAGTACCATAAATCTTTCACGCCTGCACAGCTGCTGTCTCTCGACGTAGCAGCCAGAGTCTCAGCATGTCTATCCCTTGCAGGAGCCTCGTTCACCATCATCAGTTTCCTCAGTTATCCACCACTCCGAAAGCCTGTTAATCGACTGGCGTTTTCCATTGCGGTATCGAACATATTTGGTTGCATGGCTTATAGTTGGGGACGATATCCAATTGCTGCTGGAAGGGATTCAGCATGGTGCCAGACTCAAGGAATGTTTATTACGTGGTTTGTCATGACCGATCCGCTGCTGGTACAGTTCGACCCGTCCGAGAAAGGGTTGTCAATGACTGACGCAATATCCAAGGTGACGGTCCTAGCGTTAAATGTTCTTCTCACTGTGCGAACGAGCCGAAACGCTCATCAGCTGAAAAAGATCGATTCTTACGGGATATGCTTTGCATTCGTGGCGCCTTTCATTCCTGCACTGGTGTTTCTATGCTGGAGACCCGATGGGCGGACAGTATATGGAGATGCGACTTTGTGGTGCTGGATCGCTAGAGAAAAGGATATCCTTCGACTTGTGGAATTCTATGTCCCCGTATGGTAAGGCCAGGTGATCGCTTGACAAGTCGAGTACGACCACTGACTTCGCAGGGTCATGATTCTCCTATCCCTCTGCCTGTTCGCTCTCAGTGGCAAGCAAATCCTCCAGGTCCGGAAAAAGCTCAAAGTTGCCAAATGCGAGTTTGATTCTGGCGAGACTGTCTGTTCGGCCGAGCCAAAAGACCGCCGCTTCTCGACTTTTGCTCGATCTTTCATGTCACGGACTTTCAGCGCCGACTCACAAACGCCGGCTGAACCCCAGAGCACCTTCAGCCCTGAAACAGAGTCAAAAGTGTTGGAGCCGCTGGCACCTGTACGGTCCCGCGAAGTCCTGGGTACGGCCGACATCTCGCCTGTGGCAGCATCAATATTTCCCATTCTCGACCGGCAGCCGTCAGAACAGAGCAAGTCACGCAACAAGGCAGCCTCGAGGTTTGACAAGGTTCACTGGAAGTACGCCAAATTTGCCTTTCTTTGCACGGTGGTCCTTTTCATTACTTGGGTGTGTTTTATGTCCCATCTAGATCTTCTGGCCAGTGTATATGCGATCGCTCGCTAATCAATTACCATCTAGATACCCATCAGCGTCAATCGAGTGTATAATAACTTCATCAATCCGGACCACCAGATTTACGGCCTATATTTTGCATCGGCGCTCTGCATACCATTGCACGGGTTTGGAAATTTCATCATATACACTACAACTAGCTGGACCGAATGTCGAGAATTCTTGACATGTTCTGGGAATCGGTGCTCGAACAGGACCTTGAGAAGATCGTCACAGGTTCGGTTTCGGGAATCCAGATACGATGATGGGGCGAGGTCTTGGATGAGGAGGTTCGCGAAGGTATTTGGGAATAGGGAGAACACGGACGTTCCTCTTTCGCCTGCTGGCCAGGGTTGATTGACGTGGATACGTGTACTGCCAGATTACACATATTCCCAAATTTTGGTACCCAGTGTCTAGCTGGTTTTGTGCTTGTACTCGCGATGGGAACGCAGCTGCGTAAGGTCTTCGCCCTATCTGGACACATACGTGTTCGCCACTCCTCAGTCACGTCCACGGCCCGTCTTTGCATTGTGGGACTTTCAAAGGGTCTCGCATATGGTGGGAATGAGCTTGCCTCAGGGTGCTCAATATCGGTGGCACGCAAGCCTTGATCGTTGAACTCATGATAGAAGCGCCCCGCCCAGGCCTAGCCTGTCCTTGTGTTTTGCACGCTTACGGAGTCCTGTACAGCAAAGGCAAAAGGGAGCCGGGAAGGCTCAGGTCGAACGAAGCTTATTTCCGATGTGGGACAGAGCAGGCGAACTTGGAGCTACACTGTGGTCAGATTTCGTTTTCGACTGTGTTCTGTCTTATTTGCGAAAAGCTCGAATTAACAATTGACCCATCATGCAGCAGTCTTTAGGCAAGCCGTCCGACTGTCTGTTATGTTCGACACAATTCTTTTGGTCAAATAATGCCTAACGTACGGAGTACGGTGTACACCCTGCTGCATGTTACCTTTGACTTGGTCTGTACGTTGGACCGAGCTCCTTTTTTGTCTTTGCAGCATGCCACATCGCCTTTCCACCGAGTCCCGTCTTGTCTTTTGCCCTACCATAGCCTTCGCTTAAGCACTTTGCTGGTTGTGGTGATGCTTGGCGTGCAGTTCCTCGACGGGGGCATCGACCGCATAATTCATCGTCTTGCGCATGTCGCCGAGGAAAAGGCACAAGATGCACGCCACCGCCCCGAAGGCCGCGGCGATTATGTACACGACCCGGAGGCTGTCTGCAAAGGCCTGCTTCAGCCCAGCCACGCCCGCCGCGATGATGGCGGGAGTGACGCCCGGAATGCCCGCTAGCGCAGCTGTGTCGCCGCCGGCCAGCGCGCCGATGAACGCCTTGAGACTGCTTGCGGGCAATCCTGCCGCGAGGGCGGCCTTGCCGATGTCGTTGGGCAGGTTCGTGTCGAGGCGGGTGTTCAATGCGGCCGAGTAGATGGCGGTGAACATTGTCGCCGCAACGGCGCGCGAGGACGTCACTACTGCGGTGGCGGTCGCGATGAGCCGGTGCGGCGTGGAGAGTTGGACGCCTGTGATGATCAGGATGAGTGGGGCGCCGAAGCCGAAGCCCGCGAGCGCACAGAAAGCGAGTTGGCTGAAACTGTCGCCCGGTTGGATCGTGCAGAGACCCACGATGCCTGCGGTGAAGAAGAGGAAGCCGAGGAACAAGGGTTCGCGGATCGTGCGGAAGCGTGTGCTCGAGTAGCCCCAGACCAGGGCGGACAGGAGGCCGGCGATCCAGTAGGGTTGGGACCGCGCCACAGTTATGAAGGGGTCGGTTGTGAACAGCGAGGACGACCTGAGAAGGAGAGGCGGTTAGTGACTATGCTCGGTGACGGGGGGAACGCATTTCGTGCTTCTTCCATCACCTCATCGCCTTCGTCTACTGCTAATCGGCTCGAGGCATTGATGGGCTGCGGGTGGGAATGTGCAAGAGAGAGCGAAGGACTTGGAGGGAAAAGGCGAGCGAGAGCCAAGGGAGTCGACTTACATGACTGGGAAAAAGACAATGTATGAGAAGAGCATGATACCCTCGACAAAGATGAGGGCGACGCAAATGGCGAATGTGCGCCCTCTGTCCTTGCCGCCTTTGAACAAGTCGTGGTGTAGGACTCCAGTGCGGGTGCCTTTCCACTCGTACACACCGAAGCCAATCATGATCACGATGCCTAGGACAAGGGTGACGAGTGTCCGAGAATTCGTCCAGGAATACAATCCACCACCCAGATTGAGGCCCACGAGGAACAAGGACAAACCGGCCGTGAGGAGACCGATGCCGGGAAGGTCGAGATGGGTCAGCTTTTGCCAGAAAGAAAGGTGGTCAAGACGGGTGTGTCGCTTGGGCGGTCGGTAGCCGACGAAGATACCAATCGCGGTGATGGCCCAGAGCGCCATTTGAATCCACCAGAACTTGCGCCAGCCGTCCTTCTCGTTGGCCCTGGTCAGAGCGCCGATGATCAGAGGACCTGAGATAGCGCCCAAGGCTGCGGCGATGTTCATACAAGCTTGAGCCACTGTATAGGTGGGTTAGTGGATCTCCTGCAAGGAATATATCGGGGGCTCAACGTACTCGGTCTCCATTTTCTGGGCAGAATCTCGCTGGGCACTGCATATGCAAGAGGGACTGAAGCAAATCCGACACCGATCAATGTTTGTGCTGCGATCAGCCTGTAGATGTCGTCCGACCCAGGCGCGATTGCAGCGCCGATAAGCGATATGAGGGAGGAGCCAACGAGGATGAACTTTCGCGCCTGGAAGGTATCTGATGCAGCGGATATGACTGGGCCGAGCACAGCTTGTACCAGAGACAGCGAGTTGGGTACCCACGTCTGGGTTTCTGCGTTGTTAAGGTCCTTGCCAATGATAGACAGCTAGATTCGCTAGTCAGGACTCCTCAGGCACTTGAAGATTGGCTCAAGTAAGGGTACTTACCACGGCCGGAGGACCTTGGAGGGCAAAGACTTGCACCATGTTGAGGACGAACATAGCCAAAAGAGCTATGTAGGTACGAGCATGCAGTTCCGGTTCCTCGTCCACATCATCGTAAACGAGATTGTGCTCGTTGGCGCCAACATCTTCAAGGTGCTTTTCGTCCGAGAGTGCATCGGTCTTTTCGTCGTACGGAGCTACCTTCACTTGCTGTTCTTGAGGTTGAGGAGCGTTAGCTGTGACGCTGTCTGCGGTCGTCTTGTTGGTAGCCATGTTTCTTCTCGCAAGAGATTGATGGCAACGGTGTTGATGTTGGTGGGGGCTTGCCCTTGCTAAAGTCCAGGAAACGTGGCAGATGTCCAGGGCTTTGTAGCCGACAGTGAGCACCGTCCGACGTTACCGCGATGCCGTGGGGACATCTCTGATAGGCTCGCAAGATGAGAGCCAGGAGGAAGGCAGATAAGAGAGGACCGAATCAATCTGCGGGGTTCTGGGGTCTAGTGCGACAGGAAATGGGACGCCTTGAACCCGTCGTGGGACGTTGAACCACCATCATTGACTCTGGCGCGAAGTAGGTCTAGATGCAGACGACAGAATAGGACTTCGGTCAGCCGGCCACCATATTGCACCACTGGCTTCCTGGAAAGGATTGCTTTGCCGGCCCTCGGCGAGTTTCTTTTCTCCAGTCAAGCCATTGGCGATCCTAGACGCAAGAGACGAACGCACCGAGTCATATTGACGAGACCTACGATCCGAACATGAAACACACACGTCAGTAGCGTGGTACCAGAATCGATAGCTTGCCTCCGTCACTCCATCCGTCAAGGTGAGCAGAGAGGGCTGTTGTTTTGTGCTTCGTAGGAACAGGAGCCTATGGACGCCCGTGGGGTTATCGAAGCCATCCCCGGCGTTGTCAAAGGGAGCGAGGGAGCCTGGGGAGCCCCGTGATTTGCTCCCGTAATCTATATTGCGGGGAATTGTTCCCACCATTTTATACCGGATGATGCCGGAGTATTGCTTCGCATTTTGCGGGGGAAGATCGGTTGGTTCGGTTTCTTTCTTTCTCAACAGAGAGTTCCATTCGAAGAGGGTCAATTCAAGTCGAGTAGCGAGCCCAATCGAGGACTTCCTACGTTTTTCACACGTCTTTCACGCGTCTGATCTCCGTGGTCGCCAGGAACAAGATAAACGGTCGCTTTGGTACTGGGAGGAAGATCTGGCGTTTGCTCCTATCTCGACTGGGCCTGCGCTAAGCAGGCGGATTCCTTCCCTCGTGGACAGGTTGGACGTCCAGACCTGGCGCGGTCATCAGACGACGCTCCGGCACGCGCTACACACGTTGAAACTTCGTGAGGGTTTCAGAATCAGAGATCTTGGCTGAAAGTTGCAAGTCTCAGCATTTGGAGGAGTAGCGGCCCGTTTTGCGTAGCGGATAGGACCACATGTAAATCCGGGAAGCCATGGCCGTATGAGTGTATCAATTGAGTCGAAAGACCTCTCAGTGTCGCTTCATCTGCCTGTGCCTTGAGACCAACCTCAGGATCTTGCTCCCAATCTTTGTAATGTTGGGTCCTTCATCTCCTTCAGCCTTGGGTGACCAAGCCAAGACACTAAACCGCTTCTAGACTTCAGTCCCTATCTCAGGTGCTGAGTTCAACTCCTCACCGTCGATCAAGTCAGTACCTACCTAGGTAGGCTGCGCTGACATTCATCTACAACGTCGAGCAACCTGCCTTCCTGTGCGGTGCGAGTCCGACTCGGTCTTTCCCACCAGTGGCCGCTTTCGCCACAGGTGCCCGTTCCCAGCACTCATCGAGGAATGGCCGGAATTTGCAGACGAGATTGTACTTGATCTACGCAATTCCAAGCACGAGTCCGATATCGACCCTCCCGTCCGTACACCCAAGCGCTCGACCTCCACGCAGAAAGACGCATGGTCCGAAACCAGCGAGGAAGAAGAGGATGAAATCTTCACTCCAAGAGGTCAGCCCGGCGAGGATTCCGTGACAAGTTGTGATGCAAGCGAAAAAGGAGGTCTACTCCAAGGTCTGTTAGACTATGCTGAGTACGAACATGTCGAGCGTGATCCAGAAGGTGCAATGAAGAGGCGGGCAACGAGGATTGATATCTCGGAAGACGAAATCCCAGTAAAGCATGAAGATCCATGTGTTGTCGACCATGGTCAAGCGCCTAAAAGCGTTTTGATGGAGATTGACGTCCAAAGGAAACTGTGTAATGTTTGCTTGAAGCGCTTCTCCAGAACCGACGCCCTGAAACGCCATCACAAGTCCGTCCACCAGAGACTCAGACCATTCAAATGTATTGACTGTGGTCTTCGATATCAACGCAAGTATCTCCTCGACCCGCACCGGGGCTTCCGCAGAGCCGTCCACGCCAGGGCCAGGGTTGCTAGATCTCTTGAGCAAGGAGAACGCGGGACACACAAATTATTTGGCGCGAGGAAAAAGATCAGAACAAAGGAAGCTTGAACCAGGACTCGTCCATTGTGCAGCTCTACCTCCTGAATGATGGAGCCATGAATATGCAGGCTGTCCTGTCAGTCGTGGCTTGGGTCGATGGTTTCGTGCAGATTCCTGACTTGAGCTTAGTTATCGATGTAATCTAATATAAGACCGACCTAGCCCTCAAAAAAGGTCGGGACGGTAACAGGCTCTCCGCTGGCCACAGCTGCGACGCTCTCCACAAAGCCTTATGTGTTCATGCACGGAACCGGCTGGGAGGATGTGCAGGCGAGGAAAGGCCGCGAAATTTCTCAGGACCCATATGATATCCTCTCACACGTACGAAAGTTAAAGCTGTAGTCTTGATGCTACTGTCCAGCGTCCAGAACCAGAAAAGATAGTACTGAAATGCTCTTTCCATTGTCGAAGGTTGTAAGAGGACCTAGAAGAGTGTGCCGCATTCAAGTCATGGTGGATGGTTATGATAAGGCTTGAGCTCATGATGACCCCAAGGCTGATCTTTACTCAGGCGGTGAAACTGCGATTCGTTCTTCTGCCGGTATTTCCATTTGGACATTCGACATTCACCACTGCTACACGCATACGCGCCTGCCTCCTCGTACCACTACTTGTCTCATGTTCCTAGTCTGTTCTTTGATGCTGATGCCTTATGGACAATTCAATAGCTTTACGGCGCTCCGCTTTTGAAGTTCCGATCATCTGGCATTGACCAGCACATCCATGCAGGATCTCGAACATGCCTCCGTATCGAGTTCTGCAGGAAGAATGGTCCGAGTACGAAGAAGAGACAGACGAAGACATTCATGATGAACAAGCGCATGTTGAGACAAATCAGAAACCACACCAACTCCTGCGAACCTTTCCGAGTCCAATCGTAAGTCTTGAAGAACACAAAGTCCACCAAGTTCACGACCTGAACACACTGCACAACCGACGAGAGGAGGACCCTTTGGACATCCAGGCTACAGGACCTTCGACGAACACTTCGCAAGCTTTGGCACCTCCCAGACTCAATGAAGGTTCACAAGTCGTGGTCAAGCAGGAAGAATGGGTCGAGCTCACTGAGAGTAGTGGCGACGAAGCACATAGAGAAAGACACCAGGAGGATACAATTGAAGTCTCTCATACAGACACCATAATGGAAAAAGAGCCGACCTTGCCGCACGATGAGGCAGCGGACTCGGATGCTTCTGCACCCACTGCTAGGCCACACTTCCCTCCCAACTCCAAGGATACAACCAGGTCTCCAAGCGACTTTGAGCTGCAGCATTCAATGGCCAAGGTCCCTAGTTACCGAGACCTTATGGACACCAACGAATTGTCCGATGTCAAGGCTTTCACAAGTGCCCGCCGTGAGGAGCGTGCGCGACGACATGAACAGGCCCACGCGGAAGAGGTAGCGCCGCCGGTCTACGCAGTAGGTACCTTAGAGTCGTGGTTCAGGCAATATGTGCTGACCTAGCATCAGGCCCTACGTGCCAATGTCCCCGTATTCGAGATGAAAGTCAACGGGATCCTAGTCATGAGACGTCAATCAGACTCGTGGATGAACGCAACGTCGATTTTAAAGGCCGCTGGAGTCGTGGAGGAGCAGCTGAGACGCAGAATACTACGAACGATCAAAGGCCCACAAGAGTCTGTCCAGGGAGGGCATTGGTTCTATCAAGGTACCTGGGTACCCTGTACGTTTGCGCACGAGTTGGCTTCACGTTATGGTGTTGCACATTCTCTTCTACCACTGTTTGAGATCGCGCCAGGCGAGGATGCAGATCTCACCCGAGGAGCGAAGTCGTCCGCAAACGGCCATTCCGCACCACGAAAGAGGGCTTCCTCTGCCGGCTCTCGCAAACCGTCCGTCATACCGGTTGACGAAAATAGGCACAGACACGGCGCACTGGCCAGTCGGGAGGACTGGTTAGATTCTAGCGATAGCGAAGACGAGCTGGCTCCGTTCGTGTCTGATAGCATGCACGACTCAGGAAGACCAATGGTGACATCTGATGTGTCCCATACCCGGGCAGGCTTTGTGGACATGAACAGCAAGAGAAAGAGGCTCTCCGAACCACATCATCATCATCATCATCATCATCATGCCGATCAAGCTTCGCCCGAGCAGAAACGCGCAAGAACAGTAAGCCCGCCTTTATTGCCCCTGGGAATGTCTCACCTGGAACCAAGAGAACGAGGTATACGATATGCACAAGGACGCCGTAATGAGGAGATCAAAGCCGTGAACAAGTTACGATCTCTTGTTCCTCCACAGTATTTTGATCATGACAGCGAGGCTGGTGGCCAATACAATCGGACAACAAGAACGCTCAAGCCTGTGATAGCCTTCCTTAAGGATCTGGCCAACTCAACCGACAGCAGCCGTGCCACCAGACGATCATTCAAGGCAAGTGACAATGACTTTGAGGATGTGCCTTCCATTGGCGACTTCAGTCAGACATCATCGGAACTGCTTTCGAGCACGATGATTGATGCCCTGCTACAGCCCGAGACGACTATCGTAACCTCTCTTCATCAGTATGGCCACGGCAAAAAGAATTCATCTATTGGTCATGGTGTTGGCCAAAACAGGAAGACCGAGGACAAGTACTCAACGAGCTCTTCGGCGGCCTTTTCTCGTGGCAGGAGAGGACGCCTAAGCGAGTTGGCCAAATGGTTCGACCGCCGCGAGCTGGCCGATAACAACGAAGTCCAGAGAAGGGTGGAGAAGATCAAGACCAGAGTGGCTTGGGAGCAACTGACTGAAGGAGAGAAAGACAGAATCCGGAAAGATGAGAGAGCGAGAGTCTTACATAAACGTTTCGAGGAAGGAAAGTCGCAGTCCTACTTCCTATCGCAGCTGATGAGTGTCGCCAATCAGTGTGGAGTAAGCGACGGCGATGTATTGGGCTTGTTCCTTCAACAGCGAAAGGCTCGGGACACTTTGATTGAACTATTCGACGGCGTGGTCGAAGTAGACGCGTCCGGAACTCTATCATTGTGCCGGCCAAAACAGGTTGAGTCTGCAGCCGCCTCTAACGTGAACGGTCATATCAATGAAGACGATGTACCGTATATGCTTAACACGGAACAACGATGGCAGGCTGCTCTGGCTAGATTACGCTCCAGTTGAAAGGCGAGCACGCCCGATATATCAGGCAGGCCCAATCGACAGTGCCACTGTCTACAGACGGCGGTGGTAGATTTGCCGTGTACACGATGTCTATTTGAGATAGCTGAATATGGTCTTCGATGCACGAGCAATGGGATGTCGAATGAAGCTACAATGTTGCGCTGCATCTCGAAATGTCACTTTCAGCATGTATGCAATGTCATACATCGTCAAAGTGTTGAGAATTGACATCTTGAAGGCTTGAACACGGGATCGAACACTGTGGAAGCTGTTTCAAAGGACTACATGATGACATTGTTTATATGTATGTCCCATGCCGGGATTGCAAGCTCAGAGATATCAGCAACTCCCCAGCAGGTTAACCACAACCGCTTCAGTCTTAGTCTCGACATTTATGATAAAGAACTTTCAACTCAAGATCTGGCCTCCATCCGCCGCGATGGTATGTGATGCCATTCGTGCCGTGCCTACTGGATATTTGTATTGGTCAGAGCCTCGACATATGTAGGACAAATTGCAAGGAAGACTGCGACTTACCACAGGACCGAAAGTGTCCGGCTCTACTTGGCTGGTGGTGGCGGTTTCGGCCGGCCAGTGGTATCGTACCCGCCTCGGCCAAAGTCGATGATGGTGTCGGTTGAAGTCATGATCGCGAGACTGCGTTCGTGGTCTGAAGAGGCTTTGCTTTGAAGCCCGTTGGAGTTGAGGACGCAATTGGTGTCTTCGGTATAATGCTGTTGTCCAAAGATTCATAGGTATTGTTCGAGCTGATGATGGAGCAGGACGAAGATCGAGAAGTCTGGTGGTGGTATTTATACAATTCCACTCCGGCAGTACGCGCTGGTCACTCTCATGGGTCTCTCTACCGAACGGACGTGTCTGGCCATCCCCAAGGATACCTTCAGTGTTCGAGTGAAATGTGAACGCGTGAGTGAGACGGACCGCAGCGATGCATCCATCAACAGCCGCGGCGAGATAGCCATCAATATTCACGATGGACTGCCTTTGCTACTCGGCATCACCAGTGCTGTGCGCCAGATCGACTTCGGGGTCAGGACCCTGGACAGTCGCATTCACCGGGGACGATATATACGTGGGTACCGGGCCTTCACTGCTCAGAATAAGCTAGACCTACTGCCGTCCCAGTTCCTGAACCAGAATTAACTTCTCCTTACACGCCATCATATGCCATCAGGGGCGGTGATGGTTCAAGTAGTCGATCTCGAAGACCGACGAACGACGGACAACAAACAAGATGAACATTCGTTCGCTTGTTTCGAACGGATATTTGTGGCCCACTGTAGTCGATGGGGCCATCAAGGGCAAAACAAACACAAGGACCTGAACTACAAAAGGACTACCATTGGCTGGATGGAGGAAAAATGTGCATTCAAACCCTCCCATTCCTTGAACATACACAACGACGCCGACATGAGGCGCAAATTGCAACAAAAGGCCTTGAAGCCCTTTGTGAGAATATACAAGGAAACTTCCCCAGCAGCCACATTTGGCTTTTGGTCTCAAAGGAACGCCAGCCCCTGAGCATTCTTCCCGACACCCATACCATCCAAACTGAAATGCTGTATCATTTTGGCCGTCCCTTGACCACCGGACACGTCAAGCACTGTGACGGCCGCTGACGTTGTTCCGTTTCCAGGGGATAATGCATACACGAAATTTCCTGCAGCCACCAAATCGATGAGGCCGGGGTCTCCATTTGCCGAGAGATCCGTAATGGCCAGGATACTCGCGTCAGTCAAGCTCATCTCCACAACTCGGTTCACTCCGACGTCCGTGACGAATGCGCTGTTCGTGGCCGGCGATATCGTCGCCCAGCAGGTCGCCTTTTGGCCATCGAGGGTCTGGTTGGCGACCAGGGAAACTTCGTTGCTTGCCGAGTCGACTGAGAGAATGGCACCACCGAACGATGCATCTGTGACAAACACGTTTGATGTACCTGGGATGTTCTTCGATCCGAATAGCACAGCAGTACCTGACGGTGAGCTGCGTATATCTTGAGTAGAAAGTGCCGCCGGTCCGTTGCAATCTGAGGATTCGACGGGGAAGACTGAGAAGAAGCCCGTGTTGTTGACAGTCGGGTCACCCTTGACAGTGGCGAAGAGGCGGGACTCGTCGTCGGCAAAAAACAATTGAGAGACAGTGTTCGTTGGGCCGACGGGTGGAGTTGATTGGTTCAAGCCGAATGAACGCAAGTCGTCCATTGGGCTGAGACCTTGTGTCGAGAAGGTTGAACATGAGACTCCGTTCTGCGTGCCGGTCGTGCCAACGCAGACGAGCTTGTTCTTTGCGGATGCAGCGACGGTGTTCGGGAATTGACCCGGCAGAGATACTGGCTGTCCCACTACGGTGAGTGCCGTTGGGTTCTGGGGATCCAAAGACAGCATGGTGACAGTGTTGCTACCGGCATCGACGGCGAAGATGTTCTGACATTTTATCAACACGCACCAGACGTCGTATAGGGGACTTGTACTTACATTGCCAACTCTTGTCAACGCTGATTGTCCGACCAGTGCGTCTGGGGCAGCTGGTTGGTTCGTTGCTCCATCGATAGAGTTGGATCCTTCACCACCAGTAGCAGTCAGGGTCCCTTTGGACAGTGTCCCGTCAGACCCAACAGGCAAGGCCACGACAGAGTTCGATTGGTCATTTGTGATGAGATAGATGGCTTTCGCACCGGCCGGGGCATGCAGGCTAGGTCTCTTCCAGTGCGGTGCCGGCGCCGCAATGCTGGTCAAGCTGAGTGAGGCCAACAAAAAAAGGTGGATGTTGGATAGCATTCTCTTCGACTCCCGAGATTCGGCCTGTGAAGTAAAGAGCGTACAAGGTCCTTTTCGACTTTGCAGAAAATGATTGACTGATTCTCCGTTTGGTTGACTGAGAGATGCATCTTTGGGTAGGCTGCGAGCTCATTCTTATATCTACGCTCTTGCAATCTCGGCCAAGACCACTGCAACAAGTTCTTGACGGTGCGAGACATCTTGACTGGTGTCTGCAACACAACGAGCGGTCGGTTGCTGCGTTTGCTTCATCCTCGAGGGTTTTCTCGTGGATTACTCAACCCAATATTCCCCTTTGCGATCTAGTGACTGCCAACAAGCGCCGTGAGTCTAGTCCCAAGGCAGGAATTCTCGATTATCCATCAACTCGAAACTTGTCGCGGAATTCAAGGACGCAGGGGTTCATCCGCAATCTTGATTGGTACGTGGCTGAAACATCGTGCAGACGCTTCGACCCCCGGCCCCATCGTCTCCAGAAGTCAGCACGAGGTCGATGTGCTTGAGGATTTCGCGAACTGTCAAGTTCTTCATGCCTTCGAACTGTGCCTTGTACTTCGATTTCAAGTGCAACCACTCTGACTGAAGGGAAGAAACGTCCTTGAGCCGAGAAGTTGACATACTAAAGTGTGCAAGAATGGTGGACGTCTTCCGCCCGCTGTTTCGCAGTGTCGAAGGTACCGTAGTCAAGTCACATTCTTTTCTTGGTGCATCATGCTTACCCAAGCCAAAGATCGCGTCGCGAACCGTCGCGAACAATTGCGCAAGGCACAAAAGTCAGTGCGCCCAGGACGAGCAGCTGGGTGTAGAACGGGCTGATCTCCATGCTACAGAACATTCCGGGAACGACGAGACCAGTACCTCAAACAGCTTGAACAACAAGTCCAGCGGTTGCAAAAGACCGAATCTGACCTGCAGAGTCAAGTCGATCGCCTTCAACATGAGCTTTCAGAGGCGACCGGACGGTTTGTTGTCGCGGACAGCAAAAGGAACGGCACCACGCAGTATCTTGGCCAGAACGATTTTCCAGCTGGAGAGAAGTGGGAGAGCAGCACCTTTATATCTCCTGACCCCAACCATGGATCAGTAAACGGTGGCAGTGCTGTCATATGGATCGAGAACCAGAATCACAAACCTTGGCAAATGCATGTTCAGCTGGCGTCGCCGCCTCCAAAGGATCATCCGCAGTGGCCGCTCAGCCCAGTCAGTCTGGAGAGCGAGATTACCTCATCACCCCAGGATGGGTATGTGAGACAGCTGGAGAACTTCAATGACAATTGGGCAGGTGAGAGACAGTATCATGTTCTGATTCTGGAGCAAGCTTGCGCTGACATGCATGTGGGCAGATGGGCATGTCCAGGCCGGTTTTTCGCTGATCAACCCTTCCATTTTGCAGTCCAGTTCATCTTTCGTGGCGCAGCTTGACCCGGTCGTCGTCGGGATGGAGTTCGTTCTCAAGTACGTCGTGTCCTTTCTCCTCCTGAGGCCCTCATCGATCAACGAAAGTTCATCGTTTATAGACTCGAGAGACCCTGTCTCCCTCACATACACCAACCGGATGGCGACCAGGGCGCGCCGCACGGTCACGTCCATACAGCCACCGCTGCCTTGATCTGTAGTGCTCATGCCTCGCCCTCGGAAGATCTAGTGTCCCGCCGCTGGAATGCGCCGGCCGAAGTCCTGCGACGATTGCTGGACATTTCGAGCAGCCTACCGATCGAGGAAGGCTCAGAAGTCACCCCCATACAGGTGTGGCACATGATCAGTCAAGGTCCGGACTTTAGTAGGATGAAGGTGGCACATTTGGTGTGGATGTCGGACCGGTTGCTGCGTCAGATTAAATGTTACGGGTATGTGTCTCGGTGATCGTTCATCTCGACTCGCGCTCAGAAAGGAAGACGGATGTGAGGTCGAGTCATGACTGACATTCGCAGGTTCGGTGCCGTCGTAACGCAAGACTATCTCAAGAAGATGCTTACTGAGATGCGCGTCTGAGGATGGTTTCAATCGCCTTGAGGCCCATCAGGACTTGGCCACATTTCTTTGTTTCCCGCTCGGAGGCGTTTGTCGCCCAGAAGACCCTGTTCACACCGTCATCATCGAAGTCGGTTACCATGGGCAATCTTTGCCGAAAGGAGCTCGTGCTGGGCGTCTGGCACCTTTTCACGTCGACCTGTTTGAGGCACGGATTGGAGTTCGCCTCTTCTACTGCTTTCTCGGAGGTTCCAGGTCGATGGGTAGAAATCTGTTATCCTGCTCATAAGGCAAAAGATCGCTGCTTTCCACCATCCATTTCAGAATTACCGATGCCATACTCTGCCTCACAGACGCATACGCCGGCAGCTGGGCGAGGTTGTGCATCTCTGCGACGTCCTTTTTTCGATCATATAGCTCGGGCGGCTCTTACAGTCGGTATATGTAGGTAAAGTCTTTGCTTCGGCAGGAGATTGCCTTGCCGACCAGCGTGGTATCAGTGTGCTGCAAAGCGGCCTTGATGTCATGCGGATACGGCGAATCCTGGTCGGCCGTATCCTTCACTGTAAGTCAAATATGCTGCTCGAGTGGTAGACTCAGCGCTGACAGCTGCTTTCACCAAGACGGCTACATTGGCATGGAACTTTCTGTGGTTCCGGTTTTCCAGTCGGAAATTGTCCCTGCGGCCGTGTGAGGACTGGTCGTCGGCACATATCAATTGGCATTGATCGTAAGTTCTGGGAGTCTGTAAGCTCACCAACTTCGACCGCTAACTGAGTCCTCTAGTTCGGGAGAATTGTGATGAGTGGTGTATGTTACAGCACCAGTGGCATGCAAACTGCTGCATCATATCGCATCCCCTTTGGACTTTTCTACATTGTGCCAGTCCTCGTCTTCTGCCTGATCTGGTTTATTCCCGAGGTCAGTAGCCACTTCCCCGAATGGCCTGTCTAAACGAGTTGACTCACCTTTGTACAGTCTCCACGATGGCTGCTCCTCAAAGACCGTATTGAAGACGCCCGTCGAAACCACCATATATCGAGCAGGTACCATGTCCGACGCGGCGATCGAACTCGAGTTTGCCAGAATGCACCAATCCTTGATTGAAGAGCCGGAACAGGGCAAGGCATCTGACCTGGTCAAGGGCGTCAACAAGAAGTGCACTTTCGTCGTCTTCATGATAGGCATGTTTCAGCAAATCACCGGTCAAGCCTTTGCCGCACAATACCGCGCTGTGTTCATCAAGTCCTTGGGGACCATCAATCCGTGTGCGATGACTCTGAGCAACAGTTGCATCAGCGCGTCTGCAATCATTTGCACACTTCTCACCGTGGACAAAATCGGCAGAAGGTAAGCTCTACTTGGATTTCTTGGTGTTCTTTGGTGACTGACTCGAATACAGGCGACTCCTCCTTGTCGGCTCGGTGATCCAGTGTGCTGCTCTTTGCACCATGGGCGGGCTCGGTGTGCAAAAGCCCACATCTTACGCACACAAATCGGGCATTGTCGCTTGTCTCTCGATTTTTGTGTATGGCTTCGGCTCCAGTTGGGGCCCGTTGACTTTCGTGGTGGTGACCGAGTTGCCCGCTCTGAGATTGAGAGACAAATCACAGCGAGTCGGCGCCCTGACCAACATCTTATTCAACTTCCTTGTCAACTTCACCATCCCCTACCTCCTCAACGCTCCGTATGCGGCCCTGGAAAGGAAGGTCGGTTTCATCTACGGCAGCTCCTCTTTTGCCGCGTTCTGGTTCGTCTACTTCTACGTTCCAGAATGCCGAGGAAGAAGTCTGGAAGAGATTGACATCATGTTCCACGAAGGCGTTCCTCTGCGGAAGTTCAAGGACCATCCTCGCCTTCGGATCGAGGTTCGGCCCGGCGATGAGGTAGACGAGGCCAAACTCGCCGTCTCAAGCCAAGCCATCCATTTGGAGGACAAGTGAGCGGACCAAGGCTTCAGCGTGGTCCGTGGGCCGACATACCATACAGTAACGTGTTCCAAAGCTCAGGCTGGAATCGGCAGGAGAAGCTAGGACTCAAACAAAAAGTAGATATTTCGACCTTGCACAAGCCAAGGCACAAGTTGTATAGATCGTATAGACGATAGAGCTTGTACTACAATATTGTCAATTGCTTTCTTCTATCAAAAATTGGTGCGTATATTCCGATCGTGATGCTCGTCGGACTGCCATACTCGCTGAAAATATTCCTGTTGCAACGTCGGCCTCAACTTGTAGATAACGCAAATGAGCAATACCGAGCAAAATGCACTGTGATGCCACTAAGTACTACAAGTCATTCAAAAGGTTGAGCGTACCCATGGTTGAAGGAGGAAAAGCAGGCGACAGTTACGACTCGGCTCAAGAGGAGTCGGAGGTGGCTAGAGCATTGCCTATTACGTGCTGAAATACATTAAACAACCCGCTTGTAGCATGTACTGTATCATCCCGAGCTGCTTCGCATCAGACCCAGACTTTCGACCATGGGCAGGTCGTTGATTGCAAACAGATAAGCACTGCCACTCTCGTCAAGAGAAGTATGTGTTATCGTGCTCCAAGCAGGGACAGTAAAAGTGTCCCTCTCTTGCCAGTCGACTCTCTGCTCTTTGCCGTCCTTCCCCGTGATGGTCGAATAGCCCTTGCCTTCATAGATGTGGTAAACAAATGAACACGTCTCTTGAGACCCGGGAGACGTTGTACCTGCCGCCACACGCTCGGCTTGCGCGGAGATGGTCCTGCTCAGATGAGATCCGTCCGGCATGCGGTATTGGTACCGGGCGTACGACTGGGTGGGTTTGTTGGCGTCGAGCTGCTCCACGACGCCGGACCAGGGGATGCGCAATTTGCTTTCCGAGACGGGCTCGCTCGGGTATCGACTTTCGGCGTAGTTCTCGGCGAAATTGACGGGCAGGAATCTGTAGACGGGCAGGTCGAGACCGTCGAGCCAGATCATGGGCTCGGTGCCCTCGTTGCCGTGGTCGTGCCAGTGCCAGCTGGGGGTGAGAATGACATCGCCGCGTTCCATGGTCAACTTCTGTCCCTCGACGGCCGTGAAACCCTTTGACCCTTCGATGATGAATCGGAGTGCAAAGGCGACGTGTCGGTGGGCCGGGGCGGTCTCGCCGGGAAGAATCAGTTGTAGACCGGCGTATATGGTGTCCGTGGTGTACGGTGCATCGAGGGAAGGGTTGATAAGCATCAGCACCCGCCGCTCGGCCTCCTCGGCAGACACGATGTCGCCGGCCTCGAGAAGGCTGGGTCTCATCTGTTCGTAGGGCCATGATTGCACCGTCGCTGTAGGGTTAGGTCTGGGAGGGACCATCTTGTCCAGGCATGTCCACAAAGCTCCTGCATGTTGTTGGGCTATGCGGTCAAAGTATCCGTGTTTTGCCGGCTTTTGTGAAACCTCATCCGCGGATGAGGGAGTGAGGGCAAGCCGCTCGGCAATAGTGGTGGTTTCAGTGTTTGTGGCCATAATGGGTTCAGACAAGTATGAGGTGAGACTTTTGGATAATGTCTTCTTGGAGTTTCTCGGTCTGGGGGAGGGTTGACAACATGATTTATCGGCTTCCCCATACTAGGATCCTGCGTTCAGGTGGCGAGATCAGCAGGCTTGTGGTGGACTGGAAGGCGGCTCGGAAGCCAGCGAAGATCCCTTGTCCAGCCCATATCCGTGTACGATCCTTCTTTCGAATTCGGGATCCTGGGCTTATCCGCGGATGCCTTCCGGACACATGGGTGGTGCTTGAGTGGGGCACCTTCACGCCGAGAAGGCTGACTGCCTCTTCCGAGTGGATATGGGCAATTCGCCGTATGTAGTGTAGGTTGACCCCCAGACCAGCGCGTTTCCCCGACTGAACCGCCAGCGGAAACAACAGAATCATCAAGATGAGTCGTCATGAAGGAAGCTGCCTTTGCGAGGGCGTGCATTTCGCGGTAGAGGGAGAACCGGAGAAGGTCTTCATCTGTTACTGCTCGCACTGTATGAAGAATGCCGGTGGTCCCGGTCAGATTGTGCGTGCTACGGAACCCCCAAACACATCGAGGCCTCCCTGTCTGACAACTTGCAGATGGCGAAATTCCCAAAAGAACAAGTGAAAGTCAAGCAGGGCCTGGAGTTGATAAAAACTTGGGTGCTCAACGACACCATGAGCGGATCTGAGAAGCACAAGCTCTTTTGCGGGCGTTGTGGGTGTACGCTGTGGACCATCCCCATGAGCCACGGAGGGACTCACTTCATCGTTCGTACTTCACTGATCGATAATGGGTATGTTACATAGTCATGATCAAATCGAGGAGGTAGTGTTGTACTGACGCTGGGTACAGCCTGGAGATTTTCAAGCCAAAGGCCGAGTTCTTCGCTTCACGGAAAGTTGATGGCCTCCTCGATGGTCTCAAGTCATTTGACACAATACCAGGGCGTTGAAGTGGACATAAAGCAGAAGGATGTAGACCCCCATCTGGGACCGAACACACAGGTTGTCTCATACATAATCTGTTAAGATGGACTATTCAAAAGCCATGCGGTTCTTCACAGATCCCAGAGATTCTATCTTGACCTCAACCACATCTCCATCTTTGAGCCACAAGGGCTCTTTCATTCCCATAGCGACTCCTGCAGGAGTTCCGGTCATGATCACCGTCCCAGCTTCCAGAGTAGTACCTTGGCTGACGAATGAGATGATCGTCTCAACGTTGAAAAGAAGGTCGTTCGTGTTGGAGTCCTGGCGAAGGTCTCCGTTGACGAAGGTCTGAAGCTTCAGGTTGCCGGCGTTACCCACCACTTTTGGTGAGACCAGAACAGGTCCAAGAGGCGCGAACTTGTCAAAGCCTTTGCTGAAACACCACTGAGGGACGCCTCCAGCGTATGCAGGATCCCTTTGCCATTTGCGGCACGAGACGTCGTTTGAGGCCACGAATCCGGCCACATAATCGAGAGCTTGGTCCTTGGGAATGTCCTTGCCCGTTTTGCCGATGACGATGCTGAGTTCTCCTTCATAGTCCAGGGTTTCCTGGGCGAGCTTTGGAATCGCCACGTCTTCGTTGAAGCCGGCCACGGAAGCCTTGGGTTTGATGAAAACCGAGGGATATGGCGGCGGCTTCCGTCCACCTTCTTGGACTGAAGAGGATGTCAGTTTTGAGGATGCATTGCAATGTCTGGGTAGTGAGACTTACTGTGCTTCATGTAGTTAAGGCCGATGCACTTCACGATGGGTACATCGTCGGTTGAGAGAAGTGGCAGGATCTTCTTGACCTCAATCACTTGGTCGGTAGCTGTGGTTGAGAATATCGAAGAACCACTATGGCACTTTGCCTTGAGCGTAGAGCTTTGCAGGACATCGTTGATCTCAATGTCCTTGTCGCCGTCAACGACAGGCTCGCCGAAATGCACCTTTCCTTCGGCGTCTTCGAACTTGATTAGTCTTTGCCACGACATGGTGAATGGGGTCTTAGGAGAAGCGTTGACAAGATAGTTAGTCTGGAACTCCAAGTGAAGCGATGGTGTGATATCACTCGGAAAGGTCAATAATGCTAAGGACAATATCTCGAGGCACGATGGTAATTTGTCCTCGTTGTCGTCGGTTGGAGAGGAGCTGGGACATCCACTCGGAAGACTTCCTCGGCTGCTGGAGAGTTTACCGTAGTGCTAGTATTTACATGGATACTTATGGAGACGTGGGAGACCTACTGTAAGCTCGCCAATCCCACACTCCCTTCGGCATCGTCGCGATTGGAGCGCTTGGGGAGCTCGTGCCAGCAAATGCCACTTATGCCTGTCTCCAGAACCACTTGTCAAGCTGGTCCACGATGGTGCTTCAAATAATCGGACTCTTCCGTTGGCTGCCAGTTTCCTCTCCATCCGAAACCCCAGATTGTGCATTTCGTCGACTTTTGGATCCGACAGGATGCAACCTGGAGCTGCTCCTCAAGCTCCGACGGAAGACACGGCAGAGGGTCCCCCTCTTAAACGGAACAAGGTGTCGGCTGCCTGCGACGTATGCCGGAACAAGAAGGTAAATCACGCTCTTGTTGTGGACGAGGTTCGACTAGAACTCAAGGCTGACTTTGCTGGATCAGATCAAGTGCGATGGGGTACAGCCTGAATGTGGTCCCTGCCGAACCAGGCCGAGCCACAATACCAGATGTAGCTGGCAACACAGTATCTCGCGCGGTAGTGTCCCAGTGCCGGAGGAGGTTGCACGCTTACAGCAACGTATTCGCGATCTCGAACAAAAGCTCAACACAGGGAGCGTAACGACCGCCCAAAGACCATCGCAACCACACCTTGATAGACCACGATCAATTCCCCTCGAAGCCCACAATGGTGAAGAAGGTAATCAGCGTGGATTCCGCCGGCCTGAACGTCCAAGTTCTGGGTTTCCACGGGAAGGAGACGCTCGTCCTGGCCGAGAGTCTTCAGTCCTCATCGACGATGAGAGTCCCGCGAGTGCCATGGTAGGCTCACTGGAGGATACAGCCATTTCCCGCAGATTCTTCGGAGGCTCAAGTGCAGGTACTTTTATGAACTACATTCGCAACGTAGTTGCACGAAGGAGTGGTAGAAACAATGAGTCCCCCCTGTCCTCAATGGCAGGAGCCTCGGAAAAGTCTCGAAGCCCTCAACGCCGCAACCGACGAAGATCTCTCAACGCCGACGACTGGGCGCTGCCACCGAGGAACAGAGCCGATGCATTGATGAGTGTTTATTGGGATATCGTGCACCCGTTGTATCCTTATATTGACCGTACTGTCCTGATGACGCAGTATGGAAACCTGTTCTCTGGACAGGGCCCCGCAGATGTCGATGTATCGGTCCTCTGCTCACTCAACCTCATCTTCGCACTTTCCTGCCAGCTTGACACAACAGTTTCCGCGGAACGGCGTCGAACATCGTCAACCGTTTTCTTTCAAAGGGCGCAAGGGTTGCTGGATCTGTGGAAATTGGACGAGACTGTCGAGTCTGTGCAAGCCTTGCTGCTCCTCGGCCAGTATCTCCAGAGCACCAATGAACCATCACAATGCTGGCTATTCGTCGGAGCTGCGATTCGGATGGCCCAGAGTCTAGGTCTGCATTTGGTGCATCATGGCGACTCGGAGTCGACGGCTTCTCGAAGAAGGAAAGAGGTCCGACGGCGTGTCTGGCACGGATGCGTGTTCATGGATCGTGTGCTGGCAATGACTTACGGCAGACCGACGATGATCAGTCGTTCTGTGGCGTCAGCAACTCCATTGCCGCAACCCGTCGACGACGAAGAACTCGCAGAAGGACAAGACTTTGCAGCACGACAAGGTGCGCCTACGAAGCTGGACTTCTTCATTCACTCCCTCAAATTGCACGACGTCCTCGAGCAACTCCTGGAGAACGACCGTTCAAACAGTGGCAATTGCGATCAAGCGTCCTTCATCGGTATTGACGCCAAATTGATGGCATGGGAACTCGCTCTCCCTCAACATCTCAAGGACGGCCACCTCGTAGCAAGCGCAGAGCAAGCTCAAACATCAACAAGACAAATGGTCCTACTTAGACAAGCTGTAGTCCTGCGTCAGAGGTAAGCAACTGCCGTCTTCATTGGGAGCCCTACCAGAACTAGGCTGGCTAACGATCCCTGCTCTTAGGTACCTCCATGTCAGGCTTCTCGCTCTTCGTCCCATGCTTTCGGCACAAATTACGACCGACATTAACGACTTTGGCAATCAACCTCTGGGTACGAATCTCTCGAGAAGACTCACCCACCAATGTTCAATAGTATGCATCAAAATCGCACAGGAAGCGATTGACCTTGTACATACGCATCGGGCATCCGACTGGGCGACAACGGGTCTTCTAGCAGCGTGGTGGTATAACGTACTATTCGTCTACAGCGCCGCTACAGTGCTTGTCGCTGCAAACTTGCGTCCTATATCTGACCCGGAGCTCAGCGCCGAGAGTACAGCTGAAAGCTGGCGTCGAGCCATGAACATCCTTGAGGGCTACCGAGACTATAGCAAGTCGATACCGCGACTCATAACCACGCTCGAGGTACTCTCGGCGGAGATACCGGAAAGGTATTCACATTATGTACAGAATGTTGAACACCGGCAGTCGGCTATAATGGGTGGTCGACAACTTGGAATGCCTCCCGCTCCGACGAGCCGCTACAATATGGTGCCTATGATGATGCCGGCGGACATGCAGGAGGCCCCAATATACAATGTGGATTTTGGGAACGGAGGGAGCCACGAACCCGACTATTCGGAGCTGATCTTCGACCCGGGTGATTTGTCCTGGTTGAATTCCATGCCGGTAGAATTCTAAGAGCCTAAAAGGCATGCTGATTCGAGCATCCTGTATGTTTGAGACTGCTAGTATTGCGCGTAGGGCGACTCGTCGTATTATCCTGTGCGGAAGGTTACACGTTCGACTCTCGGAGGAAGTTCCGAAGCCTGGAACCGAGCTTCCTAAGAGCAAATTTCAAGCTGTGGGCCTCAGCCGTTGGATATCCAAAAAAGATTAGGAACCGATTCCGATGTCAACGTCGTGGTCTCTGTCGCTCCGCGGGTCACAGGCCCAGCTCCCAAGCCTACTGTACACAACTGGGAGCTTCGTACCTCATTCAGGCTTTAACTCCACGTATAGCGACACTCGTCCAGGTGTCAGCTCTAGCGCCGTCCTGACATGAAGCCTGCCTCAGTGAAAACGCTTTCGACGTCCAGTGTCAAGTCACCCATCGTTTTGCAAGCGAAGGATCATGACTGAACCATTTGACGTTGAACATGTGTTGAAAAACGCGACCCTTTCAGAGAAGGTCTCTCTTCTTGCCGGTATGCTTCCTCTTGCCTTGTTATTCTTTTCCCTCGAGAGGAGCTTGCTAGGATTTTCCATGTTGACCTCGTGAGCAGGAGGTAAATTCTGGGCTACGCAACCGCTGCCACAGTTCAATGTCCCTGAAATCAGACTCGGCGACGGCCCCAATGGCATTCGAGGTGACAAGTTCTTCAACGGTGTCCCGGCTACATGTCTGCCCTGCGGTACAGGACTCGCGGCAACTTGGGACTGCGAGCTCCTGCAGCAAGCCGGTGGCCTGATAGGACATGAGTGTACCGCCAAGTCAGTACACTGCTAGCTTAGTCCGACGGCTAACATCCAACGATCGCCGCTTGGTGGGCGTCGATTTGAGTCATTTTCCGAAGATCCCTATGTCTCCGGCAAGCTCGCTGAACCAGGCAACACTGCAAGACTGATAACCGAAGTCCCGAAAGCCAACCCCAAGACGGCCATTGTGACCCAGAGCGGGACGCCCATCACCATGACTCCCTGGTCTACTCCCTCCACTACCCATCTACACTTGTGGTATGGAGGGAATGAGGGCGGCAATGGACTTGCGGATGTCATATTCGGTGATGTTGCTGCCAGCGGTCGGCTTCCGCTGGCATTTCCTGTTCGGTGTCAAGATAATCCAGCATTCTTGAATTCCCGGTCTGAAGGTGGCAGGATCCTGTGCGGCGAGGACATCTATGTTGGCTACCGATATTGCGAAAAGGCACAGCGCGAAGTGTTGTTCCCGTTTGGGTGAGTCGTTCCCGTTCGTGCTCTTGAATCTCTGTTATCAGAGTCTAACCAGATACAGGCATGGCCTTAGCTACACGAGCTTTGAGTTCAGTGATGTTGTCGTATCAGACGACTCGGTCAAGCTGACCGTGACGAATACTGGTGAACGCTCAGGCTCCGAGACCGTCCAAATTTATATTGCGCCTCCAGAGGCCGCACGCACGCCGTTGGCGATTGAAATCGATCGACCTGTGAAAGAATTGAGAGGCTTTGCAAAAGTCCATCTAGACCCCGGCTCAAGTACGACTGTGACGATCAAGCTCGACAAGTTTGCCGGAGCATTCTGGGATGAGAATGATCTATGTTGGGTCGTTTCCGCAGGAACTTACCGGCTCCTGATTGGAAAGAGCAGTCGGGATATTGCCTTGGAACGTCAATGGACAGTCAAGGAGACGAGAAGATGGACAGGACTATGACTGATACAGTGCAGACAGCCTCAAATTGTAAGTGGTGGTTCATCTTCTTTCGGCTGACGCTCTCACTCGTGGACGGCATGACCTTGCGAAGCCAGCCATCTCTCACTGGTGAGAGTGGTTACAACCAGCAGATGTATTCGAGCCTATGGCATGGTGGACTGCGTTGATTGGCTCGAAAGGCAGCGCTTTCATGCTTGTGTTGTCCTTCGCTAGCGGGTAGGCACAGCTCAGCCTGATGGTCAACCCAGCTAGGCTGACGGAAGGCAGACTCAAGATCTTCAGGCACAACTACTTAACAATTCACGACGTTGCACTTGCTTACCTCGATTGTTCTACCTCTTTTCCTCTGGATTCCCTTTCGCTGCTGTTATTAGTCGTGTTTGGAAACCTCGACTTTTGACGGCCATGGAGTCCAGCGATTCAGATCAAGCCCCGGTTTCGTCTACATTGCCCGAACATGTTCAGCCGGCTGCAAGGCAAGACACATCCACCGATCTAGAAGCGCGACTTCCAAACGGTCATGGTGGGAGGGTCTCGCACTGGCAAGCCATTGGTCGAGCTGTGCAGAAGCTGCTTGTACAATCACCCTCTCCTCCTTTTGGCATCGATCCCTCCCTACCGAAACAGAGCTTGCTTGACCAAGCAGGCCAACTTTGTTTTCTATGTCTCGAAGGGAAGGGGAACACCCATGTCGCAATACGAATTCCGTGCCTCCGATCAACAGGCTATCGGCGTCCCATCAAGTCGACTTACAAGAAGCCCGAAACCAAGTCTGGATGCCTCCAACTAATGGAGGTCGAATATGCCAGAATGCACCCTAGTGAGAGGGTTTTTGAGCCTTATTCAACCATCTTTGGGCGCCTGGTCGACAAATGTTTCGAGTATCACGGCAATTGGAAAAGGTGGCTGCTGTTCTATGGGGTGACTGACGTAACGGAGGTCAATGTTAGTACAGAGTACCTACAAGCTTTCATGGATAACAGGTCTCTCCACAGTTCACGTTCATCCGCCCAAAGGACCAGAATGGCACATTCGCAATCCATGTAAGCCGTATGAACAGGGAGGAGATCGAGAAAAGGGTCCAACACGACCTTGCACGGGGCCCAGGCCCTCCAGATAGCGATGAAATGTGCTCGGTGGACAAACACGTTACGGACTGCTTGAAAGAAGTTGTCACTGGATATCTGTGCCCGTACGAGCGCTATGAAACAGCAAAACGACAACACAAGAATCTCAAACTCCCTGGTCAGTTGCGCGATTGTGCAAGAGACACGAGACTTGCCGACGAATTGGAGATCTTCAACAACATGGTCCTCGGCAGCTATATCTATGATCTACACAACGAGTACGTGCTGGCCGTGCGACTAGTGTATTTACTGATTCTAGTCACAGCGTTTGGAAAGCGAATTACGTCGACATACCCAAACAGGGGCAAGTATACGAAGGGCTTGATGAATACAACGGTCTGCAATTCGACTTGGGGTGGCAAACAGATCGAATCATGGCAGAGACTCCAATGCCTTTGACATGGGTTTGGGTGACTTTATCCTGCATTTGGCTTGCTGTCATCGCCTGTGGCAGGCCGACTGGGAAGTGGGAGCTGGCCATGACCATGGGTTCACTCCTCATGTCATCGTGCCTGCTGTTTCTTCAATACGTTGGAAGGCCATAGCTTGGGGACTGCTACCTTAAAGCCGCCCTAGGCGACCCTCTGCTGTACACAAACGATCCCTCTTCCACCCACAAAAGCGACGAATTGCTCCACCGTCAAGCCAGCTCACGGCTGCTTGCTCGCCGCTTTCTCATGCAGATCCTGGTCGTCGCCCACTTTCACCGAATCATCAATCCGTTCCGCCTTGTCTCTGGCCGCTTGGCCGGCCGTACCTTTCAACGCCTCATCCACACTCTCGCTCAGACTCTTCCCACCGGCGACTTCCGGCAACGACGGGGCTGTCGTCGACATGGACGTCGGCATGTGTCGGCCCACGTCGCGGTCGACTGCTGTTTTGGCGCCGTAGTTTGATTTTTGTTCGTCTATGGTGTTTCTGCCGAGAGTATCAATGTCAGTCAGATTCCTGCCCGTTGGTATCGTCATTCGTGTCATGTCATGCATGGCCTCTCAGAGATACATATGTACAAGTCCAGAGAGACGGCGGCAGCCTGATGCATCAGAGACTGGAGCGGGACGAGGATATGAGCACTTTGGGTGATGGAATGAATGGTACTCACTGGGCGATCCCATGCTGATTAGCATCGAGACTGTCCGGCTTATAATCCCCTGCGTGCCCGCCTCGAGTGTCCTGCATGGCTTATCTTGTGTTGTCCTTTCTCTGGGGTAATCTCAATCTGTGTAGTTGGTTCGTTCGATATTTGACCCGGGTGTCAAGAGATCAACATCGCTCGTCGAGTACTAATACTAGTAATCATTACAAGTGAGGTTGTGAGATCGGTAAGACCGAGGCCCCTTTCAGGAACGTTTCGAGTCTGCGCAATGACGCAATGATATGACTTCACTCGCATGATGCTCCGCATTGACTACTCGCTACCCGGCTACCTACTCGTACCAGGCGACCATGTACTCGTATGAACATCTATTAATATCTACCTGGTACTCGTATGCTTCCAGGCCTTCCGCCTACAATGCCACAAGAACACTTTTGCGTCTCGGGCTCTCCCGGCCGTCCTGCCTGGCCCTTCAAACCAGGGGTCTCATGCCCATCGAAGAGACAGAGAACAGACTTGACTCTGGCCTCTTTCTAGATGGAGCAATATGCCGTTCTCGTCGTCTCGTCTTTGAAACTCCATCTCCTGTCCGACCTTCAGGTCGTCGAGGTTGACCCCATTGTCCCTGACCCCCAGCTTGCGGGTTGCTTTCTTGCCGCGCGTTAAAGTAATCACCCCTGAACAAGGCGCCTCGATCTCCGCTCTGATCTCGAGATCAGGTGATACATCAATGAACTGAGCTTCGTCCGGACAGACCCGAATCTGACACTGACCGACGAGCCTTGCGGTCGAAGCACTCGATCTACCCCTTGATGATTCGCGGCTGCGGATTTGGCCCAGGACGAGAGACTCGGGGCTTTTCTCGTCTCCTTCACTAGACGATGGAACGATATCCGAGCGTGGGGGCACCGACGCAGGGTCAATCTCATGCAGAGAGGAGAGCCTGCGACTGTTGGTAGAGACAACGCTTTGCTGCCCAGAGGATTCAAAGCTGCTGTGTAAGCGAGCATTCTCCCCACTCTCCTGCCCAGACGTCACTGAGACTCCATCGGCTTGGACATCAGGCTTGGAGCCTAAAGCCGAAGCCGTTGGCGAAAAGTGAGGCAGTTCGCGCAAATTGTGCCTGCTTGTGAGAGGGTATGGCCGCCATGGATGGGTGAGTCTGGCCAATCTTTTGCATTCGTCAATCATCTCCTTGATTATGGCTCTCAACTTCGTAACGTTCTCAGGGCTATATTCAGCCAAGTCTGGGATCGTCCACTGGTCGAATAACCGCCCATGTTTGGCTGACACCTCGAAAGCACCGTGCTTGGATATGAACAGGTGACACAAGAAGCATGCCTCCTTGCTGGTGCCCATGACCCGTGGCAAAACTGGTGACGACGACAGAAGATAATGCGTGACAAGTTGTACTTCCGCATGTACATGGCAAGATACTCTTTTACCAGTAAGAGATCTCCAACTCATCTTTGGCGCGTAGGGACGGGCGAATTGCAATTCAATGTTTGAGAAAACGACTCGAGACCGCTCTCTCCGAGCTTCTCTAACGAGAGTCTCTGGAATTCGGCGATATGCCCCTAGCTTGTCGATCTGCATAATGTATTTGTTCTTGAACCAGATGCTAGGTTCGAAGCCCGATGTCTTCAGAGTTGTTCGGAAGGATGCCTGTCCATTCTTGGTAGTGGTCACGAAACACTGATGAACAACTGCTTCCAACTGAAGCAACTGGACGTCTTCTGATAACGAACTGTCAGGGTGCAAGATATTCTCGAATGTCTTCTTCATCTCAGATACCCCGTCAACAAGTTCTCTGGCAGTGGGTGTAGTTGCCACGTCTCGCATCCTCTCCAGCGTGCTGGCTGGACCTGCATTGTTTGTTGCGGCCTTTCCACCTCTGACAAAGCCTGGTGGCTGACCGAGGAAAAGTCGCATGCGGGACAGGATGCGCTCTCGGCAAAGAAGCAGGACCAGCCTTGAAACTTCCGAGATACAATCCTCAAGCTTTGTCTCTGGAAATTGTGAGAGTGGCGAAGCGGAAAGATGGATCACTCACCCCTCTTCGCGCAGGACATCAAGCAGTCACAGACAGAGCGGAGAGTCTTCCTAGTCTCATCTTCCACACCCTCATTTGCGGCGATGCGTATCATCAGACCCGACTGTCCCTGGGCTTCCTCAATCAAGACTGCGGCCACGCTGTCCACGCCTTCTTGTGAGGCAGCGATGAAAGCAAAGTCGTTGGCCAGTCGTTGTTCAGATTCGAAGGATAAGACCCGTGGTGGATGGGTTGGTGGGAAGTGTTGGCTACTCGTAGAAAGCGACCACCATTGAGAGGGATCGGAAGGCACGCCATTGGTCGCACGAGACAGTGCAATCACGTTCTGACGGAAGATATCCTCAGACAGGTTTTTCCATATCGACTTCTGTGGACTGGCAGTTTGGACTGGTCTTCGACTTGACATATCATGACAACCATAACGAGGAAGGTCAGAGGACAATACGACGACTTACACGTCTGGAATAGTTGCCATATATAAACCTCTTGTAGAGCCAGTAAGAGAGCGCCAACTGGCGGCGAGAGTTCTCAGGGTTCGGATCTGTCGATGCGTCGAACTTGCATATGCACACGTATGCACGACGACCCTTTCGCTGATTCATCGGAAGGTGTCTTGAGGCTGGACAGCAAACATACGCCCACATTCGAACTTTCCAAAGCTGCGCGATATCTAGCGACAGAAGACTTGAGTTATTCCTGTTCTCGATAAGCTTGTCTTGGCCATGAGATCAGTACTGTGTACTCGTAGGGTGATTCCACGAGGACGGCAGAGAAGACGAGGATGTTGCAAATGCCACTAATTTTGCGTATGGCAAAATAGCATATGCCGGTGCCCTGGCCAAGCCCGGACCAGTCCAAGACCAGAATTTCGTCTCAGGAGAAAGCCAGCAGGTACTAGAGGATAGTTCTTCAAGATGAGCAGGCAAATGCAGGAAATAGATCGATTGATATTTCGCACCTGCACACAGAGTATGATACAGGCGTATTTCTTGCTCTTCTGTTGGAATCCCCAACGACGAAGCTCACCCGTTTTGCTCTATGAATCACACGTCGACAACCACCCATATATCATCGGAATGCAGCAACCCAGCCCAATGGATGTAGCAGGCAAAGTCAACTGCAAAATAAAACGAATCCTCTTTCTGCGCCGGCGGATGCAATTCTATGCAGTTGACGACATTTATCATTCATCACTCTTTCGCTACCGCATCCAACTTCTTCATAACATCGTTGGTCTCGTTAACCAGACTCTTTCTAAACGCTCGGGCCTCGGGGTTGTCCACCTCAATAGCATCGGCTTTGAGCAAGATGTGAAGCATGATACTTTCGCTCAGCTTGCGGTGCTCTTTTTCCCGGTCGTGATCGTTCGAAGGAGGATTCGAGATGAACTTTCGGCATAAAGGAAGCCATTTTTCGTGAAATGCATCCGACAGGGCTTGCAGCTTGCCCAGTGGCGAGTTCGGGTCTGCGGGTATTCTGGCTGAAGGCGCCGGTGTCGAGCTGGGAGCAGGATGGGGTGATGTTCCTCTCGTACGGGAAGGTTCTCTTCGATAATTTCGGTCGTCGGCCTCGGGTCTCAGACTGCCACGAGATTGTCGTTCTGATGCAGTACCGGAAGAGATATGACCATTAGGCGAAAGAAATGTGGACGAAGTGGGTGTCTTCTGTGTCGGTATTTGGTCACTGCTGCGGTCTCTCACAGATGACAATGCGCGAGGCCGTCGCCGAGGATTCTGGCTGACAACTGAGCTCTCCTGGTCGCTTGAAGAAGGACTCTCTCGATCGCTGTAATCAAGAATGGCTTCGGTCTTGATAGCGGCGACTTCACTATTCTGTTTCATATTGTACTTTCTCAACGGATAGGAGTCATGCTTCAGGTCCTTTTTCTTATAGACCAGTCTGACTCGTCTGGGATCTGTTGACAACGCCCGTGCGACAGCCTCCCTCAGTTGACCCACATATGCCTTCTCTTCACTGATTGAGTATGCGGGAAATTCGACAGGTATTAGAGATGCCATGTATCGTACAAGGATAACATCAGGGGTGTCTGGATTGTCATATTCATTGTTGTATGATTTTGTCATCGAAGGTCGTTGAGTGTCTTGTAATATGCCATGGTCTGCGTCAATATACTCGAACTGACTGGACAGATTGCGGGCATAAGGATCAACGATATGGCTGGTGTATGGTGAGCCTCCATTACGTCCACTACCGTAGGTAGCGTAACTGCCGTAGCTGCTCATCAGAAAGCGGTAGAGGAGGAATATGAAGGAGAGAAGGAGGGCGGCGACAGTAGTATAGGAGGCGGTCGAGTACTTGGTAAGAGCAGTGGTGAGATGAGAGTGGACTTCCAGTGGCAGTTGCTGAAGGAGGGGCTCGATGAGGCTAGTCAGGCTTTGCAAGGTGTCGTAGAACCAAGTCTGCAGACTTGATGAAGCCACGGTGAAAGGCCTCGATCAAGGCGAGGAGAGAGGTGTGCGAATTGACCGCAGACAGACGCAGGTTCTCTGGGTGTTTTCGTGTTTGTGATTGAAGAAAGATTCAAAGAAAAAGTGGTGACAGGAGTCGGCGTCGTCAGTGGTGGAGTATGATGATTAAACGTGGATCGGCGCTGGAACAAGGCTGGGCTCGAATACTCGTATTGAGGATGGCTATGCGCGAAAGAACCGTCGTTGTGAGTGGTGTAGAAAAGGACGATGAGGGATCAGCCTCGACCCGACGACTCTTTTGTTTCGCCTCGGGCGGCGAGCAGGCGACTAAGACCGCAGGATGACGCTATGGTGGGTAGATTGAGAGATTTTGGGCAATGGTGTGCGTGATATCGTCGCTGGAGGTGGCTTAGTGTCCGGGCTGTAGCGATGCCTGGCTTGTCTGCCTTTTGATCTTGTCTCGGTAGAAGTATTACTGTGTATTATCGAGCCGTGTTATTCAGCCGCAGAAGAACAAAGAACGGATGCCTTTAAGAATTCTGTACTTCTTCCGGAATGGAAGAATGTTTTCGCGGAAGAACAGCGTAAGCAGGAGGCTCAACTTTTATCGATTCCTTGGCTACTTCTCGTTGGAACTGCGCAGCTTTAAACCATCGCTCACTGGAGCATGCGAAGAACAACAGAAGAATCATCTAGGAGACTTGGTCACGCCCCGTTGCTAATAATGAAGATACCATTTGACGCCTCAAAATCTGTAGGCTACCGCTCGTGCCGGCATCTGGCCGGATCACAGCTGTTTCTAGCTAGCATCTGCGCGGTTTAGGAGAAGATCTATGGGCAGCCACAATAAGATAGCACCTGTTCTGATTCGGAATCAGTTGCAACAAGTGCGGCGGTTGGAACACTCCGAACAATGCAGATATCGAAGGAATTCTCGAAGAATTTCACGTCAGGTCATTGCTGATACCAATGGAGGGGAAAGTCCAGGATCCGAATGTGGTGGCTGAGCTGCAGATTATGGTTCAGCAAGTCAAGGCAGCGAGCGGCGGGGAAGTCCTTGAGATAGAAGTCGTTTAGATATGGAAGATCAAGAAGAGACCAGAGCCCGCAACGCAGAGATAGAGAAAAACGACCTGGGGCCCAAGGCCATTCGGGCCTGTTTCATTTCAGTCTTCACTTGCCCGCCCGGACGTCGTTCCTCAACTCCATGACCGCAACATCTGTAATCTCATGTCTTCCGCAAAGTCCTGTCTACAACCACCCACAAGTATCTCCACTGACCAACCAACCCCCTGCCTTCTTCTCCTTGTACCCTTTCGTCAGACAATATCCGACAGCTTCTTAGACCCAGTCGAGCTCGACGTTGAGCATATGTACCGCGACGGCAGTGGTATCATGTGCAGGGGCCCCTCGATAATAACAGCCAATGGTACAACTAGGGTATTCGGCTCTTTTCGAAGAGAAGTGGTGCGTACAGTGAATTTGGTTGGTAATCATGTTGCAGGCTGGTGAAGGCGATGCTGCGAGTCAGAATGAAGGCACACTTTGAAGATTCTGAGGGCGGCCGAAGAGTTTTGAGCATGTGCTGGCTGAAAACAGTGGTATGTGTGTTTCGGCTTCCCGAAGGACATCGAGTACGGTAATAGGTAATTGCGTTGTTGTAGGAGTGAACGCGGACTGTGCTTTATCAGTATGGAACATATTGTGACAGCGGAAACGTGGTCCACCTTCTTGAACGCTTCCCGGAATCAATTGAGATTGATATGGGCCTACTCAGCCGTGCTACATAAAGTGGACATGGAGCGGGCAACACTCTAGGAGTTGGCCATGAAGGTCTCCGAAGACGTAAATTTGACCACGAGGTTGTGGTAGGAGGCTTCGAAGCATGCAATCTTGTCCATGAGAGGGGGATGCGGCAGGAAGCCTTCTGGTTTCCAAGCCACAGGTTTGTCTTGATGATGCCAACCCGGGGCAGACGCATCGGATCTGGTTATTCTGAGAACGGAACTCGTGACTGCTGGACAAGCGTGTCTAATGTAGAAGACGTCTTCCCAAAGGCGTTGTTCTGTCCTTCTTGTTTAAAGTCATGACTGCACTCAAGCTCAATTCTATATAGTGAGGCGTTGATGCTTCCGGGACTTCTCGGCTCCAAATGAATAACCTGTGATGGACTGAAAGCCATGGCGAGTCGAAGGGCGGACTGACTGGTCCTCGCGGCGAAGAGTGGACAGGAATAGCCAGCAGATTTTTGGTTGAGGTGGAGAAGCTTGAAACCGTGGGATTGCCAGAAGGTCCTCACGCGGGTGTGAAGATATATTCCTCGTTTCTCGTCTTCAAGTCTGCAGTCGTTCCTTGCAGTTATTCATTCGAATCCCATTTCTTTTTGAGCGCAGAATCACGACGCCCTGGACATCTGCATGACTGTTCAGCAATCACCACACCACAACACGACTCTACCCTTGCGAACAAGGTGCTTCGCCCACCCAGGTACAACGTCTCGAACTATCCAGAACCGCAGGCAAGAATCTGAAGCTGTATTGGACATCGTGGTCGAGCGAAATGACATTCTGTGAGACACTGGAAATCCTCACCGGCCTGGCCGGCGTGGTGCTTATCCTCATGGCTCCTGTGTATTCCATCAATTGGATGATTACCAAAGAAGAAGAACGCAGTAATAAGCATAATCAAGAATTTCGCGCATATTTAGAAAGAAGCGAGATAAGGTCTCAGCAGAGACTGCAAATCTCGCGACTTTCAGATTTGGATGACCAAGAACTTGAGGCCATCGCCACGGCTGCGGCTAGAGAGCTCAGGAACCGACGGTTGCAGAAAGAGGAAGTGGTCGAAGCCGGCAGACCAAGCGGCCAACGCGGGCAACTTGTCCTGGGCTGCCGTGAATAATTCGAAGTTCAATTTCGACACGTGCTGAACAGCTTCGATTTCAAGAGCAGCATGGCGGCTGGGAGGAATGAAGATGGCGGGGGATGCAACGATATTAGTCGTGGCAAACGAACCTCTTCATTCCGGAACTTGCGACTTACAACAAGAGAGACTTTACAAGACTTTATGAAATTAGAGAATCAGATCTTGGACGCTCCAAATTCCCTAGAGATTCTTCTGTTGTTCTGGGAATGCTCCAGTGAGCGATGGTTAAAGCGGCGTCTCCAAAACCTCGCAGATACTACTCATACTCAAGGTAGAAACAGCTGTGATCCAGCCATATGCCGGCACGAGAGGTAGCCCTCAGATTTTAAGGCATCGAATGGCATCTTCACTATTAGCAACGGGGCGTGATTGGTGATGCACGAGTAGAAGCTGGCGATCCATGAAAAGGAAGATGCCCACGCGCAGACGGTCAAAATGTCCGGAGGATCCAGAAGATGCTCATTTGATGTCATGCCCGGCTTCGCTTCTGGGAATTTCCACTACTCATACGAGTCCTTGCAGTGGTACGGATGTCTCCCGCGCAAATCAGTCGCGTACCTGGCTGGAGCATGCTGGGGGCCTGGCGTTTTCTTAGGGGCGGTCCCTTCCAACGGCTGCATCACCCACGCCGCCAATGCTTGACCCCCCACGCTCAGGGTGGGATGTTTATCTTTTGCGGGAGAATTTTGTTCTCGACCAGGTGTCCAAAAGCACCTCTTCCCCTCGATTAGTATGGTGGGATGAACTTCAGAAGCTCATAGCCTAGCTCATTGTATGAATATGAGTAAGCTTCCCACAGGATGCGCTGTTCTGTGCCTAGTGAGGGATCAAAGAACGAGAAGATTGTCCAAGTGACCATGGCGCATGAAAAAGTGTCGACACCCTGCGTCAGGAGACGTGAGCACAACAAATAGACGTCATTGTTGAGGGTCCATCATGTCCCTCTCCACGCCTGGTTGTCGCCTTTGGCAGCTTCTGGCACAGGTGGCACCTCTCACCTGCCTCTCGTAAAGAAAAGCCCAGTAGCAGGTACTCGGAACGCAGCGGTCATTTCTCCGCCTCGAATCATCGTCGCCTCCTTCAGCTCAAGCTCCTTCGCCTTTTCGCCTTGTTCGACGGCTGATCATCCGATACGAGCGTCATTCTTGTGCAATTGGCAATTGGCGGTTGCCCTTTCATGGGAAGCCACATGCTTCACTTCAAGCCGGATCAGCGATACATCACGCTTTAACAGCTTTTTCCTTTTTCACTACTTCACCTTCAATCCCACCGACCCAGGTACCTCGCTCTCCACCCAAATCCCTGTAAAAGCAAGTACTGTACTCTTCTCTATCTTTCTCACTCTTACTGCTTCTGCATCCTCGAGCCTGACTTGCTATGCCCCTTCACCATGGACAATGATATCTACCTTCTGCAGAATGCCACTGAGCCTCAGCCTACTGCGTCCTCCCTATCCTTACCTTCAATCCTAGTTGTCCTCGGCCTCATCCTTTCTTTCATCAACCTCACATACTGGTGCATCCAAGACTACCGTCTCTACAAGTCACTGGGCCCCGGCGGTCCACCATACAATGCGTACGGATGGTTCCTGACCTCTTTCATTGTCAGACCTTTCACTCTCGCTGCCAAAGACACACTTTGGACAGGTGACTACCCAGATGATGGTGCCCATAAGGAGATCCTGGCCCTGCCAAATCGGAGAGGCACTCGTCCCGTGATCCTAGGCATTGCTCCTCAACGACAATTCAGCCAGAATCCTGAACCTGGGATGAACGTGGTGAGTTGTCAAAATGAAATCGCCTGGATCACATCTTCCAGCGTCGTGCTTCGAAACCTGCAGCTAATGTTTTCAAGCGTGTCACATCTCTTTTCACCTCGGTAGTCATGAGGAATCCCACGTTGCTGCAACAAAAGCTCTCCAGCCTTGAGAAACACAACATCGCTATATTTGTGCATTCAAACCTCCTCTCCAAGCCCGACAACCTTCCAGAAGTGGCTGTAGTATCAGAGGGCGAACTTGGACATATCCACGGTGATGCTTCCATGCACCTTTATTTCTCTCCAGCAGACGCCAAGGTCATCATAGAAAAGGGTTGGGCCGAACGTCACCGATGCGCAAGGACTCAGCCTTGGTGGCTAGGAGGCAAGAAATACAAGTGGAAGATTGGAGAAAGCTTTCTGATCGTCTACGCGCCAAGGGACGAGGAGGAGCTGGAAGTCTTGCAGATTCTGATCAGAGCCAGTGCTAGATTCATGACCGGAGATGAGACAGTGGTGGCGCCGTCAAAAGAAGATCAAGAAATGGAGCGTGACGGTGGTCGCAGGAAAAGCGCGCCGCCAGCAGCTTGATGCTCAGGACGATGATGGATCCTAGAGGGACACCTCACGTAAGGCAGGAAGAGTGCAATTACCATGGCAGCAGCATTCCAAAACTCTCCCAGCATGCTTCGTATCGTTAACCTCAGGGATGGTCACTGGGCCTTGTGCCTGGAAGTCCGGGCTCAAGCCACCACCGATGATAGTCGTGTCCTAGACCACAGCCGCAGGCGAGATGTATCATATTCCAGCTTGGTACATAGTACGGCGCCAGGAGTTATTGAATTGCAAACCCTTACAGATGCTGCCTCAACAATCAAGCCAGAAAATCACTCCCTCCTGTCTCTGGCTGACAGATTGTGTCGTCCGCTGTATCCCCAGTTACAAGAAAGGCTAACGGTTTTGAAGTCAGTCCGATTAACTCATCCGGTGCCACCTCACCTCGTAGCCTCATCCCATCCACTTTGGATTCCCAACATGCGTAAGAGCTCCCGCAGTGCGGTGGGTTCCAGAAGGCGATCGGAATCGAGTTGAGGTTGTGCTGAGAGGGTTCCTATGAATGCAAGTGCTCTGAGGTCTCGATGGAAGTTGCCCGTCGGAAGACGTATCCGACAAGCCAAAGAACATTAAAAGCGGCATGTCCCGTGGGTAGCCGTTGGTCGGGATGAAGAGCGCATTTGATTTCCCGTACTTCTTATTTGCTTTATTCATCGCAGCTCTACAGTCACGATCCTCGCCATCCGTCGACCACAAGATCGAAGAAGATGGCCGCTGCAGTCCCTCGTTATCGTTGCATCCACGGCCATACGTGGTCTTCACCCTTTAAAGTCTTCCTACCGGCCACTACAACCTCTGCGGCTTCTCAGCGAGCGTTTGCCACAACCACTGACGACCTTCCCACCACCAAACCACGGGTACGACCTACCACTTTCGCCGATAAGCTCAATGCTGGCCCAGCATTCTCAGACTTTGTCTCAGGCCGAGAACAGCCGTTAGACCCGTCCGAAGCATATGCGCTGAAGACTGCACTGGTGGGTCCAGAAGGAAAGAAGAAACAGATCACCCGACTGCCCTCGTGGCTCAAGACGTCCATTCCAGACACCTCAAATTACAAGAAGATAAAAAATGACCTTCGAGGTCTCAATTTACACACTGTGTGCGAAGAGGCTCGATGTCCCAACATCTCCGAATGCTGGGGTGGGAGCAGCAAATCCGCCGCAACAGCAACAATCATGCTGATGGGTGATACATGCACACGAGGATGCCGTTTTTGCAGTGTTAAAACTTCCAAAGCACCACCTCCTTTGGACCCACATGAGCCGGAACATACAGCTGAAGCCCTGTCTAGGTGGGGGTTGGGTTATGTGGTTCTCACCAGCGTCGACCGAGATGACTTGGCTGACGGCGGTGCTCACCACTTCGCCGAGACAGTCCGCAAGATTAAGTCGAAAGCGCCGTCTATACTTGTGGAGTGTTTGACGGGTGACTACGCTGGTGATCTAGACATGGTCAAGCTGGTCGCGACGTCAGGGCTGGACGTTTACGCGCACAACGTCGAGACGGTCGAGGCGCTGACACCTCAAGTTCGTGATCGAAGGGCTACGTTCAGACAGTCTCTTAGTGTCTTGAAGGCAGCCAAAGCAGCGAGACCGGACCTGATTACCAAGACATCCATAATGCTCGGGCTAGGCGAAACCGAGTCACAGCTCTGGGATGCACTAAGAGAACTGCGCGCGATAAATGTCGATGTGGTGACTTTCGGACAGTACATGCGACCAACAAAGCGACACATGGCCGTACACGAATATGTCACACCAGATGTATTTGAGCAATGGAGGGTCAGGGCGCTCGAGATGGGGTTCCTCTACGTGGCCAGTGGACCTTTGGTTCGAAGCAGTTATAAAGCTGGCGAGGCGTTTATTGAGAACGTCCTGAAGAAGAGAAGAGCTGGAAGGGCGGAGACCGCCAATGCGGATATTGCTGGCGATATACCTGTCAAGACGGTCAAGCTCGGGAAAGCGTGAACTGGTCTACTTTGTATGATTTTGAATGATGCCGGCTCTGGTTTTGAAGCACGTCCGCCTGTTGGCGAGTTTTGCTGGTTGCATAGACAGAATTGCAATGAAGCGAAGTCATTGTCAACCAATGACTAAGATACTCAGGTCAGGCCTAGGTTGTGTCTCTTGACTTTTCGCCCCATTGACGCAACCGAAGTTTGATGGTATATCATGTTACTGCCAGGCCAACTCGCGCTTGCGTTGATCGGGTGAGATGTTGTCGTGGCGAGTAATCCCGTTCCGTGTATGTCTCGATAATCGATGTATTGAGGGGCTATGGTGCGAAGACAGACCTTCTTCGCCTCTCGAGAAGGAAATGCCCCCGTCGTCAAGACGGCCCAGATCTAGAAGCTACATGCCTGATTGATATCTGTGCGCAAGTCCCATAATGCATAAACCTGGTACGCCCTGCGCCGTACGCCAATGCTCATATCTTCATCCGTCATCTTCCTCTAAGGGCCATCTCATCCACAACTTCCACACTCAGGCCCTCTAACGTCGTCAATTCCACCGAACCGTCTTCCTGCGCCGCCGCCGCCGCCACCTCCTCCAGAACCGCCACCTCTTGAAGTCCCACTGCCGCCGCCGCCCGTAGTCCCTCCTGCGCCTCCGGTGCGGTTCACGCCACCCCACCGCGCACGATCTTGGTAGGCATTCGGTCGGCCGCGCAGGTTGAATTGACTGTTCTGCGCCGCGGTGTAGGGGTCGAGACTGAACAGAGACACGAAGTACAGGCCGAGGAAGTTGTAGATGTCGTCGCCGAGGCGGGAGATGCGGGCGGAGAGAGGAGGTCTGCAAAGGGTTTGTTAGCCAAAAGGTTTCACAAACATCCCGAGTTTACCTAGGTAAGTTCGGATGAGCCGCGTGGGTGATGCGGATCCCCAACACCCAATACAGGTGTTGATGTGGGTGAAGGAAGGCAGGGCAAAGAGGGCGGGCGATAACGTGAAAGGGGATGAATGATTGGAATAGTGGGCATTTACGTTTCAAGTAGACGACCAGAGGACGAGACGTAGCTTGCACTCGCCGACGAGGCGGGTTTCTTGGGCGGTGTCGATTTGTCCATTGTGTATATCCAGTCTGCTGTTGTTGTTGTTGTTGTTGTTGTTGTTGTTGTATGTGGAGCGGCGTTTCCGCAGGGTATTAGGGCAAAGTCAGAGAAGCCAAGCAGTAAATCGAGGTGATGATGCGGATATCGGGAACGATGGAAGCGTGGGAGGTGTACTGTGGTAGACTTGGGAATGCGGAGAGGACAGGCAGCCTTGTACAGCCTTGTCACTCCACGGGACCCCTTGGCGCAGGCCGGTTACAATCACAGAATCGTTGTATCGGATTGGATTTTGAATTAGAGTAAACAACCAATACCATAGATTCCGTGAATTATCCATCAATGCCGCGGTCCTAAGAGTTACATACTAGGGCTGGGCCTCTTGGTACATTAACTTCCGTCGCAATGATCATCTGCCTAGGGGATTTTCTATACGGCGGGGTCGTGGTGTTATAATCACTCCGATGGCCTTACGACAACCTGCCACTATAGAATTGCTTCTATATCGTCTTCTTCTGCGGTGCCCGATCCTGCCCAAACAGTCCCAGCAGGTAGCCCAGCTTGATCGAGAACGTGGCAACAGGCACGAGAATCTGCGCTCTCAAGTCCGGTGTCACGTAGGACCAATTGGCCGCGTCCCAGGCTCCGGCTTCAAGTTTCAAAGCATACGTAATCCCTGCCCAAGGCGTGAAATCCGACAACGCGCTCACAAGCACATAACCCTTGATGACTTTGATCTCCGAGCTGAACCAGAACACGACGACGGTCAACATGGCGACAAGCCAGAGCATGTTGCTGAAGTACAGACAGGCGAGGGTCTCCAAAGGTGTGGGATCATGACGAGATGTGGACGCAAGCAGCCCGGTCATGGCCTGGGGTTGATGACCCCGAGGATCGCGCCGTATGTGACTGGGGCAGGCTCGACGTAGCGGAAGAAGATTCGCGGAACGAGTGGCATTGTTTGAGCCATTTTGCTTTTGCCGTCTGGAACGCGTGTGGGTGAGGATCGTGACCAAGATGACAACAATTGTGTAACGGGTGTGGTGAGAGTGAAGAGGTGTGAGAGGTCTGGATGGCAAAGATTTGAAACCACGGCCAATATCCTACGTAGGTAGCGAGGTGCTGTAAGTTAGTAAGTTAATTCTCGCCTCGTGGTGTGATAACGTAGGGCGCCTGAAACCCTTCCCAATAGGTATTAAACTACTCTGTAAGTCCAGAGAATCCGTCACATTTGGAGACTTACATTATCTTCATGAGAAGAACGATCTTCGCATTTGGCAAGACAAAAGGCATGTCGCAGAGGGGGACAAATCACCTGAGCGGTATCATTTCAATATCAGCTTCAAATCAAGACTTTCATGGATAACATCCGCGCTGCAGTGGAAGCTCTAGAGCTTGATTCTGATGTACTACATAGTACAGTACAACCCAAGCCGTGGTTGACAATCCGAAGGTGTGGTCGGGTGGTCACCGCTGGTCAACCTTGGTGGCTACTAGTAGTAGTACCTACCTGGCAGGTGGATGGCGGAAAAAAGATGACGCCGCGGGTTCCCAGTCCGATCTTTTCATGCTTTTCATGACGACAGTTCCAGTCTCAGATGGGGAGGCACCGGAGGTTCACGACAATATCAAATGCCAAGCCCCAAGCCAACCGTTGAGCTTGGCCACCGCTTGGCTTATGATGCCTGATGAGCCTCTCGTCACCATTATTCATTCTTTCGGATGATTGTGGATTCCTCGATTCACAATTGCCTGGCCATAGTCCAGAAAATGGGTGTTCTGGATGCTCACAGCCTTGCCAGGTGAGTCTTTGTGGAGTACAGAGTTACAGAGCCACCGCAAGAATGGTATCGAGCGATCTCGCAGGGGAACGAACCATTCGCCGCTGTCAAGCCAAGCGTGAGTGGCATTCACCTAAGCACTTACTGTTCGAGCTTGCGGAGCTTGGGGGGTTCAAGGAGACATGATGAGAACGTGGGTATGACATCCTTCGCGTCGCTTTCGCAACTCCCTTCCGAACTCGTGCAGAATGTACTTTTTATTTGAATTACTTTTTTGTGCTCTTCTTGCAGACGCCTTGGTTTATTTCCAGTCCGATCCTTAAACCAAGTGCTGGACAACACCTGGCGTCTCAGAGCTCGTTCCATCACCGTGTCGACCTTATGGTTCGCCGCAAAGTCCTCAACGCGTATTCTGAAAATGCAAAAGGTCACCATGTCTCTTACGGAGAGAGGCTGGCTCATTTCACCTGGGCGTGGTTCGAATGCACAATGTCGACTGGTGCTATGGCGGCCCTCCTTTCTCTGCAACCATACACCTTTCCCGGCTTGAAAACGATTGGAAAGGTCGTATTCATCATCGACCTGGTCCTATTCATCAGCTTCACAATACTGATTACAATGCGATTTGGCATGAATCGAGGTGCCTTGACCAAATCGCTTCACCACCCGCACGAGAGTTTCTACTTCGGCACGTTCTGGGTGAGCCTGGGCTTGATCATCTATTGCATACAATCTTATGCTGTGCCATCTTGTGGTCCGTGGCTGGTCCAGACCTTGGAGGTCTTGTACTGGCTTTTCGCTGGCTGTGTGATCCTGGTATCAATCTTCCAATACCATGTCATCTTCGACCTCGAGCAGTTGCCCGTGGAAGATGCGATGCCATCTTGGATCTTGCCTGTCTATCCATTTATCATCCTTGGTCCGCTTGCAGCCAATCTGCTCTACAATCAGCCTCGACCTTCCTCCGCATTGCCGATTCTGATCGGTGGCATAACTTTTCAAGGCTTCGGGTGGTGTTTCGCCTTCATCCAGTACACCTTGTACGTTACCAGGTTGACCAGCGGGCTCTTGCCGGAGGAGCCAAAGAGACCGGGAATGTATGTGGCAGTAGGCCCAGCAGGTGCGTTCACACAGCTTAGCGAAGCTTAGCGTTCAGAGAATCCTGTCTAACATGAACAGCATACACCGCTTACGCCCTCATCACCCTTGGCAGCCAAGCACAAGTCATCCTCCCACCTGGTTTTCTCGGCATTTCCACCATTCCTGTTGGTGATATCTGGAAAGCCATCGGAGTAGGCGCCGGTCTCTTCCTGTGGTTTTTAGCATTCTGGTTCTCCTTCTTGTCTACAGTCGGACTGTTACATGGATGGAAACATGCGCATTTCACATTGAATTCGTGGGCGGTCGTCTTCCCCAATGCTGGACTGACTAGCGCACTGATACAGATCGGCTCCGTGTTATCTAGCGATGGCATCAAGGCTGTGTGCTCAGGTATGACAATTGTGCTATGCATTGTGTGGCTTTGTCTAGCTGCACTGAATATCAAAGCTCTCTGGCGCGGTCAGATATTGTGGCCACACAAGGATGAAGACATGGAGGACATCGAGGGACACGAGCAATAGCAGACTCTACGCGCCGCTTGTAGGAGCATCCTCCAACTGAAATCCTGGCAGCCTCCAAGCACCGTCGTTTGATATGGCCTGCATGTTTCCAATCAACACTTTCGCTATGCAGCTCGATATACAGGTCACATTCTCCCGTAAACAACTAAGCAGCCTATCTACGCAGAATTGTTCCCCACTCTACGAGGTTCAGGAGACCCATCCACATGCAGTAAAACTCAAGTACGGGCCTCAGCCGAAGCGCAGATCTCCGGATGCACCATTATCCAGAAGGTGTCAGCGATATAGACATCAAGCCGCGCTGGGCACTTTAACAACTGATAAGGTACGGTCGCCCGAGAGTCTGGGACGCATTAACCATTGGAGTCACCGGCCTCGACACGTACAGCGTGCACAAAAGTCGATCTTCTCGTCCGGCGTCTCTGGGGGACAATATCCTAGTCGTGCTCATCTTCTGGGACTCGTTCAGCGGCCTGCCTGATCGTGCTGATTGCCGACAATGCCGTACACGCTGAAAGGCCGCCACGTCCTCGTCGCTGCAGGTAGTCGAGGCCTCGGCGCCATGATATGTGAGAAATTCGCCAGCGAGGGATGTCACATCATGGTCAACTACGTCTCAAGAGAAGATCGAGCGAAGGAAGTCGTCGAAAAAGTGAAAGCTCGCGGAGTACATGCTTTTATGATCAAAGGAGTAAGGCTGACCCGTGTTTTGATTCCCTTCTTCCCTACTGACCTGTATAAGGACGCCGGGATCGCCGAGGACAACGTACGAATGGTTAAAGAGACAGTCGAGAAGCTAGGCGGCCTCGATATCATCATTGCCAACGCTGGGTGGACTCGGTTTTCGGATTTCAAAGATCTTCACGCCCTGAGCCACGATGATTGGAATAGGGTACGAAGTGGTCTAGTCCTGGCGATCCAGTGTCTTCACTGATAGTACCCTTAGTGCTGGGCCGTGAATGTCATGTCACATCTGCAGCTCATGCAAGCTGCTGCTCCCATCTTCAACGCCAACCCCGAAGGGGGAGTCTACCTCATTACATCTTCGATCGCGGTACGGAGACCTTGTTCTGGAGTTGCCCTGCCATAGTCGAGCTTATACCGTCCCAGGGTTCTACACAAACCGGGAGTAGTATGGCGTACAGTACGACAAAAGCTGCGGGTCTTCACCTGATGAAATGTCTGGCCGCTACTCAGGGCCCAAAGATCCGTGTCAACGCTATTCTACCAGGCCAATTGTTGACGGACTGGGTACGATACAGAGTTCTGTCTATCGCACTTGCCAATGACTGACCGCTGCCAGGGAATGCAATTCAGCGACGAGCAGATCGAGGCCGAGAAGAAGCAAGCTGTTCTACGGCACGAGGTACAGCTTTGTCGACCTGGAACAAATCTCCAGCTAACCGTTCGGTGGTGCAGACATTTCTCGATGATTGTGCCGACGCTTATGTATCCGCCGCGAAGAACACATCAATGACTGGTCAAGAGATCACCGTCGACGCGGGCCTGACCATTGCTTGGTCTGCGGGTCAATGAAAACCTGGTAGGTGCCATGCACCGGGGACGGACGTGATCCTAGCCAGTTTGATATGGTAGCCCACAGGCACTCGTTCACGGGAGGGGTGTATGGTAGAACCCTAATTTGACACTCGAATGCTAAGTTCCAAAGGGTATTTGCACGAGAACATAAAGTGGCAGGGCTCAGGCTCAGATGGGCCAAGGTGTTAGTTTCATTTCGACATGCCTAACAGCGGAGAGTTCGCTGACGCTTTCTCAATGGAAGACATGCTTTCACCCGTAGTACTAATCCGCAGAACAACATTTCAGATGCCGATCTATCCATGCTCCTACTAGACTAGAACAGCACAAGAGCGGCTTATGCTGCAACGACAGGCCCAACGGGCAGTGTGCTCGAAGCAATGTGGAATTGGTGCACTGTGAGCAGTCAGCCTTGGATGGTTCAGCAGAGGAGGCTGCCGTACTCGATCTGGTGCCATAGCTATCCGGGTACTCAATAGCGCTATGTTGAACGGCCTTTGAGGTGTGTTAGCAGTGGGCTCTTATTCTCTACGCTCATGAAGCTTGACAAGCGTACCCAGTTGTTCCATATTATCACGTCACCTTCTTCAGCCTCGGGGATGATGATGTATTCTGGTGTCGCGATTCTGTCGTAGATATCATTGACCCAGCTGCGGATTTCTTCGAGATCTTCAACGACCCTTTCGGACGCGGTTGGCGAGTCTCGGAGGTAGAGCTTGCGTATGATGTCCGGGAAAATCTGCAGCGCCTTTTCTCCGGTGACCAGGTTCACCCAGACCATGGGGAACTTGTACACCTTGTCTGGGGTCCACTCGGGCAATTCGTGCAGGGGGATCGTCTGACCGCCAGGAGCTAGGCCCATGCCTGACGAGCGTAATCTTCGGGTGCCCATCCACGCAAAGGGGTGCGGCGCAGGTTCCCAGAAACTGTGGTCGGCCAGCTTCTTCTCGTCGTCCGACAGGAGGCTGTAGAGTTGAGCACCGCTGAGAAACGCCGTTCCGCCGGCCTTGCAGTTCATGGTACGACCGGATCCGTCGTCCCAGCGGACCGTCAGCTCGGGCCCCACGGGAGCCTTGACGCAGCGCATCGAAGTGACTCGCGAAGGAGGTGCTCCGTAGATGGCGCCGTCGAAATGGAACGAGTTGAATCGCGTCTGGCCGCTTGCCAGCTCTTCTGGAGAAAGGGGCGTGGCATGGAGTTTGGACTGGGGGATCGCTCGGACCGTGAGATTCTTGAGTCCGTAGTGGTCGTCGCCTTGGTATCCGTGGCCGACCAGGTTCACGCCTCCGGAATCCGGGATCGCGTGGAACGGCATGTCCTGTCCAACAAAAAGGAGGTCAGTCCGAGAGACGAGAAGAGAAGCAAAAGCTGTTTCTCGAAAGAAAGGAAAAACTCTCACGCCGAGGAAGCCGACGAGCTTCGATCCTTTGCCGGCACCAAAGCCATGCTGAGCGCGAGCCTCGGGATCAAAGCGCTTGATGAGGTCGGATTGCTTGGCTGGAATCAGATCGTGCTGGGCCTTCACGACAACCACGCCGTGCTCGTATACTGCTTGCCTCAGTGCCTGAAAAGAAGACTCGTCGAGGCTGTTCAAGTCTGCTCCCGTGACGGTAGCTCCAAACTATCGCGGACGTTAGCCTGTAGATCGTGCAGGTGTCCGTACACTCTCGTGGGTGGTTCTGCGCACATTTGCCTTCTTCCCGGGCTCGTGGACAAAGGGAGTAATCTCCATCTCCTGGGTAGCAATGGTTGCATGAGGCATTTGCGGTTACGAGCTCTCTCCGAGCCTACTAAGTGATGATATAGGTTAGGTACCAGATTCCTGGAGGTTTTCACCAGTAACCCAAATGACACCGCCCTTGGGCTAGGAATGCACATGAGATGAAGGCTCAGTGAGTCGGGGTTTGAGCACCGCTAATAAGTCATCGATAGTAGAGCGTACTAGTACCAGTGCACAGTATCCAGTGCTATCATCGCGGCTTTAATGCCTCGCAGACACTTGCCTTGAACCCTGATGGTCCTGAAATCTTCGGACAATCCCGCATGGCTTGTTGTGCACGACAATCGGCCTGGAGTCTCAAGCTCGTGGCTAGATTGTCCCTTGATGAGAAGCTTGATAACAGCGAGACGATTCAAACCAATAAGGTGGCAAGTCGGAGACGAGCCATATCATTAGAGGCCGTCAGCTCAGCCCTTGCAGCGTGACTCTTTGGTGTTCATCGATCAGAACTTCTAGTTGGCGAGGAGTGCGAGGTCATTTAGCTTGCTGGTTGGCTGTTGCGAGTACTAGCCCTTGTAGCATAGCCGTCTGATCCACCGTAGGGATCAAGCCAGTTACAGGCGGTCGTTTTAGCAACTGCTCATTTTTCGTTACGAAGGACGCCGATGGTGCGGAAGACATTTTACTTGACGAGACCACCCGAGGCAAAAACATGAGTTACTGCTATTGATCTCCGAGTCCAGCAGAGTGCATGATTGAAGGTGCTGCTCCCCAGTGGCCCACCATACAACATCTTATCATAGACATCAGATTCTCGATGTGACATGGACATATGCGGAATCTCCTATCCCACCATGGGAGCAGTCGAGGCACTAACTAACAAGCCAGGCCTTCCTCACAGTTGACATTCCCGGCTCAGTTCTCCGCCCATTCGGGTGACTTATTATTCTGCTCTCCAACGTCAAGCGCAACCAGGAAACGGCTGACCATGTTGTAACTGGCCACAGTGGCTGTTATCTCGACGATTTGCTGCTCATTAAAGCCTGCTGCCTTCACTTCATCGAACAAGCTTTGGGGAACCGCGATATCGCGAGTCATCGCATCGGCAAATCTCAGAACTGCCCATTGTCGGTCGTCAAGCGCACCCTGAGCCTTGGGATGAAGCTGTTTGACGACATTTAACTTCTCTTCTGTGAAGCCCGCAGTCTTCATGAGGATCGGGGCGTGCGCGTTCCATTCGAACCAGGCACGGTTGATGAGCGCAGGCCGGCAAATGGCGATCTCGCGGATATCATCTGGCAGAGAGTTTTTGGTTCGGACGGCTCCCAGGAGTGCGTTCCAGCCTAGGATGGTGTTAGTGAAATGCTGGTAGGTGGAGATCAGGGCATACCATCTGCAATCTTGGGGGCATGGAGTAAGGTTAGGTCGAGAGGAATCAGTCCCATCGCTCCTCTACGGGCTTTCACCCGTTCGAGGACCTCGTGGTCCTCAGGCGCGAGGTCTGTCGGCGGGTTGGGGACGTAGTCTAGACGCATTGTTGTAGTTTGTTTGATTTTCTCTCTTGTTTTGATGCTTTTTCCACGGCCGACAAAGACTGATCTATTGTACAAAGAGCAATCTGATATCTAGAAGAAAAGTCCCTGTCCTCGGACCGTCACGGGCAGAAAGTGTCTCGGAGTCTTTGACTCTCACACTCTCAATGGTCTCCAACAATTCATCCCAGGTGCGGGGGTTCTCCATTGGGGCAGGAGTGGCACCTATGAGGCATCTCCGATAGCGGCATGATAGCGGAAAGGCTGCGATGGCATGGAGCCGCGGGGACGGAATATCATGACCATGATGGTCCATGATGCATAATGGTCAGGCATATGGGATAATGACGGCATTGGACAGTGACATAAGAAATACCTGGCACAGCTGGTTTTTTATTCTTGAATAAATACTAACCATTCACCATTCCTCAAGACGGGCTGTGTCTGAAGACGATGGAAGAGCTGCTCGATCTCAGCTCCCAAAACGTGGAATTTCAGGACGCTTCGCCAGCATCAGAATTGCTGGGGGGCCCTTCCCGTACAGCTTTGCACGTTCTGTTTGTGATCTCGTCCTCGGTGTACGGCTCCGTAATGGATTCCACATCAAGTTCAATATCTGTCTCACCCCAGTTGAGGGTTGAAGCTGCAAAGGAGAGAAAGTGCATTATTATCTCTGAAACAATCAAGGTAAATGAACCATGGTTTCAACTGGTTGGAAACCTGGCGAGCTTTCAAGCCTGGTGAGCCTGGAAGGCAGACCCGGGTGCGGCGGAAGGTCGCCTAGGACTTGACCTAACACAGTCTGGCGCGGTCTTATCTTGTCGATTGTTCACTGACTCGGGGGTCTGCCTGAGACGCAGCCAAATCACCCTCACCAAGAATTTCGAGAATGCTTCAAGCGCTGGCCTGATACGGAGTATGAAGAAGGGGAAACGAGGCGCCATCACGGCAATCCACGCTCTTCACTTTCCCGAGTCTATCCAAGCTTTGACGAAGCTAACATTCAGGTAAGCGAAAGAAGCTCCCATCATCTCCCTAGGCATTCATCCTCGTCACTGGCTCCTGCACCTCGAGTCATTCCTGCAATTGTCACGAGACAGTTTTGGGTCTTCCACGATCTTCGGCCATCTCTCCTCTCTCTTTCCATCTTACGGTCTAAGCCACCGGTCTTGCGCATCTCCTCAGTTCTACCCTCCATCGCTTCTCATCGGACTAATCAATCCTGTCATCCCGGCCAGTCCCTATCGAAGCGAACGATTGAGTCTCTACTTAAACCTGCACTTCCCCGAACCCGCGTCCTCTTCTTCTCCTCAAAGTCCATATGCCTGGAATCCGTACGTCTTCTCATTGATTCTCTCTTCGCCATCTTCCCCGCCTTTGCGACTTTCTTATCTGCGCAAAATCAAGTCGAATCTACTTCTAATCCAGACTATTCAATACAGCGCTCGACGCAATGGATAAGCTCAAGGCTCTCTTCAAGCGCAAGAAGGACAAGACGGACAGTAGCACCGCTGGGACAAAGACAGACACACCAGCTGGAGCCGCTGTTCCCAAGCCCACTGAGCCAGCCAAGCCAACCACGAGTGATCCAACCACAGCTCCTGCTGGTGAGTTACTACGATGAGGCTGCAACATCAGAACACATAAATTGACAACTCCACAGGCGCAGCTCCCGTCGATGCTCCTCCCGTTGACAAACCAACTGAGACCGCTCCAGCGGCCCCAACCGAACCTGCTGCTGCCGAGCCTGCGAAATAGGGATCCACGTCTCGACCCGCACCCGCCGCTTGATCCTCATTATCCGTCATGGGGTGACTGTTCAGACACCCACAGTGAAAGGCACGATATCTGCGAAACGGCCTGCAAGCCACATCAATTTCCTTCAATGAGCAATCCTCTAAGAGCGCCTAATCAAGATTTATTCCCTTTGGCGCCATAGCGAAGTCATTCAAGATACCCACTCCATTCTTTTTCAGCAAGTAACACACGCAACGGCTTACACGTGGGTTGGGCTACTGGCCGGCCGGATATTGTTGTCTTTTAAGATATCGAACCTGGAGATACCCCATCATGCCCCCATTTCTACCGAACATCGAGCGGCTCGTATGCTGCGTTCTCGCATTCAAAGATACCCAAAGTCTTTCAGATAGTGCTTTTTCGATTTCAGCATAGGAAATCAGATTCTCAATCATACTGATCCTGCTTTCAGGAAGATATTCAAACTCGATATCACAGTACTCCGCTGGATCGAACATCCACTAGCAAAATCAAAGATCCCAAGTCTTCCTGCCGCTATGTCTGGTGTTTTGTCACTCCAAGTCGGACCTCTCCTTCCTATGGAGCTTCCTGCACAGATGGCCTGGTAGTATAACACACAATGGGTTTCCCCATCCCTAATCGCATACTTAATACAATGGACTGGATACATTGGAAAAGCTTGTAGTGAAACAATCGCATTCTCGTCGTCCTTGCCGTACCGGGGTGACCAGAAGAAGAAATCACATGCCACTTCGTGGTCATGGGTGTTTTGAAGCGCTATTCATACGTTCAGATTGCTTGCAACGTCGCACTTCCTGCGAGGCTTCTCGTAGACTCGAAGAAGGCCTCACCATAGGTTCTAGGGCACTGGCGACAAGTCAACGAGATAGACTTCTCCTGCAAGAGATCTCTTGTTGATACATTCATCGACGTCTCCTCTCTAGCTGTTCTAGAGGCATGCATCTGTAACTGCTCAGAGCGAGAACATAGGCGCAATCATGCTCGGCTTCACAGGGCCGGTTGTGATGTGCTGAATTGCCGACCCTTTTGTTTTGCGCCTATTTCGTGCCTCATATCAACCCTCATGGTAGATCGACGTCGAGCGTGACGAGTACTGAAGAGTCTTTGCTCCTAATCGAAGCCGCATTTAGCCCGGCAAATGAACTCTTGCTGCGCAAAGACTGCGCATCTTTCGACGTCGGCCGTGACGCAGGGTATATTCTTATCGATCGTTTTGATTTATCGCCGGGTATCAAGGAGAGGAGGATATCATGATGCGAGGACGATGTTGCCCCGTTCTCGGAATGTCCGTTGAGTTGAGACGTTGACATGGTCATCAGGTTTTTATGCTGATGCGGGAATATCTCGACAATTTGGCTGAGGACTTCAAGTCAATATGCCAGTACAGCAAAAAATCGCAAAAACAGGGAGGAAGACGTACTCGCTTGCCCATCTTGTGATGTTGTCCAGAGCTTCTTGTTCGCGCCGTACTTCTTCTGGGCTCATGACGTTCTGCGAGGGCACGTTCGACGCACCCCAGGTCCCGTAGCCATGGTTTGCGCCGAGATCATCGTAGAGTAGACGAGAGCGGTCCTAAGAAAAGCGTTGTTTTAGCACCACAGCACGCGCTGAAAGGAGGGCTGCTTATACTTCATCGTGGTCTTTGCGGCGCAGACCGAGACAGGAGAGGCAGGCGCCCATCCTGTGGGAAAGTACCTGCGAACCTGCAGCGAGGCAAGTACATGGGACAAAGAAGCCGCAGATTGAGTCAAAGATAGCAGAGAACGATTACATGGTCCAATTTGCATCAACGTGGACACAGTAAATATCGACGAAGAGTTGGAAGTGTGTTACAGCTGGTGGCACGGAAACATGGCGCAGGTCCAGGAATCGCGACATAAGAAAACACCTCAGCCGTTCAAGAGCTTCTTCCTTTAACTTTCCTTTTTCCCGTCTCTGAGCCACTACCACTCCTATACCTAGACAATCTGTCTGTATTGGTCTATTCCGAATACCATCTTCATGGACTGCTTCAACTGGTCCTCTTGGATGACGGAGCGGGCTTGCTTGCTCCCATACTGTTGGCCAGGATCTCATGCACATTCTTAGACTTCTAAAGATGGCCACCGCGACCCTCACATCTGTAACTCCGCTGCGAGCAGAAAGAATTCGATCTTTCGTCCCAATCACAGCATGTCCGATGAGCTTGGAGCTTCTCAGTCGGCCTATTGAAACGCCCCTCGCTCGCAACTGTGCCTCTGGAATGAAGCCCTTTCAATCTTGAGAGCACCGCCGATCTACTCCCTTGCGTCGGACACGGTTCGACGCGCTCACACCTCGATCCTTTCGCGACACATTGCCTCCGAGTACTTCTGATGGCTTCAAGGGATCAGCGAAACATTTCTACTCGTGGGCCTGAATCCAAATTACCCTGAGTCACTCCTTGGTAGGTACGTATGCGCGGTGACTACATCTTCCTGTCCTGTATATATTCCCTATTCTTCTTCAAGCAGTCATTCTGGTTTCTGGTCTTCAACTCATTCATTCATTCGGTCGTTCCTTGATTTCATTCGGTCGCTCGCTTGACTAGTCACTCTTTTGAATTCTTCAAAATGCTTTCCACACTCCTTTCCCCAGCCTTGTGGGTAGGCTTGACCACTCTGATCTCTTCCGCCGCTGCTCAGCCCTATGATGCAGTCGAACCAGTAGACCACTCTGGCGCCTTGGTGTGGGCTGATTGGACTGGTAAGAGCAGAAGACAAGCTCCTACCACAACCACGATGGAAGAAAGCACCTCAACTTCCACTTCCACTTCCTCTGCAAGTACTACTACAAGCTCTTCCACCATCGACTTCCTGCCTACAACTACCCTGTCTGGTACCACTATGATGCCAACAACCACCAGCAGCCCTGCTACTTGCCCCTGGGCCGGCCAAATCACTCAGAGCAACCAATTTGCTTGCGTCACTTATGAGTACATCTGTGGTCGTACATATGCGGATGGCGACAGTTTCCGCGATGCGGTCTCAACAAAGGCAAATCCCAAGAAGTGTTCCAATCGTTGCGATACTTTGAACGTCAACTATGGTCCCGGAACCTGCGTCGGTATTGTCTATGATACTACGAAGGATACGAATAACTGCAGAATTCTCTCAAGCCTGACCGGGCCCATGGACAATCCCGAGTATGTTGCCATGATCCGTCACTACGATCCGAACTGTGGAAAAGGCGTGCCAAGCAGTACTTTGAGCACCGATACCACTACAACTGCAACTGAGACGACGACTACTGCCATGGCAACGACTACCGCAGAGACTACAACTACCACCACCGAGACAACGTCAATTGCCGATGGGACCACAACTGCTGAGACTACAAGCTCCAGCACCGAGACCTCATCGACTGTGGCTGACACTACGACAAGCAGTGCTGAAGCTACTACAACCACTGCCGAGACCTCGACAACGTCAGAGACGTCCACAACGGTCGCCGACACTACGACAATGACTACTGAGACTTCAAGCTGGACTAGGACCAGGTCGAGGTCCAGGTCTGGAAGAATGACAACGACGACTACTGTGATTGTCGATGCTGTCACCACGGCAGGCGCCACTTCAACATCGACTTCCAGCATTTCGACTACTCCCATCGCAACCACCAGCTCACGCGGCAGTTGGTCTTCACATTCACATTCATATAACACGGCTTCTACTTCCCACAGGACAAGGTCGCAGTGGTCGACTGGCTCGTCATCGACAAAGCCCGCCAGTGAAACCACTACGTCATCCACTTCCAGCAGCTCTACGGCTACTACTTTCACGAATGATGACACGGTGACTAGCTCGACCACTTACTATGATCCTAGCACCACCAGTGTCAGCTTTATCACCTCTTCCACCACTGAGCCCACCACCACTGAATCGACCACAACTTCCGATGGAAGCACGACGTCAGCCACCAGTGCACCCACAACCACCAACAGCTGCCCCGCAAACACTGTCACAATCACGTCCGGTCCATCAACCACGACAGCCGTCGTCACTATCACAGAATACAAAAAGACCGTAGAGACCATCACTAAAACCAAGATATCGAAGACTGTGGAAACTGTTACCCAAACGAAGGTGGTCCGGGCGACGATTACGGCCACTACCACTGCTACTGTCACCGACACTAACCCCGCTGCACCTAATCGTCACCGATGGTTCTGGCATTAATTGCTGACGATCGGCACGGCAAAGGGATGATGGGATTCGGGTGATCTAGGTCGGGCATAATTTCTTGCACGATCGAGGGATTTTCAAAATGAAGTGTTTTTGCGAGATTTGGGTTACGTGGCAACGGGTATTGCGCCATTGATTTTCTAGACTGACTTTCAACACGTTGCTTCTCATTTGAATCTACTTTGCTCAGTTACGCAACACTGAGTATTCATCTACCGTGCATCTCTACTCGAGCGGTTCCTAAGACCATGAATATGCAAAGGCTTTCTGTCTTGCCTCTAGCTTGCCGAAGTAACTCTTGAGATGGTCATAACTTGCTAGATCTAGCCGCTTTCTTACTACTCCAGACCTGCACGTCCTTATCTTCGAGATAATTGGTAGGGAAATACAGTGGCCCTAGGATCTTCTTGACCACCTTCCCTGTCGCACTCTTTGGCACCTCTCCCTGGATGACGCGCAAGAGCGTGGGCATCTTGTATCCTGCCAGACGACTTCGTACATCGGCACGAAGATCATCCAGCTTCAGCGAGTGAGGACTCCTTTTGTTCTGTCTGTAGAACTCCTGCGCGACCTTATCGTTTCGTAGTGACACGACGGCTCCAACGCGCTGGCCGAACTCGTCATCGGGCACACCGACGACCATGGCTTCACCAAGATACGGCAATGCCAACAGCTCTCTTTCAATGTCCAGTGCCGATATCTTGTAGCCGCCGGACTTGATGATGTCCACCGACGCGCGACCCACGATGAAGTAGTATTTCCCTTCTCGGCGCGCAACATCGCCGGACTTGAAGTATCCATCTGCATCGTGCGCGTTCGCCGTGGCCTGCGGGTCGTGCAGGTATTTCGAGAACATGTGCGGTGCTTTAACGAGGACTTCTCCTTCATGGCCGTCCGAGAGCTTCGCGTCAACGCCGTGCGTCAATTCGCCGACGGACCCGTCGGGGATGTTCTCTGCCGAGTCCACGGACATGTTGAACACGACGCCCAGCTCTGTGGAGCCGTAGCGCTGGACAATGCGCCGGCCGTCCATGAGGTTGGTCCAGAAGTCGGCGATGGGTTTGGGAAGCGCGGATGTACCGCAGATGCAGACTTTGAAGGCGGCAGCGGCGGCCTTGTAGCTCTCGGCTTCCTGTGCGGGGAGCTTGGGCGCGTGCTCGAGATAGTGGCGCATCATGCGCATGTATATCGTCGGCACGCCGGTGAAGTGCGTGAGCCCGCCCTGTCGCCAGCGGTCCCACGTCCATTCGGGGCTGAAGCTGCCGGAGCGGAACTCGATGCAGGCGCCGGACAGGATGAAGGGGAAGAAGGATACCCAGATTCCTGTGGCGTGGTGGACGGGTAAGAGGTGCAAGAGCGTGTCCGTTTCCTGCAGGCCGATCTGCTGGGCGAAGCATAAAGAGCCGTCGATCATGGCGGCGCGACATAATACGGCGCCCTTGGGAGGACCGGTCGTGCCGGATGTGAAGATGACCACACCGGGACCATTGGGATCCAGGAAGCGGTTCGACGAGATCTTGATGCTGTCCAGAGGCACTGGCGCTTCGTCGTTCATGGTTTGGATGGGTACGCAGACGAGGTCGGAGTTCGTGGTCGCGCGGATCTCTTTTGCTGTAGCCTCGCCCAGCTGGAGAGCGGGCGTGGCTGCAAGAACGGCGACGGATCGGGCTTTGTTGACATAATAGCATGCCTCCTTGACAGGCTGAGCACTGCTGAAGGGACTCACGGCCGCACCCAAGGCCAGGACGGCCAGGACACCAACCGTAAACTCATATCCTCCAGGAGCGACGAGGCTGATGTACACTTCTCCTCCCTGGTGCAGATCGTCGATAGTCTGCTGCGTCAGGCTGGCCCGCAGGACACGACGGAGTCTCAGCACGTCGCTCAGCAGTTGAGCGGCTGTGCGTTCGATGCCAGCGTTGAGATCGCGTATCGCGGGCCTGGGTTGGGGACGGTGTGCCAAGGTCAACAGGCGTGTGAACAGGGGGTCTGCAGGGAGAATGTGGTCTCCAGCATGACTTGGCACGAAGTCGGTCCTGTCGAAGGTGGTGTGAGTGTTCTTCATTTTTCACCACCGGTCTGGTCTTGTTCGTTGTTGGGCCATGGTCCCTCGGCTCACTGAAATATGAGAGTGTAAGTACTAGTATGACCCATGATGAGCCGATTCCCATGACCCTCATAGCGGTTCAGAATAGGCAGTTTGCAAAGCGATTTCTCCGAATGGTGTTGCCGTACACCCAATCACGGCGACTGGCAAGCTGGGAACCGTGCGGGCAGTTCACCCTCGGTATTTTCCCATCACGGCTCGACGGCTCACACGGCTACATGATGGTGAGGGGATTGTTCCTCCTGGCAAACGGTAATGCCTTTCAACACTTCTGGACCTGATTGCAGCTTGGGTAGAGCTTGATAAGACACCAAGGCAAGCTTCGAGCCATTGCTGGCGAGCAACTCAAGTCTGACGCCTGTTTACTGGGCAACCGCAAACATGGCCGACTTTACAGACAAGCTTCGGCCGGCTGAGCCTCAAGGTCCCAGTATTCTGGCTCAAGAGAGAGCAGGATCGAGCGTCAATGTGGAACAGTTGGCACACCATTTGCTCTCGCGGAATGACTTCCTTCCGCGGCAAAAGAAGATCTTGTCGATACTGGAGCCGATTCCTTACTTTTGCAAGAAGAACCAGTTGAACATGGCCAGACCAGACCGATACCATCTCGGTCTTGCTCGAGCGAAGACGCTGAGAAGACTGTCCCTCAAGCATGGCTGGGACCGCGACGACTATATCATGGCCGACTATCTGACGGATGAGATGGGCCCGTACGCCCTCCAAGCAACCATGTTCGCCACCTCGATTCGAGAGCAGTGCAACGACGAGCAGAAGGCATACTGGCTGCCCAAGGTGGAAAACTGGGAGATCATCGGCTGCTATGCCCAAACAGAGCTCGGTCATGGCAGTAACGTCAAAGGCATCGAATGCGCAGCCAGGTGGGATCCGAAGACCAAGGAGTTCATCATCCACAGCCCAACGATCACGGCGAGCAAATGGTGGAACGGCGCTCTGGGTCGTACAGCGAACCATGCCATCGTGGTTGCACAGCTATTGCTGCCAGACTCGAAGACGGGGAAGTACAAGTCTTACGGACCGCATCAGTTCATCGTCCAGATCAGAGACATGAAAACGAACAAGCCACTTGATGGGATTGTGATTGGCGATATCGGCCCCAAGTATGGGTACCCGGGCATGGATAATGGGTACATGCTCTTCGATCAATTCAGGGTGCCTCATTCAGCGCTTCTGTCCAAGTACTCTGGCGTCGACTCGGAGCATGGCACTTACATCAGGCCTGAAAACCCGGCTCTGGTGTACGGCTCATTGACGTTCGTACGCGCTCAGATCATCATGCACGCGCGCTTGGTCCTGGCCAGAGCTGTTACGGTTGCCGTCCGGTACCTGTCCATACGCCGGCAGTTTGCCGATCGTGATGCCAAAGACGCCGGTGCCCCTGAGCAGGCTGTGCTAAATTATCCGACTGTCCAGATTCGCATTCTGCCTTTGCTGGCAACCACTTTTGCGCTGCATTACACCGGCGAGGCGATGTACAAATTGTACTATGGCACTCGCGAGGCGATTGAGAAGAGCGGAGACTTCTCTAGATTGGCCGAAATGCATGCTGCATCCTCTGGTCTCAAGTCCTTGTGCACGACGCTTGCCGCGGATGGTATTGAGACCTGCCGTCGCGCCATGGGTGGTCATGGTTTCGGAGGCGGAAGTGGCATGATCGCCCTCAATAATGAATATCTGTCCAAGCCGACGGTGGAAGGGGACAACTGGATGATCACGCAGCAGACTGCGGCGTACTTGATCAAACGAATGACAGAAGTCGTGAAGAAGCCGGACATGAACCCCAACGAGACGGTCGACGTGCAGTTCCAGCAGTTCATGACCAGCAGAGGTAGGTTACACGACTATGATATTCTTGGACACGAGAGCGAGCTCGTCAAGGCGTTCAAACATCGAGCCTCGCATCAGTCATACCAAGCGTACCATGCAAGAGTGGTCGAGAAGAAGCCGTGGACCAGCATGATGATCCAACTGCACCGACTGAGCCGGGCACATTCCGAGAGTCTGCTCGTGTCGAACTTTTACACCGCCGTGTTTGAGTCGACGCCCAACCCGCCCCTTGATGCCACTGCCATCGGCGTCATGAAGACACTATTCAAGCTGTTCGCACTGTTTACGCTCGACGCGTCTGCGTCCGAGTTCCTGCTCAGCAAGGCACTGTCTGTAGACCGTCTGGCATCAGTCACGCCGGCGATTCAGGACTTGATGGCACAGGTCCGGCCACATGCTGTCCGGTTGGTGGATGCATGGTCCATCCCGGATTATCTCCTTGAAAGTGCCCTGGGCAGCTACGATGGCGATGTGTACAACAGGCTCTTCCACAAAGCTCACAAGGAGAATCCGTTGAACAAATTGACGTTCAACCCGGACTGGAAGAGCGAGGAGATAGTCATGGGTGAGGGCGAAGCAAATGCACGGAGGAGACTGGAGGCACTGGCCCTAGGTATGATGGGTCATGAGCAGTCTGAGAGTGTCAAGGCGAAGTTGTGACGGAGATGGCAGTAAATATCGGGGGCATCATGGGGCCACTAGGCCGTGAATTCAATTGAAATCCTCACCCAGTCTAGATCTTGGCCTTTGCGACGGTCCCTACTCTCTTTCTGTGTACGTAGCTGATGGCCTTGAATTTATCTAGAGCTTCACCCCATAACTCCGACCTCAAGAGGCCGTAGACGCCCATTGTAGCTCGGGGAGCGATGGTAGCCGCGAACTCAACAGCTCTCTGCCTCATCTCCTCAGGCGAACAGATCTCGTCAACGATGCCGTCCTTCAAGGCCCCCTCGCCCGTCCACTTGTGTGCTTCGAGCAGCATTTTCCGGGCAATTTGCGGGTGTAGCTTAAGCCGAGGCAACGCTCCAATTCCGTCGAAGTGCAGACCTAGATTCACGGGCGGCATGCTGATGAAGCCACGCTTGCTGTTCATGATGCGGTAGTCGCAGGACAGAGCAAAAGGGCAGGCGCCGCCGAACGTGTGGCCTGTGACCAGGGCAATTGTTGGGTAGGGATAGTCCACAAGCGTGGCGAGTAGAGGGTAGAAGCCGTCAGAGTTTGCATAGGCATTGGAGTCGGACTCATCGAGTTCCAGGCCGGTACACCAGAATTTATCCGAGAAGGACGATATGATCACTGCGCCAGGAGAGTCGGGTCTCATCAGGTCTCTTTCGATATGTCGCAGGGCGGCAATGATTGTCTGAGCAAAAGCCACATTCAAGCGATTTTCGGGCGCTTTGTTCATTGTGATGATATGAACGCCTGGCGCTGAGGCCGGAGATTCAATGGTTAGATTGGGGAAGGTAGGAGCCATGGTGACAGTTGAAGCGGAAGCCGTGCAATTGTTGGGAATGTTGGGATGTGTGAAACTCAGTCGACACCAGTATCTCTGATGGAAGTCGAGGAGCTGACACCGGTCTAGTCAATTTTCAATCTTCAATCAACCCAGCTTCGGCGTTTCGTCGAGGAACAGCCTTGCCTTGTTGTTGGGCCCGGCGCTCTAGAGTCGCATAGAGCCGAAAGACGTGCGGGGAAGAGTTGGAAGGAGGACGGTCTGGAGCCATGCTTACCTCGGTTCGTCTCCTGGAAATCGACTCCGATCTCGTCAACAACTTTGGCGCCGTACCGTCATGGGCTTTCGTCTGTCGCTGAACCGTGAGTGTTTTGGGCGCCTCGAAAGGGTTTGCCAGTCTTTTGTAAGCAGGTGAAGCGATTACCGCCCAGTTTGCATAGTATCACGTGATCAAATCGTTGTGCCAAGCCACTAACCTATTTTAGGATTAGCGCGTAACTGTAGCGGCAAGGCTCAGATTCGACGTTGCCCCCTAATCTGGAAATCGCGGTGAGCATCACAGACTTCAACTTCATCGAGACCTCACCACTGTGACTAGGATTTGATACTGGAGCCATACCCTTCAGACCGACAGTGACGTGGTCTTCGGCTCTTAGGAGCTTGCATTATCCGGACACGATGTGGCGTCGCGAAACGACAGATTTAAATTCGACGCCTATGCAACTCGGGCGCGTATGAAGTGCTCATCACCCGTTCTTGCATAACATCATCATCATTATTACTAGGAGAGCAAAAAAAGAACGCCCAGAGTACTACGGCTGTCTGTCGGCAAGAAAAATCTCTCCCGAGACGACGCTGGTGTCAATTGTGCAAGGACCGTTTCTCTCCCCGCCAGGTTTCGACCATCAGGCGCCCACGGATTCATGATTCTGCCACAGCGCCACCCTTTGGATCCTGCTCAACATGGAACGAATGGCACACACACATCTCATCGGTCTGGACAAGCTCCATCCATGTCCGGACTCCTTTTTAGGATATGCGTACATCAGACATTTGGTCTCGGATGCCTACTGGATACGTCAGTCAGCTTCCAATCGCTCAAAAGGAGGGCAATGTCGTTCAATGACCGACCACTCACTCAAAACGTTAGCGCTCTGCCCGCTGCACCTAGCACACACTAATACATGGTCGGAAGCTGCGAGCCCTCTTTGACCTGATACTTGATCACGGGTCGTTTTGAATGCATATCGGCAATCGCTTCCTCAAGCTGCTTGACTTCGCGCTGAGCCTTTTCAATGCTGGCTCGAAACTTGGTCCCTTCACGTTTCCACCTGGTGATGTTGTCTTTCTCCTTCTGCAAGCGTCTTCGCTTCACCAGAATCTCCTGACACAATTTGCAATCGTCATTCACCTTGGTCAAATTGTCAAGATCCGTGAGTCTCGCTCCACACGTTTCACCCATTCGATGCTGCCGGGGACAACGTTGTTTCATGTTGCCCCATCTCCAGTCGCCGCAGGCAAAGTCGGTGCTAGCATAGTAACACATCTTGGGCCCCCCGCAAAGTGTCAGCCACCTGGGACCAGTCTTTTACAAGGACATCAATTCGAAACTCACCTTATGGTCAACTTCAAGCTTTGCTCTGAGATCTCAGATGCTGGATGTTTTCAGTGGGCTGAGTGGTCAATCAATTGGCCTTGGTCTTGGTTGCTTGAGTGATGATGAGGAAGGAGAAACTAGGCCACTCAAGATGGCCGTCACCCTTCAACTTATACCTTTCATTCTGTGAAACCGAAGGCCATGAGAAACAAACTTGGATTCGGCATGACTCCCCGCAGATGAGACGTGTGAGATACTCATTGCTCAGCTCAACCAACTTCGCCATATGCTCCACTTCGGTACGGCTTGGATCATCATGTCGCATTGAACTAAGACCCCGGGAACTTCGTTGTCAAGGTGGCAAATTGACAAAGGCGTTCTCTGGTCTGAAAACCCACAGGAAATTTGTGGGCGCCGTCGGCTGGTCTGCTCGCTTCTGTGTTGGACTGCATCTTGTGTCGTCTGTCGCATGCACCTATCTCACCGAGGTAGCCAACGGCATCTTGTGAAGGTCTGCTGTTGAGGCATCAATGCAGCGTTCGGAAAGGTGGCACACTGTGAGTCGTAGATGGCAAGAGACCTGCAGATGCAGTTACCGGAGCTGTCAACGTACCACCACAGTGACATGAAGGCTTTCACTTCCCGCTGAAGTGTCAAAGTAATGCAGCTTCGACCAGCCAGGTGACGGACGCTAGGGTAGGCTGCATTCGCTGGACGTCATGCTGAACGAGCTTTCCAGAATCCATGGCCAGGCTGTTCTCGCTTCCCGACCCGTGGGTTTGGTGGGCAGGCCCGCGCCCCCCAATGTTTTCATGCCCTCGGCCTCCAGGTCGCATGGCCGTTTCATCACGTTCTCTCTGCGCAAGCAGGACTTGCTTCTACAGCTAAAGAAAGAACGACAGAGTGGATGTTGACTCAGGCGAAAGAACTTTGAGCGCTGTTTTGTGGAGGGTGGAGCAGGTACTGCTCGTTGTTGGTCCATGTGGTGGCGGGCTGAGTCCACTCCATTCAAAAGCTCCCAAGAGGGACCTTGTAGAACATCCCAGCAATTTGCAGCCCGTTAAGGTGGGCTGGAAAGCGTTGCTCACTGACGCTCCACACAGTCAAAGTGTAACCGACCTTGGGTTGTGGCCTGTCCCCGGCTCTGTGACGATCGATACGACGGTCGACCTGCCGTCCCTCATCACCCTGATCAATGTGAGGCACACTAGCCAGTGGCAAGGCCATCACCTTGCCGAACGACCCTTCAAGAAGCTTGGACTCATTCATCATAGCATTGTCTCGAAATTCTACGGCTTTGCGGGCTCAAGCGTTGCTCGGTAGCTGACTAGCAGTCAAGGCCCTTGAATTGATGCTACCTGGCAGTATGGCATTGGTGGGCTCTAGCTGTCACCAAGGGAGTCACTAACAAGATACCCTGCCGCTGTTACTGATGATGATGCCAGCACACTGAACGTGCAGTCCAACAGCAGGGCGCCTTCTCATTGCGGATGGTGCTGGATGGGATTCTGTTGGAGGTCCAAGGCGAAGCATCACCAGCACTTTTGGGCCCCTATGCATTGGCGGCACTACTGCCGTCTACATTTCGGTTCTGCAGACACTATGCGGTCCTTTGTGAGCTGCTAGTAGGGTTGGCACCTTGTCCGCAAACCCACCCGACGATCGAGGAGAAGAAAGCTGCTGACTCGGTCCCACAGGGAATATCTCAGCCTGACCATAGTTCGCTTGTGTTTTCCAAGTACCACGAGCCCATGCGACTCAGTGCCAGCGCCTTCTCACTCTACCAAACCATCAGCAATCCGCAGTCTTTCAACCTGCCCGTTCTATGGCATTGTGTGCTCGTCGACCTCTGATCCCTCTCGTCCAGTCCGTGGAATGGCTCGGCCACAGACTCCTTTCAAGTGAGATGCCAAGCCAACGGTTCAAGGTGGATGAAGTTCCTGGACACACCTTTCTCGCTTACGCGGACTAGGAGCATTCTGAAAACAAAGCATGGTAGGTGGAGAATGGTTCTCACCATCGCGGACCCGCCTCACTCCCTCCATAGAGTCAAACCATGCTTCCTTGGGATGCATGGCCCGAGGAGCAGCATTTGATTTGCAATGCAGGCCTTTTTCCGTGAATGCCAGCGCTGTATGGCGAGTCATTGGAACTATCGTCAAACATTTCCTTTACCACACCACCCTAGTCTGCCACATCACCATCTCGCACTTGTACGGGCCGTCCCATGCCACACCCCCCTACCGTCCAGACTTTTCACGTCAACGCTGGCAGAAAGGATGGTTCGCCAGAAACTCCCCACCTGGCCAGCACACCTCTTCTCCGGATACCGTGATGCGGCTCTGCGTCAAAACATTTTCCCTCACATGTCAAGGAAGTGGTGAGAGTGAGCGAGGAAATGCAGGCCCCAGCTCGTTGCAGACCTCTTCAGGTTTTCCCCCAGATTGCCTTACCCCCAAGACTCACATTCACACAACCTGGGCTCCCGCCTGCGCAGACGGCATCTCCAGAAAGGTGTGGAGTAGTACCACAAGTCTGGCAGTACTGTTGTGTGTTTGGGTACTGGCTCTCCGCCCTTCGACTTTCGTCTCTCAGCAGGTGTGGGTTCGATTCAACAGCCTTAGATTTGGTCTCCTCAACATTTGCGCATTGCTTGCCTCTTCCCTCAATTCAAAGACACTAATAAGTACTTTCTTCTCGTTTCGTCGCGCCTAGGACGAGTTGCAAGACTTGCAAATACGCTGAAAATCGACCAGTTGTCTCCCCTCCACCCTGCGTACCGAACAAGACCGTCATGCCGTGCCGCGCTTCTCGTTGAGCCCCAGACTTCCCACTTTCACCTCTGACTTGTGGACTCGTTCAGGTTTCAAGCGTCACAAGAAGATATTGTGGAGATGTTAGTCCTTGATGCGGGAGGATGTTCAAGACAAACATGAGTCTTGACGATTACGGCGTCGGAGGAAGCACAGCCATCTGCCATTGTGCGAGTTCGCAGGACGTCTTAAGTATTGCCCTTGCTCGCGAGTTTTGTCAGAAGATGTCTCATTGATGCCTTTGTCCTCCAAATAGTTGTTGTCACCCTCTTAACAGAGTCTCCCCAATCTACCTAGCATATAGTATCCCATCACAATCCGTCCTATTTCCTGGCCAGGTTCTTGTGCAAAACATGCTCCTTCATACCCAATCCCGCAACGGCGGCCAGGGCGGCCAGACCCAGCCCTGCGATGAACGCGCCCCTCAATGCGTCCATGTAAATAGCATACACCACACCTTCATCCCAGCCCGCGGGCAGATGCTTTATACCTTGCAAGCTGTCCCTGATCCTGCGGATCTCGCGTTCACTGCCGGGCATGGCGCCATACTCGTCACGAAGCTCCTTGGTCAAGATGTTCTGAAACACGGCACTTGCGATGGTGATGCCAATCGTCGACCCCGTCGAGCGGAACGCATAGCTCGCCGCCGTGATGACCGCCTGGTGCTGATGGTCGACTGCGCTGATCATGGCAACCAATGTGATGGTCAACATGGCGCCGTACCCGAGCCCCAGCGGCGTGACGTAGATGAAGGTCGCCCAGGCCGGGGTGTCGAGCTGGAAGGTGCACAGCAGTGCGGAGCCAAGCACAAACACGGCCATCATGGCTACCATCTGCCAGTAGTACCGGCCCGTCGAGCGCATGAGGTACCCGGACCCCAGACTGCCGACTGACGTGCACGCGGCGAACGGTATGACACGCAACCCGGCGGCCGTTGCACTCAATCCGCGGACCTGCAGATACAAGGGTACATAGTACAGCGCCAGAAACGCGGCCATAGTACTGAACCAGTTTGCCAGACAGGCCGAGAGGACAGTGCAAGTGCGCACGATCAGCCCAACCGGTAGAACGGGTTCCGGGATCCATTTCTCATTGGACTCGAGGACCATGAAGGTGGCTAGTATGATGATGCTCAAGACCAGACTCGTGATGATCAGTGGATGGCTCCAAGGTAATTGGTTCCCGCCGGTGTTCAGTCCGAGCAACAACAGGACCAAGCTTGCGACCAGCAGCGACGAGCCGAGAAAGTCGATGCGGCGCAGGGCGGGCTTCGTGCTCGGGTTCACGGGGATGTCGACCAGGAACCAGACCATGACCGTCGATATGAGAATGAACGGAACCTGCAGGAGAAAAGCCCAGCGCCAGGAGAGCCGGTCGGATAGCAGGCCGCCAAACACACCGCCTAGACCCATGCCCAGGCCGAATATTAGGTTGCCGTAGCCCTGCCATAGGCCCCGTCGGCGTAGGGGAATCAGGTCCGAGGTTACGAAGGTTGTTATGCAGGAGAGGCCACCGCCACCAATCTGCACGCACAGCAAAGTTGGTTAGACAATGGTTATGAAGAATTGTGCAATGAAGGGGGTTTGGGATGGGGGCTGGGAGAAAAGGGCACTCCGTGGCCGGTTGCTGGGGTCAGGCCCGGGTCGAGATGTCTCAGGCCAGCAAGGCCACGTTCGAGTGATCTCAGCCTTACGGGTGAAGGGGCTGGGAAGGGAAGGGATATGAAACTTACACCTGCAATGACACGTCCGGCGATGATGGTCTGCGCGTTGGGTGCAAGCCCGCAGATCAGGGTGCCTGCGGCGAAGAAGACATTGGAAAACAGCAGGCCGTAACGGCGGGAGAAAATATCGGTCAATTTGCCGGAGAGTGGTTGGCACGCGGAGTTGGCGATCAGATATCCTGTCGCCAACCACGACAGGAGGCTTAGGGAGTCGAAGGATGAGGAGATGGGCGCGGTGAGTGTCGCGACAATGGTGGTATCTTGGTTGGCCAGAGGGTCAGCCCTGGACCGAAGGACAACGGCCACCAGGCCGGAGGCGACCCAGCTAGGAGTTCAGAGTATCTGGAAGCGTCAAGGAGATATACGGTACGTACCTAATGCTGCGAAGAACACGCCGGTCCATATCGCGCCCATTATGGCGACGAGTTTCTTGGTGCTAGGCTCTTCGGCCAAGGCGATCTCGCTGGCTCCGCTGTCCGGGGACGGTTGTGTGTTTTCTGGGTCGACCGCCTGGCCATTCTGCTCGTCTTGGCCGAGGAGAGGGCTTGTCTCGGATTGTTGTTGGCTTGTGTCGGTGTCGTGTATGGCCATTGTAAGAGAGTCTCTGGACGGCTTGCTAAAGAGATAAGCTGGATCGCTGACAATTTGATCGATCAACCTCAAGCTTCGTCAAGGACTTCGTCGGAACTAAGGCCCTCTTGTTGTTTTACGTTCCCTACGTAAAGGAGATCTTTTAGGGTAATGGTTTGAGAGAGACGAGAGAGAGAGATAGTTGTAATGTTCAACCGATGTCAGCGATGCTTTTGTGGAGTTTATTTAGATCTACTTTAATTGGAGGATCGAACCAGACGTTGGGCGCAACTGGATGCCATTGCCATGATGATTATGCTATCGCCATTGATCAACGCATCTTCGTAGAACACGCACGGTGGATCCGAAAGCAGCAATCATGAACGAAGATAAAGATGAGAATTTTGTATTGGAGGATGGCCAGTCGGGCTGCTCAGTCCCTCAGTCCTTCGATATCTACAACTTCTTTGACAGCCTCGGTTGTGAGAACGTATGGACTGTCCTCTTGGACACATACACTGTCCTCGATACGGATACCCATGTTCCTGAAATGCTTCGGCCACCGTTCGTCATCCGGTACATAAATTCCCGGCTCGATAGTAATACAATGTCCTTCATGTAGTACACTTTTCCGGGTATATCCAATCGTGTCATGAACATCAAGACCAATATAGTGGCTCAGATGATGCGGAAAGAGCTTCTCGATAGCTTTGGAGGACATGTCGAACCCAATCTGTCTCAATTCGTTCGACAGATACTCCTCCGCAATGCTGTGCAGCTTGTCCAGCGATACATTTGCACTTCCTCGGCAGAGAGCAATCAATGTCCTTTGCACATTGAGGACGGCTTGATAGAGGTCTCTTTGAGCATCACTGAATTTGCCGTTGACCGGCCAGGTCCTGGTAATGTCAGCAATATAGCCTCCATATTTCCCACCGCCATCCACCAGCACCAGCTCGTCATCTTGCATGATATCATCATTCCGCACATAGTGTATGCTGAGCGCATTCTTGCCGGCAGCGACCACGGGTTCAAAGGCACTCGTATCACAACCATTTGCGACAAATTGATACCTCAAATAGGCATCGAGCTGTTTTTCATGTGTCCAAGCCCGGCGCATGGCTTCTGTATGCGCTCGCCCAGAGGCTTTTCCCGCTCTTCGCATGACTTCAATCTCCGCAGGGCTTTTGAAGGCTCGCAGATCATTCATGATCGGTCGCAGTCTGTTGATCTTGGACGGCTGCAACAGCTCCGCAAATTCAGTCGTCCTCTGAGGTTTTCCATGCAGAAAGCGACGCAGAGCTGATAGATTTGGATCTGGGGTGGTGATGTCGGTGTAAACTTCCGACGCAGCACCGACAAGCTCAGGAAGCATAGTCTTGACCCGACTTACGTCTCCTGTCTCGTCTGCATTGAATACGTCCCTTGCGGCTTGTGTCCCCGATCTTGCGCCATCCCATATCTCTGCTTTGGGATCCTTCTCTCGCACATAGAGGTGAAATGTATGATCTGTGCCTGTGGCATCTTTTCCGATCACGGCGAGGGCCTCCGGCTCGTTGAAGCCGGTGAGGTAGAAGAAGTCAGGGTCTTGGTGGAATTCGTAGAAGACGCTCCCTGAGCGGAACTCGATGTCAGAAGCTGCGACGACTGCGATGGCTTTGTCTGGCAGCTTCGCAGCTAATTTCGTACGACGATCGGCATACTCCTGAGCTGTGATGCCAGGCGTCAATTCTCCTGGCTGCAACAAATGCGGATGAGTTTCATGGACAGGTTGGCCAAAGGCAAGATCCGCGGCATTGACAGTCAGGCTGCTGTAGCTGCGGAAGCCTTGCCGCGAGCATCTGGATAGGAGAGAATGCGTGGTGATGCCGAAGACCTTATTGGGATAACACAGCGTCCGCCATAGTGTCCTTCGCATCGACATGCTCTAGGACGACGGGAAAAAGCGCAAGTGAACTTGGTGTGCTGGTGCATGGCGGATGGAATCGAAATCGTGATCAGCGCTTCTCCGATAGCACGAGACGAGGCCCCCGCATAAACTTGCCTGCCGTGGAATTTGTCACGAATTCAAGCATTGGCCATGTGATTTATATACGACTCGACAATTCACCCTCACTGATATCGGGGAGCACCCAGACGCCGAATGAAAAGATTTAATCGACCCGTGACTATAGGAAGAAGACGATGCTTGCAGCCATGGTCGAAAATCGAAACAGACCCAGTCTGCCTGCGACCGTGTTCCTTTGAAGAAAGAAGATGACTACGGTTGCCAAAGCCTTGAGTACTAGAATCGTTCCACCGTAGCCTGCTATGACCATCAGGCCTCTTTCAGGGCGAGATCAAGCTGTTCGTTACATGGCTGAGGATCAATACAAGTTAGACTGCGCTCGAGTGCCTGCTCATATTCCTCCTGTCCTTGTCAAGATCTAGGCACGAGAAAAAGAGGATCTCAACTGAAAATGAACAGGACCACTGGAAACACAACGAGTCCATTCATATCGCCAACGAAGCACGTCAGTTTCGTGTGGTGGCCAGTCTGAAGGATACAATAAGAAAGAGAAAGTAAAAATGGGAAAAGAATATATAAACCCCAATATCTGGCATTGCCGGCTCACCAAAATAAAGGCATTCAGGGCAATCGGGCAGGAGTAGTTACCAAACAAGGGAATCGGCCTACGTCCCGCAAAGATTGACCGGCAGTCACTGAGTAGGGCTGCAAGTTTGCCTACGGAGTACGAAGTATTATCGAATCCCATCGTTGATAGCGAGTCGAGTTGGCAGGTCACCGCTGCAACATGGTAGCTCATTCAGTATGCATACTTCACAGGGCTGGATGGCTCACACTGGCGCGTGTACATCAAGATAGAGATGGAACATCTCGGATGAAGAGACATAGACCTATGAGAACATTTGACTTTACCACGTTGAGGATTCGTTTGCGGGTTGATATTCATGCTTCTGGTGCGAGGCAAGGCTGTGATTGTGACTGTTGCTGTTGCTGTGCCAACTACGCCAACTCGGCTTCAGTCAACAATGACATCGATTTTCCAAGGCCAAGCAGAATGCCACGCACCCTAAAGCACATGAGCACAGACGAAGAACAAACCAACATCTGAACCGTTCGTATCATCCTGTCACTGATATGCAAATAATTGCCCTTCGATCTTTGCATGCCGAAACCTCGTCGCGAGTCCACGGCGAGGGCCGACACACGCCCAGCGTTCAATCGACCACCCAATGCCCGCACCGCCGCGCCTCGGCGTCGAGACGATGACTCCGACCCAGAACCACGCACACCGAAAAGAACGCCGAAGGAAAAAGCCAAGTCCTCTCCTGTCCCGTCACCTTCACCTGAGAAGAAAACCCGGCATGCGACCGACAGACACAGAAGCGCTGTTGCAGGCGGCACGAAGAAAGAGCGGGACCATGCAAAATACAGTTCTGGCAACTCGACAAATAGCACGAGTCAGCTTTTGAGCAGTGCTGCATTGGCCAAATTGAATACCTACAACGAGCGAGCGGATTTCCAGGAGAAATACGACGAGCGCAAACGCAGGAAGAAAGAGTACAAAACCCTCAAGGGGGCGGAGGTCCAGCATCAGAGGCAACGAAAGAAGAAGAACCGCAATGTCAGCGGTGCTATGCTCGAGGAAGGGAGGGCCGGACACAGACGGGCGCATAGAAGAGGCGGTGCTGGCTCGTACGAGAAGGAGGGTTACGAAGTGCACAAACAGACCGGCAGTAGGTCAAGAAAGAAGTTTTGGTGGCTATTGATCTTGTTGGTGGTGTTGCTTGCAATATTCATCCCTGTCGCTGTGGTGGTGAGCAATAACAACAAGAAGTCGAGCAATTCTTCCTCGTCGACTTCCGGTTCCGCGACGACATCAGGCACGTCTTCTGGTCCGAGTAACGCCTGCGACTCGTCCACGGTACCGGCGAGTGCGAAGGGGACCTACACTGATATTTCGACGTGGCTGGACACAACCGACTTCAATTGCACGTATACTAGCGAGACGGTTGGCGGGCTTTCAGTCATGGGCCTGCATTCGGACTGGGATGACTCCACAAAGGCTAATGGCAATGTGCCGGCCCTAGAAGACAAATGGGATTACGGAAAGGCGCCAATTCGAGGTGTCAATCTGGGAGGTTGGCTGGATCTGGAGCCGTTCATTACGCCATCGTTGTTCAGTTACCCTGCTTCGGCAAACGTGGTTGATGAGTGGACATTGTGTGAGAAGCTGGGTCTGTCGGCCGCCCAGCGGACGCTCGAGTCACATTATGCGACCTTCATCACGAAGCAGACCTTCATCGACATCAAAAATGCCGGTCTAGACCACGTAAGGATACCGTATCCATACTGGGCTGTCACGACTTATTCTGGAGACCCGTACGTGCCTCAGATCGCGTGGCGGTACCTGCTCCGAGGGATCGAGTATGCTCGACAGAATGGCTTGAGGGTAAACCTCGACCTGCATTCTCTGCCGGGGAGTCAAAATGGTTGGGCGCACAGCGGTCATCAAGGCGATATCAACTGGATTCTTGGAACAGATGGTGCAACGAACGCACAGAGATCACTGGATATTCATAACCAGCTTTCGCAATTCTTCGCACAAGATAGGTACAAGAATGTGGTCACGATCTATGGGCTGGTCAATGAGCCAAAAATGTTGGTCATCCCACCAGACTCTGTGCTCGACTGGAATAAGAAGGCTATCAAGATCGTCCGAGACAATGGAATGGATCAGCACATCGTGTTCGGAGATGGCTTCCTCAGCCTCGACGACTGGGACGACATGTTCCACGGAGTGGATGACAAACTCGTCATGGATACCCATCAGTACCAGATCTTCAATACAGGCCAACTCAAACTGAAGCATCAAGATAAGATCAATCTCGCTTGCTCGGGCTGGACCGGACTGATGGTGGCGGCCAACAACCCAAGCACCGGCTGGGGACCGACGTTGGATGGAGAATGGTCACAGGCAGATACTGACTGCGCACAATATCTGAACAACGTCGGCGTCGGCTCGAGATGGGCTGGTACCCTCAACACTGGGGATTCGCAGACTTCAATTCTGACACCGTCTTGTGCTGAGCCGCCGTGTTCTTGTGCTCAAGCAAATGCTGACCCGAGCACGTATAGTGATTCGTACAAACAATTCCTGCAGATGTACGCTGAGGCCCAAATGCACAGTTTCGAGCAGGCTTGGGGCTGGTTCTACTGGACGTGGAAGACGGAAAGTGCTGTACAATGGAGTTGGGAGTTGGGTCTTAAGGCTGGCATATTGCCGGAGAAAGCATATTCACCTTCCTTCAAATGTGATTCAGATGTGCCTGACTTTAGCGACTTGTCTAACAGTTATTGAAGGAGATGTGAGACTTCACTGCATTGTGTGGGAGTTTGGGATACAGGGAATGTAAGGCATTGCAGGAGTTCCGAGATGAAGATGATGGAGAACTCGAAACACGAATGAACATACAATGATCCCAACATATCTCTCTTCTACTGTGATCATGGATTTGATCTTCCTCGAGGTCCGGTCGGTCCTTCCCAAGGTGGTCCTCCAAGGATCCTGATGATTCTTTATAGAAATGGACGTGATACCTTACAGATAAGCCCTCCGGACAGTAAAGCTCGAGTCAATATGAACACGAACCGTCATTCATAAGGTATATTACCACGATACCGCCCGACGTTTCCTTCCATCAGTGCGCGTTCCTTACCCTTGTGCCATCCTTCTAGCATACCAGACATTCACTGTCCGAGTGATACCATACGTCAGCAGGTCACTCTTGTTGGTTTCACTGTCCTTGAAGTGAATGTCGAACATCACCGCGACTCCGCCGCACCCCTTCACTGCAGAAGTAAATAAACATCTGCGTTGTATTTAAACCAAGCACTTTCCCATGTCTCAGCAAATCATCATGCCTTGTCAACGTCGCTAGCTCGCAACACACCCACATCTATCCGAACACCAGAACCTACCGCCTCTAACCAGGGACGCACTGCCCACCAAGATGGCTGGACCTCTTGGTCCTCCGATACCTCTGGCTGACAGCTCCAAGAGCCCAGAGGACAAAGCATCAGAACTGTCGATCGACACGGGTGAGGTCGGTGAGACTGAAGCACCTCCAACATCCGAAATCATCACTGTTATCCCCCCAGACTTCAGTGGTTACTGGTATTCGTATGCAGATAGTCGTATCTACCATGTAATCCCACACCAGCCACCCACTCGTTTGTCGGAAGATCATCCTTTCGTGCAACGTTTCCGGGGATTGGTAGGTCAGGGACAACCAAGACCACGCTCAGTCACTCATGAAAACATAACTCCATGGCGCGCCCAACATCACTCGAACCAAGTCTACTCGGCCAACACTTCGATCCGTCCTAGTAGGCCGCCATCACATCATCAACCATTCGAAAGCTACGGTCTTCTGCAGACAGCGAAGGCCGCGCATGTGCAGACTGGTCCAATTCGAAATGATCTTGCCATCGTCAAGACTCCACTTCAGCCTCGCCTCTTTCTCGCACGATCAACTCTTCCACAGCCAATCCAGGATGCGTTTTCAATCCCCAATTCTGCGCGACATCCACTTGCAACTGAGAAGGCAATCACACATACTGCGCCTGCAGAAGTAGGGCTGATCCGGGGCTATTTTGATTTTGATCCCTCGGGAAGTCAAGAAGCTCAAGCGCTGGCCGGTGCTGCCAGAATGCAAACCTATATTCAACGATACCACCCGGGAGGGGAAACTCTGAGCATCCAGACTTTTGCAATAGCGGTTGAAATGCACTGGACGAGACAACAGCCCTTCGATTTGAGCATGGACCTTTCGACGATCGTGGCAAGAAGAAACCAGACAGGCAAAGGAGAGCAGTCGTCAGACCTGCAGGGATTGGGCCACCAGTTTGAGAACCACACAGCGGCATTCGATCCTCACACGACGGCTTCACAATTGACCGCGGTTACAATGTATCACCATGGTCTCTGCGAGTATCACTCTGTTCGCCGTCGAGCTCAGGCTCGTCCTCCCGATGAAGGTCGTCCACTGCGCATCTCTGAATATGTTGCTGTTCGACCGAGGCGGATCAATCATCCACTCACGAGTCGTCCATCTGATGACGGCCACGATCCTGTGACTTTTGCTTCGCCTCAAGAAGAACCTGAAAAAGTCCATTACCCACCACTGTTCGCATCCGAGTCACCAGCCTTTCCAGATGAAAAGACTGTGGTGGACCTGCTCCGTGCCAAATCTCGTCTTCCGAAATCGGTTCGTCAATTGCTGAGCGTCGAGATCATCAAGAAAATCTTGTTCCTGGCATTGCATGGAATACCATCGGCGGCAATTGCATATGAGGTTCATGGTGAGCTTCCAAAGACTTGGAAATTGAGCGTAACAAAGCGGATGGAGAAGATTACCTATGTAATCGACCATTACCTTGTTGAGATCGTGGCAGAAGCAGATCGTGAATGTGGTGCAGAGGATTTCATATCGAAATTGTTGACTCACGCTTTGTCGAAGGACTGGATCCCGAGATCACTCCAGAATGCTGTCGAGTACATTCACTCCGAGACGGCGGGTGATGTAACTAGCGGCGTCGAAGAGCGAAGACTGGCTGCCAAAGCTAGGATTGCATTGCAGAAGTGGCGCTCCGACAACAACGGCGCAAATCCAGCTCCGGATGCGAAGGGAAAACGAAGCAGCACGGACGGTTCAATGCCACTTACGAAGAGAAGAAAAAGTATGGGTTATTGGTCAGCGTGTCAGGGTCTGCAGAGAGAGATGGACGATCGACAGCGGCTTTTGGATCTTGGTTATCGTGAGGACAGTCTTGATACTGAAAAGGCTTTGATGAATGAGTGGTTGGAGAAGCTCAAGAAGATGGGGAGATTGCCTAGTCTAACGGAGGCGGCTCAGGCGGCTCACCAGGCTCGAACTACCCAGCAAAAGAAAACTGTGTGAAGAGTTGGTGAGGCGAGTGTGGATGGCTGAACAGCTCGACGAAAGATTGCTGGCATCGTGGCATTGCTCTGGTGTGCTGTTAAAGGGCGGAGGCTTTTGCAAAGAGAAGAGCTGGTACGGACTTTGATGGCTGTAAACAGATGTACACTCATTGGAGCTCACGCACTTCCGACGTGGCTCGGTGCTGATGACCAGTCTTGATATACGGCGATGAACAATTGCAAGATGAGCAAGAGAGAAAGATCGTCTCAGAGCTGGCACGAACTGGTCAATGGTATTGACCAAATATCATGCTGCTTTAAATTGTGAACCTGCCTAGAGTCTACTGGTCAAAAACAACCTCGTACTTTCGTGGCACATATCCTTTCTCCTGCACAGCCATTAATTTCGTGGGCTTTCCCGAAGTCAAAGCTACCTAGGTACTCATGCGGTGGTAAAACCCCAAGGGTGGCAAGTAGGGAATAGCCAACAACATGTCTTCACCAAACCTACCGCTACGAGCATCTCGTTCGACAGCCACTTCACAAGACCGGCAGCAACAGCCTGACATCAATGCAGAGGTCGCTGGCAAATCACCAGATGATGGAAACAACAACGGTGACCAAGAGACTTACGCAGACCACGACGAGAATGGAGATCTACCAATGAGTATGACAGCAAGTGTGATCCTGACAAATTTGCCGAAGGATGCGAGTGCGGCGTTGAAGGAGGTGGAGGAAATGGATGAGAGAAAGGGTACGTGTGGGTTGATTTTCTTCCCTGTATCTTGAGCCCCAACGGGACCCTGCTGTGCACGTTCGAGGGAGCGAGGATCTTTGTTCAGCGTGGCGTGGTGTAGAGGAGTCGTGAAACTATGGCCGTGATTACTTTCTCGCTGTGCTCATGGTACGACGGGACAGAGGACTCTCGTTGCTACAGAACTGTTGACGGTCCGGTCTGGAGAGCGGAGGGAGGCAGTGGTGTGGTTCATCATGACTTACAGGCAACCCACACGAGCCTACCGCTACGCTTGAGCAAGCCACTGCACCCCCCAGTGAACGAGGCTTGCTGGTGTGACATTTGGCTACGAAATTGCAACACACGCCTTTCGAGCTCAAGAGCCACGTCCTTTGATGATATCAGTTGTGGGAGCGCCCTGTCTACCCCAGGCACCGCACCACACCTACTGAGCTGACAGCGTCCCGACCTCAGAGCGTTCAAGGCGAGGCTATCGAAGTGCCAAGCAGCAACTCTCTTCTGGAGTCCTTTCTTCTTGCACATGTTCTATGGCCTGTGTATCTTTGATCAGTCGAGTTTCGATCTTTACTGGACCTTCATTGACGGACTCGTGTGTTAATAGTATCGATCCGCTTCCAACCAGTCGGTTCGGCTCCGATTCTGAAACAGCGCGTGTTCAAGATCAGCGCATCGTCCAAATTAAGCGTCGTGCTGAACTTTTTGAGAAAGAAATTGGGCGTAAAAGAAGGGGATGGGCTATTTTTATATGTCAACAGCGTTTTTGCGCCAGGATTGGACGAGGGTGTTGGCAATCTCTTCAGAGTAAGATATGCTCTCCTTTTCATCTGACGATCGAGCTCCGCGAGCAGGCCGGAAACAAAAAAGAGAGATTGAAGTACTAATGCTTGGTTGACTATTTAGTGCTTCAAAACGGACGACCAACTGATTGTCAGTTATTCTACGACGCCTGCCTTTGGATGATATGGCTATGAGATATCAAGTGCCCTTACGCCATGGAATGCAATATCAACAACCAGACAGGCCGAGTGTTTCATCTGCAAGATTGGGCAGACCTTCATAATGCCAATGACCCTGCCATGACTCCACGCAAAAGACATATAATATCCGACCGCGAGCAGCAAAATTCGTCGACAGCTTCACGACTGACCTGCTTTTATGGCCGCCCTGAATGCCTCTGTCACCTTTGCGTCGCTCTTATACACGTACGGCGCAGTGGGATAAGTCCGATCAGAGACTTCATCCTTATACTGCTTGATGGCGGCTACGCCGGCGTCCCATATTGAGCCATATCTCTTAACGAACTTTGGCATAAATGAGTCTGGTGGTCGGACACCCAACATGTCGATTTGAACCAGTACCTGACCGCTGGTCTTGTTCCCGGCACCGATGCCAATGGTTGGAATGCTCAAGGCATTGGTGACTTCCTCGGCGATGTCAGACGGGACGCATTCTAATACGACCATGAATGCTCCGGCATCTTGTACCGCTTTGGCATCGTTGTACAGCGCCATGGCTTTGTCAAGTGTATTGCCCTGCACACGAAATCCGCCGAGAGCATGCTGGCGTTGAGGTGTGAGGCCAATATGCGCGCAAACAGAAATGCCCGCCGTCGTTATCTTTTTGATCTGCGGCGCCATTTCGGCACCACCTTCCAGCTTGACGCTCTGCATTCGACCTTGTTTTACCATGCGGATGGCACTGGCGAGAGCTTGTTCGGGGCTAATTTCGTATGAGCCCATTGGCAGATCACCCACAGTGAAGGAGCGGTTGACGGCTCGACTGACTGCGCGGGCAGACATGATCATTTCGTCGAGGGTGACTTCGGAGGTGTCTGGCATGCCGAGCGATACCATGGCCAGGGAGTCGCCGACCAGGACCATATCCATTCCAGCTTCTTGTGCTATAAGTGCCGAGGGAAAGTTGTGGGCGGTGAGCATTGTGATGGGAGATTTGTCTGCGTACATTTTCTGCAGTGTCTGAATGGTGACTGGTTTTTGGCCCCTGGCCAGCATAGCGGGAGAGGTAGGAGCATGTGAGCTCCAGCGTGTTTGCTGCCATGATCGGGTTATTTGGGAGACGGCTGTCCGGAGTGGTCGTGTGAGAAGGGGGTTCCTGCTTGTGCAGGCTACTGAAGCCATTTTATTCAGCCCGGTCTGATGCGGGAGGCTGGAAAAGGTACAGAGTGGGCGAGGAGGAGGATCAGATTCCGATTACTGTGACTCATTTCGTAGAAAGCACCAGCGCAGCGGTGAGAGAAAAATTGGGTGTTTTTATTGTCGGCGTGCTGAATTGTTTAACGTAGATCTGAGAAATGGTGTTGTTGACTTGAACGTGCCTCGGCGCTGACAATTTCGGTGCTGCAGGCACTCAGCTTACCGCAACCGACGGGGGCTAACACGCTTTGAGCTTAGGCGGCCCAGGCGCCCGAAGGGGTTCATCCCTAAGCCCAGGGCAGCCTGACTTGGGGTGATGATGGGCAAGGCTGCCTCACTAGGTTCATGTGTTGGAGTGTCAACTGGTGATCTTGATGATCATGCTGACTTGCCGCACCCTTTTGGCAGCAGTTGAAAATGGAGCCTTGCCGTGCCTTTGCGTATCCGTGATCGCGATCAATGCGCTGATTAACCAGACAAAGAAGGGCAGCTGACTTCTCGGTACCTCGAGGAGACACCGCACAGCTTAATAAAACCTGGCGGGGGAACCACTTTAAAAGGCCAGCCACTGAAACGAGGACAAGAGACAAAAGACAAGAAGAACACCCCACGTCCGTTCTCCAACATTGCATATCAATCATCGTTAACTTCCTGCGTTCGTTCTACCATCTTTACAGACTGACACTGTTTCTAATTCGTCAACTACTCTTCAAATACTCAGGTTCTTGACCTCTCGTCTTCACCCACCACACCTTCCCTACATACCGTCACAGTGCTCCGGGGAAGAAAGAAACAGCCGAGTTCAAACCGCTTATCCGATCCTCTCCCGTGATACCCAATCCCAATCTCTTCCGACGATTCTGTTGCCACCAACAATCATATCTGCCTTGTCCCTCTTCAAGACGGTCTCTGCTTGGCTCGCAGTTCGACTGCTTCCAAATCACTCAGTCCCTCAAGTCGAACACGCTCAGAGGCTGCTGCACCCAAATAGCATCAAGAGAAAACATTCACCATGAGTAGTCCCAAGCGGAGGATAGAGACGGATGTGATGAAGCTCATGATGAGCGACTACGAAGTGACATTGGTCAACGACAATATGCAGGAATTCTACGTCATCTTCAAAGGACCATCCGAAAGTAAGAGCATGATGATTTCCTATGACAAATGATGCACTGATCGAGACGACAAGACGAACCGTGACTGACTCGCCGACGACAGCACCCTTTGCAGAAGGAAAATGGAAAGTCCACGTCGAGTTACCTGATCAATATCCCTACAAGTCGCCTTCCATTGGCTTTGTTAACAAGATCTTCCATCCGAATATCGACGAGGGGTTAGTCGGAATACAAAGTGTATCAAGAAGTAGGGACTGATGGATATTTTGCAGATCCGGATCAGTATGCTTGGATGTCATCAATCAGACGTGGTCACCCATGTTCGACATGATCAACATCTTCGAAGTTTTCCTTCCTCAACTCCTGAGATATCCCAATCCTACCGACCCACTCAACGGAGAAGCAGCGGCCCTGCTCATGCGAGAACCGAGAAGCTACGATGCGAGAGTGAAAGGTAGGGTTGAGCAAGGCTAGGTTTGCGCGTTGACTGATTGGATACAGAGTATATCGCACAGTATGCCACAAACATCCATGCCGATGCCGACGAAGACGAGAACGAGACGGATGGGGAGTTGAGCGAGGTGGAAGACTTCAATAGTGATGGTGAGGATGAGCCAGCTGGAGCCATGGAGGATGTATGAGGGACCCCGTCAATTTGGGGCATTACAGCACCGGCGCTATCTCGACATTTGGGCTATATACTGGTAGGGCGCTCGGAGCACCATGGATAGGAATGGCAATCGGCAGGGTATGGTATCTAGCCGTAGTCCGGGCTTTCAGGACGAATTTGCTGTACTTCAAATAGTTCTTGACTTGAACTCGTCTCAACAGCAAAAATTATTCTGTGCACCTCGTGCTGCTTCACAAATGCGTGGTTTGGTTAGAGCAATGACCCATATCTTATATCCCACGTCTGCTGGCCAAGTGCGTCATCGGTCTTCAATAGTCTCATGAGCCCAGCCACGAGCCACGCGACCTTCACCCACGAAGGCCACCACCTTACCCCTCCCACTGTGCTATACTTGAAACATCGAGTTCCTCGAGTCCATGTTCTCTCCGCAAGCAGCCGATATTGACAACAGCTCGTTTCGATACTAACACCACGGCACACCGTAGATCCGCGTGCGCAGACATGTCCCAGTCTCTTGACCACCTACCTCCTGAGGTCCTCCTCTGCATCCTCTCATTCCTCGATACGTCAGATCTACTACAACTAAGTCGCACATGCCATGCATTACGCGATCTGGCCTGTGACCCTTTGCTTCACCTCGAACGCCTGCACCATGCCTCCTATACGGTCGCCATTGCACTGGCGCGACGACCATTAAAGTCCACCATCAGTCCGCCCAACTCATGGATCTGGCTGAGCAGAACCAATGTGCTATCGCGCCAGATCAGCAAGAGTCTGATCCGCATACGCTTGAGCCACAATCTCGAGCACAGACCGAGTCCGCGTGACTTGGTCGAGCGAGCAATTCTCCCATCCACATGCACCACCTATTCGTCCCTCGTTTCTCCAGCACTAATACAGTCCCAACAAGCGGTACAGAGGCGAAGGTTGATGGATGGACTCGGTCGCAAACTCGAGCGCAGGCCGAGCATGAACAGCCTAATATCTATGAACATTATGCCCGAGGAGTGTGCCCGCCGAAACGTGTCTCCCGCAATTGTGGCCACGCGGCGCAAAGTCATACGAGAGAGCTTGAAGGACGGTCTACGTGCATGGGTCGAAGGTCGGGCATTACAGGCGCAAAAGCGGAAGGCAGACGAAATGGAAGCAGTAGAGAAGAATACTGTTAAGACGCTCGTACGAAGGTTCGCAGCGAAGAAACTTGCGCTGGAGAGGGCGGAGAAAATCAACCCTGTAAGTCTGGAGAAACGGAGGGCCCAGGCGAGATGGGGAAGGGAAGTAGAAATGGCCAGACAGGAGGAGGAAAGGAGAGTCATGGCAAATGGTGCGTGTCCACAGCCCACCAGGGCCCATGTGCTGGGATTGAAGAAGTTCTGGGAGGGTGTTATTAGAGCTGCTGCTGGATAAGAAGAATCTGCAAATTGCTGGAATCGAGGATTCAGAATTGATTGCTACTACTCCGTGCATATCTGGAGGCAAGAAAGCTCCGAATTGTAGCGAACTGGCAGAGCGTAACCTACAGCTCGCCTTCTCCTGCTCCTGGAGCTCGAATGGCGACACCGTGGCTACAATTTCCCACTTATAGATCCTAGAAGTCCATCTCTTCTGTCAATACTCTGTGTTTCGTAACTGCCCCCAAACTTCCCACCAGGACTCTATAGCAAGGCTGTGCCACAAGGCTGAGAAGGCGTTGTTGACGATGAGATCATAAGCAACACCCGCCCGTTTATGTCGAGATCCAATACCATGGTTAATGTGATTTCTTTCGCACACAGATTTCCTCTTTGCAGCCCTTAGAGGCAGTACCAGGTAAGTCAAAGCGTCCCTTATCCCAGAGCACCGCAAAGCGCTGACAAAATGATGACATCCAGAGAGGAGAATCCTTTGCGAAGCCTGACTCTACAAGACCTTCTTAAGCGCAGCGTCACCACCACTCCTCCTGCGCACGCCGCGAGCGAACGGAGAACTCGAAATCACCCATCTCAGCCAAACGCGCAAGCCCATAGCCCGACGCCATCCGTGTACAGTGGTTGCAGCGGTTGTCCTGCCAACGCAGATAGCGCGCACCCGGTTTCACCGCTGGGTCCTGCGACATCACTTGCAGGACCTCGTTACTCACCAGCTCCCTTTCCACAGCCTCTTCCGCGCGCGTATACTCCCAAATTGGTATTTGGCTCGGATCAGGCACATGTCGAACCTGGCGCAGCAATAAACCCTGCTCAATTCTTCAACTTCACCTACCCCTTCGACATGGTACGAGAACAAGTCCCACCTCGGAATCCACTTTCGCCCTCCATGGGGAATACAGCACCTCCTGCAAAGCCTCAAGAGAAGGGCAAGCAGCCAGACACCACTCGTCCGCAACAGTTATATCCGAACCTACAGAATTCGACTCTAGAGCAACCTCAGTTTGGCAAACCTACGGCGTTAGGTGCGTCACCACAACCATACTCAAGAACACAACCTCTGGTGAGACCGACTGCGAATGTCTCTGCCCCGCGTCAGGCCACGGGTAGTCAGCCAGACAAATACTCGAACCTGTTCGTGGCATCGAAGAAGCCCTCGCAGAGACCAGAATTACACAAGCCACACGGCGTCGCAAACCCGCTGCAAGCATTCAGAGACTTTGACAATGGCTCGAGTCAATCGAGCGCGTCAAGGCCACGACCTTCAGATGACGAACTGTTCGAGATTCCCAAGCCTGCAAACTTGCCTCAACAAAATAACACCGCCTCATACCAAGCTAGATTCTCCGTTGACGATGTGTACGAGATCCCAAAGCCTGCGAACTTAGCGACATGGCAACCCAAGCCCGTCGCTCCTCCAACTTTTTCTTCTCAGCAATCGGCCAATCCTTACTTTATACCTCAGAACGTCGTGGACCGGATAGGTTTTGCGACCAATAGCACGCTCTGGCATGAAGAGCAATATGCAGCCGCTGATCCTTCAACGTATATGGACTGGGGCAAGGCCAACGAGAATATCAAAGCTTTACTCGAAGGCGCTTTTGAGGATGAAGAGGACAAACCACGGACGCGCAGAAGAAAGAAGCAGCTGGAGACCAAACTTGACGAGTTGTCCGACAAATTAAAGGGTATGTCCGTCGCAACCGACGAAGCCGACAAAGAGACTGGGGACGACGAAGACGAAGAGGAAGAAGACGACGGCACCATCCCTGGGCTGAAAGTCAAACTTCTCCCTCACCAAATCGAAGGCGTTAGCTGGATGTGCGACAAAGAGACGGGCATCAAGAAAACAAGAGGCGTCCTTCCCAAGGGCGGCATTCTGGCAGACGACATGGGTCTAGGCAAAACCATCCAGTCGATTGCCCTGGTTCTAACCAACCCGAAGCCTAGCCCCGAGGAACTCGAAAAGACAAAGCGCAAATTGCCCGAAGGTATCGGCAAAGGAACTCTCGTCGTTGCCCCGTTGGCCCTGATCAAACAATGGGAAGGTGAGATGAAAGACCGCGTAGAAAAGGATCACGCGTTGAATATCTGCGTTCACCACGGCCCTGGCCGGACGAAAAACTACAGAGACCTCCGAAAGTACGATGTCGTGATTACCACGTATCAAACACTCTCATCCGAACATGCTGGATCTGAAGGTAGTCTGAAAGTCGGCTGCTTCGGCGTCCATTGGTACCGCATCATCCTTGACGAGGCCCACAGTATCAAGAACCGGAATGCTAAAGCCACGAAAGCCGCATGCGCCCTGAACGCAGAGTACAGATGGTGTCTTACGGGCACTCCGATGCAGAATAACCTGGATGAATTGCAAAGTCTGATACATTTTCTAAGAATCAAGCCGTACGACGACCTGAACCAGTGGCGGGAAAGTATCACGAAACCGATGAATTCAGGACGGGGTGGTCTTGCGCTTAGAAGGTTGCAAGTCTATTTGAAGGCTTTTATGAAGCGGAGAACAAAAGATATCTTGAAGCAGCAGGGTCCAAGCAAGGATGACAAGTCGGGCACGGCGACGAAAGGGCCAGGCTTCAAGATTGTCGAACGGACGGTCGAGAAAGTCGAAGCCGAGTTCACGGAGCAGGAGCGCAAGTTCTATGAGCGGCTTGAGTCACGTACGGATCGTAGTCTTGAGATGATGATGGCTGGCAACAAAATGAGTTATGCCTCGGCGCTGGTTCTCCTGATGAGATTGCGACAGGCGTGTAACCATCCGAAACTCACCGGTAGTGATTTGAGCACCGAGAATGACGGTGCCAGTGGATCTCAGACGCCGAGCCGTCGCAAGGCCAGTGTTGAGGATGACATGGACAGCATCGCTAACATGCTGGGCGGATTGAGCGTCGAGTCGAAACGGTGCGATGTGTGCCAGATGGAGTTGACCAAGCAGGAAGCGCACGACGGTGCAATTCGATGTGCAGAATGCGAGGCCGATCTTGAGGAGCAGAATGTGCAGCTCGAGCAGAACAGTAAGGCGAAGAAGGAGAAACGAGTAAAGAAAGAACGACAGGCCATTCGCAAGCAGCGCAAAGAGGCGCGGCGAGTCATCCGAGACATCGATGATGAGGATGATCCTGTCACCCCAGCTCATGAAGAGGACGAAGAAGACGAAGCCTCGAGCCTTGATAACGATGAGGAAGAGTCCACGTCAGATGAGGGCATTGAGGCACCGGGCATAATGCAATCCACCAAGATCCGACGCCTCCTGGGTCTTCTCAAAGCCGATGCACATCAGCACAAGTACATCGTCTTCTCGTTCTTCACATCAATGCTGGACTTGATCGAACCGTTCCTGCGGGAGAACCGGATCAGATTCGTCCGCTACGATGGCAAGATGCGTAACGACGCGCGCGAGGCGAGTCTCCACTCATTACGTACGGACCCTTCGACAAGAGTGTTGCTGTGTTCACTCCGCGCAGGCAGTCTGGGACTGAACTTGACTGCGGCGAGCAGAGTTGTGATACTGGAGCCGTTTTGGAACCCCTTCGTCGAGGAGCAAGCCATCGACCGCGTACATCGTCTGAATCAAACTGTCGATGTCAAGGTGTTTAAACTCACGGTCAAAGGCACGGTCGAGGAAAGAATCCTCGCGTTGCAGGAGAAAAAGCGTGAGTTGGCGAATGCGGCGATCGAGGGACGCAAGGGCGCGATGAAGTTGACGTTGCAGGATATGTTGAAATTGTTTGGACGAGATGCTGAGAGGGAAGAACCTGTTGAAGTCCAAAATATTGGATCGGGCCCAGGACTACTTGATTCCTCTGGATCGAGACCTGGCGGGTCGGCGTCAGTGCCTCAAGGTGCGAGTACGAGTCAAGGCATGGCGATGATGGGAAGCAATGCTCGGTATGGCGCGGGGAGTGGGACTGGGAGTGGAAGTGGAAGAGACAGAGACAGAGAGAGGGTGAGGGAGAGGGAGAGAATGAGCGATGGTACAAAGAAGGTGCACAAGGATCATGAAATTTATGGACGGAGATGGTGATGGTGATGGTGATGATGATAGCGAGCTTTTTGTTGCTCGTGCCTCACACTGGACCCGCGATATCCTGTCTACAAATTGGTCGGAATACGCGACTTCTGGTTTGACGAATCGGACTTGTAAGAGCAGGGGCTCTCGGGCGTACACGGTGCTGACCTAGGGTGCGACGACTGAGATGCCCCTATGTTTGTCTGCGTACGAAGCACTCTTCTAGAGGGCTCCGTCGAAATGCGATTTTACTTTCAGACTATGTTTTGTGTGTCGTGTCAATGTCTGGCCCGTGAAGAGGCTATTCCTTTATTATACCGGCATCAGCGTTACTAGGACCTGTATCTTTGCTAGGTACAGTGCTCTGGCACTGCAACTGTTTTTGCCGGTCCACCCTTCGTATGCGACAGAAGAGATATGCATATATGCTCTGGGGTAGGAATGCTACTCATAGACCAAAGGCAGGGCGGGGATGATCTCTCGAAGGAGCCGCCCAGGACTAGGACTTCACTGAATCAATAGAGGCTGTATCTCCAGGGCTTGGGAGGACTGGTGAGTGAATCCTCCGATACGAGCCTGAGGGACTCTGAGATGCGTCCGGGCTTATACTGCAATGGTTGACAATCACCAAACGCGAGGCTTACCAGGAGCCGTGAACCAAATACATGGCCCTGGAAATCTCTGGCTATGCCCTGCTCTGGATATCCAGCTCGCAATTAATTTGGACCATCTGCGTGACGCAGGGCGGCCCAATGAGGTGTATTCGGGATTGCGGACTCATAAAGGTCTGATCAGGTTCTTGGAGGCACAGCACGGGGTGGAGATGCTTCTCTGCTTCCATGCTAGGTCGCTAGCCTGGGATATTTCTGTGGTCCGGTTCTCTCGTCGAAGCCCTGTACACCAAAGGTCCATTGGAGCCATGCCGCATCGCTGGAATCAGCCTGTTCATGGTGAAAGCCCAACAAGCCTTTCCGTTTCACGCGGAAAGTCCACCATTCCAACCCTCAACACCTCCGATATATCTCACGGCGTAGTCGTCACTGAATTCTCGAGATCTAGATCCTCCCACTTGTCGAGCAGATAATCCAACCCCTTGTCGGTGAGCTCCGATTTCTCCTGAGATGAATTCCCGGTCCGCAAGTCGGCAAAGAAGTCGCGGCAATTCTGTGGTAATTCGATGTTTCTCTCTTGTGCAGCCTGAAGGACGGCAAGTAAAAGTCCCCTACCCACAGAGAACCTTCGGCTGGCGGCGCGAATAGTGAGACAGAGTTTGAAGAAGGCCTCTTGTGACTGCGGTCTCTCGTTGAGGCCCTCCAGTAATGGAAATACTGCAATGGCCACGGGTTGCATGATGATGACCGGAAAGTGGTCAGTGCCCCACTCCAGCCGGATCTGTTCAAAAAGGTCGGCAATACGGATCGACGAGGATATCGCGGTCTCTCTCCATTCGGGTCGTTCATTAGAAAGCTGTGTCCGTATCAGTGACGGGTGTGACCGGTTTCCCGACTCGACCGCCGCCAATTGCTTGGACATCATCACAACGACCCAATTGTGAAGAGCACTAGGACTATAGTCAGCAATGATCTCTGGATATTGGTGGGACAGGTTTCTAACTGCAAGGCGATAACGTGCGGTGGAGATCTCCCATCAAGGTTCATGCACTCAGGTAATGTTTTGTGCCAATTCCGGACGCCGGTATATAGTTCAGCCAGTTCTTGCATGGTCTCCTTGGAGGTTGTCTCCTCCTGCTTTGCCATCAATGCTTCGGCCCTTGCTGATTTTTCGATGATCGACACAAAGCTGAGATAATGGCAGTCTGGATGGAAGTCCACCGGAGGATGCGGCTGCGGATAGGGAGTCCAGCCGACGTAATCTTCCGTTTCATGATGAGATTCCGGCTTCGGACAGGAAGGCGGCTTCATGAGCTGGGTCTTTTCGAAATCCAGTAGGGTGCATGATTTGAGAGAGTACAACGTCCACTCGAGTCTATCCAGAGATTTGTTGATGCTGTCGAGGTATGCCGGTGCGAGGTTCGAATTCCGTTTTATCTTTTGCCGCCACTTTTTCAGGTCTTTGGAAAGAAAAATTTGCTGGCATAGGACAGTGTTGCCCAACGAATCTTGACCATTGGTATTGAGACTAGGAGTGGTAAGTTTGGCATGCCGTTGATGGGCAGGTGGGTTGGCCCACTCACTATGTCCACTGAACACCAAGCGTTGCCACCAAGGCCAGCGACACTCGACCTTCCTCGGCTTCCAGGCCTTTTTTGGCCTCTTGATAGAACTGTTCTCGGATCCACTCGTTTGGCTCTGACCCGTCGTCCGTCAACGTATCCAGCAGCTGGATCGGGTAATAGTTAGGTCCAATCAGATAATACAACCGCAGGCAGAACTTACACAAGCGTCGGCAAGAATCATGTTCACCAGGTAGGGTGTGCATACGAGACTGCTTTTGTCAGCCGACCTCATGGCGTCCAGGAACAGTTGCTCATCGACCCAATGCCACCAGGGATGCGCCCAAGTAAACCACAGCGAGATGAGGTGCGAGACAAAGTCATCATCATCCGTGACCGTCGTCCAAGGTTTTGCGGGTACAGACTTCGGAGGATTGACGACGTCTTGAATCCGACCAAGCATTGGGCGGCGTATGGCCCGGCTCACGTGGTTCGAGTGGTTCGAGTGGTTCGAGTGGTTCGAGTGGCCAGTGACGCCATCCAATTGCATCGCATCAGGACTTCCTCGGAACTCAGACTCGAGATAGTCACGGATACTGTGTCTCGAACCTCCATTGCGTATGACTTTGAGAAGTGGCTCCAGTTGAGTCGGTGTGGCTGTCCGGATCGCGGTGAGCAAGTCGTCGAAGAGTTGACGATCGCTCTCAAGAGCACTAATCTTGCGCTTCATTGCCAGGCGGCGGCGGCCGTCATCGTTTTCATCTTTGACGCATTCGGTGTTGTGCGATATGCAAGAGACACATGGCAATCCTTCATCACACTAAGGAGTTAGCTAGTCGACACAGATGTGGCGATAGGATCACCGACTCGAGTCCGCCGTTTCTTACAAGCGAAGCAGGCGACGCTAGTTTTCCTTCTGCTCTGGAGTTCAGGTCTGGGAGGTGACATTGAAGAGTCTGTTGTAGTGGCCGGGACAAGATTTCGAAGAGGGTTATTTGACATGACCACGGTTGAACGTCACAAAAAAGAGGCAACTCAACTCCATGTGCTTAGACAGTGCTAGACAATATGGGAGCAAAATCCTTTGGGGGAAGTTTTCTCAAGTTCTTTCCGGCTGGTCGGCCACGAGTGATGCTAGCAAACTCGGTCAGATCTGGGATGATAATGGATGGCACCGGTGCATTGAGCTCCACAGAAAAATAAAGATGATGGAAGACCCAAAGACCCAAAGACCCAAAGACCTCAAGACCCAAAGACCTCAAGACAAGCCAAGAAGCTCCCCAGACGCGCTGGCACTTGGACAGGCAGTAGGTGGGCAGGTCGCTGAAGTCATGCATGTTGGCACCAACCACAACTCGATCCGGCTGCTTCATCCGGTGTGGAGGCCCATGGAGGCCAATGAGGTCATTGACCAACACGAGTTGTTTGAGGGTGTGCAAGAGGGCAAGAGCGAAGGCCAACATCGTACACGTATCATACTGGTCGCACGTCATACTGTATACCCTAGGTACATCCTGCGAGGAGCTACAAGAAGACCTTGTTCTTTCTAGGCACGACCACTTTGGTTCGAGAGGTCGGGTGGTTGGTAGCGGCCATCTTTGGTACCAACCAAAAACGATCGTACCGAGTAACACAGTTGGACGAATCGTGTCTGAGAGAGGCTTAAGCAAAGGGGAAGTAGCGAGCCTTTGCCAGCGAATCAACAAGTAGGAAACTTAGCCAAGCGAGGATTCCTGTGGCTTGGACCTCGTCATGGGCGTCGATTACAGTCTCCAGGACCGAGTGACCGAGTCATACCTGGGGGTAAGAAACAGAGAGAAGCTGATGGGACGTGGGATGCGCGTGACCACTCATCTAACACTTCAAGGACTTCTTCGATCAACGTCAAGAACACGATCGTGACAAGCGCCGCTTTTCCCCCAGGCACGACAGGACAGTGAGACACAATTCACCCGGCCAGGAATGTTGTTCCGTGCACGTGAATTCACGCTCCTCTAACCAGCAGAACTCTCCAGATTTATGACATCCCGGAATGGATTTCCTCTGATGATCGGCGTCCTTACCCCCTGCTTGCCCCTGTGGCGTCTCCAAAGACCAAGATACTGAGCCGCCATCTGATAATGTCATGCCACAAGCGATGCTTAATTCGCCCAATGGTCAAGGCAATATCTTTCCGTGACCAACCGGACGCCATATCCGCCGATGCAATCGAAATGCATCATTCCATGGTGGTGCGATACGTAAACCAATAGATCGATCGTCGATTTCCGAGATGGCCATATATAGATGGAAAATCAGGGAAGACGCACGGGGATGCAACTACACTTCCAAGCCCTATGAGCTCGCAACAGAACCTCTGTATCGACTCGACAACAAGCACCAGCCCGTTCCAACCTCTGAAACTCGAGCAACCCAACACTTACCACACACGCCATGGCCGCTGTTCTAGCACCCAGACCTTCGCAGCCACTGCCCCACAGCAAACCGCCACAGAAAGAGCTGACCTACGAGGATTGGAAAGCTGCACGCGATCTCCGCTCCATGGTATCTCCAACCAAGTTCACCCTCTGGCGAGATCATCACAGGCGGCGAATGTCATTACACGAACAATACAAGGAAAACTCCAAGACCTTGTCGTCTACTCTGCAAGAAATGTTGGAGTCAAGGCTGTCCTCGGCATGCCCTTGTGCTGTATGCACCACTCGACCGCAATGAAGGGTTGAAAAGTCCCTGGAGAAACCGTCTCAACACCGCCTGCCATAGAGCAGAAACCCCTAAGCCTCCAAGCCTCAAAACACTCCAGCCTTATCAGGCGGGCGACCATGATATGTCAACCATATTAAATCATCCAACAAAGGTGCACAGGCAGCGTCACTGCAAATTTCAGCAAGACGACCAGGAAGTGTTGCAGAAGCCTATGCGGTAGGCAGCAGTCGCTGCCTCGAAGCGTCGCAAAGAGACTGGGTGGCCAAAGGCCCAAAGCACCAAACCTTGCTGGCGTTGAGCGCTCTCAAGCCATGTGTGCCTGCCTCTCGGTCGACCCGGGGAGATCGACAGATCGAGGAAACATACGCCCATTGGAGGTAGCTGGTTGGAAAATCAGATTGGAAGTGGTCTAGGGATCTCCCACGTTGGCCCATGACCAGCAAAATTGGGAGAAAGGTCGAGCTCATCAACCTAGCTCGAGGTTGAGTGCCAAAGTGCACAAACCCTCGCGATAAATAACTCACGGGTTCGTTACATTTCGTCGTGCAGATGAGCGAAAACCGTAGAGAAGCTGTCAAATTTGTATAATAATCGTTGTATGATAAATCTTCCGCGGGTTAGATCGCGACAGCAGCACGAGCCGAACTCGAACCCGTGGCCGTGGACCAGTCCAGTGCGCGTGGCAATCCATGAGTAGAAATAGCAACTCCGGACGAAACACTCCTTTCAGCCTGCTACTTCACAATAAGGCCATGATGGGCCCATGGCGCCTGGCACACACGGGCCCCCGCGCGGCCCAAAATTCCAGAATCATGCCAGAAAAATTTCAGTGGCACAAGAGCTTGAACAGACCTCGCCTTGCGCAATGGAACTTCCCGGTCTGAGAAGAACACGCAACCGGCATATTGCTACTGATGGTAGGGTATAGTATACTGTGCAACTCAGGTCAGGTAGATAGATTTAGAGCGTGGAGTGTTGACTGATTCTATGGTGAAGATTCTGCAATATTATATAGGAGCAGGAAATTTTCCTCGACCCAGGTCACCCAGGTCCATATGCCGCCTCGGTTACCACGTCCCGTCCCTCTACTCTTTCTCAGAAGCCACAACATGTGGCAGTCATCATCACCAGCGTGCTTTTCCAACTCGGACATGCTTTGCCACCACACGGCGGACACGAGCTCGAAAAGTGAAAACTGTGCCGGGCTAGAAGACTTTTCCGAAATTTCGAGCTAACAAATGCATATGCAGGTCGGGTATGGAGTAGGACCAGGATCACTGACTGTGCCTGCGCGAATAGCGGGAAAACGTGGCAGCCACAAAACTATCAGGTCAATGTCTGTAAAAGGCAGTTCATAGGGCGCAGGCCAATTTGTTGACCCTAACCGTTGTTCTGGGTCATCCATAGGGCGGGACGACAACCCATCTGCATTGTTCACCGGGCCTGGTCCAGGCGAGTCTCTGCCCATCAATGAATTTGAATTTGGTGCAGTCTATTAGGCTCGTTTGGAGGAAGGTCAATGAATACAACGCTGCTTGTCCAGCAGCGGGTTCACAGAGCCAGTATCAATCCATGGCGACGAGACTCCGGGGAAATTCGACGAGTTGCTTTTATCAAGGCCCAAAGCATTCTATCGCTGTTCCCGGACGGGCTGGGCGACGAACTGATTGTGTCTGAGGGTGATTTGTGTTGCAGGTACTGTAACGATGTGGTGGCAAATCCTTCACTTAAGGAGTACTCGTACTCGTACTGTACAATGGACAAGAGGATCACCAAGACTTCGGACACCGCGCTTTTGTCCATGCGAGATGCCGACGAGGAAGCCGGGAGCCAAGAAGGCTAAGCGGCAGGGCACCTCGGTCGTCGTCCACGAATAAGGGTAATCAGCAATGCAGGCTGGTCGCTGCAAGTGCAAGGCTTCGAACGAGTGAGAGCCAAAGAAAAGGGGGTCAAGCCCGGGCGATGAAACGTGGCTGCCAGGCTGTAAAGGGTCTAACTGTGTTCGGCCCCAATGACCGCTAAGACGTCCAACGGTGTGTCAACTGGGGAACCAATGGATAAGTGGCCAATCTGTGCTTCAGAAAAGGCCTCGATTTCAGCTGAGTTGTCGAGTTGAGTTGCAGATGAGCAGTTGGAATTGTAACCCCGAAAGCGCTCGTCGACATGCCGTCAGGATGGGCGGTTCTCAGATCAAGGCAAAGGCGAGAAACCAACATGTTCGAGGGCTGCATCGGACAATTTATTCCAGGCTCGGCGGTTGAGATTACTGGCAAGCGGAGTGGGCCACGCCATGTGCTCAGGGCTGCGGCAAGGGTAGTGTTAGGCTAGTGAGGCTAAGGCGATCACCTCCCCAGGCGTCCTTCGAGAAAAATCCAGCTAATGCCCCAATAAGGATAGGCATGCCACGCAGGTGTCGGGACAAGGGTTTAGGCGTGGGAGGCGTGGGCCTGGCATTGGAAACTGCGGTTTCAGGATACATCAGGCTACAGGTACGATCCAACCCAGGCGCTCCCAGGCAGCTGGGACGAGTGAAGAAGGAATACTATGATACAGTGCGGCTCGAGAGACATGCCCGGTACCGAGTTACAACGTACTTACAACTACTGAGACTTTACTATGTAGACCATCAGCCAAACTTCCAATGTTTCTTCCCAAATTGTTCCGTCAGTCACGAGCCAGTGTCAGTGCACGGCTTCTTTCTTCAAGCTCCAACCACGACAATCCCTGTTTCCGCTATGCCCGGACTGATGCCACTAAAACTTAACTAACTAGTCGTCGTGGTCGTCCCCTCGAAACCCCTGCACCCCTGCCTGGTGAGCCTCCGCTCTGCCAAAGAGAAATCGTCGGTTAGTGAGCGCGCTGGTCTTAACTTAACCCGACCTGACCGCATCCCTTCCCTTTTAGTCTCTTGTTCTTCTTCCACCAAGTCTGTGAAACCTCAGGATCGGAATTCTGTAGGAGACTAAGACCCCATTTCCCCTGTTACCATATCAGAACCAACAGTCCGGCTACAAGTACGAAGTATCAAGCCATCGATAGTCGCCCCTCGGCCGTTGCAGACAACCTCGCTTGAATTTCCATACCGTCGGCACTGCTTTTTCATCCATCACATTTCACCCCTTGCCGTGACGGCCACTTGCCTATCAACACCATATACCTTGTTACACGCTTACCTTCAGAATTCCGGCCTTAGGATCTCGCTTGGACGATTCACTCATCGGTCGTCTGTCATGTGGCCTCGATAAAAAATCCGAATTGGTGGGAGTCCTGGAATTCGATCTCTCAACTCCACATCCATCTTCACCGCCACCTCAGCTTTCCGCCGGTCCCGCATAACGTCTCATCACATACACTCAACATCTCTGGTATACATCTCTGGCATCTACGAAAAAACCCAGAGTTCACAACGCATTGGGTGACGGCACCTATGTCAACGTCGTTGTACATGAGGAAGGAGAAGTGGTATCCCTAAAGACCGACTGGCCGCGTATCCACGCCAATGGGGAATTCCCAAGGTAAACCGGTGGTCTTGACTGACGAAGGTATGGCTCGATCACGGCCCCCGCTTCATCACAAGAGTCTGGCTAACAACAATGTGTAGTCAATCTGAACCACTTTCGTCTTTTGAGAGTTGTTGGCAAGGGTGCATTTGGGAAGGTTCGTATCGTTGAGCGTAAAGATTCTGGCTTGACATTTGCTCTCAAATATATTCGAAAGGACGAAGGTATCTATCACAGCCGCCAGCTCTTGAGTCACTAATAGATTCTGACCGTACTAGTGGTGCGCTCCGAAAGTGTTCGCAACATCATTCGCGAAAGACGCATGCTCGAACATCTGAACCACCCCTTCTTGTGCAACCTTCGCTACAGCTTCCAAGATGTCGAGTATCTTTATCTTGTAGTGGATCTGATGAATGGAGGCGACCTTCGATTCCACATCCAACGCAAAGCATTCACAGAAGAAGCCGTCCGCTTCTGGATGGCAGAATTGGCATGTGCCCTTCGCTATATTCACGGTCAAGGCATTGTACATCGAGACCTCAAACCCGACAATGTACTACTAGACTCCGAAGGCCATGTCCACTTGGCAGACTTCAACGTCGCTTCCGATTTCAAGCCCGGTAAGCCACTGACCAGCAAGTCAGGCACTTTGGCCTACCTGGCGCCGGAGGTGTTCAGGGGCTCGGGTTACTACAGCGAAGTGGATTGGTGGTCATTGGGAGTGACCATGTACGAGTGTGTCTATGGAAAAAGACCTTTTGAAGGCAAAACCTATGAAGACCTGGCCGAAACGATCTCCGCGGCGAATCCACGCTATTATGTCACCAAACCACCTGTGTCGATGCCATGTCTCACCGCGATGACATCTTTGATCGAGAAAGACCGACGGAAACGGATAGGAGCCACTGGGTTCGACACTTTCACCTCACATCCGTTTTTTCAGCCTATCAACTTTGAGGCCCTAGAACGAAAGCAAATACCGCCAATTTTTGTGCCCTCCAGCGAGAAAACCAATTTCGATGCCACATACGATCTTGAGGAATTGCTTCTGGAGGAAGCACCCCTAGAAGCCCGCGCGAGAAAACAAAAGCCGAGAGCCGAGTTACGCAACGATGCAACCAGCAGAGAGATCCGGGAAGACGAGCTACATCGCATGATTGAAACAATGTTCGAACCATTCGATTACACCCTGGCGAGTTATGAAGTGTACGCTTATCTTGATGCAAATAATAAATGCACGCTAACCACAGACAGGCCCGCCTCAGCAGCAGTTGCTGGCACAGTGCCAGACGAGCATGAGCACTTGGACACCACCCAGCCCGAAGCAGATTCTGTTCCCACCTCGCCAGATGGATCTCCACCATTATCGCCGAATAGCTTACCGACACCTCAGACGGAGGACACTTTTGCTCCATTAGACGATCTCAAGGCAGCATTACCCCATGCACAATCCACGCGGCCAGCTTCGTCCTCAAAATCCTTCAGTCGACCAATACCGCCACAAAGACCCATGGCTGCAACAAGACAGCCGAGTAAAGGTGGCGGTGTGCAGATGGTACTTGATGAAACTGGGAGCTGGTCGAACCTAGCAGATCAGACACCCCCTGGGCATCCGGATGCGATCTCTGGCGAGTCGGGCATCAAATACGAGAAAGGAGGCGGCAGCATGCTTGGCTTCTTGAGCAGGAAGAAAGGCAGAGACCGAAGTCCGAAACCAAAAGAAGCTGGGGTGTTGGGCAAGATTGGTGCGAGGCACATCATCAGCTAGACGACGAGTGAGGAAGATGATCTCCATGCGGTCGCGAGAGACCAAAGCTAAGATTCAATCCACATACAGGTGGAACAGCCCTTGTCAGAAATCGAGAGAAGCTCGCAGAGACGACGAGGCATAGCCGAATATGAGGCTGAAGCAAGAGACACAAGCATAAGCGAGTGGTGGGAGTACTGGTTGAGAGCAGGACTATACACATGGATACCCGACATGACATACACAGTTGCATTGACTGCAGATGATCACTCTTGTACGTTGCCAAACACGCCGTGTCCTCGGAGCAGGACAGTCCGGCACATAGGTCAGCTCGGTGTTGGGTGGCATTTGCACTGTATAAGTACCATGTAGATGCTAATATGTAATTATAAAGGAATGAAAACATACGTCTTTTATCACAAACAAACAACAATGCCCAAGAGAAAGAGATCACTTGTGGGGCGGTGAATTTGGGTTGCTGGTGTTGATTGTGTTTGGTTGTGGTTGCCAGGCGCGGAAGCGATCCAGCGAGAATCGAGCTTGGGTCAAGAAAGTCCAACTAAACCTCTTCCTCCAATAACAGCCAAACGTCAACACGACTGCTTTTGCTCACCTCTTCGTTCACCTCTTTCTTTTCTGCTACTGACTCTTGTGTCTTCTTCAAGCTTGTGCTGGTCGGTCTGCACATATCTATACTCCAGACCTCCCACCACGTCGGCCATGTCCAACTGTTAGTCTTTGTTCCGGTCGTCAAAGCAGCAGCACGCGTCGCGTGGTTCTGTCAGCATACCCCTCCCTGCCATTCTCGACCATCACTTGGACGAGCCGCCAACAAGCTCGGAATATCCTTATGAATGGCAGCTGCTGTATTCATACCACCCTCACCCCATGACCCCCTCGCAAAAATGGCCAATGTCTCTCGCCGAGTCCCTCTGGCAAGCCTTTCCAACGCCACAAATTCTCCCCACCGTCCTCTCACCAACAGTGGTTCCAAGCGACCGAGAAGTCTAGCCAACATCTCTCAGCAAGAGAATGAACCGCCACAGAAACGTTTGGCGGTCGAGAAAAGCTCCAGGGATGCCCATAACAACGTCGCCACGCCTCAGAGGCAGCCGGCCCCGACTATGGCCGAGGGCCGCGTCTTCGAACGAGGGCACGGTGAATCGGGGTCTACTGCTTTCCAGAAAAAGCTGGTAGCTGCTCGTGAGAAGACTGCAGGGCTACGGGTGACCAAGAATGTGGAGGCGACCTCTAAGGAAGACACTATCCGCACCTGGCAAAAACATTATCGAAAACTCTTCCCGTCCTACAGCTTCTACTTTGACGGAGCGTCGGAGGAGGCACGGGCACGCTTCCTTCGACAGATCACGAGTCTTGGAGCGGTATGTATTTTCTGGTCAATCTCGGGGAAAGATGATAACTGACAGGCGCTGTAGAAAGAAGAAAGGTTTTTCTCCAAAGCAGTCACACATATCGTCACTACTCGTCATATTCCAGCAGAGTCGGCACTGCACAATGATACTGCTGGGCCTTCTCCGACCGAAGACCAGCCTCAAACCATCAATCCGTCGCTGCTCGAAAAGAACCCACGTGGACACGCGCCTACGAATGGAAGACGTGATGGGATGAACCATATGGACATACTAGTAAGGGGCAAGGAGATGGGAATGAAAATATGGGCCGCAGAAAAGCTACAAAGGGTGCTGGGCTCGATAGTTGGAGATGTCGGCAGTCTGACTCACCACTCTCGGGGGACCACTCATGCAAATCGAAGCCAACATGAAGACTTGGGCCAAGTGCTGAAGAATGAGAAACTGGCAGCGTCGTCTGAGAGGGAACAACCATTCTTATCACTGGTCGCCTTCAAGGGCCCATTCATCTACGTTCACGACATGGACGAGAAGTACCGTCCCACGATGGTCAGGGAGTACCCTAGAGTTGCCCGACGCTCCGATGGAGAGTGGCCCCAGTTCCGGTCTGCAAGTATCGGAAAATGTCCCTTTGTGGAGGATCCAACCATGAAGAGGGAACTGGAACAAGAGCAGCGGACCAGAGCTAGGATGGTTGGTATGCAACAGCAACAACAGCCACAGCAACCTGTGCAGCGCACAAGGTCGCATATGGCAGTCGGACAAGCAAACCTCGATCCTCCGCCACGTCGTACGAGTCCAGGTAAAGCTCTACAGCCGGTTCGCAACACGACCAACGCACCTGTAGACCCGGACTGTGACCCCAGGGATAAAAAAGCGCATCATTCGACCCACGAACGGCAACCTTCGTTCCCCCCGATGCCAGAGAGACAGTTCGAGTTCGTTCGACCTGCTCAGCTACACATGGCCCGTGAGCCAGCAGCATCTGGGATACAAAGGTCCAACCTGACCTCTGCCATTCAATCACAGATGATTTCTTCCACGGCTGCCACTGGCGTCAAAGCCGGGACAAGCAAAGAAGTCCACCACCAACTGAAACGGCAGGTGTTGGAACGAACCCATACTGGCAGTCTTTCTGTTGGATCTATACCGTCATCACATAGGATGACTGACCTGGCTGGTGCACTCAAGAACGTTCGGGCTCCTGCGCCACAAAGAGCAGCTAAGAGCAAGGCGCAAGAAAAATTGGGAGGAATTCAAGAAGAAGACGCTCATGAAGACGACATCGCTGCCGAACGAGCTGCCCAGGCTAGTCGGAAAAAGAAGGCGGCCAAGAGAGACCCTAAGCCAGGCTACTGCGAGAATTGCCGCGACAAGTATGATGATTTTGAAGAGGTAAGAAGCGTCTTGCAACACTATATGATCTGACGACTGACTCAAACTAGCACATTATTTCACGCAAACATCGAAAGTTTGCTACGACTCAGTCGAATTGGACTGAACTTGACGCCCTTCTTTCCAAGTTACAAGCATGAATGGAGAAAGACACCCCATTCGCGAGGAGTTTCATTGAACTGAGCAACGTCCTGCTCAGATGGGAATCAACAGACCAGGCGATCAGCATTTCCGCTCACATTGATTACGAGCATTGAATAACCTTTTGCATTTTAGCGGCAAGCATGTTTTACTTTGAAGCATCAACAGTGCCAAAACGATAATACAGAAAAGTGAAAAGAGGCAGGGTTCGATGGGTTGTGATGGCCTTGGACCCGTCGACCAGGCCATATTTTAATTCAGAGCGGCCATTGTTTGAGGATTGAAGCCAGGAGTGATGAGACGAGGGAAGTGTACAGGAAGATGAAGGATTGGACGGCCATACGTCAGTTGATGAAGCATAGCGATATTTGATGGTGAATTTATTGGTTCACGTTGCATTGAAAGGAGTCTGGCGATATTGATATGGCAATTAGTGTGCAGTTCACTACATTAGCCCTGTGATGCATGGAGGCTGCTCCGCTGCTTGAATTGTGATAGGATTGAATTGAACGCGTTCATGATACTATGGTACTTGTCTGCACGCAATGTACAGCTCGCAGATGGAGCAAACCCGTCAATTTTTGCCTGGCTTTGATCGACGCCAGAGACTTTGCTTGATGTGTCCGGGTCGCTATGAGTACGAGCAGCCTATCGAGAGAAATGAGGGTCATACTACTCTATACGGTAATTCAAAATTCCTAATTGGGAGAATGTCACTCATTTTCATCGACCAACATCAGGTGGAGTCTGACTATAAATTGATGTTGCCAAAGTCCTTTTCTCTTTCTTCTTGTCCTCTACATCATCCCCACAACCGTCTTCCTTTATCTCTCGAGCTTGTGGAAGATGGAATACGAGTGCTCAAAGCCCGAGATGGACTTCTGGTCGCCTTCTTGAATCTTTCATGTACGTGCGTCGACAAGCAGCAGCCAAGTCATCCCAAACAAAGAAATAATATTCCTTGACAATGACTATGGGTGGGCATTTGGTGCTCCTCCTTCGACGCATATCACCTCGTCCAATGACTATGATGACTCGCGTTCGTGCTTCAATGCCAAAGCAACAAAGAGACCCGTTCCCGGTATTTCTTTGTCGAGCTCGTCTCAACCTCATTCGAATCTGCGTCCTCCATTCATCGTTTCTCCAGGATGGAACAAAGATGCCGCATGCGGTGTCGCTGTTGCTTTCCGAATACTCACGTCTCATTCAGTCTCAAGGCGGTCTTCGTGCTTGCTTTCGTTTCTTGGCTGATGACCGTAAGTGCACATTCGCCCATACTATCTCGCTCGCTGGGCAATAGGTTCACAACTTGACCATCTGCAATTGGCCTTGACACCGCTGCGGCAGTCGACCCGGCCCACTCACATCACGACTTTGGCTCGTACATCCTCAAGGGAAGCACGAATTTTCCAATCCAGGCACAAAGTCCCCCAAATGGCGCCAAAGAAGATCCCGATCGAAAGTCGACCCATATACGAACGTGCCGACTGGACACGGGATAGAGACAAGCTCGACCGACGAGTCCGCCGATGGAGATTGAAGGAATGGTACGATGGAAAGGCGGAACACTTTGCCTTGTCAAAGCCCAGAATTGAGCCGCCTGGGACTCGGGAGGATGATTTTTGGGAGGTTTGTTCTCCTTTCCTGATAGCACACATCATCAAACAGCTTGACAACGAAAGTCGATGGCGTCTCGCTTTCCTGACTTTGCTTGCTTCCCGGTACTAGTTCTAGTGGGTGGATGTAGGCTGATGAACTGCAATAGTGTACAGACATGCTAGGCCGTGGGTCATTCGGGATGGTCGGGAAATGGACCAAGTTCGACAACCGAGGAAGTGCTATTGATGTATGGCCACTAGCGAATACAGCTTCCTCCCGATTCTTTGCTAATTATGTGTAGACCGTGGCCATCAAACAAGCTGACTTCGACAGAGAGCTCGACATCGACCGGCATGGGAGCATTAGCATACCTTGGGAAGCGCGGACAATGCTGGAATTGTACGAGCAAGGATGCGACAACGTTACAAGGTTGCGAGGCTTGAAGCTCTTCGAGTCGGACCATTCCACCGCAAACAAGTGGAGATACTACATCCAGTACTACAGGTACGGGACGCTGCATGGCTTGATCAGCAATTATAAAGAGGGCAATCGGAGACATCCTGGAAGGGAGTACGTCGCATTCCAACCAGCTTGTCCTCATGGCAGGAATCCTTTCCATGCTGACCACTGTCGTGCGTGCTAGAGAACGTATCCCCGAAGCCTTCATATGGCAGGCTTTCCACGACTTCGCGAAAACGGCACATCACATGCGCACCGTACACTTTGACGAGCGCGTCGCGCCGCCAGGAAGGGATCATTACGTGCTGCATTTGGATCTGAAGCATGAGAATGGTACGCCTCGCCCCGTCCCGGCCTTACACTCGATTGGATGTACTTTGGCTGACTCTCACTTGGTGCAGTTTTGTTGGGCGATGCACCTGCCGACAAAAGTTTCATGACATACCCGGCCATAAAAGTGGGAGACTGGGGCATGGCCGCGTGCACGAACTTGCAGGATCCCGATAACAGTCGAATATGGAGGGGCCGTGGCACGATTGTCTGGTTTCCACCCGTAAGTTAGCTATCACCCGGTCACACCTTCACCTACTCCATTCGGCCATGCCCTCGTTGGGTTCGCTAGAAAGGGAGCTGTCGTGCCGACCTCAATACAACAAGCACAGATACTAATTCTGCCTCTGTGATAGGAACAGCGCAACTTTGGCCGTTACGGCTCAAACTGGCGCTACCCAATCCTGGGCCCTTCCAATGCACCCTTCGGCATGAGCCACGTGATATGGCAAATCGGTGCAAACATTTACGGGTTGATGAACCTGAACCAGCACAACGAGGAACTCGACGAGCAAGTCAATCGGCATGAAAAGATGGAGGCGGAGCTTCGGCGGGGCGGGTACTCCATGTTCGAAGAGCTCAGGAGCAGAGTGTACAGCTCCGAGTTGGCGGCGCTGGTGGAAGATTGCCTCCGGCTGGATCCTCAACGGAGGCCGGGCGTCAGAGAATTGGTCAGGCGGACGGAGCATGGCTTGAAGCCGTACCTCGAAAGGTGGATGAGAACGGGGCAGTGCCCGTCATTGAAAGTCAAGATCGTGTGAGAGCGGAAGAACCTGGGATTGAGAGGAGACAGGATGCAACCTGGACTTTTCCTACCTCCAAACCTCTAATGTCAAGCAGCCCGATTCCCGCGAAAAACTGGAGGGATATCTCCAGGTCTAGAACTTTGGCTAGCCTGGAGAGTACTTCAAATAATACGAGGATGTCTCAGTGCAGAAGACAAATGTTTGCGAAGGAGCCGGATTAAGTCAGGCTGAGACGAATCAGAAATTTTAGTTGTAAAGAGTTCAGGTAGACGTTCAAAATCCGAACTCCATAGCCCAGTGGCCTTCGAGCCTTAAAGCTACAAGCATCCCACAAGGCTACAAGGCTACAAGGCTGACGCCAAGCATCTCCATCGCCATTCTGCTGCATGAGGACCTTTTTCTCTCGGATTTCTTTGGCCTCCACCTCCAGCCCAGTCTCGCAGTCGACAACCTTCTCTGCCGCACCTTACACACGGGCACACCCCAGTCGCGTCATCGTAGTCGCGGTTTCTTCCTTCAACAGCATCACTGCTTGTCGAAGGGTGACATGGCTAGCGTTTATCCTTGTTTCCCTTGAGCTGGATCTCAAATCCTCTCTCTATTCTTTTGACGCCTTTTCGTCGCTCTACTGGTCGCCGAAGACAGTTTTTCACCTATCTCATCGTATCATCCGTTGATTTCAGAGCGTACAAGATGGAGGAAGCGAAAACACTCATCCGGACCGCAGTCCGCACCTTCTTTAATCAGCCCAGGCAAATCCTGATCGTCGATGCGCTCATGCTTCATTCAGTCCTCGGAATGGATGATCTATCCGTCCTTCTCTCCGCCCAGCCGAAAGACATCCGCAGCATTATGGGCCCTCTGCGCGTCGCCCGCCTCGTTCAGACACACTCTCGCATGGAAGTCAGAGTCGGGTCTCAGCGCGGAAGTCCCCGAGAATACTACTACTGTCCCTTTCATCCTGCGATCGACGCCATCAAGTATCGTATTGCCAAACTCCGTAAGAAAGTGGAAGCTCTGTACCAGCAAGACGAGACGAAGCGGAAAGACTGGCGCTGTCCGCGCTGCAAAGCCGAGTACGAAGAGCTAGAAATCCTAGACAAGATCGGAGATGAAGGTTTCTACTGCGACCGGTGCGGCGCCACATTGGTACAGAATCCAAGAGCGGCCGAAGAGAAAGGCAACCACGAGAAGATCCGACGACTGAACGACCAGCTCAAGAAGTTCGACGACATGATGCTCAAGATCGACCGAAAAGACATTCCAGAAAACGATTTCCAGTCGGCCTGGGACAGGAAGAAAGACGTACCGCGAGAGCGGGGTGGGAAGGAACAAGGCCAATACATAGAGCTTAAGCGGGACAACAAGAATCTGAAGAAGGGCCCGGAGATGGTCAAGGTCGAGAACTTGGCGGTCAATCTGACGAGTGGCGCGCAGCAGGCCCGAGAAGAAGCAGAGCGTGAAGAAGAGAGGAAGAGGTTACTGGCCAAACAGAATCAATTGCCGGCATGGCACACGAACAGCGCAATTGGTCCCGTCAACGGCGCTGCGACAAGCGTAAAGGTGGAAACGGCCGAGGCGGACGGAGTCACGCCTAAAAAGGAGGAAGACGAAGACGAAGACAAGAAGCCACATGTCGTAACTACAACGGCCAGCTCGATTCTGCAGGATGAAGTCGCCGCGTACATGGCGGAGATGGAACGTGAGCGGCTTGAGGCGGAGAAGCGTGCCAAGGAGGAAGACGAGGAGGAAGACGAGGACCTGGAGTTCGAAGACGTCGATGTCGCGGGCGCGAGCAATGTAGGCACACCGACGACTGCAATGGATCTGAAGCCTGCCAACGGGCTCAAGAGGGAGTTCGACGAGGAGAGTGGGCCGAGCAGTGATGCCAACACGCCGGCTAGTTTTGCTGGTGCCGACGGAAGAGACAGTAAGAGGGTGAAATTCGAGAACGGCACCTCTCTGGCGCATGTTAAGATTGAGCCTGGTGACTCTGTGGTAAAGACAGAAGCGGACGGGGACGGGGACTCGGATGAGGATGAAGATTTCGAAGATGCCATTTAACGCAACAAGGAAGGTACCTTAATGGACAACCATTTTGCTAGGGCGGTTATGATGGATGGGTATCAATCAGTGACGGCGCTTGATGGGATGTGCATTATTACGTACGGTTACAAAAGCGAGGCGTTCAGGGAGAGGAATATGGTCTTGTGGGCGTATCTTGCTTGCCTAAAGACGCCGATTTCGATTTCCACAGGGCAGAAAAAAGGTACACGGGCCCATGCCCGAGTAGCTCTAATCGGCCATGCAGCTCCTGACTTACCTTAAGGTATACTCGTTGTTGCTACTATTGGGAATTTGTTTTGTCCGAGACCAAAATCAGGGACTCCAAGAACCTCGTACCTAGGTAGACATGAAATCAACACCAAGAGATACAGTCCACACGCTGAGTTGCACTGGCACTACTGGCAACTTTGCCTTGGCTAGAGAAGCAGTCTTTGGAAATGCCACGGTAAATATTGAGTGATGGTATCGATATCAACCACGCTGTTGTCGGCATGCATGTACAGCAAGACAGTAACTAAGTTATACAGTATCCCAGCTGTGCCCAGCTGACCAAGACAAGCCCAAGTTAAAAAGGAAAATTGCCGTTCAAACTCCCGTCGCTGGATAATATGCCTTGCCTTGCCTTGCCTTGCCTTGCATCGTTTTGCCTTTTCTCATTCCACTCTAGCTTCTGAAGCAGGCACAAGTATCAGTATCCCCAAGGTGAATCAAGCCCCCAAAAAAGAAAAAGAAAAACAAGAAGCCGAAAATCGTGCGCCCAGCCCATGGAGATAGCGGTCGATGGCAGCAGGGACCCAACCCATGTCGGAGAGGTCATAGCACGCGTGGTCGAACATGTCGTTCTGCACGTCGGGCATATCAGGGGCGTCGCGTCCTCTTTGATCGTGCCGGCTGTTCTCTCGCTCAGCTCCCTTCGTCCAGTATGTGACATATTGCCGAGACGTTTCTGGGACCGTCCGTGAGACCAGCAAAAGGTCTCTTTTGTAAGCCCCACGACCAGGAAGCTGGGTATGGTTATGATTCAGGGCTTTCGTGGCCGAGTCAGATCCAACGCGTCCTGGATGGACATCCAGGTGCCACGTGAAAACCCCCCGACTTCTTTTTGCACTCCTTCCAGCATCCTCGCTTTTGCACGTTATTGACGGTACCTATTCCTGCTCTCGCTCTCTCCTGGAAACCAATCCCCTCAGCTCGGCACCTGCCTGCTTCACGTCCAAGACTCCCTTTTTCGACCTGATAAGACCATAATGACTCTTGTCAACGTCCCTGTCGCTGCTACCGCCCAAAGATAAGGCCCAAGATCCATCCACCCACCCAATACACCACGAGCAACACGACGACAATGATCCCCGCCAACTTCAGCACGGCCATTTTATCACCTTGTTTCGCCATGCGGGTCAATCGGCCCGCGGACCCGCGGATGCTCGTGCTCATATTGCTGAACACTTCATTCGTGTTGTCGAGCGTCTCCTGCGACCGCGCGTTGTCGTAGATGTCCAATGTGATGTGCTTGAGAGCCGAGGTCTTTTGGGAGAGAGAAGAGAGGAGCGCATTGTTCTGTCTGTGTGTTGTCCCGAATTAGCACCTTTCCTTTCCGGGGGACAAAGCGGCGCGAGGGCATCGTTCATACGCAAGGAGAAGGTGCACGAAAGCCAGGTTGGGGGAGGGGCGCAATGCTGGATTTTAGGCGAGTAGAGCCACTTACTCTTCGCGGGCGTATGCGTCGGACATTTTGCCGTGGACTTTACGGTGTGTTCTGTTTGTGTAGAGGGTACGGGGTTGAGGGCTGATGAGGCGTAGGTCGAATGCCAGTTGTGCGCAGTCAAAGGTGGCTGATGAATTAAAGGTGCAGGGGATTTGGGTCAGAATGCACCAGGCAGGAGATCACAGAGCGAGGGAGAAAGTCGAATCCAATCCGCCACAATCTTCGAGAGAGGATCACGCGGAGGATGGCAGAGCTGTGAGTCGGGACGTTGAGAGAATAGCGCGAGTCCGAGTCTGTTCTGTGCGTACTCCGTAACTGGTGAGATAATACGAGTAGAAGTCGAAACAAAGAATGACAGCGGAACATGTGGCAATAACTGTCACCTTGACACTAAGTTAGCCTGGTGGCCAGCCTCGTCGGCCACGTTTGCGGAGACAAGGCTCGACAAGGCTACGCGCACCCATTTCTCATTTTCCTACTCTGTACTCCATACCCCGTTCTCAGTACTCCGTATTCTGCGCAGATCATGCACCATGGCTTCGACTTCTACTAGTATGAACAGAACCATCCGCCTTGGACAGTTAGATTCTTCCTCTCCAGCTTGATTTAGCGGAAGGACAAAATGATGCTGCGATGAGGGCGGCACTATGGCCAATATATTCATTTACCACATATCTCCCAATGATCCCTCCTTTAGAGGCCATGAATGATATTCCACTCCATCCACTCGCTATGCTAGAAAATAACAAAAGAGAATTGTATGTAGCTCGCTTCCTTTACGGACCAATTCAGGAGGCTCGCCTCCAATCAGAGGCCAAAAATTCGCAAAAAAAATGTCTCTTCATAGAATCTTACAAGAGTAAGTATTACCACATATCATCGTCATCGTCATCCAGCTGAGATCCATATTGGCCCTGCTGCTGCTGCTGCTGTTGTTGTTGAGGAGGAGGAGAATGGTACTGATGGTACCCGCCACGGGCAGATGATGATCCATTACCTTCCACCGAGCTTTTGCTGCCTCGCGAAATGGGTCGTAGATCAGAGCCGCTGTCATGTTCATATGCAGATGTATCGCTCATATCCTGTTGAGAACCATTTTTTGTTGGTTGCTCAAGGGACTGCTGTTGTGCTTGCTGCTGTAAAACTGTTAACGAGGTTCTCTTCAATTCACACACAAGCAAGCTTACCTGTTGATACCGCTGATATTGAGTAAACTCATCTGGCTGCTGGTCTTTGGGTGGTTGTTTCCTTTGTTGCTTGGCGCTCGTGGGTAGATTCATTTGCGGGTGCATCTGTTGAACCTTGGCCAAATAACTGTACATGAAATTACTCAACAACACCTGCGAATATAATGCTCGACGAGGATTGGCAAGTTTGATATGTGCCATGCGGTAGATGGCCCGCTCTTCCAATATCGAAAACCGGGTCCAGTTATAGTCGATGTCGGCTTTTAGTTCTCGATATGGTGGTTCAGGCGACAAGCCACGCTCGCGGTACTTCTTCGAACTGCTTTCCTTCTCCCCTTTGGCTTTCTTTCCACCAAAGATGGAAGAGAGAAAACTTTCTTTCTCTTTTTTCGTGTCACTGCCAGACGACTTTCGCTGGCTTTCTTTCTTCCGCTCTTCCTCGAGCTTGAGGTTGTCACGATCCAGAACGATACTCTCACGGCCTTTGCTGCTGCCGTCGATGGATGTTTGAAGCACATCGAGTCGGGTGCTATCATGTTGTTGAGGTGGCTTGGCGATCTTGGCCTTTGGCTTTTCACCTTTGTCCTTCTCACCATCCTCTTTGCCGAGCAGCCAACCCCATGATGACTTTTTCTCCTCCTTCTTCTTGTTGTCAGCGCGCTTGTCGACCGTGAGTGTCGGAATAAACGACAAGTTGCTGGTATTGGTGTCATTGCCGGGAAGAGGCGAAGGTTGCTCGAGACTTTGGGTTGGCCTCGTTTGTGGCGGCATGGAATTTCCGACTGGGGGCGGTCGTCCCGTTATATTCGGCAGAGAGCCTTTGCTCGGCATGGGTGGCCTTTGAGGCGAGATGTTCCTAGCCTTGTCCTCCCGGGACGATACCCTTTCGGGGTGCCTGACTGGTGGTTGTGTTGCAGGTGGTGCTGACTGCATCGAGGATGAACGATGCGGCTGAGCAGGCAGTCGGGGCTCTTCAGGCGGAGGCACCTCCACGATCTGCGGCACCGGTTTCCGTTCGTAAGGAGCACTGATTGGAGGGGGAGATTTGGGTGCCGGAGGCGGTCTTTGGATTTCTGGCATACTCGATGTGCTTGGTCGTCTGGCAGGATCGTCGTCACCGAGGACGGAATCGAAAGCCGATGGTACAGATGAGCTCAGACTGGCCAATGATGACAAATCGCGACCAGCCGGTCTTGAGAAGTTCATAGCAGAGCTCTTTGATAGCGGTGTCGAGCTCGAAGGATCTTTCAACGTCTGAGCCAAATTGGAGACATCCACAGAGGCAAAACTTGGAATGGGAGGGATCGCAGGTACGGCGGACTCGGGAGAGTCAGGCCTGCTTCCTGACGGACTCTCCGCAGTAGCTCTCCTGGCCGCCCTTTGCGCATAAGTACTGCGATCGGCTCCTCTTCCCTTGACACTACCACCACGTCTGTACGTTGTCCTGGTCGACCTCTTAAGGCTAGAGCCGGGAACCGATGGCAGTATGATATCGCCGGTCTCGTCCTCCTTCGGCGTGTCCAGGTCAACCTTCGACAAGCCTACAGTATTGGCGACCAGGGTCTCGAGTTCGTGCAAGTTCGGATCTTGAGGTGCTGTTCTTCGTGATTGCGATTTCTTTCGTTCTAATCGTTCTGCTCCATCTTGATAGCCCACAGAACTATTTATTTGCCGCGACAACATTGATTTCTTGCGGCGCAGACTAGAGTTCCCGCCTTCGGCGCTCAACGAGCTTGATCTTGAGGATGAGGGTGAAGTAAATGCGGACAACTCGCCTGATCGTCGACGTATTTGTTCAGCCTTGCCCTCAAGAAATGTCTTGAATTCTTTCGGCGCCAGTTCCGGGTGCAAACGGGCTGGGACCCAAAATAAACGCGAGGAATCATCTTCACTCGAGTCGGGCGTCGGCGCATTTGGCATACCAGCTGCGTTGATTTGTGGTAAGTCAGGGTCGTCAGTTGCGCCAACACTCATTGACATCCTCCTTAAAGCTTGTAAATTACTCAACTCTTGCGCCAAACCGGCCGGACTCGACTCGTAGTCGATATCGTTCAAGGGAAAAGAAGAAGTGGCGGTATCGGACGGCGACCGTTCTCTTGAACCCGCTGGTGGGGAGGGAGACGAACGATTGCGGTCCCATGCCTGATTATGGGTAGAAGGTCCCCGTGAGAGCCCGTTCGGGCGTGCGACACCATTTTCATTTGTGGTGGCTCCGCCTGGCAGCTGCTTCCGGGGTACGGATGTTCTTCTCAGGGTTCTGTTTCCCTCGGTACGTACACCGTTCGTCAGGGCTTGGGGGTTGAAGTTGTCGTGTTGATTCGAATAGAGGTAGTGATTATGAGAGTCTTGATCGAGGTCGTCATCGTAGAGGTATCCGATGGTCTCGGTGACATGATGGTTTTCATCGCTAATGGACAATTGTGGAAGATGCCCTCTGCGGGCTGCGAAGCTCGCGCCCGTATCTGTATTCCGCGTTGAAGTCTGTGAGGGGTCACTGTGTCAGCTTCTACGGCGCGCATGATGTGATGTGATTGCGGCTCGAAACGATCCCAGCCGCTGTATCTGCAGATCTCTTCTGGCGGCCACAGGCACACACAATATAATGGAAGGTATGGACGAACCTGCATAGAGCGGACAACCGGCTTTGTAGCCCGAGTGAAGAATCTTTATGGATGTTTGTCGCGTTGGTGGACAGGCAACAGCCTTCCCTCCTGGCCTGCCTCCTGCGCGCAATGGCCGATCGGTTGCTGCTCCTGAGCAAGTCCTGTAATCATCGGATTCGGTCGGCAGGACGGGGTGTGATAGGATAGGGAACTCGAAAGGGGTCGGCCGTGAACCGCGAGGTGGCAGTAGGGTGTTTGCAGTGGTGACGGAAGACAGTCATACGAGTCGGAACGTGGGTTGACTGTGTGCCATGGCTTAGACCAGCATTGTGTAAAGATGTCAAGGGAGTGTCCAGTGGGCTAAATCAGGCTCGTGGTGATGTGCAGACTGGCAGCACAGAAGCCGCGCTCCTGGAGCCAATGGAGGAGTGACAGGACTTCCTGATCCCTGTCGATTGGGTGGGTTAGATTTTTGGTGGCGTCGAACTTTGCTCCTTTCCAACACACCCACTGCACACCTCGACGCCTGGTAAATGGAGTACATCCGGGGGGTATTCTACGAATGGCTGCTCTTATTAATTCATCCTTGCATAAACCAGGCTTTTGCATACGCCTAAGACTGTTGTTGGCTGTTGCTCTATTGATCAATGCTTATGCTATGTAGATGCTTCATCTCATCCGATTCCAGCTGTCGTTATCTTTTCGTCTTCGCAATCTCGTACCCTAACCCCACGGGTTATCAAATGGGTCAGATGCTCCTCCAAATCCACCTCCACTGGGCTTGGGAGCACCGCCAACTGGTGTCTGGGTCGTAGAAGCAGATGTCCAGCCCCCAAAATCTTCATCTGCCGTCACTGTCGGCTGCTGTGTAGGCCTGTTGCTCGATGACATTGGCTCTGCCCATCCGCCGTGGATATCGTTGGCCGTGATATGCGCTGGAGGTTTTCCTAGCTCGACCTTTGCTTGTCCAGGCTGCGGGGGGGCTGGATCTGGCGCTCCCCAAAGACTGCTGTCATTTGAAGAACCCCAAGGATCAAACAGTGCTGCATTATTTTGTGGCATCGCTGAAGACTTGAACGCCTGAGATGCTTGTTGCGGTGCTGGCTTCGGCGCGGATACTGTGGGCGATGACAAGTTGAACGGAGAGCTGATGTTGGTTGTACTCACTGGAGGCGAGGAAACCATAGGCGGAGCTGGTCTTGGTGGCGAAACCGGCGTAGAGCTTGCAAATCCTCCGAAATCATCGGCTGCAAACAAATCGGCCGCAAGAGAAGTGGCAGCAGGCTTGGGGGCCGCCGCAGGTTGAGGAGCTGCTGCTTTTTGGGTGAAAGAGAAATCCAGTCCTCCAGACGTCGAGGGTGAAGTGACTGTAGGTTGTACCGCGGGTACTTTGGACGGCAAGGTATCAAAGAAGCCTCCACCACTCAATGGCGGTGGGGAAGTCACCTGAGGAGCTGATGGTGCAGCTTTTGGCTGTACGGAGCTGGTGAGGTTGCCAAAAGCCGAGAAAGCGGAAGATGGTTGTGGTGGGGAGGGCTTTGTCGTACTTGTGCTAGAAAAGTCCAATCCTGAAAAGGCGTCCGTCAGACCGCCAAATGCATCCTGCTTCGCAAGTGGCGGTGAAGTCATTCCCCCAAAAGATGGCTGCCGGTCGTGCTGGGGTTGAGGAGCGGGTTGAGGCTTCGGTGCACTAGCATACAATGATAGAATTGAACTCTTAAGGTCTCCTCTGCTGTTGCTAGATTGTGTGGAATTGGCCGCTGCACTTGAGGGTCTTCCGATACCAGCAGATGATGTGCTTCCAAAGAAATCCAAGCCCAGCAGAGAATCTTGTGGTTTGGAAGCAGGTTTCGCAGCCTGTGCCGGTGCCGGTGCTGGCGGAGCCGTCCTCGTTGGCCTTGTTTCCATAATATCTGCCGTGCTCGGCCTGACAGGAGGAGCAGGTGCGAAGTCGTCGAACAGGTTGACATTGGCAGCTGGACGGGGCTGTGGTGCTGGTGGAATGGGCGCTTGCCGCTGCGAGGCTGACCTCTCCATCTTGGCCTTCTCTTGCACAATGTTCAGCGGCATATCGTCCTCTCCGTCATCCAACGTGGAAGGATCGGGCATTGGACCATCCATGACCCATCTCTTCGACTCATATTTTGTGCGGATGAAGTTCTCAATCTTCGCTTCTGACGGCATGTGGCCAGGTGCCAATTTTGCCTCCCAGTATTTGTTTGCTCTTGAATTGCCCCATTTCAGGATGTTCTGCAGTTGTTCATCGGTCCAGGCATCAAGGTCGACTGACTTGACTCGACTGATGTGAGTGCCCATACCTCGATGAATGCCTGAACACCGAATGCAGACGAAGACTCCAAGGTTCCAGCTCGCCCATCTTGGATGTTTGTTTCTCTTGCAATCTGCGCAGACCTTGTTGCCTTCAAGTTTCACCAGCGCCTTGAGGGTTTGTGCATTCTGGGCAGCTCTATCGGCGGGAGCCCGTCGAGACATCGGGATAGATCAAAGGTCGCTGAAGTACTGACGGATGTGTAGTGGCCGACGTGGTTTATACGAACCGAGAAGGCTTCGTGATCGAAATCGGACACCTTTCCAAGGCACGGATCAGGGCGTGAAGAGTGGAAGCGCGTTTGATGGGTGAAATTAAGAGATGGAGACGAGCCCTCCCACTGCAGCGGTAACACACGTCAAATGCAATTGCCAGCATGGAATGGCCCGCAGCCTTGGAGGATGGAAGCCGTCATGCTTGGCAGGACATGAGAGTAAGTTAAAGGATACCTATAAGCTAGCCCCCTGCCGCCCTACACCGCCCCCGTGCGCCCCTAACTTTGGGGATTGCGGTTCACTTGTGTAACGTAATGGCCGCTTTTACCATTACTTCCTTGACTCACTCGCTCTCCCTTGCGCCGTCGCCCTCACCACACAATGTACGGTACAATGGCGTGCCGACAAGACGGCCTGTATAGACAAAAGGACAATGTTCCGAGCGTTCTCGCGACCACTATAGATATGCTCTCAGAATGCTGACCATTTCCTTCGGCCATGCGCGCATAGGTCCGAGTCGAAGTGTAAATCTCATGTTTGAGATGTAGCCTCGATTCGTAAGTTTTTATCGTGGCTCTGAGTATTCTGCTCCGTCCTGCCAGAGGATTGTTGTTGATATTGCATGGCCGACCGCCCACGGTATGACTCGTAACCAGCAGGGCGACCGATAACTGTCCCCGGTCGAGTTTTGTTGCGTAGATGATACTCCTCAGCTTCTGCTTTCATGTCTGATTCTGCGTGACTTGTAATACAGCAGCGGCACATCCAGGTCAAAGGGAAACCATTATCGCGTACATATTGGGATGCTGAATAATTGTGTGTCTGCCTCATGCTGAGTAGAGAACCAAGACAACGAGAAGTGATTGAAAGAGTGAAGGAGACTGACAATTGTCTGGTGTAGCAGATCGAGCGCCTTCATGAAGTTGGGTGATGGCTCGCGCGAGTCGGGTAATACTATCCGTACGTTAACTAGTGTCCATTGCCTTGTCCCCGGACCCAGTTTTCTGCAATCGTGGATGGAGGCTCGACTACGGATACAACGTTTTGATAGAACTTGGGCTGACGAGGATGGCTGCTTACCACTACTAGCCACGGATGCCGATTTCAGCAAAACTCGATTTGCATCCGTCCATCAAACATGCATATTGAACACACTACGAAGCACAACGCTGCTTCTACCGAAGCTGCACTCACCTCGACAAGTTCGCAGTACAGACGGACCCCGGAAACCTGGAGTTCTCAGCCTTGGTGTTAAACATCATCAACAACTCTTTGCATTGCGGGTACATATATCTCATCTAGGAAGCGCAGCTCCATTGATCGGCGACGACAAATCCAGTGGATTGACCGGCTATGACATTCTTCATTGCCCTCTAATCAGAATTGCTGGTCATTCACCGCCCATCTTCGTCACAAGTTAACCCAACCGATCAGTCAAGATACCAACGCATCCGCCTGACCTCAACCCCTATACGTGGAGAATTCACCACGGCGCTACCGGCTACATCGCCCCAAGCATCGAGATTCAAATCAGGCAGGGGCCCCGTCGCATCCCTCGCCGCCAGCACGATCCGAGCGTGCTGGTCGGTTTCATCGTTGCTGAAGTCCATCTTTTCGCCGCATAGAAGTCTCGCCTTGCCGCTTGGGATGACGCTTTCGACCCAATCTTGCAGTGTCGACGTCCAATGGTCGGGGAAGAATTGGATCTGGATCGTCGAAGAATTTTCCTCTCCCGAGCTGCCCTCAGAGGAGGAGGAGGAGGTGGTGGTGATGGTGGTAGTGGGGGTGGGAGTAACAACCAAGTTACACACGAACACTTTCTCATGAGTTTCTGAGATGCCTTTGCTCAGCACACGCTTGACGGTGATGGTGTGCCAGTACCCGATCAAGGAGCCCATTTGAGCGTCGAAGCCGCTATAGATTCGTCCCTGCAGACGAGCGAGGTACTTCGGTGCCCAAGAGTACGGAGCAGGCAGACCGCGAGGACCATGCATGCCGGCGATGCGTGCCGCGTGCTGCGGTCGAGATCGCAGGATCGCTAACATGCCCTCTTCGTATGTGTACTCCTGCTTCCACTCGAGTCCAAGCAGGGCGAAAAACCCTCTTGCGTAGTCGATGTCATTCTCACACGACCGGTGGTCACAGCTCATGGCGATGTCAGCGAGCGAGATGCCACGGTCGTGAAGCGGCGTGAGCCGGTAGAATGTCAAGTACAGCTCATGCCAACGAGAGCTGTCGCGGGCGTCGGCTTCTCTGAGAGCCATAACCATGTCCTCGAAATCAACCACGCTCGTGGCGGTGGGAATCTTCAACTTGTGGGCGAGTTTCGCTTCTTGATAAGTCCACACTCTGGTCAGCCAGCGGGAACATGAGAGAATGGCCGCGGTTATCAAGGGATCTCTCGATTTGAGCTGGACTGTGAGACCATCGAGCACAATGATCGACTCAGCGTTGGCATAGACATGCCGCAGACTGTTGATGAGCCTCGTCTTGAGAGTTTTGGTGGCCAGATCTTGACCTTTCGGAATGGCAAGGAGGTCGAACCAGAACCACTCAGACCCCGTCTTGCGAGCCACATCCATGACGCGGATGAAATGATGCATGTTGAAACCGCGCTCATCCTGCTCGGTCTTCTCGTCGTTGTACTCGAGCCCCATTGTCTCGGCCCAGACATGTGAGATCGCAGCGTATCCTGAATCAAGCACGCGAAACACCCCCCATCGATTGACGCAGAGCGCTTTCCCCGTGTTCGCCGCTTGCTGCACGAGAGCGGGATCAGGCTTGACAAAGAAGGAGGAAGAAAGGGCTTCGACGTTCAGATCCGACATCCATTTCAGAGTCTTCTTCCTGTCCTCCTTGTTTGCGAGCATCAGCAAAGGCGAGAACGGGATCGCAAGGGCATCCACTGCCCCGACCATGGCGGTTTTGGCTGCGAGTTGCTTCCATCTTCGAGAATCGGTGGGGATGGAGCGGTAGATCGGGCCAAGAGGGTATAACTTTCTGCTTCCGTCCGACTTCCCCCTGACGATTGGCGGCATGTTCTGATCAAACAAGTCTTTGACCTCCTGCGGCGTCCAGTGTCTGAACTCGTTGAGAGATCCGAGGCGACTTCTCTGGGCGCCGATGTAGTTCTGGCGCAGGATCTCGCTGACCTCCTGGCGCCGGGCACTGACAGCTGTCCAGGCAGGCTCGGTGGTGTCTGTTGTTCCTGTGATATTTGAGTCCAGGTCATCTGGACGTGGCTGAGGAATAGCCGTCATTGTGAAGGTGGATTTCTTGCCTTTCAAGCACCAAAGCAGCCGTTTCGAAGTGACTTACTGTGTCTTCGATGGGGCCCCAAAAAAGAATACAATCGATCAATCGCCAAAAACTTCACTTACCACCAATCAACTAGCTGGTGTGTACTTTTGACTTGCCCAAACCTCGATTTCCACGAGACATATTCCAGCCCTCTCGCAAGGCGCGCGAGTCTGGACTTAGATGTTTCGCGGTTTCAGCCTGGTGTGACGCCGAGAGCATTTAGCGCCAATCATCACGCCTGCAGACTTACATCAACAAGGCTGGCCAAATCATCTTGCGTCAGGTCTGGCCTCGGACATTACTTCAAGTCACTAACACAGGTGTAGGTGCTGGGGTCCTCATCAGCTGAAGAAAAGGAACGAAGGAAGATTGCTATCTCGAAAGGGGTCATTCCAGCTATGATGAGAAGAGAGGGACGAGAGCAGTAACCCCTAAGGGCGCGTGGCTCCCGATTGAGCTGGTCTCGTCACATTTCCCGTTATGTGCCTTCTGAGATCATGCTAAAAGTGACATGCCAACGAGATGCTATACCAGTGCGGAGATGCATCGTCACCTCTGTATGGAGACTGTACAAGATACGTTGCTGCTTGAATCTGAAGTACCTAAAGCTGTCAAAAACCCACAGTCGCTCGTCAGTCCTTCTCGAGACGAGGCTTCAACGATTGAAGAATCACACAGGAGTAGTCCTTACGCATTAATGGTGTCTGTCTCTGTCCGTAGGTTGCTGCTTCATACCTCTATATTCGTGTCATTCATGTACAAGGAATCACTGTCGATGCTCTCATACAACGTGGTTCACATCTTCTTCATGTAAGCGCTCACTTCGCTTGCCCATTCCCCGCCGCTGCATCCTCGTTTTCATGGAACTTCAAACTGATACTGTTCACACAGTGCCTCTCGTCCGTCGGCGTCGGATAGCCCTCTCCCTTGAAAACGTGTCCCAAATGGCCTCCACAGTTCGAACACACTATCTCGGTCCGCTCCATGCCAAAGGTGTTGTCCGTATGTCTCGTCACAGCGCCAGGCAGGCTGTCGAAGTAGGCGGGCCATCCGCAGCCCGATTTAAACTTATGATTTGCCTTGTAGAGTGGTGCATTGCACCCAGCGCAAGTGTAGACGCCTTGAGAGGGCATGTGCTTATCGTATTCGCCTGTGAAGGGAGCTTCGGTGCCCTTTTCGCGGAGGACGCGGAATTGTTCTGCCCCAAGTAGTAGTGTCAGCGCGCTCCCTCGTGGATTTGGAGATAATATGACGCACCCTTATTCAGGACGGCTCTCCACTCATCGTTGGACCGGCCGTCTGAATATGACATTGTTTCAGAAGCAGGAGCAGATGTGCCGAAGAACGAGCTCAGAAAGGGCAATGAGGGCATCGACCTGAGTACAGCGGTGCGGGAGAAGGGTGAGATATAGGTGTTGCCCCGCAGCGGTGATTGTAGTCGTGCAGTAGCGTTGCTGAGCGTGTAGAGGGTACGGACGAGGTTGGGGAATGAAGGAAAGCGCATAAGGAGTAGAACCGATGTTAGATTATATACCTCGAAGTTCCGGGCAAACTGAAAAGGAGGAGACGAGGTGGACGAGATTGAGAAGATGAATTTGAGATTGTTCGACCGTCTGCGCCTCCGGGCGCCTCCAATTCTCAGGATCGAGATGATGCAATGGACTCCCAAATGGGGATTTGCGCGTCAGTGAGTGTATTGTGATTCGTCATACACCAATCTCAGTGGGCTCTTGATAACATAATCATGGCTACTATGTATCAAAATGAGACGAGGCTGTGAAGCTGGAATATTTGGAATTCGAACTGCAAGGCTAGAATGGCTCCAACATCGGATGCTAATATGTCAGAAGTGGCTATCGCCTCATCCTTCCTCATCCTTCGCCGTCCCCGAAATGCAAACACATCGTCGGGCATCTGTCAGTCATCGTCGATTCTTCCCAGTCACAATCAACTCACCATGACCAATCTCTATCTTCCAGCCCTCCCTGATAAGCATCTTGCTCACGGCGGGCCCTATCCTCGGAGCATGATTTTTGCTATGAGTCCCGACTCCGGTCACTATCCTGAAGCCGGCTCTTGCAGGGCCACCACCTCCAGGAACATATTTCGCATCTCCTAGACCATCCCACCAGCGTTGTGTACTGCTGCTGGCAATACGGACAGCATCCTGAACGCTCACACCATGCAGATCAAGCACATTTGAGGAAGACTGCCGGGAGACCAGCGTATCTGCTTCTGCAGCCTGAAGTGCTTTTGCCGCATTGGCTCTTTCGCGCCCAACCTCGGCATAATATGCGGCTGCTCCGCCATACAGTCGATCAGACTTGCTCTTCTTCCAAGCCGACGTAGCTTGGTCAAAATTCTGGGTTGCTGCAGCCCTGTAAGCGGCCGCGGATATCCGCCCAGAGCTGGCCGCGACACTCTTCCGGGATGGGGTTGGACGTTCCAAAGGCGTGTTCTCCTTCAGGTCAAGCGGAGTATAGTGAGCGACATTGCGAATCTGATCAAGGTCTTCGTCTCTTCTTGCTGCTGTCATAGCTTCGAGAAGCTCATGTGCAGCAGAAGGTATCTTTCGTGCCAATATCAGTAGTCCATACATCACAGACTTCGGTACTTGCTTGAACTCTGTTTGAAATTCAGAGATCTGGAGCTCAATTATCGGATCAATTTCCTCCAGCCGGGCGTATGCTGCCTCCTCCTTCGCTGCCAATGCACGAATCGTGGCTGGAAGGCGGGCTCCGTTTGCATGGTATACTGACCTTACGGTCTGCGGATGGAGATTAGTCCTGGAGCAAATAAAATCCACGTCTTCAGACATGGTAGACCACACATTCGAAGGAGAATATTCTATCTCGTACGCGGAAGAAGAGACGGAACTCGCGCGTGAAGACTCATTTGTCCTGTTCCTTTTACTTTTCCTGCCTTTTCGACTCGGTTGCATTCCCTCGGCAAATGCGTCGATGCTCTTCAGGACAGGTACAGCCTCCGGAGCTTCTTCATATCCTTGCATCAGGAATGAGAGGTTGAGTAGTTCATCAGTGGCCTTGTCGAGTGCGCCATCGTGGCTTTGCAGGACGCTACCCAGCTCACGTCGTGGTATATCTGGAAAAATGTTCACTAGCCATGCTGTCTTCTGCTCAAGAGTGGAATCGTCCAGTTCACGGCTTAGACTCTCTGGGTCATGCCATCGCAGCTCAGAAAGACCAGTCGTTATGCTCGTGACTCCGTTCGAAAGCGTATCTCCAGGACTTGATCTTGATGTTTCTGTGGCACCCCTGGCATGCGCTGGGCCTCCAGTTCCCGAAGGGTCAAAATCGGTGTTCTCCTGTTCCAACGCACTGGCTTTCAGAGTATCGAGGACTGCAGCCAAGATTTCTCGGTCTCGGGGAAGCTCATAATCAGAGGCAATAGCATAGAAAGCGGCCTCGTCTAGGGGAGGGCAATAGGCGGAACGAAGCTTCTGCGACGGGTCAGCACGCGTCAAAGTGCATCGCGCGAAGGACCTACCTCTTTCTCCGAAGCAGGACTGTCCATGGCTCCGATACCAATGGCTTTGACGTTGTCATCTTTGAAGTGAAGCTTGAAACGTAAACGTGGCGTGAAGGAAACTGTGCGAAAGGTTTGAGGCGTTATCTGGGCATGCACAGTATGGAAATCCTAATGAAAGAATCATCGAGGACCTGGCAGATGGAAATTGTGGGCAACCAACTGCGTCATCTAAGCAGATCCGAGGCAGGAAAAAAAGTGGCTCTGCCGCAGCCTTGCAGTTTATGGATGGCTCGATGGATCCAGTTCAGGGAGAAGTGTCTATATATCATTCACCAAGTATGGAGGCTTTACCATTGCATCTGTATTTGCTAGGCTTTATCGGTACAGATGAGCTGTGGTATTCCACGTTCAGCCTTGCAACGAGGGCGAGAGCATTTCCTTGGTTAGCATGCACAAATATATATTCCCCGACCAAGGCTCTGACTCAGAAGGGTTTTCGCTGCGTACACTGCTCAATTCCCTTCATTCATCGCTGTAATCGCCGTCATCAACTCATGTGAGTCCAGGTAAACCTGATAGAATGTCGCTTCTGGCTTCGCCTTTCCCTCTTGGAAAACCATGTAACTGGCAAAATCCGCATCCACCTTTCGCCCATTCTTCAACTTATACCAGATTGAGCCATTCACAATGAACTCTTGTCTTCCTTGTTCAGCACCACCCGCGAGCACGAAGCACTTCCCCAATGTATGCTCTAAATCCACGACAGGGCCGTTCGTCGGATGAACCATGCCTTCTCTCAATGCTCGGATTGCATCTCGACCTTTAGCAACAGCCGGGCCGAAAACAAGTTCCCCATCCGGCGCGAAAAGATTCAAGTAGTCAAGGGTTGAGTGTGGATCATCCCACGATCGGAAAAATGCAGACAGCTCGTCGCCCAGCCCAGATGGAATGGCCGCGTGGTTTTCGAAGATGTAGTTGTCTCGAGCCATGCTCTCGGTCACTGAGGGCTAGTATGTGACCGTGTGATTGAGGATACGAGTGGTTGAGTGTCAAGCTTCAGGCTGCTCTGTATGTTATGGTCTGCTGGTCGAGGCTTTATTCGTCGAATATCTCGACCGGGAAACGGTGGTTGCCGAACGTGGGGTATATGTGGACATGCATTTAGTGCTGGGGGAATTGCCGACATGACAATGAAGAAAAGAGGGGCAAGAGGCTTCGCAAATGGTCAGCTGTCCTCAGTTCTCGTATCTGCTCTGCAAAGGAATGAATGGCCGAGCTGTGGCTTGTCGGATTCATCAATTTCATTATATCATAACCGTGCGTACCTCTCCAGCCGGAGACATCATGTCCAAGAAATAAGCCTGAAAGCTGATTCAAAATACAGCTCTAACCGTTCATATTAGGCCACTATACCTCTCGCCAACTGTAACCCTTCCTCCCCAGCGAGTCAGGATCAGGCGTCTTCATTGCGTTCTTGTCACCGAATGGATCGTCAGGGTCATCCTCATCCGCTTCACTCTCGCTGTCACTCTCAATCTGCTTAGCCCTCCAATTCCTGGAGTTCTGTGACGGCGGCATGGCAATGTGTCCTGGGGAGGGTCTGGGAGGCTTGGGCGGGTTAGAAATGCTCATAGCTGCGACCATCCTTTCCGCCTCTCGCGCCGCTGCTTGCTCACTCTTAGCGGCTTGCCGGCTGAGATGCTGCGCTTCTTCGAGTCCGCTGTCAGAGTCATCATCAATAGACTTGTCCAGGACTTCGTATGCCATCAATGCAGTGACCAGTTCTTCGTTGGCATGAATCAGCCCTCCCAGAAATTCCTCGGTTTCCACCAACTGAATGTACCGCAGTATTTGTCGTCGGAGTTGCTTGCATGTCTCGAACCGCTTCATCACTTCCGCGTTGTCAGAAACCCGCTCATTCTCACGGTTGACCAGTCTTATTGCGTTGGTCAAGCCGGTAGAGGCAACTGAAGATGCTGCAATTGATTGCAGAATGTTCGGCTTCTCACGCTCCAGATTGAAACCTTTGACCTTGCCCTTTTTGTCTTTCTTATCTTTTTTAAGAGCGAATGTTGATGATTGTCCAAGAGTAACTGGCGTACTTTGCTTGCGTAGCCTCGTGGGACTCGAGGGCTCTCCCACGGGAGACATGTCTGATCTGGCCCTTGCCATCTCCATTTCCTGCTCGCGTTGCACTTCCTCTTCAGTTTCTCGCAAGACTCTACTCTGCTCGCGTCTCTGATGAACAGGCTTTTGTGTCTTCGGAAGTTGATTGTAGAGCGACTTGGCCCCTTCGAGCCCAGGATTGTCTTTTGAGCTGGCTACCCATTGGCCAAACATGTCTTTGCACTTTGCCCGAACATCGGGATCCGACGTAGGGTCGGCGGCAGCGATTCTGAGACGCTCCAGCAATGGTCCGTCCGAAAGCAAGGCTCGCTGCACTCTAGCTCCACCATTTTGTAAAATACCATCGAGGATAGTCAAGGCCCGGAGTTGGCGATGTACCGAGCCATACTTCAACTTCTTTCTCAGCGCTCGAGCCACTTCCTGCGGACCGGTATTCTGCAGCTTCACCACTTCCAGTAGATCGGGGACGCCGGCCACATCATCTTCATCGTACGTTTCGGAGGTCAGGTTTTCGACATGGACCGAGATAGCGGAGAAGGGCTTCTTCTGTTTATGATAACGAAAACGTGTTATTAGTTGATATCTCCTGCGCTGACGAGCACAACAAGTGTAATGTAGAATGGTAGCAACCAGTCTCTTGCACCCTCGCAGGTGGGACGGTGGTGACCAGTGAAAGACTTCTGGAGGTGGTGGTAGGGCAGGGTAGGCATCAAAGGACCTCCGACGTTTCCTTCGGGCGCAACGATCACAATCCTCCGTTGAATGAGAGTGCAACAGCAAGTCAAGATCGTAAGGACCGGCTGTCTCCTCGTCGGCAGGCCTTGGTAGCTCGGAGAATCCAGCATCAGGTGCACAGGCTGGGGCGTGCAGCAAGAATAGAGACATGCTGGGCTTCATGGTGAACGAATGGTGGGGTAGACGACTTCAAAACCGAGGGAGCTCCAGAAAAGAATGAAAGGAGAGAACAGGAGAGAGAAGACTCACCGAGGCGGAAAACATGGCTACGAGGCTCTATGTATGTCAGAGGGTACGAAAAGGATTCGTCAACTGAAGGGGGGTGTGAACATGGCATTGAGCGAACGGTGCGGTTGCAAGTTAGATCCGGGACGAACATAGCGAAAGCACAAACGCTTGCCGCCGCCTAGTTGGGAATGGTCACCTTCGCGGAAGAGTGCGTTGACAGGATCGGTCTAGATAAACAATTGCTGCGCCTTTCATTCACCACATCATTTCTCGCCAAACCAAAACTCCATTCTGGTCCTTGCTATTCGCCCCGAAAAGCAAATTGCATCCGTTTCCGATGGGACGAGCCAGATCAGGAGGCCACTTTGAGTTGGGATGACCTCGCCATGAACATCCAGGATTTCGGCTTGATTTGACATGTGCCCCCATGACTCGTAACTTGGTTATTCTCACCTCATTGTTCAACTATTTTTGCATCTACTGCGTACGATTGCTGACCAGGCCAAGGACACACAGGAATGGGCTGTCGTCTGGGATCAGATCCTGTCGTATTCCTGTGGCACCGTGGCACCCTCAAAACGTAGCCCTGGTCAAAGCCTCACCAGCCTAGTGCCAGCTGGTGCAGGTGCCACGAGGTAAGGATCCGGATTCCGAGCTAAGCAAGCCCATCCTTGATTGATTCACTGATGATTGTCGTCGAGGCTAGCTGAATCTATCCACGCACACGCTTGTTCAAGCATTCTGGTTCGTTCTTTTCCGACTACACCGCCAGGTCGACACTTTCCCAACGGTCTTCACACAACAAATAAACTTGCAAATGCGTGGGAGGCAAAAGTGAGGTACCATCAGGAAGCTAGAAGGCGACCTCCCGTTCTCTTCTGTCAGGGCGGCACGAGATGCGCGGGCTGCGAGTCCACTCGTCTCTGGCGGCAACCGACCGATTCGTCGTACTGGAAGGGGGCCATGCCTGGGCACTGATCATTCATTGATGAACCGGCCGTCCTACCGTGGTAAGGATTCGCTTTTGGGCTGCCACATCTCATCAACTCCAGGTGTTGTCAATGCTATGCAGGGGCCGTAATGTATTCATCATCGCAGATCTACTCATCTACAGCCTGGATCGGCACCTTATCGACAGCTGCACAGATAACTTATGGGCCAGTGGAGGGTTGTTGCCTGTGAGAACTTGCGATGGCCTTTTGATTGTTATGCTTGTTGCTCAAGCCACCAAGTGCCAAAAAGCCTGGGCCAGGCGTGCTTTATCCACCCCAAGCCTTAGTCGTGGCTTGCGCCCACCAACGATCAGCATCCCGGCCGAAAGGGCACGGAGTGGGACTTCTACAAGTAGAGAAAGTGGTGAGTTCGAGGATTCTTACGCCAAGGTAATCAATTCCGCGAGGGTAAGAGGCCAACTCCGATTCAATAACATGGCGGCCTCGATGATGTTATGCGTTGTTCTCAGCACGCACTGTTGGTTATAGGTAGCTATATTCGGAACCTGTGAAGGCTCTACTGTTGTGGTGGATAAGGTTGCCAGGATGTGCGACCTTGAACGAACTGTGCACGACCAACGTTTTCCTTAGACTGACTTGCGGGGTTCCTGGCAGTCTATTATGTCGGGGACTTGAACATCTCGTACGGCGCAATACTCTTCGCACCCGCGCTGTCGTAAGCAGACAAATGAGATAATGAGATTCGTGGCTCGGATCTGAAACTCTCTCCAGGTCTTGTACTGCCGGAATTCTTGGTCTTGTCCTCGAGCAGAATGAGACAACAACGTGAATCCTCCCAATCCTTCGACTGTAGTAACAACAACTCGCGATCAGAACGCCAAGCCCACGACCTGCATTCGTCCCGGACTCCGAACGTGACTTCAGTTCATATCACAATATTGCGGTGAGTGTCATAACGCAGCGGAGATCTTGCTTCTGGATGAGACTTTCTCTCCGACGTATCCTGATATTTTCCTGCACAATTACCGCGTTGATCGTCGCTGTCGTCCTGGCCCCTCGCTGCCCCTCCTCGACCCTCGCCCGCTTGACCGCGTTGGTCTCTCAGGTAAATTCTTCCAGCAAAAGCTTCATCAAACCTGCAGGCCTTGGCATCAGACCGCTGTCTACAAGCACGACTCACAAGACTATCAATCTCCTAAGCAGGAACCAAACCATGGCCTACGAAAAGGAGCTCAAGATCGCTCAACTGGCCGTGGCCCGTGCTGCGATCTTGACCAAAGCCGTCTTCCACGAGAAAGCCAAAGGCACAGTCTCCAAAGATGACAAGTCTCCCGTCACAATCGGCGACTTTGGCGCTCAAGCACTGATCATCGCCGCTATCAAGCACAACTTCCCCTCCGATGAAGTCGTCGGCGAGGAAGAAGCCTCGTCATTACGCGAGGAGAAGGAACTGTCGTCCAAGATCTGGAATCTCGTCAAAGATGTCAAGCTTTCCGATCCCGAAAGTGATGCCCTGCTCGGAGGACCCATTAAGTCTGAAGACGAAATGCTCGATGCCATAGATATGGGCAACAGCGCTGGTGGCAATAAAGGCCGCATCTGGGCACTAGATCCTATTGACGGCACCAAAGGCTTCCTCCGCGGCGGACAATACGCGGTCTGTCTTGCGCTTATGGTGGATGGGGATGTAAAGGTTGGCGTTCTTGGATGCCCGAATCTACCTGTCGACGATTCCACCCCGCTTACTGAAGACATCGGCGCAGCTGCGACGGATACCGAAGGAAAAGGTGTGCTTTTCTCTGCTGTGCAGGGAGAGGGTGCGACTTCACAAGCATTGACCCGCGGCGCCGTCACCAAAGGCCAACCAATTCACGTCAGCAAGATCTCCCAGGTCAGCGAGGCGGTTATGTGCGAGAGCGTCGAGCCCGGACACAGCTCTAAAGGCGATAATGCTCTGATCGCTGAGAAGCTCGGCATCACCGGCAAGCCCGTCCAGATGGACAGTCAGGCCAAGTACGGCTCCGTCGCCCGTGGCGCTGGAGATCTCTACCTCCGTCTCCCCGTGCGAAAGGACTACATCGAGAAGATCTGGGACCATGCTGCAGGAGATTTGATCGTACGCGAGGCTGGTGGGCAGGTCACGGATGTCACAGGCAAGAGGTTGAATTTCAGCCTGGGCAGAACGCTCAACGAGAACAAGGGTGTCATTGCAACGCCGGCAAATGTCCACGCCGAAGTGCTGAAGGCTGTGCAGGAGGTCCTGGCGGCTAAGTGAGCAGCTTGACGTTAACTTCATTCCATGATGGACGCAATGGAATGAATCACACAAAAGTTTGGGAGTAGCATACGAAGCTGCGGCTGACGTATAGACATAATTGTTACATAAAAGCGGAGGCCAACAGCAGACCTGGCCTCAATCCTTGTTGTACGGCTAGTCTATTTGATCTTCTTGGCCTTCAGCCGTATCGTCTCATCGTTGACAAATATGCCCTTGCCTTTGTACGGCTCAGGCTTCCGCCACTCCCGGATCTCCGCAGCAAATTGCTTGATGACCTGCTTGTCGCATCCTTCCAGCAATATTCTAGTCGGCTGCGGTACGCTGGCCTTGATTCCTTTCGGGACGGGCATCTCGACCGGATGTGCATAACCCAATTTCAGATTCACAAATTTCTGGCCCGGGTAAGCTGGCGTTTTTGTGATTGCGGTATCTTCGATCGTAGCACGGTATCCCACACCCACGAGCCGCAGAATACATAGATGACCTTCTGATACGCCTGACACACTGTTCTGTATCAAACTGCGCATAGTTCCTACGGCATCCGTAATTAGTCTCGCGCTCTTCCGGAACAGAAATGTCTGGACGTACCCCACATGGCCCTTTGATGAGCTTCTGACGCATCGTTCACTTGGACATTAATCTTCTTTGTGATTTCGTCGTGTTCAGTCCTGAGATAGGGCGGTAACGGCACAGTCAATTGGCCTAATGTCCCTCAAGTCAGCTGTGGCCTCCTCTGTTCCATCAAAAAAGCGCTTGTCCCTACCCAGTGGACCAGTCACTTCAAGCGCCGTAGCCGCTGTATCAGGATTCCTGCTTCTCGAATTTCCCCTCGGCAGGTCGTAGAACCTCAATGATACCTCCGGAGGGATGTTGATGGGTGTACGGCCTATTCGTGACTGCGGAGCCGGCGCGGCGACCGTCGAATTATGTCGGATAAGCCACCGTTGGGAAGCAGCTGGGACAAGGAAGGAAGGAAGCTCTCGTGATCGACCTGCATCGCGGATGAGCTGGCGAAGAGGAGAGTGTAGGCTCGTGCAAGCCATTTCGTAGAGGATCGACTTGGGGTGGAATGTGAAAATCGCTCTGAACAGGATCAATTCATTCTCGGCAGGGAACAGTCTCGAAGCAGCGCACACCCTCTGCGATCACGCTTCTTGAAAGGGTGTACAAGCTGTTCAAAGCCTCGGTGTCGAGCGCTGCAGCAATTAATTTGCGAAGGAAAGTCGACGATCTGAGCCGTTTCGGGTATGGTTGCAGACTGGTCGCGCCGCCGCTTTTGAGGACTGTAAGAACCCTTGTAGCCTTCTCGCCTTCTCCCACCTCGATCCTTTCTTTCTTCCAACGTGCATTAACGTGGTTCACTTTCCCGTTCTCCTCTCTTTCAACCCTGTGCTGCAATCGTAAGTTGAATACTCGCTGCATCTTAAAGTGGTGGAATTCATCTGGTACATCTATGAAATTCTCACAGACAGCCGTTCCGTGCAGCGGCAGAGTTGCCGTTTTTCGGCCCTGAAATCGACTGTGCCGGACTGGTCAGCCTGTCGGTCATTGCCCGCCAGCAATGTCAATACCAGTTGAACCCAGTCATCCGCAACAAATATCTGGCCACGGTGGCCTCCTTCTGCCTATATAGGTACATGAAATGCGTAGTCTGATGGCACCCCCCAAGCACCTAAACTGCTAGCAATCATGTCAAGTCCAGGACAGGCATTATTGAAACGAAACGCTACTTACACCCGAGAGCAATTCTCAGCACACTGGCTCAAACATGGGGCGAAGGTGACGCCGTGGGCTCTCGAAAATGGCGTTACATACTATGCTCAGGTATGTATGGCTGCCCTACCATGCGAGGCATTTCTTACAACAGCAACGCAATCCGTTGCTCTCTTGTCCCTCTTCTGCGTTTCCTGGTCACTGTCGTTGAGAATATATGGTAACCATTTGCTTAGATCCACAACCCTCGAATGGGGCCTGGTGCCATGTTGCCATCCGACTTACATATCGCCGAATGGGATGGCGCTGCAGAGATGACCTTCGAGCGAGGGCCAGACTTCAAGTCGACAGCCAAGTCTGATGACTACTACCAGAAGGTCATCCTCCCGGACGAGCGGGCTTTCTTGATATGCGAGGCGCTGCAGCATCTCCGATGGGTGGACCCTGAAACGATGGTGGGAGACAAAGTAGTCATCATCCAGGGTGGAAGGGCTATGATTGACTGCGAGGAGGACATGAAAATCTGGAACGATTGGCCGGCCAAGTAACGGAGGACATTCGTGGCCATATCCTTTTCGATATATGAATGACTAAGGAAAGGAGCAATCAAATGGCGCCCTAGACTATAGTCCTTTGGATAACCGTAGTAAAAGGAACCTGTATCTCTCGAATGTTGCTGAAGCTGGACGGGACCAGGGGGCCCCATATCACGTGCTGCCAGAGATCGGCGCCTAACTTCCTGCCTTCTGCGTACACGTACATCGATTCTCCATCCTTCACTTTCTTCTTATCCGCTGCATCATTTGCCACGACCGTAAAAGCAGTTGTTACTATTCAGAAGTCCGCACACATTTCCATGCACTTGACTTGACCGATCTGCTGGAATCACAGGCGAGGGTCGGCTGGTCCCGGACGGCAGAATCATTCGGCTTCTTTTCCAACTGCAGTAACTCCTTGATGAGGCTCATATAAAATGATCAAGCCTCGTCCTTGATCATACACATCGTCGTCGATCTCATCACTGACTCTCATATCTCTTTCTGTCCTTCCTCTTTTTCTTTCCTATCTAACGCACCCCCTTCTCGTTATTTGACACCCCCGTCCTATATCGTCTTTGCTTTGCATGTTCTCTCTCCTGCTTTGTCTTAATCACTTTTGTCAATGCCTGAGAACAAGATGCTGCCAACTTGGCGCTATCGCGGACTTTGGTCTACTCACCTCATCGTTCTGACCTGCTTCGTCTTCATCAACCTGTGTCAGACAAAGTCTTTTCTGGGAGGTGAGATGTTTTCTCGATGTGATGGAATTATTCTGACCATTCTAGCGGATCTGGCATGGAGTGCTTTGCGGAGAGACCGAGGCAATTCTCAGCCAGACCTAACCGATCTGCTCGCCTTCAGAGACATGGAGCAAGACCCGGTCTTCGAGAAAGCCATGCAAGTCATCGACAATCTCGCGACCCAGTCCACTTGTCACCAAACGGCAGCAGCCCAACTACTGGTCACTTGCAAGGCATCAGGAAAGAGCGCTGCTATCGCATCAGGAAAGCATGAGCTCCTGGAGCGAAGCAAGTCTGTATACGCTGTGAGGGTTGCTGTCTGCGAGACTGCCGAGGGTCGCGCTGCTGTACCCGCAGCATGTAGTCCAGTCCTGGAGATCCCACAGAGACTGCAAGGCGAGATCGACGTGGTCAACAGTAAGAGTTTGGCAGCTTGTCTCGAAGCTTTGCTGGTTGAACACTACTACTGGACAAGCTACAGCAACAACAGACAGGATGCAAACACCTTGTGTCAAGCTTCAAATCTAGAGGCTTCCAGACTGGAGGCTCTTCACTCGTATCAGAAGCTAGCCGAGCTTCTTCCAGAATTTCGTCAGACTTTGGACTCAACTCGATCTGAATGGTTACGTTTCTTGAAACAGCAGGAAGAGGACGCTCGCAACATCAACAAACTTCACCAACAGAATCGAGCTCAGCTCCAAGAGCAACACAAATCAGAGATGTCAGCCTTTCATCGATCAATGGCAGCAGCTAAGGAAGGGTTGGAAGATGTGTCGCAGCTCTTGCACCGGTCTATGGCGAAAACAGGCTCAGAGGTAACCCAAACACATGAGGTGAGTTGTGGTTCATGCGGCTGTGGTCAAGGCCAGACCACTGACATGGAACAGGCCCTAGCGCAGGTGTTGTCTGATTTTGCCACTCTTCGAAATTGGCTTGCCCAGGTCGCACAAACCACAAGCGAGAACAATGCGGCCGTTGCTGCAATTCATGCAAAAGATATGCAGGGGGTTCACGAACTAGCCCTAGCAACTACAGAAGTTCTCAAACGTTTACAAGCTGAAGAAGTTATCCAGGTATGCAAGGGTAAGTCTTGACGGCATCGAACAGACTGACTCCGGGATAGGACATCAGCAACTTGCTCCTGCAAGTTAAGGGCGAGTTTGATAGCATCGCCTCTGCTCAATCTGTGCATCTTGCCAGCGCCGAACGTCATGTGCAACTGAGTGCTGAACTTTCCGAAGCTCAGAAGGCCAGCCTAGCCCTTGGTCAGGAGATAAGGCATATCTCACTATCGCTTGCATCTCACCTGGACACTGCCGATGCTGTCGCCGGACGCGTATCATCGAGGCTCGACAAGGTCAATCAAGCACTTAGCCGGGTCGAGAAGGTATCAGTGATGCTGAGTGCTCTGTCTGCTGTGGTAGCCATTCCACTACGGATGATAGACCAACTTCACCTTCGCCTTTTCGCCTCTTTTTCCATGCCTGCGGTCATACTTTCCTTCTGGAAGCCACGTAAGTATGCTTACAGCTTGATGGCTGTCTATGGTATGTGGGTGACTCTCCAGACAAACGATATGCTGACGCGATGTAGTCTTCCTCGAAAGTATGATATCCGCCTTGGTACAATACGAGACCACGATCTCAACATGCTTTAGACGACTAGGGAACCAATCTCGGGCATTATCGACCTTTACTTTCCAATCTGTCAACCAAAATGCAATGCTCGCGCTCAAGGCCATTGGAATCTCGATCATCATCATCACAATCGGCATCGCATGGCATTGCATCGCATTTACATCCAGGCCTCCGAAATCCCGGGTTTCGCGCAAAGCCATTGCACAAGACGCCTTCTCCGACAGCAGATACTCGGATGCATCTACTATGGAAAGACGACTGCGAAGTGGCAAACGCGTCCGCGATCATTCTCCAGACCGTTTTCGGCGAGCTGCAACTGTTGCCTAAGGTAGCTTTTCGGCTGCACGATTGTGAAACATAACGTGGCCGCTCGTCAGATGACATTCAGCATTACTCCAACATTCGCGATGTTGTCAAATGACACTCAGGGATAGCTTTGCATGATCAAGCTGGGAAAGTCAAGAGATTTGTTTTCATTTGGACTATTCTGTTGCTCCTCCCCTTTTCAGAGGGTGCTCGATGATGCCTGAGGAAGGGTGGCTCCTCGACATTGCATCTTTCGGGAGATTCGGACAGCTGTTGTAGAAGCTTGAGACACTGCAAAGTGCCAACTTCGATTGATTCTGAAAGGCTGCAATTCCAAAAATTTCTCCATCCGTTACTGTGACATGCCGGCGCAGCTGATCGATTTGACTATGCCCGTACTTACTCCTATTCTTCGACTTCCTCAAGGCTCCTTAAGAAATGGCAGATGCTTGGGCCGGGAGGCTTCTCTGCCTCGTGGATAGGCGGCGCTTGATGGGGCCCACTCGGGTGCTCTTGACAGAGTCCCTAGAGATGAGTGTCGTGGCCAATCTAATGAACATAAACGGCCTACGCTTGACGCGAGTCCTGCTGACATTTTTGGAATCGGCTCCAAGACTGCGTCCTGCGCACGAAGCAGCTGCGTCTCGAGGTGAGTTTTGAGTTCGTGACGTGCCTTCGCCTCAGTAGCCTGGTATTGCCGTCTTGACAGGCGCTGCTTCTTCGATCGATGATTGTAGCCCCAAAGGCTAGCGAGGCTTGACCACTCTGCCCAGAGCAAATGCGATGCTAGCACGCAGAGACGCTTTTTTCAACCGCAACTTAACTTGGGGAAATTGAGCTGTCCGGAAGTGTTTTCCATCTAGATAGAGATTCAGATTCAGATTCACAATTTATTGAACGAAACCTGAGCCCGTTAGGAGCCGTCGTGTGGGACGGCCTAACGTAGCTCCGCGCCAGACACCTTGCTCAACAACAGCACAAGCACGGACAACAAACGAACGAACGGGAAAGAGCAACCTCCGCTCGAGACCCTTACAGCGACTTGACTCTCATCCACTCTCCTGTCCCGACACCCAGGTTCAATCCGTTGCGACCCCACCACTCCCTGACTTCGCCTTCGCCTCCGCCACCGACGGCATCCTCCATAGCCTCCTCAATGTCACAGGTCTTGTACTCAACCCGTAGACCGGTCTTGCGCGAGACGTCCTTCCACCACTGCAGGACACCCGCATGGCCGTTCTTCGTGGCACCCACAAGAACCTGGTTGTCGAAAATCATCTTGCTGCCCTTGTAGCTGTGCCAGAGCTCTAGGACACCGACGTGGCCATGGGCCGAGGCTAAACGGGCGACGCCGTCTTCGTGCGCGTACGGGATGCCGCTGTTCTCCCACCACTCGATGCTGTTGGTGCGGCCGGACTGTGCAGCAAGCAAGATCGACTTGCCGACTTTCAAGGGCATTTCGCGGGGCGTACCAGCCAATTTGAGCGAGTTGACGCGCCACCACTCAAGAACTTCGACGTGTCCTTTGGCCGATGCCGACTCGAGTGCTTTCTCCGTGTATGTCAATCTCAAGCCCGAGTCGAGCCACCAGTCCAACACTTCGACAAATCCAGCTCTTGAGGCGCCGTCCATGGCTTCGGGGCCATACTCCTTTTTGATCACGGCAGGACAGTCTTTCCACCATTGTAGGATTGTTGGCGAGTTGTATATCAAGGAAGCTTTGTGCGGAAGGAGAGCTAGGCCGAATGATGTCCAGAAAATGTCCTTCTGCTGCAGTGCCAGATAGGTTAGAAGATCAGTCATGCTGAAGCGAAAGATAAGGCGGGTTGCGATTGGTGAGAGGGTGGTCGGCGGCTGAGATGAAGTATTATTCGTGAAGTACGTTTTGATCTGGGACACAGGTTGCGTCAGGATCGTGTACTCTAGCGACGGAACCTTCTTCGAACCCGGTTTAGGCGTGAGAGATTCCCATTCATGAGGTGTGGGAATATGTGTATAGATTCCCAGCGCTGTTGCAAGTTCCCAGTCACCCAGGTGGTCGAGTATGATTGTCCAAATCTCGGAGGGCAGTCGTGGTTTCGAGGAGCCAGAATGGATTGGGGAGAGGTGAGGCATGGAAGACTTGCTGATGAAAGTCGACCGGAGGATTGTTTGGGCCTCGCTCTCGATCGCTTCAATGATTTCCTCAGGTCCGTCCCACTGCCATTCTATTTCGGGCTCGCTATCCTTTCCGAGAGGGTTGGGACCAGGTTGCGTGTAGTTGTGAGGGTTTTCAGCATAGTCCCATAACGCCGGCGATAGAACATGGACCCAATCCCATCTACGCGCAAGTTTGGACAATTGTTTTTTCCAAGTAGGGTGTTTCCACTGGTCCACACTCAATTCCGGCAGCAAGGCTATCCTTTTCGATACGTCCCAACACCGCAGCACATGGAGGATAATGTCGGTCGTAAAGCCGCTCAGCATCAGGGAGATCATACCCGCATCCAAGACGATGAACATAAGATCCGCCCATCTTGCGAGTCTGTGGCCCTGCATCATGGCCTGGTTGCGGTAAGGGTCTTGCGGTGTGTTCTCGAACCATTGCACTCGATCGAGACTGACGCCTGGGCTCATGTACGATTGAAATTCGGCCTTGGGGCTGTCTGATATAACACGGAGATTGAGGTCGGGGTTCTGCATGAGATAGGGCAGGACTTCTGGGCCGATTTTGCTGGTAACGAAGACCAGGGCGTTGACTCGTGTGCGATTGTAGCCGGATTTTGGAGGAAGCCCCATCTTCCCGAGTGACCAGAGTATGCCAGGTCGGGCTTGTATGTTATTTCCTCCTTCTTTTCACGATTTGCTATAATTTCGCGGGAAAGGAGTGTCAAGGGGACATTGGTGGCGAAAAGTTGAACCTCGACTCGAAGTGTGGCGAGTAGGACTTTATCTGATAAATTTCTCGAGGGCGTGCCCGGAGGCTCGGTCGTGGATGGAGTGGTGTGATAGAGAAGTTTGTCTGGGATAGCGGAGCGGTGTAGAATAGGCGCAGGGTGCATGCATCTCTGAAAACCTGGAGTAAGGACGAGGATGTTCGTATGAGATGATGAGGTAGTATCAGCGGCAAAGGTGGAGGAGGAGGAATTCGTGTGGTGACCAGACACCCAGACCACCACAGGAATGAGTGACCGTATCCGCATTTGCATCACGTTCTCATGTGGCATTTTGTGATTGCGCCAGAACACCACGGTCCGTGTTCCGATTCGTGGCTTCGATTTCTTTTCTTATGTAACGGTCGACGATTCAATTCAACAACTTCGACTCGAGGTACGAGTTGGGTGCGAGTCACCTGGGTGCGAGTTATGCTTGTTCAGCCACAACTAAGGCACGAAATCGTCTGCTGACATGAGCCGTTCTGCAGTCGAAGCCATGCCTTCGATGGATGTGGCATCTTTCGTGAACCATTTGCAGTCTTCAAAACGTATCGTGGCTCTCTTGGGGGCCGGTCTCTCTGCGTCCAGTGGCCTCCCTACGTTTCGTGGAGCGGGCGGGCTCTGGAGGACTTACGATGCCACCATGCTTGCTACTCCAGAGGCTTTTCAGTCTAATCCTGGTCTGTCGTGGCAATTCTACAGCTATAGGCGCCACATGGCCCTCAACGCGAAACCGAATAGAGCACACATTGCGTTGGCAGAGTTCGCCCGGCGGAACCCCAATTTCATCACGCTCAGTCAAAATGTTGACGGCCTGAGTCCGCGCGCCGGCCATCCTGCTGAACAATTGAAGCTATTGCACGGTAACTTGTTCGACGTCAAATGTTGGGATGAACGGGGGTGCGGCTACTATCGGAAGAACGATTTTACAGACCCTATTGTGCCTGCTCTGGCTCTTCCGGAAGATGATGGAGGAGAAGGTGCCTCCTCGCAGCTGAAGGAGGCGATTGAGCAGAAGAAAAACGCATTGATTCGGGGTGTTGATATATCAGATATCAGTGTCAAGATACCTACGCTCAAACGGGAAGATTTACCACAGTGTCCGCAGTGTAAGAAGAATCTCCTCCGCCCAGGAGTCGTATGGTTCGGCGAGGCACTTCCGGAGGATGTCATGGACGACGTGAGCGAGTGGTTTCAGAACCCTGAGAAAATTGACTTGATGCTGGTGATAGGGACCAGCTCCAAAGTGTATCCAGCTGCTGGCTACACTCACATGGCACGCGCCAAAGGAGCACGGGTTGCGGTCATCAACATGGATCGGGGGGATGCTAGAGAGCTCACCAAGCATGACTGGTTCTTCGAGGGCGATGCAGCTGTGATTGTACCGGATATCCTGAAGAGCGCCATCGGAGAGGTAGGCGAGTTTGACGAGACCAAGGGGCCGGCGTCTTGAGGGATTCGGTAGTGGGTGTTTCCGCCAGGAGGAAACAATACTGCTCATTGGATTCGCCTGGTGCCGTGGAATCAGGGCTTTGTATCTGCGCTATCGCTTCTGCCCAAGGAGACCACACCCTATCGCGAAAAGGCACAAGCATGTCCCAGGGTTAGGGCACCGTACCTGCAGACTTAGACCTTTTGAAGCGAAGCTTGAGGAAAGGGGATATTCGTGGCACTTTAGTGTGACAACGACTTCGGTCTCCGCCTACCAGTCACATTCACATCCGCACCATTTCCCCTTCGTGAAATGGCCTGTCATGGCCCTGTAAGCGAATCCAGAGACGATAATGCGTGGACGACGTTCTTCAGGTTGGGGGCCTGACAATCAAAAGAACCAGCCCTAGACGCAAACCGGCATATACGACTGGGTGCCACCGTAAGCACTGCCTCCTCAGCCGTCCTTCTCTCATTCTTTGCTGTATCCGGCTCTGTGGTTCACTAACTTAACGGTTCAGATCCTAACACAACGACATCCTTGATGACTTGCTTGTCCTATCGCGGACCACTCCGTGCCATGTGCCTGCCACAACTCAGCTGCAGATGCCATCAGCCCGCCAACAATATATCAATCCTTGCGTGTCACTCATGACGGCTTCTACCGAGATACGATTAGGCCGCTTCGATTGGTCCTCAGCCGCCATAAGGCGACCGCCAGCTCTCCCTGATAATTGCACCGTGGAAGAATATCATGCCCCGCATTGTGTCACCAACTCTACCCTGTACACGGTATCTAGATATGACTCTTTGCATGTGCTCGGCTCAGCTACGCGAGAATCGAGCCGTACATGTCAACGATGTAAGTAAACTCCTAGATCCTTCCGAGTGTCGAGAAACCCGGAGCTTGCCCAGGTAGGTTGTTTTCATTCCAGCATGAACAAGGCTTCTGCTGCCGCAGTGTCCCATCAAGAAGCAATTCCAGAGCCCATCCTAGGTCTACTACTCCATTCAATCAAGTAGCGGCAGTATGTCTTCCAGCTTCTCTGATCGCTGGCAAAAGAAGCTAGCAAACGGCGAGCATTCTCGGACACCTCCACAAGAAGACGTTATCAACTACAATCAGGCCTGGTCGCAAGAAACATTCACTTACGACAAGTCCATGGGTGCCAAAGTGTCGAGCTTGAACGGCTCGTCGCCCACTCCATCCGTCAACTGGCCGTTGAGCGAAAAATATTATTCAACCACAGCCAGCACGGGCGACCTAAGATGCCCTCGAAAGACACTCTGGAGAACTATCCTGATTCCAACTGTAGTCATCATCTTTCCTATGGCTTGTCTAGTTGGCGGGTTACTGGGCCTCATCTTTGGATATCGAGTCAAATCAGATCCCAGCCTATTCCCAGAGGTGTCTAACTCGGATGCATTGAGAAACCATGCCGTGGTGCTGGTGAACTACTCGGCCACAAGAATCGCATTTGTCGCTTCATGGGCATCGACACTCGCTCCTCTGCTCGCGGGCTTCATTATGCACTTATTCAGCTTTCAAAGTGCGCTCACGATGTTTCACACCTCGTCTGGCAATGGCCAGCACGACCTACCTACGCCCTACCAGTACAGTCTTCTCGTCGGTCTCTGCCTGGCATCAACAGGCAGGCTCGGCAGGTACCTCTCTTACTCGGCACAAGAAGGAGTTGTCGTCCCGCCTGTCGTTCGTCGTGCTGCTCGCACATTATCACTGACCCTTCTTCTGGCTGTGATCGTCTTCGGAGCCGACACAGCCTTGCACTACACCACGACCACCATCAACTTTGATCGGATCGCCATCACATCTCAATCTCACGCCTACGGACGCGGTCTTTCTGCCCTATGTCTCGACCTGAACCGCTTCGACAACTTTGGCCTCCCTTGTTCTCGTAATGGAGCAATCGCCCAGAATGACCCGGAGGCCTATGTTGCGGGTCAAAATGAGATATTCTTCCTGCAACACGATACATCCAATATCTCCCAAGTCCGACTTGCGTCGGCACCAGAGCAACACCCAACATCCGAACAGGGCAAAGTCGCCATCTTGACACCACAGATTGCCAATCTGTCGCCATACCGTGACTACAGCGCCACCACAGCCGGAGTAGTCACCATCTGCACCCCAATCAGTTCTGCATGCCGGTGGACCACACTTGGACCCAACGAAACATACAGCCAGTTCAACTGCAGCAAAAACTTTTACGGCATTCTCGGGAAGGCGCCCATCACCAGTGAGACTGGCAAGAACCTGGACGACTCTGATGTGCCAACCCTAGGATTCAAGCCAGGATCGGGATTACAGTACTCCTACTTCATGGACGAGGACCTCGATACCCCCTACGACAGCACAGGAGCGTACGGGCCTTTCCTGACGGATGACCAGCTCATCAACCCCGTGTATCTCGGTATAGCGGGCCGCTTCACGACGACTGCTCAGCGCGCCGGCGTCAGCATGTCCGGTGACCCGGGCGTGCATCAGGGCCCTACGCAGAACATTGACTTTGTCCTACGCTGCCAATATACCACTTACTCCGCCGACTACAGCTGGGTCAATTCGACCGCACGCATCGACAGGCTCACACCCTCGCCGAACGGTACGCTCGCCGAGATCTTCCATGGCTACCGCTTGGTCGGGACCGACAGCGCCTTCGACAATGACTTGGGAGACGACATTCTCCAAGCAGCCTTGCAGGCCGACCCGAGGGCTATGGCCGACAACTTTGCGAACAGCTACTCGCAGCGGGTCATGAGTGTCATTGGCCCGTTTCTCTCGAACAGGGCCAACACGCAGGAGCAGAACCGCACGCCGCTCCTGGTGGCCAAGGTGCCAAAGGCGCCCCTCGCGATTCTGGTCGCGTGCTGCATTGGCTATGTCATTTTCGGCGTTGCCGCCGCCATACTGGCCTACCGTGCGCTTAACGATGTCGATGTGCGCGATATCGCGGCCCGGTTCACCCTGTCTGCGTTGAGTTTGCACGCATTTCGCGATGCCGTGACGGACAACGTCGCCGTCGAGGTCGACGATGCTGGACACCGTGTGTTTGACGAGACAAAGATCCGTGCTGAGACGAGCAGAGTCGGTGTCGAGGGCGAGCCTAGGAACGGCTTCGTGCTTAAGAGTCTGGTCTGAAGCAGAGACAACTCCTGTACGGTATATACTACAAGATCACTCGAAAGACAGTCTTGCCGGCGAGATGTCAACCTCAATCAGCATTCCTTGCTTGGGGAAGTGCACCAGTGCCGGTGTTGTACGTCGTTACGCTTGTACAGTAGCTCCTGCTGGTCATGTCTTGTCCAGGATCAGAAGAGCGTTATAGTGCCTTTCCCTTCTCACAGTCAGCGCCAGTATCTACGGTGTATCGTGTGAGGGTATCACTACGTTTAGTAATAATGCACTAAAGTTAAGAGACATGGTTACATACACCTTCGACCGCGCCGCCTCCGAGCTACGGCATCCACTTGTACAAAGAAATATGCCCCCGTCTAAGCTTCCTGAAATCAAACTATTTGCTCATAGGCCTCAGTCCTGATCCTGTGGCATGCCAATTCAAGCGTACTGAGTAGCACTTCACAGTTCATCATGCCGATCCTCTTTACTGCCCGTATTCTTCGTTCCCGACACGATGGGCAGACCCTCCTCAAGACCCGCCAGATACTCCTTCTTGATACTCAGTCCGTCCACTCTCGCCATGAAACCAAGCCCCAGCAAGACCTGCTCCTGCTCCCACAGCCCCGAGCCGTCGACGACTTGGAAGCTTTGCTTGATCGCGATCTTCTGATCCGGATCCCCCGGACCCACGATCACGTCCAGCACGATCTGGAAGACATCCCGGCTTTCATCACGCGCCATCTCGCTGGTCCGTTCGAGCCCGCGCACCAAGTCCATGGTGATGAAACTCTGCTCGACGGTGATATTGACAGCAGCCAGGACCGAGACAGGATCGCCAGCTGCATTCTGCATGACCAAGCCCAGATTATCGCGCGGCTCGTCTGGAGTGCCCTTGGCCAGTCCCGAACCCGGCGTGTCGCAGCATATCGCTTGGATCCACGTTGGGCAGCTCGCTTCGCAATGACACGGGCAAACGAGCGGTTTGAACCATGAATCTTGATGATCGTCGCCGAGGTCCACACCATCTTTCGCCTCACCTGTCGCGCAGCAGACTGCTTGAATGCTCGGCGGACAGTCAGGGCTACAGCGACAGGGACAGGAGAGAGGCGACTGATTTGGTGCAGAATGGCTAGTCGGATGCGGCTTCCTCGACGTTGGCGGTGAAGGAGGCTCAGCAATCGGTGGTGGGAAGTCCGGCAACGGGCGTCTCGCACAACAAGCAAGGTTGCAACCTTTTGGACAGGCGGCGCATGAAGGGTCACAGGTGGTCATCGACCAAGCTCCATGTATGATGTCGGTCCATCTAAAGGGACTTTCGAATACGCTCGAATCGAATGTCTTCGTTGGTATGTTGCCAGTTGTACTGGAAGTGTCGTCGTGCTGCTCCTTGTCAAAGAGCGCCTTGTACTGCTGGACCTTAGCCTGGTCAATGGCTCCGTCTGCCATAGCCTTGGAAGCATCGCCGGCTGCTGCGACAGACACAGACAAGAAAAGAAAGGTCGTAAGAGCCTTCAAGAGAGTATTCCACGTCATCTTTGGAAGATCTCAGGGTGGGAAGTTCTCGGAGCGCTTTGCCTGTGGAAGCTGCCGAAACCGACAGAAAGAGAATGACAAGCTAGAAGTGATGGCGTTGGGGTGAGAAAGCTGCAGACTATAATAGTCTCAACGTTCGGATGAAATATGCAGCTCCAGATGAGGAGAATGGTACGACGCTGCTAAACCAAGCTGAAAGATACAAAAGTATTGAGAGACGTCTGGGACGCCTCAACAAAGCTTTCGCATCTCACAGCACATGCAAAGACGATCACCCCTGACATATTGGAAAGACGAAGAATGATTGGCATGCAAGTGTCGAAAGAGGGCCGCAAGTCGTGCCTGGGGCATGCGACGCGTACAGTAGCTACGAGTAGTCCTTGTTCGTTGCAATCCTCGACTGGGCAGTCATCAGTCGACCAGTCCAGCTTTGGGAAATGCACTGGCAAGTCCTCCAGCCCCCTCCTCACCAAGGTTCATGATGCTGGTATCCGTACATGGATCGACAAAGCTTTCAGCAGCGTTAGGCGTCCAGCGCAGCTCTTGCACAAGCGTCAGCTCGACCAGATAGGTTTCCAGAAAGGCGCAGGACCAGAAGCTTAAGGAGCCGCCCCCGAGGCTGATAGTGCGAGCCTCCCTATAAGCCAGTCAAGCGTTGTAGGGCTGCATTATCGGCCATGCCACCACGTTTGGAGCTGATTTTAGCGTCCAGGGCAGGGAAAAGCTATTTGGTCCAGCCTTGTTAGCCAATCGATCGCGGATTCAGCGTATGATGGCGCCGATGAGGATCCAGGCTGCATGGCTCACAACACCGCATTCCTTTCTGATAGGAACTTATGAAGCTCCGATCCCGATGTGCTTGGCTGAGCAGATGGAAGTCCAGAGGATGCCTTGCTCTGGAGCCATCGTCATGATCCCGGAGAGCGCGCATGGTTGTCTGTGGCTCCGTCTGACCCTTGGGGGTGGTACGAAGCAGCAGTGAAGTGGGCCTAAGGAGCTGTAAGAGAGATAATGAATGAAGTATTGGCGAAGAAGGAGCTGTGAGTGGTGCAGCAGCTAACTTAGGTACGCATTGACCTTTAATTTGTTGTCCGCAGTTACCGCCACACCATGTCCCTCCACGCATCATGCAAACAGGACCTGGCCCTTCACCGGTTTCTGTATGGATCGGTCGAGTGCGCGGAGGCTGAAGATACTGGGACTGTAGCACGTAACGAGCAATGTTGATTGTAGTGTAGAGGTTGAAGAAGTCTGAAGCAGTCATGAATAATTTCACGATTCTATCTGTGCCAGTGGCATTTGAACCGTTTGCCATCACGCCAGACACACATGGTCCGGATCCAACAACACCACCATTCCATGCGCCAACTCGGACCACAACGAGACCTCATGCCTCTCGACGGGCGGGAGGAGAGAAAGTCCAAAACCAAATAGGCTCCTCACTCCTTCCACGGCTCTGCGCCTATGGTCCGTCTGATCCAACTCGCTCCATCGTCTTCACAATTGATCTGCAATACCTTCATGAATTCGTAAACCATCATTTTTTCGTCGTTGATTAGTTTTTGTTGTCTCATTCCATTCTTCTAGTGACGCCATGCCTCCATGCCCAAATTCAATCCCTTTCAATCAGTTCCTCAACAAGTCCCGCCGGATTGACGCCCGCTCAAAGATCATGGTTCCATACAACCCAACGCCGCCTTGTGCTGCGACCCCGACTCACGGACTTTGGAGTTCTTCAAAATCCTCCGTACTCAATTCGGCCAATTCGCTGCTGTTTTCTTGCCAGTCAGCACTCATCGTTTCAACCGCAGACTCAGCTTTGGCTCGCAGAGCGGCCATTGTGGTCTGGATGCTGTTGACCTGCTCCACTTCCTGAGCGTTATCGAGATCAAAGTATCCCAGACAATGCTCAACCACTTCAATGAGTTGATTGGCCTGCCCAGGTGAAAGCGCCGCATTTTCTCTGGCTCGTGAAGTCAAAAAGGTGCTGTGTGCAAAAGCTTGTGCGTCCTTTGCGAATTCTTGCACAAGACCCCGTAGCTGTCGGTGAAGCCGAAGATCCTCAGTCTCGGATTCCTCTAGCGGATTAAAGACAAGTCTCTTCAAGATATCCATCGTAGCGTGTCGGATGTGGGTCTGACCATCAACGGGGGAGAGAAGGAACGTAGGCGCCCAACGTGGCACAGTCTTCAAGACTTCCTCTTCCAGAAACCCACGATCGGCTTCAATGGACTGGTTCTCCAGTCTTGACACAGCGTCGACAAATTCAAAGTACTCTCGGGAGTAATCAATACCAACCGTCGCGATGCTGTCTAAGGCAGCCTGCACCAGGTCGACAATGCGGTGTTCCGACTGACAGGATTCGCAAAAGGTCAAGATTGGAGTAAGAAAGCTGACAGCGACGTGGATTAATCTGTCGTTCAACCCCTTATGTAGAACTTCAGACAGAGCACCGGCGAGATTTGGATCCCCTGCAAGGTATATGACCAGGTCGTTGACCGCCGTCGGATTTTGTCGTCCAGCTATCATGCGTAGGACCCACTCCAAATTTGGTGGCATTCTGCCCACTCCAAGGACCTCAAGTTCACTGGGGGTCAAGCCGATCTTTTTGTCAGATAGACGGTAATCCCCGTCCGGAATGTGGTGCAGGTCGACTCGCAATACCAGGTTCACCAAGAATCGAATAAGAAGGCCATGATTGAAGGGCCGGTTCTTCTCTCGCGCCGCCAGATACGTGCTGTACCGGGTTCGCAATCGCCTAGAAATGGTGAATTCCGCATTGTTGACGTGGATCAGCACGATGTCGACGCATTTCTCCAGAAATTCTTCGTCCAACAACATAACTACCTCGTCATCGCCAAGTCTCGGGATGCTCAGCAAAATGCCAAAATATTCAGGCCAGCAGCGGCCGCTCTTGGTGACGATGTCCCACAATTTGGCGAGTCGAGCGATAGCACATTGCAGAGTTCGAGAGTACATAGTACTCAAATCCGTAGGGTCGTCACCAGTGGCGTCCATTGTGGATTTCAATGAATGCAGATGAGCGAAGACATGCGAGAACAGACCAGCAAAGGATTTCCTCACCAACTGGAAAGGGCTTCGAACAATCACGTCTTCAAGCACGCGAGTAGCCGTAAACCAGCGAGCAACAGTCTTGGCGCAGTCAACACACTTCTCCGAGCATTGCCCCAGCAGCTTTAGACTGTCCTCCACGGCCGGCAGATCCTTCCAGCGAGACGAAATCTGATGCACATATTCCAGAACCATTTCAATCATGCTCGTCTCGAGGGTATGGTGGTCGCTGCAACCCGTCCCAAGCAGCATTCGCTCCAGCAGCTGACGAACGAAGTGTGCATGTGTACTGTCTTGAGCACAGTATGACCTCAAGAAAAGCTCATTTTGCTGGGCGATGTGATGTTCCATTCGATAAGGTAGTGGGATGCGAACGGGGTTGACCGAGTCGTGCTGGCGATATTGCTCTTCAATCTTTTGTATGCTTGAGGTCCTCTGGTAGAACAGCATATAGGCACTATAGAACTTCGGCAGGTGATAAAAGCCGGCATCAGCACTTCCGCCGAAACAATTCTCTCTCATCTGGCTGGGATCGAAGACAGTCACGTCTTGGTCGTTGAACTGAACCCACGAGTTCTCGATTGGTTTGATCGACGGCCGTTGACGGATGAAAGAGTAGTAGTGCCCCGAATCTGCCGTTCCCGAGTGGACTATAACTCCAGTGAGCTGGAAATAGTCTGGCTCATCAGAAGCACCTTCATCACTGAGGCGCGACAGAGTGTACGGTGCGATATCAAGGGTGTCCGGAAACTGAAATTCATCGTTCACTTTTGTCCGCATTCCCGTCATGATGTCGTAGTCGAATCGTTTCAGGTTGAAGATGAGATTATCAGGGACATCTTTGAGGCATGCACGCTTCACCGCATCAACGTGGCGCCCACAAGAAGTACAGGAGTATTTGTTCTCTCCCTGGAGGACTTCACCCTCGACGTAGGCCCGGAGGCTGTCCTCAAGACGCGCTTTGCCCTTGATTTCAACTTGCACAGCGGAAAACGGCTCGAGTCTCTCTGAAATGTGCTCGCATTCTTTAGATTTGACTTGTTGCACCAAGTGGCCTCCGTAAATAGACCTGAACACGCCTCGTGCTCGGCGGTCGATCTGTCCCTCCAGACGGTCGAACAGGAGGTTGAAAAATTCGTCGACGTCCATCTGCACAGATACATCGATTTGTTCACCCTCATAGGTTGTTATTGCTTCCACCGCCCCTGATGGGTCAATGGACTTCTCGTAGGAATTTTGCATGTACGCAAACACTTTCGCGAGCTCTCGGACTAGCTTCTGCCTCGACTCGTCGAAATTCTCCGCATTCAGGAAGAACTCGCGAAATTGCACGTTCATGAAAAGTTGTGTGAACAAGGAGTTGAGGTAGCATGTGTTGGAGAGATTGCGTAGCCCAGCATAGCCCACCTCAGAGCGAAGACTTTGCCGCTCGTGTGCATACAACGGCTCAAAAAAGTCTTGTTGAAGCAGATCATCATGCAATCTTGCAACAATCGTGGCCATATCTTGTGGTCCTTGACACAGAGCCAGTATGAGATTGTAAAGCCCTTCACGGACTGTACCGTCCAGGACAGGCAACGCCAACGAAGATTCGGTCAGAGTGCCACTCTCCGACAAAGCTGGAAAGAGGAAGCGAGAAATAATTTTGTCGATCAACCGATTGCTGTGAGGCAGAGCCTCATTGTTCCTCAACAACTTGCAGCATTCGTGGAGGAGCTTCGTCAAAGAAGCAACGACATGATCTCTGAGAGGTTGGCCAACGGTTTCGTGATGCTCGTGCTCTATGAAAATGGAGCTCCATTGGACGAATTGATTGTGAAGTCTTTCGGCAGAAAAGGACTTGCCTATTCTCCTCAAAATCACGAGGACTGTCTCACATATCTCCGCGCATTGTTCGGCATGATCGCAAGCACGCGGCAAAGTTTCGACCAACGCAGTCCAGAGATGTGACAAACAAGCCTCCACAACACTGGCTGGAAACCGCGAGCGTGGTGCTCGGGGGTTGTTGATCTTGAGATGTATTTTGGTCCCAACAGCCCCTGTCAGGCCGACCACAACTTCCAGCAGAGAACGTCGCACGTCGGCCCGAGGGTCTGTGACGAATGCGAGCATGATCAATCCCTCAAATTGCTTGTTGGCATCCACATAATCCCAAGTGCGATCGTCGTGCAGGCAAGCCTCGGTGAAAGCCTCTAGGATCAGCCTCACCATGGCTGAAGTGGAAACCTCATCACTGCCTGTGTTGTCACTCCCCAATGAGAAGTACAGCATCCTCGAGATCTGGCAGGAAAAATCCAGGCGATCTTCGATGTACTCACGTGAGGTCTCTGGTGGGACCTTAGCACGAAACGCTAGTAAAAGAGCCTGGATTAGGCCATGAACAATAGACATCTGAAGCGGATTAGTAGGATCAGATAGGTCCAATTTCGCGAGGATCGCCAGAATGGTCCGAACACTGTAGACTAAGAAGTGTGTATCTGGGGTCGAGCTGAAAGATTCATCCTCGATGCATGACAGCAGGGCCCGGGCGCAGTACAATAGCTTGAAGGGCTTGTCGGAAGGTAGCAGCTCCATAGGAGATTTCTCTTTTGAGCGGATGAGGCGGATAAGTTCAGCTTGTGCTGGAAATAAGCTCAGGAAGCCGTAGACTTCTCTCGAGAGACGCTCATCCGCATCCAGAAGGTCGTACAGATCGTCAAAATGATGCATGATTTTGTTGTCCACTGGTGACGAAGCTCGGGTGGTACGAGTAGGAACATTCTCTGGGCTGTTTGCTGTTTTGCGAACCATGAAAAGTCCGGTCGAGGCTTTCAGTTCGGCCAGCGTTTCGCCACGTCCTGCAAGCTCGATGCCTTGGCCGAAATGATAGACCGTAAAATCTGTGAAGCCGCTAGCTTCAGAGATATACTTCCACAGATCGTCCCCCGTATTTTCCGAACCAAATTCGACTTTCTGCATATCAGGGCTGACGTATTTACTGCCGAAGATCTGGATGTTGACTTGTACATTCTCGCCTTTCTTCGAAAGAAAGCCTGGCAGACCTTGCGCTTGTTGGCCAGGTGTCGGACTGTACCGTGGACGCGATTTCATTCCTTCCAGGAAGCTTCTGAGAAACAGCAAGGATCTGTCAAATCGAAGTTCTTCGGCACGAATCTCTTGCTCAGATGCGATGATGACCATGGGCTCATCCTCTCCGCTCATGGTGCCGTCGGTATACGACTTCAGTTTTGAAGCGGATGCCATCACCTGTCTGACGCAACGATCCACAAGAGACGAATGTGTGGCATCTATCACTGGCCTTGAGCGTCGGGTTATAAGTTGATGGTCCAGATACTGCTGGATGATGAAATCCGTAGCCTGATTCTCAACTGTGTTAGGGGGCGCCTCCAGCATCACTCTCCATATTCTATCGATTCCCGGAATGACGACCACGTCCTCAGCATCCGGTGGGGTTTGAGGAGAATGTCGAATAGTGTAAGAGACCGAAATTTTCAAGAATTCCAGAAGCCTATCGTCGTAGTCCTGGGAGCCCAGGCTTTGAAGATGCTTGTCGATGATCAAGTCGAGAACTGGATTCGGATCCTTGACCTGTCTCATTCGCATCACGTGGGTCAAGGTATCCCACGCTCTGGCTCGGACTGACGGTGGCAGCTTTTCTGCAGTGAAAAATGAGCTCCATAGTGACTCGACCGAAGCTTCGGAGAAGGTGTCAGGGGCCAACAGCATCAGGACATACAGTAACGACGCGCGCACGTCGTACGCAACTTCGAAAGACGCCACTGGCACGTTATCGCGCAGTAGCGACAATTCAAACTGATTTCTGATGTAGGCAAGATCTGCAACAAGAAGTCCTATCAAGTCGAACTTTGCGACCATGTCTGGAAGTGTGTCTCTTCTCAACATTGGAATCAAGGTCGTTAAAACCAGGACATCCCCAGAGGAGTACTTATTGTGTGCCCTTAAATTCTCTGTCGCCTCGCTGATGATATGGCTCAGCTCTTCGTCGTCAATGCTGATCGTGCCAGCTTCAATGAGACCAAGTGAGAGCGCGGTGCCGAGATGTCGTGAAAATTCTTTTCGTATGACTCCGGCCTGCTCTAAAGCCAGGTTTTCCTCCATTGATGCTTCTCGCAGGAGTCTAATGAACAACTGTCGTATGACTGGATCTGTATCCTGCTGAGAGGATGATTCACCATGACTTCTGATCTTCTCCAAGAGACCAACGGTAAATTGTAACACGTGAGCATCGAAGCGCTCGAAAGGATAGTTCAACAGCTTCTTGCAGATGTAAGAAAGCGCATGTAGGTCATACACATGGCAATTAGACAGAAGGTTGAACACTTCGTGGACGGTTCGGGGATCTTGGCTTTCCAGGATTGTCTTCCAGATGTTGTCCGTTGTGGAATCTGCATAGGTGCCGGAGACGCACAAGAATCCCACCACGTTGTGGCTACGACGGATCAGCTGTGGATGAGAATCAACACCAACAATGTAGTCGATAAGCTGGTTTTCCTGGATGAATTTCACGAGAAATCGGACAAGTGGATCGGCCGTGGCAGGGGGAGGTCTTCCAATTATGCGCTCCTTGTATACCTGGATTAGATCATTCGACATGGTATCAACGCCGTAGACACGCAGTTCCATGCGTCCATTCGTGATAAACTTGCGCAGAGTCTTGAATTTCCAGGCCTGGGGCATTGTGCTGGGAAGATCTGTGAGGTCGCCATCGACGAAACCAACCCCGGCAGAAGCGATGATATCCTGACCGATCTTGGGAACCTCCACGGCGATGACTGCAACGATCGGGTTGAGATGTTCAAAGATCTTGTTCGCACTCTCGATATGCAGCCACGGAGCCTGTTTCACAATAGCTTGTTGTATGGCATTGTCAACCTTGAGCATGATGTCTGCAGCATCGTCACGGATCTGGTCGAGCTGCGTGAAGGTTGAAGCCTGAAATGTTGGTTCGCTCACTGCCGCAGTTAGAGGCTTCATGGCGTGATTCGTCACTATCAGCAGGCTGTAAAGGTGCTTGACCCACTCAGGCTTTTTAGGCAAGAAAGGGTATAGTGCAGATAGTAAGCCAGAGACTGATGGCAGCAAAGCCACGCGATTGTCCCCGACCCGATCGAGCACTGGAGCAAGAAGCTGCGATATCTCAAAGTTCATCGTGCCTCGGAGTGCATCGTAGAACGGGATGCCTGAGGTTTGGAGCATCCAAATCAATGGCTGGAAGTATGGATGCGACTTGAAATTGAAGTCTTTCAGGATCCGTGAGTCGCCATCAGGTGATAATGCTTGAAGACACTGCGCATCATAATCCATGATTAGTTTTGTGAGATGGGCATACGCCACGAAGTAGTCGACCAGATCTTCTACTCGGGCTTGCGCCGGTGGGCCGGTGTCGCGCCTCAACAGGTTCTCAATAAGGTCTGGTAGCCGCAACCAAAACTCGCGGTCTTCTTCGAACAGCCTTGAGGGGAATTCCACACAGGTATCAACAAAATCCACCAACCAGTCTTTGACCCTCAGAAAGATTTCTCCATCTTGCGCACCACCATATTGGAACCGGTTGGATATTTCAGCGATTGCCCGGCGAGCATCACCAGGCGCTTCTCCGGTGTAGGGAAATGTGCGACGAACATGATGTGGTTGGATGGACTTGAGCACTGATGTTCCAGCAGATCCACCAACCCGACCTGTCCATCTTGTCTGCGTGGGATCTTGGTCAAAATCTTCCACTTCGGCAACCTCGATTTCGGGAGATTTGCTTGGCGATGAGGAAATGGATATAGTCTCTGGATGCTCTGTTGATTCTGGTTCGGCAATGGATGTTCTGTTGAAATCCTGGGCTCCGTCAACACCGAGTATCAGACCTTGTGAAGTTGAGTCGGAAGGATTTGACGTCGGCATCTCGGCATTAGCGGCATCTACTGTCGGCTGTGTGACAGACTGTGAAGATAAAGGACGTGTCTGGATGGTGACCCTGCTGGTAGGGGACATGGCAGTAGCGGCGCCTGCAGGACGAGGAGGGAGTGGTGGGGTGCGAGCAGGGCTTCCTTCCACATTGCTGCAGGCACTATTGAAGGCTGGCACGGGAGGAGCGAGGTCACCGTCTGTTTGCTGGAGGTCAGACATGACTTGGGTTCCATCAGGCTTGGTTTCGCTCAGCCTCGGGCGCTTGTGCTCATGCTCTGGCAACTCGGAGCCTTCAGTGGAGTCACTCCGATTGCGAGTCGAAGAGTCGGATATTGAGGACGACATGTTACAAGAGTGTCATCGGGACGGTGGAAGCGCCAGTTGAGAATAGGAGCGGTGTGACTGAAACCAAGTAGAAGGTGAAGCAGAGGTTGAATGGTACCAGGAGTGAGAGGTCTTGGCGCAAGGCAAACTGGTTGAGGATTGCCTGCTTGGCCAGAAATTGAAGAGGGTCGGTATCAGAGAGGAGCAGACTGTCGCCGGCGACTCAGTGACTCTGTGCTCGAATAAATGAGAATGAAAGAATGTCCGCCTGTGCCATTGTCTAGAATCTAGATGGAGGCAAGTGATAGCGCGGTAGTAAGTTAGGGAGAGGAAGAACGAGGCGGGGCAACCGGGAATGAAATGTTTGCTCCAACAATAGGTAATGGATGTGTGCGAAGATGATAGTCTAAACCAGTTGAGGAGACTGCTGATAAGTCCTCAATGAAGACAATCGGGATATCTTGATGATGGAAAAGCAAATGGGTTTGTGGTGAGTCTTTGTTGACCAGGCTGCAGTGTACAGAAAGGATAGAGCCAACTTAAAAAAGTTGCCGGCCGTCTGGGCTGCGCTTTTCGTCAGTCCGACGCCATTTTCGACGCGTTTTGGGGCGCGACTGAGGGGCTTAAACAAGCGAATCCAACGTCTTTCCATCTTTCTGCACTACTCCGCCCATAGCCTTGATAAATTGATACTGGGCAATGGGCACCGACTGGATTACCTGAGGTGCTGAGGTCCAGTTTCATCCTTTATCGCGCCCCACGTCATCCTCTTTTCTACACCCACTAGCCATGATCTGCACCTTACGACAGCGCCAAACAGTGACAAACCAACATGGACAAACAAAGGAAAACGGTCCATGCTCTGTCGTTGCCGTATCCCGAGCCTCAGTGGTACTCACAGCCCTCTTCTGATTCTGCATGAGATCTTCCACTAATTCAGGCCAGGCCGCAAATATCTCCAGACCACGAGCAAGCCATCCTCAGCCTATTGATCCCCCTCCTGCAACCGATCGGTGATTTCAGACGAGAACATGTCGTGCGGTCAAAAGGCAAAGGCAGGGCAGGGAAAAGTAAGACAAAAGTACAGGAGGAGTCAATGACAGAATGGATGCCGGCAATTTATGACCACCTCACCATAGGATACAACAGTACAGGACGGACACTAGAAGCTCTGGCTCGTAGACGCCAACCACCCAACATACTTGACAACTCAGACACCGAGCGTCTCTGGGACCCTGCCACCAAACTCTGTGCTGTGTTTGTGTGTCGAAAGTCTCTCCCCGATATAATGACCTCCTCACTACCAATGCTCCTCGCAACCTCAGCTCCAAAAGCCACGCGTGCAAGGTTGGTCGACATCTCCCCGCAGTCGGAAGCAAAATTAGCACAGGCATTGAACCAGCCTCGTGTTGGAGTGTTGGGGTTACGAGAGGATGCTCCTGGATCAGACGCTCTGCTGCGATTTGTAACTGAGAATCTTGACCCGGTAGGAGTGCCTTGGTTGGAGCAAGCATGCAGCTCTGCATACTTTCCAGCCAGTATCAAAACAATTGAGACAACCCGCAAACCCAGGTCTAAAACTCCATCGCTGAAAAGGAGGAAGATGGAGAAGGAGAGGGACGACGCTAATGATACATGAACACGCTCATCGAATGAACGGGATTCGGACTGGAACACGCTTGCGGTAATCGACGTAATCTTGCCCAAAGAAAGAGACAAGATGTCTTTCTTCGTCTATACAATAGGATCAGTGGGACTGGGAAGGCCTCTCGAGGACGGCGACTTACGCGTGATGCGATGATTGAAAAAGTTCCATAACGCCACCGCATATGCCACAAAACAGATCGGGTTTCCGAGTAAAACTTGCGTGCCCAACCCCCACCAGAAGAATCCAAAATACGAGGGATGCCGTGAGAACGAATAGACTCCATCAGTTACCAGGACATGATCAGCCCGCTTCGTCCATTGCACTATGTGGTTGAAATTGGTCTGGGCTTGTTTCATGGCTGTGCTTCTTACGAGCTGGCCGATCACCACAAGAGCCAGCCCTGTTCCCACGGCCAGAGAAGCTGGCATAGCTGGGAAGAGTGCTGGAATCTGGAATGGCATTCTCATCCACTGCGGCTTGTGTTCTGAGTAGAGCCAATGCCGGACTAGCAATTCCAGCATTGCGGCTGTATGCGCCGCTGCGTATCCGACGCCATTGGATAGCAGAAGGAATGATGAGATAGATGCATCGGGCGGGTTATATCGTGCCGTCAGGTCGAACTCAAGATAATGAAAAAGTGCTAGGATGGCCACAAAACAAGGCGCCCTCCACAAACTGCAGCCCCAGTAGACCAATTGCGCGGACAACAGTACACAGAAGCCCAGCACGATGCCGAGCCCAAATGCTCGAATTGAGACCCCAGAAAGCGACCTACGTCCCCCAGGCAGGTATGCTGGAGGGATGTAGATGGTCGGCGGGTAAGTTGCGTTTCCATTCTGATCCTGTTCATGTCGAATTCGCGGAAATTCGTGGATGATTCCTGGAGATCCTGATTCGGACGAATCGGACATTATCGCTCAGCAGGTTGATTGTGGCTTGAAGGATCGGAGTTGATGTCGAGAGAAAGGAACGCATAATTAGTTGAATAGCAAGGGTGTGTGTCACGAAAAGAATGAATCAAGGAGACAATAAGGCGGAAACGAGCATATTTGGAAGAACAATAGTTTAAGACCTTAGCCTGACGTTGGCACGGACATTTCTTTCGATTCACGTTGCCTGATGCTTCGCCATTAGGCTGAGGGGCCGTTAATCCGGAAGACGCTCGCCCGCCTTCTGCGTCAATGTTTCTCCGTGCCGAACGACAGCCTGATGATGAATGTGTTTGGTGCATGATGGTGCCTTGTACAACCAATCCGATAAGAGACAGGCGGACGCATAGGTATTTTGGCTCGAGTACTCCCCAAGTCACTTCTTAACGTTGCAAGACCATGATCGCAAACACAGAGTGGGAGAGAGCGCAACGAGGCGAGCTTTACCATGCCTTCATTCCCGAACTCATCGCTGCCCGAGACCGATGCAAGCAAGCTTGCGACAGGCTCAACACCTCTAGTGATTTGAGCCGGCGACGAATGATAGAATTATGGAGAGGGTACGGTCACGACTTCACTTGCGTCCATATCAACTTGAACCCTATCACAGCCATGCTCCCCGTCAGATCTCTCAAACCCCCACTCACATTCACAGTGTAACTAACGACCCGCGCCCTCTTCCACCTCGCCAATCCACCGGGGACGCGGACGACAAGATACTCTCCAAGGAGCCATGGGTCTTTGGGCCCATTCACGCCGACTACGGCTTCAACATCATCCTCGGCGAAGGCGCAATGCTGAACTACAACTCGACCTTTGTCGACACTTGTCCGATCATCATTGGCGCCAGGACACTCATGGGACCCAATTGCAGCTTCTACTCCGGCACGCACCCACTCGACCCAGCAGTCAGGAACGGTACCGATGGTCCTGAGCTGGGCAAGCCGATCAACATCGGTGACGACTGTTGGCTGGGAGGCAATGTCATTGTCTTGCCGGGGGTAACCATCGGGAGAGGGTGTACGATTGGTGCTGGGAGCGTGGTGACCAAGGTACTTGACCCATACCCGGCTCTTTCCTCCATTGTGTCTTCTGATTTCGCAAAAGGACATCCCAGCCTTCCACGTCGCTGCGGGGAACCCTGCCCGGGTTCTCAAAAAGATTGAAACGACCATGGATCCTTCCTACAAGAAGTCAGACATATCGCGAGAGGACGCAAAGCATGGAGCAGAGACTGTGATGGCCGAATCCATGGACCATTGATGTTGGAAATGGTGCTCGTGTGTGAAGGTGGATTAACGAAACAGTCGCCGGTTGTCGAGTATTATACCCACTTCTCATAGTCGGGGAAGAAGCGGTCGTGGATTCTTCCTGCATAGTCGATCACATTGGGAAAGCTCTTGACAAGCCTCTGAGATTCTGGATTACTTTGACATGCCAGTTAGATCAAGCACAGAGGGGATTGGCTGGTCAGGGCCGTCAGACTGCTTCGCTGATCCAGACTCACCTTTTACTGACAAGAACCGAGGTGATGAATCCAAAAAGTGTTGCATCGGCCTCTGTTGGTTCTTTGCCGCCTAGGATCCACGCTGGCTCGCTGACAGACGCTCTTCGAAGCCCTTGTTTCAAAGCGTTGTCAATATACTCCCAAATCTCCGTCTTCAAGGCCCGCAGTTCTTCATCATTGAATCGGCCAGTCCCCTGGCCATACAGGGTATGTGAGATGCTGCGATGGACAAAATATCCTATTACGATCCGCATGGGATAGGGAATGGACCAGAGTGCTTTGTCCCGCTGCAGGTAGAAGTTTTCGAGCCACTTCTCACGCATCTTCATTGTGTCAGCATGGCCAGCCGATCCCGCAGACCTGGAGAATCACATACATGATAGAAATACAATTTATCCTCACACAGGGCTCGAATCGCAAGATCATTGAGCTTCTGCTCGTCGGACAAATTGCTGTTCAAGTCTGGTAGGCAGCCCATGGTCTGCAATCGTTGAATGATGAATTTAGAATCGCCCAGGAAATCCGGGGTTGTTGAGGCATCGCTCTGAAGCGGACTGAGGTCGACATAGGGTATCTTCCCTTTAGGTGCACCTTTCGCGCCGCCGACTTCAACCTGATATGGTAGGCCAGCCTGGCGACAGCGGAACTCGACCTTTGTGACGAAGGGCGACCAGGTATACTTGCCCTTGTCTGGCCAGCCACGGTAGAGAATCAATCGCGAGGGTTTAGTGGTCATTCTGTGATAATTTCAGGCGACTTCCGATGCAATCTGTTCCTGATAGAAGTCTTCCATTGCTTGAACAAGAAGGGACGCAAATAGTTCTTATAAGTTGGTGTGGCAGGTCTCGTCGTACCTAGTAACAGGGGGTGAAGGGTCTAGTTGCAATGCTCGGTTCGATAAGATCCCGACTCGGATGCAGATCAACACAAGCCGCCTCCACCCTGGGAAAAGACGGAGCCGTGGCCGATCAGCCCACCTGAGATAGAAACCAGGGGCCGTCGTCAAAGCCTGCAAGGACCAAGTGATGCGGGCGCCAGTTTATTGCTCTCTCGTTGGGAACAGAAGCAGGTTAGGAAGCAATGGGTAATCAAATTCGACAAGTATGGGATTGAAGGACAACCCGGAAAGGGCGAGGCTGGCTTAAATGCAAGTTTCCAGCAAGCGAGAAGAGGAAGAAATCAATGGCCAGTATGTGGCCGCACTACTGGTACTTCAATTGATGCAAATTGTCTATCAAATCGCCAAACCATTTATCAAGCAACCCTGGATCTCTAGTTGCGTCCGTGAGCCTCATAATCTTGCCCTTGACTCACCCGGCTCCAGCAAGCTCAATCCAGTTACCTTCTCTAATTCCTTTACGGCTTCCTGCGTCCGTCCGAGAACCACCCTTATGGTCCGAATTCCTAGACTCTTCGCCGTCTTCAGGTTCTCCCCGATATCGTCCAAGAAGACAACATCCTCGTTTCGGATGTCTTGTCCCCACTTCTGGCGGATCTGCTCGAGCGCATACTCGTAAATATTCCGATTGGGCTTTCTCATGCCCACATGTGCACTGCTCACAAAGATCTCAAAGAACAGTCGCACATCGTCAGGACCGATCTTGTTAAACTCGTGGCCCTCGGGGAATATCGTCGTATTCGACAGCGCTGCTAACTTATACTGTCCTGACGCTTTGAGCTTCTTCAGAGCGGGATACATGTACGGATCCGGGGTACGCGACATGCTCATCATAGTCCAGTACAGCGTCTCCGCGTCGATATCCGGTACAGGTGGCGGGTTTGAGTTGTTGGACTTCTGATGGAACTTGGCCCATAAGTCTGGCCGCTCCAGGTCGGCCTTGAACATTCGAAAGTAGTTCGCATCATTGGGGATTTCGCCGCGCTCGAGTTTGTGCCACGCTCCATCTGGCGTGAGTTCGCGGATTGAAAAATTGATGTAGCCCCTGGGGATGCCATGTTGGATTTCGTAATCCAAAATGGCTTGGAATGGCGAGACGACCTGGTTCGTCCGAAGTCAGCATTCGCTCACCAATGCCTCTTTGGCTCAGGTCGACTCCATGCCCAGGCCTGGAAACTCGTAGTCTGTTTATCAAGCCAAGGCAAGGCCATGAATGAAACGGTCGGCGAGAACTCACACAAACTCCGCCAATATCGAACATCAGCACCTTAGGACGAGAATGCGAAGCCATGATGGAGACAGCAGTCTATCGACGAAAATCTACCATCCACGAGGAGAGAGATATAGTCGATGGTATCCTTCTCCTCTGCTCTTCTCAGACAATGTCCATCAACGATCAAAATGAACAATAGTCATCTGTCCCCTCTCACACCGAGCAAGCAAGCTGTTTCGAGACTTGAGCCGAGGCTTCATCTCCAGCGGAGAATATTATCCGAAGTAGACTATGATTGGTCATCGCGAAACGCGATCCTTCACTCCCCACCAAACCGCGTCGTGGGGATCAATACTACTACGAAGGAAGAGCGCATGCGTCTACAGTGGAAACGCAACATTTTTTGTGCCTGTCGAGAACTCAGAATGGATGACCAGTCCATTACATCTCTCAAAGCAGCATTTATAGGATCCCAAGTACGCCATCTTTCGACCCCTCTCGAGCCCTCCACAGAATGGCGAGACCAGGCCACGGAGCCAGAAGGAGGACATCTAAGTGACAAGGTGGTGCAGGATGTCGTTGCCAAAGGTATGAGCTAGGTTATGAAAGACATCTGCAGATCAGAACCTGACATGCTGCGCCCAAGTCAACGAGAAAATCAAACAACACAATCGCATGGTCTTCTCCCAGCGATCGCAGCGGCATGTCGCTGAACAAATTGAGACATTACACTGGAACCTTGTCAATGCCGAGTCGAACGACACGGGGCTCGATACCGTAATAATAAGACGAGACGCTGAGTTGACAGAAACATCAACGATTGGGAATCTCCCAGAAGACTACGACGATCTGGCCCTCCATCCTGACCACGAAACGAATGCAGAGGAGGCGGAGATGTACACGCGCTTGCGTCAAGAACTGCTAGGTCTAAGTCATGCGCGGGACGCACTCAAGCAGAAAGTGGCCAAGTACAAGTCCTTGCAGAGGTTGATGGAGCCACTGGACAACCCCCTGGTCAACATACAGCCCAATCTGATCACCAAAGACGGGGAGCTGAGCAAGGAATTGGAACGGATGAGAGTGCTGCTTGCTCGAGTCACTGGGAAGGTGTCCGAAAAACCCAGGTCGCCGGATTTCGCGAGGACCAACCCAGCACCTCTAGCACTGAGTGACAGGCAGAAATTGGCAGCACTCCTGGAACCGACATGAAGAGTCGACACAATCTCGCTTGAAGTCTTACGATGATCGTACAGTATCCTATCAGCCATGGTTATCATAAGACCTGTAACGCCGCTTCATGCATATGCCATTGCCCCCTCCTGCCAGATATTGGTCGCAGAATCATTCGTCAACTGCTTCCTCGACTGTCGGAGCAGCATGTCGCTTCGCCGGCGTTGATTTGCCAGCGGAATCAACTGAAGTACTAGTGGCAGACTCAGGGGGAGACGTCGACTCCCCGCCTGCTGGCTTAGCTTCTGCCTCTGTAACCTTCTCATCCGATGCTGCAGCAACCTTTGCCGCTTTCCTGGCTTTCTTTTCTTGCTTCTTTCTCTTGATGTCCTCTTTGGTTTCGTGCCAACCCCAGAACGGACGGAAGCTGTCGAAGAAACCCACATCTTCGAAGAGATTCGGGTACAGCCAAAGGCCAGGCGGGACGAGGAAGAATGTGAAGACGAACAGAATCAGTCGGAAGATGGCCATGGCGAAGAACAAACCGAGCAAACCCATCAAACCCCAGGAGCCGTACCACACACCCTGTCTCATGAAGAAAGGCCATAGGGGGAAGAGGACAACAGTGAAGACTGCAATCAAGGCCAGCGCTGCCCACATCTTGGTCTTCCACTGTGGTCCCTCGAATAGCCAGACGTAATGCATTGTCGGGTCAAACTCCTGTTGTTGCTCGATCTTGACGTGCCATAATCCTTTGACTCTCTTCTCCTTCTTGGTTTTGGCATGATTGTGTCCTTCGTGCGGATCTTTCTTGGAGACTCGTAAAGCCAACATGTTCAGCGGGAGGAGTTGTAGGGCAGCGCGTGCTTCGGCGTCATTTTCGACCTTGGGCAGGAGAGAGTTCTTCTTCTGGGTTTTCTTGTAGGCGTCGGAGTTCAAGGCGCGAAAAGCTCGTTTGACTGTGGTGTGTTAGCTGGAATTCAAGGAAGCGCATGAACTATTCGTGCCTTTGAACATGTCCTTTCTCTCCCCATTGAAGATACAGGTTCTGGTCTTCAAGTCCTGAGATCGTAGAAATTTCGCAACTGCCAGCGCAGCAGGAGTAGGCTCGACGCCCGAGTTCAAGTTGACTGGGATCTGTTGTACCTGTCCTTGCGGCGGTCTCTGGCCCGGAGGCTGTTGCCCCTGAGGCTGTCCCTGTCCCTGCTGCTGCTGCTGCTGTTGTTGTTGTTGACGCATGAACGCTTGTCTAGCCTCCTCTTGTTTCATTTGAACAAACTGCTGTGGGCTCATACCGGCTTTTGCGGCTTCTGCTTCGATTTGTTGTCGTTGAAAGGCCTGAAATTGAGGGATCGTCATGCCACGCTTCTGCGCTTCCATCGCTATCATCTGTTGTATCTGTTGCGGGGTGAAGGGTTGTGCGCCCGGAGGCCCTGGCGAAGCCATGATGGTGGAGAGGAGACCTGGTTTCAAAGGAGTACACAGGTCGGCAAGATCGTCGGTCGTTGACTCTCAGGGAAAAGACACGGTTTTGATCAGAGAAACGTACAAAAAGATTATCGGGATCCCCGGATTATGTCATCCTCTCAAGCCTCCTTGTGGCAGTGCGGCACGCTTGGCCTACTGAGCCTCAGTAGCCCAAGATCTGTTTTCTAACTGCCCGCTTGTTCATTCTCATCAATGACAACAAGTTCCTCTCTTCTGCTAGTGTATACTCACGCACTCTACGGATAGTTCATGGAGAAGCAATGGTGGGCTAGCAGTCGCGCCACTTTGTGAGTGCTTCAACCTCGAACTCAACATGAAGCGGCATCCCTCGACATAGGAGTCTATGCCTGAGTTTCCCATGCTTCATTCCTCGCGAAACTTTGATTTCTCCTTTCACACATGTCTTTCAACTATGTTCCCAGCCCGGGTGCTGAGCAGGACGCGCACTGGACCACGGTGTTTCTGGTAAGCTATCTACCTGTCTAGCTTCTTTCAGTCATGCTTACGAGCAAGTCCTCCCGGGATGCAGGAGCACGCGTGCCAATTGACTTCATAACACGTCCTGGAGTCTATCTTACGCAAGCATGCTTTCCTCATGGCATATACGATGATATCCCGGCGCAAACATGTATCTCCGACCTCCTAGCAAGTCAGTTTGGCCGCGTCGTCATCGATCTGTACTGGGATAATATCAACCGTCAGTTTAACCTATGCCCTGTCGAACTGCCTCCTCTTGCCGGCAATTCAACTGCGGGCTACAGTGTGGACATATCAGAACTGTCGTCCATAACAGCTACGACAAGTTCTTCCATTCTTGCCTCTGTAGGCCCCGCGACGGCTGTCGATGTCCAATCAGTTGAAAAGCGTCAGTCAACAGCCAACAATGTTACGAGTACATCTCCTGTCACCAGCTCGCCAATTAGCAGCACGGCAACAAGTGCGGCACCAGTTCCGACCACAACTGGTGTGTCCGGCACTGAATTACTCGTGCTGGGACCTTACAAATGCAGTCTAGATCTGAACCTGGAGTCAATCATGGACTTGTATGGTGATTACTTCGATAAGACTTCGAATACGGTCTCGGCCCATATACACTATTTGACGATTAATTTGCACGCAGCCTCGCCTTTCACTGCCCCTTCCGAGCCTGCTGAGACTCCCATGCAGGGGAGGCTGCCTCACGGCGAAAATCTTATTGGTGCCCAATTCCAGGACACTCTCCCCCTGGCTCTTTACACCCCTGAGCAACTCCGAAATGACCGCCAAAACCTGAACAGATCGTGGTTCCGCGACGACTTCGGTATGCACACAGACATCAACTATTTTACAACGACCAATCAGACAGGCGACGGCACCAGTACGCAGAACGGTTGGCCCGGTGAAGAATGGATCCTTCTCACATCCCATCGGCGCCTCCTCCTGAATTGGGGTGAAATTGACCCCCAAATGCAGGCATACGATTTTCAAGGTGATTCAGACAACGTCTTCGAAAACGGATATCTCGACTCCAAGCAGGCGGTGTCGGTAAATAACGCCGGTGATGTTGTTTCTGGCTGCTTCTACCACCCAAACGATACCAGTATTGGTGAGGTCAACTCCTCCTGGGCCTTTGCGGTAGCGAATGATGTTAGCTCCTCTGACCTGCAACACCTGGCCCAGAATCTCACTGCTTGTGGTATATCTCCAATTTTGAACACCACTCTGGGAATGTCAGCTGCTCAATACAATCTCGACCCTTGGAAAAAGTTCGCCCAGTCGACTGTCTTCGGTTGGGCTCTGGGTGAGCCGAGGAATGCGTCCCAAATCAAAGCCAATGACAAAAGGAGCACTGATCCCGGTGTTGATTATGCTTGTGCCGTGATCGATTCTACCAGTGGATACTTGGGCCGCTGGCGGGTTGAGCAGTGCCAAAAGCAACACCGTGCGGCATGCCGAATTGCTCATGAGCCATACGCTTGGCGCTTGTCAACGATGGAAGTACCGTTTGAATCCGCTCCCGATGCATGTCCGGACTCAACAACCTTCTCTTTGCCACGAACTGGGTTGGAGAACACTTATCTTTATCGCAAGATCGTGAATGATACGCGCTCTGGCAACGACGATTCGATCTTGAGCGGAGTCTGGATAGACTTCAATTCACTGGATCAGGCCGACTGTTGGGTGATCGGAGGTTCTAACGCGTCATGCCCTTATTCCGGTCCTGAAAATTCAGAAGACCAAAGGCAGGTGCTCATTCCAGCAATCGCAGCATTGATTGTCCTCATCCTGACCGTGTTGACATTGTTGGTCAAATGTAATGAAAACAGGAGAAACAGCAGAACTCGCAGAAGAGGTGACGATGGATGGGAGTACGAAGGGGTTCCCTCATAACAAACGCTGTTTTCGCGACCTGGCATACGTGCTTTCCGGCCAGAAGTATGTACCTTGGATCGAGGGCCCGCTCGACACGGAGCGAAGTTTGGCCGTCTTTGAATTGCTTCGGCGACTTTTTGCTGACGGTCTCTGCCATTATCCGACTCCACGAAGCAAGTTCCTTCCGCGATGCTTATTCAGCGGTTGCACCTAAGAGCTTCTGCCGACAGCCTCGCTTCACTCTGTTCCGTCCAATGCTCGAATTTTGACCAATGCATCAACACCTAGAAGGAAAGAAAACGAATCATGGCTCGGCATACTAGCCCTCCGGAGGCAGACCATGTCAGGTCCACCTTGATCGCGAGACTCTTATTCAGCACCCTGAGAAGCATGCCATCTATAAGAGGACTCCTCACATCGACCTGTAATCACGCCATGTTTCCAGGCTCCAGTCGGCTACAAACAGAAATTCCGACGCCTCCACATTTACTATCTGCCCCACATACGACCAACTGACATTGTTCCTTCAAATACTCTGCGGATTGCTCATTCCGTCCACGATCTACTCACAACCAGATCACCATTGACATCAACTGCAAAAAACATGTCTGTCAAAGTCGCTGTAGCTGGTGGCACCGGAAATCTCGGGCCTCATGTCGTCAATGCATTACTAGCTGCGAACTATTCAGTGACAGTCCTCACCCGGAAAGGCAGCACGAGTACTTCGAAGCTTCCTAAGAGCCCCAATCTCTCCGTCGTCGAAGTAGATTATTCTTCAGTTACTTCCTTGACTGAGGCTCTCAAAGGTCATGATGTGGTAGTATCAACTTTGGCTACCGAGTCGCTTGGCAGCCAATACCCTCTCATTGACGCTGCGATTGCCGCTGGCGTCAAACGATTCATTCCTTCGGAATTTGGAAGCGACACCACGCACCCTAAGAGCTCCAAGCTACCGGTGTACAAATACAAGGTCGAGACCCAACATTATCTCCAGGCCAAGTCCGCTGAACACCCCGAGTTCACGTATACCCTTGTTCTCAACGGCGCTTTCTTATCCTGGGGCATCAAAGTCGGCTTCCTTGTCAATGTCGCCAACCACTCAGCGACAGTCTGGAATGGTGGGGATGTTCCGTTTTCTGCTACCAACCTGGAAACCGTCGGAGAGGCCGTGGCTGGCGTGATTCAGCACCTTCCCGAGACGGCCAATCGACCGGTTTACGTCCAAGGAGCCCGTATCACCCAGAACCAGCTCATCAAATACGCCAAGGAGAAGGATGGTGTGGAGTGGCAGCTCACGCCGAAAGAGACCGCAAAAGCCTATGAGGAAGCGTCTGCCGAGCTCGCCAAGGGCCCGAATGCCAATATAGGTGCGGCAATGGTAGGCTACCTCATGAGTGCTATCTTCGATGAGAGTTATGGCCCCGATTTCTCCTCTCATCTGGACAACGACCTCCTGGGTATCAAGGGCATGACCGAGGCAGATGTAAGGAAAATGGTGGAGAGTTTTCTGCCCTCGTCCTCGTCTTTGTGAGAAGCACGAGGAAGTCGTGAACAGCGAGGCAGTCCGGAGCGTTTCATATAGCCAGGTCTCCCGTCACTCTCGGCAAGGAGTTCGCATCACTCAACCATACATAAAATGAATGCCGATGTCCGAAAACCAGTTCCCAACTTTCCAGACGCGATACCATCGTTGGCGCAGATGGGTTTTATATCTTCGCGCGTCCTCTTGCCTTGATATACCTCGGCACTCTCTGTGGTAACACGTCAATCATCTGCTCCAGCCATTTCCTCGTCGTGGCCGGATCAATCACACTGTCGATCTCAGCCACCGTAGCCACATTAAGGGCCTTCCCTTCGCTGTACATATAATCGATCATCTCCTGCTCCCTTTTCTTCCTCTCTTCAAGATCGTTGATACCTTCCAACTCCTTCCTGTACCCAAGCCTTACAGCGCCTTCGATGCCCATGCCCCCGAAGACGCCACTCGGCCACGCCACGCACATGCTGTTCTTCAAACTTCCACCACCGAGCATCGCCTGTGCGCCTAGTCCGAAACTGTTTCGCAGTACGACTCCGAGGACGCGACCGCCGAGAACGGCAAATTCTTGGGAGTTGGCGAACCAGTCACCGAAGCAGCGGTATGTACTTCCGGCACCTTGAGCTTCGATCGAGCGCTCGAAGTCAGGGCCGACCATAAATCCCGGGGTATCGCAGAGGCTGAGGAGATGCATGCCGCCGAGGCGGACGAGAAGGCGGAGAAGGCGGTTGACTTTTGCTCCGGACGCAATGTCGAGAGCACCACCGAGGGGAGACGACGAGTTGGAAGCCATGATAGCGACTGCGTGGCCGTTGATGCGGCCAAAGCCTGTGAGCACAGAGAGACCCCACTCAGGACAGAACTCGATGAAGCTATCGTCATCCAGAAGAAGGTTGATCACATGGCGAACATCGTATGCTCGGCGACGAGATGACAGTGGCGGCACTGCGGTGCGTAGGCGGAGAGGATCCGATGTATAAGGACTCTCCGCTGGTGGCAGGTGCGGATATGTAAACAAAGTAACGATCTTGCGGACCAACGGCGCAGCTTCGACCTCGGTGTCCACAAGTACATCAATGCCACCTGAGCGCATATGGACGTGGACGGGACCGATATGTTCGTGCTCAAATCGGCCAAGGCCACCGCCCTCGATCATTGCTTGACCGCCCATGCCGATGGTGGTGGACTTCCTTGACGGCGCATCTTTTGATCCGCCTCTTGTAGCTATGATAATGTCGCATGTTCCCAAGAATGCAGCGCTGCCCGCAAAGCAGTACCCATTCACTACTGCAACAGAAGGGATCCCTCTTGCCTTGATCTCGCCCATCAGAGCGAATGATGGCGTCTTGAGGCCCGACACGCTCAAGCCATCGGTGTCACCTGGTCTTCCACCGCCCCCTTCGGCGTACAACACCAGTGGCGCAGGATGATCAATAACCGACTGAAAGATGCGGTCTAACTTCTGATGATGTAAGTATCCTTGCGTGCCGGCAAGGACGAGGTAGTCGCCAATGACAACTGCGACTGGATGACAGTTGATCTTCGCCCAGCCGACGATGATACCATCTCCACTTGTCCGAGCGATGAGATGGGAGATGGGGTGCCTTTTCCTCTGTGCTGCAACCACGAGGTCTCCATATTCAATGAATGAATCTTTGTCAACGACCAAGTCGAGATTTTCTCGGCCCGTGAGGTATCCGTTTGCATGGCGCTTGGCCACGTCCTCTTCGCGACCAGCGTACCGTAGAAACGCCTTACGTTCGTTCAGCTCCGTCAGCTCCGGCCGTAGCTTCTCGGGGTTTTCAGTCTCGACTAGGTCGTGTGTATTGGTAGATGAACTGTCGTCATCCGAGCTGGTGAAGATAAGAGCATCGCCGGCATTGACTTGCTGTCCTTGGGTGACGGCCACTTTCACCACAGTACCATTGTAGGCGCTCCGGACGGAATGTTCCATCTTCATCGCCTCCAGAACGACCAATTCTTGGCCAGCAGCAATCTTGTCGCCTTCTCTCACTTTGACGGAAAGGACAATCCCCGTGACAAGTGCGAGCAGCTCTTCAGATCCTGCAGGTCGCTCGATTTTAGCCCCATCCTCCACTGGCGATGTAGTAGCTTCTTCCGAGGTGCGGTCACCTTTAGCCGACAACGCGTCTTCGAACTGCTGCGTGGCAATGTACAGCGCCTCGAAGTTCTCCTGGATGGTCAAAATGTTACTCTTGCCCTCTTGCACGGTTCGGAAATCCAGCAAAGCCATTAGGAACGCCTGATTCGTCCTGCACCCTACGATCCTTGTCTCGTCGATGGCCCGACGAGCTAGCCGCAGTGCGGACCCATACGAAGATGAGGTGACAATGAGTTTTGCCAAAAGGCTGTCGAACAAAGGGCTCACAGCATACTGCCGGCCTCCTTCAAGAGCTGTCTCGACTCGCACGCCTGCTCCTGTAGGGAAATGTCCTTGTCGAATAGTCCCCGTTTCAGGTTGCGCGGTGCCATCCTGCCTGAAGCTTTCGGCGTTGATGCGTAGCTGTATGGATGTGAGTCGAGGTGGTGGGGGTTCCCGCGTTATGTCTAGGTCTGCCAGCGTTCGTCCCAAGGCGACTTGAAGCTGTAAATGCACCAAATCAATGCCATTGATCTGTTCGGTGATGGTATGCTCGACCTGTATCCTGGGATTCGCCTCCATAAAATAATAGCCTTCGGTTGCTGTATCGACAAGGAACTCGATTGTGGCGAGACTTCGCAGCTTCACTGCTTTTCCTAGTTTCACCGCAGCTTCGATGATGGCTCGCCGAAGCCCTGGCGTGATGGAATGCGAAGGTGCAATTTCCACGACCTTCTGGTTTCTGCGCTGAAGCGAGCATTCTCTTTCCCAAAAATGGCAAACTTCTCCAGTGCCGTCTCCAAGAAGCTGGACTTCAATGTGTTTAGCACCGTGTAGATATCGCTCCGCGAACAAGCTCCCATTGCCGAAGGATGCATGTGCCTCTCGCTGACAAGCCTCGTAAGCCAAGCGAATGGCTTGCTCGTCTGTATTGTCGTCAATGATACGGATGCCGCGTCCTCCGCCGCCAGCTGCGGCCTTTAGAATGATTTTGCTGGCTGGGCCTAGGCTCTTTCCAAACGCCAGGACATCCGTGATGGAAGAACCTCGATCGAGTACGGTCTTCGTGCCATCTAGAACCGGTATACCTATACCTGCCGCCAATGACCTCGCGCTCATCTTGTTTCCAAGTTGTGCCAACTGCTCGCTCGATGGTCCGATGAACATGATGCCGTTATCCTCGCATAATCTCACAAATCCAGAGTCTTCGGACAAGAAACCATAGCCCGGTGCGATACCCCAGCATCCTTGTTTCTTCGCAATGTTGACAATATTGGCCGCGTCCAGATATGCACGTGGACCTTCTCCTGGGAGCGCCACTGATGCGCTTGCAAGACGCACGTGTGTCGCATCCTTCTCAGAGGGAGTGAACAGAGCTACTGTACGGATGCTTGGGTAGAGCGAGTATGTCCTGATGAGGCGACATGCTATCTCGGATCGATTGGCTATGAGAATATTGATGGGTTGAGAGGAAGACATCCTGGAGACAACCCACTAAGGCGGTCATCTACTGGAGAGCGATAGCCGTCGCTCCTCACGCACATTTAAGGATCTTTGTCTCGTTTTCTAGGTGTCTGGAGTATTCATGAATAGTGGAGAGTGAACCTCAAAAACCGTCGCCTCGGCTGCTCGGCTCAGATTCCATTCGGCAGTGTCGGCATCAGCGCGCCGCCCACCCGCCTTCTACGAGTACTAGGTAGCTACCTAGGTAGGGATCCGGGTACATGTCAATATAAGTACTCCGCCATGGTATTAGTAGTACTGTGGCATATGCATTGCGTCGCCGTATGCCGTACCAATGGCGTTGCTGACGCTCATCTTCGCAAAGCGGATTGCATCGTCTTCCATCACGGGAGCGGTGAGAATGCCGCCAAGTCAAAGATAGAATCCAAGCCAATGTCCCAGCTGAGAGACTCGCTACTGGAAAAGCAGACCATATTAGATGCTTGCAGATAGAAGAAAGCATACTAAGGGAAACCCACCTGGCCAGCCCAAACAATGATTGTGAGGAAAGAAATGTACCTTCGAGAGCACCCACCGAATCATTCCCCTGAAAGCCCGGGATCTCCAAGACGGCGTTTTGGGTGCTCTGAGGATTGAGTGGAGGGTGAGATGACCGGTCGCCTTCGGACTGGAGTTTGAAGGCTTTGCGGAGGAGATTCAGGAACAGACCGGCCGACACTGACCGATCGCGCATTTCACTCAGCATCAGAAAGTACAGCTTTAGTTGATGGCACGCGGTCTTCCTGGCTAGTCCTGTCGTCATAACGGAGAGATAGAGATAGAGGAACGTCGCCGGTTTGATGGCGGTCACACTATTGAGAGTGATCACTGATCAGTACCAACAACAACATCTTGGTTTGCAGACAGAGCTTACATGGTAACGTCGCAAAGATGGACTTGGTCTGCCGTCATGATTCTGGTGACGACGGTGGTCATGGCGTCGGCAGCGGTGCGGGCTTTCTCGACCAACTGGTTTTGCCAGGCAGATGCGGCGACTCCATTCCGTCTCGGAAGATACGGTCGATATAAGAGGAGGCTGAGGGCACTGTATGTGTCAACAGAGTAAAATGGACCACCTCGAGGATGTGTACCCACCTATGATTGATGGAAACGTAATCCGCAAAGGCTCTGACCGCCAGATCCCCGTGTTTGGAGTGGTCCGCGACTCCTTCCTGACACGCGAGGATGTCTCGTTCGTGTGCTTCGATCTCCGCCGCCCGAGGCTCGCCCAGGCCATAGTGGCTGCACAGCAATGTTGCCATGATGGTGTCCTGCTTCAACTGCCTCTCGTAGAGTTCACCCAGTGCGGCGAGGTCACCTGGGAGATACTCCTCCCGCACCGAAGGGGGCAAGCCCGCTACGGTGAGCCACAAGTCTTCCGCCGACGGAGCAGGGACATTGCAGTCTTCGAGGCGAATGTGCATCGGTCGGCCGTACGAGAAGGAATTCCGAGGTTCCCTCTGCATGCAGAACCACCAGATGCGTTTCCACAGGCACATCTGCGCCTCGGTGAATCGATGTTGCAGCAGCGGTCCCGGGTCGCGATGAAGACCGACGGAGTAGCACAGGTTGATCGCGACGGCGAGCCAGTGCGACGGCCCGCATCGATCTTGGGTGTCCCCGTACCGGAATGTGAGTAACAAAACAGCTTGGATCACGGTGATTTTATCCGTCTCGGTGTCCATGTCATAGAGGTGCTAGAGTATAGTCAGCGCCCTTGGTGAATTGGAAGGACCGGTCACAGATGAGACACCTTAGCCTTCCAGTAAGTCGTCTCTTTCATCGCTTCTCTCGAGCCGTAACCCGCCGCTCGTATGGTCTCCATCGGGGCGTACTGAGGCTTCATTAGAAGATGGGCGTGATCATGACGAAGAGGAGGATCTCGCACTGACATGGGCTGCGGCAAGAAACATACTCCACAGGAGCAGCGGGCTGATTGCGGATACGCCGTGATAGGAGTATGTCATCAGGAAGCTCCCAGCATCGATGACCGGTATGTATATGAAGGCGTGCTGGAAGAATGACTGGATAAAGACACGGACGAGGCCTTGTTCGGGCAAATCGTAGACACCTTTGGTCTGCAGATACGCTGCATCGTCGGCCGACAGTGACCTGGTCTCTGGGCGTGGCACGTGGTAATGGACCGCAGGCGGACGCTGAGGGAAACACAAATTTAGAATTGACTCCAGCTCATGTGGCTCACCTATTCAAATCACATTAACAGACGGAACATGAATGCCGTCATGTAGCTGATGGATACACATCGACCTGACATAGGGTGTGCTCATACCGACGTAAAATCGAACCACATCTGTTTGAGTACTTCCTTCCAGAACCTCGTTCAACGCATTGGGATTTTGGACGGTACTCGAGCTGGGCGGCTCCACATCTTGCAAAATCTCATTGTCGGAGTGATGATCGGGGCGAGAGATGGTGTCTCCATTCGAAATCACCACTCTTGACGCCCGATTCGGTGATTGAGTCCACAAACCGACGTGAGACTGGATGGAGGCAGCTCTTCCATCACCTCCGCCTCCTGAAACAGCATTGTCCTGTGTGTCCAAGCCGGAATCGTGCTGAGTGTGCCGTTTGGGGGTCCTGCTACTATCGCCACCGTCAGCCTACTGAGGGTACGCATAGACAGTCGAGAACACAAGCCAAGAATCGATCATCCGTCAACTAACCTGGTACTCTTTCGGTTAAACACCTTGCAGACTGATCCGTCATGCTCGCAGTTACTGCATGGCACTCCGGTTCGATCCAGACTGCAACGGACCTTGCGCTTGTGGCATGCCTCGCAAGCAACCGCGGCACGCTTTTTGCGTGACTGTGGAAGGTCCATCGCTTGAGACAGATTCTGAGTGTATCTACCAAGGCGTGTTGCCGCTCGCCGCGGTTTTTAAAGATGAAGAAAGTGAGGAATCGAGGTGCACTGCCGAGTTGCCGAACTCTTTCATGGTGAGCCTCGCAACCAAGATTGAGCCGCGGCTACCATGTCACGAGGCAGATCTACTGGAGTCTTTGAATTGACGGATTTTGTGACTGGCTGGATATGATCCACACCATGGAAGGAAATGATCCACATGATACCCCGAGATTGACTGATTTTGGTTAGATTGGACTCGTATACAAACAGCCGGAGACAGTGACGATGGATGCCCTTCTACGCGGCTCATATCTTCGCTCTTCTCCCGTTTGGGGCGGTGATCGGGGGTTCTCCATGGCTAAGAAAGTGACCGTTCAACATACCTAGCAGTTCACGGATCCACGAAGGATCTTTTAGTGAGCAGAATACTGATCCCTTGCCGTGTGTCTTCTCTTTATGAGATTCCTGGAAGAACGCACTTAGATCCGCTTCAAGTACGAATCCATAGACACCATGATATATTCGAGTATCGAAATCCTATTCTACGATGCGGGCTGCACATAGACCAAAGGGTCAACCGATGAGACGAGAAGGCCACTACTGCCAACGGGTGTTGATGAGTCTAGCATTCTACGAGAATACGACCGCCCAAAGATGAAGTTGTTAACAAAAGTTCCATTCGATTTTCCCTCTCCTCAACTTGTCTGAAGGTGAGGGCGTGTCCTTATTTCACGCCCACAAATACCGCTGTATACATGCACAGCTCCCACTGTCCAAGAGACGAACAGGGAGACTTGGCCACCAAGGCCCCCACGCTTTGATCCAGCCTCTGCTCTCTGTAACCGGCTACAAGGTGTACAAGAATCCAGGCAGACCTTCGATCGTCTTACGTCCTTCCAGGGCCTGCTTGTTGGCACTTCGGAAATAGAGAACCATGAAAAGGGGAAGAACGATCTGGATCCCTGCCGCCACGAGACAAGTGGCAATACCCGGACGATATGTCGGCTTGTCCTGCGTCCGAAAGACCAGAGTGCCGGTCACGCCGCCCAGCCCGGCACCCCAGAGCAGGGACGCGGAGCACAAGGCCCGCTTCCACTGACCGCGGATGTTGTTGGCCTGCCAGGTGATCATGGGCGGGGTGTTGCCGCAAGCGCAGGCCGTGAGGATCATGGCGCCGATGTATCGCGACGCCACCGGTTTTGTGTAGGCCAGCATGCAAAGACCGAGGACGGCAAAGAGGGCGTTTACCACGATGATGGGCGACCGTACTTGGTGCTTGTCCCCCCACCACGCCTGCACGAACATCAGGATGGCCGCGAACACGTACGGCGGCGCCGACATAAGCTGAGAGGCTGCCACACCAAATCCGAGACTCTGTCGCAGAAAAATGTCAGTCAAGACCGATTATCAGCCTTGTATGGGTGACCGGTAATTACTAACATCTTGGAGGATAATAGGAAGAAAATACGAGAGGGCGTACTGAATTAGAGAAGTGCAGAGGAAAGTGAGACAGTATGCCCAGACCAAAGGATCGGCAGTATTCGCGAGATAGGTTTTGAGACTAAACTTTGTGGGCTTGACGTCGTCTCGATCTTGGTTTAGTCGGGCGCAGACATAATCGACTTCATGGGGCTTCAGGAAGGGAATCGCCATATCGGTCTTGCAACGGTCCGGGAAGTCGACGACGAAGACGAAGAGGATGACTCCAATGACGCAGGTGATGACACCCTCGATGATCAGGATCCATCTCCAACCTGAGATACCAGGCAAGATGCCCGAGGGAGCTGTCGGATCGGTCGCTGTAGGTCCGTAATGCTGGCCTAGATATTTTGCACCCGATCCGTGACCCTTGAGCTGCGATAGGCCGTAGGCGAGGATACCACCGAAGGCCGAGGCGATCATGCCCATGAAGTAGAAGCCTGAGTTTCGTTTTTGGAGTTCGTAGCGTGGGTACCAGCAACTCAAGAGATAGGTGCAGGTGGGAAAATAGCCTCCCTCGAACAAGCCGAGAAGAGCTCGGAGTGGAAGCATTTGCCACCAGTATTTGACGAACCCCATGCCCAGAGTGGAGAGACCCCATGCGATGATGATGATGGGAAGTAGGGCCCGGGGTCCAACCTTACGTGCCAACGCCGTGGCAACAGGCTGGATCAGGATGTAGGTCGGGAAGAACACTGCCAGCGGTCAGTGGGAAAATTGCCGCAAATGAGGCATCCACTCCCGACTCACTCAGAATGATGGTCTGGTAGCGGTATCCGATGAGGTTCAGGTCCGTGATCAAGCCGGAAACGGCGAGAAGACCTGTGTTTCCTCGATCTATCAAGCAGATCGTGTAACCCAGCCCGAGCGGGACGACCAGCCGCATGTCAATCCGCCATTGGATTCGAGCCTTGTCCTTGTCGGAGAAATCAGAGGTGCTGAGGTCGAGCTCCTGAGCGTGGCCAGGTGGCGACGTTTCGATCTCGTTGTGACCGAGGTCTTTATCAGAAGCGTGGTCAGGGGCCATCGTACACACTTGACGTGAACCTTTTTGGTGTTGGTGTCGAAGAGATGGCTGGAGCTCGCGGGATACTCAGTCTCTGGAACAACCTTTGGAACGTGAGCCAGGTAATAAGGGGGTACGATGGAGTTGTAGGGGCTGGGGGAAAGAGTCACCTTCATATAGACATCTCCCCGGGTTATGTCAAATCCAGTTCCCACGGGGTACAATCAGGCTTGGGCTCACGGTCTCCCACATAATGCCACGACGTGGAGAAACACCATGAATTGGCCTTCGTGTTGATGGGTCCGGCTCGGCAACCACAAAATCCGCGGCTGTAATTCGCATAGGCAGTGCCGCGGCTTAAATGGGACTGGATGGAGTAGGAAGTGTGTAATGCCTTCTCTGAAGCCGACCCTTGGTACTAAGTGGAGACTCAGCCTTGTCATGCCTGATAATTGCAGCATGTTACGGGACGGTCGAAAAGGAAGCAGAAATTAGATGATGCTTTCCGTGTGATCTACGTAACAGATATGGATGTATTCGCCAGATCTCATGACCAAATCGTCAGGCTGAGACTACCTGACCAACATCAGTGACACCTTACAGCATATGGCGTCCAGCCAGAAGATTTTGCACCGTGTTAGGATCCAGAGGTTCATAGCCAGCACGTTCTTGCTTGATCCAATAAATGCGATCATTGCTTTCTGACGAGAGATTGAAGCCTGCAACATTGAGCCCGAATCAGTCCACTGCCTTTCCGCTCGCTCTAATCCACATTTATCTGGAGAACACAAACGTACCCTCTTTTTGAAGTTCGACCTTCTGCTTCTTCATGAGCGGGGAAACTCGCTCAGGGCCAGATTCGCTTGATGAGGTTCGGGCCACGGCATTCTCGTCTTGCGGGGAGGGAGAGAGAATTCGAAGAAACCGAGGCACCGCATACGGCGGCAGGCCACCCGTGGGGCCAATTAACCATTCTTCCAACTCCGTGACGAGGTCGTGCTCGACGACTTGAGGGCTGGCGGAGTTATTCTGACGAAGAGTCACAGCTATGCAGCCCAGTTGCCCTTCGTAACCATATCGATTCATGGCAATAGCGTATACATTGACTGATGCGATGGCGGGATGTCGACTGAGGACGTTCTCGACCTCAGTGGTGGAAATATTGTGCCCTTTAACCCGATACGTATCTCCAAGGCGATCAACAAAAGAGATGAACCCGTCCCTATCCTGGAATGTCATGAGAAGAACTCGCGACCAATGGCTTGAGAGGGGTACTGTGGTGGATCATGGACGTACCATTGCCAGAGTGTCTCCCATGCGAAAGAACTCATCACCCCGTCGGAAGACGTTCTTCAGAATCTTCTTGCGCGTTGCCTCTTCTCCCCCCGGACCGATGTAGTTGTGTCGAGTTTGTATCGGGGGCTGGACTCTGCAGATGGCCTCCCCCGGCTCTCCAAAACCGACTTTGAGACAGAATCCAGTCCGGGGATCGCGATACACCTCCCCAGTCTCTGGGTTGATTTTGATCAGGAACAGTCCATTGTTTCCAATCCACGAGCTCCTCATCAGTGGGCCCCAACGCGCAACCTTTCCTACACCGAGGTCGTTTTTGTTGGACTGTAGCAGCCCAGTGGTACCCTCACTCGAGCCATAGTATTCGATGATCCAGGGGACTCCAAATCTGTCTCTAAAGTCTTTCCAGACCTTGGGTGACAGGCCCAGACCAAAGGCAAACTTCACCCCGTGGTCCTTCTCGTCGGGAAATTGGGGATCTGGTGGGCTTTGGGTCAGATAGCGCAGCATTTCACCAATATACAGTATTCCGTTAGCCCTGTTTCGACGGACATCATGCCAGAATCCCGACCGAGAGAAGCGTCTGCTTAATATGACTGTGCCAGAGCCTGCCCAGGTCGGTGGAATCCCGACGAATCTGTGAGTTAACTAGTCAACGAGTGGGACGTCCAATGTGAGAAGCTGACCTACGTGGCGGTGCCATGAAACATTGGCATGCAAATGTAGAAGCGTAAATCACTGCTGAGAGCTCCCGGCCAACGATCTTTATGGGCCAGTCCCCAAGCATAAACTGCTGGCCATTGGATCGCTTTCGGGAGACCGGTGGTTCCTAGGTCGTGTCAGCCTTCGCTTTTTTCGTCGGGGGGGCGGACAACGTAGATAATCTGCTTTCTGGACGTACCGGAGGTGAACATATAATGTGTTGGTTGCTGGTGATGGATCTTGGGTCTCACTGACGGCGGAAAATCTCCCATTCCAGGAACTGATGGTAAATCTCTGTGGGTCAAGAGCACACAATCAGGGTGTAGAGCTCCCAAAGCCGTTGTTTCGTACGTATTGTAGTCATAGACCAGGACTTGAGCGAGTGTAGGACACGCAGGATCTGAGCCCACTGTCAGCTGGCCTTGATTGTCTCCGAATGTCTGAGCAACGACATGATATAACTCATAGGTGGTCAACAGGAACTCCGAGCTACATATATTCAGGCAATGCTTGACTTGATCTCCGGACATGGAAGTATTCAAGGGCGCCGGGATGGCTCCAATCTTCATCAAAGCATAGAAACTGAACAGGAACTCTGGTGAATTGTTGACGAACATGCCAACGACGGTCCGGTTACGAATGCCCAAGTCCAGGTATGCTGCTGCCAGTCGACCCACTTCTTCGCGAAGCAATCTGTATGTCCAGGACCTTCTCTCGAAAGCGAGGGCTTCCAGGTCGTCGTTCTGCCCATAGGTTTGGTGCAAAACATGGTAGAAAGACCAGTCATCTTCTCCCAGTTCCCGGAATCGTGCTTGGATATATCGATTTGTCCGTCTGGCGCCCAGAATCTGCGAGATGTCGTTTGAGACGGAGAATTTGGCGTCCAGGTACATACAGATCCCACTGACAGCGGCCGTGGCTGCCAGCACCGTCGGGATTATCGACATGATGTAGAGTCAAGACGAAATTTGAGCCAGGACTGGGAGGAAAAAGGTCGCGGAATGGTCAGGTCGTGGCTAGAAGTGGAAAGATCTTGAGGATGCCTCGTAGAGAGAATGCCTTTACGAGGCAGTTTCATCTACTAAAGACCTAGGCAGGGATCATCACGAGACCGAGCAGGAATACTTACCTAGGTAAACAGGGATCAGACCTACACTCTCCCCGATCAACTGAGGTCATGACCAGGTATCTTTTGTCTTGGAGATTGAAGCCACTAGGAGCTTCCTCTACCCCGGAATTCAGACATCTCTTGCCGAGGGGGGCCTTCGGCTCAGGTCACTACTAGCGACCCAGCCGCGGCTGAAGTAGCTCCGGTTTCCTGGATAAGTTTGGTGAACTCGCGTTGACCTCTTGGATTTCACGCTCGGAAATCAGAATCTGCCGCAGTCGAGCGCTTTCTGGCAACGCGTCTGACCACGACTTGGAAGACATATTGAAAAACAGTAGTAAGATGAGCGCGGGAAATCAGGAGTTGAGGGCGTGTCAATTAGTGCCATCAGGCGCCGCTTTTAACATTTCTTAGTGTGAGACCCTTGGCGATATCGGACGACTTCCTTAATATGTAGTACCTTAGGGCGCAACTGCGGAGTTGGGTATTTCTGATATGTTCTCCCGGAGCTTGTGTCGAGTCATTCAAATTCGAATTCTTCTTCGGTTTCTTCTCGATAAGCTGGTGGCAGGTTCTATTGGAATGAGTGCCGCGGATGGAGTAGTGGTTCCCGCACTGGGCCAAGGTGAGCAAATCATCCAGACTGCCGTCGTCTTCAGTTAGCTATGTCGCAAGAATGGCCTGCTGATGTCTCCCAGGCGCCGGATGGGGCATCATCGTCGGAGCGGGCGCCTTCTTTACGCTGGGCATGTGGCTGGTCTCGATCCTCCTGGCCAAATTCCAGCACGAGGTCCAAGGCTCCGAGATGTTCATGACGGCCAAGCGATCCATTCGCTCTGGTCTGGTGGCCTCGGGCGTCGTGTCTGGGTGGACGATCGCAGCCACGCTCCTGACCTCGACGAGCTGGGTGTACGAGTTCGGCGTGAGCGGAGCCTACTTTTACGCCGCCTACGCCAACGTGCAAATATTTGTTTTTGCAATTGCCGCCGTCGAGCTCAAGCGCCGCGCGCCAGGCGCTCACACCGTGCTGGAGGTCACTCGTATCCGCTATGGGACGCTGGGTCACGCGACCCAGATCTTCTACTCGACGCTGCGCCAGATCTTCAACAGCGTCAATATCCTCATCGGCGGCAGCGCCGTGTTCACCGCGCTGACCGGCATGAACGTTATTGCCGGAATTTGGACTTTACCGCTGGGCGTGGCCTTATACACTATGGCTGGCGGCATCAAGGCTACCATTCTGACGGACTATGCGCACAATATCATCGTCTATGTCCTCATTCTGACGGGCATGTTCGTCGTCTACACCACCTCCAGCTTGCTCGGGTCTTCCGGCGCGGTCTTTGATGCCCTGCAAGATGCAGCACAGCGAGACCCGGTCGCCGGAAATTCCGGCGGCAGCTATTTGACCATGTCGAGCCAGACTGGAATTCTACTGGGCGTGGTGGTGCTGACCTCAGCGTTCGGGAGTACGGTCGATGTCCAATTGTTCCAGAAAGCTATTGCAGCCAGTCCAGGAGCTACGCTCCCGGGCTATTTTATCGGCGGCCTGGCGTGGCTAGCCATTCCCTTTGGTCTCGCCACCACCTTTGGGTTGACATGCAGAGCCGTCGAGGATACCCCTTTCTTCCCGACCTATCCTCGCCCAATGTCCGCGCTGGAGATCAGTCGAGGCCTCGCCTTACCCTATGCGACCGAGACACTTATGGGAAAAGGCGGTTCGGGATTCGTTTTGCTGATGACGTTCATGGCCTGCACGAGCGGGTTTTCCTCCGACCTGGTCTCCGTCGCGTCAGTCTTCACGTACGACGTGTACGCCGCGTACATCGACCCCAACGTGCGCGGCACTCGCGTCATGACCATCTCGCACCTGACCGTTGTCGTGTGGACCGTTTGCATAGCGGCCATTGCCACGGGTCTTTCGCAGACGACCATTGGTGTCAGCTACATCCTGACCACGACTGGGATCTGGACGGCGTCCATGGTGTTCCCTATGTATGCGACTGTTCTGTGGGGCCAACAGAACGTTGTTGCTGCGGGCCTGGCTCCGACCCTAGGGTCAGTCACGGCCATCGCGAGCTGGCTAGGCAGTGCGTACGCTCTCGAAGGGGCTGTCACTGTCGACACCACTTCAGCTGTGCTGCCCCTGGTCGTTGGCAACTCGGTGTCGCTGGTCAGTGGAGCTGTGTATAGTGTTCTGTTGACCTTTGTGTTTGGATCGCAGGAGTTTGACTGGGATCTGCTGAAGACGGGCATCCGCGCCGTCGATGACTCGGACGTCAAGGGCGTCACTCCGGAACAGCTGGCGCAGCAGATCGGCAGTGAGAAGCTCAGCAAAGAGGAAGAACGCTCGCTCGTGCAGGCCAAGAAGGTGGGGATCGTGTTGGCAGCGGTGCTGTTCTTGGTCTTTGTCGTGTTGATCCCTCTGCCCCTGTACGGCACAGGGTATGTGTTCAGCAAAGAGTTCTTCACATTTTGGGTGGTCTTGACCTTTGGCATCGCCTGGAGTTCGGCATTGGTGATCTTGTTATTGCCCGTGTGGCAGTCCCGACGGACCTTGTTGCGGTTCTGGAGGTACGCGTTCGGAAAGCGAAGACAGTCGCTGGCAGACCAGGAGCAACGGCCACGAAATATAGAGACATAGAAGATAAAACATTCCAAGCTCGACTTCTTCGAGCGACTTCCTTGAAAAGAAATATGTAACTAAGGTCTGGATATTAATGTCGGCTTGCACTCTGGCACGATCGCGAACCTCAACCTTGTCGACTCGCCACAGTATTGCGACTGGTTCGCCAACTCATCCAACGTGATCTCCGAGAATGAAAGAGCTCATATTACAAAAACGGTATCCTCGAGCCTTCAATGGCCTACTGACCTTCTTCGATCGCCCTCCATTGTCCTCCACAACATATGCAGGCGGTCACGCATACCCTAGGGACCAGAACGTTTCTATATTTTTGCCAGTATCTGCCACTACGTACGATGTAAAGCTGGAGAAACAATAGTGGACTAGACCGCGCACACTGTGCTGCAGCTAGCTTGTCCCATGTTATATCCACGTCTGACCGTTTTCATCTAGAAAGGTGACTGCCGCCGTGATCGGACCAACGGCGATGCCCTCTCCTTGAGCCCGATGTTGCGTATGCTTTCGTTCCCGCAAGGGCGACGGTCCCCAGTCCCGACCCTGTCCTGACATGTCGGTGAATGTGCGGTGGGCTTGCGGTACCAGGCTGGATGCTCTACGTCGCACGGACCCTCGGGTCATGGACATCGAGGAGTCTCTTGACACAGCGTTGTCATGATCGGTCTCTGAGTTTGCGGCCTGACAATACCTGTTGGCGGTGCCATTAGGCTCCCACTTGGACTCGAATTTGGCGGTACGGTCCATAAGATGGTTAGGTATATAGCGCTGTCCGAGCGGAGATGCGAGGGTAGGATCGATATGAATGATCTTTTCCCACTGCGGCTGTCTCAAACCTTTTGGGACCTGGACTTTCTTCTTTTGCTCTTCGTCGTGATCGGGAGTCAGGTACAGATCCAGGATCTCGTCGATGTCAGCCGTGAGCCGACCGTCGACGTTGTAAATTTCAAACGTGTCCTCCTGCTCTGTATGATGATGATTCCCAGTACGGCCACCACTCTCCTGGCTGAGGCCATCCGCGCCTTGACTGCCATTATCACTGTCGCAGAGGATCGAGGACCAGACCGATCTGCACGACGCAGCATTTGTTGCTTCGTGAGTTGGGGCACCGGCTGGCTTGTCGTTAGAAGGCCAGGCTCGTCTTGAGCGGAGCGGTGCCGGAACAAGATGTTCTACTTGGGCCTCATCCCAGATGTCCAGTCCTTCAGGCCCATCTCCATCGGGCAGTCTGGAAGAGGTGCGTGGTCTGACGTCGCCCATTGTCTCCGTGTACAGAGCACATGGCTGATCGTTCGAGTGCCCAACTTCCTGATCGTCTTGACTGTAGCTGCTGCGACTTCCCCAGAAGCGCGCATCATCATCACTGAATTCGTCCTCGACCCACTTCTTAGGAATCACTTTGAACCATCCGTCAGGTTGTATACAGGAGAATGCATTGCCTCTTTTATCTAGATCCAGTTCTCCGAGTCGTCGTACTGGCTCGATGTCGGGATGGCGACCACGGCTCACCCGATGGTGTGGTACATCTGGTGGTGCAGCACCCTCTCCTTCGGCTACTGCGCCTGGATGCTTGCATGTGAGCTCAATCAAGCTCTGCTTGAAGAGTTCTCCGGGCGGTCTTGGGGGGATTGGAGGGATGGTCCTCGACTTTGTCTTCGGCAACTCTGGCTCAGATTCCTTGGGCAATGTTCGATATCGACGGGGCTGTTGCTTGTCTTTGAAGCTTTCCCCGTGGGCATCGTTGCCAGCTGAGGCCTTAGATCGGAAAAGTGATAAAGACAAGATCGAGCTGCTGCGCCTCATCCGCCAAGAGGGCGAAAGAGATATGTCTCTACTCTGCTTCGATGAAATAGATGACGTCGTGTTCGGCGTACTAGCTGGTGTCGCGGTCGTACCTGTATTGTGTCTTGGGCGACTGAAAATGGAGGTTCGAGACGACGGAATCTTTGGGGGTTCTGACGGTGTCCAGCTGAACTGGCTTCTGTACGGAGGGGTCTGCGGAGGTTCCATGTCGGGAAGAGATGTTAGCTGTAAACGATAGCGGAAGCTGTCAGTAAAGGCTGTTTGTCGTCTTTCAAGTGCAGACGAGGCCGTCACAGTCAGATCAGCGGACGTCAACATATGCTTGGTTGCCACATCTCACCTACAACATCACCGATCTCTTCTAGAATTTCTAGAATTTCGGCCTGGTCTGAAATAGAAATGGACGCTCATAAGTGACACTCACAAGGGAATCGAGCTGCGTCGGGTAGCCACGGCTATATCGACATGGGGAAAGACAACAAACACCCGTTGTGTGTCAATTGAACGTATCACTGCTGCTGATAGGCAGGTATCTTCAACAGTGAAGAGATAGACATTGTCCCTTTGTCACATGAAGTAGCAGGCCTGCATGTGAACATATGTCAAATGTGGAAATGAGCGCCATTGTGGAATTCAACAACAGTGCAAGGCTGTTGGATGAGGACATCTCTCTCACGTTTTCCTCACGTCTTCAGAATACACATCCCAAAGGCCCGCGGAAGATGACACAGAAGCAGAAGTAGACAACAAGGGAAATTGCACAATAACAGCAGGCAAGACTCAAGGCCTGGGACATACGGACATACCTTCTGAATACATTATTAGTCTTCGCCAGCCGCAATAAAAGCTCCTGAGATCGAATCATGTGCCAGCAGTTTAACTGCATAGATGCCCATGCCGGATGACCGGCTAGAGACGCTCTTCCATGTTCAGGCACTCTTGTCCGTCAACAAGCGTCAAGCAGTCTAGGATGCTCTACAACTTCGCTTTCATCCAAGACTTGATGGCTTTGCCCTGTTCCGTCTCCGCTGTCATGCCAAATCGCAGGTTCATCATAGGTGCAATGTGACCCTCATGCGCTCCAACCACGTATGTTATGCCGTCGGGATTGACGGACTATTTCAAAAGGCAGTCAGTCTATGTTTGACCCAGAAAGACTTGAGGAGGTCAGCCATGGGAAATCTCACCTTGTACTTCTCTACCCAGGCGTCGATGGGATCGATCAACAGCTCATCTCCGCCTGCAACGCACAAGATATGCTCCACTTTGGAGTCCTTCCACCATTCGGCAGGTGCATCCACTGCTTCCGCATAGGGAGTCCTCTCCCTGCTTGCCATATAATCTTCAGACCACGTTCTGCCAGCGTACGCACTGACAATATCTTTGTACCGGCAGCGCTCCGCGCTTGGCCAATCTGTCCTGAAGGACGTCCACGGAGCAACAAGCACAAGCGCTTTGAGCTTTTCTCCATCCGGAAGGTTCAGTTCTGGAAGTTCGCTGTTTGGATGCATTATGTGCGACAGGACGGCCAAGCACATGTTTCCTCCAGCGGAATCTCCAGCAAGAATAATCTCAGATGCAGGTCGCTCCAACTCGTTCATCACGAAGTTGACCGCTTCGACCGCCTGAATAATTTGGGTCGGGTAAGTCGCATGCGGTACCAACGTGTACTCGACAAAGAGGAATGCGACAGGCGCAGAACTTTCTTTGAGGGTGGCGTGGACCCCATGCCAGAATTTGAGATGCGTGTCTTCCCCATCAAGGGAGAATCCTCCACCTGTATGGCCTTAAGTCAATCTTCCCTTGGTACTCGGTCGGGCCAGCTTTTACCATGGTAGTAAACGACAATGTGCTTCGCCGTCTTGCTGTCACCCATCCAAAACGCCTTGCAGCCTGATTTCAGAGTGACAAACTCTGGCTGGTACCCATTGCTTTGGGCCCATTTCTCGTAAACCTTCGAAAATGGCTCGGCAATGTACCTGGACATATTAGCAGAATACCACGGAGATTGTCAGGTCGATTCTACTGCAATTGACGCGTGCTGAGCCTCATGACCATCTTTCGCAGTTAGCCGGGATTCGACAGTCGTTGAGATATCGTACCTTCCGCACAAGAGCAGAACTGAGATGCTGCCCATACGTATGTGCTCCAGACTCGCCTCGAAAAGGGCCTGTTACTGCTGTGTAGAACGCTGTTCCCACTGTGTAGTGTCAGCCAGAAGCCGTCGAGGGGATAAGTCAACTCACGAATGGACAAAAGACCCGGGAAGAGGTCCAGTTTCTCCAATAGGGATATTTGACTTATGGGCGTGGAGACCGCCTGGCCAGGGGTAGGGGGTATTGTCGACATTTCGAGCCTGCAAAGATGCTAGTGAGTACGTGGGAGTCCGGGCGCGTTTGCGTGAAACTGCTCACGATGAGAAGAAAGAAGCTGGCAGAGTAGGACAACTTTGAGCGAACTTCGCTGGTGTTTCAATCTGACAGCAATTCAGGCTTACTGACGGGGTCCAGCTTTTGCCCCTGCCGAACGACACTCGGAGGACGTCTTAAGGGCAAACAGTCACCCTCGTGTCGTACAGAAGTGTAATCAAGTCTGAGATAAGGAAAATGCGGTGGATTGTATTGTCCTGCAGAACACCTGTAAGATCTCAACTCTTCTCGAGATGCGGAATGTTGATAGCCCGAGTAGAACATTTGCAAGAGGCGATGTGCCGAGGTCCATTTGCTGCCCACACAGTGATCGTTCGGAAGTGACCCGTTGATCCTAGCAGGCGGCCTGAGTCCTTTATGATCAAGGAGCCAACGTGAACAGAAGTCCTTGTTGGGTTCTGAGAATCACGAGCATCTGTCCTGACAATCAACGGAGCTATGAGGCACACTCATACCTCCTGTCACCTACTGTAATGGAACGGGTTTTTGAGATGGCAAGTACCAGAAAGCTCGCTATGGTAAGCTGCGTTGTCACCAAGAAATTCCGACCTCGACCAGGCAGTAAAAGAGGGAGCGATGGTGTCACCTTTAAGCGTCTGCCCGAGAGGAAACCTCAACTGCAGCATGAGCCCGGTGCGCTTTGCGAACTCACCGGCCTCCAGGCGGTGAGAAGACTTCCCGCACGGCTACTCGTGACATGACTACCTAGGCAGTCTTCACTGCCTCGAAGCATTTAACTAGGAACAATGTTAACCTTTTGGCCCAGGGCTGTCACCTTCCTTCACATAACAAAGTGACTCATACCTGTCTCGCGATTCCAGTCTGAGTGGAACAGGTCTCCTCGTAATCGGCATAGATATATATATATATATATACCTTTCGAGGCAAACCAGTCATCAGTACAATAGTCTTACCCAACAAATACAACGCTCGGAGAAATGGCAAGGCGGGATTAAAGAGAAAATGCACGAAACGGGAGTGAACATTCAACAATGGCACTGAGAAACTCAGGACTATACACACTCTTATGAAGAGACTGCCAAACATCTCCAGAACCTCAGCCTTGCCAGCCTTACTCGAATGGCGAACAGCTACCCAGCAGCCACCAAAAAACTCCTCGGAAAACAAGTCTGACAAGCCTCGATTCGATCTCTGCTGTAAACGACATGTCGGATTCCAAAGAAGAGAATCATCCACGTCCTTCAACTGTTCAAACTAATGGACAGACAAACACTCAAGGACAGACCCGGAACGGAGATGTAGAGCACAGCGGTACGAACAAGCCCAGCTTCTTGACCGCCTGCGGCAGCACATCCGGCAAACCGTGTCTCTTCAGTCCTCGACTTGACGACCCCAAATCGAGTTCGGTGGTAACTACATATTTCTCCAGCAACGCCATTGGAAAGAGCAAAGGAAGCGAGGCGGATGACGACAGCGCAAAGGTTGGCAAGGAATGAGCACTATCCACAAGTTCTAGAAAATGAAGGCTAGCGTCACGGAGTCAGATAGGAAATCAATCAGGTTGGAGAGAACATAACTCATGAAGTCTATCTACTACACCAGCGCCGTCCAATAAAACCATCCAGGACCCGCGCATGACTTCGAATTGCAGACACCCATCGCCGGGTCCGGATGCTCACAGAACGATCCAACTCGTGAAGGGCTTGGTGGTTCAATTGCATACGTTATCGGAGTTCGACTGTCAAGTCAAGGTCTTTTTGCGCCTTACTCGTGGTGGCTGATGTTCTTCGACCCGCACCCGAGCGTGACTGCTGGTTGATCTCTGATAGAGGGACGCTAATGAACATACACAGCATCCTGATTTGGAATCCCTTCCCTGCCCCTGTTTTAATCCGTGTACGCAAGAGCTTCGGGAAAATCATCCCGACACGACAACTGTGGGAATAGAAGACCTGGTCCCGCCCAAAAATGCCTTCAACTGCAAGTAGACAACAAAGTCTTATAGCTACTGCTGGACTGTCTGCCCATTCATAGCTTGTGCCTGTTCAATGGACATGCCTCCGTTGTCCGGGTTGTCAACGTTGTGGTAATCCAGAATTTCGGAGTACATCATGATCTTCCAGGTATCAACAGGCAGGTCAGCGTCGTTGAACGACCAGTCGAACTTTTCGTCTGCAACTGGTTCGTCGGTAGGGTCGTGATAAGGAGAGAGGTACTCATGTTCCAAGCCTTGGGCAGCCGAGACTCGTTTTCTGGGATCAAAGACCAACATCTTCTCAAGAAGGTCAATGGCGGCAGGGTCGGCATTCTTGAATTTCGTGCTGAGAGGCTGTCGTTCTCTCTTGGGCAATGACTGCACGAATCTCAGCGTGTTCTCGCTGCAGATGGTTTCGATGACGTCTTGCGGAGGAGTCCCCAGCAGTTCTGTGATGATGGAGAATTGGTTGACATGGTCTTTGCCAGGAAACAGCGGTTTGCCTTCAAGCATTTCCGCGAAGATACAGCCGGCACTCCAGATGTCCACCTCGACATCGTACTTTTGCCAGGTAAGCATGATTTCAGGAGCTCGGTAGTACCGGGTAGAGACGTAGCCGGTCATCTGGGGATCTTGAATTCTGGCCAATCCAAAGTCACAAATCTTCAGATCGCAATTCTCGTTGACCAGAATGTTACTAGGTTTCAAGTCTCGATGGACGACGCCGGCGGAATGGACGTATTTCAAACCTCGCTGCACGTGACTAGTCAGCCCAAGACGGATCGGATAGACGCTCCGGGAGATCTGCAGCCTACCAGAATTTGATAAAGGAAGTACTGGATGAATTGCTTTTCCAGAGGTCTGGATGTCAGTAACCGATGAAGATCAGTCCCCAAAAGTTCGGTCACGAAATAGCTATAGCAATAATCAGTGCCTTGATCTTCAATAGAGATGCGTGGGAAACGCATACATGTCTTCTAGCGGCGAGATGAAGATATCGCTGAGCGAAATGACCTGGCGCTATCAGTATTGATTGACGCCGGAATGTGTCTTTGCAGCTCACATTTTCATGTCGAAGGTGCTTCAAAAGCTTGAGCTCTCGGTATGTTCGTTTTGCGAGAACTGGTGTAGAGAAAGGCTTCATGATCTTCTTCACCGCAACAGATTGGCCCGTCAATTGATCTTTTGCAGAACTTGACAGTCGTCAGCGAGGGAGCGCGAGATTTATCGAAAGAATGGTATTGTACCAGACGAGGCCGAAAGCTCCCATTCCAACCGGTTGCAGATCAGTGTATCTTGTATTCAGTCAGTCCATCTCTTTGACCGCAATAGATAGACCTCGTGTACCTGCTAGTGATTTCGAAAGTGGTCCCGAAGATCTGGGCTCGTACGAACTCCGCCATCTTGTCGAAGACTCGCAGTCGATGTATTGGATGCGCCGACGATCGAGGAAGTGGGAGGTTCGGTGAAGGGCTGACGGATCGCAAGCAGACGACTAATGCTGAATTAAAAGCCACCAGCTGCGTAGCGAACGGTATTCAAGCGAACAGAAGGAGAGTCGACGGAATGAGGGTGAAAACACTGATGACGGCAAAGTTGGTTATGCAGAACGATGGTTTCAGGTGCTGTCCTAAGGAGCAGGTTAGAAGTGCCAACGGTCCGAGAGGCAAAAGGCTGCGAACAGGTGACAGCGGGTAAGAGTTGGGTTCAGATCTTGACGGTGAATTGGATGGGAGATGGATGAATGAATGAGTGGTTGGTGTTGATTGCGTGGGGCGAAGAGACTTTTACCGCGCGTTGGTTACTAAGGCGCCAGGGGTTGCTGTAAATGGAATAATTCGGTTCTGTACGAGTTACTCGTGTTGACTCGATTTTTCGTAAAAGGGTTGTGGATGGCGATCTTTTCAGTAAAGAGACTGAAACGAGGACGGCTTCGAGTGGCAGTCTGAGTGTTTGGGAGTTATAGTGGGCGTCGCCGTCATCGAACAAATTGCCCCTCCATCTTGTTTGAACTTGTGGCTTGGGCGACCGCTAAGATCGGGTTTAGGTGGCATCCCCAGGCTTTGAACGGCACGAACGGCCACGAGCAGCGCTTTTGGGACCGAACGCCACAAGCCCAAGCCTGCGATTGACCGCCCGGAGAAAACATCCACCTACATCAAAGAATCTCGTGCATGTCCAGCTCTTCTGTTGATGAAATCTGTCCGATCGCACTTTGCTCGCTGCCATGGCTTTTCCACTATCTCCCCTTTCGCTCAGCGCCGCTTTCTGACTTGACCCAACAAGGCCATCGTGCCCATCTTATCAAATGATGACCTCACCAAGCTTGCTATTCTAGTCCATAGCGCCGACTCAGCAGCTTTTCCCACTTAAACCCAGGCGTGCCCAGGCATATCGGTACTGCCCAAGGATTCCTTGAGCCACAAATCAGACTGCAACAGTCTTGTACTTATTCCAAGAAAGTTGCACATGCCACCCGTCAGCCGCATACCTCCTGATGACAAAGCTTCTCGGCTTCGAATCCTCTGTAGCCACAAGGCCGTCGTTCGTACACCGCTGATGTAGTGAGACATAGCCCTCCATCCTGCTGGGAAAGACGTTCATGCCATCTGCCACCCTCTACGAAAGTCAGGCTGAGATTCTGTACCTTTTGCGAGCTACAACATGACAATAACACTCGACATTAGACATTGCGTCCCTCGTTCCGTGGTGGATTGTGCTCAGCGCAACTCGCCGAATTTTCCGGGAGAACATACTACGACTTGCTCCTTATCGGAGCCGCACTTCCGTATATCTCATGGAGCGACTGCTCTACATACGAGGTAGTATGCGTCCGATGGATTGGTCAGGGGTACCCGATAGGCTTTCTCTGATTCGTGACCACTGAGAACGATCGCCTGTTGTCAAGGCCGTGAAGAATCACTTCTGAGCAGTGTTCAGGAATAAATACAAAGTAATCGCAGTCCAGCAATGCGTTTCTCCAATTTCCATCCAGATGTATGATGAGTTCAGGCGAACGATTCTTCATATGGGTGAGTAACCAGCCTGTATGGGCCTCTCTTCACCTTGTTGCACTACTTAACTGGATTCCTACCCTCGCCTGATTTACACGTTCCCCAGCTACCACGTGGGTAAAGTCTAGAGCCAGGAACCGATAAGCTTGTTTTATTTGAGATACTGGTTCCGGCATATTATTGAATTGATTCAACCCAGCGGAAATGCTTTATGGTCATCGCTGCCAGGACTTCCCATACATATCTGCCCTTCCTACAAGTCTTCAGCGGAAGAACAAGAATGTTTGCTGAAACTCGGCCGGATTATTAGCCTGGCAGATATACATATAGAATCAAGGCAGACCTTTTTCAGCCAGGCCGCCTCACAACTCGATCTGGTCGGTGGATCTTTTGGAAGAACAGTAATTCCGGCAGGTTGACAAGGCCACTGCACGGACCCTGTCAAAACATCGGAGGCTCGGCAGCAAGGCAAACACAGACTGCAGCCAGCACGCCGGGGAACATAACCTGGTATTTGCACGAAAGTGGAGGCAACAATTGCTTCTGCCACATGGATCCTGCTCTGTGAACAACTGCCCGTCTATCACGAAACGCGCAAAAGCAACGAACTGCTGAGGGAATTTTTATTGACCTGAGAACCCCTTTCGGGCTTGAACAAACAGCCTTTGAGGCGACGGGATGAGGCTGTGCTGGGTGCCGTGGTCGCTCATCAGAGACAAACGGACAGAATTGAACTGATGTCGACTGGAAAGATCAGGCCAAAAACGTCTGGATTTGAATGTTTCGGCCTGGCTGTGAATTACAGTTGAAAGGTAAATTGCCGTAAGCACTCACACTGGAAGGGAGTTGTCACTGCAGCGTGGAGGCTCACACTTGATGTTCGAGAGAAATCTGTGTCTAGACTTCCGACTCCGTCGATAGTATTATCAAGGCGTTCGAGCTTTTGAAGACTAGCAACACCAGCCTACTGTTTTTGACATATTTTGATTGTTGCTGCCTTGAGCAGAGCGAACGGGCATGATCCACTTGCCAATCTGTTCAACTGCAAGGACAGCCGTGCGTACTGTTCATATTATTGTCCTTTGCTTTCAACTCTAGTCTGGAGAAGCAATCGTAGGCATCTTTTCCGCACAGAATCTGACCGAGGCCTTGTTGAACGAGGGCACGGTCAGGTTTACCTAACCAACCAACAGTAACGAAACTACCAACCAGCATCATCCACTGGCCCAGTAGTTTTCCCGCTCGCGGCTACTCCGCTCTAAACTGCTGCTAGTTACTCACTCCACGATTCTCTCTCCCTCTCTCGTCAGCCAGCTATCGAGTAACATCACCCATCTCCTCTGCGCCAACCCAACCGTCCTCGCCTATCTGGCTGCCCATGCGCTTTCGCGCCTCATCACTTCTGGCTGCAGCTCTTACGGACTGTTGTTTGCCTCTCGCGTTCTTGCTCGACTCAGTTCACAACATCATCTAGCCCTCCAAAATCTGAGCTCCACCGAGTCTCGGCCTGGTCAACCCCGTTCAGCATCATCAACGCCTCTATGTAACCAAGGACAACAGCCACCATAAACGACTGCGAAGTTCTTAATCCACGATCCTCTTGACAGAGGCAGCGCTACGCCCTTAGCGGGCTCACATATCATCCATCAAGCCTCGAAGCCTCGAGTCCTGTGGCCGAAAACACAGGAGCCACAATCCAGCTCCTCTGGCAGCTGCAGCCGCATTTTGCGCTGCATCTGCAGCGCCGCCGCCGCCGCTCGTTCGGAAACAATCATAATCCTACGAAATGGGTGCATGTGGGAGCAAAGAGGCGTCCAATGAGGACTCTGAGCAGAAAAAGAGAAGTCAGGCCATAGACAAGAAACTCGAAGAGGATTCGCGCAGGCTACGGCGAGAATGCAAAATCCTGTTGCTCGGTAGGTTTGACACGGGTTGTGTACACTGAAAGAAGCGTCACTGATGCAAACATGCAGGGTCTGGTGAAAGCGGAAAGTCGACCATTGTGAAACAGATGAAGATCATCCATCAGAATGGCTACACGCAAGAAGAGAGGGCTCTGTACCGACTGACGATATACAAGAATCTAATTGACTGCATGAAGGCGCTTGTCGGGGCCATGCAGCAATTTGAAATCGAGCCAGAAGATCAAACGGTCAGAGAGTACGTCGAATACATAATGGATTATAATGTGGACCCCGACCCGGACACACCTTTAGATCCGAAAGCTGCAGACGCCGTGGAAGCAATCTGGAAGGATTCCGCCGCATCAAAGACGATGGATAGGCAAAGCGAGTTCTATCTCATGGATTCAGCACCCTAGTATGTCTTTGTCTGGCACTTCACCCCCATGCCATTTGGACTCACATCAGACAGTTTTTTCGAAGAAGTCAGGCGGTTAGCGGCTCCCGACTACATCCCCAACGAGGCCGATGTGCTGCGGGCACGTACCAAGACCACCGGTATATACGAAACAAGGTTTACCATGGGGCAATTGAGCATACAGTTAGTGGCGTGACTCTTTACACTCCGTGTTATGTTGCTAATCCCGCTCAGCATGTTTGATGTGGGTGGTCAACGAAGTGAGCGGAAAAAATGGATTCACTGCTTCGAGAACGTCACATCAATTATCTTCTGTGTGGCGCTGAGCGAATACGATCAAGTCCTTCTGGAAGAAGCAAACCAGGTACGGAAAACCCAGAAACGCGTCATCGCAGATGTGTTGACGAAGATCTAGAATCGCATGATGGAAAGTCTAGTGCTGTTCGACTCGGTTGTCAATTCGAGATGGTTCATGAGGACGAGCATTATTCTCTTCCTGAACAAAGTCGACCTGTTCAAGGAGAAACTTGGCCGGTCACCCTTGGGAAACTATTTCCCAGACTATTCCGGTGGAAATGATGTCAACCGGGCAGCGAAGTACCTGCTCTGGCGCTTCAATCAGGTCAACCGAGCCCAACTCAACCTCTACCCTCAGTGAGTCGAATCGTGTCTTGGTGATGCCACACAGCGGACTGACAGCGGTTTTAGTCTAACGCAGGCCACGGACACGACAAATATCCGGCTGGTGTTCGCAGCCGTCAAGGAAACCATCCTTCAAAATGCCCTGAAAGATTCAGGGATCTTATGAGAGCCATGACCATACCGTTTCGTTTCCTCCTGATGTATGCATTGTTCTGGCGTTTAGCGCGGCATGTGATGACTGGGAGTCATGATGGAGTGGGAGGGCGCTTGTCCATGAACTCCCACACTTTGGAGGCCTCTTACTAGTTGTCAGTCGTGCTACAGCACAGTGTGTTTGATTGGATGTCGACCATTTTGTGTTGCTTTTATTGCCGCAAAAGTTCCGCCTTGTGGGATTACTTTCTTTTCTCACGTCTGCACGGTGGAAGCGGATTGAAGTCGCCGAAGTTTGTGGAGCTCCTCGATGGTTGTGTTGACCGAGGCGGCCGCTTGGTTGCCTGGATTTCCAGCGGAAAGTACGGATACACGCAATGGGTTATGGCGAGCGTCGCGGGCCACCAATATCAACAGCGTCACCGCGTCCCTGTCACTCGAACATGGTAGTGGCAGTCAGAAGTGAAGTCAACGGGGCAAATGGTTGGAAAGCAACGAGACGACATCTACTATGCGAGCCAAGAGCGCCGTGTACTCATAATAACAACACTGATATTTGCAGATGCACCATTCCAAGCGCCTCTGCGACCCCAGTCCTTGACAAGTGAGGATAACGTCCGAGCACGGATGTAGGTTGATTAGTTGGACTGAAGCGCATGAGCAAGCCTGATGAGCTCAGCACATGAACTACTTGTTTGTGGTTGCTATTTGTGAGGTGGAATGACACGTCTAGACCCATGCCCCCCCCATGCCTTTTGGTCCATTGCTCATATTGCTGTATTTTCTACCTGAAATATGCTCGGAGACAAGCTATACCTCGTGGCCAGCGAGTCGGTGGTTCTAATTAACTGGCGCCGTACGAGACAGCGGGCCTGATAATGTTCAAGCCGCCATGTCTCCATTATCATGCCTACATCCTTCGGTGGCGGAATGCTCGGCTAACCAAGACTTCTTTGCTCGTACCCCTCTCTTGCTGGTCCATACCCCACCATCAGCTTGTTGTCTGCGCAGTTGAGAGCTTCTGTTTGCCTAGCACCATGAGCTGCCATGTGCTCTTCTGCTACCGACGAGCTGATCATGATCATCACTGGTCTAGATCTGGCAGAATACCGTTCTCGTTCCTGCGTTAAGAGATATCCTGTCCTTTACTAGATTCCACCCCCCTGCTATTGCTCAGACGAAGACCTTGGGAAGCGGGGTATTCGCTGGCATTCAATGCAATTCTGGGGAGGCTACGATGTATGCGAGGCCTGATGGGCCCTCGATGGCATATGCATGCAAGACGCTAGCCACTGTGAAGGCAACTGCTCCAAACTCACCGCTCTCTCGGAAGAAAGCCATAGAGAGCTGGGAATCTTCCGCTGCCTCTCGCATCATCTGATAGCCGGGACTTGATTGATGCCTCAGCATTACTAGCTTTGCCCGTATTCTGCACAATGATATAACATAAACAAGACAAACCCGCTATTGCGGGCAGCCTAATGCAAGCCTAGCCGACGAAATGGATACGAGGACCAAGTAGCATAGTGTTTGCTTGCCTTTTAGGAAGCTTCGAAGCGGCTGTTGGGTGGCTTGTCGCGAATGCGTCGCTTGGACACATGTCATCTCTGATTCCAAACTGCTCCTCTTCATTTCCGCTACATACCACCTCTGTTCCTGCCTGCCCTGCTACCACTTTCTTTCCATCCTCAATTTGACATCTCTGTTTCGTCCTTTGACTACATCCTTATCGCTGTTCTTACGCTGCTTACCGTCCCCGCTCCAGCAAGATGGCTGCCGCAGCTGCTCCCCCCCCGAGGGAACGCAAACCCTCAACGGGTGCTCCCATCTCGACCTTTACAGGTCCGGTTGGCCCTGGCTTCTCACGACCCAAGCATAAGCGAACGGCTACGGGTTTCGGTGCGGGTGACATCAAGGCTGTGGAATCAAGCATTCCTGAACACATGCGCGAGGCGTAAGTGGTGCTACATACCCGATGCACACAAGACATGTCCACTGACAGACCGGCAGCTGGAGAAAATTCGTAAAGCACAATTGTATACCTGCTCCTGACACCTCTAACGTTGGTTCCATAGTCACCGAAAGGTTTCACCTCAAAGGAGGATTTCGAGGTACGCACCAGACCCCCTGTTCCCTCGTGCGGATTCATACTGAAGCTTCAATCTGCAGGCAGAATGTGTCAGACATATCGAGACCACCCTAGCACGATCACTTTTCAACTGCGACGAGCTGTAGGTTCTTCGGCTCCGTCCCCGCGCCTCCTCGTGCTGATCAACCTTTTAGAGCTGCGTACTCTGGAACTGCGCTTGCCTTCCGAGACCGCCTGATCATCGACTGGAATAAGACTCAACAACGGCAGACATTCGCCGACCAAAAGAGAATCTATTGTACGTGGACAGTGCGAGCACCAAGAAAGAGCTGGATGAAGACTGACAATACTCAGATCTGTCCCTCGAGTTCTTGATGGGCAGAGCCCTGGACAATGCTATGCTGAACGTGGGCCTGAAGAATATCGCCAAAGGTATGCTCCGAGCTCACTGTGGGCTTCGAGTGGCTAACAAGATTATTAGATGGACTGGAAGAGCTTGGGTTCCGCATCGAGGACGTCGTAAACCAAGAGCATGACGCGGCCTTGGGAAACGGTGGCCTCGGTCGACTTGCGGCATGCTTCCTGGACAGCCTGGCTTCTTTGAACTACCCAGCTTGGGGCTATGGCCTGCGTTACAGATACGGTATCTTTAAGCAAGAGATCGAGAATGGGTACCAGGTCGAGATTCCCGATTACTGGCTCGACTTCAACCCTTGGGAATTCCCTCGACACGATGTGACAGTGGATGTCCAGTTCTATGGTTGGGTCAACAAGTACACCAACGACGAAGGCAAGCAAGTTGTCTCCTGGCAAGACGGTGAAATGGTCACCGCAGTAGCCTACGACGTACCAGTGCCTGGCTACGGCACGCCAACGGTGAACAACCTACGTCTTTGGTCGAGCAAAGCGTCCAGTGGAGAGTTTGATTTTGCGAAATTCAACTCCGGCGATTACGAGAGTGCTGTGGCTGACCAACAGCGTGCCGAAACCATCTCTGCGGTTTTGTACCCCAATGACAATCTCGAGCGAGGCAAAGAGTTGCGTCTGAAGCAGCAGTACTTTTGGTGTGCCGCTTCTCTCCATGACATCGTCCGAAGGTTCAAGAAGTCCAACCGCAAGTGGTCGGAATTCCCTGATCAAGTGGCCATCCAATTGAACGACACCCACCCAACTTTGGCTATCGTCGAACTTCAAAGAATTCTGATCGACAAGGAAGGATTGGAGTGGACTGACGCCTGGGATATCGTCACCAAGACCTTTGGCTACACAAATCACACCGTGCTGCCAGAAGCTTTGGAGAAATGGTCTGTCCCTCTCATTCAAAACCTGCTCCCTCGTCATCTCCAGATCATTTATGATATCAACCTATTTTTCCTTCAAGCTGTTGAGCGCCGTTTCCCCAAGGACCGAGACATGCTGTCCAGAGTTTCAATAATTGAAGAATCCAATCCAAAGATGATTCGAATGGCATACCTTGCCATTGTTGGGTCGCACAAGGTCAACGGTGTGGCTGAACTACATTCGGACTTGATCAGGACCACCATCTTCAAGGACTTTGTCAAGGTTTATGGCCCAGACAAATTTACCAACGTGACCAACGGCATTACTCCACGGCGATGGCTACACCAAGCCAATCCTCGCCTGTCGGAGCTGATTGCGTCCAAACTCGGAAGCTATGAATTCCTGAAGGACCTGACACTCTTGAACAAGCTCGAGCCATTCGTGGACGATAAAGATTTCAAGAAGGAATGGTCTGAAATCAAATACGCCAACAAGGTCCGACTGGCTCAACACATCTTGAAGAGCACTGGTGTGAGTGTCAATCCCAAAGCACTGTTCGATGTGCAGGTCAAGCGTATCCACGAATACAAGCGACAACAGCTCAACATCTTCGGAGTCATTCACCGTTATCTGGCGATCAAGGCTATGACGGCCGAAGAACGGAAGAAACTGCAACCCAGAGTCTCGATATTCGGTGGCAAGGCTGCACCAGGCTACTGGATGGCCAAGACCATCATTCACCTGATCAACAAGGTTGGAGAAGTCATCAACAAGGATTCCGATGTTGGCGATTTGCTCAAGGTCATATTCCTTGAAGATTACAATGTCAGCAAGGCCGAGATCATCATTCCAGCTTCCGATATCAGTGAGCACATCTCCACTGCAGGTACTGAAGCTTCAGGTACCAGCAACATGAAGTTTGTCCTGAATGGCGGTCTGATCATTGGTACATTGGACGGAGCCAATGTAAGTGAATGTTCGCCATCCGTACTAGAGGCCGTTCAGCTAAGATCTACCAGATTGAAATTACTCGTGAAATCGGAGAGGAAAATGTGTTCTTGTTCGGCAACCTTGCTGAAGATGTGGAGGACCTCAGACACAATCACGTAGGTCGTCTGCTCGTTTAGACTGGTCTCAGCTGCTGATGCCCTCTAGTTTTATGGTAACTACAGCGTCAACCCAGAACTCATGAAGGTGTTTGACTGCATCAAATCTGGCACCTTCGGAGATGAGAGCGCTTTTGGTGCTCTGATTGGTGCCATTGTCGACCATGGGGATTACTACCTCGGTAAGTCAGGCTGTCTAGCTTAGAGTCTAGTATCGCTGCTAATCAGAGTTTATTCCAGTGAGCGACGACTTCGACAGCTATTGCAAGACTCAGGATCTTATCGATGAAGCTTACAAGAACCAAGACAAATGGGTCAGCAAGACGATTCAGAGCGTGGCCAGAATGGGCTTCTTCACCTCCGGTACGTTGGAGTCAAGCGATTGCGATGACCTGACTGACCATGTGCCTAGACCGCTGCATCAACGAATATGCTGACAGTATTTGGAACATTGAACCACTTGCTGTGAAGGAGGAGTCAGAGGTCCGAGCGAGGACTGGGCTTGACCAGTAGAAGGTGAAGATGGGTAATTGCGTTTCCTGTTCATCCCCCCGGGGATGAATAGTAGATGAACACGATAGTTAGAAGGCTTTAGACTGCCCAGGATAAGCAAGAAGACTCCACATGCGAATGTGTCAGTCAATGCGAAGGACAAAGAAGAAAAGCGGGAGAAAAAGGCTTATGCTTAGGTACCTATACAGGCAACGAACAGTATCGTTATAATAGTCGACTCCTCTTTCAAGAATTCCTTCTTGGCATGTGAAGGATCTTCCGACGGTTCCCTGATGTACTCCGAGTACCCTGGAGTCATTCTCGCTCTTAGACAGCACCGCGTCGCAGATAGCCTCCTGTTGCGTTCTGTCAAGAGATGGCCGGCATTTTCGCTCTGTCTACTTGGGTACAACCGTGACGTATCGACTTTCCAGCCTGTTGGTTGGTTCTGAGTCTGAGTAAGACTCTCAAGGTTTGAGCTTTGGCGCCATCTGGTGCAAATGCACTAACGTCGATCTGACGTGATAGATCGTCAATACCAGCGATATGGTCGCTTGGAGCCCAACAGCGAACAGAGGCACGATGATTGAAAAGATGGTAAAGCCGGCGCTTGCAGCGTTGAAAGCGGCGCTGGTCTGAAGCTGTGTGGTCTGCAGGCCTACCTGCATGGCGGTGAGCACAAGTGCAATGTAGGCGAATCCCGCTATCAGCCACGCAAAGTTACGCTCGAGGAGGCGTTGGTACGTCTGGCTTCCATAGTGATAACCACGGAAGAGATACTTCAGTTTGAGCTCGGGAAGAAAGCGGTACAGCAGATTTATTCGGCTGAGGCGCAGCTCGCCGTACGTGTATCTTGGGGCGAAATTTGCCTTGTTGTGCTGGAGGCAGAGAGGCAAGAGGCTATCTTGAACAAATTCCTGCCAGGCCCGCCAGGTGGTGCTTTGTGGAAGAAGTCTCAGATTGATGGCCAGGGCAAAATCTGATTCATACGTGATGAGACAGGCGTAAGTCCGAAGAAGCCCATTCGCGCTGGCCTGGAGATATGGCGAGGTGGGGATATACTCCTTGCAAAAGTCCTCGTCCAGGAGCCAGCCTGGGAGTGGCTTGATGAAGATGGTGTCGTTGATCCAGAGCAGATGAAGATCCGACTGTTCGGTCACGATCACTTGACGGCCCAGAAGGTGCTGACGATGAAGAGGATGGACATTGCCGATTCTTCCAGCCAGCCAAAGATGCCTGGCTATGCGGTCCAGGCGAGAGACGTCGAGTTGATGATGCACAAAGGCCGTAGGTTCTTTGCAAGGCTGAATGAAAGAGCCATCGGACCTGCGAACCAACCTGGGAAGAAGGCATTCGGCTTTGGATGGCGGCGCTGGTTGCATCTGGCTCTAGTTGCCGCTGGCAATGCTGATGCGGGAGCTGGCGATTGCAGTGCCACGGAATGTGATGCAGTCGCAACTCGACAAGCATGCTGGTGACGCTGTCGACCTGCAGGCAACGTTAGGCTGAGCAATTGCCCCGCACTTCCTCTGGTGCTCTCTTCTTCTTCTCTTCTCTTCTCTTCTCTCTCTATTTATCGCTCAGCCTCACATGGGCATCAACAGTCCAACCTTCCCATTCACAATCGACAGTTGACTTATCAAAGTATGAACGCACATGGCCTCGTCAGGACCGCCGACTTATCGCTTGAGGCGAATCCCTCCTCGCATCACGGGTCAGGGTCTCAGCCTTGAGCGCTTCTTATGCCAAGTCATCCCTGGTCTCAGCCTTCAACAGCTTCACATAGCTTCATTGGCGCCCACTCCAGATGACCACAGAAAGCCACCAAGTCAAACAGCAACTCTTCAGATCTTCGACCCGGTTCCTCCCTCGATTACGTTCGACTGCAATGGCGAGTGTACCGTTGGAATTCCCGGCGAAAGTCGTCCCCTTGTATTCGACACTCATTTCTTGGGCTTCACACCCCTTAATGCTGTTGACTCCGGAAAACACGCATTTGAGTAAGCCGCCATCACTCAACGGACCTGACATGCTTCTGACGGCCCAGCTTGGTTGCTCTTTCCGGTCTTGCCAGTTACCCTTTTGGGTCTTGGAAAAAGCATGTCACAAATCCAGCTTCCCAGCAGCCCACGTTCATGTGGCTGCGCGATCAGTTATCCCACGACTTTCCTGACACTCGAATCATGATATACGGTTACGATACAAAGCTGTTGAAGAGTGAATCGTTCCAAACTATCGACGATCTTGCTCTCTCTTTTATTGCAAAATTGAGGAGCATCGGGAAGACTCAAACATTCACAAAGCCGCTTGTGATCTTTGCCCCCAGTCTGGGAGGTCTCCTGATCAAGCGGGCACTTTGTCTACTAGCCGGTAGTGGTGAGTCCGAAACTTTCATGCTGGGTCAAATCCGCCTTGTGGTTCTCTTTGGCGTCCCAAGTGCCGGCATGAAGGTGGAACACCTATTACCCATGGTTGATGGCCAGCCGAACCAGTTCCTGGTCCACTGTTCGGCAGAAGATGACCCGCATGAATTCCTACAAGGTCTGAGTGACTCGTTCTACGGCTTAACACGGTTGCGCCAAATCCGAGTGATTTCAGCCTACGAAACAGAAAGAACACGCACAGCAAAGGTTTGTCATCCTCTATACGACACCAGAATAACTGACACACCCATGCAGGAGATAAGTCCAGGGGACTGGCGGCGTGCTGGAGAGTATGTCATCCTTGTCCCACGAGAGTCCGCCATTCAGAAAGGCTCACGTCCCGAGGACGTCCTTCCTATCGATCGCGATCACTCCAGTATGGTGAAATTCACGCAGGAAGACGTCCATTACGCTAGCATCAAAACTTTCCTTCTTGACGTTCGAGCTTCGGAGTGCATATCCTCGGACAGCCGCTCGAAGTCTAATATGGCAGCCAAAGGGGTATCCAGCCAGGAAATCCGGATGCAAAGCGATCAGGCTGATGAATCAACAGTGATTGAGGGTACGATGACGTGGATCTATCATTCAGAAGGCAACTGATACTTAGCAGACGGTCTTACAAGCCTCGAATTTGCGGGAATGCGATACAGAGAAGATCATATCACGACTGTCCAGGGAGGATCCTATGCGTGGTTATCTGACCGTGCTGTAGGACTTCGGTCTTGGTTTCTGAGCGACGACCGAATCTACTGGATCCAGGGCAAACCAGGCTCCGGCAAAAGCACGCTGATGAGATATCTCTCCCGAAATCTCGACAGAATATTCATGAATGACGCTAGCAAGCACTTCGAATATCTATGGTTCTTTTTCTACGCACGAGGCTCCTACCTACAGAAGTCATTCGAGGGGCTCTTGCGATCGGTCTTATACCAGTTGGGCCAGGCGAACCCGTTGATCGCACAAATAATTGGTGACCAATGCAAGGCAAAAGATCCCGGAATGCGAAACACATGGACAGACGGAGAACTAATGTCGATTTTTGAACTTGTCAGAGAGCAAATCACGGTCGAGCGTCCGGTCGTGCTGTTCCTTGATGCACTCGATGAATTCAATGGATACCCAGAAACAATAGCCGACTTCCTCAGCAGCCTCAGCTCCAATACAGGTCATACAAAGTCGTTAGATATCAGAATTTGCTTCTCAAGCAGGCCCTGGGATGTTTTTGTGGAGCGTTTCGACAAGTGTTGTGGTATCAGATTGCAAGATTGGAGTCGGGCAGATATTGTGCGATATGCAGACGTTCGGATCCAGAAAATTCTGGATCCCGCTCCTCTCGACAGTCCTACCAACCTCATCGAGAAAGGATCGTGAATTATATCCAGGAGAATGCGCAAGGGGTATTTCTCTGGGTGAATTTGGTTCTTGACGAGCTCACAAAAATCTCGCAGCGCACACCGCAAAATCTCTATGCGGAAATGACAAATTTCCCGGCAGATCTTGAGGACTATTATCGGTTCACCCTTGACAGAATTCCCCCAAAAGATAAATATGATGCTTTTATTCTGCTTGAACTGGTCCTTCGACGAGGGGAAGGCCAGGTAGAGCTTGGGGACTTGTACTATGCTCTCAGATGCGCGAAGGGTGCAACGTTTGAAGCATGCCAGCAGTTCCTACGTGGCGCCCATGCCGAAATGCTGGACGAAGCTAGCATGGAGACTCAGCTCAAAGATCTCTGTGGAGGGTTGCTTGAAATTGTGCAAGTAGACACCGACAGAGCCACTGGTGGAAGAGGCAACAAATCCATTGTCCAGTTCATGCACCAAACGGCCAAAGAATTTGTCAGTCGTCCAGGTTTGGGGCAATGCTTATCATACGGCAATGGACAGACTCTGGCATGGATGAACGGACACCACTTCTGGACCCGATATTGGTTCGCATCTGCCATATCGTTTTCCCACATTGGGGTTACCAGAGAACTTCTGTGCGAGCACTCTTGCCTTGGAGAGTACACTGCTGGGAACCACTTCGGGACGTTCTTGGATACTGTGCCCCAAGGCTTCTTCTCCTGTCAAAGAAGTGAGAGCTTCGGACGCATGGGACTCTGGATCAATTCTCGTCTTTCATTCGCGGCAATTTCGGGGCTCCAGCTGTACATGTCACATAAATTGGCGGACGAGGCCAAAAAATGCTCCAATGGTCCAGCATTGCTGCTGAACAGCGACCAGACCAATCCCCTCGCCCATATGATATGTACCCAGATCATCAGAAGATGTAGATTGGGCTTATCGGACGGAGCCTCCTTGACTGATACCTCCTTGGTTGTCACTTTACAAGTGCTGATCCACCATGGTTTACGATTAGAAACAGTGGTCAATGGCGAATTGCCTCTCGAGCACCTCTTCCACACTATGGAGTCTAAGCGGCCCTTCTATAATAAGTTGACTATTCGGTTGATGAGTAGTGATGATTTTTTGGCCACAGTTTTGAATATCCTGCTGTCTGCAGGTTGCTCTCCGGAAACGGCACTCATGCATCGCACCAAAGTCGCAGACAAAGCGTTGAGCCATTGTCCCTGTCGCCCCTTGCACGTTAGTCGCAATGCCAGATTAACTCAGGTGTTATTAGATCACCACGCAGATCCAGACTCCTTTGACCAGGAAGGGCACACTCCTCTTGATCGATGGATTGCATTATACAAGTCCTTAATTGACATACCAAGCGACCGGATCTCCCGTACTGAGTGGATGGATCCTGAAATACAAAATGCCGTACTCTTGATAGGGGCTGGTGGACACCTTAGCTGGGATGCGTATATAGATTTCAAGACGTGGAAGCAGAAATGGCTGCAGCATTCACGTCTTCTTGCAACATCCCAGATAGTCTAGTTGGTGGATACAATTGAAACGGCACCTGTTTTGCAAAATCAACGGACGAGGCAAGAGCTGGAAGCAATGTATCCGGAGAGGACTGACGGTTTCTTATGTGACGATGCCGGACCGAGAAAGCCGAAGTCCTCGAGTCTGCGAGATCTTTTCCGACGGCTCAAAACAAGAACCGGCGCTTTGGAGACTCCAAGTTCTACAAGCCGAGCCTGCATCTGAGATTCGGTACCTCGAGCACGCAGATGTTATGGCCTCGAGCGGGACTGAGCCCAGCATGAGCGCGCTCCATGTTGAACGACCGAATTCTTCGTTAATGGTTCATACTTGTCTTTGGGTTGCAGTTCAAACGCGACGGGCATGCTGGGGAAAGTAATTTAAGGGGTTGGACGACGACATATCAAAGCTTGGAGATGATACTCGTATATACGTGGAACATGGGACAAGTATTGGAAGGGGGTACTGAACTCGATATGATGGCGAGATGGATCTGAGTGCTCCCTTTCTATCCTGCTAGCGCCTCAAATTTCAGGAATACTCGTACTGTAACGTCAACCCGTCTTCTTCGATCCTTCCTTATTGCTCTCCGAACCAGCATGGTCGAATATTCAGTTTCTTCCTCAGCAGAGTGATACTAACTAAAATCTGAACCTAATGCTTCGTATTCAGAATCGAGCCGAGTTCTCCCTCGACGGGATACTAGTACTAGCTGAATCATATATGTCTTGCACTCAGCACCCGAGCGAGCAAGTCCTTGGCTAGGCCTGTTTACCAACACATTCCACCTACCTCCAGTCACCATTCTGAACCTGCACCGCCGCGCTTCCGCATTTCATTCATTGATTCCTCGGAAATGCAAACCGGCGGTTGTACTTTCAAATGTCCTTGCATTCAGGCATGAGTCCTACTACTAGCTCGGGCATGTCGCCCGTGCCATATTGTAGGGAACTTGAAAAATCTTACTTACTATCGAGAATACTAATACTATATTTACTCTCGCACATGCTGCCACAGTACCTCCTCCGACGGCTTTGAAGGAACTTGATGGGTGCTTTACATTCCGGATCCGAAGGGGCAACAGATCAAACAAACTTCTACAGTAGATTACTAGTCCTGGTGATTTTGGCTGTACAGCCTTGCGTGTCAAAATGATGTACCGTCACATAACTTGCAATTACAAAATCGTGGTATCGAACCACAACCACCTTTTTTATTTGATATTGCGGCCCGACACTAATGATAGGGTACTAATACTAGGATAGTAATACTTATCACGTTGCTAAGGATAAATTCTAGTTTTTATGGGTAATGCTGGGACAACATATCTCAACTACTAGTATATGACAGTACTCAAAAGCTACGTTTTGATATCCTCCGCTCAAAGTCATAATCAGTATAGAATGGTCAATGGCAAATCATATCCCTTTTCTCGTTCATCACCGTTTGGACCATCTCTTCCAGCAAGAGCGCCACTGGACAGGGGGAACTCAAACCGAGCTCGACTATCTTTTAACCTCCCAAGTCTCTGCATGTGTGAGAGGGCTTTGCTTGCTCTTTTCTTTTTGGAGCATACACTTCTGAAAAGCGCGGAAGAAGAACCCCGAAGGGTGTGGACTAAGTCTTCCAAGCACACTGGTACATGGTATTCGAAATTGTATTAAGACGGTTAGAGGCGAGTGGATAAAAGGAATCCCATGCTGGGACTTCAGCAAAGGTCTCCTTAGCTGCGTTCTTTAAAGATCGAGAGTCAGCCAATTACGGACGTAAAGCGCTATTAATATGCTGTTCCGGCGACTTTATATCCGGGGATCTCCGGAGCTGATTTGACAATCGGCTAGCAAAGTTTTCGTGTAACCGTTCTTCGTCAGGATAGCCAAGCCGTCTGGCGAGGAGATATGAGGCCCAAGCCCCAATCAACATGCTAATCCATGAGCGTTTCTCTTGTTGAGTCGCAAGAGCATAACGAGAATGTGGGTATGTTCCGATTCTGTAGATGCTGTTTCTGAGCTTCCAATAGCATTCTTCTATACAAGACTGAGGTACTACCCCGTAAGATTTGGAAGCTCGAGTCTTTTCCTCCGGCCCCACTCGTACATTGATGGCGAGAAAGGACCGAGGATGAGCAGAGACGGCCAGATGGCGCACTCCCAGTCGATCATAGACGCGTGATCAAGCCGTGTTGATGCGAGAGGACTGTAGCCAGACAGGATCTCGCCCACAGGTTTTGATCCGGCGCGACTGAGAGACATTGCCTCCGAGACAATCTGGCGCTGTAGAGATGAACGGAGCCATGATTGGACGCGTTGGTAGTCGCTGTCCTCAGCTAGAGTCTCAACGGTTGAGCTTCCTAGGACTGAGTACATCATGTCTGCGGTATCAACCTGCATCATCTCCGACGAATCGTCCTCAGACCACACCATACCAGCCATGTGGCTCGACAGAGATATATGATTGTCCGGAAGCCATGCTTGTGAGCAAGAGCCTGGTAGTAGTTCTGTGGGGGTAATATACGGAAGAGGACCATAACGAAGTTGGAATGAATGGTCTCAACGCTGAGGTCGTGTCTGAATTGCTCTTGACAGCCCGAAGGCATTGTCGGCCTTTGTCGCTGCTAAGATGACGTCGCAAATCCCGCTCTCTGAGAAACCGGTGGCCACCTGGACAGGAAAATTGCTTGTCACCAGAATGAGTCTTTGTATGTTGCTCGAGATCCCATCGTCTCCTGAACGGCCGAGAGCAGATCGAGCACTTTTCGGGCTTCTCTCCGGTATGTATTCTCATATGGTGCTCGAGGTTGTCGCGACGGGTCAGGATTCGACCGCATTCCTTGCATTGGAGTTGCTTCGGAGGCATGATGGGTAGGCTCCGTGGCGGGTTGACAGAGCACTTCAAACTTTGCTTGTACTTGGAATTGTACAATTCCGGTGAAGCGGCTGAGTCTGATTTGCGACGCCCCGAATTCGACTTGAGATAGACTTGAATAATCGGAGACGGACATGATGAGGACGTATTTGCTCGGATATATGTGCTTCAAGTTCTTCCACACAGGTGCCGTCATGCGCCAAAGAGTACAGGGGAGCCTGAGCAGCCAGTTGTGACTGCACTGGCGCAAGCTGCCTTGTGTACTGAGTCCAAGCCATCTCTGGACTGGTTGGATGCAGCCCCTGGTCGCTTTTTTGGCCCTTGCGCCGGTGAAATGTTATGGACCAACAACATCCCAGGCAGCACTTCGATGGGCTCGCTGGCGAGGCATTTCGAAACCCTGCAAGCTATCTGCTCTGGCACCATGTGGCCACAGTCGATTCATTGAGACGGCATGAGCATGTGAGGGCACCCATCGCGCTTGCACCTGCGCATGCACCGGCGCACCTCAGCTGTGAGCGCCGAGAAATTTCAACAGGATCCTCCGTCTGGTAGCCTTTGGCATCATGCATTGCTTGCTATTTGTGAAGCCGAGCGGCTGGTTAGAATATTGACGAACTAGAAAGTAAGGCATCTGCCTCCACTTGGATGATGAGGCTCTCAAAGATGACTTGCACCGGCGCAGTCGTCGATCCTGGGAAACTGCTTAGCTGGGACCGCTTGTGGCCTTTTCAGGGCTCATGCCTGTCACATCGTCGCCGTGATCGAAATCCTGATGTCTATGCATACGACGGAGTCAATGTGCTTTCGCACAAGTCTCCAGAGCCCCAGCACCGGCGCAGTATTGTCTGCATCAGCGATAAAGTCTCAACACAAATTTTTGGCTTGCAGGATTGCTCCGCCTGCACCGGCGCAAACCCTTCAAATTTGTTTCGTGTGCCTTGCTCTGTCTGATACCTACAACGTATAAAGATGGCTCTGGCGTACCGATCAATGGCCTTCGAGGGAGGAAAACATTCGCGAACATACACCGCAGCTCTCGAATCCCTCTACAAGTTGCACCAACATGGCTGGCGAGCTTCTCTGGGCACTATTCTTCGGCGTGCTCGCTACGGTTATTGGCGTCATCCAGATCTGGCAAAACCGACGCAAATACAAAGCAAGAGGTGTGCAAATCCATGTCAATCAATGTGGAACGGCATCATGCTGACCGTCCTCACAAAGCCCAGTCTCGAGGAGTGTACACGACTGTCGCATGGACGGAATCAGAAAGGAGGTCATACTTTACCGTCTCGCGCGATGCAAATGCCACAAGAGAGTCGTCGTGGGTGATATGGGGATGGTATCGAGCTCGTTTTGGTGCGAGGATGTACTCAATACGGAGCGGGGATTATGAGACAACTGCCGCCAGGGCTGGTGGAGGATATGCCGTGGAACTGTGCCCTTGAATGGATGCTTCTCCGCAGCTCTGAATCTTACAAGAATCGAGGAGGTGGAGGGGATGGCAATGTTGATGTCTTGATTGCGGTCGAATTGATCTGCAGATTTGAAGAGAGACGCGGCTTGTGAAAGGCGAGAACGATTGCCCACTATACCAGGAGGCAGTCGCAGTAGATAGTAGCTGCTGGTTCAGTCAATGACAACTCACCTGTACTCAGCTTCTTTACTTTCAGCAGCTTTCCCACTGAGGGAAGGAGCGCTGGATGTTCATCCCGCTACCATGTGGCCCGATCCTCTCGTCCCGGCCAATGGTGCCTTCTCGCCTCGTGCCTTACCTACTTTCCTTCCCTTCGGTCATGCTATGGCGACACACGGACTCAGAGCACGTGGTTTGTTTTGTTGTGATGGCACGGGCCTTGCCTTGGAATTATTGGAACTTTCTGCGGAGCCACTTCGCCGGAGCTTTGACCAGAGAATCATTGTCCGATCATGATACATATGTTGGTGACTTCCGGAGACTGGCTGAGGTGGAAAGTGTTGAAGAGTCGTCGCGCGGTGTATTGATACAGAGTATGTCCTTTTCGTAGGTGTATCTAGACTGCGCCATGCAAACCACCCAGTCGAACCCGATATTGTCGCATAATCAGATCGCCGTGTCACAGATATCGTCCTGTCGTCGTCGTCGGCCCGATGAATAGTCGATGAGGAGGCTGGGAAGGCAAAGTCTAGGACATCCCGTGATACAATAACATGACGTGCCAGAGGTAACCAGTGCGGTGCAGCGAATCTTCCCACCAGCATCTGCACCTGACCGGCAAAAGAACTTTGGCAGACATCCAACATCACCGCAAAAGTCAAAGTCCAGGTGAAAGCTTTGACCATGCATCTTGTATGGAGAATGCATATTTGGCAGCCTTGACAGCGCAGGAGCACCACATATTGACAGGCTTGGCCTGCGGTCACCACCACATATAAGAGGAGTCGGCTGAAAGTGGTTGCATCATCTGTCACTACTAGTAGTCTGTCTTGTCACTGCGTTGTCTAGAGAAACGACAGCTGACGCCCCTCCAGAACTGGCATCTGCGGAAAGGCAGAGCAAAAGGTTTCGGAAGAAATCGACCTTCTTTCAAGACCTCGTGGCGAGCTGAATCTTGACAGCAGTGTCGAACGTCAAGTTTCGATTGCCCCAAGCCATCGGATCCCTCATCCTTCAGTAGGCAGATGAACATCCATGGATTATCATTTCATCATCATCTTGCGAAGATCACAAACCTCAACAACTGGGTGAAGTGAACTGGGAAATCAACGCGGCTGGCCTTGCAATCTCGCCACTTCGCCGCTCACGGCGAACGTAAATGCGAGATTCGTGCAAATCATTCGCTTGATCATTCCACTAGGAGTCACATAGTATTCGACCTTCCAGGTAAATTGAAGGAAACTATTTTGCGAACGCCTGCTGGCTTTTCCCTCGTAGTCTTGTGGAGGACTTACTCCGTACGAAGCTTACCAATATACCATGGTAAGAGTGGAGGCCGGGACTTTTCTACCGTCATGACGCCCAAGTTGGAACCGTTGATTTGAATTTCGAGACGACTGTTCCCGCTTCGTACGGAGTACCTAGCATAGTGCGTACTTCTATTAGGAGAACTCGGTGGACTCGCACACTACTACGTAGTAGGTACTAGTAGTGCTACTCGTCCTAAGACGGACTGAGTTCGGTAAGTTTCTAGGACCTGCAGAATGCACTGCATTTGGGAGTCGGCTTAAGCTAAAAGTCAAGCCTTTTTTTCTTCGCTTGCGCAATGAATGCAGCAGATGAAACGGTGAGGGTCTCGAAAGTTCGTGGCTGGCTGGGCGGCGCCTACCCTTGCACCCCTGCATCCTGCAACCTGCAAGCCGCAAGGAGATTTTCTCGAAGTAATGGGCATGGCAAAAACGCGCAGGAAAACGAAAAGAGCCCCTTCCTAGAGGCAAATCTTCTTGTGACAAGGCCACATCTCTGGAAGAGAAATTGGATCATGACCGTGCTCATATGCGTGACCTCCGACGGGCTAGGGCAGAAAACGGTGCCGAAAGAGAAAATGGGTCAAAGCGAAGCGAAATCACAAAACCTGGAGTCGTCATGACATGGAAGAACTTGAACTTCTTTTTCCTCCGAAGGGGAAGCACGGTGTCAGGGGTGGCCAGAGCTGCAGTGTCGAAGATCGATTTGACCAAAATAAACATCTACTTGTACAACGGTAAACGTCCGTGCCTCTTCAGCTACGTCTTCATAGGAATCATTACTATTATTGCTGCATGTAATAAGTACATAGTACGCAACAATCACCGGCGGCTGGCTGGCCACTGACAGGCACGCGACAGCGATAGCGACAGCAACAGCTAGACCAGACTTTGCTGATCTAGATTCTTCTCCGTCGATGGAGGGGCTGGCTAGCCAGAAACTGACCCGGAAGTGCATGCATCGGGGACTCACCGAAACAAGAAAAAGAGACAGTGGGTAGGCGGACCCCTTACGGAGCAATAATCGAAAGTCCAGTCTGCTGTACCAGTAAACCACAGTAGGGGTTTTGGGAAGGGTGGCTTGCAGCTTGGGGCTGAAGGGGCTCACCAGGGCTGGGACATGAGTAACTCGTAAGCTAAGTTGGATATAAGCATCTCGCTTATGCGAAAGGACGGGGACTAACGTTAGAACAATATCGACCAACCCTAGTAGCTGCCTATCCCATGTAGGCGATCTTTTTCGGGCGTGAGGATGTCCACTTGGAAAAGTCTGGCGGCCAGAGGACCAAGTCAAACCCGTAGAAAAAGGAATGCACCAAGATATAAAAATATAAAGAATAGAAATTAGGGAGTAATGGCAATATGTGTTGTTGAAGTGACCAGGTCATGCGGTGTAACCCTCATATAGAAGATAGATCCCATATGAGCAGAGCAACAAAATCCTCCAAAAAGCATCCATGAAATATTCACAACCAATTTTCAAACGCCTCGCTATGACCCATAGATATAGTAAGACACGACTTCCCTCTAGTGTTGAGGGGCAGTGCAGTTGCCACCAATGTCTTCCAACCAGGCGATGCTGTTGAATTCCGTGTAGATGGTCTTGATTTGCCACGTATCTGCCTTTCCTTGGGAGTTCTCGGCCTTCAGGATGGTGATGCCCTTGACTGTGTTGGGTGGGATGGTGGTGTTCCATCTCAAGGCAATAGTGTCGCAAGTGACGGCATCGATTGCCATGAGGTTGAATGGCACCTTCGGTTGAGCCCCCTGGCCAGCTTCGAAAGCAGCCTTGCTGGGGAAGGTAGGCTGCCCAAGTGGCTGACCGGCAAGCTCGTTGATGCTGTCGGACCAGTCGACAAGGTCATCGGCCAAGATCTCGTCGGCCACGGCGGTGCTGTAGTTGGAGATGAGACTGCCAAAGCCGCTGACGAGGTATTGCGCAGAGGCGCCGTTTAGGCATTTGCCCGGGTTCATCCAGTCAGCCCAGCCGGGGGCAGCAGAGGCTGTGGAGAGGAGGGCAGCAGCAGCGGCGAAAGTAGCGAAAGAACGCATCTTGATTGAGGTGGTATTTGTTCTGAAAAGAATGTGGTTTTGTTTGAGTAACGAGTGTTTCGACTATAGTGACCGTGATATCCTGGGGGAAAGGAGAGGTCAAGGTCCCCAGGGAAACATGCCAAGTTATATACCGCAGTACAGGCAAAGTTGGATCGAGTCGTTGACACTAGTAAACAACCAACAATAAACCTGGTTTAGACTTCCCATGAGCTGCATGTCAATCAAAAACTCTGTAACAAGGGCTGTGGGCCCAGCACGGTCCTTTGAGACGACCTTCTACCTTAGACCTGCCTAAGCACTGTCCTTGGAAGACTGCTAGCTCAAGACCTCACAGCAGACCCGCCCCCAGCCACATGGGTGCTCGTTTGGGGTACCAGACCCATGAATTTCTCAGTTGTATTGGCGCTTTGCAGCTCTGACAGCTTCGTACATAAGCGCCGAGGTCAACATGTCTTCGACCGTGACTCGGGTGTGTATCGAGTTTTCTTGAAGAGTGCGCTAGTACCTCTTTCGGCTATCTCAGACAACTCAGCCACTGGGGTTGAAGGCTACGGGGACGCCGTGAGACCAGATCTGGCTTGGGCAAAACCACATATTTGGGTCATGGGGCGAACTCATTTCTCGTTGGTCATGCAGAACTGTGCCCCCTTCGCATCGTGGCCATTCGTCTGTCGTGATGCGAGTGCCGAATTAAGGTTGTAGAAACATCCGGACCTTGATGAAAGTTTGCTGCGAAATTCGGATGATTCTTGCTTGCGGAACTGACCGCCGGCTGCTCATCCAGTGTCCCTGATCCGGCTCTTCTTCCAGGCTAAATGCCTGCCGTACCAAGCCACACTCTTGATCGGTCCCTGGGCTGGGCGCATGAAGAACGTCTTTTCGGTCCAGATTTCCAAAGACCGCAGTCATTTGTGATGTCAACGGAAATCCCGACGCTGGAAATCAATTGTACATTATTTATTGGTATAGTTGCATATGGGCGTTGCTGACCAATAAACCTCTGTCAGCTGTCAAAATAATGAGCTGTTATTGTCGAGCACGGACTCTGCCATTGAATTGCTCCTCAGCCCGGATGAAGTCGGTGGAAATGACAACACCATCATCAGCGAGGCTATCATGTTGCTGGTCACCTAGGTGTAGGATTGGGTGTACTTTCGTCGGAAAGGCTAACAAATCCTGGTCGGTGAGGATCAATCTCACTTTCAATCTGCCTTGTGCCGTAAGGCAGGCCGTAATCTCTCCCTCGCAACGCGTCTTTGCCCTTGATTAGTTGCATCAACATGAAATTAAGGGCGCATTTAATGCCTTGCTCTTCTCCGCGTTTGACAATGTAACCGTTGATATAGTCAATTTCAGGCTTTTTGCCGTGCCGAATGTCTTCTCGCATGCTGCTGGAATTTTGGGCCGTCCGGCGAGTCACCGCTATAGCTAGTTGCTCAAGTCTTTTGGCCGAGAATCTCATTCGGACATTGGGGATTCCTTCCAATTCCGGCAGACCGCGGATCACCAGAGATACTTCGGCCAGCAGCAGTCTTTGCACCGCGGAAAGCTCGTCACTGAGAAGTAAGGCACCGTTGGGCACGTCCAAGAGTGCCGTGAGTGGATTGAGCACGGCGTTGGCTGCCAGCTTCTCTAGTTGCAACTGAAGCAAATCCAGATAGGGAAAAGCTGCGCATGCGAGCACTGTTGATCGCGTCAAGGTGCGCAGGAGGTATCGGGAGGACAAGTTCGCAAACAGTTCCTTGTCCGTCGGATAAAACTTTTTGCGCTCGTCCTCGGCCAGTTCGGAGATGTTTCGAGATGGTATCTTCGGTGGAAGAGGATGTCGGTCTTTGTCTCGACATATGCCTAATGCTACTGTGCCGTAGCCAGCATGCACAACTGCGCAAGGATCCGTCATGTAGACGCCATGTGATACAATACCCAGCATGTACGTTGGGCGTGTCTCTGGGTCAGTGAAGACTCTGCGGTTCAGCTCTTCTATCTGTCCCAGTCCATTCTGCATGAAACATATTGTGGTTCTGGCGTCTACCCGGTGTTTGACTGACCGAAGGGCAGACACAGTGGCATGGCCTTTGACGGCCACAATCAATGAATATATGTAGACTTGTCCATTGGGCAAGGTTTCATCAGCTTCGAGGGGATTTGTCCTTGGTCTTATCCCTGTACCAGGCTTCCCCTCCAGGTCGGGAGCTGACCGCCAGATGGGACCGGCCGCGGGATCATCGCCTTCATAGATATCCACGTCGTAGCCGGTCTGCTCATCGTTGATGTCATTCTTCTTGTCCATCAGGCTGATACTGCGGCCGACTCTTTTGAACGCCTCATATTGCTCTTGCTTGTGCATCATCAAGGTGATCGGAGGTGGATTAGGTAGACAGCGTAGTGAATGAGCAATCAATGTCCCAATGCTTCCCATGCCGAGTATATGCACCCGCCTGGTGAGTAGCATCTCCTCCTCTGGGTCGGATACAGTTGCGTCTTCAAGAGGTTTCGACTCGAAAGAAGCTGGCTCTGAAGAGGCAACATCCTCGTTCGAAGACAATGGAGACCACCAGCTTTGAGACTGTGCCATTGTTGTGAATCTCAAATAGTTTCTATCTGCAAGGGGCCCACGGCGTAGAGAGCCTGAGCTGATAAGCCTTGGCCATTTGCCCGAGGCTCTTAAGAGCGGGCGGAGGAGTAGTCGTTGCGACAGTTTGAAGGTCAACGCAGCTCACGACATGGATGAATTGGCGGTGCTCGAGGTTGCGAACGGGGGGTACGGAGATGAGAGAGGTAGGTCTTTCACCACTATCAGGATGGTAAAATCAATATCATGCGCTCATAGGCTCGAGAGGTTGTCGTTGAAGTCGATAATGACGGCGAGACACGTCGTGTTGCATCGCGGCCGCAGTCCAGCACTGCAGATGCAGATGCGGGGAGATTTTTTATATCGCAGTTTCGTCTCCAACTTCTTTTTCCTTCAGATCTTCTCTACGATAAACACCCTGCAAATGTGACAACCAGACTTCTCTTACGACTGCAGCGAGAACAGAAGTCACCTTGACTAGCGATTATGGACACCAAATCTGTACTCGCACTAGCGGAGCAACTCGAGGACAACATTGAGGACCTCGAGGATAGCCTCGGAGCAATACTCGAAACAGACGGTGCTTTTGCAGCGACTACCAAGAAGCTTCCTCTTCTTGAAAGAGCCAAACTCAATGTCTTGGTGGTCTATGCTATCGAGTCATTGCTCTTCTGTGAGTGCTTTTGGCGATCTCTTCGCCCTATACTGACTTGTACAGCGTACCTCAAACTTCACGGAGTTGACGCCAAAGAGCATGCTGTGTTTCGAGAACTGACCCGGGTCAAACAATATTTCGAGAAGATCAAGACTGCCGACGCGGACCCCACCACCTCGCACCCGACGGTGACGTTGAACAAGGAGGCGGCTGGTAGAGTGATCAAACATGCATTGGTTCGGTCATGTCTAAACAGCCACGATATTCGTGTTGTGCTAATTTCAGACTAGGCCGGAAACACCAAGTACGACCTCAAGCGTGCCGAACGCGAAGCCCGCGAGAAGGTCCGCGCAAATAAGAAGCTGACTACCTTGGAATCGAGCATGCAAGAGAAGGCCAAGGGAAGGTTCCAGAATGAGCAAGCAGAGGACGAAGAGGCAGATGCACTCCAACTAGCCGCTCAGCTTGCTTCAGTACCGCAGCCAGAGTCACCAGAAGGCTCATCGGCTTCGCAGAACGACAGCGAGGGTGATGACGACGATGAAGGAATACTTCGCACTCCGGACGTGGAAGACGAACCAACGGTGACTGTACCTGAAGTCTCGTTGGAGCCGACGACGTCACAAAAGCAATCTCCACCTCAACAGCGAGGCAAAAAGAGAAAATCACAACAGTCAGAGGAACAACAACCGGTCAAAAAATCTCAAAAAGCAGACAAAAAGGCTCGGAAGAAAGAACGTCCTGCCCGCAAGGCAAAGACGGAGGCTCAGAAGCAGGCCAAGAAGGACAAAAAGAAGGCTGCTGGAGGCAGCGGTTGAGCTTGCAACGGCTTGCATGATAAGCCTCAAGCTTGACCTCGTTTCTACCATCCGACATCCTGGCGACATCTCGAATTTTCACCCCGCGTGGTACCGGACCGCTTGGAGTGCGCCAGAGCTGGTGCTGATAACGGAAGAGCTCTGCAACCCTTGTTTTGACTATCAACACCACAAGCTGATGGCTTGAATCCCCCAGATTAAGGACGCAGCGTGATGAATCCAGATCGAAGAGCTGTGGGGCTTATCAAGCTGTCACTACATTGTCTCCGTCAGCAGGATCCCTTCGTGCCTGGTGGCCACGCCAGTCATGGTTGAATCTTGCAAGTGTTTACTCTATGTTGATAGAGCAAGCACATATCTCGAGATTCAACATTGGCTGCAAAGGTACCCTGGCTAGTGGTCCCTCTGCAAGGGAAGGAAGTTTGGAGTGCCATGCGAGAATCGTGCGAGATGCTGAGACTTGTGGACATCGGCCCTAGGACGCTCTCCTAAGTGGCTTTTCTAACCTGGAATCTTGCCTGCAATCGCAAAAAGTCACCACAGCAGAGAGTCCACAACTGGTGGGTTGGTAGAGTATCATAAAGGTCTGACTTGACCTAGGTATCGACTGAGACCGAAGTGAACTGCAAGAAGGGGCAATGTGTCATAGTTGTGTTGAGGCCGAGACAATCTTCTATCTCTGTCGACAGTTTGTTCTCTAGCCAATGCTCTGGCCATGGTTGTGATTGATAGTCCTCCCGAGCCGTGTCTCTGCTGGAACATCAGCTCACACTTTGGTGGTGCGCCAACCCAGCCTGTCACAGAGCTCCTCGGCGGCTCAGCGGGTCCAAAAGGTCGTGCTTACTCCCCCTGGACATCGTTGCAACGTCCCTTCGCAAAAAATGAAGTCGTTCTTTTGCGCGAAGTATTGATAGTAAAATCAGTCAACTTGTTTGGGCGATGAAGTCTGCCAAGATGAGTAAAAACTGCTCGCGGCTCACCCGCTTTGGGGATCAGGGTGATGCTGCTCTGTGGCTCACCACCGGCTCGCGCGAGGCGGGTGAGCGATTATCCGTGACCTACCTGTGCTGCAGCTCGCAAGTGGCGATGTCGAGTTTGTGTCTAGGTATAGTTATGTCGTGTCGCTTTGGGTAGCAGTGAGCGAAACCCTTGTTCTGACGTTCTCGTCTTCTCGGGTTACGGTCTAGCCCCCGTGATGACGACCAGATGATTCTGTCTCATCATATCCTAACAGATTTACAACTGTTTTTAGACATAGTCTCATTCGGACATCAAACCCGCGATTGGACTACCTCCTGCCAAAGGTCTAGCCCGTCGAGATCACTGGCGCGCGAGTACCACAAGAACATTTCCAGCCGGCCCTTCAACACGGTCCAGCTGTGGATGTTTAGTCGTTGCAGAGCTCGGCTGAGGAAGCGAACGTAGCCTTGCTCTTGGCAAGACCCCAAGGACGCAATCGCGCCCATGACGACAATCCAAATCATCAGCCATGGCACCTCGGTCCAGTAGCTGTCGACTTGGTCGCTGTCCAACAGCTCCCTGATCCGCATGGCTGCTTCGTGGAACGGCATGGCCTGTACAGGGGCGGGGAAGATCACAATCCAGCTATAGACGATGGCGACCGTGTGGCACATTTCGAACAACGGAGGCACCCTGTCCGAATTCGAGCTTCGACGGGGCGTTAGTGACAACAGACTATGTTGGACAAAGTTGCGCAGGTCTGCAAGTAGGCCAAGGGTGAGCAAGTGTTGGATGTCGACGGCAAAGGACTCCAGTGCCAAAGTATAGGCGGACATGCAGCGAAGAACCGTGCTCAGAGGCGCCACTTGCTCGGCGTCGAGGACTCGTTCGAGGACCGAAAAACCTGTACCGAGCACGGGCAGAGAAGGACACGCAGCGGCGACTCGAAGAAGCTCGTCTGCGGGGCTTCCAAACCGTGGCACGAACGGGAACACCGGCCGCGCCATCTCTCGGTTCGCGCACATGATATCGAGGCTGGAGGATATATGATACCAGTCAGTCAGAGTCGAGCCAGATACCTGCAGAGCAGAGAGGATGGACTCACTAGCACACTATCTGAGGCAATCCATCAATCTTCAATTTGCCTATTCCGCCTTTCGCTTCCAGCATGCTGACCATTCCCCGGGAATGCGACGTGGATGACGATACAGTCCCTCCATAGAGATCCAACATCTGTAAGGTTTGGAATGGACCTTGACGTGGAGACTTGCGAGGTCGCTTGACGATGACGTCTCCATGAAAGGCCATGCAGCACACCGTCTGGACGGCCTCGTCGCTGGTTGCGAGCTTGATGTCCTGGAGCATGCGATTGATCTCCTGCAGTGAAATCTGGTAGCACAGAAGCTCTTCCCGTGTTGGAGCCGAATGGGTTTCAAGCAGCCTGGAGTTGAAGAGGGATGCAAAGAGCGCCGTGTGGAACATTGCACGGTCATGGATCGCGGCTCGGATCCACGAGGCGGTGAAGACTCCCCAGCGTTCATTCCTGTCTTTCGGCCGGAGTGGTGGTAGAAGTCGGCCTGTTTGGTTGATAATGCTCGGCATGAGCCGGTCGATAAACTGATGGGGCAGATTGCTCGGGTAGGTCTCGAAGGGGTCGAGAGAGAAGTTTGCGGCGCTGATTGCGGAGAAGATTGGCGGCGGCGTGTGAGGCCGTCGTGGTCGAGATGATCTTCGGAGCCTCTCTTGGTGCTGCAGATTCGCCGCTCCATTTAGGTCGACAGTGACTCTGTCCGGTTCGGGCGCATGAGATCGATAGGATGTCTGTCGCTGCTCTGATTTGGTGACCGCCTGAGCCCAAGAACGCCGGGATACGTGAGCTCGGACAAAGGCCTTGTTGCGGCTCTCCTCGAGTTTGCTGGTCGGTTGTGCGGAGATAAAATGCCATTGCGTTGCTGGCTGGAGACCCTGAGAAAGCTGCGCCTGCTGCTCATATTCGCGGCTGTTCCTCTGAGCCAGGTCAGCCGTTGCGGAGGGAGCGGCCATCCGGAGGCCTACAGCTGAGGCTGTCTCACTGCATGTACTCCTGCAGTCATTTGCTCCGTGGGACAATCATTTCTTGATCAACACGGTGCAGGGGGCGCAGGTAACGAGTCGATACGGCAAGGAGTCGACGTATCGGACATGGTAGGAAAGAATGAAGAGGAAGTTTCGGGGATGAGGTAATCGCTGCCGCCTTTTTGGCCAAGGACCCCACACTGTTTCCCCCATCTAGATAATGCACCCTCCGCCCCGGAGCCTTGTCTCAACGGAGCCTAAATCCGTGCCCTCACCTCAGGCGGCATGCGACACACTCTCTACAGTAGAGGCGTCCAAGATTTACGTGAACGACCTTTGCAAGTAACAGGATTTGAAATCCTACGGACTTCGGACTACAGTATGTGGCCGCAACTAGGCAGCAGCATTTCAACGACTCGCTAAGTGTCGCAACATGGCCACGACTTATTGTAGCCAATCTTTAAGTCGAATCAGCCCCGGCACCGTCGAGGAGTTTATACCACAGGTATATATACCTGATGGGAGCTCGTTGTTTATGTCTCGTCCCAAACATCCAGTTCATCATCCGTTGATATCAATAAAGTTACAAATCCTACTAAAAGCATTGTACCACGGTCTCAAACCGAACCACGCCCATAGGAATTGGGAACAAAGCCGGCATCCTCCCACAGCGCAACAGCATCTTTAATATGCGTGTCCTTGTTATTGGTGGTAATGGACAGACTGGTCGTCTCGTCATCGATGAAGCATTGCAGCGCGGCCACAAGGTTACAGCCTTGATTCGGAATCCCTCTACACTTCCAGCCAAGGAAGGCCTGAACATCATGAAGGGCACACCAGTGGAACCTTCGAACATTGAAAGCGCTTTCAACGCAGTCCAAGGCGACCCCCCAACTGCCGTGATCGTCACGCTTTCATCGCCAACAGAAAAGGGGACTCGAGTCATGTCTGACGCGCACGAAAACCTCATCGCTGCTATGAAAAGGCATGGCATTTCCAAAATTGCGACAATGTCTTCATTTGGAGTGGGGTCTTCTTTCGCGAATATCACTGTGATTATGAGATGGGCAATTTCCAACACCGGGCTTAAGCATTCGTTCGCAGACCATAGTCATGTCGAGGAGATACTCAAGAAGAGTGGATTGAAATACGTGTTGTTGAAGCCAGCGAGGTTAACTATGGCAAAAAAGGCGCCCGTTCAGTTCCTTGGTGATGATGGGAAGGGACTCGGTGTTTTCGCGGGCTTGGGGGGGATCTCAAGGGCTAGTGTGGCGGCGTGTCTAGTGGATGCTGTTGAGAAGAGCACTTGGGATCGAAGCACTTTTGTGATATCAAACTAATAGGGTGTCAGGGTACAGGTCTCAGCGATCTCAAAATCGTGGCGGTGGTGAGGGGTTTTGACAGGCATCGTAGGGCAGGTTTAGGCCCAGGATAGCGGGAATATAGCTTTAGCTGAATCAGTCGTAGAGTATTGTAACTGATCGATTACGAAAGTGTCACAATGCTTGTTGAAATCACGAAAAGACCGACGAGGATGAGGAGAGAGGAGAGGAGGAGAAAGAGGTGGAGGAGCACCAGCTGGAGGAGGGACAAGAAGTGCCCAGTATCTCGGGCGACAGGTTTGAAAGGCTCTTAAGAAGCCGATGCGCGAAGTCTTTCTCACATGATCAATCAGTTGCATCAGGTTAAGAAGCGTCAGGCTTCAATCTGGGAAAGCATATAGTCGAACCTTGATATGGCCCGAGGAGAAAAGCTAGTAGGTTAGACGAGTAGAGAAGGGCTTTTATACTTCATTAGGACAAGGGAGAGCCTATCAATACCCGCAATGTCCACAGTAACCACGATCAGATGCACTGCAGGCAGTGTAGTCCTTGGGCGACTCGGATGAATCACTATAGTATTCCGCCACGGTAGGAGGTGTCTCTGTACACATACCTCCCGTCTTCAGCCTCGTCTGAATTGACCGGAGAGCTTGGTGTATCCATTAGCGTTTGCTGTACTTGAACTATTGGTCCAGAGCTGTGTTGGTCTGAATGTCGATTTGCATCCTCAGGTCGGGATCGCACATATTGGTCCGTATCCCTGAGTGAGACGTCGATTCCCCCACTTGGGCCCTTGGAATCATACTCATGCATCTGGTCATCCTTCGTACCCTTCTGATGCTGCACCGGGCGGTCCTGAATCTATTGTCTACTGTCGATTGTTGAGGTACGCACTGACTGACGTTGACAGTCGTCATATCAAGAAGCATACACGACCTTCCAAATGCGACCATCCATCTGTTGACACCGAAGGGTTTCGATACAAGAAGGATCTCCATCGTCATTGCAGACAAAAGCACCCTGGGGAGAATGACCCGGCTTCGAGATTCTGGTGTCCTTTCGAATGGTGCAAATTTTCCCGAAGGGCAGGGAAAGGCTTTGGCAGGCGAGACAACCTTGATAGATATTTTGAGAGTCAGCATCCACGGGCTTGATACTTCCTCAAGAGCGAATATCACGTTCCTTTGTTTTCGCTTCATCTATGTCCTCTCTCGCTTCTGTGCACTGCGTGACGTGGTCCACCATTGACCAATTGGTCTTGAGTAACTCTTGCCTACCCAAACATTCCATGTCGTCTTGATTGTTGATTTGGTGGAATTGCCGAACAACCTCAAGGCTGGACGCGTGCCCTCGCTGAGACACGCCAGCAATTGCCTCAATCCTGTTGTCTTACATGCAGGTGCCTTGCTCCCTACCCAGCACGAGCCCTCGGTTACTTCACTCGGACACACTTTGAACGTGTTTGGAGACACTGCTCCTCGAGCTGCAGCCACCAAGCTGGTCTGGCACCCAGTTTCTGTGTCACGGAATCGACCCCGTGACGACGAGGCGGACGCAGACTCGAAGTCGCCAGACCGTATAGCGGTCCAGCCTTCGGGAAAGCTTGGATACCCCAGCCTCGTGGTTTCTGGTGGTGGTGTGATCCGTGCACCGATCTCCATCTTCGAGTCAGTCAGGCCGAAAGCCATCTCAAACCGAACAGAGCATGAAGACTGGGGCTCGAACTGTCTCGATGCAGATAACGACTGAACGACCACCCCTGAAGAAGTCACTTCATGGTTTCTTCAATACATCGTCAATATTATTGCTGTCTGCTTTTCAATAAAGGCGTGGCCCGAGCCACCCGACCGCTTGGGCCATGATGGGCCCTGTTTCAAAAGGTTCATCCCTGTTATCCGGCTCTTTATCGACAACGAGCTCGGTCCAACACCGTGATGCCTCACAGACCACAGTATGGCCTATACCCGCGACCTTTACACGCTTGCACCTTGACCCTCACCGTCATGCGATCACTTTCCCGACCTCCTGCGTCATGCGAGCAACTCCTGAGAGACTTTGTGAGTCCCGCCGCTCAGCAAGTCGGGATATCGGAGCCGGCAACACATAGGAGGGTACCAATGCAACGGAGGATCTGTCTGATTGACACCGGGAAGCAAGGACACAGCCTGGCCGGAAAGACATATAGAAAGGCACGACCCTCTGCCCAGTATCGAACGTTCTATCACTGGAATCCAAGACTTACCAACGACAACTATCTGCATGCCACTCATTGGTATTGTCCCAAGCTTCTTTTACGGAGCTGGAGCATTCCATCCGACATCATGCTCGACCTCGCTGTGAGACTACTCGCCATCACCGCCTGTCTATTTGGCATCGCTGTTTGCGCGTGCATCAGCGAAGAAGTGCTCAGATCTCACAACCAGGACAAAACGCTCGACCCCGAGAAAGCGATGGAGTCATCTGAATTAAAACCGAGATTTGTCGCTCCCTTGGGGCATCAACTGAGCAACCTCATCATGGCTGCTACTAAGTCGGTCAATCTCATCGTCAACCAAGCAATTCCCGCCGGACCGTCCAAGCAAGCCATTCGCTTGCAGCAAGGCTTGGGCCACCTGCACCTTCACTGGGCTACATCGACAAGCCAAACCCATCCCGCGGTCGCTTGAGCTCATCTACATGGTCCGAAACTGATAGAAGCTGGACTTCTTATCACATGTTCTCAAATTCCACCCATTCGCTCTTTGGTCGACGTTGCTGTCCTCATTGGCTGAGATCAGCTGATTTTCCCTTTCGATTCGAACTGTTCTGCAGAGAAGACACATGAAGCATCAGCAGGTCGTAGGCTTGCAAAGCTTGACGACCGCCCAAATTCTTGTCAAATTCCGCTGGGTGTACACACTGCAGCCTACGGACGTCGATGGCAGGACCATTCGCACTCACCCGAGCCGCACTGTTTGCTCTGGATGGAGGCTACCTCGACGAGGCGGACGCTCCAGGCTGTTGATCTTGTCAACCAGTCGATGCCAATGGGTTCGCGGCGTTCTTCTGCCCTACTACCAGATCATCATCGCATCAAACACCGTTTTTACATAGTCACTCGTTAGCGCGGACGCGCTGGACGTGCAAGCTAACGGCTCGAACTATCCAACGTTCATCCACAAATTGGGTCTCCGAACCTTTAAGAGCCTCGACGGATGGCCCTCGCGCCTACTGATCGCAGGACGCCTCAAATTTACCATACGACTTCCACCGAGATTGCTGGCTTACGGACCCCAAGATCCACTCCTTCATACTCCATCAACCCACGCTCTTTGAATTCCAGATGCGCGCTCGCAGGACGACAGTTGAGATACTGGCCACCACATACACTCTTTCCATATCGAAGGCCTGTCCCCTGGACCATCGTCTCCTTTTACGGTCCACCATCTGGCATCACCGCTGCTCGGGCGATGAGCCCCGACACTCCTTCTCTCCTCGGACTATCAGTTATCCCACTTATCAAGTGAATCACTGGGCCACGCCTCCCAAGAATGCGAAGTCACCACCTTTCAGGTACAATCCAAGCTTCGAGTCTGACGCACATATCGCTACCACTCACCACGCAGACCATGGCTACTGTCACCCATTTGCCGCACCAGGCTAATACACACTCGTTCTGAGCGGTAATGCTCACTGTCACGTCCAGCAGATTACTGACACGTCCAGGTGACAACTTACCACCACACTCCTTTCCCCACCAGCTGTGCTGGACAATTCATCCTCTCTCTCGCACGATCTGTTTCACCGTCAAACAGCAGTGCTATCATTCATTCCATTGCCGACAGCATTGTCTCACCCAGCCCAAGTCCATCGGCCCGTTAACTTCGACGAGTTCTACTGGCACATCCTACGGGACGAGGCTAGCCCTCATCCCCCACGACGTTCCATAAGCCCACAGCAAAGATACATCACTCTCTGTCTGCCACGCTCCTTCGATACAGAAGCATTCCGCTTCATGGCGCTGTTCGGGGCTGGCACTCGACATACACCCACAAAGATCTACACCACGAGGATCGACATTTGCCGGGGTCACCGCGCCACTGTCCCCGTCCCTCACATTCTCTCCAGCAAGTCATTCTTTACGCTCATTACTGCCCTCCTGGAAGCTGGCCGGACACTTTCTACCTCATGACCATGCCTTTGCTTCCGGACGAACATTCCTTCTTCTACAACACCACGACACCCACTCCTGACATCCCCACGACGCTCATTCTTTTCGCTGACGACACTCGTTCTTTACGTCCCAACGACACTTACTCTTTTCGCTAACGACACTCGTTCTTTACGTCCCAACGACACTTACTCTTTTCGCTAACGACACTCACTCCTGACATCCCCACGACGCTCATTCTTGTCATCCGACGATACTCATTCTTCTCATCCCAACGACACTCGTCTTCCACTTCCAATCGACGCAGTTTCCGCCCCATCGAGGCTGGTGGCACCTCCTCTCCACTCCACTCCAATTAACACCGCGAATCAACTCCCAAGAAGGAGGGAAGCTGGCCTTCTCACGCTCCTGTCTCGCTTTGCTTTTGACCATCAAAATCTCTAATCGCTCATTTTACCACCACCACCACCACCACCACCACAATTGGCCTATGAATCTAAGGTTTACGCTGGTGACCGCCCTCGAGAGGCGCATGGTGTTATGGATCGAATGTTGATGATTACTATTACTAGTGGCTTTTTGTTATTGTTGATTAGTACTATAGCCACTTAAGTCATGTCACACTAGTGTTGCATATGCCCTTCATGTGTAGACTTATGCGTTCCGTACATTGGAGTTCCCTTAACTTGCAATTGCACTTCATTTGTGATGCAAACCCGATTCTCCGGACACGCAAGATCGCGGTCGCCTTTGTTGGCTTAATCGCGTCCAAGAACTACTACTAAGCAACTCATTTCCACAATCAGGTGCGCTTATGGCAAATCTGCCAGTGTCCAAAGACTCCTTGGCATGTCCTCTTCGTACCATGTACTATTATACGTGCGATTCGAACACATCTACAGTATGACAGCAAAGAAAGCTCAACCAATGTTCTAGGACGAGCTGAGATGACCTCTCAAGAAGCATCACCTCCCATTGCCTTCCTGGTGCCTGTGCCTGAGCCAGCCGCATGATCACTCTTGCTCTTGCTCTTGCTCTGCTCCGCCGCAAATATGAGGTCAAGCAGTGCAGGACGTCTCGCTGCAGACACTGTGGCCACAATGCTTGAGCACAACAAAACCCCATAGCCGAACCATAGCCAGTTCGATTGCGGAAGCATTGCGACACTAAAAACTGCCTTGACAGCCGCATAGTAAGTTAGCAGCCACCTTTTGTGGCACACACAACGCAGATGTGAAGCACTTACCGTGGCCAGGGACAAAGGAAGGTAGAGCTATGGACGTACAGCGTGTCAGCTTCAACAAACAAAAAGCAAGCATATATCCAACATATGGAGGCCTCACCACTGTCATCCTCGTCAAGATGCCGATATTGCTTCCTTGGCGCGTGGCCTCGGCACTCTCTTTCAGTGCCGACGCATTCACGAGCTGTTCCTCGTGAATTAGGCTCGAAATGTCCGGGCAAGGAAAGGTGGCAAGTGGGTGTATGCACTTACCCCGTCCCGCATGCTGTTGAACCTGTCCAGCTTCTGCGACATGAGTGCTTGAAGGTCCTTCAACCGGAATACCGAGACTCTTATCTGGACAACGTATGCAAGCCACAAGTCCTGCAACTTGGGAAACTTCGGCGCCTCGAATAGGTTGATGTAGTTAGATTCGAAGTTGTCCCACGCTCTGACAGTGCTGGAGAGATTGTCCCGGAACTCTCGGAGGCATGATACTGCGATCGACAGCTCCCTCGTCCTTGTCATTTTTTCGTCATCCAATATGCTGAACGACGTCTCCTAAGTGGTATCAGACAGCTTGGAGTGACCAAGCAGCACAGAGCGAAACAAGTGGAGCACTTACATAATAATCGAGACGATCAAAGAAGCAATTGACCAGGGCTGTCCATTCCCACATAGCCTGCTTCATTCTTCTAGACAGGATTGCGAGAAAATACTGCCGGGGATTCCATACCGGCTCGTTCAGCCAAAGAGAGCCACCAGAAGCAGGGTCCAATTTATAGTCAAGGCAATCTTTCCGGTAAGTTTCCTTTCCGTAGAAGTTGTCCACGCAGCAGTAGGCTGTCCATAGCCACTCATCAATCCCGACTGCAAGGAAAGATACCTGGGACTCGTAGTAGAACGATGTTTTCTCCTGTTCGCGAGGCAGTGGAAGTACGCGACAGTTTCGTAATTGCTTTCCTCCAAGTTCTCTTCTGTCAAGAACGGAATTGCCAACGCGAAGAGCCAGGAAGGGAATGTGAAATTCTAGAGCGAATGTCGCATCCTATGAGAGGATGGTGAGCAGACGCAGCCGGATACTGGGGCTCAGCAAGGTCAAGCGGACAGGGAATGCCGAAGCCCAAATGATGGACCTACCAGCGAGATGCGAAAGACAGTTCGGAAAAGAAGTAGACCCGAGAAGAACTCTCTCAGGTCAGCAATCGACCGTTCTGCTGCGGTAGCTGCGATGGCTACCATGCAGGAAGCCGTGATATCGGAGATGTAACTGAAAATAAGAGGGTCAGCACGATTTTCTTGACTTTCAAGCAGCAAGCAGTAGGGTCACATTATTCGCCGTTCGGCCTTCTTTTCGTAGCGCTGCGTCATACTGAGCCACGACACAATTCGAAGCAGCGGTATACGTACAGATTCTTTCAACCGAGACAGAAAGTCGCTGAGGGAAAGGGCAATGGCCTGCTCCGGCCAAACATCAACGCCTTCCGGCGGATATTCTAAGTAGCCACCAGGTCCGTCCCACCTGCGAGTGGTGGAACGTCCCACTTCGGGGTCTCGTCTGTCATCAAGCATGATTGTCTTTGGCGCTAGATTTGCGGCTGGCAGCTGATTGCTTTGTAGCTCCTGCCTTGTTGCGGCAGCAAGAAATCTCCTAAGTGCCACATCGGTATGCTCCGACGGCGCTTCCAGACAGTCCCTGGAGAAGCGTAGGAACGATCTTGTGAGACTCGGAATGTCCCCATTCTCAAGCAGGTCCAGCAAAGAATTCCCACTATGGAATAAACTTTGGTCTGCGGACACTCGAGGATCTTCGGCCTTGTACAGTCTCTCGCTTCGCCGCTCGCTGTACTTGCTTTCCCACACTCTGCTCAGTGGGCCAGCCTCGCTTCCTTCGGAGGCCATGAGCAACTGGCGCCACTGATATCGTTTCCTGCTGAAACCATCTTGATGTTATCAGAAGCACCAGGCTGGGGCAGAGGCATGCGCCAGCTGGTAATGCTGGCTATGCTTGAAAGGGTTAGCCGGAAGTTCCCCGCTTGATAGAAAGATGGATATCCAATGCGCTGGCATGCAGCTCGATCGCAGCTAGCTTTGGTCATTGCGAAGCTGGTCATGACGGACGGTGTTGGATGAAGCAAAGGTAGATGATCGCAAAGGCTTTCACACAGCGGAAAGAGACCTGACGTTGCGCCACAGCCAGTCATGGTCCGCCCGGCCGCTCTCCACCCTGAAACTCTGGTCTTGGGAGTACGATGGACCTGTGTATGAGATCCCACGAATGCCAATCCTTTCCATCTCTCATGAAATTAGTGTAAGCGGGACTGTGGGAAAACCAACAATGGCACTTCTACCGCATGTGGAGGGTGCAGTCACACAAGATGCGGACATTGCACGACCACCGTTGTCACCGAGCCGCAGTTCGAGTTCGAGTTCGAGTTCGTGTCCAGTGTCCCCTGGCATGGCCGCCTGAACCGTTTCGGACCACAAGATAGCACGTATTGGGAATGCGTGCGTCCACCTTGTCGCTTGAGAATGAGAAGTGAAGATACTTAAGAATGTCCAGTGTCAATGCAAGACGACATTACTGTACGCCTTGTACAAGAGTTGTATCAACTGCGACCACAAGAAATGTATGAATTGCAGACCGACCAGGAAAATATAGCGACGCTTGGGGGAGACGATGTGGGTGTAGGCCGTCGGTACTGTCAGAGAGATGTCGAGGTGCAAGAGAGATGCAATATCGGAGGTGCAATGAATGAGTACCTAGGTACCTTAGGTCCACAGGCACCGCAGAGCCAACAACGAGGTGTCAAACTGACTACAGGGACTACCTTGCACCTTCCCGACGGTCTCGCGCGCCAGGGGGACGAGAACGATGAATAGACGGTCTTACTGTAGGTGGATTTGCGAACTGTGCTCATTCGATTATTGCCTTGGAGCACGCCGGAGTACTTAGGAATCCATCATCGACCCTCCAACTCGATCCTTTAACAATTAAAATACAAGTACTGTGTATATTCCATCGCTTTCGATACATGACAACAAACTCGCTTGTACGCCGGACGAGAGACGACGAACAAAAATATTAAACCGGAACATCGTCAAACCAAAGGGCGTTCCCATCCTTTTTGCTGTCCGTGTTCCACAAGCAAATTTTCCAAAAGAAAGCCCAAAGCGCCCAAGATCGAAAACAGAAGGTCGCATGATGTAGGACCCCAGTTATTCGAATCGACCAGGGTATGCCCACACCTCGAAGTCGACTCCGAAAACAGCAACACCTGACAGAGATATCGCTCAAGATCGAACAGCAAGAAAGGAAGTGCCCATAACTCAATCATCCCATCTCCCATCTCCCACCATGACAGGCACCCACTCCTGCCCCGGGTACGCCGTCGCACTCATCAACACTTCTTCATCGGACTCATACCCTTCAGCCTTGCTGCCAGGTAACTCGGCAATGACCCCTCCTGAACGGTCCCTTGCACTTTCTCGCCTACCATCTTTCCCTCTAGCGCTCTTGTCACCCTCCATCAAAGTCACGCCTCTTTCTAGGCCCTGCCCATCTCCTTCTCTGGCCTCTCGCGACCCGCCCAGTCCAGGTGTCTGCGATCTCGTATGCGTCGACGATGCGACGCTGACGGGCGTCTCACTCCTCGTCCCTCCTGCAGCACCTTCAAGTCTTTGCCTCAGATTACCTTTCCGTCTCTCACCTCCACCGTCGTCCTCACCTGTCTCGTCCAGCCCCGGCACCATAATATTGAAGGGCCGTTCCTGCTCGCTCTCATCCCTAGGCACACCACCCACAGGACTGATCTTCTTGCTATTAAACATGCCGAGTGTCGTAACTAATCCCGAGTCACCGCGACCACCTGCACCGGTCGGCTCCTGATTCTGACTCTGGCCGGACCGTCGCAGAGGCGCATCGAGATCCTCACTCGACGGCCTTCTGCCCAGCCGGGGTGATCTCGAGCGTTTGTGCAGGTTAATCACATGCGCTCGGGGATCCTGTCCTGGTCCACCTTGCCGATCCGGCGAAGCAGTCATACTCCTCACTGCTGCTTGCCGAGTTGCACCCGCACTGGTGGGCCCGGAGTAACCTCCCGGAGGCGCCGAAAACGAACTTTCACGCGGTGGATAGACCTGCGGTGGTGCAGTTGCAGACACACCCACGCCCATGCCGTATTGACCATGGTGTTGATTCTGGTTGCCGCCGGTATCGATCCTCAACGGCGATGGGCGCTCATACGGAGCCTGCGATGTACCCGGTGGACTCGGATCGTAGTTTGGAGGGTTTGGTCCTTGTGGTGGTGGTGACACTACAGACCTCTCGTACATTGTGGGTGTCGGTTGATGCTGATGCTGGTACGCCGCCGGTCCGTGGATCGGGTGGTGTGACGGGAGTCGTTCCGGCGGAATGGGTGGGTACGCTCGCGACGCACTGTTCCTGTTCGACGGCGACGCCGTTGGTGATTGATGATGATATTGCTGTAGATGTTGATATGGACCCGCTCCTGCCCCTGGATCATGGTTGCCATACCCGGCCGGGATGTCCGAATACTGGCTATAAGGTGTCTGCGCAGAGTACGCCTGTGGCGAGATGAACGTCTGGGCGCGGATCTGTTGTTCGAGCTGCTGATTAGCAACCTGCTGCGAGGCCGTGGTGGGGACGGTGTTCGCTCTCGACGGTTCTTTCCCGGCGCCACTGCCTTTGAACAATCGACCACCAAAGCCAGAGAACCGTTTCTTCTTTCCTTCTGCTCCATGGTCTTTGGGCTCGGGCGTCGTCATCGCACCTCTCAGCATATCCTTTGACAGTCTTCTTCCCGTGTTCGTATGGGACGGCACGTTCGTAAGTTGACCTAGCTGATCGTGGTCGCCGTATTGGCTGCTCCGTTTCGACGAGATACTGTCGTGACGACTATTTCGTCGGAAGAGGCTGGCTCGTTTCTCTTTCTTGTGCGCATGGCTCTCGTCAACGCGTGTTGGGGTCTCAGGCCGCTCGTGCTTTTGAAGTTTCGAGCGCGATTTGTTGCCGAAAAGACCGCCGAACATACCCTTCTTGCTGGGTGTTCCGGTCGCTACGACAGGACGATTATCTTGTGGCGGAGGTACAGGAGGTGGAGGCATAGAATGCCGCTGAAACTGGCTGTAGTGCTCACTTGGCTGTTGCTGTTGCTGTGGTTGGGTTTGAGACTGAAGTTGAGGCCGAGCCTGAGACTGAGGCTGCGGCTGAGGTTCAGGCTTCATATCATACAGATGCTCTGTTCCCGGGGCCGGTCTGTATCTAGGCTCTTGCTCATACTCTTCAAATGGCTGCTGCTCATTGGCAGCGGGTGACGTTCTACCCTGCGGCTGTGCCTGTTGACCGCGATACGGGTCCTGTCCCGGGTAAGGAGATCTCCTGGCACTCGGCAATTGCTGGCCACTCGCTTCGACTTGGACTGGACTCCTGCCGATCCTAGGAACTGTGACTGACTTTGGCGATCTGTACTCCTGTATATACGGACCTGCAATGCGAAACTCTCCCGTAGAGTCTGTCTGGATACTGGTTTGCGTTGGCTGCGTATGTTGATACTGAGACTGCTCCCTCTGCTGTTGTCGGAGTTGATTCGTTTCTCCCTGCGGCCGTCTCGCGCTCGGAAGTGGACTTTCGGAAGAGTACATTTGCGTCCTATCGATCGGCTGCTGGTGTTGTTCAGCATCAGCCGGATCTTTAAATGCAGGGTGATTTCGAACATTTGGATCAACGCCGAACGGTCTAGAGTATGATCTTGATTGTCTCTTCACGCCAGGGGCGGCGGCGTTGGCTTGATCAAAGACCTCATCGACGCTAACTTGCGACATTTCCTTGTTGAGCGATGTGTTACTGAGGGTCTGGCTGACTGGGCTCATTGGCTGGGAGGGGTGAGGACTCTGCTGAGAATGGTGCATTTCGCCGGCACCATCAAGACCAGCAAACGAAAATGGCCGAGGCGGTGGCGGAGACACAGCTTGCTCTTGCTCTCGCTGTTCCACGTCCCTTGGCACTTGTGATTTCTCCTCGCCTGCTTGAGCACGTCTGATTGCGTCGGCATCGACATCGCCGTCCAATGGCACATAAGGCTCATCTATACCTGGGGGCGGCGTTTCATTTCGAGGAGTCTCTGGTGCAGCCTGGAAATCAGGATTACCCTGTTCCTCTAGCGACTCTAAACGCTGCTCTTCCTGCAGAGGATGAGCCTGCAGAGGATGAAGCTGCTCCTTCGTTTTCTGCTCCAAGTCCGACGCCTCGTCCGCTGGAGAAACACTTGGTCTTGATCGAGCTTCTGATGCGACTGATCCGGATCCGGGACTTGCGCTGGACACAGCCGAAATGACTGACCTGGGTTTGCCTTCGGGAACTCGCAGGCTTCCATCGCCCGGCTGCGTAGACACATCGGCATGTCCGGTAATGGGATGAGGAGGTGCGAGCGCGCCAACGGCCGGTCCAGGCTCAGTGACTGCACTAGTAGTACGTTGCGATGAAGCAGTTCCCCGGTCTGCAATCTGATCGGCAATCGTCCGGTGCGGTGCCTCGACAGGAGAATGTTCAGCTGTCGGACGTGTTACCTGACTCACCGACCTGCTCGGACCACTCTCATTTTCGTTTCCATGCTGATCACTGTCCAGTGCAGAAATGGCCGGACTCACAGGACGTGGAATCGGCGCAGTTCCAACAGCCGCTGGGGTGGTGCTCGATCTTCTTTCTGGACCCGAACCCTCCTTCTTGTCCGTCCCAGCCTGATCAATTGATGAAGTTGACAAGGCTGCTGCTGTTTCTTTCGACAGCCCACTGCCTGGGGTTGGATTGTCGAGAATCGGCCCAGAAAACCAATCGGATGGCGAGACAGGAGAGGTAAGGGTCAGAGGAATTTGTGGTGGACCTTCGAGGAATGTGGGTTTTCTTTGCGACTGAGCCTCAGCATGGCTGTCTTCGGATTCAGGTTCGTTCAGCGACGGATAGGGGCCTGTGGATTTTCGACGACCTGAAGGTGATGAACCCTAAAAGAAAAGCGTCAACAGACAGCTCAAAAGAGAGGAAATCTTTTCATTACTACATGGCAAAAAGAGTTGCTGAGAGGTGCAGGTCCTGTGAGTCCCTTTGGCCACAAAATCCCCCTTGCAAGAAACCCGTAGTAGGAGTAAAGTAAAGCTATCGATCGATAGAAGAATAAACAAGTAAAGAAAAGATCAGACTACCTTTTCTCCATGACTGACATGGCGCATTCTCTCTTTCCCCTTCGCAAACAAGCCCTTGGCGGCTGTTCCGGCTTTTCCACCAAATTTTCCAGCTTTTGATATCAATCTCTTGCCGTCCTCTTGCATCTGTCGTGCTCCAGCTGAGTCGGTCAGGATTCTTCTTGGCGAGGGCTTGTAAGCTGTAGCTTCTGCGGCTTCTTGCGACACATGACCGTTCATGGCGAAGACATCGGAGTGCTCTGAAGTCCTCATTGATGTGAGCCAATTCTCCAGTTGTCCGTCGGATGTAGCATACGCAGATCTGCTTTCGTTGAAGGCTTTGATTCGTGCTTGGGGAGAGTCAAGACTCATGATGGCACGGAAAGGCGCCGGCTCGGTTGTAGGAGGCTGAGCAGGCATTGCTGGTTGCACGGGCTGTTGCGCGGTTGGCACAGGCGATTGAGGGGCATGCGGTGGCATGCTTGGCTGCCGTGCAATATTTCCTTGTGAAGTTGAATCTCGTTCATTTGATGCACGCCGAAGACCTGCAGGGGGGCCGGATGGTGGTCGAACTTGAGTCTTTATAGTCTCTGGCGAGCCCGTGGAAGGCGTAGAGGGAGTTTGTTTGGCTATTGACGCGGGAGGCGTTTCTTCGCTGCCAGTCTCCCATGAGAACCGCTGTTGGAGAAAAGGCCTTGGCTCTGATGGGCCATGTTCAGGTGGTTGAGACGGAGTTGTGCTGGAGCTTTCAGGCTTCGGGCCAGGTCGTGCCCATTCTTGAGGTGGCACATTCACGGAATCTACTTGGTTTTCCTTGGGGTTGCTATGTGCTGGGCCTGACTGAGGTGTTGGCACTGGCGGCGCTCTTTGCGCTGTTTGCGCTGGTGGCTTTGGACCGGCTATTGCGGTTGCTGGGCCTGTTGGCTCGACTCCGGCTCCTGGAGGTAGATAAGTTGCTGAGCTCAGTAGTCTAGCCGACGTCGGTCCGATTGGTCCAGTAGCAGCGTTCGGGCCTTGTTGAGGAATCGTTGCTGCATGAGCAGCAGACCTAGCTAGAGGAGGTTGTCCAGTTGGAACTCCTGATGCCGATTGACCTAGACCCGCTTCAGATGGCTGTCGATGACTTTGTTGTGGGGCTACTTCCGTCCCCTGTTGTGCTGGCGGTTCTGGCCTCTGTTGCGCAGGGAGGTCCTGCCTTTGCTGGAATGGCGGGACCGGTCTCGGCTGACCTGGACTGGTAAATTGGCCGGTCGTTGGAGCCAGCGAGAGCGATGGTGACTGGTTTCCAGGAATGGATTGAGTGGCTGTTGCAAGCTGAGCCGTTACTATAGGGGTTGGTCCTGCCTTGGACTTTGCTATATCCATAGTTTGGGCGTCCGGATTAGGTACTGCCGCTATCGATGAGGCATCAGGGTTCGGCTGACCTGAAGGTCCAGCAGAGTCTGAGGTCGACGGTAGCGCTTTTGAGCCTTCTGGTTGAGTATCCTGGGCCGTGGCCTCGCCATAGTAGGTCGAGCTCTTTGGAGTCAGGCTTTTCTCAATTTCTTCTTCCAGCCGATCATTATCAGCTTCAGCAGGTGACTCCTGATGTACAAAAACATCTGGTACCCTGCCTCGGAGGGCTGAAGTATCGAGGTTTCTGCTCGTTCGAAGCGGTGCCGGTACGTAATTATCTTCAGGATCTGCAGTACCGGCCTCGCTGGAAGAGTGTCCCCTGGCTGGTATAGGGATATTGCTATGCTTTTCCAGGGGCTGGTCTGCCGATGTCAAGCCCGTCGATTGGGGGACTGGGGCAATCGCTTCTTGATCCGGCCTATTTTGGGGCCCCGGCCCGTGCTCACGCTCACGCTCTTTTTCCGACTCGGGTTCACTACCCGTACTTGAAGCATCCCACTCATTCTCACTTGACTCTTCTGAGTCTTCTTGCGAGTCTTGCAAGCGCTCACTGAGTCGATGGCCGGCAAGAGCGCTGGCGAGAGCACTGCCAGCGGTGGCCGCGGCAGCAAAAGCCTTTTCTCTAATGCCATTCTCTGTGTCGGGGGATTTCGTGGGAGCTTTGGCAGTAGGGATACTCTCAGTGCTGTCTAATCGCTGCGAAGGCGCAAAAGGTGGCAGATTTCGGGAGGGCGAGCCTCCAGTCTGTTGCCCAGGAGTACCGTCTTCTTGTGTGGATGCACTTGCGGTCGAAGTGTATGACTGCCAACCTCCGGGTATAGCCGGTCGAAAACTTTCATTTCGAGGTTGAGGTGCTGGACGGTTGTGTTCGGCTGTTGGCGAACTGACTGGGAACCCGTTTCCGCTTGAAGTCGATCTTCCCGATTGACCCTCAATCCGCCCGGCCAGTTCTCGGACAGAGCCTTTGGAAGGTGTTTCTGAGCGCTGCAGAGGTGACGGTGCAAATGGAGTAGCGGACCCGCTATCAGAAAAGCCTGCTTGCTTGTTGAATTGCTGCTTATGTGCCTGCCATTCCTGATATTCTTCAGAAGTAGTGCGTTCAGTCTTTGGGACTGCGTCTTCTGTCGGGTCAGATTTCACAGATGACGGCTCCGGCACGGTCTCCTCGGACGGCGGCGATCTGCCACGCGTCTGGTCGTCTACAGATCTGTCTTCTTCCCTCCTATCCACGACAGACGCTTTTTGCGATTGAATTGGCTTGGGGTGTTCAATGCTGAGGGGTCTTTTCGCTGGGCTGTTGTCTCGACTGGGAGGAGTAACGTCTCTGCGATATCCACCCCGGACTGGTCCAGCAGGAGAGAAGTCACTATCTGGCGAGAGAGGTTCGTGTGGTCTTAGCGTTGCTGATGATGTCGGACGTGACTCAGCTCGCGATGGCTCTTCTGGAATCGGTATTGAGGTGGCCTGAGGCGCAAATGCAGGCGCTGTGGACTCTTCTTTACGACCGATTATAGGGCTGATGTCCGAGGTCGAGTTGCTGTTTGACCTGTCAACAGTACCCGATGTAGAAGTCGGAGAGAGTGGCGTATCCCTCTCACTCTCTTCAAAAGCCTGTTGAACCATCGATCTGTAACCGAGCGACGGTTGATGGTGTAGAGATTGTGCCTGAGTTTGGGCAGAACTCCGCGACCCGCCAGAAATATCCACTGAAGAGTTGGAGGGTTGTACAGGCTGCCCTCGGGCGTCTCGAGTGTTTTCGCCGTCAACTGAGCCTATATCCATGCCAAACCCAGAAATTCTATCAATAGCTGGAAGGTTGAAGCTTGGTCGTACAGGATCCGGGGTTTCACGCTGGAGAGCGCCTTCACTCATGGACACATTGCGCGATATGGTTGATGCGGAAACCGGGTCTGGACGGTCGGTGTAGTTGGAGACTGAAGACGCGTCTGTGGGTTGCCTTGATACGCCCACTGTTGGTAGTGTCTCCTGCGACTGGTGGGAAATGTCGGCCTCACGTGTCACAGCCTCATCTTCAGGCTGTTCAGGTGAACCTGCTTGCTTGAGCAGATTGTCAAAGCCATACTCACTTTTCCGTTCTGGGACTGTGTCAAGAATGGTAGGCTTCAATCGTCGAGTATGGTCCTGCTCCTCAATTGATGACTGCGGCACTGCGTTGCCGAAATCTTTGGGCTCTGGCAGTGAAGCCGGCGCATTCACCAGCTCGCCTCTTATGCGACCAGTGGTGGAATCTATACTGGGGCGTCGTGATGATTCCTGCGACCTGCGGACTTTTTCCTTCTCCTCTTCCATGCGCTTGTAAATGTCTGATGGCCGAACAAAGACTGGTATAGGTCGGTTGACACTTGATTCGTTGGCGTCTGTAAATGACGAAGGATCTGCAGCCTCAGGACCTGGCGTCAAGTCTATTGGAGGCGGCGGTTGTTGTGTGAGACTCTGTTTGCGAGGGGGGAACTGTCTGGTTGACGCAGTTGAACCTCTGCTACCAGGTCTCATGGGACTATCATGTCTCTGATAAAGGTCGACCGGGGGCGGAGGACGGTTACTTGACCCAGACCTACGTGATGCAGGGTATGTACCTGGGGCAGAAAAGGGCGCATCATCGTACGGTTGAAAATTACGACCTCTTGAGCCCGGTCGAAAGCCAGGAAGCATTGGACCCTGTCCTTGTGTGTCGAGTCGCAAAGGAGCTGGTCCGTTGAAATTCGGGAAGGGGGAATCCTCATAGTCATGCTGTGGCTCTGGAAGATGTTGTCTTTGGGTGGTTGGGTAGGCTGAATCGAAGCCTCCGGATGAGAACGTCCGCCGATCGTCGCCGCGATCGAAAGAGAGTCGTCCACCACCACGAGAGGGAGAGGGATTGGTTACACTGCGATTCGCTGAGTACATATTCGGTTGCGGCGCCCAAGCTGGGTGTCTAGCCGTGCCAGCCGACATTGTTGCAGGCTCGTCGTATTCATCATCATCGTCATCTCCCCACTCGTCACCGTCATAGTTTATCTTATTCGCATTTCTCCATTTCTTTGTGATTGTCCTGCCAACATTGGTCTTGAAGGAGGAGTATGGACCGGGGGATGCCATCGAGATTGCGGCTGATGGTTCGAGGCCAAGACGCGTTGCAGTTGAAAAATACAGTCAGAGTATGCTCAAGGGATAATGTGGCGCATTGCGGAAATGGTGATCTTGTCGTAGCAAGGTCTAGAGAGCTGTTTTTTGTATGAAGCAGAGGGACACAGTGAGGGCGGATTTCGTACTACCTGGAGCCACGTCGATGGGAGGCCGGGAGCAAGCAGAAGCGACGATCTGAAGAATGATGGTATTGTCCGTGGTTCGATGGGAACAACAATGTTCAACACAGTGGGACAAGGGAAGGGAGGATAGTGATGAGGCCAGCCGCGTGAGCGCAGACGAACAAACGAGGCGACGGGAGCAATGCTGCACTAATTCAAGATTCCTGGCCCTGCAGATCGACATGCGCGTCACTTACTGCGCCACAGTTGAGAATGGGGAAGAGGTATTCGCATTCTCGCACGTAGTATTATGTAGGCATTGGACTTGATGAGGCAACGAGATATCAAGATGCGGGATTCCAGTATACCAGGTAGTCAGAAGAGGAAGACACCGAAGAGATATCAAATTATGCACAGGGTTCTCTGTCGCGAAGTTGTTTCAATGACACCGAGGCTGCCCTCACAGCTTGCTATGACCTACTATGGGTGCCCCGGGTGCGTTAGTGCTACCTGATAGGTGCGAGCTAGGTGAAGGCCCTGGTAAAAATAGTCCGATGAGATGGAATCTGTGGCTGGTGAGAAGCCGGGAGGCCGGTTGCCACCTTTCATTAAAGCCATTTCCGCTGACGCTTTCGGCAGCCCTGGAACAAGAGTCAACATCTTCTCAACTGCGACCAACGTCGATTCAGCACTTCCCTTTCCACTTCGTTCTGAACCCTGTACATATCGCCTTCTGCTCCTTTTCTTCTCGACAGCAGCCTTCGTGTATTACTACCGATCTCCGTAGACGTGTTCCGGTCTCATCCCCTACGAGTACCAGCGCGCAAGGATGCCCGACCTCTCTCACTAAATTATCCGCGCGCCAACCTACTTCCGGCTGCCTCCTCTCGGCGCAGGCGCAAAGACCCTCACTCCCTATATCGCCATGGTATCTCATTCGATACAGGACCGGACGAACGAGTTCCGCACCATCCTAGCCCAAGCACAGAAGAGACAGTCTGCCACAAAAGGGGGCCCTCAAAGGCAGTCCCTATTAAATGAAGCACAGAAAAGAGAAGCAAATGGCACACCCAACGGGCCTTCAAGAGGTTCGAGGTCTGAATTTGCTCGCAATGCTGCCCAGATTGGACGTGGCATCACCGCCACTATGGGAAAACTGGAAAGACTCGCCCAGCTTGCAAAGAGAAAAGCCATCTTCGATGACCGGCCAGTCGAAATCTCCGAGCTCACCTACGTTATCAAACAAGATCTAGCCAGTCTGAATTCCCAGATCTCAGCACTTCAACATCTGACACAATCGCAACATCCCACCGCATCCCTCCCACGATCCGCGGATCAAGAAGGCCAGCATAACAAGAATGTCGTCCTCATGCTACAGAACAAAGTGACAGACGTCGCTGCAAATTTCAAGGATGTGTTAGAAGTGCGGACAAAAAACATCCAGGCCTCAAGGTCAAGGACAGAGAACTTTGTGTCATCAGTCTCCGCACGTTCTCAGACACATTTGGATGATACGAGATCCGAGTCACCATTGTACCAGAATTCCAGTCGACAAAGGACGCCGCAAACGTCTACGAATGACCTGTTGACCCTGGAACCCTCGAATACGTCCACATTGATGAGAAACGGGCCGCAGTCGGAACATCAGCTATTACTGATGGAAGAAGCCCAGCCGACAAACATGTATATTCAAGAACGAGGTCAAGCCATCGAAGCAATTGAACGGACGATCAACGAGCTAGGTGGTATTTTTGGACAGCTCGCCAGTATGGTCTCTGAACAGGGTGAAATGTTGCAACGGATAGACGCCAACACTGAGGATGTGGTTGATAACGTTCAGGGTGCCCAGCGGGAGCTCTTAAAGTATTGGAACCGAGTACAAGGGAACCGCTGGCTTGTGGCCAAAATGTTCGGTGTACTTATGGTGAGTCGGAAATATCCGGTCGCTTTTCCATTCTATACTGACACTTTGCAGATATTCTTTCTATTGTGGGTGTTAATATCTGGCTAAATGCTCAAAGCGACAGCCGTAAGATGCTCGGCACACCGAAACTTCTCTCTAGAAGGGATTTTAGAATATGAAAGATCTGTCATCCGGGAATCACGAAAGCTTTACAGTTATTTTGACTTAAGCTGCTGACCGTGATAGCATGGCGAACCTCGTGAGGAAGGAGATGAATTCTCAAAGATCAGCCAGTTCCCATCAGATAAAGGTCGCCACCCGGCTCCTGACTTTGGCGGACATCAAGCATATTTCAGCGATCATGTGGAATATGAACTCCAGGAAGTCGAAGAATACTTGATTGCCTTCGTCTACAGGGCTGTATCTTGGCAGAGCGAAGATGCAACTTTCCAGGGATCTTGGACGGACATAGACCGCCATGGCTGGGTCCCGTCGGTTCTTTCTATCGTAAATGCGTGCATGGTACTTTGAGCGTAGGAAAGACAGTCGCGGACCAACATTGGACCTGGACCGTGGTATATTCGAGGTCGATTTAATCAAGGAGACAGTTCTACAACTGGCGCATAATCTTGACATTATTATTTCATGGGTATCGCTTGGCTGTAGTCGACTTTTCATGGCTCCAAACCCAAAGGTGCTTATGTACATCGCAGTGCAATAATGTGCTCTTTTTCCAAGCTGTTCGCAAGTCACCGCTGAGTCTGAGGTCGATCTCGTCTGGGGTATACCAAAGGAGGATACTGGGATCGAGCCCATACCGAGGCTGCCATTTGAGGCGAGTCGGTTCGGATGAGGCTGCCTATGCCCATGAAGACGCTACCTCTCAGTTAGCAGGAATCGTATTGGCCTTTTCCAGTTGATGCGTGCCTGAATGTCGCTCCTGATCCTACGATGTACTTTCCGAGTGTACGCATCACACCTGCCTGTCCTGCACCGTATTGGAAGATGGTCACCGTGCCTAGGACATGGTCAGAATAGGGCTTTGCGCTCCGCAGCGCATGGGCATCGAACCGTAGATGAATCCCATTATGCCTCCCACAGCTGCTCTGTATTAGCTTTATTTCCTTGTTTGTTACCAGAATAGTTGTGTTGGACTTACTTCCTCCCATCAGCGCACCCATCTTCACTGCAACTGGTCAGTCCACACTGCTCTTAATGGCCGTCGTTATACGTGCATTTATCGAACCATGTCGGACCACGCCGCTGAGCGGTAGGCGGCATTGGAGGCATCTTGATTTCCTGCCCGAACAAGCACAAAGCAAGAAATGGAGGGTTTGGGTGCACTTTCGTGCTCAAGGCAAGCAAGGTAGATGATGGGATGGTGAGGGACGCAGACAGCCAGACTCGCCGAATGACCGATGCGCGCTTGGAATTCCACCTGCTCGTGGCCTCTTAGTGTTGGAATCTGGTGACAGTCAGACAGGCAAAAATTTGTCAAATGCGACAGATAACGGCCCGTGAACAGCCTGAGCACGCCTGAGATATGGCCGCTCTCGCTGACAGACGTTCGACATTTTCTCCCGATATTAATTTGCCGAGGCGCTAAGCCAGATCCATCTGGCGCGGAAGATGCTCTCTCAGCGTCAAATTGAACTGCCCTGAATCATCGAGTGGCAGTCTCAGACAATTCCACGACGCGAACAGTCAATCCGGCCGCGAGACCACCAGCAAATGTGACCGACTTACCCTGCACTGTCCACCCATGACCGATCAACATTGAATCAGTCCGATCTCGAAGCATCGGAGCCCGACCTGGCCCGCCCTGATCACTTCCTGTCAGGACCACCCCCCGCTGCTGCCATCTCTGCACGCGAGCAGGCCATCCCTTTAGGATTTCATCCACATATCCCAAGTAGGTCTCCAGTCAGTCCAACATCGATCCGGCCTTCCTCCTTAGAGCAGTCTCATTCTCACCACTGTGAGAGGTTGACTGACGCAATCACATCGTCTTCAGGCCGGCTATTATTCTCGAGTCCTCGCATCCACCACATGACGGCTCTACACCACACAGGACCTCTGTCGCTGCTTTTCCCGACCTCTTTTTGTCCTGTGGCGTTGTCTGAGCAAACTTGTTGAAGAGGCGGAATAGATTGACAATTCTGTTTGCCATTCCGTCCTCCGCCCCCAAGGCTTCCCGATGACGACCGCGGTGGCATCACCACCGAATTTCCAAAACATCTCTAGGCTAAATTGGAATGGTATAAGCAACACCGGTGGAGGGTTTTCTGCCATGAGCACGGACGAAGTGTCTCGAATGTTCATGCCTCAGCGCAAAACTGTGCAGCGGAGCAACTCGTCTTCATCCCTTTCATCCACCAGTTCTTCCGGGTCAACCGTCACACTGACGCAAAACGATATCAATGGCGAACAAGGGCATGGTGCGAAGAAAAAAGCAAGAGGAGGGTTCTGGCCTGTCTCCAAATCCGAGTCAACTGCCAGTGTGTCCAATGCCCGAGCGAATGGATCTCTACAGACCGCGATCGGCAATTCTCTGGTTGGAAAGAACGCCGTCCAACCTGCCTTACCTAGTCAGAGTCCTACGGGTCAAGCGAACGGAGCACGGGTTGTGCATGGACAATCTCCCGCCGAGCCTGCCGCAATATTGGCTCTGTTACCGATGAATGGCACTTTTGAACGAAAGCAGATTAATCTCCCTTTCTTTCCAGAAGTTCTGCGAATCGGACGCCAGACGAATGCAAAAACCGTGCCGACCCCGATGAACGGATATTTCGATTCGAAAGTACTATCACGACAACATGCCGAAGTTTGGGCCGATCGGACTGGAAAAGTTTGGATCCGAGACGTCAAGTCATCAAATGGTACATTTGTCAACGGACAACGTTTGTCTCCTGAAAACAGAGAGTCCGAGCCGCATGAACTTCGTCAGCATGATACGCTGGAATTGGGTATTGATATTGTGAGCGAAGATCAGAAAACCATTGTTCATCACAAAGTGTCGGCCAAGGTCGAGTATGTTGGAGTGCCGGGGAATACTAGTAATGTTCTGGACCTCAGTTTTGGTGATCTTGATCCGTCACATGGTGGCCCACTGCTTCCGTCGCCTATCAGTTCGCCTATGACACGCGGCCGACCTGGCGCGCCGCTTGCAAATGGGCGCATGTCGGCTTCTTCAAGCGTGGCGGGAAGTCAATTGAGCTCGGCAGCCCAACAACGGCAAATGAACTTTTGGGGAGCCCCGTTGAATGTCGAGCAACTTGTCAAGTCGATATCGGTGAGTTTGCATAAGCCAGAGAACATGATCTGATCTAACAATTTTAGCATGAGATGCGAGCAGCGAGACAGCAAGCAGACGAACTGGAACAGACAAACACATTTTTACACTCGCTGATCACATCCGACGGCGAGGCTCCCAAAGTACAGCAACCAGTAAAGGAACCGGCATCGCAGCGCCAGTCGAATGGACGCCCAAGAGGGCCCAAGATGGATCATGTTGCACGTTTTGCCGAGCCTCCGGCTCCTCCACCACAGCAACCCTTACCCGAGAAGCCAGACTCTGCTAAGGCAAGTCCGGTCACGACATCATTCACTAATCTGTTGAAACGGAATGATACAGCAAAACAGCCCAACAACGCATCTCATTCTCCTACCAACACCCACAACAGTCAGATGTTGTCTCTGATTGAAGCATTATCGATCGCGAAAAAGGAGCTTGACTCTCAAGGGGCTAAGGTCAAAGAGCTAGAAGATAGGTTAAAGCAAGAACGAATAGCGCGAGAAGAAGCGGAAGAACGAGCACGGAAACTGGAGCAACATGCCGCAGCACGACCAGTATCTGTGGTGGAAGAGCAATCGGAGCCTTCGGCTGATATCGAGCAGTCTGAGATCCAGACCGCCGAGACTACGACCAAGACCGACGTGGATGGTGATGCGGAAGAGAGAGCCATCGCGCTTCAACAGAACATCGATCAAATGCTGGGAGACATGCAAAGATTGAGATCGGATGTGGACCAATTCCGGCGCCGTGCTGAGACAGCTGAAGCAGATGCTGCCGGTGCAAGGAAGAGTCTAGCCGACATGATTGAGAAGCTCAGGCAGGAGAACCAGGAGACGGAGAGGTCGCCTAGAAAACCCAACAAGCGACACGCCACAAGTCAAGAAGACGAAGCCACCACAGATACTATGGAGGACGAACTCGACTCCAGTAACCAACCTCCAATCAAATGGCAATCCCACGCCAACGGACATGTTCGAGTGCCGAGATTACCTGAGCATTTGGAACGCGCCGTTACGACTATACTGCAAGAAAAGAATGGCAACGGCGATACTCTTGCACAGTCAGCGCCATATGTGTCCATGCTTGGAGTGGTGCTGATAGGAGTCGGGCTAATGGCGTACCTGAATTCCTGGCAGAAGGGGGAGAGATGACAACCGATGCCCGATACACGGACCATTTCCTTTCGTTGAACATAATTTTCTTTCCTTTTGTTTCGGCGGTGTCACGACATCAGCGTCCAGCTTGTCACTCGTTATTCACAAGCGTGGCATATCAGCACGGCGTTCAAGAACTGGTTGGTCACAGTGCTTTTTCCATGGAGCATAGCCAGCATTCTTAGGGGAAATTGCTGCACGGCGTATGTGGGAGTCAGACTAAAAGACATGGGTGACTGCGGAGTGTCTGGGTTGAATTGAGGCCGACAGAGCAAAGCAAGAGGCTTGATATTGATCGGTGGTCACGGCTTGTCTGGTCTGGCATGGGCGTTTGTATATACGTCGAGATGGATTGTTATTGAGATGAAGCAGGCACTGGCGGTATCTTTATCTAGGTACATTACCTATGGTCTGCCATGAAATCACGTTACGAGACGAATGAGAAAGGCTAGCTCACCATGCATGACATCCTGATATGGATGAGTAGCGAAGATACATCTAGATTATGAGCATGTCTTGAAGTCTTTGTCCAGGTTCCTTGAGGGATTATTTTTCCGTGTGCCGAGGATTCCGTTGGTGTTGGTCGAGATAATCGGAAAAATGGAGATTGTGATGATCGCGAACGTCACAATCTCCATCTTCACTTCCATCCGCCTCGTCCTCCATTGCTCCTTGTGCGATGACGCCAGGCTGTTGTAATAACTGCTGGGAACTTCCGAGTGCCTAAATAATCATGCGTGTTTGACAATTGTAGGCATTCAGACGGTGCATATGAAATGCTACTGACATAGAGCGACATGGACCCTTTCCCTTCCCTTGCTATGAGTGATAGAGGTCGGTAGGTGAATTCTTGTTGCTGCTGTTACAAAAGAGAATCAGTGGCGATGGAGTCTTTCCCGCTGCGTGTCTGTCTGCAGAGACAACTTCGAACGACCTCCTTGTCGACGAAATCCGTACACAGCTGCGGCGAGTCTCTGGCTTCTAGGCGCAGGCAGGATCGAGGGTATATGACCTACGCCATTGCCAGGACCCAACCAACAGCAAAACGAGCCGAACGCAGCAGTACCGGGACAGTGGGTTGGAAAAGCTTGCAGACCCGGCGGTATGCAACTCCTGCCCCGGCGGAAGTCCTCACCGGAGGTGACGGCATCGATGTGAAGGATGACAAGAGACAGAAAGTCGTCATCCTGGGAAGTGGTTGGGCTGGTTCGTGTCCATGACCACCGCTGCTTTGCCAACTGAGACTGACTGCTGTAGGATACGTCCTCTCCCGTCGCCTCGACCCAGCGAAATATCGAGTCCTCGTGGTTTCACCCCGGTCCTACTTTGTCTTCACTCCCCTCCTCAACGACTCCGCCGTCGGCACCCTCGAATCCCGCAACGTCCTAGAATCCGTCAGGAAAAGAGGCAGCCAGATAGAACATATCCAGGGCTGGGCGGACGATGTCGACTTCGCAGACAAGACTGTCACCGTCGAGCCGTCCGTGCTCGACCCGGACATTGGGCATGCACTCACGGGCCCGCGCGAGCCCAACGAACAACAGACGACTGTGGGCTTCTTCAAGGAAAGCGACATAAGACCCGGCGGGACTGGAGACAGCAAAGTGCCCACCTTCCCTGTCAGTTACGACAAATTGATCATTGCTGTGGGCACCTACAGTCAAACGTTTGGCACCAAGGGCGTCAAGGAGAACGCCATGTTCCTCAAAGACGTGGGCGATGCACGAGCCATACGAAGACGCATCCTCGAACTATTCGAACTTGCCCGTCTGCCTATTATCCCCGAAGAGACGAAGCGGTACCTCCTCCACTTCGCCATCGTTGGCGGCGGACCCACAGGCATGGAATTCGCAGCGTGTCTATCTGATCTGATACGGCAGGATCTGAGCAAAATCCACCCCCAACTGATGAAGTACATCCGGATTAGTCTGTACGATGTTGCGCCAAAGGTATTGCCCATGTTTGACGCCTCGCTTGCCGACTACGCTGTCAAACAGTACCAGCGGCAGAACATCGACATCAAAACGTCGCATCACGTCGAGGAACTAAGGAAGGGATTTCCGAATGACGAGGAGGCACGAGAAAACCAGGACAGACAGCCGAAAGGGAGGGTGTACACGATCCGCACGAAAGAGGAAGGGGACGTGGGCATTGGCATGTGCGTCTGGAGTACGGGAAACATGAACAACCCATTCGTTGCTAAGGCCCTGGATCATGTCAGAGAATTCCCCAAGGATTCTGCAACCATCATGGAAGGGGAAGTCAAGGATCCAATGGAGCGACGGTGGACGATCACACGAGACCCCAAGACGGGGGTGTTGTTGGTTGACGACCACTTCCGCGTGAATCTTGATACGCACGCCGTCAACGGCGAAGACCGTATTGCGGCGAAGGCGTATATGAAGGACGTCTTTGCCCTGGGCGATACGGCAAAACTCATATCCGGCGCACTGCCGGCCACCGCGCAGGTCGCGAACCAGGAGGCCCTGTGGCTAGGGAAGATGCTGAATCGGTACCTTGATGCCGACGACTTCGATAAAGCCAAGGGGTTCACCTTCCGCAATCTAGGTGTGCTGACTTATGTGGGTGGCGCAAAGGCCGTGTTGCAGGGTCCGAATACGGATCGCGAGGGCATGGCGAAGGGGCTGAAAGGCTGGATTGCGTTTCTCGTCTGGAGGGGTGCGTACTTGACCATGACGCTGAGTTGGAGAAATAAGTTCCTCGTGCCGATTCAGTGGTTGACGGTGCGGCTGTTTGGGAGGGATATTAGTAGGTTTTGATCAGGCCAGATCAGGTCAACATAGAGTTTTCCCAGGTCAGGGGTGGGAAGGTATGGGAGGGGCTCATGATCATGGTAGAGAGGACTTCTGTAGCGAGAAAGCCGGCGGGGGAGTCAGTCAATGAGACTGGCACACCGAGACAAGGCTTAGTCCCCCCTGAGGCTCGCAGCCCTTGAGGATCGGGGCCGAAATGCAGGCCCCATTTACCTTTACTGCACAGCCTTATATGAAGAGTCTGGAAGAACATGTCAAGGCATGCTTAGTTGAGATCACAGGAACTGACGTCCTGTCGTCCGAGAGAAGTTCTTTCTTAAACCGGTCGGCGGGCCCGTCCGCGTAATCATGCAGTGCCCAGGGATCTTGCTTACAGACAACACTTCCTCCAATGACTGCAGCTCGTCAGTGGCTCCGACCCTTGTGGCTCAGGGGGGTGGTACTCATATGTGGTGGTGTCCAACAGTTTGTCATCAACTTGATTTTCCTATTCTTGTTGATATTGATATTGATATCTGGGTACCTGTGTAAATATTTCTAGCGTGGACAATTAACTACCAGCTACTTGTTCAACTCTACTAGTAATCCGTCCGTCGACCGGCTTAGGTCAGCCCATATCAGTAGTATGTCTGTACAAACCTCTGACGAAGTATGTCACGCCCTCGCACACAATAACCTCCTCCGCGTCTTCTCCAATCGAGACGCCGTGTCTCGCTGGGCGGCGATCCAGGAAACGTACCATCCCAATGTCGTCTTCTACGAGCCCGACGATATGGTCACGGGCCATAAGGCTGTCGACGCCAAAGCTGCGGCATTGCCAGACCAAAGGGAGGGCTGGGAGTTTGTGCCCGTGGGGAACGTGAAGAGGAATCATGATATGGTTTACCTGGCTTGGGGGTTCGGCCCGCCGAAAATTTCCGGACAAGGACAAAAACATGGTGGAAGGAGTGGTGGAAGCAGCGTCGATGTCGATGTCAAGGCCACGGGGGCAGACGTGTTGATGGTCAGGGAGGGGAAGGTTGAGAAGTTCTGGGTCGTGTTGGACGGAGTGAGTGATGTGAAAGTGTAGGCTGGAGCTTGAGAGAAGGGACCGGCGAGAGGCTGGAAGAGGCAGGCTGTGGCGTGGATGCAGCAAGGCAAGACGAGGACCGTGATTGATTTCAAGTCCGCCTTTACGAACGTTGCGGAAGCGTTTGAGAAACTGAAGACAGGCAGAGCAGGGCAATATCGTCGTTGAAGTGTCATCGGAGCCGTTGAGCAGTGTCTGGCCGAAACAGTAGCGCAAGGTACCTACATTACCTCACCTGTGTTTGCAGCAGGCATTCCAGTCTTAGTACTGTGGATAGCCTGGTGATTGGAGAATTTCATACGAGATTGTTTGAGCGTGCGTTCATTTCGAGCTAAAATGGAAAGAGGGCCATCCCTCTCTGGCATTTGCATTTAGCTTGGGAGACACGTTTTCGGGTGTATAATAAGGGAATACCACTAGTCAATGTTCCTGGTGAGCAGTATCACATTTCAATGTAAGTACGGAGTAAGGTAACTTAAGTGTTCCATCACAGGCTGCTCTGCCATTCGCAACCAATCAGGATTCGCCGACACTTTTGCAAAAATCAATCACATTTTGGTCTGTTGGTTGATGAAAATTTCAAAATATTGCTTAATCTGGAAATATGGCTACCACTTAAGGCAGTTTTTGATCCCTGCACATACCACACCGTCGGGGAGATATGATTGGTGCGAATGTGAGAGCAGCCTTGTTGGCATCTAGCACTAGGTGTCTAGCACAGTAGCTTTCAAGTATAGAATCTCTGAGAGGCACAGGGTCTACTTCTGTTCGGTGGGATCGGTAGGCTTCAGCAGCCTCGCTTTGGTTCTGCATACCTTCAACGACATCCTCCAATGTCTGCAAGAGCTGGTTGTGTACATCAATCCAGGATGGCGGTACAACGCCTTTGGTGCTATTTTGTGGGCGACGAAATTATTGAGGAATACCAGATCTGACAGTCACAGTCAGGAGGAAACATGGATGGAGATCGAGAATAAGTTTGTTGGGCCTGAAGGGCCACTTCAAGGCTGGTCTATCTCGACATACGTCAGCGTGGCGGTTGGTGCAAGTCGACAATTTTGGGAGTTGTGCTCTTTCAGCAGTACCTTTCGCAAGCAGCATGCCGTGCAGACACCTCAAACCCTGGTCCTGACTCACTTTGAGGTCACTGAATCGCGGGACGACGTGCCTGATCCGGAAACTTGAAGTCATGCATAGGTTATTCGAGGCAGTCTCAGTGGGCCGGCATCAGCAATCGCTAGTAGCCAGCGGTTCACCTCATACCTTCTTGAGCTCGTTTGAGATAAGCAGAGCCGAAGTGCCTATGGAGGTACTGGAGAGGTCGACCTGGAGATCTTCACACTCATCTGGCCTTTCCAGTCTGAATGGCAGCTTCAGTGAGTTAGTGAAGTGATCAATATGTTTTCATTGATGCCTCACTTATTTCTCGAGCACTCGTGCAATATACCTAACCTACCAGTGAATCCCCTCATCTTGCAGTTACCGTGTTATTTGGACTATCTCTGGCTGCCTTCCTCAGACATAGAAGCCGTCAACACCGTCCAGTATTGGGCTGACTCTTCAGGACACCACAGGATCTCAACCCTCATTGCTTGCGGTCTCTCTTCATTCGTCCCAACATGCCAATCACAACTCGTGCTATGGCGAGACGCCAGCAACCCCGGTCAGACGATGTCCAATTCAAGTGCTTCCTCGACCTGCCGCTCGAGATCAGAACCGAAATCTATTCCTACTTTCAAGCTTGCCCCGAAACACGACACAGTCTGATGGCTGTCTCCCACCAGATCAGCGAAGAATGTACACCGCTTTTCTTCCGTCAGCTGCGGTTCACCATTCACGCCCTGTATCCGAGCGCGTTGCAAGCGGGATTCTCCAAAAGTGCCATCCGGTTCTCACCTAGATGCACTCCACGCGGTTTCGACCAGTTTTACCTCCGCAAAATGTCCGACTTTAGACTGCGCAACATCCACAGCTTAGGTTACAACGTCGCTCGCCCAACAGAAGGGAGAGCGCGAGTTTCGACAGCAGACTTGTTGGGGATGAAGGAGCTCTGTGGAGTACTGCTCTCACATATCGGCAGCCTCGAGTGCTTGGAAGAGCTGGTGATCTACATGAAGCCAAGATGGGCAATCACTCAGAAAGAAGTAAAAATTGACAAAGAGGAGATGTGGTACGTTGTCGACAGAGACGGTACATGGGATGAGATCGAGCAAAAGCTGGTGCGTAGGGGTGGCCCGCTCCAGGGCTGGGAGGTATCAAGACGCATTGAGCTGAGTGACGTGCCTCAACGTGATCCAAGTGTAGGTCATCTTCTCAGATACGTCTCCAGCACGTTCAGGAAGACCAACGACAATCACACCACTGGAGAGAGCTTGCCTGTCCCAACCATCGTGGTACAAATCGTCAGCTGAGAAGCGTAACTGGCACCGCAGAGCGGGAACATTTTCTTGCAGCCAAGCCGAGCATGATCAGCCTGGAGAATGCGATCCGGTCAAGAGACAGTACTGTCCTCCTCACATCAGTCGCAACGTTAGGTCAACCGCAGATAGCCAGCTTCGGTCTCGTGAAGACCGCCATCATCCATTTTCACAACTGCTAAGACGACTTCGGGCACAACTATGCCACAACATTTCCGAGATCCTGCTCCATTATGCTCGTATCTGTGACACAGATGGTCAGCTTGGTGGTGTACTGAAAAGAAAAAGGGTGGTCATGTTATGGGAGCTTCATATGTTTGAGTCTCTGGAGCGACAACTTACACGTCCAAATCCATCGAGTCATCAGTATGCGGAAGAATGCTGCAGGGACTGAAGAAGGATGGACTTTCTCGAAATCGCAGCAGAGACTTGGTCTCCCGCATCATCAAAGATGCTGTCCAATCGCTTGCTCAAATCGCGCAGACTCTCGCCGGTCTTTTCGTTCGCGAGCGTTGGGAAGTTGGAACCACCTTGGACATACGGCCACCAGGACAGAATCAGAGATGTGACGTAAAAAGAAATAAAGGATATTGGATAGAAGCCATAACCCACCGTCTCTTTGTTGGCCAGCCGGCTTGGGCTGAATGCGCTCGCCAGAGGCTGTCATCAGATGGCAGGAGGAGCTGAGGTTCTCTCTCATGCGCCACGGGGGCGCGTCGTCATGAGCGTATTGATGTGGATCCATCGACTCGAATCCGAGTTTGGGGATTCGAACTGGAACATAGATGACGATGGATGCAATTGCTAGAGCTTTTGACAAAGGAATGAAACCGTAATCCGAAGTCTGACAACCAGTATATATAATATGATCTTCAACATCTAGTGATATGCCTCCTACGTGGGTCATACTCGTCAAGCGTGAGGGATAAAGTATGTCCAGTCTACATTGACAAACGCCGTTCCTGGAATCCCTCTCAGTTCTGCGAAAGCCTCCCCTATGAGGTAGAACCTAGCAAGCCCGTACGTGAGTGCCAGCGGCGTGATCGTTGCGAATTCCCATGGCAGGGGTAATTGCGTTGACTCTCTCCGTGCAGTCGGCGTCCTTCGCGCCATTTTCCTCCAGTGCCCGTGTAGTGCTTTGCGGTTGAAAAGGTAGAGGTATATGGTCTTCCACCGGCCCAGCCGTCTTCAAGAGGCTATTGTTTCGAAGACTCAGAAGGCGAATGCTAGGCCGAAGAGAATGCACATTGGAAACAAGGGATACATTCAGGAGTTCAGCCTGGTCGGAACACTCATACCTTCAATACCAAATGGAATGCAAGTAGCATGAGCAGCCTATCTTCACGACAATGTCCTTTTGCAGATTCGATCTCGTTGCTTTTGCTTTTGCGGTGAACCTAAGGAATTTCTTTTGGCCCGATGAAGACGCTAAGATGCTGTCCGTCTCAGCCTTGTTGAAACCCCTCATCACCACCCTCGCAGCAAGCGTCAGTCTCTACCTTACCTTCCTCGGTCTCCTCACCATCCGCTCGCTACAAGACCATTCAACATATCTTCATCGAGTGACGTTGACGTGGTTTCAAGATGTCAATGTGCCTGAACAATGGGGCTTCTTGCGCAACCAAGTCACGCCCTTTCACCTCACTACGCCGGACGGTGAAACCCTCCATTCGTGGCACATTCTGCCTCTCGAGACATATCGCAGTAACCAGAAGGCATTGAGAGCTGAGCGTACGGGATTCTGTCAAGATATCAAAGAGAGACTAGCTTTTAAGCTGCTCAGGGACAATTCCAGCGCGCAGCTGGTGATATATCTACATGGAGCGGCAGGGACACTTGGATCTGGCTGGCGGCCACAGAGCTACCGTGCAATCTCTGCTGCCGCGCAGAATGTGCATATTATCGCCATAGATTATCGAGGGTTTGGCAGCAGCACCGGCTGGCCTTCTGAAGCAGGCCTACTAACGGACGCTCTCACCCTCGCCAACTTCGCAATGAAAACGGCAGGCATTCCACCGGAACGCATTGTTATTTTTGGCCAATCTCTGGGTACAGCCGTAAGCATAGCACTTACGCACCACCTTGCTCTACAGGATCCCCCCGTTCTCTTCTCCGGCATGGTGCTGGTGGCACCCTTTGCCAATGTCGAGCTGTTGACGCAAACATACAGTGTGGCTGGGACGATTCCACTACTGTCACCTGTGGCTAAGATCCCCCATGCACTTGCCTTTCTCAACAAATTCATTGTAAGCAAGTGGCCATCGAAAGACAAGCTTGCAGCCCTGATTCGGCACTGCGAGACTCTCAAACTTGGCCATAGACATAACAAGTACGACGTCACGCTTATCCATGCCGAGGACGATTATGACATCCCGTGGGTGCATTCGGAGATTATGTTTTGGCACGCAGTGAACGCCACTCGAGAACCGAACAACAGTCTGAGTTTCGACGGACTAGAGGAAATAAAGGCCAAGGAAAAGTTGGAGCTCGGGGCCGGAGGATGGGAGGTGGATTGGCGTGGCAAAGGCGGAGTAGTCAGAGAACAGATCGTGAAGCATGGACTACATGATCGAATCATGAGTTATCCAATCGTCAGTCTGGCAGTTGCGAAGGCATTTCACAGCCAGGACACCAAGTAGTCCAAGGCTAAGATTGAGGTCTCGGGTGTCTTTCACAGCATATAGAACTATCGATTTGGAGCTGTGAAGGCCGCTCGTGCAGAACTGTCGACACGCGTTCCTAACCTCGTGCGCGTGTAGAGTACACAGTACTGGTATTCGGTATCCTCCCTGCCAAGTAATAATAAAAGATTCGGCATCTGAGCGAGTCCACGCAATCCCATCATCGGGGTAGACTCGGTGTATGACACACCTACCATAGAACGACGGTTGAGCTACAATTGACCTTCCACAGCTGGAATAGCGCAGGGTTGGAGGACAGTATGCATGTGTCAAGGATATCTCTTCCGCGGCGATGCAAAGGTAGGGTGGGCAGGGTTCTTATCAGACAGATCATCAAGAGCGGGGTAACTCGTCGATTGATATATGACTGGAGCTGTCCTCAAAATATTGCGGAAGGGTCTCGGATAGCGCTGAAGAGTATTATCTTCAAACCGTGTGTGATAGGTAATCTCGTGCAAAAGGTTTGGAGTTGAACAAAAGCATCACCATCATGGGCTGGGAAGAGATCGCTGCCGATAAGAAGAAACGCATCGACGAGTCCATTCCTAAAGAATGGCGCGTGGAGGTCAAGGATCATAATGGCTCTTTTATGGACCTGCCGGCCAGCAGCGGCCTGCTAACGTCAAATGAGCTCGAAATCACCAATTCGTCTGCCGTCGATCTGGTTGCAAAACTGGCGAGCGGACAGTTGAAGTCAGTCGATGTGACGTTGGCGTTCTGCAAACGTGCCGCTTTGGCACACCAAGCGGTTGGTCATTCACACCGAGATCAATGTGCTCAGCAAGGGCTAACAAGAGATCAAGCTGAATCTCGCGCTGGAGTTCTTCCCAGACATGGCGCTGGCCCAAGCCAAGGAGCTGGACAAGTATTATGAAGAACACAAGAAACCTGTTGGACCACTACATGGTCTGCCAATCTCGTTGAAGGACCAGCTCAGAGTCAAAGGGCTCGAGACTTCGATGGGTTATGTCGCTTGGCTCGGAAAGTACGACGAAGAGGACTCGGTGCTGACAGCCTTGCTTCGTAAAGCCGGCGCCGTCTTTTATATCAAGACGAGCGTGCCGCAAAGTCTGATGGTTTGTGAAACAGTGAACAACATCATTGGGCGGACTCTCAATCCTCGAAACAAGAACTGGTCGTGTGGTGGCAGTTCCGGAGGTGAAGGCGCCAATATTGGATTCCGAGGCGGCATCATCGGAGTGGGCACAGACATTGGTGAGAATGGTGTTTCTAGAGAGAATATGTGGTCATTGACGTGGTGTCAGGTGGTTCCATTCGAGTTCCGTCGGCATTCAACTTTCTCTACGGTATCCGTCCTAGTCATGGACGCATGCCGTACGCAAAAATGGCCAATAGCATGGAAGGACAGGAGACTGTTCACAGCGTCGTTGGACCTTTGGCTCATTCGGTCCCAGGTCATTCCTCCGCAATGGTTCACATTCGGTGATGCTAACATTAGATGCAGACTTGAAATTGTTCTTGACCTCTGTGCTTCAGGAAGAGCCTTGGAAGTACGATTCAAAGGTTATTCCCATGCCATGGAGGCAGGGGGAAGAAGATGCTATCAGCTCCAAAATTCAAAGTGGAGGCTTGACCTTGGGCTTCTACAATTGTGACGGAAACGTGAGTTAGGAGCGTACGGTCAGCAAAAACATACTGACCTTCGAACAGGTTCTCCCACATCCACCGATACTTCGGGGAGTGGACATGGTCGTCTCCGCGCTGAAAGACAAAGGCCACACCGTCGTGCCATGGAAGCCCTACAAACACGATTATGGGGTAGACTTGATCAACAAGATCTACGCGGCAGATGGTGGTTCTGTAAGTCAAACGATGGTTCGGGCGCATCCACGGCTCACTGTTGGCAGGACATCTTCTCAGACCTCAAGGAATCGGGAGAACCAGCCATTCCCAATTTCAAGGACTTGATCAGTCCATCGCTGCCGAAGATGGACATGAATGAGATCTGGGACGTGCAGCGCCAGAAGTGGGCATATCAAGGCGAGTATCTCGAGCAATGGCGAGCACGAGAGGCCGAGCTCGGCAAAGAGATTGACGCCTTTATTGCCCCGATCACTCCAACAGCAGCCATTCGCCACAATCAGTTCAAATATTATGGCTATGCTAGCGCCATAAACCTACTGGACTGGACTAGTGTGGTCGTGCCAGTGACCTTTGCGGACAAGGACAAGGACAAGAAGCAGACAGACTTCAAGCCATTGTCAGAGATCGACGGAATTGTGCAGGCAGAATGTAAGTTCACACACTCTTGACGTGGAATACTGGTCACGGATTCACTGACAATGGTTCCCAGATGATCCAGAGGCTTACCATGGAGCTCCGGTCGCCGTGCAGATTGTAGGGAGAAGGCTTAGCGAGGAGAGAACCTTGGCCATTGCACAGGAGATTGGGAAGTTGTTGGGTAACGAGACCACTCCTTAGGACACACAAGGTATGGATGTTGATATATGAGAGCGTGAGAGTCAAAGCCGGAGCCTACTCTCTGGGTCACTGTCACAGTTATATCTTTGATCCGGCTAAGTTGCTTCAACGACGTAGGCTAGTGAGGCCAGTTAGGTAGTTAGTGAGCCAAGGCCGGGCCCAGTTGTATCCGAGTCGCCAATCGCGAAAGGATTGATGGGGACCAAAGCCGGCCTCTTGCGAGCCAGAGTCTCCGGATCAAGAAGTCACAATTCACTCAACCCACGTTTCTGCTTCCTGCATCCCAGTCGTCATCCTGCAGCACTTCCAAGATCGGCATCGCGTACGAGACTGCTGCCTCCCATCCTCTGGCCGTTCCAGAAGAACAGGGCAATCATCCTTGGACCTTCCAAATTTCCGTCGTCCTGCGGCCGCCAGCTATTTCCCGGACGCGTCACTACCCAGTCGACGACGATGTTACGACAGAGACCATAGCCATTCCGCCCGCGGCTGACGGTGCATACCCTTCCTTCCCTACTCATCCGTCGCCATGAGCTCCCTTCTCCATCCTTTCCACAGCGCGAGCCAGAAGTGCCGCCCAAAGCATCAAGTGCTTGTCCTCAAATGTTACCCTCAATACCAAAAGACTGTGCAAGAAGTCAAGCCCAACTCTTCTGAATTGAGCTACCTTCTCTACTATGCAAGCACACGGCGAAGTAAGCTCCAGAAAGTTGGCGCGTTCCTCGAGAAGAAGAATGCGCATGATGTTTGGAAAGGAAGACTCGGGTAAGCAGCAAGAATATCATTGCTGAGCTCCCGCTGAAAGTACCCAGCAATGTCCAAGTCACTCTACAAATTCTCGCTGCGATCATCGAGAAAGCTCCTCGCGACCTATCCCTCTATTCGCGATCCGTCCTGACCATCCTCGGGACTGTACTGCGATCCAAAGACATCAACATGGTAGAAGAGACGGTGCCAACATTCGAAGCATACTGTAAGCATGTGGATGCCGCATCTATGACTGCCGATCAACAACGTGCCCAACAATACTTATCCATTGTGCAACTGTACGCCGGGTATGCGGAAAAGCAAAATCAGACCCATCGAAGGAATGGCGACCCCATACCGCTGTCGCTACGATGGCGGACGCTTGGTTTACGAGCTATCCGGGCTGTGGTGGCTTCGGAAGCTCTAGCCACGGACTCCAGCCAACAGTTGAACCTGGTTATGCCTGTAATACTGGAGAACATGTCGCTCGAGGACGAAGACATATTATCTCACCTGCAAGAGCGAGCTAAATCAAGTGAGAGGTTTGAGGACGAAATTGCAAAGAGGAGGAGATTCAGCTTATCGACCGTTACTACCGTGGACACAACTGATGGCGATCCGGCCACAGCTGTTGAAACGACCGCAGGAGCAGACAGAGTCGCTGAAGAGGAGGTCAGAGCATTGGCGTTACGATGCCTGAAGCAGATCTTTTCCGTCGGCATCGGCAGTAGTAGAGGACAAACCAGATTGGCAACAGCGCTAACACTGAAATTCATTGCATCCAAGAACCCCCCGCGAACGACAGAGACTGCGCGCCAAGGCACCTGGGCTACGTCCCTCTTCGAAGCTATTGCCCGCTGGACACCAGTGCAAGATCGATTCATCATTCTGGTAACGGCCATGGAAACACTGGTTCGAACGCCTATTGTGGAAGGCGTGCTCGAGAAGCAATTGGTTCTCGCCACTATGATTGACTGGCTGCTCAGCTCATCAGTGAATCTCATCGGACTAAGCGTCATGGATATACTACTTGGTTTTATTCAGCACATGTTACTTCTACTGCAGCTCGGTGGACCAAATCCGCGCATCATAGCCCCTCAGCAGAACGATACGCTTGGGATATTCCGAGAAGCGAAAGAGGCCTTCGACCCGGGCACCGTTCTAGCGGGCTCCGAGCTTGATCGGACACCCTCCAAGATTTCGCTGGCGGCATCCCCTACGCGAAAGGAGCTATTGACGAGACTACAGAATTGCATCGCCTCTCTATCCAATCACATTTATTACACCGATCAGATCAGTGACATGATAACAGCAATTCTGGCGCGGTTGAAACCATCTCCACAATCAGATGTTCCGACGGCTGCGGCTGCAATTGATGATCCGGTAGCCGCAACAAGAGCCATTGCGGAGTCTGCGAGCATTCAAGAAGACCCTAACACGTCGCCGTTCTTTTCCTTCGCCACAGCGAGAGTAACAGCTGCCCAGGTCATCAAAGACATTCTGGTCCGGGCCAACAGCAAAAGAAGCGCCATGGGGGGTCCGATAGAAGCACGCGCCCGCGTTGGCGTCCAGGTCTGGGAAGGCACGCAATGGCTTCTCAAAGATGAAGAGCGAGAAGTGCGCTTTGCCTACGTCGATGCTTTACTGACTTGGTTGAAGCTGGAAACCAACAAATCCGACACACTTCTGCCCAAACATGGTCCACGAAAGCAACCCTCGAACAAGAAGCAGGGCACAGGCGAAACCAATCTCGCGAAGCGAGCTGTTTCTGGTGCTTCGCGAAAAGAACCAAAGTCGACGCGATCGAGCTTCCTGTCATTACTGCACCTGGCAATATATGACAGCATCCTCGATGATGCGGAGAATGAACCGAATGTTCTTTTGCTCCACCTTCTATTAACAAAGCTCGTTGACCGCTTGGGGGTGAATGCTGTTCGAAGTGGATTGCCCATGGTGCTGCGACTCCAAGAAACCGCTCTCAATGGCGAGATTGTTTCTACTCTCGGAAGAGTCAATGTTGCCAGTGTTGTTCAGGGCTATCTATGGGCGATTGCTCAGAAGTTCGATTTTGAGACAAGCACCGTTGGCCACGAGATCAATGCTGAGATTTCTCGGAGAAAACGATTTGGCATCTGGTGTGACAGAGTCAAGATCCCTACGCTCGATATTGACGATATACGAAGAATACTCACTGTGAGCGAGAAACAGCCTCAGTACCCTGACGAAGCCGTGGACACGCTGAGGCCATTCTTGTCTGTGTCGGACTTGGTGAATGAGATCGCAAAGTCGTATGACAGTTCACTGCTCACTCCTCCAAGCTCTGCACCTTCATCGCCAGGCCGAGTCTTTTCTGTGCCTACACTTGGCTTCGGCTATGGGTATGGAGCTGCTCCTGTCCCGAAACCATCTCGGGAAGATCAGTTTCCTGAGAAGGTCAAGGAAGAAATGACTGCTGGTTGGAGTAGGGAGGCATGTATTGCAGCTGTAGAAAAGGAAAGCGCCGCTTCAATGACCGGATCGCGAACGGGTGCCTCTTCTGTCCCCAAGAATCACCTCAACATCAATGGAGTACGCAATCACGGCTCTACAAGTGGTCAAGAATCGCCAATCAATGTTAACGGCAGTACAACTCCCACATACGGTCTGACGAGCGGTCTGGGAAGCTTGACTCAAGCGAGAAGACCGAGCGTCAATGGTTCACCTGCACGAATTCCTACCACATCCAGCAGAGACTCGACCATGAGAGTGACTGATTTGAAAAGAGCCCTTTCTGGATATGCTGCCGGAGGAAGGCGACAGAGCCCGTTGAGAAAACCAATAGCTATGTCCAGGAGAAGTACGCGCAGTAGCCTGACCAGCAGCATGGTCAGCTGGGATGAGGCTGACGACCGAAATCCTTCCTTTCTTGATGTAAGAGCATCTGGCGCTCCGGGTGGCTCGGTTAGCCATGTCGATGACGGTTTCCGACCTCCGACTTCTTCGTCCAACAAGCCTGCTCGAGATGTCAGTGGGACTATCCACGACGAAGTTACAGTTCCTCCAATCACCGCCAATCCTCAGAACGACACAGATATTCCCCCTGTGCCGAAGATACCCTCGACGCTTAATCTTCCTGGGACCTGGCCACGGGACATATCTCCTGCTCGAACCGAAGAGCCCGCACTAGAGCAGACGTCGTCATTGTCTCAGGGACCTGGGAATAGTCCTCAGTCCAAGCGCGTCACCAGTGGTACATACTCGATAGCGTCTGCGACAGGAAAGCAGAGCGCCCGAAAGAGCTCGCGGCCAACAAGTCGAAGAGGAGCCAGCCCCATCATGGGCTCTACCAATGGCAAATTCGACTTGAACTCGTTGTTGGCCGAGATCCCATCTGCCAATGAAGACGTCAAACAGGAGAAAGAGATCCGAACCAGTCGCCAGATTAGACCTCCTTACTAATTGCTTGGTCAAGCGCGGAAACATTGGGGGTCGGCGTAAATTCTTCGTATTGAATGATGATTGTAAATTATGGGACAGAGAGTCAAGCGTAAGAAAACATGGCTTTCTGCTGTTGATATTGTATTATTTTTGAGCGACGTAGCGCCTCAATGAGCGGTTTGATTTTCAACCCTACGCTTGAGAATTTTGACTGGACTGTGAGATAGAGCACGGAGACAGTTGTAGATAAAAGCAACGACTATATCCCTGTGCAAGATGGACTTGATAGTGATGATGACATGGACCCTGATAGAATCATTCACCTCACGTGAATATATTTTGAGGTGGTGGGTATCCATCCCAATCCTGGAATCCATCCGTTCCTAGACGACCACTCTTCGCGTACTCACAGCCGCAACATGGCGGAGTCTAGTGAGGTAGAAGTAGTGCTCGATCCGGTGAAGGCGTCGACGCTGCTTGACTTGGAGCGCGGGCGAATATCCCAAGGCCTATCGGCGGAAGCGACAAGAACAGGAATCTGGATCCAAGGTCTCGACACGCGTTTTCGCGATGTTTGGCAAGGTGGAAGGGTGATTGGGATTGGTACGGCTGAAGCTACAGAAGACGGACTGGATCAGGAAAGGGTGAGTGCTGCGTACATCTCATTCCATCAACTGAGACATTCCGCTCGACGGCAGGCTGATGATACGCGATGTAGAGCTTGCTGTCTTTACATCTCATCTCAGCAGTGCTGTTGAGCAGTCACAATCGGTTGCAATTGCCCAAGACGCCGAACACGCCTGTGGAGACATCATCCCCAGATGCATCAGTGGGGCCAACTATCTACGTGATTGCGCATTACACAAGCCAGACAATACCTCTGCTTCATGGGCATCTTGCAAAGACTCTCGCCGACTCGCAGGCGGCAAGTAAGTTGCTGAAGCATGTTCAATCATTGCAATACTTCACTCTTATCGGACTTGGCCAGAGCGTGTCGGAAGTCAGCGACCAGGTATATCAACGGACTCAGCAGACCAGAGAGCTTCAGGAAGAAGACAAGAGCGAAAACAATGGAGACCAGATCATGGATGTTGTGTGGATTCGAGGGCTCGAAGAAAGAATGACAGCGACCTACAGGAGAAGCGGTCTTGTCCACGCCAACGCAGTCCTAGCACACGTCACGCGGAGAATTGTGCAATTGTCTAGGATGTCGGCTGATGTACTTGTCCTGGTGGATGTTCCAGTTGTGTTTGACAGCGTTAAGGAGGATAACGTGAGTCTAGAGGCCTCTAGAAGCTTCGCTAGGGCCATGAAGCTTGAGTCTGCTTTCGCTGGGCCTAACGGTGAACACCTGAGGCTGATATGCGGAAACGAGTTGCTATCTCGAACATTCGAAGCGGCGCTCGACTGCCTTATTGCAGTGCATGATGGACTCGGCAGGGTGAAGGACAGGACAAAGCAACCCGGAAAAGGGGTGCAATTGGTCGAGGTCCTGAAGGACAGGCTGGGAGACACGACTGGATTATGGGCTGTTTGGACCACCAATGACCAGGAGTGACCATTTCGAGGGTGTCTCAGACACAGGCTGGTCGTCAAGAAGCAGCTTCCTGCATGGACATCCAGGAAGTTTGGCTGTACCTTCCTCAGTGGCCAAGGGCCGTGTTTCCCATCTCACTAACATGTCGAACTCCTACACATCATCACATTGCACGACTTGCAGCTTTACGAGCCATGATTATTACAGCATCGCTCGGCATCGGCATGGACTTACTACTAATACAACTTGTTATCTGTTTCCTCACACTCCTCACCCATGCAGTGTTAGACGAGCAGCAGGTCGACCTCAGTTATGAGTATTTCAAGCTTGCTGGTCGCTCTGGGGTGCCAGCCATGCATGCAGCAGTATTACCGCCTGATGGCAAAGTGATTTTCCTCGACAAGGTAGAGGACTATTCCGAACTCCAGCTGCCGAACCACCGCTATGCATACTCTTCCCTATACGATCCGAACACTCACGAATTGACTCCTCTATCAGTCACGACAAATCCTTTCTGCTGTGGAGGCACCTTCTTACCTGACGGAAGACTAGTTACACTGGGAGGCAATGGACCGCTACTTTGGCTCGATCCAACTGTTGACGATGGCTTTGATGCAATCCGGTATATCGAATGTCATGGCGGAGAGTATGAATGGGAAGAGCCCGGACACAAATTGGCTTCCAAGAGGTGGTATGCCTCGGCCCAGACGATGGCAGATGGAAGGATATTTGTTGCGGCGGGAAGCCTGAATGGTTTGAGTCCGACAAATATCAGCAACAATAATCCGACGTACGAGATGCTTGATGTCAGTGGCCTCAGCCAGGGCGACAACATCCCGATGGAGATTCTTGTCCGGAACCAGCCGTACTAGATGTACCCTTTCCTTCATCTGTTGCCTGATGGTTCATTGTTTATTTTTGCGGACCGATCATCAGAGGTTTTCAATGTCACAGGAAACACCACAGTGAAGGCCATGCCCGAGATGCCCGGAATGCACAGGACATATCCCAATACTGGAGGCAGTGTCATGCTCCCTCTGCACAAGCGCAACAACTATGAGCCTGAAATCATGATCTGCGGCGGGGGCCAAACGCAAGCCATTGACAGTCCATGCGATGCGACGTGTGGAAGAGTGAAACCGATCAGCGCGGATCCGGAATGGCAAATGACTTCGATGCCCGAGCCTCGTGGAATGGTTGAAGGGGTACTGCTTCTCGACGGCACCGTGCTCTGGCTTAATGGTTGTCAAAGAGGAGCACAGGGGTTCGGTTTGGCAACTGAACCAGCTCTGGAGGCATTGATCTACAATCCCGCTGACCTTCGATGGTCGATATCAGGAAGGTCGAAGATAGCAAGACTGTACCATTCAGTAGCGCTGCTCCTGTTGGACGGCACAGTTCTCATTGCCGGCAGCAATCCCAACGAGATGCCGGTTACGATGGACCATGTCGATATCCAGAATCCGTACAAAGCATTTCCTACCGACTTCAGAGTGGAAATATACACACCGCCGTACCTAAGAGGAGACAAATCTCTCCAGCGACCTACCAACGTCAAGCTGTCAAACCAGACATTGGGAATCAATTCCAGATTCACTGTGGAATTCAGCGTCACGAATGTCTTGGAGACCCTGGATATCATCCTATATACGAACGGCTTCGTGACGCACTCTGTCCACATGGGACAAGTTCTGGTGTATCTGGAGAACAATGGCTGGGAGACTTTGGGTAATGGTCGGAAGCGTAGTCAGGTTTGTTTGCCAGGGGATATCAAGATTGCACCAGGACCGTACGTGGTGTATGTAGTTGCAAATGGGGTGCCTGGTGTCGGACGGTTTGTGACACTGCGGTTGTGAGGATGGAGGCTTTGACAGTATTGGCATTGTCCAGATCACTTTCGTTGACATGCATTAGAAGCTCGTTGGAAAGAATGGAAAGCTATGAGTAGTCCGAGTGTCCGAGAAGGGAACGGCGTGAACGGGTAGCAAACAAACGCCATGACACTTAATGTTTCCCCGGATATCAAGTACGGTGGAGTACACATTCTGATCCGTAACTGCACAAAGCGCATCCTCCAGACTTGTCTTGCAAACTCCTCTTCTAATTCTCTCCAAACTCGCAGTCATACTCTAGGACGATTCGCATGGCATGGCAGGAGAAGCAGCAGACTTACCACCGCAATCGCAATCCCTGAGGTCCAATGTGAACGTGAACCAGGACCATCTTCAAACCCCCACCACGCAAGCCGCTGCGTCTTCAAACGCACCCACCACACGCAGCAGCGAAGATGTTGACGTCGACGTCGTGATGTCGACCACTACTTCCACGAGGGCTGCCGTTGTTGCCGGTCCCGTTCCCCTCGACTCTCCCCTGCGCACGACGCCCATACACTCCATTGTCTCCGCGGTCAAGATGCCCGAGAATTGCGCAGCGAACACGAATCCGATCACACTACAACCGTTCACGGAGGCCGAGTTGGCGAGATATGGATATGAGGAGTTACGTGCGGAGATTGTTTCCGGCAGTGGCGGTGGCGGCGCTGGTGGAGGGCGGGGACACGGACACGGACACGGACACGAACAGGGGCAGCAAGATGGAGAGACAGAGACAGAGACAGGGGGAGACCGTGGAAGTGGAAGTACAAGCACCAGTTCAAGTGCCAAAGACAAAGACAAAGAGAAAGAGCACTTGGCACGACTCCGAGACGCGACGGCGACGTTGTTGAAACGAAAACTCGACGAGCGCGAGAGGAAGGTGCGCGAGATTGATAGGGAGATGGAAGAAAAAGAAAAAATCCGCGAGGTCGAGAGGAAGGTGTTTCGGAAGAAGTTGGATGTGAAGAAGGATGGCTGATGGGTTGATGGTTGACGGCTCGTGTGTTGCGATCCCGTTCACACACCATCACATCACAAGATGCCTGAAGTAAGACAGTATGGGTCCACGAAGCAATTTATCAGAGCACTCACACCATCAGATGGCTCATCATGCCTAAGACATGATCGGCTCAAAACACCTAAACTCAATGATGACTCATTCAAGACCTGGTTGAGTGGCCGCGCAGGTCAACGCAGGTCAGCGCTGGAGGATGTCGATTTTCGATTTTCAATCCAGCAACGCACAACCATGTTGGTGTGTCCTGGTCGAAACCATCCTACCAGCAAGGGGGGAAATGCTGAGTGTCTCTGCTGGACAGCCACCCTTCACCTCGAGGATCGTCAGTGAGACCTGGTTGCGCTCCTATGACTGGAGACACATATTTCGCAGTAGCGGCTAGGCATGGATGGCCACCGTCAGCCTGGACCAGGATACTACTCAGTACGATCAGAACAGGCGTCACAAAAGATTGCGAAAGGACTTGAACAGGAAAGGATTGTGGTATGGCATATCTCGCCATCATCATTATTACTATCGTGGCTGATCCGTCGCGAAGAAAATCGGCTTTCGTTTGCTGAGCCTGAATGAAAAGAAAAGACAAGATACCAGATTCCAGAGGATTGTCAACTCCCAAAACCCCCAGCTTTCCAAGTCAAATACCAGAACGCCAACCTCTCGCTATATAGGGTATCAAAGTCTATGGCGCTGCCCGTCCCCGCAGTCTCCATCTGAACTACACCTTTCCTAAGGGCTCCATGTGTTCTGTGGCAAGGGTCAGTATCTGTGGCGTCCACATATCGGCGGCGGACTTACCTCTCAATCTTGTGAACGACGCCTTTCCAGGAACCAAACCCATGCCCATGACAATTTCAAAGGAAACCCACCCAGAGGACAAGCCCTTTCAACCGCATAGCGTCAGTTTCAGATTGGCATGCTCCGGACAATCATGCTGCTGGCCCCAGTCGTTCCAGACGTTGTACGCGTTCTTGCAGAACTCCTGACCCGGCTCACAGAAAATCGCTATACAATTGCCCTCGGCGACATCTGGCACAAGCGACATGCCCTCGTCCGCAAAAGGGTGAAGAACACCGACCTGACCAACGTATTCCCCGTAACCATCCGCGTCGCCAACGATCTGCTTTCCGGCGTCTGTTTTCTTCAACCAATCGACCTCGCCGGCGTCGATCATGCTGAGATCCCACCATGTGCGCTGCACGTTTGGGACCCACGCCCATTCGAACTGGACGGGACTCTGATTCTCGATGTCCGTGCGCCAGATCTTCCAGCTGATACCCATTTCCGGGTCATGGACGAATGGATGGGTTTCCGTTGCGCCGGGAGCGAGGGTACTCAAAATTTCTTCCGGTGCTTCGTCGGAGCCTTCACGTGGAGGATGCACGATGTTGCTCATCACGGCGAAGGGGCAGGCGTTGACCACGATGGCTTGACCGAGACCGTCTTGGCTTGGGACTTGGCCGGTGCCAGTAGGGCTGGCGCCGGCAGGACTGCTTTGGCTAGGTTGCCAACGCTCCATGGTGGTGTGGTTCTCGGCCCCAGTACGAACGTACTTGGTGTCCTCCAAGCTCGCAACAGCCGTTGTCGACGGGGTTGACACCATTCTGCTTGGCAAGACCTTTAAGGACTCCAAGTTCGGGACCGATGTTGTGGTTGGGGCGACTGCCGTAGCGACCGTGTCGTTCTTCTTGTCCAAGCAGCCGTTAAACCGGTTCCTGCAATTATCTCTGTCTTCGGTAGACAAACAATGGTGCAAAAGAGGGAAACAATGATCAAGCCGAGGGTGATGACCAGTGAAAGAGCCAGTGAAAGCGCCAGCAGAATCAGCCGTCTTGAACGGCGCCGGTGGACCATACTCCGATTTCCACTGCTCTGGTGCCGGGAGCGCGACACCTTAACATCGTTAACATCACGGCTCAGATCCTGTCAGAAAGGAGAGACATACCAAGCGAGAAGAGCAGGCTCATGATAAGAGCCATGAGTACGCCCCATCGAAGGGGAAAGGTGGCGGTCATTTTGACTGGAGGACCGTCAGACTTTATGGTAGCGTATGGTTGCTATCGATGATGCTGACCTTGTTTCTAAAAGATATGATATAGGATGATAACGTCCTAGAGGACGACGAGGACAAGACAAGAGACTACGGCTCGGCTTGCTTAGGTGGTCAACAAGATTGGATATTGACTGATAGTGAATGAGAGGGAAGGCAGACAAGAGTGCAAAAGCAGTGGATTGAAGGTGTATGCCTCAGAGGGAAGGTGAGTTGAGCGACTATAAGAAAGGAAGGAGGACGGCATGGGCAAGAACGATTTAATATACGGTTGCGCTTGACGTTCTGCAAGACTTGAATGGGAGGTCGTGGATCGTTGATCAGCATGTCTCTCTCAACGAATTTTGAATTTTCGTTCTTCTCAGGTGCCGTATGGAGTACCTCATCTCGAAGCATGCTCTTCTGTCTGGATTGTTGAGGGATTCCACTCTGATCTCCATTCGACGGAGACAAGACGGATGTCTGGACGGAGCAAAGCTTTGCCAAAATACGATGCTGATCTTCGAGGACTGTTCGGCCTACCCTTGGGGCTCTGTCGAGACTGTCTGGCATGACCAAATTTGATGTGGCCCCCTTTTATCCACAGCCTTGCAGATCAGGATGTGCTCGCCATCAGGGGGTTCACCTTCAAGTTGGGTGGATTCTCGCCTTTCCCCCTGGTCCGAGAAAGTCCATTTGCCGGACTTTAGGACCCTGAGGGCTTCTTTGCGCCTTGTCTGAGCGCGTGTGCGGGTCGCATCATGATATCTCTGCCCAATATTGGTTCCGCGCCCACATTCAGTTTTTTTCAGCCGAAGGTCAAAACCTTTCGCACATTTTGGCCGCGATGACGCAGCGCACAACTACCACTCAGCATCCCAGAGAAAATTCGCATCGATTTGGGTCTTAGGAATGCCAGAGCGCACGAGGGCCACTCGTGTTGCGAAAGCAGATACGCAAAGTGTAATAGGCCAGCCCGTTATTGGTCCAGCCGAACGAGAAAGTCCCATGAACCTGACGCGGTTCCCGAACGATCTGTATCTGTGAGGCAGGTGTTGACTGGGACAGACGCTACACCTTCACTGTTCATAACTGCGGTCTGTCTGTTGTGGACGGATTGCTGCCTGACGTCGGCGGAGCCATCATCAGAGTTTGGCAGGAGCCGGCTCATCTTTGGGTACAAAAAGGTTGCTTTGCCCTCTTCCAACAGCTGCGAATGTTCACGCGTGTTATGGATCGTCGCATACAAATTCTTCAAGCAAATGAAAATCAAGATCTTCGGGCGTATGCTGATGATGCCCCGCTGATGGACCGCTTGCTCAGGCATTCTCCGAGCTAGATCGCACCCACGACAGTCCCTTCAGAAGTTACGCAAATATGGGGCGATCGAACTGAGAGTGATGTTGCGATCTTCAAGAACGAACCCGGTGTGCTCCGCGTCCTTGCTTAGCGGAATCGGAATCCCGAAAGGCACGAAAATATCCACGAAAGGCCGTCAAAAAACAGTTGATCCAGAAAAGCCAAGAAGAATCAGACTGAATAGGAAGATATGGGAAAGAAGGGCACCGCCGGCAGCCCCGAGGTTGAGACGATCTGAGAGGCGCCTCTAAGGTAGAGTGGTCGGTCTTCGAAAACAATCTCGGTGCCTTTCAGTATTCCACTGTTAACAGGGCACGTCTACCTATCCTCCCGGTCAAGCGATCTTCGAGCACTGTCATCGCATGTGACACATTTACGATTTGACATGTTGAGAAGGCTCTCGGCTCTCGTGGTGCGTTCTGAAGACACTATAGTAGTACTCTTTGTGATTCGTACCTTGAGGCCAATCAATGTCCACCCCCAACTTACAGCGAAGACCGTGCAGGTAAGAGCACACTGGGCCTTGATGGCACTGTTCCGAGAGGATGACTTGGTGGAGGTGCAACTAGACCGAGCATGGAGAGGATCTATGAGCAAATAGGGCAAGATGCGTGCGGAAACTGTGTCGGCCACGAACCGATTCGCCTGAAACAAGACTCACTCGAACTCGGTATATTTGAGGCCAAAACTGATGTCGCAAAGGAGGTCATGCTCTGAGGATATAAAGCCATTCCAGGACTGTATCAGCACTAGCCTTGTACTCATCTTCAGTACCACCCAACCCTGAAGAGACACGGCAAAGCAGCCGCTCAAGAAGAACGTGAATGTGGCGCTATCATCCTCTCTGGTCGTACGCATCGGTCGTACTCCTCTTCGCTCAGAGCTTGAAGTTTCATCGCAGCCTCTTTCAACGTGATGCCCTCCTTGTGCGCCAATTTCGCCACTTTAGAAGCTTGATCATATCCTATGACGGGCTGGAGGCAAGTCACAAGCATCAAACTAGGAGGAATGTGAGCAGCAATTTCTTTTTTACAACAGGTACAGAGACATGCTCACCTTTGACCGAGTAGAGCCGAAATACGCTTTCTGTCGGCTTCCAAAGTCTCGAGGAGATTTTTGCGGAAACTGTTCATCCCATCACTGAGCAATCGGATCGAGTGCACCAGGCTGTTGATCAGGAGCGGCTTGAAGGCGTTCAGCTGGAATTGGCCACTCATCCCACCGATGGTGATACCCGTATGGTTGGCAATCACTTGGGTACAAATCATAGTCATCGATTCGCATTGAGTCGGATTGACCTTGCCCGGCATGAACGAGGATCCCGGCTCGTTTTCGGGAAGAATCAACTCCCCTAGGCCACAGCGAGGTCCGCTGCCTTCGAACCGAATGTCCTGAGCAATCTTGAAGAGGGAGCATGCGAGCGTATTCAGAGCGCCAGAGACACTCACGACCGCGTCGTTGGCCGAAATGGCCTCCATCTTGTTCGGCGCAGTAACGAAGGGGTACCCTGTCATGTTGGCTACCTCGGCGGCAAAGTCTTCTGCAAAACCTTCATATACATTCAACCCAGTACCGACAGCTGTGCCGCCCATTGCTAGCTTGAGGACCTCGCCCATTGTACTCTTGACACGATTGATGTTGTATTCGATTTGAGTCGCGAATCCCAAGAACTCCTGGCCCAGAGAAAGTGGCACCGCGTCTTGAAGGTGGGTTCTTCCGATCTTGATAATGTCGCCGAACTGTGCCGCCTTCGACTGCAGTGTCTTATGGAGTGCTTCCATGGCCGGTAGCAGTCGTTCATTGAGATCCAATACCGCTGCGATATGCATAGCCGTGGCGAATCCATCGTTCGAGGACCCCGACAGGTTGACATGGTCGTTCGGATGGACGGGGCTTTTGGAACCCAGCTTCGCGGCGCCCAGAAGCTCGTTGGCGCGATTGGATATGACTTCATTGCTGTTCATGTTTGTCTGAGTGCCTGAGCCGGTCTGCCAAACAACGAGTGGGAAGTGGTCTATCAAGGACAAGGAAGCGACTTCTGCCGCCGCCTTCTGAATCGCTTCCCCGATGCTGGCACCTTGTCTCAGTTAGTGACCCGTATCTTCATCTTCGCAAAGACCAGACGAGACGTCCGAGGCTTAGGCTCAGCTTACCAAGAGCACCATGGCGGACGTTGACGGCGGCGGCTGCACCCTTCAAGATACCGTACGCTCTGATGACCGAGTCCGGCATGCGGTCTCGAGGCTGATTAATGACAAAGTTCTGCAGCGAGCTGCGAGCTTCCAAGTTAGATGACGGTCTAGAGAGAACTTGCCGCTGGGTAACATGCTGACTCACCGCTGTGTTTGCGCTCCCCAGTATTTATCTGCAGGTACCTGTTTGTTGACCATCATCAGCACAGGCTTGGAGGCTCTGTATTCTTTGAGGACTAGTACCTCAATGTCGCCGAAGGCATCCGTCTCAATTCTAGTGGCCATTTTTGAAAACAACGAGTCACCAAGTTACGCTTTAACGTCGATAATGATGAGGAACAACCAAATCATTATGATGAGAGAATCAGGCCGTCGACCCTCGGAGTGGAGCTTCACAAGATGCGAGCCTCGTCGAAAAAAGGTAGCCGTCGCCATGGACGTGGGGATTTTCGGGTAAACAACCTTGACAACCAAGGCTTTTGCAGATACTCGGCTATCGCGTCAAACGTCAAAAGCATGGAGAGCCTGTGTCAGTGTGTGCTCGGTACGGTACGGAGTACACACACAAAAGTTGGAGTCGAAAGCCCAATGATCTTGATCACCTTGAAACGCGAATCACTCACCATTCTGACCATTCCATTCCTTTTTCATGCCTGTGCCTGTGCCTGTACCTGACCTGCCCATCGACTGTATCGATGCAGTCACTCTGTCTCTGTCTTCGCAAGCTTCTTCCACTGTAGTAAGGCCTTAGAGTGTGCGATTCACAAAACGACGATATCACCCCACCGTGAATGTCAAGGTCGTGCATATCCCGTGGGGTCGGCAAATTGTGGGGAGGAGAAGACCAAGATCTTCGCAATTTCGGACGAGACATTGTCATAGCCTCAAAGAGATGTGCCAATGGACCCCTCTGAGCGTTAAGAGAGACTCTGTTTGACCTTATTGACAGAACTCGGTGGTAGAGACTTCCAGATCATCATTGCCCAGGAAGGGTTCAGTAGGTCAAGAAGAAAGCCGACCAAGCTGACCGCATACAGCCGGTAAAGTCCCAGCTCATGTTCATGAAACAGTGGATTATATACCTGGGTAGCTGACTTTTGTTGCTAAAGCACATTGAGCAATCCAATCCGTACACATTGCACAGCCTCTCCCCAGTTAACCCCTTAATAGCAAACTTTCATCTGCCCACTTGGCACAACTTCATCCCGACTAACTGATCTCGAGCGGTGTCGTCCACACTCCGTGCATGAATTTCCTCCTACGGATAAGAGCACTCACGCAACTACATCCGGAGCCCGACTGTCCACTTCCTTCTTCTCATTTTCAGACAGAGATGGCGTAGTCACTTCTTCCTGCTGAATCTCGGCTTCGATAAGAGGACCGGTGTAGTAGCTCTTACCGCCAAAATACCAGAAGACCGCGGCACAAAACAAGATGAAAGCCATGAAGACGATGGCATAGTTCATGTTTTCAGCTGTCACAGGTCGAATGGTTGGCATGAGGAAGATAATCGTGACGAACAACGTCCAAATACACGCCCACGCATTGATATAAGGCGAGAACTTGCCCATGTGCCACGGACCGGGCTTGAATTTGCCAAACCAGAGCTTGCAGACGATCGGGATGACGTATGACCAATCCAGAGCAATGGCGCAGACGTTAAAGACACCTGCGATGGCGATGTAAGATCCCAGTGCGATCAAGTTGATGGCAATGCACCAGAAGATGCTGATCCAGACCGCATACAGTGGTGTTTGCGTGATAGGGTTGATCTTAGTCCAGACCCGGGACAGTGGGATCAAGCGATCGCGGGAAAAGGCAAACACGGTTCGCGCCAGCGCTTGCGTTGCTGTAAAGCAGACGAACTGGAGAATGATGAACGCGCAGACGGTGAAGAAGATGCCGGCCCCTTTGCCAAGCGAGTTGTAAAAGATTTGTGCAACCGGCTGGTAGATTGGCGAGGCGAGAATCTCCGCAGGATCGCCCATACAGAAGCAGAGCACGATGTTGAAGAGCCAGCCCAACACGTAAGTAAACAACATGGCGAGTGAGATGGCCCATGGTGCCTTGATTTCGGGTTGCGCAATTCTATCCGGGTTAGCAGACTTCGAGATGTGCATGGGCGAAGAACGTACTCTTCAGTGATGTGAGCAGTAGCATCGTAATCTGTCATTGTCCACGAGACGGACAGGAAACCAAACAAGAAAGACCAGCCGACCGGAAACCAGCCTGCATTGCCTTCGACATGTGTGAAGACATAACTGGCATCGTGCTTGTTCTCGGTTTTGGCCAGAAGCGCAACGGCACAGGAAAGGAGAATGGCGAAGTGGAAAATGACATAGGTCTTGGTCATCTTTTCCATCCAGTACGTGGAAAGAGAGTTGACAAGGCCGCAAAGGACGGTCAATGCAGCCATAACTCCGACAGTCTGACCGGTGGTAGGGAACCAGTTGAAGTCGCGGCCAATCGAGACAGCAGCCAGGAGAAGTTGAGCAGAGCCATATTCAGAAGAGGCTATACCAGCAACCTGCCCGAGCAAGTTGATCCAGCCGGTGACCCAGGAGATCGAAGGTACCCACTCCGTCGGCGCCAGACGGGACACAGTGTAGTACAAACCACCGCAGGTCGGATACGCAGAGACCAGTTCGGCGACAGAGCATGCAATGCACATGCAACCGGCACCGGAGATCAACCAACACCATACTACCGAGGCCGAACCACCTGCTTCGAGAGGATAGATGAACGTCGTTGAGGTTGTCGCGAACAACCCTGAGATGCTCACGGCGAAGGAGAAGGTTGACAGATAACCGAATTCACGCTTGAACACCTGCGGAACCATTAGGCACGAGTACGAGGCTGGGTCCAGCTTGTGTCAACATACAGGTTTGTAACCGAACTGTTCCGCCAACGCCCTGTCAGCTGCGCTCAGTTCGTCCAACTGGACTGTCCTTCGCCTCCCATGAGAATCTTGGATTTCCAACATTCCAACACTGTTTCTGCGGAGGTTACCCTCGTCGAGGGGAACCGTGGTTTTGTTCTCATTCGCGGCCATGTTGAAGTCGTGCAGACTCCTCCGATTCGAGTTGTGCTACGCCAGATATTTTGTTATTCAACGCCACTTGCGATATCGAACGACCCGTTTGAGCCGGGTACAATAGAAGGACTGTTTCTCGTCTAGTTCGTAGATCGGCATGTGAAGCCTGTCGGCGGGATGAGGAGGTGAAGACGGGAAAGGACCCGTTTACTGCTCGCTTGGGTGCCTGGCAGTAGATGGAGAGAAGAGGAAGCAGGCGAGGATACGAGCGGTAGATGTAAGAAGGGTTGCGATCGAAAAGCTCGTCCAAGCCCTCGCCATGGCCCTACCTCGATTACATGGATCTGAGCTCTCGTGGTTAATCCCTGTGAGGTATGACTGCAGCTGCGGGGCCTATCGTGGCCACCATGGCGGCGAGCCTGTGCACGAGAGTGGGCGCCAGGACGTCAAGCCGAACGTGGTATTGGTAGGATTGAGATGAGAGGAGATGGTCGTGGATGGTCTAACCAGTGATCGGCGGACGATAGGACAAATGGGGCTGACAGAGCAAAGTTCTTTCTGAGGTTCTTGTTGGTGGTTGGCTTCGCTTTGGCACCGACGCTTATTAGGGATGGACGTAAAAGTCTACCCGCCTAGGGCCTGCCGAACCACCTACGACCACCGTGGACCACCCTATTAAGTTACTAAGTCGCCGCCCTGTCCACGACTTAGCAAAGCTTGAACCAGGGCCTCGCGGGTCCGTGGTATCCACGTCGAACCCTCATAGAGGAACACCGATAAAAAGCAAGTCGTGGCAAGTCCACCGCCGTTCCCCATGCAACGGATCTCACGGGATAAAGAACTTTGCGAAGACCAGGCTCAAGAGTGGTGAACAAGGCACAAGGGGGTCAATTTTTTCTTCTTTGAGGTAGGCGGGACCGCCACGAGCTCGCCAAACCCAAGGCAACTTGATCGAAGCTGCATCGTCAGGATCGAGATAAGACCCAGGACCGCTTAGGGCATAAAACATCCCCTTGTTATCTTATGATAGCAACGTGCTAGTCGAGGCCACTGACATATCTGGCTAATTGTGATTACAGTAGCGACAATCCTGCATCTATTTACCAAAACAGGTCACGTTTGCCTGTGCCACGGTCACCTCATTCCCTCGTAAAATGGTACCCTACACGGATCATGGTCAGCTTGTCTCGTTTCGCCGCGATAACACGAGTACTACGAGCTAGGGGTATTGGCACCAGTATTGGCACCAGTATTGGCACGAGACCCTCTGGGCAAGCATCCCTCGGCATATGCTTCGAGTTGCGAAGTTCTTGGTTTGCCTCGTCGGCACCAAATACCACTTTTGTTATAGGGTCACTGGGCAATGCACCAATGCACGATGCCTTTTGCACGGCCAATACGAGTACTAAAATAACCACGAAACCCTACGTCACATATGTCCATATCATGTGGAATGTGAAATCACCTTGTTGTTTCACAGGATCTGTGCACATCTTTTGGAATTTTCCTGGGCTATCCATTTTGAATCTCAGGCATTCTGAAGTACGAATCATGGCCTGCAAAGCAAGTGACATGACAAGACGCGCAATAGATGCCATGCGGAGAATCCTGAGCATGAAGCCCTGGGCGGAGAGCTCCAAATCATATCTTCTCGTTGCAATGCTCTCATCTTCTCTCATCGGAATCATTGAAACCTTTCTTTCCGCACCATCATGATGCTGACTAGTGAGCAAGAGAAGTATCACTGCCAACACAAGAAGCAGTAGACCACAATCTGGGCCAATGCGATGTTGCATCGACCGCACTGTATGGTCTTGAAGAATCGAAGACCACACTTGCGGCCGAGGACCGAGTTGGCATCTTACCAGCCACCAGTAGAAGCACCACCATCGTTTCCACCAGTAGTGCCCCAGGTCTCCGCAGGAGCGGCAGCTGCAGCATTGCCAGTACCAGAACCCCAAGCCGGGGCAGCTCCAGCATTGGCATCGCCACCTTCTCCAGAAGCCCATGCTGCGCCGTTTGGACCACCATCTGTTGTCACCATATCAGGATCTTCCTCCTCTTCATCAAAGTTGAGGATACCATCTTCGGGCTTGAAGTGTTGGAGGAATTCCGGGATATCTTGGTTGTTCTCCATGAGAATCTTGGTGAGGAATGGACCCATGGCATCGTCCTTGTCATTGTAGAACGAGGTAGCGAGGCCTTCGTTGCCAATACGAGCAGTACGACCTGCGTTCTATGTCAGTATCTTGCTTCAGGTGTGATTAATGGCCCTGACCAATGCGATGGATGTATTCACTGAAGCCATCATGCTCGGCGGATGGGAGATCGAAATTGATGACATGCATAACATTGCTAACGTCCATGAATTAGTACTTTGAATTGCTGACGGTGGGTATAACTGACCGAATGTCCAGACCACGGCCGGAGACACCAGTGGCGACAAGAATTGGAGATTGACCAGCCTTGAAGGAACGACTTTCTGCGGTCAGCATCGTGTCCTTCATTTTGGTCAATGCACTCACAGGGCATCTTCACGCTCACTCTGAGTTCGATCCGAGTGGATGGAAGTCGAGGGCATTCCCAAGTTGAACAGGTAGTCGTCGACGAAGTCGGCAGTCTTCTTGGAGCGAACAAAGACGAGGGTACGAGATGGAGGCATGGAGATCAACAAGTCGTAGAGAGCTCTCATCTTCTTGTCCTGATCCACCCACAAGATCTGCAACGAGTAAGCCAGAGGTTCAAAGATATCTACTAGTCGCACATACATGCTGCTTGACATTGTTGTGAGAAGATCCAGTACGACCAATGCTGATGTGGACGTGATCGTCGGCAAGGAACTTAGCAGCCAACTTCTGAAGACGCTTGGGGAACGTAGCCGAGAAGAGAAGATAACGATGATCGCCATCCTCATTGGCATCTGTTGAGAATCAGCCAATAAACAGTCACCACGAAGAGGGCACTCACCACCGCCGCCCATGATCTTTGCCATTTCTTCTTCCCAATCGTCATGGAGCATCTCATCAGCCTCATCAATGATGGTATACCGGACACGCGATAGAGAGAGGACATCAGGGCGACCCATGAAATCGAGCAATCGACCAGGAGTCGCGACAAGAATGTCACAACCACGGTTCAATTGAGCAACTTGATCGCGGATAGGAGCACCACCGTAGGCAACGCAAGGGCGCATCATGGAGCGATAGCAAAGACGACGTGCCTCGTCGAAGATTTGACAACACAACTCGCGAGTCGGCGCAACGACAAGAACAAGCGGTTCAGCACGAACGCGATCGCGATCAGGATCGAACCCAGCAGATAGATTTGGTCGAGGAGCCGCAAGCTTCTTCACCTTGCCCATGAGCTGAGAGATGCAGGGAATCAAGAAAGCTGCAGTCTTGCCAGAACCTAATGGACAGTCAGAGAACAGTATGCACACGGCCGAGATTGTTTACTTACCGGCTTGAGCGACACCGATCATATCATGGCCAGTGGTGACAGCGGGAATGGCATATGCCTGAATTGGGGTGGAGAACTCATAGCCACAGAGCGTAATGTTCTCCAACATAACAGGATGGAGGCCAGCGCTCTTGAACTACGAAAGGGTCAGCGTGAGAAGAGAGAATCTCGCTGAAGAAACAGCTCACGTCGGAGATTGGGTTGACACGAGTCTTGGATTCGACGATGACCTTCACCGAGGCAAGACTGGTCAAATTGTCAGCAAACGTAGACGCCACCCGGCACAACCGTAACTCACTTCGCGAACTTTTCGCCAGCACGATTGATGTAGTCGGCTCGGAAGAGTTCTTGCTCGAGCTTCTCAATTCGGGGGCCGACTTCACCATATTCCTCTTTCCACTCGTATTTTTCCGCGTCATGAGCCCAAGTACTTCCCTTGTGAATACTGACAAGCTCATCGCCGTCTTCATCGGTAGGAGGAGGGGCATCTGTAAGGACAGTGGTGGGAGCAGTGGCACCGTAGTGGTAGGATTGAGGTTCGACCCAACCGAGCTCACGAGCGCGCTGGAGACTCTCCTGGTCGACACGATGGACAGGAGCATCGCCATTGGTGGCATCCGGGATGGCAGCAGCCATCTCGGAGGTGTCGAAAGCCTTGTCGGCCATGTTGCCTGTGATAACAACGGTGTTAAATTCAGGGCACAAGAAGATGAAGATGAAGTAGGATGAGGACGCAGTGTGAAAGGATTATTGTAGTCGCGCGTCAGGGTACTTGATGTTTTGAGGAAGACGGTGATGTGCGGTCAATAAGGCCTTCGAGGGTCATGCCAAACAACAGACTGTGGGCATCGACGCGAGAATGGGGAATGGAGCGCTTCAGGAGATGAATTTGTGTGGAAAGTCTGGAAAAGGTGGAAGAGAATTCGAAATATTTGCCAAAGCCAACTGCAGTGAGATCAACATACCTTGACCTGAAGCCGTTGGAAAAGCGCCGACTGCGAGGTTCGCCCCAGACGTTGTTCAACAGGGTCAAGCTGCAAAGGGAGCTTGAACGAGGGATGAGTCAAGGTGTGGAGAGATGGGAAAGTGTGAGAGTGTTGCAGAGTGGGAGGGGGATATTTGTAGGCAGGAAAGAGAGATATCAACCGCGGCTCTAGTTGCCGAATCAACCACCTGTGTTATGATCAATCCACTTTGATTCCAGAGTGAAAGATAGACGAAGCTTCGAGGGCTTGGATATCCCTCTATAGGGGACCAGGCGGTTTGTGAGGTTTGGGACAAAGGGAATGAGGTGAGGCGAGTGCCACTGTACCACCCACGTGATATCAATCTTGCTCCTTGCTGAGATTTCCTTCGTCGAAGTCCAGAGATGCCCTCAATGTAGAGCTGGTGGGAAAATGTCGAAGAGAGTCCGGAATGTTCCAACTTACCCCTCGTCGCGACAGGTTCGTTTGATGCCTATGCTGTGAAGGTCTTTGATGCTCTGATCTCTCGCCTGGCACCATGGACACAGACCAACGCAGCAGCGGTCACAAACTTGGCCGCAACAGACAAAGAGGGCTCTTGGATTATCCGTTCACACACTTTATCTGGTGCCCCTTCTCACCTCATACACATTCACATTCGACTGTCGTTAAAAAACCGTCTTGTGATCCAGCCCGCCTTCAAAGACGCCAGCATTGTGGTCGGGAAGCCCTCGAAATCATCTTCCTGTGCATTCCTTGGCCCGAATCATCAAATGCCCAGATCCGTCCTGCTGGAGTGCCGGGGCCCCACGAGGCAGAAGCCCGCATTTGCTGAAGGCATTGACTCCTGAATCGGGTTGCAATATCTCATTTCTTCAGCCACCAACCGCTCTCGTGCTCTGGCAGAGGGCAGGATGTAGAGAGAATGCAATGGATGCGCCTTCGAAGTCCCAGGGCTGGTATTTTCATCGGCGCTCAACCGTCATTCCAGACGTCCTTCAGCCAAAGAAGCCAGACAACACTGGTTATACTCGAACAAGCCATCAAAATGCAGAAATCTCGAGATGCAAAACGCACTGCCGCTCAGTGATGAAACAGGCATTGCGCCAGCTTTCACGAGCTCCAGAGTGCTCCTTCGAGCTTTCCCGGTCGTTTTCGTGAAAGCAGGTGCGATGCGACGCCCGAAGGAGTACGCGCACTACAAAGAGCGGTCTAGTGTGAATACAAACTCTCTGCTGATGGCAGAGATGCTTGAAAAGAGTCGTCGCCAAATTAAGCTCAAATAAAAAGTGACAACGGTTCCTGCATTCACCAACGCTATGATCAACAGTAGCAATACTCCACGACATCTTGCAGTACAAAGTACTTCGTACACAGCTCTGACTGCTCGGAACCAAATCTCGCTTCATCCTCACCAAGCTGAATGCTTACAAGTATGTAGGGTTAGGGCATTTACGGGCACATGGTTTTGAATTCTCCTTTGAGGCAGTGGAGAACAATGCAGCATGATCTCAACCTTGTATTCCGGAACGCTCAATCTGCAGTGCCCCCAGTCGTGGTGCCTGGCGAAGCCTACAGACACTCTACAATCTCACGATAGGACAATGGAGGATCGATGGCCTACAGATATCGATCTACTATCTTACCCATCAATCATCAAGGGAGCTCGATGGGGATCTCCTCCTGCTTTGCGTCCCTTTTTCACCAAGCATGTTGGATTCATGTATTCCGAGGCTATGCAAGCAATCTGAAGACCTTACCACCAGCTAGACTAAGATCCCTCACGCGGTTGCATGCCACGGGGACTTCGCGGGCCAGGTCCAAGCAGCATAGAAGGCTAGCCTGACGCCGCCCCAAGCTGGCTGCTCATCTCAGCACGAACCACGTTACTGTTTTCAGGTCTGCTGGCGTGCTCGTGATGCAGTGAGCTTTTCAGGTTCTGAAAGATCGTCTACAATATTATGTAGCATTATGAATTCAAAAATAATGGTAGAAGAGGACTGCGTGCATGAGGATGCCCTACGAGCCTGAAAGTGGGTTCGAGCTGCTGGCCCAATCAGCATCATCGCACTACACGTGACCGTCGGTTCTTGCCCACGAAAAGATATTCCTTGGCGACGAAATTAGAGATTCCCCTCACAATCGACGAAATTGAGGAGCCCAAACTGCAACTCGCACCATCTCGTCCATTTCAACCGACCTCAGCACAAACCGCGATCATGACGACTCAACAGGGAGCGATCTCCAAGCGACGCAAGTTCGTTGCCGACGGTGTTTTCTATGCCGAGCTGAACGAGTTCTTCCAGCGCGAGCTGGCCGAGGAGGGCTACTCCGGCGTTGAAGTTCGAGTCACGCCTACAGTCACCGACATCAGTACGCTTGACACTTGAAAACAGACAGAGGAAGAGAAGATGAAAATCTGACTTGTACTACAGTCATCCGGGCGACACACACCCAAGAAGTCCTGGGCGAACAGGGTCGACGAATCCGCGAACTCACCTCTCTCATCCAGAAGCGATTCAAGTTCCCCGAGAACAGCGTTTCCCTCTATGCCGCCAAGGTCCAGAACCGCGGTCTCTCTGCCGTCGCCCAGTGCGAATCTCTCCGATACAAGCTGCTGAACGGTCTGGCCGTGCGAAGAGCATGCTACGGTGTGCTGAGATTCATCATGGAGAGCGGTGCCAAGGGTTGCGAGGTGGTTGTTTCTGGCAAGCTGCGTGCTGCTCGAGCAAAGAGCATGAAGTTCACTGTAAGATCTACCCCATTCGAATCGAATCGAAGGTGGAATATTGACAATGATTGATAGGACGGCTTCATGATCCACTCCGGCCAACCCGTCAACGACTTCATCGACACTGCTACCCGCCACGTCCTCCTCCGACAAGGTGTTTTGGGTATTAAGGTCAAGATCATGCGTGGCAGCGACCCAGAAGGCAAGGCCGGTCCCCAAAAGTCCCTCCCCGATTCCGTCACCATCATCGACCCCAAGGAAGAGCAACCGGTTGTCCAACCCATGTCGCAAGACTATGGTGCCAAGGCTCTTGCTGCTCAGCAGGCAGCTCAGGATGCTCGGGTTTCTCAAGAAAACGGAGAAGGCGAGGAGGAGTTCCCTCAGGAATAAAGCTGGGCACATGCGGGCGTTTGTTGTGTCATTTAGCATACCTGTTTTTGCGAAGCAAAAAGAACAGATAGGGGCATATCCAGAGCGGGTGCTGATATGCATTGAATCGCTTCAAGAATTTCATGATGCAGCTATTCTGCCATCAGGGAGATAAAATGAACATGCATCAACAATTCTCGGCTTGACCCGCAATTTATGCTTCATGTCCACTTCTATCATCTCTACTTTCATTTCGTCTTCTCTGCGTTGCTGTAACAAACTGCCCATTGAGTATGTTGGCCATAGAGCCTCTGCTTTTGTCTACAAGAAAACTTCCACATTGAACTCCAGCGCACTGACGGGGTACTTCAACTCGAATTTCTCCAGCACAGTAGGATGCAAGATTCCAAAGCTTCCAATAGTCAAATCCTTCCCAGCGATCTTGACATGAATACTCGCGCCATGACCGGCGAAATACGTGGGATCATCCAGCTCTTGAATCCAATAGTGCATACCTTTGGCATTGCCATTCTTGATCTCCAGGCCCTCCTCATGCGTGATGAACGCGGTCTGCAGCATGGCCATGACGCGATCGAGCAGGCCATGCACGACCTCGAAACCCGATGTCTTACCGTACCACGCGGCCGCAAAGTGGCGCTCGTTGCGGGACTTGCGCTCAAGAGATTCGTCCTTGAACGCCACGTCGGACACCTCGAAGATCTTCATGGGCAGGCTGTGGTGCTTGTTCTCGCGGATCGTCTTGAGCAAGCCTGGAAGTAAGGTGGTGCGGACGACCTGGTATTCCGCGGTCTTGGGGTTGGCGAGGCGCACGGCAGTCTTGCCGTCGTCCTTGCGGTTCAACCAGCCGAAGTTCTCGTCGTGCGAACATAGAATGAGCGGCAGGACTTCGGCCCAGCCGGCCATCGCGGCCTCGAGGCGCAGGATGTCGGAGAGTTTGTTGACGGCGAGGGGGGCGGCGACGGTGGCGCTGACCTTGGGGAATGCACGAGGCAACTTGTTGAAACCATACGCAATGCAGACGTCTTCCATGATGTCAGCTTGGTGCAGGACATCGGCACGGGTGACGGGCACGTCGACGTCGATTAGATTGGGATCGGACTTTGAGGGTCGAGCGGTGTAGCTCATGCGGGTGAGGAGAGTGCAGACATCTTGTGCTGACAGGGACAGGCCGCTGCAGCCGTTGATGTAGTCAACCTCTGCTTGTGTAGGGCGAGGAGTGAGGTTGGGTACTTGTCTCGACTGGCCGTTGTGCTCTGAGATGATTTGTATGGGTTCGACAGTGAACTGTTCGGAGGTGTATTGCGAGAACATGGCAACGACCATGTTGACAACGATTTCTAGCTTGGTTTTGTCGGTGGCTGTGACCTCGATGAAGACATTTTTTGTGTCCAGGGTAATTTTGCTGAGGTTGCCGTTGATGATGGGCGGTAAAGAACACACACTGCGTTCGGAGTCATAGATGACTGGGTAGACGGGTGAGTCTCTGATGATGTGCAGATATCGGCCGAGGTGCTTGTCCTTGTCGTAGAAGGCCATCAGCTCTTCGCCGTTCATCTCCTTGGTCTGGTTGAGAGGAGCGAAGTTAATGTCCTTAGGAGGGAGAGCCTCGTATGTGAATGGTCCCGTAATGGTGTCCAAGTCATGGGTACCGATGGAAACAAGTGTCCTCTGTCGAGCCAGATTCTGATGGAGCTTGTCTTGGAGGTCAATGAAGGATTCATATCTGGCTTGGTCGAATTTGATGTTTCGTAGGATTGCGCCTGAGACATACGGTCGTATCCTGGCGGTGTCTTTCTTGACTGTGATAGTCTGCATCTCTCCGCTTGGTGGTGCTTTCAGAACATATTGGGGAGCTTCGACTCGGCGGTTGAAGATATTGAGCATGAGCTGAATCCCCTCAAAACATAGCATGTCATATCGATTGGCGGGAATTTCAATTTTTAGTTGTGGTGGTTCTTGCTTGCCATCGACGATCGGTCTCTCAGACAGAGAAGTGTCTTCGTCTAGTTCAATGCCGAAGTCGAAGCAAAGCTCGTCGAACTCATCCGTCGTATAGTCTCTGCCGAGTGCCTTGAACAAGGCAGCCTTGTCCACAGTGATGGTAGGCATTTTGCGCCGGGTTGAGGGACAAGATGACGGTCACTGGTTTACCGCAGCAGCCGTGTGATCTGAGTGTCGAGATCTTAGCTTCACCCAAGCTATGTGCAATAAGTCGAACAGCGCCCAGTTGCTCTCTCCTTCTCAAGAAGTTCCGAGAAATTGTTTCAAGACCATAGACAAGTCCCAAAGAGTCATATTGGGCTTGGCAGTAAAGGACTGCGCCACATACAAATCAAGCCACTAGCCACATTTCTTCTGGGGACTCAAAGTGCACCTTATGACGGATGCTCGAATGCAGATTGATTATTCCACCTTGCGAAATCCCCCCATAACAACTCTACTCAAGTCCCTGCACGCCCAACATACGACTTCACCAGCAGGGCATCCTTCAACATAGACTCCTCTGCCACGACGCCTCGCTTTGATCTCTTGTGGTATGTTGTCCTGAGCGCCCCTTCCGTGTTGTCAAGCGCGCAGCTTTCTGCCGACAAGGCTACAGCTGTCCCTGCTGGCATCGGTCACCGAATCCTGACGGTCTTACTAGTCCGATATGCACTGAGATCCCCACGAAATCTTGTACACAAACAAAGTCTTCTGTCCGCGTCCGAGTCCTCGATCTCAGCACTGGCTTGCGGCTTCCACCACGAATACCACTTCCCACTTTCGGGACCACTTGAAGATCACGCGATACACCACACGTTTCGGATACTGCCACAATGGAGGGTCAAGATAATGGCGATGAGCTCTACCCCATCGCCGTGCTGATCGACGAGTTGAAGGTGCGGACGATTTGTATGCGCAAGGCATGTTTTCACCCTGACTGATGTGTCAACAGCACGACGACGTCCTCCTTCGCCTCAACGCTATTCACAGACTTTCAACGATTGCCCTGGCTTTGGGTCCTGAACGAACAAGAGATGAGCTGATACCATTCTTGGACGGTATGCATCCTTCAGCCGGGAAGGTTAGGGACAAGACTGACAACCGCGTTTAGACTCTGTCGAGGATGAAGATGAAGTCTTAACAGCACTTGCTGAAGAGCTTGGAAATTTCATTGAATATGTCGGAGGAGCAGAATACGGCCATGTGCTCCTGGCACCATTAGAGAATCTCGCAGCAATCGAGGAGCCTCTTGTGAGAGACAAGGTATGGAAAAGAGGCTTAATTGAAAGGGACAAGATTCTGACACGAGCAGGCCGTTGATTCCCTTAACAAGATCTGCGAACAGCTCTCCGAACGACAGGTCGAAGAATTCTTCATTCCCCTGACAATCCGACTCTCCAAAGCCGATTGGTTCACATCAAAGATTTCAGCTACCGGACTGTATGTCACACCTTATCGAAAAGCGAGCACAGCCTCGCAGCAAGGTCTTCGAACGCAGTTCGGTCACTTAGTTCATGATGAGACGCCCATGGTTCGACGACAAGCCGCCAACAACCTTGCCAAATTTGTCAAGGAAGTCCCTGTGTCTGTGGTTATTGACGAAATGATTCCTCTATTTCAACATCTTGCCAGCGATGATCAAGACAGTGTTCGACTTCTGACTGTGGAAGTCTTAATCTCGATCGCCGAGGTGATTCCCAAAGAACAACAACCCAGTCACGGTGTCCTATTGACCGCGTTGAGAAGCCTATTCGAAGACAAGAGCTGGAGAGTGCGCTACATGGTCGCAGAGAAATTCGAGAAGATTGCAAAAGCCGTCAATGAGGAGGTCGTTACACGGGATCTGGTACCAGCATTTGTCAAGCTGTTGAAGGACAGCGAAGCCGAAGTGAGGACAGCCATTGCCAGTCAAATTCCCGGATTCTGCGGCCTTCTTGACCGCGAAACCTTGCTCAACGAAATCATGACGAGCATAGAAGACCTCGTGTCGGATCCTTCGCAGCATGTTAGAGCAGCTCTCGGGACCCAACTCAGCGGACTGGCACCCATACTCGGCAAAGAAGAAACCATCTCCCATCTCCTTCCCATGTTCCTACAGATGCTCAAGGACGAATTCCCGGATGTGCGCCTACACATCATCTCCAAGTTGGAGCTCGTCAACAACGTCATTGGAATCGACCTCCTCTCACAATCGCTTCTTCCCGCCATTGTCCAATTGGCAGAAGATAAGCAATGGCGCGTCCGTCTCGCTATCATCGAGTACATCCCCCTGCTAGCCAAGCAATTAGGCATGAAATTCTTCGACGAGCAACTGAGCTCGTTGTGTATGGGCTGGCTGGGCGATACAGTCTTCTCTATCAGAGAGGCTGCTACACTGAACCTCAAGAAGCTCACGGAAGTTTTTGGTGTGGATTGGGCAAAACGATCTATCATTCCCAAAGTCGATGCCATGAGTCGACAAGAGAATTATCTGTACCGAATGACTACTTGCTTTGCTATAACGGTAAGCAACCTCCACGTTTTCGTTTTCCCAGCCTAGGTAAGGCGCTGACGAACTATCTGCCCAGACGCTCGCTCCAGTCGTCACCCTCGAAATCATCCAAGAGAGCGTGCTCCCCATGATGGAGCGCCTTGTGGCTGACCCCATCCCGAATATCCGCTTCAATGTCGCCAAGTCCTATTCCGTTCTGATCGACACTCTCCGTCGTCTTCCCACCGAAGGCACCCTTGCACAATTGGAAGAGTCTGGTTCGACGGATGCCCAGCCTGATCCGAAAGGCGAAGAATTGATCAACGACCAGATCATGCCTAATCTGACGAAGCTGCAAGACGATGAGGATGTTGATGTCAGGTATTTTGCCACAATTGCCGCGGGTGGCACTTGGAATGCCGGCGAGAGGATGGATACGGGACAGTAGTGCTATCGCGTTCGGACGCCTGTTAGAAGGTCTTCCAGGCCGTGGTTTAAAGTTCTCGGATGAACGTCAATGGGCGGCACTGGTCAGTTGGAAGTCAGCAGATAGCAAGAGCGAGAGCAAGAGCAAGAGCTCGTGTGTGTGTGATACCAAAAGATAGCAATAAGAATAGAGGTGAAGCGAACAATCCTGCTAGACGGAAGACCGTAATATGGACCCGGGTTGTACGGAGTATTTGATATTGACATGTGAGTCGCCGCCGTTTTAGAGATATCGTGCCTGTGCCTGTGCCAGTGCCTGTGCCTGTGCCAGTGCCTGTGCCAGTACCTGCCGTGTAGTGACTCGCATAGCAGACAAGACGAACAAGAGCTAGGTATGGTCTTTGTCTGCGTCTCCATCTGATTTTCCTTCTTTTCCGTTCCCTCCTTCTTAGGGGGCCAGAATGAGACCCGTACTAGTACTATTTCCCAAAATCGAGAGAACAAAAGATACCCTCATAGGGTGGTAGATTCAAGGGAAATCAGGTTCAGTCCAGTCCATACCAAATCGCAATTCACAGAAGAACGCACCTCGTCCGAAAGCAACGACCCAAGCAATTTAGAAGCAACTGCCAATACGGAATAGACCATAATAAAATCGTCCAAGGCACAGCAACGGCAAATACAGACCAAAAACCCAAATGAATCGAAGTCGTCCAAGGCAAAGCAAAACTGCAAATACAGACCAAAAACCCATATGAATCTAAATCGTCCAAGGCAAAGCAACTGCAAATACTGACCAAACCCCAAATGGATCGAAATCGAAATTGTCCAAAAAGGCTCCAAGGAAGGTGAAAAAGTCAAAATCAAGGGGGGAAAGACAAAAACGAAAGAGAACAATGTATTGTGTACAGATACAGATACCTATCGACAGGCGAAGCAGGCGAACCCTCAGATTACCAGTACCAGAGGGGCCCCTTCTATAGACTGAACCCAATATTATACCTATTGTCATCGACCAAACGGCCATATCTGGCAGACATCACAAAAGTCAGCAATCTTTTCTCTCTCTGTCTTTTGGTCTTCTGTTCACTTTTTTCCCCTTTTCGTTTCTAGGTAGAACCGTCTCGCGGCCTTGCGCAACGTAACGAAACGGAACGAAACGAAAAGGAAAGGGGAGGGAAGTGACTCACTCAAGCAACAAGCGAAAATACCAGACCTCGAGATCCTCATTCCTGAGCACCTTCTCGGCCCACACACGGCCTTGCTCTGCGATCCTCTTGCCTTCGACGCGCCCACTGCTTTCTTGGTCGAAATACCGCACGCTCTCGGCATACTCATCCCCCTGTAAGCCCAGCGGTACGTAATGCACCCACGGCCTGAGCCATTCATCATGCCACTCGCGGAACACGGCGAGCTTGTACACGAGACTCTTACTCAGCAGCCATGCATAGTACCGTCCCGAGAACGCGTTGCCGTCAATGTCCAAGAGGTACCGACTGCCCAGAGCGTCGAACATGTTGACCGGCTCGACCGTGCCAAAGTACTCGCGCTGTGCGTCGCAGTCGCCAGGATCGCACTGCCCGATATACGTGAACTTGACGTCGAAGTAGTGCGCCACGTCGGCCGCGGAGATTTCTTTCTCGCGCCATACTGTCTCTGTGAGGCTTGAGTTATCCAACTCCAGAATTTTGGCTTTGTTGAGTGGCTGGATCTTGGTCAGGAACCGCTGACGATGTTGTCTCCGCCAGCCGCCATCGCGGGAAAATCCGCCCGTCGTGCTGCCGCGCCAGTACATGGTCGGGCGTTTGCTTTCCCAAGGCATGTCGCGCTCTTTCTCATACCGGACGCGGCCCATGTAGTACCAAGGGCTGGGATACAGGATGTCCTGGAAGCTGGAGATTTTGGACTGCGAAAAGATGGGGAACAGCTCGTGCGTGACGTCGAAGGCGTTGGGCCGGTCGAAAAAGCCGAATGTGCGCTCCATACTGGGGCTGTTGCAGATGTCGCTGAAAGAGGTTGTGTTGCGGATAAAGCCCAGTGGCAGACCGGAGTACGACGTCGTGTTGTCGGGACAGGCGTCGTTGAGACATTTTCGTGCAGGACTGTCGAGTGGGCAAGACAGGCGTGAGTCGCTCCATGTCGGTTGGTGTGCGAAGCGGTTGAAGCGCGTCGTTTTGTATTCCTTAATCCGGATGCCCTCGCCTAGATCGCCGGCACGTGGGGACCATGAGTTCGTGAGCGTCTGCGCCGTGTAGGCTTTGGGCATGTTTTGGTCCTTAGCCACTTGGACGTGGTGCAGCAGATCATCGTGTTGCATGACTACGCGTGGCTCGTCGTGGATGTTGAATGGCAGGTCCATGTCCGGCAGGTATTTGATGAACTCTTTCAGCATGATGGGTGTGGCTTCTCGGTGCCATGCGTACATATCGCCTCCTCCTTCAATCTTGGTGACCTCTCCGTTGCGAATCATGACCGCGATCAAAGCGTTGTCGAAGCCGACGGCTTCTCTCGTTCTCTCGCGGATGACTGCCGGTTCCAGCGCCCAGAAGGGGAGGAGCTGGTGGTATATGGTGTCATACTCGTCTATGAGTTCAACCCCTCTCTTTTTGGCGAAATTGTACCATTTGTCAAAGTGCGGCGGAGGAGGTAGCTTGTACCGCCTGCGGTATTCCGCTACAGCATCGCTGAGCGATCGAGACTGACGCGCCCGGACGGTCTGGAAATCGCCTCCTGCTTGCGCTACTAGCTGGTGGATGGGGTGCAACAGAGATGTTGCGGCCAGAAGTGGTTCGTTCTCTTCGTGCGCGTGGTGGCCATGGAGGAGCGAGGTGGACTCTTCAAGGACCTGGGGACGTCGTAGGAGAAAAGTGGTGAAAGCGATGGTCGCAAGCAAGCAGATCAGGACAAGAGATCTTCGAGATCTTAGCATGCCTTGGACATGGCTCGTATTCGAGGTTCGTAACTTCATACATGGACCGGTGTTCTCGACGAAGGACTCGGAATCATGCTGTTTCAGGAGCCAGTTCAAACACAAGGCGCATTCGTTCTGGGCGCCAGTGTGGTTTCGTCGCAATACTAAGGTATGTAATTGCAAGAACAACCAAAAGGAGCGGCTTGAGACTATTCCGTATGATGGCAGGAAACGAAACGGAGGCCTCTCGACCAGGGAAACTTGGCCGAGAATGTCTGGGGAAGAAAAGCATTCTGACTGACAAAAGAAAGAGCCGCGTATACACACGAATCAGAGAAGACGTCATTTTGTCAGACTGGTAATTTTCGACTTGGTGTCCCCCGAGTCATTAGGGAGAGCCTCGATCGCCCCGGTAGAAAGTCCACCGAAAGGTGGCCACTTTGAAGTTCAGGGGAAAGGCAGAAGATATTACGGCGGTCTGCTGGTCTGTTGATCTTTGGGATTGTGAAAATGTAGATCTGCACTCTGGCTTCTATTGATTATATCCTATAATTTGCTGCATGCAAGTCCAAGCCGGCCGCAAGGATTCGAAATAAATAACCCGCAGGCCTCCTCAAACTATTTCAGGACATGGCTATTCGTCCAGATATGCCACTACATCAGTCGGATCAGCCATAATCCCCAGAAACTGGTCACGTAGCTGGAAACATGTTGACGAGTGGATCGTAAGTATCATTTCCATATGCATCGCCACCATAAGTCAAGTACCCATTCACATATGGTTGAGACGGGAACTTGGCCATGATCGAGCTAGCATCGCCAAAGACCCATACTGTTTGCATCCCTGATATCGTTCGTTAGTATCGTCAAGCCAAGAAAGGCGGAAGTGATCTTACCCATTATCATATGCTGCAGAACATGACAATGCATCATCCAAGCACCAACATCGCCCTCGGTGACCCGAATGCGCCATGCTCGCCATCCCGCAGTGGTCTCGGGAAGACCAGAGACCGCATATCGGTATAGCATGGTTGTGTCTCTTCGCGCTGGAGTGTACTTCTCGAACTTCGCCTCGTTGGCTGTTGCATTATAGGTACCATTTCTGCACACCATGGTTCAGAAAGAAAGTTTCAGTAATTTCAGGTTAACCTGCTTACCCAGAACCGAGATCAAAGTAATGCTTCCCATGTGCATGCATAGGGTGAAAATCCCAACCCCCTGTCGGACCAGAGTTACTCAACCAGACGATATCGAGCACTTCTCCTGGCAAGGCAGGAAATGCGTTGCTGTACGGATCCCAGCCTCCATTCTCCATGGCTGCAGTGTAATTTGGTGCTTGACCGGTAAGATACACCTCCACGAGATACGGCAAGCTGTTGTTCGTCTGGCGCTGTGCCGTTTGCCAGATAAGGTTATTTTGTCTGTGTGAGGTTCACCATCAGCAAGTACTCGGAGGCAATTGTGGCGAAAACCGGAAGTTCAAGAGGTAACTCACGCCCATTGTAATGTACCATTGATGGTACGATTCACGTATGATCCCACCCGAATCTGCTGTTGCATAGTAATATAGACAGTCCTTGTAACCTCGGAGAGCTTCGGGAATGCTTCGCTTGGATGCAAAGCTTCAAGTGCGTACTCTGCCCAATTTGTGACGTTCTGGGGCAATGTAATTGGAGGTTTTGCGGGCAGTAGAGACGGACGAGTGGAGCCACTGATGTTGTATTGCAACAAAGCGTAGCCAGACACATTTGTTGGCCTGTCTCGGCTTTCGTAACGAAGCCAATAGCTCGTCTTGTTCTCTGCCTCAAGTTCTGCCTGCGTCTTTGCTCGGAAAAGCACGCTGAAACGTTGCCCGCTGCCGAGCTGGAGGTGATCGGTGGTCCAGGGTTTTGTATACGCACCATCTGCTTCAATGATTGTCAAGTTCTTGTGGCCCTCAATGCCGAGCGTGACTAAAGACAGTGATGTACCGCTGAGAAAGCGCCATCTATAAGTAGCTCCAGGCTTGACATTGATGACATATGGTGTGCATGAAGCATCCGAAGCGTTGCTGAAGGACGAATTACCACTGAAGCCATTGATCGAAATGGCCTCCGGTTCGCCTGACCATTTGAACGGGTTGGCAATGAGGCCAGAGAAGATTGTGGAGTCGTTTTTAGGGTTGTAATCTTGGATGAAGAATGACCTATCCCCATCGTACTTGTAGGGTACGGCATCTTGGTCCTTAACGATGATGACTCCTTGCGCGGTGTTTGCTTGGAACTCAACATGAGAATGGTAGAAGTAAGATCCAGCATCGCCCACTTCGGGATTTACTGAGTAGTCGAAGAACTGATTGGGTGCGATGGGCCATTGCGAGACCGAAGGCGTACCATCCGAGAAAGGCGATGTTCGTTGACTCAGTCCATGCCAATGCTGTCCAACATCTTCAGTTTATTTCACTCAGGTCCACAGCTCAAAGCGTGACGTACCACAGTAAGGTTCTGATCTTGAAGCCTGTTGTACACTCTCACCCACGTCGTGTAATTCTCCTTCATATAAAGTGGCGGACCTGGCGTTGTTCCATTGAATACCACGGAGTACCTCGTCTGGCAGTTGATGGTGATGTTCTTCGCGGTCGCGACAAGCACATAATCAGGAGGTGCCTGTGCAGTAGGACGCACCGCAAGGATCCCTTGGATCCAGGCAAGGATCGGAAGAAAAATCAGTAGCATAATGGGAGCACACAGCCTACACTCAGAGCCTCAGATCGAGGACTGCGTCTAGGAACGTAAGGTCGTCTTATAAAGCGGACTGGCTGCCGTACACGAGAATCTCATTGAAAGACAGATGCCGTCATGCCGGCGGAACATTCTTGTAGATGGATCTGCGGGATCAGTAGCCTCGCCTGCGTGTAAGCAGGGCCGTGGTAGGGCTGACAATGGTGCCATGGCGCTGATATAAACCCAATAAAGCCGCCAAATTCGAGCATTGGTCAGGGATCGTACAGTAGTGCCATGATTCAGGAATCTGATCGTCAGGCCCCAAAAGCGGGAAAGACGTGGGAACGTTGCGAGGAGATTGATGGGGCTCTTTAGTCTCTCTGCACAGGCACTGCCAGCGTTGCCCTCTGTGGTGTGGGAGAGACCCAAGACTTCAAGCCGATAATAAACTTCAGCAGAGCCAGAGTATAGTATGATAGCACAGACGTCCATAATTGCAAGATGACATGCCGCAGATCGCCATCCCAGTCGGACATATGCTTACCGAGGGAATGTCTCCGGCGGATTCTGCCAAGACGGATTCTCCATAACGAATCATCCCATCCCATCTCATTGACCCAGCATTGAGATGAGTCCACGCATGCTTTTTCTGGGCGACATGGCTATTGATCAGCTGCACAGCCAGCATCACAAGTTGAAGGTAGCTGTTGCGAAGTTGAGAAGTTCACGAAGCTGCAACCGCAACCCGTAAGAGCTAGTAGCTCCGCGGCCCCTAGCTCTGTGCGCTAGCTAAACGCTGCCCCCACCATATGCTCTCATGTCCAAGCCAACAGGTACTGACAATAATGGCATGGCCCAGGTAGAGCACCGTTGTTGTTCGTTTTGAGCTCGTGGAGTCTACCCGGCGGGTGAGCTCCTCCATTATCTCGCATTGAGATGAAGAGTGCCCGAGTAGGCCACTGCAACCTGATATAGCCGCATAGACAGCGATACGACACCTCAGCGGAAGTCGCACGTTGCCTGCTCACGATGATCTGCGAGGCTGAAACAACCCTCAGCGCCGCTGCCAATCCTAGTAGCCCCGATCGACGACAAAAGGATTCTCAATACCCGAGTGTTTTCCATATAGTCCCGGATATCTTGGTGCGCACGTCTTGAGCGATGCCTGCCCAGCCTCTCGCCTGTGTGACGAGGTTGGTGACGCCAATAATCCTTCTCGTGAACAAATCGGTCTGATCAAAATCATGAGCATAAACATCCCAGACGGCCTGGTCGCCCACCACTTGCTCAAGGCCGGTAGCATGCGCATGCTCTTCGGAAGTCTTCGATCCAATCACCAACGCCCGGCCTATAATACCTTGATCCGCGACAAGACGTGTTGTAGCTGCCACCACGTCGGGTACTGTAGCCATGCCACCGCCAGCAAGGACCAGTGCACCTAGCGGGCCTAGGATAGGCGTGTCGACAAAGTACGGATTGATCATGTTAACTCTTATACCATGCTTGATCGGCGTGGTGATTCGCAGGGTTCGGAATAGCCCGACCACGCCGTGCTTTGCTGTCGCGTAGATGGGTTGGGAGGCCAGACCTGTAAGCCCAGCGATGGAAGACACCAGTATTAGGTGTCGATCTCGCGGTGCAGATGTTGTACGCACGTTGCATCCCTCGCTGCCCGGGTTGCGCGGGAGATACGACAAGGCCAGATTCGTAGTGAACATGACACCATCGAGGTTGGTGTCGAGCGTCCGCATCCTAGGCTGCGGTGGGTTGTCCATTTCTGAATAATCAGGTGGTTCCTCGAAGATGGCATTCTCTTGCGCATCAGCGATTCCGGCATTCGCCATGACACAGTCAATGCCACCGTGAGGACTCAGACTCGCGGCTTGTTTGAAGAAAGCTGCTTGACTCTGCCAGCTGGTCACGTCAAGGTGAATGAAATGATGGTCGAGACTGCCGGTAGAAGCTCGAACTTGTGCAACGAGCTCAGTGCCAGCTTTATCATTGATGTCGCCTATGATAACGTTGGCGCCGTGACCTGCCCAGTCGTTGAAGCAGGCCTTGCCAAAGCCCGAGGCACCGCCAGTGATGACTATAGTCTTGCCTTTGAGATTGCTGTAATTGATAGGCTTCGAGCAGTCGACGGCTTCTGAGTAGATGGCGCGTCCGGCAAAAGACACTTCACCGGGTGCTCGTTGACCCATGTTATGCCAGCGTCTGACGTTTCTATCTCGATAATGCCGTTGCCGCAATTTTATTGGGCCTCCTTGAAGTCCCTGGGCAGATGGAGGATTGGCAGAGAGTTGGTTGGAAACGACAGCGGCAGAGTTGGAAGCCTGGAGGATCTTTAACTCACTGTGCCGAGGTATGTCACAATGCGAGAAGCGCCGAACCCAGTTCATCAATCAAAGATTTTGAGCAATCTTTATTGCATTGAAGACCTCGTACTATGTATGATGTGTGGTCGAAGCCTCATCATGGAGGCCGCTGCGTGACCACGACCTTCATGCTCGGCCTTACATCTTTCTTCTTCTTATACTTCTTCTCGGCGCTCATGTCATGTCATGCCATTGATCATTCAATACGGACTCTGTAGGTGACAAGTCTCAATGTTTATTGTTTATACACATCAGTTTTAATAGGGTCGATATTTTCCATCTCTTTTAAAACGTTCAATTCTGCAACAGAAGATCCAACGGCATCCAAGCTCCTGAAACCTTCTTCCACCGACCACCTGCTCCCTTCTCCGAGGCTGTGCAGTACTTCACAAGCACTCCCGACCACGAGCAGCCCCGGTGGTCTTGACCCTTCATCCTCCACAGCCTGACAGACATATTGTAAGGTAGATCGAATCACTCTTTGATCGGGACAGCTTGCTCGCTCAATCACAGCACAAGGTGTCGTTGCCGGCCATAACCGGCGAGCATGCGGCGGCTCGTCTGCGTCTTCGGATACCCTCGTTAAACTTTTGATCAGGCTTTCTAGCCTGTGCAATGCCATCAAAAAGACAACTGTCTTGCTCGGGCGATAAGATGGAGGTTCGGGCGCGGCACCTTTCCTCCCTGTGCCAGTACATATAACAACCTGGTCCGCCACGGCTCGATGGGTAACGGGGATGTCTGCGAAAAGAGGTGCGGAAAGAGCGCTCGTGATGCCTGGTATAACCCGGACTGTATATCCCCGTTCCCGGAAGTACGAGAATTCCTCAGCCCCTCTGCCATACAGATATGGATCACCTTGCTTCAGTCGCAGAACATCTTTGCCTTGTTTCATTGCTTCCAGTCCCAGTTGTAGCAGCTCTTCTTGCGCAGCGTCTGCGTTGCCCGGAAATTTTCGTGCAATATGGACCGGTGTTCTGCGAGGGATGAGGGCAAGAATCTCAGCTGGCACGAGCTTGTCGGCCAGAATGAGATGAGCGTTCTCGATAGCTGTCCGCGTCGCAATGGTAAGAAGCGATGGGTGCCCTGGACCCGATCCCGCCAGTGTTATTGTACCCTTGCGCGCGGGTAGAGCAGGCATCAGCTCACTAGCCATGTCTGAGCCAGGGGCAGGAGGCTGAGCTGTACTCTTGTAGGCTTGGAGGATTGCTGCGACGTCTGCATCCGTAATTGCTGCTAGTCGGCTGAGTGGCCAGTACTCGCAAATCTGAGAAAGCCACCTCATGCGCCGCGTTCGCAGAACCACGGGATCTCTGTCGTCTTCCTTCACCAAAGAGTTGAAAGTATGTTTTTGCGCCGCGGCTTCGTCGTCCTCAATCTCAACATCACCTGCCTCCTCCGCACCTGGGGCCTGTGATCTGTAGTCTTCTTCCCAGATCCTCCGCCGTACGGTGCCCAGCCTTTCTACTGCTGTTCCAAATTTGGATGGTAGCGCAGATACGATTTCACGTCGGATACGAGATGCCAATTTGCAACCATTACCGGACGTTGTGAAGCCTATCTGCAGTGGACCATCAGAGTATGTGGACAGGAGGGTGAATGTGCAGAGCTGAGGAGCGTCAACCACGTTGACAGGTATTCGCAGACGCTTGCAGAGGCTTGAAATGCGTATGGTTTGAGGGTCTTTGGCAGGCAGAGTGACAAACACAGCGTCGACGTAACCATCCACCTCCTCTCTTCCAAGTGTCTTGAGATCCTCCTCTTCAAAGTCTCGTGGTATGTGTCGCACCTTGCCGTCTTCGATCGCTGCTGCGAGGTTGAAGTGCAGATCCGCAGTTTCGGCCGACACAATGACTGGACGGCCACCGACTTGGAGTGACTTGAAACACCGTGAAGCTGCTAGTGGTCCAGAGCCTAGGATAAGGTGAACATGGTCGACGCAACTCTGCGCCGTCAATAGCGCGGGGACAGTCATGGCGAAATATATATTGGTCCGGTTAGTTGCGCAGGCAATAATAGAAATCCAATGGATATAATAAAAGAAAGTGTTGATTAAGAGCACCGAGACGCCATGGCTATGCAGACAAGATGAGGAAAGATACGAGATATAGAAGGATAACTTGGCCTGAGAAGATCAAATCACTCCATATTATTGCTTGAGACAAGAGGCAGAGGCGCTCGGAGAAGATCTGGAGAAATCGAAAAAATTGAGGATGACGCGATTTGCTGGAATTGGCTTATCGCTTATCGCTGACCATTCACGATCCAGCAATTTGAAGATGGTGGGGCCTCGGAGCCTCGCCATAAAAGTCCCTCTCGTCCCTCTCCATCTCGAGGTCAAGTGGTTTCCGCGGGAGTAGGAAGCCCAGATAAGCGAAGACGAGGCTGTTGTGTTGCTCTCTATTGTGTTGATCAGTTTATGCCTCTCAAGGCCACGAAAGCGCCTACCTTTTCATCATATAAACCGCGTTGTCCAATGCAGATTCGGCAGAGGGCGAATATGCATCCCCACGCCCTGGTTCTGTTGATTGAACCTCTAAAGGACCCAATCGCACTGACGATCCGCTGCCACTTCTCTTGGCGTGACCTTGTCTGGACCTGATCACCACGCCTTATCGTGGTCTTTGTGCTGGCTAAGCGCTTGGAGCGGTGCTGTCCGAGTCTCCAAGGAATAGCTGGTGTCCTGTGTTGACATGATGCGGCAGCTCGAGACGACAGAGAGTAGACCGGCGTGACCGCTAAATTCTTGGGTCATCGGCCAAGAAAAAACATTGCTGCTAGATCTGCTGATGTCGTCCAACAGGTGAATACTGTCGTGGGCTCAAGGATGATTTGTCCTTCAGACCTCGGCCTCGTCATCGTCGAAACTGAGCATTTTGCTCATGTATGGTCCATCGAGAGAATACCCAAGACGTTCGTAATAGCTTCTAACGCCAACTCCGCTGATGACGCTCAATTTCTCGCTCCCATGTTCGTCTCGAGCTATTCTCTCAGCTTCCTTCATCAAAAGAGTGCCGTATCCTTGATGCTGGAACCTGCTCTTCTCTCGACCATGGATCGGGACTGCCAATCCGTAGACGTGCAGTTCTCGGACAATACTCGTCGGTTGCCCGGTAAGTTCTGGTCGAAATGTGTACTCGGCGGTGCACTTCCGCAGTCTCAGCATGCCAATGAGAATGTCTTGCTTTGGATCTTCATATGCGAGGAAGGTTTCCCAGCCGTCGTTAGCCATGTAGTCTCGTCGCACAAGTTCTACCTGTGACGGCCGAATCTTGTTCTTTACTTCATTGATACCGACTTCTCTGGTTCGAATATCTCGACAACTGGTGCCGAAGTCCTTCATTCGTGAAAGTGCCAATTCTCTGAGATTACCATTCTCGACGCCCGATGTGACCAGTGGCATTGGGATATCGCGCTGGACTCGGTATATTCTGGTCCAAGGCGGGATCAATGCCAGTATTCTTGCCACCAGATCTACCAGAGCATTTGGTGTATAGTTCTTAAATCGACCGGTACGCCAGAGTTCGTACAAACCAGTGCCTCGAATGACGAGAGTAGGATAGATCTTCAGACCGTCTGTCCTGAAGTCAGGATTCTCGAAATATTCCTGAAACTGAAATATGTCGCGTTCCATGCCGACGTTGGGCAGATCCGGCATCATATGTGAGACAACTTTGAATCCAGCATCCTTGCAGAATTTGAAAGATTCCACAACTGCTGCCACTGTGTGACCTCTGTTTGAGTCCCTCGCCACATCTTCATATAATGACTGGACGCCCAGCTCGAGCCTAGTGCAACCATACCGTAGCATGTCGGATAAATGATCAATCTGGCCAAAATCTGGACGGGTCTCAATCGTAAGACCGACGCATTTGATGCTCGACATCTCGCCAGCGGCGACGGCTTCATCAACATTTTCTGTCTGATATCCAGAGAGTGCGTTGTGTAGCTGGGCGACGAAATTGTCCCGATACGTCTTGTCGAGAGACATAAACGTTCCGCCCATGAGAATGAATTCAACTTTGTCGACGCTGTGACCAAGAGATTTGAGCTGGTCGATTCTGCCTCGTGCCTGTTCAAAAGGATCGTATCTGGCGCGAATAGCTCGCATGGAAGTCGGTTCATATCCAGTGTACGATTGCGTGGAATATTCAAAGTCGGAGTCAGGACCACCCGGGCAGTAGACGCATGCATGTCTGGTACGTGGTTAGTCATAGTCTTGGGAAGCGTAAACACATATGCTTACCCAGTCCATGCAATGTGCTGAAAGTGATCAGGTTAGTATTGAGGCTGACAGAAGGGGGGACAATGGACGTACAGGACAGCGATGTGGCTTGCTCATCACTGCAACCACAACTATGCCGCTAGCACTCCTTACAGGCTTTGCGATCAGCCTCGGCAGAAGTGCCTTCTTGTAATTCTCGGGCACAGCAGACAAGATACCCGTCAAGGGCGGTTGAGTGCTGAGCCTATGCTTTCGTGCAACATCGCCTCGTAGTCGGTTGAGATTGATGTCTTTCTTTGGCTTGGTGTCATCAAGACTCGCCTCGTACTCCTGGATCAGTGCTCGGGCTATGTTGTTACATGCCTGCATGAAACGCACACTCTCTGGTGGTAAATTTTCATTTTTGACGGGCTTCGGTTTTGTTCTTACAACCGTCTCCGTCGCCATGATGCTCTATTTCGAAGAAGACTGATTTATGTGGAAAAGCGACAAGGCAAAATCTAAGACATCGAGAATCAAATGAATTCGATATCACGTGAAACAGTTTCTCGCTTGGCACGGTTGAAGCAGCGACGCAGCATGTGTCAAGGCACGTGGTCAGGCAAAGTGAATCAACATGTTAAAGCAGCGCTAGAATAGGCTGATATTGGCTCATTGTCGGAATGTGATACCTCGGGAGCTTCGCAGGCCAGCTGGGTGCCAGCCAATCTAACGGAAAGCTCAACTCCGCAGACTGCCAGCTCAATCTCGATCTCCGTCGAATTTCCTGACTTGAGTTCCTGACTTGAACAGTCGAGAGTCTAGGTTGTGCTCAATTGCAGGTCTCTTGAGTCGCAGCCATGCAGGCATTCAGGACCTGCGCGCCTTCGGTGCTGCGTCAGGCCTCACGACCGACAAGAGCCTACGCTACCGTCTCATCTGCGACAGCATATCAACAGACAATACCAAACCTGAGGATCAATTCGGACACGAAAGTCCTCTTTCAAGGTTTCACTGGCAAGCAAGGAACCTTTCACGCTCGGCAAGCGATCGAATATGGCACAAAAGTCGTCGGCGGCACGAATCCGAAGAAGGTACTTCCAGATGACTTTGGGCTGTGAACGGCCAACTGGAGACTACACATGCTGACATACGTGTCAGGCCGGCACGACGCATCTCGAACTCCCTGTTTTCAAGAATGTGGCTGAAGGAATGAAAGAGACGGGTGCCAATGCAAGTGTGAGTGACAACATGCAAGAGTTATAAAGGGGGAAGCACTGATATTGGCAGGTCATCTTTGTTCCTCCACCTTTGGCCGCTGCTGGTATCCTTGAAGCTGTCGAGGCAGAAATGCCCTTGGTAGTTTGCATTACCGAAGGTTTGTCCAAATGCGTCGAGAGAAAAAGGAGAGACATCTCACATGGTCTGCAGGTATCCCACAGCACGATATGGTCAGGGTGAGTACAGTCCGCAAGACATGTTCCGTCATCTTGTCAATACCCTATCCGCGACGACGGTTTTGTCAAGCCACGAATCACTAACAGCCTGTCTAGGTAACGAACATCTTGAAAACTCAAAGCAAGACGCGTCTCGTCGGACCAAACTGTCCTGGAGTGATGTAAAATTCCACCCCATTGACGTAGTACGCAGTCCTCATACTGATTCTCCTACAGCGCCCCTGGCCAATGCAAGATCGGTATCATGCCCGGATTTATCCACAAACGAGGAAGAGTTGGAATTGTTTCAAGATCAGGAACCTTGACATACGAGGCAGTCAACCAGACAACACAAGCCGGACTGGGACAATCGCTAGTCGTTGGTATCGGAGGCGACCCGTTCAGCGGCACCAATTTCATCGACTGCTTGAAAGTATTTATGGAAGACGACGAGACAGAAGGCATCATCATGATTGGTGAAATTGGAGGCAGCGCAGAAGAAGATGCCGCCGAGTTTCTGAAGAGCGAGAACAAGAAGAACAAACCCGCCGTCAGCTTCATTGCTGGTATCAGCGCCCCTCCGGGACGACGAATGGGCCACGCTGGTGCCATCATCAGTGGTGGAAAGGGTGGTGCCGACTCCAAGATTGCCGCCCTCGAGGCAGCTGGTGTGGTTGTTGAGAGGAGTCCTGCAGCATTGGGCAAAGCTTTGCACCAACAGTTTGTCAGTCGGGATCTTATCTAAGGATTGTTCGGTTTCACACTTCTTTACAGCTTTTCCAGCTAAGGTGGACGATTGAGATTCGCAGGATGTGTTCTTGTGATTCTGATGCCCGAAATGGGCACCTTTGATAAGACTGTACATTTCTGCAAATGCCGGCTTGCACTTTCGGGAAACGCGACCGAGTGCGACATGTACCTCTGAGTAAATCCGTGACCATAACGCTCAATGCCTGCCTCAACGCCACCGTATGCTCCATCTTCTCTGTGTACACCGTTATCATAGTGATATTGCCCCTCGTCGACTTGCTTTTACGTGCAGCCAAGCTTGGAAACCGCAGAACACAAGGAAACCCTAACATCGTCAGCATTGTCGATTCGGCCTTTAGGGGAACATCTTACCGCGTAGACCGCCACACTAATGAATACTGCAGAGGCAACTGCCTTGTGGTCTTCCGGATCTTCTACCATACCCATCATCATGTGGTGATTTCTCTGTGAAGCCCCCAATGTGTTAGCGCCAATACTATCAGCTTCGACTGCTGCATCCTCGAACGGACTTCAAGGTGACCAGAGGGTGAACCGCATTAAAGGAAATCATTTCGTACCGCAAAGAGGCTCCCGATGACGGAGAGGATGACGATGGCAAAGCATGATACAACGGTGCTGCAACCTCATCAGCGATGTGTTCTGCCGCTCTCTTCGCAAGAGACTGACCAGCTCCAAGCATTGAACGCAGATACTACGGGCTTCATCTTGTCCAAAGATCAATCGGAGCTCCGACTGCGCGATATGGCGTGCGAAAAGCTGCTAGGGCAGGGCCTTTGGTTGTCCAAGACTTCCTCTCAATGCTGCCAGGCACCTTCAAGTCGCACTCAAGATAGGGTGTAATGAATGACAGCTGTCTGGACGTGATACGTTGTCGGCTGGCTCGTTGGCAGTGCGGATAAACTGGGAGTTCATGCAGCCTTGGGCAACGTGGTGAAGCCTGCGCAGGCACAAGGATCTACTTGACCAATCGGCGGTTTCGCTGGGCTGGGCAGCACTTGTCAGCAACCATCATCGCATGACATCGTCACGCTCACCATCCTCGCCAACGCTTAGACTTGGACATCTCACAATCAGTTTATATTCCAACACACTCTTCGCCTTGGCCGCGATCCTCATCGTCTGTCTTTGTCTCTCCAACAATGCTTCCAAACATGGCGTAAAATTGCTTCGGCTTCGATAGTCTCAAGCCAGACACTTTGCGCATCTCTCCTGGTTATTTCGTCATTGATTGCAACTTTTCCAACAGTTTTCTCTCAACTCATCGCAAGAGGGCACAGCTGCCTTGACAGGCTGCAGACCTTCTCATGCCCCGTAGAGTTCCCAGTCCCGATAATGATGAGCGATCTCCGCTCATACGAGCCGTGAAATTCCAGCAGAATGACGTTCCACAACAGCCACTTACGGAGTCGTCAACCTCTGAAGACGAGTCTTCCACGAACGAACGACTTCTGTCGAATGATGGACCGCCATCCGAGACGATTGGTGTCGAGGAGTCTGTCGTTGAGCACAAAAGCACCTGGTACTTGATCCTGCTGACAACAGCCATCGGAGGGCTACAGATAGTCTGGTCTGTTGAACTATCCAATGGCTCACCTTACTTGTTGTCTCTTGGCATGAGCAAAGCTCTTCTTGCCGGGGTTTGGCTTGCTGGTCCCTTGACAGGAGCTCTTGTTCAACCATACATTGGTATCCGAAGTGATCGATGTCGCGTGTCATGGGGAAGACGCAAACCATTCATGATCGCCGGTACCCTTGGAGTGGTCGCTACATCGATGATTCTTGCATACGCCCGAGATATTGTCCGACTCATTGGGCGGCTCGGCCAAGATGCGCCATATACAGGCGCCTACATGACTGCGACGATAGTACTGGCTACAGTCATGATGTGGTGTCTTGACTTCTCAATCAACACTGGTCAGTGTTCCCAAAGTACGGTCCATGCGAAGCTAACGACGACCAGTCCAAGCAGCCATACGTGCGTTCATCGTCGATGGTGCCCCATCTCACCAGCAAGAGTCAGCCAATGCTTGGGCATCTCGCATGACCGGCGTGGGAAACGTACTTGGCTACGTCTTCGGCTACCTCGATCTGCCGAAGTACTTCCACTTCTTCGGAAACACCCAGTTCAAAGTCCTTGTTGTCATTGCATCTATTGCCCTATGCTCGACTGTTCTGACCAGCATCCTGGCCGTCAAGGAACGAAACCCAAGGCTAGACCCAGCTTCGAAAGCAGACCCAGATTCTAACGGATTCATTGCCTTTTTCAAGCAAGTCTTTGTCTCGATCAAGCGCCTGCCACCCCCAATACGCAAGGTCTGCGAAATTCAATTCTTCCATTGGATGGGCTGGTTCCCGTTTCTGTTCTACATCACTACCTACATTGGCCAGCTCTACGTTGACCCACACCTTGAGCCGGGCCTTCCAGATGCTGAGGTAGAGAAGCTGTGGGCAAAGGCAACTCGAGTGGGGACATTCGCGCTTCTTGTGTACGCAATCACGGCCTTTGCATCAAACATCATACTGCCATTCTTAGTAGTGCCGGCGTACAAAAGACCAGAAGATACGGACGAAGTGGACCAAATTTTCACTCAACCTGTGCTCACTCCCACCTCTCCGATTGGCACGAGATTTTCGGAATATCCTTGGTTTGAGGCTCACCATCACAGAGCGCACAGTCAACCAGTGACGCCAAACACTCCGATTGGAACAAGATATAACGAATATCCGTTCTTCGAAAATCCTCGTAGGTCGCAGAGTGATCTCAACGTTCGTCGCCATGCCTCGAGGGACTCTCAGCTGACCGATACCACCGTTCAAGAGCCGAGTCGCCTCAAGCGGTGGTTAGGCAAGGTCCAGATCCCCGGACTGACTCTTCGACGGACATGGTTAATGTCTCAAATTCTGTTCTCCCTATGTATGTTCAGCACCTTCTTCATCAGAACGCCTCTAGCTGCAACCATCATGACAGCTCTTGTGGGTGTTTCCTGGTCACTGACGCTCTGGGCGCCATTCGCTCTGATCTCTGCCGAAATTTCCAAGCGAGACGAAAAGAGACGGAAGAGGTACAGGCAGCGCCTGATAGATGGAGAAGACGGCATGACCGATGACAAGTTTGATGAGGAAGAAGACCAGGCAGGCATCATCCTTGGCCTACACAATGTTGCCATCAGCGCTCCACAGATCGTGGCCACACTCATCAGCAGCGCTATCTTCAAGCTACTGCAAAAGCCTCGAAACGTACCTGGAGATGTCAGTGTGGGGTGGACGCTTAGGATTGGCGGAGCAGCGACACTGATAGCCGCCTTTATCACCTGGAAAATGCAGGAGCCCGCAGATGAGGTGGATGAAGATTTATGAGTTCACTTGATGCGGACTATCGCCACTGTCTGTAGAGGATTCGAGTGAAATTCGACTGTGTTGTGTCTCCGGCACCTGCCACGCCTTTCAGGGCTGGAAGCACAATGACCACCATGTTTGTGGTTGTTGGGCATGCTGGCAAGGGTTGCCGCCCGAGTGAGCGAAGTACCATCTCATGGTGGGTATGCGGACATTGCGGACGCTCTAGCAGAGCAGACTGTTGATCTATTCGACGGATACTATAGAGAAGGAAGGGGCGGTGGATTAAGCGAATATGGTGAATGGCTTGTTCTGTAGCTTGCTCATCCTCTAGTCTTGTTAAAACTTTGCACGCGGCCGCAGAGCATGGATGATACATGGGGTATAGGTGTTTGTTATCTCCAAACTCCAGATGCATCGAGAATCCAATATGATAGGCGTTGACAAGTCCTGTTCCTCCTATGGCAAAGCCGTGAGTGGCTATCACCTCGTCTCCGAGACTCCGCGGCAGCTTCATACTTGAGAAACCAAGAGACCAAGAGTCTAACAGCCACTCCAGCTTGGTATCGCTGTCACGCTGACTGTGAAGGGTAAGCGAAGAGCAGGAGACGTACCAATTACACCTTCTTTTCGAAGTGTTTCTGCACATCTTCGGTTCATCTCTCACGTATCCACGAAAGTCTCGACGTACCGCTGGACGTACTACTGGAGGAGGCAGTGGCAACCCCAGTGGTTGGATGGTGGTGGTTGGATCAGCGTCATCAGCCCTGACACCCTCGAGACACCTCCATCGTCTCCCGAAGTCTTGCCAACAGGCTGTTAGGCTAAACTCCGGCAGGCCAATCGTGGACAATCCAACCCACCAAGCGGGATGATGGGGGTTCTTAGTGACTCCCAGCTCTTGGTGTCCAACCTTCGCACAACGGGAAATCTCCCTCCGCAACCAATCCGGTAGACGAAGCTGGATATCTTGGTGGAGAGTCCCAGAGGACGAGATCAAGGGTAAATTCTGGCATATCTCCCATGGTCGAAGAATGAATGGGACGTGATACAAATATCTGGAGTCATGGCCTTTTGATATATATTCTATCGTTCGCCAGACACAACCCGACCGATGTCGCCGTCTTAGAGTGTGTCATAAGAAAGACATCAGTCGGAGACTGCACTGTGAAGGTTCTGTCGCGGTTTGTCCCTTTCATGCGTTTGACTCTCCTTGTGCTATATATATATTGTCGCCCTCTGGCCATCAGCGCACGCGGCAACATCACCGTATTTCGACAGACGACAACATATATCATATTTGCTTAATCAATCATGGTCAGAGACGTTGCTCCTAAGGCAGGGTTGCCTGCTGATTTCCTCTGGGGCTTTGCTACAGCAGCGTACGTCTTCCATTTACACTACCTTTCCGACTACTGACATGCAACAGATATCAAATTGAAGGTGGTGCCACAGCAGACGGTCGAGGCCCTTCGATATGGGACACATTCTGCAAAACTCCCGGCAAGATCGCTGACGGCAGTTCTGGCGATGTTGCCTGCGACTCATATCACCGCACAGCACAAGACATCGAATTGCTCAAGAAGACTGGCGCTCAAGCATACCGATTCTCCATCTCATGGTCCCGCGTCATTCCCAAGGGTGGCCGTAATGACCCTGTCAATCAAGCCGGCATAGACTTCTACGTCAAACTCGTAGATGACCTCCTTGCAGCTGGCATTACACCCTTTGTCACTCTCCTCCATTGGGATCTCCCAGACGAGCTCTACAAGCGGTACGGCGGGTACCTGAACAAGGACGAATTCGTCGCTGATTTCGCCAACTATTCCCGTGTCATATTCGAAGCCATGGGTCCTCGCGTCAAGCACTGGATCACATTCAACGAGCCTTTCTGCAGTGCTATTCTCGGGTACAATTACGGTGTCATGGCCCCGGGACACACCAGCGATCGCAAGAAAAGCCCTATTGGTGACAGCAGTACCGAGCCCTGGATCGTCGGGCACAATATCCTCGTGGCGCATGCACACGCCGTCAAGGTCTACCGCGAAGAGTTCAAGCCGAAGTTCGGTGGCGAAATTGGTATCACGCTGAACGGTAAGTCGTCCTTTCCTCCACTAACCGTCTCTAACATCACTGCTTGCAGGAGACTGGACGGAACCATGGGACCCGAACGACGAACAAGACCGCCTCGCATGTGACCGCAAAATCGAGTTCTCGATCTGTTGGTTTGCGGACCCCGTCTACTTTGGACGCTACCCTGAGAGCATGGTCAAGCAGCTTGGCAACCGACTGCCCACATTCACGGAGGAAGAGAGCAAGCTGCTCGCGGGCTCGAACGACTTCTACGGCATGAACCACTACTGTGCGAACTACGTCCGGCATCGCGACGGGGACGCAGATCCGAATGACTTTAGCGGCAACTTGGATATCTTGATGGAAGACAAGCACGGCAATATCATTGGTCCCGAGACACAAAGTTTCTGGCTGCGCCCGCATGCTCCGGGTTTTAGGAAACTCATGAAGTGGTTGAGCGATCGGTACGGGCGGCCGAAGATATATGTCACGGAGAATGGGACCAGTATCAAGGGTGAGAACGACCTGTCGATGGAGGAGATCTTGGAGGATGATTTCCGGTTGGAGTATTTCCGCAGTTACATCACGGCCATGGCGGAGGCGGTGGCCGAGGATGGGTGTGATTGTCGCGGATATATGGCTTGGAGTCTTATGGAGTGAGTATTGTCCTTTCCTTGGAGGACGGATGGATGCTAACATGTGTGTAGCAACTTCGAATGGGCCGAGGGATATGAGACGAGGTTCGGGGTCACGTATGTCGACTATGAGAATGGGCAGAAGCGGTATCCGAAGAAGAGTGCCCTCGAGCTGAAGAATATCTTCGATCAGTATATTGGCAAGGTGTAGTCCAACCTTGGTAGACTGTGGAGTGGATGTTGTGTTGGGATGATTTTCGTTCGACCACGTAAGGTGCCAGCTGGGGAAATTGGTTAGACTGTGTGGTGAGGGTCCATTTCGGCCGATGGTTTCATTGCAATAATGGTTGGCAATTCAATCAATGGACTTCTAAATAAGGTCTCTCGCGGCTTGTAGAGGTGTGGGAGAAGGAAAGATGTCCCGGAAGAACATAATCCCGTCGCGATTCTCAAGGCGTGTCAAGGCTAGCCTGTTTTGGGTATCTGAAGGCTCCGGCATATCGGCGAGTCCAGACTCCGACCAGGTGCCGGCGACTACTAGTACTGGTCTTACCCATCCATTGAGGCCACTGTCACTGTTACCGCCAACGGAGAAACTATATAAATTGTCTTTGCTGGCCTGCCTCGTGCTACATTGACCATCATCGCTGGCAGGAGACACCATTGTTTTACGACTGTTGCGAAGCGAGGGAAAGCGAAAATGGAAACTCCAACAGTCCCGATCAACTTCGTCCCTGCGACCTCCGGCGAGACCTTCAAAGTCGGAACGATCACCATTCGCATCATGGAAGACGGATCACGGACAGAGTGAGCGAGCAGACTCACTTCGATGGCGGACATCTACTGATGGCGTCGTCAAGCAATCGTATAGGCTCAGCAGAGTTCACTGTTCCGCCGCATACTTCAGGGTACGCTCATCCTCGGTGGACTTGCTGCTATGCGTCGCCGAATTGAAGGTGGGATTCAAGCTGACGCGATTTGACCATCTACAGGCCTCCGCCGCACTGGCATGAGATGGTAAGCCACCCCTCTTGAACGCGCTGGCTCTCCTCTTTCCCTTCACCGCATTTACACCTCTCACTACTCCGTACCTTCTCATCAATCCATGACACCTTGCTGTGGCCCACACTGAGACCAACACGTCCTACTGCTTTCTCCAGCCACTTCTACTCCCTGGTCATACTACCCTAGCTTGCCCGACCTTTGCCTCCACTTGCTCTCGATGCTTTCAGTCCGTACAATACTAGTAGGTACTCGCACTGACCGAGTCCCACGGTAGCACGACGAAACCTTCCTGGTAACGCAAGGCACATTACGCTTCCATGCATTGAATGGTCAAACCGTCGACGCAAAGCTGGGGGACTACGTCACGGTACCGACACGCTCACCGCATACGTTCTCCAATCCGTACGACGAGGAGGCCAAGTTCTTCAACACGTACACGCCGGCGTTTTATATCAATTACTTCAAACTCCTTGCGACGCTGGGGGAGTCCGGGAAGCCGATGAATCCGGAGGCCAACCGGAGAGCCATGGCGGTGAGTTTGAAAATTCCTTGGTTTCTTCCTTGCCGGCTGCGCAAAGGTGGCAGACAAGTCACCCTCGTGATTGAGGATCAGTGGCGACAATAAATGTGGCTGGCTGTTGCGGAGTGTTGAGAATTTCTCTAACGTGAAGGAATGCTTTTTTACTGACGACAACCCCTTAACTAGTACTTCGCCACGATTGGCATCGCCGATGATGAGATGCAGATGGACAAGAAGCAGTTCTATGGTGACGGGGAGAAGAAAGTGGGCGGAGCATGATTGTATGCTGAGAGATACTAGTTCGAGACAATTGAATGATTATGCGGGCACCGCCTAGCATTGTTTTGTTTTGTTCGTTAGAACGTGATAACTTGACAAGCGCAAATGCCGTCTTGGCTATGCAGATGTAGTTCCTACACGGTAAATCTGCAACAGGTCTACCACCTAAATGGTCGTGAGGTATGGTGTTCATTATCACCGCTAACCCATGAGTGCCTGAACGCGCAGCTTTACCATGCTCAGTGATAGGCGTCAGAAGGACGCTAGACTAACCAGACCGACTGGGGCAGTACGACGGGGCCAGTGGTAGAGGCATCGCAGAAGACTGAGTTCGCGAGAGGGTAGCTTTGCTGTGATGGAGTTTGGACATGAAGCTGCACGCTGGCAAGAAAAGGGGGAAGTAAATACCTAAGGGGAGGAGGACACCGATGGAAGTAGCATCGCAAACCGCTAGGTGCGCGATAGTGAGGCCCTGCTCGTATCTGAAATGGTGCTGTGAAGGCCGTTAGTGTTAAGTGATGTTTGTGAGAGGTTATGAGGATAAGGAGGGCCGCAGGTATTACTAGTACCATCACGATATGACTGAGTGTGTGCGGAGTGATGCTTTGGCGCCCTGTTCGAATAAATGGGATATTCACTGGAAGCACGCTTGCGGATGAAGATATCTTTGACTAGTAGGTAGACAACCTCCATCTTTCGCTCTGTTTCGAGTCCCTGTACAGTACACAGGACGCCTACTCGCAGACAAAGGATCCTTAATGCTGCCGTCTGAGGTAGATTGGGACCTCTCAAGAATACTCTCAAGAATACCAATGTTCTCTTGTCAATGCCAATGTTCTCTTGAGCGATCCAGCCGCATTCTCCGACCAACCTACCTGGTCAAGACAACGACGGCAACAATATTTTATTAGCCACGGCTAGATCAAAGCATCGAGTAGTCGGTTGCCCTATACTAGTGTGAATGTATATCATATTGCTGTACCTCCCTACGTATGAACACCAAGTTGGATACCTACCTGGTACCTAAGGTACTTCATCTTCATCTTCGTCTTCCGCATTCTGCCGTAGCTCTAACATCTCCTTTATATACGATGCCAGTAATAATAAGTAACTGTCCGCTGTGCGCTATAACACCATCCGTCCACACCCATCGCCCATCTACTAGGACTGTATCCCCATCTACAACTTCGCCTTCCCTTCCTCTATCCTCTTCCAACTCTCGCGATCCAAACTCTTATACCTCTCCTCCTCCAGGTCGAGCCAATACTTATTTCCGCCCTTGCCCTTGTCCTTGCCCTTGCCCGAAGCATCTGCATCTGCATCTACATCTGCCCACTCGATATTCTTGACCACATTCTTCGCATGCTTGAACGTATCACCGACATCGACCAACTCCTCCCTGATCATGACGAGCCTGGGCACCGCATACTTGGGCACGCCTTTACTCCTCAGAGCCTTGAACAAGCCGGCCACAAACACCTTTTCAGTGCTCGCACCACGCCCTTGCTTCTCACTCTCCTTGTCATTGTTGTTGTCCAAAACGATCAACGCCGTGCCCGCCTGCCCATCGTACCCATCCAGCCTCCTGCCCACGACGACGGCATCCTTGACGCCCGGCAATTCCGAAATGAAACCCCGGACCTCACCGGCCGACACATTCTCGCCCATCCACCTATACGTGTCGCCGATGCGATCGACGAACTTGACCCAGTTGTCCGGCTCCTGCACGAGCAGATCCCCACTGCGCTGGTACACGTCGCCCTTCTCAAACACATCGCGGAGGATTTTCTTCTCCGTGGCCTCCCTGTTCCCGTGGTAATCCGTGTACGTGGCCAGATCTCTGATGCGGGCGATGGCCTCGCCGGGCTCGCCCTTGGCCGCGACAATACACCAACCGGTTTCTTTGTCGCGCACCGGCATCTCCGTCTCATAATCGAACTTGATGATATACTGCTGGCCCTTATCAAACACCTTTTTCCGGAGTATGCCCATGTACCCGACCCTCCCGGCACCGGGGCGTCCACGCTTGTGAACATTATCGAACCGCACAAGGCCCTCGGTCGACCGATAGAATTCCCGGACTTCTGGCACGTCGAACCGCTTCTGGAACTCGACCCACACATCCTTCTGCAGACCGTTGCCCGCGGCGACAAGCACGCGATGATCCCGATCGTACCGTCCAGGCGGTGTCGCGAGTATGAACCGCACAAGCTCGCCGACGTACAAGATGCGCGTGGCCCGCGACTCGTGCGCGTCCTTCCAGAAATTGCGCGCGCTGAACCGGCGCGCCAGACAGAAGCACCCGCTCTGCGACACGCTGTAGCACAGGCCCGTGAAGAAGGTCGTCCCGTGGAACAACGGCATGCAACTGTACGTGCGCAGGCCGTCCAGGTATTTTTTCGGATGCGCGTGGTCTGGCGACGTCGTCACCGACACGACGCAGATCAGCGCGTTCTTGACGCTGCATGCCTTGGGCTTGCCCGTCGTGCCGGACGTGTAGATCAGCGCAGCGACACTGGCCAGAGTCTTGGGCGGTACGGGCGGGAGATTGAGACTCGGCGGTGACAACTGCTGTCCGTTTTCGTGATCGGGAACATAAAACGGGAACTCCATCACGTTTGGTTCTGAAAGCGTTGAAAACGCCGCGCTGGACGGGAAGGAGCCCAGGTTCAATCGGACTGTTCTGATACTGTCCGTGTCGGTGTCCGACAGCGACTTTGCAACGGAGGCGGCGTGCGCGGCGAGGTCGGGCGTGGTCAGGATCAAGTTGGCCCGGGGCAGTCGGACGCAGTGCAGCAGCGTCTCGTCGCGCAGGGCGTTGTTGATCAGCGCCGGCGCCGCGCCTAGCCGGGTCAGCGCGAACACGGTGAACAGCATCTCCGGGCAGTTGGTCATGAAGACGGCCACGATGTCGCCGTCCCGCACGCCCAGCGTGTGGTGCAGGCCGAGCGCGAGCTCGTCGACTTGCTGCTTCATGGCCCGGTAGTTCCACGTGCGGCCTTCGAACCAGAGCGCGTCGGCCGTCGGGTCCGCCAGTTCGAGCATCCGGTACAGGTGCGGTGATGCGGGGCCGAGCCTGTCCAGAAATTGCGGGAAGCGTTTGGTGAAAGACGCGTCGAGCCGGTATTGTTGGAGGTCGCGAGTTATGCCGAGCGAGTGGTCCGCGTAGAGCAGCAAGCTTGCTGCTGCGGCCGTGGAGGCGGCGATGGTGGCCATGGTTGAGGAGCTCTGGTCGATTCTTGCTGCTCGCTACGCTTGGATTGGGGTCTCTCCAGAGTCGAGAGTGAATGGCTGTCCGCCTGTGGGTGGAGGAGGAGGAGGAGGAGGTGGTGGTGGTAGTTTGTTCGAGGTAGCAAACGCAAGTAAAGAATTGGTGCCGTGTTCAAAAGAGGGGATTCTAATAACTTGTCCGTAGCTCGTGTCAGGAGGGATGGCAGTCAGTCAAATTGAGCCGTTTGCAACGGGATACACTTTGACTTTGACAAAGGTTCAAACGCTGTGATGCTGATGCCTCGGTCAAAAGTGCCCCAGTAGCTCCCGTATACAGCTGCCGGTCGGGTCCAAATGTCGACTTTGCTCGACGGGAAGGAATAGCTCCGGCTGCGGCCTGATTGATACAAGTATGTGGCAGAACGCCAGAGACTCGGATGCCTCGTATATTTGTTTGCGGGCGGAAGGCTTTGGGGAGCGAGCCTGATTAAAAGAACTGTACGTAGTAGATTGCCGACTTCCAGGAGTAGTAGCCTAGCTGTTTGGTTGCTTAGTTGTCGGTAAGCCAGTTCACGGTCCGAAGCCTGTTGCTTAGGGGCCTCAAACCCCCCCACACAGGTTGGTCGGTGATCGTCAAACAGTCCTGACCGGACTTGAAGCAATTACTTCGGAGTAGAGAGGTGATTTTGCTTCTGAAGAGGGAGGGAGGATGCTTCTCTGTAGACTGAAGATGTATCAAACCACGAGATGGAGAGCTTTGGTCTTTCCCGTCAAGACTCAACATGCTGGGGAGTTCCATGGAGGCAGTGTGGAGGTGGGGCTGGGACTGTACTGGATACAGTGGTACTCCGTTTATCGTGGAAGCTCGTCCAGGCGATGCTGGAGTGCTGGAGTGCTTACATACGCGTGATGCGCTTCGGGCACAGCTCTGCGAGCGCGGAAACATCCGGCGACGCGTAGTGCAGTGGTGATAGGGGTGGCACTGGGTGGCCAAGGATGAACTCGGCTGGTGGAGGAGGCGCCCAGAAAAGAGGATCCAACGGCAGTTGAAGTCGGAAACAGTCCGTCCAGGCAGATGGCACCTGGGTGGTACAGTAGGCACACAGAGAAGACCGGCACTGTCATTGAGCCGAGGCATCTTTTCGATATCAAACACCATCCCGATCCTGGCCGTTTTCTGATCACTGAACAGATTCTCCATAGAAGTACGAGTAGTATCGTCTGAAAAAGATAGCAGATCTTCCGGGTCCTTGTCTTTCAAGTCTTCCAACTCTTCCTTTGTATAGCATTTCTACTCGGTACAACCGCAGGTACAGGTAGACAGAATGAGTGCACAACAGCGACTCCAGAACATCTCGGGCCACATTCACTCCAGCGCCACCACGACGCAGTCACCGGGCCTGAAGAAAATCCTCGAAAAGAACCCAGATGACATTGTCTGTGCCCAACTCATAACTCATTTTTCCTAAAAAGAGATCCTGACTGACTGACCGATGGTCCTAGGTAATAACATGCGCCACGCGCACGCCCCTGACCAAAGCCCGTAAAGGCGGGCTTAAAGACACACCGACCGACGAGCTGCTCATCCACGTTCTCAAGGCGCTCAAGAGCAAATCCCAAATCGATCCATCAAAGGTCGACGACGTGTGCATCGGCAACGTCCTGCAACCCGCGCCAGGCTTCGCGGCACGCAGCGCCGTGCTCGCCGCCGGGTTCCCTGTATCCACAGCGGCCAATGTGGTCTCGCGCTTCTGCAGCTCGGGCTTGCTCTCGATCCAGACGGTCGCCGGCAGCATCACGACGGGCGCGATCGAAGTCGGCATCGCCATCGGGTGCGAGAGCATGTCGACCAACCCCGACAAACCACCCCCGATGAGCGACATGGTCATGTCGCACCCCGTGGCCAAGGACAACGTTATGCCCATGGGCTGGACGTCGGAGAACGTCGCCCACGATTTCCACGTGTCCCGTGAAGCTCAGGACAAGTACGCCGCGATGTCTCATAACCGCGCCGAACGGGCCCAGCGCGAGGGCTGGTCGGCCGATGAGATCTCTCCGCTCACCACAAAGTGGGTTGATCCGAAGACCAATCAATCCCAGACAATCACCGTGGACAAGGACGACGGCATCAGGCCCGGCACCACATACGAGGGCCTCGCGAAGATCAGGTCGGCGTTCCCCCAGTGGGGTGGCACCACGACGGGCGGGAATGCGAGTCAACTTACCGACGGTGCGGCGGCGGTGTTGATGATGAAGCGTTCGACAGCGGAGAAGTTGGGACAGCCCGTCATTGCAAAGTATGTCAAGAGCACTGTTGTCGGGCTTGAGCCGAGGATCATGGGCATCGGCCCCAGCTTTGCCATTCCCAAAATCCTCGAGCTCACGGGCCTGACGAAGCAAGACATTGACCTTTTTGAAATCAATGAGGCCTTTGCGAGTATGTATGTGTACTGTGTGGAGAAGTTAGGCCTGGATCTCGAGAAGGTGAATGTCCGAGGAGGAGCCATTGCCATTGGGTGAGTGCTAGTATTTCCCTTCGGACTACAGATGGAACTGTACTGACTGACGATATAGGCATCCGCTGGGCTGTACAGGCACGAGACAAGTTGTTACCGCCCTGTCTGAATTGAAGCGGAGGAAGGCCAAAGTGGCTGTGACGAGCATGTGTGTGGGCTCGGGTATGGGTATGGCTGGTGTCTTTGTCTCGGAAGAGTCGTGATCTATAGCGAATCCATTCCTTGGCCGTCGTGAAATGTGCGTGACTGTGGGAGTCATCATGACTTCAATACATGACTTGCATGAAGGCGTCCTTCCCTCATCTGCCAGACTCAGGCATTCCTCCCTTGCTCTAGGTGTGGGTGTGGTTAGCTATGGCTCTCCCTGGGGCTCTTAGGGAGACAATTAGACACTCTTCAACATGTAAGCTCAATTGATAGTAATTCCATTCATTTGTGTGGAACGCATGTAGAGTCTTAACAACATATTATGATCTCCATTTGACGGCAGCAGTCCCCATGCTGGACAGCCGCCTACGCTAAATTGCAACACCTGCGGCTATGCACATACCAAAGTCAGACGAATCTTCCAAATGCGGCCGCCCATGGGTCTCTCAGCTCATATCCGGCTTCTGCTGCGACTGTGACTCTGACTGCGACTCTGACTCCTGCTACTTCCACTGCCGGGACCTGATCGAATCCAGTCAACCATCATTCTGCCTTCCTTCAAGACTCCATCCACAGTCGAAGGAACATTGATAGATCGACTCCCGTCCGAATATCGTTCTCGCGGTTCGATTGAAGAACTCCTGCTTGTTCGTCGTGACATGCTCATTCTCCGAGGCGTGGTGACCGATGATACAGTGCGACTCGTATGACTGGTTTGCGTCGTACGTGTAGAAACAGTGGACGCCATTGTTGACGTTCTGTCTGTGCTCGCATCGACATTCGATGTCAAAGAGCTCGAGGTTTCGACCTCGGGAAAGCGGACACTATCGCTGGCACTTTGTGCTCGTCTCCTTCCGCGGAGAACATTACCTTCATGATGGATCCCGACGGTTGCTGGACCCCATCGTTCGGTATATCCTCTCCAAATGGCTTTGACTTCGTTGTCACGCTGTTTGAGCAGATTGTCTGCCTGGTCCTCCATTTGTAAGATTGCTTGAATATTTTCAGGTGACATGATCGTGGGTGATGTCGTAGTCGGCGATGCCGCACTTCGTGTCGCATTCGATGACGGCGAAGATGTGGCGGTGTTGTTACGGCCTGACTGATTAGCCGCATCCGGAGATTCGACATCAATGTCTTCTTGAAGCAGACTTAGCTGCAGTATGAGATTCTCCAATCGAGTGGTATATCGGGCCAAGATGTCTGATTCGGCCTCTCGGCGGTATGACAGGTCACAAATTGAGCATGCGCCCTCGATAATATAAATGCTGGGTATGATTGCTGGAAAGCTGGAGAAATATGCCCGTAGATGCAATGGCGGATATGCCAAGAGCTCATCATGGTATTTTACCAGGATAGGCTGCGCATTGAGTGGCCGCGACATGGGAGGAGATGTATGCTCACAGCTTGTATAGTGAAATGTGTCGGCATAAGCAATCTCAGGATCTGGTAAGCTGGGTCTTTGCGCTGATGGTCCCACAGAATTGCTGCGACGTCGAGATCTGATGTATTTTGGCTGGGTGGTCTTTGGTGGTATGGGTGTAGTATGCACTCCAGACACTTGTTGAACCGGAAGGTTTTGCTGGGTTGACGAGGGTTGCCGAGCTGGAGACATGGAATTCTTTTGAGGTGTTGGTTTCCTTGGAGATAGTTTGCCCAAAGATTCAAGCGTTGAGATACCTGCGATTTCCGTCCAAATGTCCACGACTGGTTTTTCAGCCAACACCGGCTCAGTGTGACGAGACTTTCCTAAGCTGGGACGTTGAGGAGAGACCACAGCATCTCTATTCTCACCGGGCAGCGGGTTCCCCAACTTGCTTGTTTCAGCGGTATTAAAAGCCGGTGGCTCTACTCTCTGGACATTCTTCCAACTGCTCGGGGGGTATTGAGCTCTCGGGGATCTTGACCGGCTTGATCTGCTGTTGAGCGAATCTGCATCAACATTCGTTGCAGGTGTAGGGGAAAGACGACCGACATTCGTTATGTCCGGTTGCAACCCGGAAGGATGTAGTTCGCCAATGTCTTTTGCTGGAGTGGTAGTTCTAGTCGACCGCCGAGACGATGGAGACCGTGATATGGTCACTGTGGGCCTGTGTTTGATAGAATCATGTCCTGCTGCGAGATTCTTCCCAACAGACGGGACGGGGCTGATCTCAAGCGTGTCTGGACGTTGGCCAACACCTCCTATTGTAAATCGACGTTTGTGGCGTAGTTGTCTGATTGGCTGATCTGAAGCAGTATCGGGCTCCTTGACTTTGGCTGTCGCTACATTCAAATTCACAACCGAAGTTGGCGATGTCGATTTCAATGCTGAAACCCGAGATTGTGTGATCTTGTTGGTCTTGGTCTTGACAGGCAAGAATAAGTCTGTATCTTGGAGCTTTGGAGCCATTGAGCGATCTGGTCGCGATTATCTCGTTGAAGTGAAATGCCCGCCAGATAAGTCTTTCGGTGAGAGACCATATGGCAGTCAAGATGGTGACCCAGGCATCCCTGACAGAAATCCTTTGTCCTCATGGACTTCGAGACATCCATTCTATATTTTCTTTATCGCGTCGCTGATACACGATGAAAAACAGACGACAGCTTTGTGTCTGGAATCTTTGTCGGGGTTAAAAGAAGCTCTGCATTTTAAATCAACTTCCAACCACAACCGATAGGCTCAAAATGGCAGGGTTGCAGGGATTTGAAACGTGTGATAAACCCAGGTTTGGGTAAGTCACAATTGAGACAACAGAATGGGGAAAGGTTCGATTTGTTGCTCCGCCCCAATCGAGGTTCTTGGTGGGAAGAACACGAAGAACCAAGTCGTACGGAGTAAGCAAGGGGCACATCTAGGTCGGAGTCACGTGCACGGTCCTGACTTGTCGGTTGTAGGGTCAACGATCCACTAAGCGAGATTGTCCAAACCATGACCCTGGTGAGGTCTTCCTTTCCATTGGACTTGAGACGTCGAGTGTCAATCTTCTTCAACACTTCCCGTCAAAATGATGGTGAGGTTCATGCGCCATCGAGCAACCTCATGTTCCAGAGCGCTCAGCTTGGCTGCTACACTCATCAAGCTGGGATCACCAGTCTCAACTCGTACTTTCTCGCGGACAATGACATCTTTTCGGCCACGCCATTCAAAGATTTCTCCCATCTCATCATGAGTGGGTGGTCTTGGTCCGAGACCTAACAGCTTCGACCTCAGATTAAATCCAGACAAAGAGAATGAGCCTTCTCCTGGGGTGCTTGGAGTGCCACCAGGAGATGTAGGAGCCAATGTCCTCACGGTGAGAACTAGGTTGGCCTCTTGGATGGTGAAATGTAAGCTGAGATATTCACTCAGTGGGGGTTGGAATATGTTCTCGTCGGCGCTGTTGGACCACCATTCTGCTCCTGGTATTGAAGCGTTCTCGGCGCCGGTCACGGGTCCTTTCAAACATGCCTTGGCTTCACGAAGATTGTCATGCAGGAGCCGCAATTGGCCGGAGATGAAGGATGAGTCTGTTGACTGACCAGTCCATCTAGAAATATCGATAATGTCGAGAGAGTCGTTGATACGTGATCGGACGGCTTGTAATTGAGGAAGGAGGATATCGGAAGATGAAGATGAGGATGAAGAGTGGAATATTAATCTCGTGGAAGGGGTGGACGTCGTAGTTCCTCTAGGAGTATTTGGTGGCAGTGTAGTCAGCCGGAGATGGATGTCCTATAGTCCGCATTCAGCCTTGCCAGTCGCTGTGGATGGAGGATTCCAGACTTAACATACTCCTTTGACAAGCTTCGTACCAATTCTAGTGACGAACCCTTTGACACTCTCGGATCGTAGTGACGAGAGTACCAGAGTCGAACCAGGCTCCTTTGTGGCCAATAAAGCAGCACATTCCTCCAGACCCTCTTTGAGGGCGCCCAGTGAATGTTGGAGAGACTTCAGCAGCCACTGGAGCTCGAGCTTCTGTTGTCCAAAGCGTCAATATAATATCCATACTATAGGCATTTTGTCCCACCGTACCAAAGAGTCTTCTTCCGCCTTGCGCAGTTCATCTGGAGGTATGGGAGGATAGACCCAGGTTGACATTTGACTTGTAGCATAGAGTTGGTGTAACGGAGGATATGATGGCAATCAAAGCTGGAGTGGCATATGGAGTGCCGTTGATAACATGAAGCAGTAGGTATGATGCCGTGACATCTGGTGATTTGAATCTGATCTGGGCGTTTTCGGCGGTGGAAGCATAGAGTTGAAGCTATTTGTCGCTAGTGTCGGGAACTAGCTCTATTGGGAATGGTCTGTAGTCATTTCCTGCTTGGTGGCTTTTTAGGTGGAAATCCAAATTGATGACGTGGTGGCCCCCGTGTGTTTTGTTCTGGTAGCACACCACGCACTCAGCTAGCTTGTTGGCACTACTTCTCGCTGCTCTCTCTGCTCTGCTCTGGGTGCGAAAGCTCTTCAATTTGCCTGCTACAGTACCTAGGTATCCGTACTGACGTCGAAAGAGGCCATTCAAGGCCATTTCTGATTGGACATCTCTTGTTTTCCTACCTGACCCTCTTCTCCACCATTCGTCAACACCCTACTCCTCCAGGTCATAACCAGCTGAAGCTCTTCCGTCTAGGTAACTGTGCTACCCATTCTTACCCGTGGGCCGTGGCTGATGACCCAAAGGTGACCTCATCCAAGACATCACAAGCCTTAGTTACAGACATACCACTCGAGCCACTACAAGAAGCCACTTCAACCCGACAACCCACATTTGCATCTTTTGCACCTCTGGCCGGTCCTCTTCCTCACCGATCCCTCGACAACCTACCTACCTACGCGACCTCCTTGCCCTTCCTGGCAGCCTTAGCACGCGACTGCGACCCTTTTACGAGTGTCGGCAAGCTCCCTCTATATCTTTCACAATGGCAGGTCGTATGTGAAACTCCGTCATGAGCTGGGAATTTTACGTGGACTGACACTTCTGGCGCAGGCGGCCTTTTCAGCCTGGTCTCCCTCATCCTGGTCGCCGGTGGCCTCCTGTTGATGTTTTTCATTCTTCTCGCCGGGGCAGTCGACGGTTCCCCTCTCAACAAATTTTATTTCCTCCAAGCAAACACCGGCAACATACCTGGTGCCCCTACAATAGCTCGATGGACGTATTGGAATGTCTGTGGTGTCCAGAACGGTCGCACTGTGTGTGGCAACCAAGGTTATTCAGATGTACATCCTGCGTTCCCTCTCGATCCCGCTTCGCATAGGAACTTTGACACTACGACGAACGTGCCTCGAAACTTTGTCCGGCACCATGGCTACTATTTTTACATGACTCGATTCATGTTTGCCTTTATGCTGATCGCCCTCTTCTTCGGCGTCTGCGCTTTGTTCACTGGACTGCTTGCGCTGTGCACCAGAATCGGCAGCTATCTCAGCGGATTGTTGACTATGATCGCCATGTTCTTCCAGGCGATAAATGCAGCTCTGATGACGTGAGTAGCAGCAAAAATTCAGAATTGTGTCCTGTGGCTAACAAGATGTCAGTGCTGCCTATGTCAAGGGTCGCGACAACTTCCGCAGAAACGGTCAAAGCGCTAATATTGGCAAATACGCTTTTGGGTTTGAATGGGCGGCTTTGGCCTGTTTCTTCCTCTCCACTATCCTTTTCTGCATCGGTGGGGGAGCTCGACGGGACAAGACTTCTTCTAAACGACGAGGATTTGGTGGAAAGAGATCCAGGAGCACCAGGAGCCGGGGCAGCTTCGTCCATGATAAGGAGTATGGGGCATAATAACGCCAGGTTGAGGGGAAGATGAGGGAAGAAAGTGTACTGAAGATGTGGAAGAAGACCACAGCATTTGTACGGAAGTTCCGGTCATTTGATGATGCCTGTTCATGACGCTCATTTCATGGAGTTTTTGGTGAAGGTTTACCGGAGACCAGCAAGGTCTTCATGTTGACGACATGTCATGCCAGACGCCAGACAAGTACTTATTGTATATTCATAATGTCTTTTGATGCAAGCCAATGCATATGTTCTCAACTAAAAGCAATGGAACGAATCTATTGATATTGGATCCGCTGAACTTGACCTCATACTCGTGGTGACTTGCGTTTGTGATGATTGAGCCATTCTATTCCTCGATGATCCGAAGATTCTTCAGGATATTCTGGGCTAAGTGTAAAAGTCAATCTGGACATCGTACCAGTTACCAGATGGATTCCGCTAACAGCCCCCAGCACCTTTGCACCTATATTGTATCGACCTTGTTGTGCATGATGCAACGTACTCCTGTGCAACATGATGGCATACGGCCTCGTCATGCCTCGAGTTCATAACTATTCGATCGAGAGTTCGGGGCTATTTCCAGTCAGAAAAACAACAATTAAACAAGAGAATCGCTTACTTCTGGAACCCCTCGCAGGATAATAGACGACTTGCAGCACAATGGCCAATATGGCTGTAATCGTGGCGATGCCCCCAAATACCGCGCCCATGATTGCTTCAGCCGGCCAAGCCATTGTCGCGGCCAGGGTTACTGTAGGTCAGGCTGTAGTGTGGGGGTGGCTCGGCCGGGGGTGCCTGTGAGACGCTGAGGCAATGGAGCCTAACTAGTGAAGGCTGCCTAAGGCTGAACGCTTGGAGGGGCCTGCTGATTGAAGGGATTCGAATCTTGGTGAGCTGGAAAGAGGAGGATTGAGAAAGGATGTTTCGGGTTCTTGTCCCCTATGAGAGGGATTCTGAGAGCACTTTTGAAGAAGAGAAAAAGACATCATGAAGGTGAGGATGGCCGAAAAGATATACTAGAAATCAACGACTTTTGATCGAGCAGGACAAAGCCACGTCCGGCCCCCTGGTCGACGGCCGGGCTGCGGATACCGCAGGCAGGAACCTCTAAAAGCAAAGGGCCAGGAAAAGCCAGGGTGGACGACGCGAAACTCGGGTCGCACAACTTCGGAGGGTGGTGTTCGCCTCACTGTTGTACCTATTAGCATGCACAGAGAGACACACAGAGACGGTCTCTAAGACCCACGGGTTGGGATGTTGTAAACCGCACGTTGCTGCCGCCGGCGGTCGTAGAAATCCATTGGCTTGGGAAGTTGGAAATACTATCACATATCAGGTCATAAGCACATGAGCACATGGGGGAATACAAAAGTCACATTTTCAGTGTTGTAAAAAAGGTCACCTTTGTAACAAGTCTAGCGTTGTAAGAAGAAGTCTACATGTTGTAAGAAGTCTACATGTTGTAAGAAGTCTACATGTTGTAAGAAG